AAAGAAACGTCTGCTACGCAGTGTGAGCTGATCGGTTCCATTCGGCTACGTGCACTACCAAAGCGGCGTGAGAGGGTGCCGCTGTGGAGGAGGTGCGGCGGTGTGTGGCGTGCGCTCGCGTACTCGTGATGACAAAGTCCTCTCTACTACTAACCTCCCGATGCACCGCTGACGATCACCGTTTGAACTTCACCTTTCGCTCCGATCTGAGGGTGCGCCGCGCCGTTGCCGTTGCTGCTGACTGTGCTGTTGCGTGCCGCTGCGCGTTTGTGATGACAAATTTCTTGCTATTACTAATAGCCTCCGATGCACCGCTGACGATCCCTTTTATTTTGCCGAACTGACGATGCGTGCTGCCTGCTCTTGTGCTTTGTGCTTTGCCGCTTCTGCTTGTGTTGCCGGTGTTTGCGAGACGCAGCAGCCACTTTCGTTGGAGTGCTGCGTTGCGGTGCAGCTGCGGTGGTGTCTGCTGTGGGTGTTTCCGTTGTGCGGGAGTGTTCCTCGGACAGGACGCGAGACTGATGCGTGCTGCGCCATCATTTAACTCCCAGATGGCTCCGGTGTAGTGCTACGCTGTGGAGTGCCCTGCCTCGTGTCGAGTGTGGTGACGTCACACCAACCGCTGCTCATACGCCTTGCCTATCGTATAGTGGTGATTTTTGTGGACGGAGATTGCCGGCGTGTATGTGTGCGCTGTCTGTGCCGCGGAGTCTCTCTCGGTTCGAATGCTCCAACGGTGAGTTTCCAGCCATCATCAAACTCCCAGAATTGGAGGTTTAGCGTTGAGTGTGAACGTAGAAGACGTGGTACTGTTTGTGGTTTACCGTCGTAGTTTTGCATACTGAAGGACCGCGAGCCAATGTGAATGGCACGAGAGTTCACGGTGTAGGTGCTGAAGCATGAAAGAAGAAATTGAACCAAAGAGAGATAACAATGTCAGTGGGAAGTGATGCACAGCGGAGCTCTCTTCTAGTCGCACCACGCATAGTTTGAGCAACCTTTTTCAATCATGCCTTGTTCATCTTGGAGGTAGTAAGCATCTTTCCTCGAGTACGAGGTGAAGAACGCGATAATGAATGCGGCTTCAATCGAGGCTTTGACTTCCACACGAAGCTCTTATTCACTTTATTCTGACCCTTGTATAATTCTATTACTTTCATTTTGATGCCTCAATGCCGGAGGAAATCACTTCCTTCACCCTGCTTCGGAAGGCAGTACTCGATCGTTTTACCAAAACAGGTTTCACTTTAATTAACTTTCGCAGTGCAAGCCGATGGAGTCACCTGCGGTGTACTGTGCCTGCGACACAGCCGGTTCTTCGCAGAATGTGTGCGATGAGTGGTGGGGGGGACTGACACATCAGCGAAGAAAGATCACACAAGAGGTCGCGGTTGCGTTCGACCCGCCTCCCAGCCTCAAAGGAAACACCTCCAAAGACGCAGAAGAAGAAGGGACACAAGTAGCGAGGCACGCCGACACCGCTCCACAGAACATGCTTCGCCTTCATGCCATGCACCGCCGCCGCCTCTACAAGCAGTACGCGCTCGATCTCTCCTACCTGGCGGACACGCATGCCTATTACCAGCTAATGATGTGGTGCCACGACCACCACGTTTTCATCCACCCGAGTGTGGAGATGACGCGTCACCGCACCGCGTATCGCGAGCACGTTTTTCGCGTCAAGGCGGACGTGGCGCCGTACACGCCGCTGCTCGCCATCCCTGAGAACTTGGTCATCGGCTTCAAGGACGCCAACACGGAGGCCGGCAGCGACGGGGCAGACGGGGATGACCGCAACAACCTGTACGACGCCAAGCGCGAGGCGGAGTTCCACAAGCTGAACACCGGCGACAACGCCGACACCGACATCTGTCAGTTCTTCTTCGCCTCGCTTGGGATGATCGTATCGGATCTGATCACTGCGCGGAGTAGTCCGCTGACGGACCCGCGCTTCCTCTTTGCCGAGTTGCTGGGGAAGGTCTCGACGCTGCAGAATGCGCCGTACTTCGAGGACGACGTCGTCTTCGACCCGAACGAGCCCGGCCTCGCGGACATTCTGTTGCAGATGATTCGCAACTACGTGAACGGCGGCCCGCTCGTGAACAAAGTCCCGCCCGATGACCTGCGGTGGGCGGTGAGTTTGTCCCTGTCCCACTCGACGCCGCTGTCCATCGGCGCGGTGCGCTCGATCGGAATCGTGCCCGTGGTGCACCTCTTCCCGCACGGCGGCACGGCCACCAACACCTACATCGTGGCCCGAACCGCACGCGACCGCTGCGCGGAGAAGATGAACGCCTTCTTTCGCCACACCTTCCACTACGACTTTCAGGCGCAAGCGGCGGGCAAGTGGATCTTCGTGGTGCCAGAGCGCGCGTTAAAGGCGGGGGAGGAGATTTGCCTGCAGGCAATGGCGCCGGTCTGCGAGAAAGACAGCGAGGCGGCGCAGATGTGGCGGCTGTCCTGCGGTACAGCGCCTGAGTCGTATCTGAGCAGCGCGGATGTGTACGCCCGTCAGGCGGCGGTGACAGACGCTGTTATCCGTCAAGGTGAGGCGCTCTGGAAGGCTGATCGAGCCGCTGGTGGTCTGTGCAGTTGAGCAGACGGGGAGGTTTTTATGTTGTTGTTTGCATTTCTTGCTCGTCCGCTGTTTGTGATTCTGCTACTGAAGTGCGAAAGGCTGGTTGCGGTGCGTCCTGCGTTGTCTTCCGCCACTGCGTGAAGACGTACTTTATCATTGTATAAAGAAACATATGATAAATCCTTCGCATTACCCCATAAAGAAAAAGATGGCAGCAATATGGTAAAAGGAGAACGAAGCTGTCTTTGGCTTCAATACAACTATTTCTGTTGTTGTGACGGCGCTGTTGAAAACATCTCCGTTATTGTTAGGAACGATACTGCGCCTGTTTTCTTTCTTCTCACCATTATTTTGGCTTTCTCCGCGTTCTCTTGTCTACCCTGCGCTTTCCTTCGCGTCTTCGTTGACCTCGCTTACACGTACCAAAAAGAGGAGGGCAGCGTTTGCGGTCGACACAAATTTAGGCGGGCATCTGGGCCGGCTAGTATTACCACTACCATTGCTGTTGAAATCGTGGAACTGCAGCCGTTGAGACTGCTGCTTTCCTTTCTACTCCTTCTCGACGTCGCTTTGTCTAGTTGTTTGTTTGTATTTTTCATAATTACCCCCGATGAGTCGGAACCACCGGTCAGATCGAAAGGAGCGCCGCCGCAGTCACCGCGACCGCGACACTCACCGCGACCGTGACCGTGACCGTGATCGTGACCATGATCGCAAGCGCCACCGCAGCCGCAGCCCTGATCACAAGCGCACGCGCAGCCGCCCCTCAGAGCACCGCAAGCGCAGCAACAAGCGTCGGTCCTCCTCGAATCCCGAGAAGCCGCCGGTCCCGCGCGACTTTCACTGCCACATCTGCGGCAAGAACCATTGGACGATCGACTGCGAACTGTTAAAGCAGCACCCAGGCAACTACCCCATGATGGACGCGGAACTCGGCTGCTGGCAGTGCGCGCAGCGCGGTCACAACGCCTCGCAGTGCCGGATAAAGAGGTATTTGTGCCGCGATTGTGGCGGCATGCACGACACGCGCGACTGTGTCTACTCGCACATCGGTGAGGACTGGTACGAGTTCTACGACTCCAGCACGCGGCACGTGTACTACGTCAACTCTGATGAGTCGGAGGTGCAATGGGGTCCGCCGACGCATCAGCTGGACACCGTCTACTGGTACTGCTCACACTGCAAAGTTATGATTCCGGCGAAGCACCGGGAGTGTTTGTTGTGCCACGCAATTCGTCCGACCTCAAAGGCGGAAGCCGCGGACCCGACTGATTCTGATTCAGACGCGGGTGGCGACAGCAGCAGCAGCAGTAGCAGTAGTACGAGCACCAGTAGCAGCAGCAGCAGCAGCAGCAGTCTTAGCGGTTGGAGTTCAGTTAGCAGCAGCAGCGATGACTCCGACGGCGACAATGATGATGACACGATCGGTCAGAGTTCTACCAAGAAGGATAAGACAGAGCTCTCCAAATGCGCATAGACGCACCGAAGAGAAACGAGCTGCGATCTTCTACTTTTGTTTCTGTCGCTATGCGCTCTCGCCGATGCGATGCGGTGTTTTGAACTAACGTGTACGTTTAACTTTAACTTCGCAGTCTGCGCTGCGATTTCATGGAGTAATGAGACTGCTGCATAGCAGCCGAGTCTAGCGGACATTATTAAAATGAGCAAGGAAGTAACAGATACGTGTTGAAGGCGAGAGCTTAAAAAGCAGAGATGAATATGCATTTGCTTTTAGATTACTATTAATAATGCATCTGATAACAATGCCCTCATCTTTCTCTTCTTCAGTGATTGAAAATAAAGCGTCGCGAAAGTGCTGCTTCACTGCTCCAGCCTTTGTACCTCTTCTCATCTGTCCTCGATTTCTTTCTCGCGGACGCATTTTCACCTCCCTCTTCTTTATCGTTTCTATTGGGCTTTTTAAGAGCTATACGAATAAAATCGAGCATCATTTGATATTCATTTTGCTGTGCAGGTGCATCTCGATTCTGTCACCTGCGAACGCACACGCAGGAAAGGGAAAAGAAACTGAAATCATGCCCCTTAAAGACAAAAGCGACCGTGGGCCGGTGGGCGTCTTGCCATATCGCCGCCCACCGCTTTCCGGGCTCTATCGATTGCGCTACCGCCCACCTGTGTCGGTGACTTCAGCGTCGTCCTACGCTCCGCTCTCCACGACGCCGGACACTGAGGCTGAGGAGAATGTGCAGGCAGCAAAGTGCACAGCCGCGTCGGAGAATCCGTTGCCGTCATTTCAAGGCGAGCTCAACCCGTCCGCCTCTGCCGAAGAGCGTCGTCGTCAGCTTCACACACAAATCATGCACTCTCGCTCGCTAGAAGACGGCAACGTCGATCTCTTTGCGCTCTACTCGATCTGCGACGCTGAGCCTGTTCCATGCGCGCAGTGCTCCCTGCACATGGACACGACTCTGAAAACATGCTCCTATCGCCTACGAGAGACGTATACGCTGCTTTCCAACTCGAAAACGCAGCAGCACATAAATCAGATCCAGGGTAAGGAAGAAGGGGCGGTGTCTGCTCCTCCACAGAGTTCAGCGCATGGCGGCTCGACGCTGCTTACGCAGCTACAGGAAGGCTGGTACGCGTTCCTTTTCCCCATGAGCGAGTGTGGGCGGCTGAAGGACAACCTACTTATCTGCGTCAACGACACGCTTTTCGCGGGTGATGTAGCGGAATGCGACTTCGACAACGGTGGCGTGCTGCGTCCGCTTCAGAAAACGGCGCCCTTCCCACACGCATCGTCTTTAGTGTCATCGAGGCCTCCTTACGGCACCACCCCTTTTGGGCTACCACAGCCAACAAAGGCACCAGCAGAGGGCGGCCAGCAGGGCACGAAGGCTTCGACGGATGCTACTTCTCCTCATTATCGCACGAAGCCACTCTTCTACTATGTGGTAAGTCCCATCGTGATTCACAGTGGAAAGCCAGGGGCCGAAGACGGCGTTGCGCCAACGGAGGTGGTGATTACCATTTCATGGCGCAGCTATCCTTCCGCACAGTTGTCGTCGCAGGCACGGCAAAGGAGTAAGTTTACGCTCCTCTACTCATATTACTGCTCCCCGCGTGCACCGGACACGCTTACGTGTCGAGCGCAGTTTCCAACGGACGCGCGTCTGCGTCTCGTTCGCAGCCCCAACTGTGACGGCCCCGTGCAGTTGAAGAGCGAGGTGACGGAGCACTCGGCCAAGTTGTGCGTGGAAACGGTAGACGGCTCCACTCTCGAAGCGCACCGGCACCCGAGAGATTACATCTTTCAAATCTGCTTCTACTTTGGCAACTACACAGGTCTGATGGAGGAGACAAGCTGGTTCGCCGCGCTCATCGTCGCTGCGGCCTTTTTGATTCTACTGTGGTTCTTCCTCACGAAGGACCTCGTGATATGAGCTACGCACCTCTGTACTGCTTCAGTGACGGGTTAGGTACGCAGTCAGATCTGCCCTCCCCCACCCCGCCATTGGGCGTACGCAAGCAAACATGTACGTCCACAGCGCGTTTCCGATGGCTGATGTCCGCTGTACCTCGCTACCGAAATACGCATCCTCTTTTCGTTCTTACATTGTCGCATCGATTCACCACACGTCATATTTTAAACACTCAAAGAAAGAAAAAAAAGCAAAGGAGGAAACCGTAGTGCCGACGCTGTTTCGCTCCCTATTCAAAAGCGCTGATTTAGGAAGGACGCTGAGCGTCGGTGGCGCGTGGTGCGCGTCGCCAAAGCTTCTCTTTTATTACTATACATGTATCTATTGTTTGTGCGTTGGCCGCCGTTTGTTTTCTCCTCTTCTCTCTGCGGACCACTTCTCTTTCGTCTCGTCTCGTCTCCCTTCCCCTCCTCTTTTTGTCCTCGCTTCAACAAAGGGGCCGATGAACCACCGAGACGCTTCTCGCCTTCCGGCCAAGCCGCCGATGACGCGGCGTGGCTCCAACACGTATGGCACCACGACGGCGACGGCATCAAATTTGCCGAGCGCGGCGACAACGTACTCTCGCGATGCGCTAGATAGGGATTTGGTGGAGGGCTTTCGAGGCCAGCAGAAGGCGGCGAGAGATCGACAAGTGGAGCACCTGACGCTGGCCAAAGGTCTCGGCGAGCTCGCCGTCGCCTCGCTGAAAGAGGGCACTTACCACCCACGCAAGGCTCTTCCACCGTTAAAGCCGGAGGAGAAGAAAATGTTTGAGAGGATGGACCTTAAAGACTGGCGCACCGCACGGCAAGCAGGTTTTGGCGGGAAGGAGAAGGAAGACAAGGACCGCACGTCAGCCCTCAACGCGGCTACTATCTCCGCCGAGGTGGACACACACGAAGGCGCTGCCGAGGTAGAGGCGGAGGACGAGGAAGATGATGCCGCACGCGCTGCGGTGATGACGTCCTCCCTCGCTTCCTCCGCGTCGTCGGAGGAGCTGCGGGAGAACTGCCCCGGAGACCTGGGGACCTTCCTAAAGCACCTCCGCTCCACTCACCGGGCCACCAACTCCTTCAGCGACGGCCGAGTGGAGGTGGAAGAGAACATCAACATTGTCGAAGAGGCGCTCTCGCACCAGTGCAGCCCGCTGGACTTCGCCACGTTGCTCGATGCCATCTCGCGTGCGCTGGAGGTGATGGAGCGGGGCCACCTGGACGAAGATCTGTGCGTGCCGGACTGCCACGAAGTCGAAGAAGAAGAAGGGAAAAGAGCGGAGGAAGGCGCTCAGGATCATGTGAAAGACCACGTTTCCCCATCGCCAGCAGCAGCCGCAAAAGCAGGCTCCACCACGGCTCCCTCACCCAGCACGGTTGCATCGAAAGTAGAGAACATTGTGTTGCACGGCGCGTTAGAGGTTGAGGCGTACACGCGGGAGTGTTTGCTCCCGAAAGCCTACAAAGCCATTGCCATCGCCCACTCTGCGGAGTGGATGCTGCAGTACACGATGGCCTTCATGCGCACCGCCGAGGCCGTGGACGCGACGGAGGCGGAGAAGCGGCTTGTGCTCCTCGGCCGCTGCGTGCGTCTCCTCGGCGACACAGAGAACTTTTCCTCTGTTCTTCTGTCACTGGAGGCGAAGAGTGAGGAGTACGCGGGCTTTGTTGCCCTGAAGGAGATCGCCGAGACACACTTGTGGTCGATGCTGGACGAGGCGGAGAGCTCGCTGGACGCCATCCTGGGTCTGCCCTTCCCTGCGCGCCGCAGCCGCCTACTGCTGATCGAGTGGGGGATGCAGAAGAAGTTGCAGCGTGCGCTGCTGCTGCTCAATGAAATCGACTACAGTTGGACCCCCACCGCGTACTTCCACTGGGCGTGGAAGGTGCAGTTTATCAGCTCCACCTTCCAACGCATTCACGGCGGTATTGCCCACAAGTACATGCGGTGCAGCATGGGCTTCATTGATGATAGCCTCTACGACCAGGTGACCGACACTCGCATCACGGGGCGGTACATGGGGGCGTCGCCCATCCAGCCGAAGGTGGCGCGTGCCCGGCAGGTGGAGTACGAGAAGGTCACAGAAGGACTGACGCTGCAGCAAATCGGCATGACGGTGAAGGGCGTAGCGAGTCTTGTCGTGGGCGAGCAGGTATGCATGGGGGCGCGGTACATGGTGCGACAGTCCACGAAAGATTTCGACGCCGCCTGGGGCTTCCACATGGATGAAGTGAGCAACGCACCGACGGAGGAAGACCTGCAGAAGAAGGTGGCGAAGCTGGCGGCGAAGGCGAAGCTCCAATACACTGGTCGAGCAGCGCGTGAGAGGACGCAGCCGTCCACCACGTTCCTGACGCAGGAACAGTGACAGACTGTTTTCTTGCGGTACAGTTTATTATTATTATTACTAATACTATTGCCGTTTTATATTTGCACTGATATGTATATTATTAGCCTCTATATGACCTGCCTCTTTTCCAGGCTTCCAACTACTGAAAGAAGCAAAGCAGAAAAAAAAATGTGTATCGAATTGACCAAACGTGACGAGTGCGTGGCTGAAATAATGTTGGCGCCGCTCATGATGTTGTCATGCGTGACACGTGCTCAAAATCGGTGTTCTACTTTGCATCATCAAGAATTTGTGTTGGTGCGGCATTGGTTTCATCGTTCCTCTTTCTATCTGTCCGTTATCACTATTATTATTGTTGTTGTTGTGTGAGTGCTTTTCGGATGTTATTGTTGCTGCAAGATGACGACCCCGCCTGAGTTCCTTTAATAACGCTTCCCGTCGCTGTTGCTGCTTTAAATATCTATTTCTTTTGTTAACAACAAGAAGGCCAACGTATTGCGCCGTAAACCGCCACGAGCTACGTCAACACTTTGGATCTATTTTGTATTAAGGATCCCCTCATACAACTCACACAGCATAGAGCGTACTCTTTTTTTTTTCTTCTCGAAAACAAAGAGTATTGACCGTCGATCAGACGTAGAGGTACGAGTAGAATACATATACGTATTATGTTAACAGCCGTGTTTGAATGCGCCTTGATTTTGGAGAATGACATCAATTCATGACGGCGGCGGCGCGGGGCCGACAAGGTGCATCTACGTCCTCTCCGACGTGGACGGCTACAGGTACAAGTTAGTCGTGCAAGGTGAAGTGCTAACACTCACGGCGAAGCGAATCAAAAGATATCTGCAGAAGGCCACCGGGATACCGCCGCAGCAACAGCTTCTCTCGTTCAACGGTGCCGCCTTGCGAGATGACGTTAGTGGCGAGGATGCCGGTCTCTTCGATGGAGCAATTCTGCGTCTCCAGCAGGTAGCATCTGACTCCCATCGACTCCACAACGGCAGCGGCGGTGCACAGGTGTACGAAGACTCGCCGAATTCAGACAATGCGCCGGCGGACGGATCGCGGCAAACCCCAACGCGACGCGCTGACCACCACGCCGATGAACCAACGTGGCGTCCCACCTCTCCGCTGCGCCGTGATTCACTCCTTTTAGGCACTGTGCGGCAGTCCGGCGCCCCTGTCGCGACAACAGCAGCAGCTTCCTCCGCTGCTCTGACTGCCACGCACTCCCCACCAATACAGCCGAGATGCGCAGAGAACGCCCGGGATGGCACTGCACAGTTTCGAGCGCGGTCCTTCACGCAGCAGTCATCGTTCCCTGCCTCCTCTCCTCAACTAGCTTCTGCCGTCCTACCAACCGGGTATGCAAACAATGTGCACCCATGCGTCGAACACCGTCATCAGCACCGGCTCCACCATGACCCATGGACCCCCACCGAGGACCTTGAAACAGAAAAGGACATGGGACCCACGGCTTACGGTGGTGCCCAGGCGTACTGTCACAACATGGAAGCGAAGGTCGCCGCCCTATCCATTGAAAACGTCCGCCTGCGAGAACAGCTGCAGCTGGTCGCGCGCCAGGCCGCCGACGCCCACGCAGACTGGAAGCAAGAAGAAGAAGTCGCTCGTCTCAAAACGGCGCTGACGGCTTCGAAAAGAGGCATTGTTGAAGCGGAGCAGGCCGCTGCACAGCGCTGGCGCGTGAAGGAAGAAGAGCTCGTCAGAGAGCTCGACCTCTTGCGAGGGGAACGGCGCCAACTGCAAGAGGACTCGTCAGGGCAGGAAGCAAAGCTGCAGGAACTCTTGCATTCCATGGAAGGCGAGATACGCAGCCTCAAGTACGAATTACACGAGAAGGACGAAGCGTTACTCTCCACTCGACTGGCTTTGGCTGACTTACAAGGGCAGCTGAGCCAACGAAAGAGGGAGGTTCTCCCTGAGAATGGGAGACTGCTGCACAACCAACAGGAAGAGGAATCGGGGTTGCCTTCGCACACGACGCTCTGCCCTCTCTTGGACAGCATCGACGTGCTAACAGAGGAAGCGCTCAGTCATCTCTCGTACTTTCTTTCGACGCCCGCGCCGCTGCAGCTGGATCCGGCGAATGACACCTGCACCTTGCCCGTCTCTGACACACTGAACATGCTGGTGACGCTGGATCGCGAAGCGGAGCATCTGTACCTGTACGTGGCGCTGCTAAACGGACTGCCCACCTCTCCTGTGCAGCGAATGCGGGTCTACGAGATGCTCTTGCAAGGGGCGTTGCTTGGAAAGGACATGGCTGGGGGAGGCGTCGGCCTGAGCATGGAGTCGAATCTGGTTTTGATGAGCACCTCTGCCGACTTGCGCCACAACGGCGCGCTTGCATTGGCTGCCGCAGCGCCATCGTTTGTAGAGTCTGCCAAGGTGTGGGCAGAACGGCTCGACGCCTTTTTTGCGTGATTGACTGCTGCACATGGAGTCTTCTCCTCAGCGCTGAAGCGGGTTGGCTGGCGCGGCTTCCTTGCTGCGGTGTTACCCCTCCCATTCCCTGTTGGAACCTGTGCGTCTGCTCCACTAGAGTTGCATGCTGCGCGTACTCCACCTTGGACATTAAAGAAAAGTTTTCTTCTGAAGGGACCGAGCACGAAACACACCAAAATAAATGCTTGTTGCACAGAGCCAAATGGCACGCGTCTCACACAAACGAAAACTGGATATTTCCGTACGTCACTTCTTCCCTTGCTTGTGTCTTTCGGTTTGACCATATAGCCTGCTCTCTCTCATCGGCTGTTTTACGACTTCAAAAAAAAAAATGTATCACTCTGTCCTCTCTCCCTTTCTTCTGCGTACGCACCGTGCTTACTTCTCTTTTCCTTTGCACAGCAAAGAAACAGCGGAGCCTTTCCCGAAGTAGATTTCAAGTGAAGGAAGGGCGTTGGCAGGGACTGCGGACATAGGGAAATACAAAACTGGTCTCTTCTCTTCTGCTGGACGAGCTCCTCGCACTGTTGTGGCGACGTCTTGCTTGGTGGCCGCATTTTGTGTTGCGTACTTGCTTGCGGGGCCCTTTTGCATATTACCAACGCGGTTTTCACTACTAGTATTACTGAAGTGCCACACAGCTCTGTCGTTTTCTCCTTCTTTTTTTCGCAATTAGGAACTGTGCTCTATAGAAACAATATGTCGAACCTTTCAACATCCACGACAAGGGTGTTCTTTGTCGGTGGCTTGCCATACTCCGTTGACGAAAACGTGAGCACCGCCGCGATTGAATCGCTCAGCTTTATCGAGCTGCCTCGCCTTCCTATCTCCTCCAGCGGCACAACCAGCGAAGGGGGTGCCGGAGACGCACGTCCTCTCGTGTCGCCAGTGCTGCATTTGGGCCGTCAGAGTCCCCTGCTCCGCAACTCTCTGAAGAATGACCGGCGTTGGTCTCGCAAGCTTCTCGAAGTGACGACATGGTGCATTCACGGCCTCCCGACCGGCGACAAGGTGTACCCTATCGATGCGGCTGCTTTGCCGTTTGCCGGCGTGCGCGTTCGCCTCTGCGGGACGGGAGGCGCTGTTCGAGTTATTCCGCGGCGCAGTTCAGAGCAGCGCTGCGTCACGGCGTTGTCGGTGGTGGGTGCGTGGGCGTGGCTGCAGCACGGCGATGCATTGGATTTTGAGGGCGGCCTTCAGCTGCGCTTCTTGGCGGTCCACGTGCGGGCTGGCCCGGTCAGCGCGCTGGCGCAAAAGGCGTCGTTCGTCTGGGTGCGGCCAAACGTGGCGGCGGGGTCGGCGACGCCGGTGGCAATGTGGGCGTCGCGATACTCAAACTGGTCGGCCGTTCCAGTTTTTCTCAAAGCGAAGATGCTAATGGAGGCGGCAGTGTTGGTGCAACAGGCGACTCTGCGGGAGAAGGCGCAGATGCAAGAAAGCGTCACGGGGACCGGGGCCCCGTCCCCGATAGCAAGCGAACGCGCACTTCCGCTGCCACGCTGTGAGGGCACTGATGCGCGAGATGAACGGGCGGGAAGTCCGTTGCGTGCACCGCCGTCATTGGAAGACGCAGTGAATCTTTCTCGCGGGGGGGACATCCACCACAACAGCCTCCTCCGCCGATACAGCAACAGCAGCGAAGCACGGCAGGACGCGTGCATGGCGGCGGACGAGGCGGATGAAGAAGCGGCCACGCCGACTTCAGAGTCCCAGCAGCGTCAGCGACAGCGTCCACTGTCCCTTTACGCAGCGCCGAACTCACCGCCGGTGTTCCACGACCGGGAGCAGACACGGTCTGCTCCTGATGTCGTTGGCGCTGTGTTCGGCGGACGCATGGCGGTGCAGCGGCCGCAGTCCGCTTCACCAAGTAGATCGTCCCCACCCCGGCACGCAGCCGGATTGGGGCTGCAGCAGCGGCTCACGGGCCCGTCAATGGGCACGCGTGGCAACGTGCTCCGCTACAGCTTTGCCACCTTCTCCGAATCCATGGACGACAAGTTGCTCGAGGCGCTGCAGAACTTGGAAAATGGAGGGACGGAAGTCGGCGATGTGCTGGTGCAGCGGCAGCAACGCGAACCAGCAGTGCTGCTCGGCGCAATGGAAGACGAGTTGAGCGGGCCGCGTTCGACCTCTGCGGAGCAGGTGGCGTCGCATCTGCGTACAACACTCCCCACCCGTGGGCACGGACAGGAAGGACGGGGGAGGAGTGGTGCGCCGCAGCGGTCTCGGCGTACCACCAAACAGGGAAGTCGTGGCAAGACGGCGGACGACAGCGGGGTGCACGGGCGCCGCTCCGGTAGTCGAAAGAGCGCTGGCGGCGACGTGGGCGGCGAGTTGATGTCGTCGCTCTCGCAGCCGCTACGGCGAGAAGGCGAAGGGGACGATGCTGTTACTGTTCCGCTCTTGACGCGAGCTGATATCAAGCGACTACCGGTGAACCAGTATGCAGAGGAAGACTCACAGGTTGTGTTTTTTGATCATTAGAGTTGTAGATGCGTGATGACGCCGCATCTTAGACGGCGGCCACACTTATGCTTGAACTGCTTTCTTTTTTCCTTTTTAAACTACTTGTACGTATCTTAATTACCGTAACTGATGCTAGTCTGTGCTGTGGTGTGTAACACGCGGAAATAACCGTTCATCTAAGGTGTCTTCCTCGTACAGGATGAACTCACGCGTATCTTTCGGCGTTCGCGCTTGCGGCTGCTGCCCGTCGCGCTTGAAAACCCCGTTGGAGAGTTTTCTCTTCGTACTGGATCAACCCGCGTTCTTAATGCGCGCGTGTTGATGGGCGAAGCAACGACTTCATTCCCTTCTGCTTCTACGCGAAGCTCGCGTCCTCCTGCAGCGGAGCAATGAAAAGGGGAAAAAGAACCATCTTTCCTTTTCGATAGCGGTGCCGGCGCTGTTGTTTCTCGTCTTCTTTGTCTTGTGTCCAAAGCCAATGAAATGGCTACTCCGTGCCCTCTGCAACTTCGATTGTTTTCTTCACCTGATCATTTCCTCCTCTTCCATGTTTGCTCTCTCCACCTCTGTCTCTCTCCTTCTGTCTCCCTTTGCTCTTCACCACAAACGCCAGCAACGATCTTTTTTTGTTGTTTCTTAACGAAGAGTGCTTTGCATGAATAGAAGACGCATCGTGGCACAACACGTTGACGCAGGAAAGCTTAGCCCAACATAAGCTGACCTGTGCACCGTCACTATTCGCGCCTTGTAGTTTGTTTCACCTCCTTTAAATAGTAGTAGTGTTTCTTAACTAACCAATCGGTTGACGTGCCGCTCGTGGTTTTCTGTTGTCTGGTGTCTGTGTTTACGTGGGAGCGCGCTGCACAGACAACATAACGAAGAAGAGCGGAGCAGCTAGCGCATTTGGAAAACAAAAATAGCGGTTGTGTAGAAGAGCGGGTCTGATTGCTCACGGTGCCGTGTGTCCAAAGGAACGAGGTACCATCAGCATCCACGACGCCGTCTCCTTTTGGGTGGTATTGCCCTTTTTTTCCCTTAACTGCGTCTTTTCCGTAACTTGACGAACCGTTTGGGTCTCACGGACACTCGACGTGCATTTGGCTGCCGTAATTTCTCTTTGATTAGCGCCGAAGCGGCTTTTTCTTTTTGGTTGTTGTTGTTGGATTCTTTCTCCTTCTCCTTTTGGGTCGACGACGGTGTTCGTGACTTCGGGAACACACACACACAAAACGAACTGGCTGCAACGCACAGAAGAAGAAAGTGTTGACGACGCGGCAGGAGACTGTAATTGGACGGGGATTGCGTACATACATACACACACACGAGCGAAGGCAACACCATCAAACGAACGGAAAGTATACCCAAACGACTGAGAGCTGAGTAAAAGCAAAAAAAACAAACAAATGTTTCGTGTGTTCTCCGGCAGCTGCATGTCCCTTGAGGACATGGACACGGTGCTGCGACCAAATCTAGTGGAGCACCCCCACGTCCTAGGCCCTGGTGCCGACTTCTTCACGGAAGCCGGTGAGCCGGTGCGTCCGCAACCGTGCGCGCAAACGTTTCAGAAGGTCTTCTCTGGAAGCGCGTTAGACCTCAACGCGGGCAATGCCGACCTCTCCGACGAAGAGGCAGGCGTGACGAGCCCGGTGGGGCAGCCACAGCGCATCATACCTCCTAGCAGCATCCTCAATCAGATCTCCTCTGAAAACGAGAAGGAGAAGGCGCGTGCGGCGAAGATGAAGATCCACGTGTTGGTGATTGGCGAGAGCGGATACTTAGCGAGTCACGTCGTCACGAGGCTGCTCGATGCGGGGTACAGCGTGCGCATGACGGTGCCGGACGCGGCGCGGCATCAGAAGCTGATGGACCTCTACAGCGCCAACCGGGATGTCGCGCAGCGCCTGGCGATCGTCCTTGCGGACGTCACCAACTCCAACTCCCTGCGTGATGTGATTCGCGGCTGCCGCTACATCATTCACTGCGGCTGCTCTAGTGCCTCCTCGCAAGCAAAGGACCCCGTCGGCCTCTACACAAAGGCGGTTCGTGCACTGTTCGACGGCATTCGACTCTCCGGTAAGTCAACGGTGAAACGTGTTGTGCTGACCGGTGCGGCGTCCTCGGTAATGCACATCACGGAGCCCGAGCCACCGTCCGGCCTCTTCGACGAGAACAGCTGGAACGGCGTCGCCACGGCCGAGGCGGATCCGCTGCCCTACGCGAAGCTGGTCTTTGAGCGGGAGGCGTGGCGGCTGCGAAAGATGATGGGCGTGGAGTTGGTTGTGCTGCTGCCCTCCATCTCTATCGGCCCCAGCCTGACGGACGAGACAAGTGAGGCAATGGTGACGATTGAGGGCCTCGCAAACTCGTCCAAGCTGTTCCCCTTCTGCCCCAACCTTAGCTGGAACTTTGTCGACGTCCGCGATGTCGCCGAGGCGCACGTGCGCGCGTTGGAGGTGCCCGAGGTGCGCGACCACCGCATCATCATCTCGAACGAGTGCGTAAGTCTGCCGGAGCTGTGCCGCACAATGAAGGAACTCTACCCGCAGCTCACACCGCCGACGCACACCGCCTGGACGGTGGTTACTCTCGCCATCGCCTCGGTGGTGCTGTGGAACAGCGTGAACATGCGTTTCCTGTGGCGCAGCCTGGGCGTGCGCAAGCGCCTCGATAACCGTCGCGCCCGGGAGGAGCTCGGTGTCGTCTTCACACCGATGCGTCAAACCTTGGGCGACTGCTTTGATCAGATGACGCGCACCGCGCAGGCGCAGCAGACGGCGACGGCGAATGCGCAGAAGACGGGCAATGGTACTACCGCTGCTGCTGGCGCGTTGCCTTCCCGATTTGTAAGCACGAAGGTCGTGGTGTCACTGATCACCGTTGCCGCCATCGGTGCTGGTGTTGTTCGTTACGTGAAAAGGCGGCACTGAGAATCTGACGGTGTGGATGTATTTGCATATCCTGCCTCTCTCTTTCTTTCTGCATTCTCCCCCGCACAAGCATGGACGGTGCAGTTGAATGCGTCACGTGCCGTCTATCCCCGTGTCTACTGAGCACTACGTGGTCGTTCAACGGCTTTGTGATTGTGTGTGTGTTTGGCTGCGACGGGTGTGTGATGGCACAGCATTGACCGCTTCTTACGTACTGTGCTTTTGCTTGTGCTGTTCTTTTTTTGTTTGTTTGTTTTCTTCTGTTGATCTTTCTGTTTTGCGTGTGTTGGCCCTTACTCGCTCGAGCCCTTTTCTCTTCTGTACCCCGCCAGCGTGAGAAACGAGACAGCAAATGTGTTAGCGCCGAAGGGAGAATTCTCCACCATCCAAAAGGGACTTCTTTCTTGTCTTCTTCTTTTTTCTTTTCGATTCTGATTCAGTGAAGGAACGGTTCGGGTATTTTTTTCTTCTTTTTCTTTGCTCCTACGTGGCTAAATCTATATACATGGTTTTTCAGATGTCTTCTGTGGGAATCCCCTGGAAGTACCGTCACACCGCTCCACTTTTCTTTGTTGTTGTTGTTGTTTCCGTTGCTTTGCTCTTTTTTCTTTTGCCTTTGAACCTTTTTCGTTTGTTCTCCGAACTGCTGTTTACTCTACCACGAAGGCGACGCGCCTTCAGTTATTTTGTTGATCCCTCTCTCTGTCGTTCACACACACACACACACACACACACACACCTGTTGTAGTCCATCTTCAGCGCAGGCTTTGTGGCGACGAAAGGAGTGGGAGAGACAGAGGAAGAAAAGAAACCCCAAAATAGTCCCAATTGTTCTCAGAACTGTGTGAATGTTCTGCACAACAACACGTATATATATATATATATATATATATCTTTGTTTACCTATACGACCGTTGTTTTTCTCTTTGCTGCCAAGTTTATGCTCCTTCTCGCGCGTACGCATTCATCTCCCCTCTGTTTGCCCGCGTTGGCAGCCGTGCATTGCGCGCGTTCAATTGTACGGCAGTGGGGTGCGTGAAAGGCGCCTTTTTCTTTTCTTTTTTGTCGTTTCGCAGCTGTCCACAAACTAGTGCGCTGCCACCGTGTCACTCTTTGATGAGTACGCTGAGCGGGTTCTGCACTGCGGTTCTTTCTTTTTTCTTTCAAGGTGGACGCTTTGTTTACGTGGCAGAGGCGTAGTTCGCTTGACGTGGAAGGCGTCTCCTTTTTGCTGAGAACGGAAACACTATTGTTGAGTTCAACGTGATATTTGTATGGTGAGGAAAATAACGTCTCTTCTACTTTCTAGAAGTTCTGTGTGTAGAGCTTTGTTCCTACCGCATCTTTTTTGTTAGTCTTTCGTGTTGATATGACTGCTGTTGAGACGATCGAAGGAGCTGAGGGGTCTCGAAGGAAAGAGAGCCGGAAACGTCACTTAAAGGTGACAACATGAAGAAGATGAATTGATTGCTTTCAACTTTCCGCCATCGAAACCGCAGTCATCCTGGATTACGCGCACCTTTTTTTTATGATTATTATTGAGTTCCGTTTTTCACGTGTTGATCACATCTCGATCTCTTCGTTTCTACTCATTTACCTTCTCACAGCAAAAGGGCGTAGGTCTCGTGGTTTGTGTGGTTTGTCGAGTTGTTTTGGTTCCCGCGCCGTTTTTGCCGCTAGGGTCGCTTTGTTTAGAAAAGCTCTTGTTGTTGTTGTTGCTTGTCTTGCATCTCTGTGCGTTGCCCAAACTCGGCAAAGACACTACTGAATCGCGCTCTCTCCCTTCTTCACGGCCTTGTTAAAAGACACCAGTGCATTCCGCGCCCTTGAAAACGAGACGGAGGTCGAAGCAAAGAACGGTGGAAAGGGGAAATTGCTTCAAGGTAACGTGTACGTAGTTTCCGCTGTTGCTGTCGCTGTATGGTTTCCGTCGTATTCTAGTATCAGTCTTTTTCTTTCTTGTGTTGTCACTACTATTACTACTACTATCACTGATATGTTTCTTTGTATCTTTTTAAGTAACTAACGCTTTGCACAAGGTCAAAAGAGAAACATTATATATCTACATATCTGTATGCAACCGAATCAGTGGTCGCGTGAACGGTGCATCTGCGGTTGCTTTGAAGACCGAGAAGAACAGCGTCAAGCAGAGAGAGAGAGAGAGAGAGCTCTTACAGCACGCTACAAAGAAAGCAGACAGAAAACGAAACCATTGCAAAACAAAACAAACTCTTTATGCGCTAAGCTAATGTAATAAGAACGCTTTATATAAATATTTCGGTTTTATTTTTCTTTTATTTCTCTTTTTCTTTTGGTGGCGACTCCCTTTCAATGCTCTCCATGGCCATTTGTATGTCTCTTTTCTTTCTTTCCTTCCTCTCTTTTTAATTCTTCGCTTTGAGGAACGACGACGTGTCCTCCTTTCCCGATGGCGTGTGCGTGCGTGCGTGCGCGTGTGTGTGTTTCTGTGGCTGTACAGGTTGTTAATTTGTTGGTATTGCTGTTGTTTCTGGTTCGTCATGTCACAGCACTGTATTAAATAAAACCAAAAGTATATCTCGGTAATATAACTCGAAATGCGGCTCGAGGGAATTCGTTCCTACGGATGCTGATGTGTGACAGTGAGGCACCCGCGACGGTTTTGGAGACTTCATCTTGGGTGAGCTTTCATATTATTATTGTCACTTTTCTCTTTCAGTGTTTCAGGACACTCTGCTGTTCTTGGCTACTATCGTGCTTGTGTTGTTGCTCGTGACTTTGCTATTTGCATCCTGTGCACTTGCGAACCCAAATGCGCCAGTGGCATTCTACGCGGCTGATGACAACGAAGTACAACAAAAAGGAACGCACTCCTCTCTCTCTCAAACAACCGCCTCATGAGGTCGGGGGAAGGGGGGGGGGGAGGGGAGAGAACAGATCGCATTTTTTTTCTTTCTCCGCTGACACGGCCATTTTATTCTTCTTGACTCCTTGTTTGTGTGTGTGTGTTTCGCGTTGAATTTACGTCGGTGCTTCCTTCGACGATGTTGCGCGTTGAAGTAAAAGAGGAAAAAGGAAAAGTTGAAACACACACCAACACAAGCATTGAAAGCATCAACGCAGCTTTACTTCATTACATCTCTTCTTTGCAGCTCAGGGTCGCAAGCAGTGAGCACGCACTACCAACGGATACAAATGGAGAAGGGGCGATAAGAGGCCACGAAGAGTTTTGCCAGGAAAAGAAAGCTGACTGTTTTTTTTCCGGTTCAACATGTGGGGTGGGTTGAAGAAGCGGACCCACTACGGAGATCTTTTTAGAAGATGGAGTGCCTCGCGTGGCCTGGAGGAGCTGCGCATCGCCCTGTATAAAGAGCCTCGTCCGTGGTACCTGGCCTACTCTCTGCACCAGCACAACCATCTTCTCCAGGACCACCACTGCGCGCGTCTTCTGGCGTGGTGCACGTCCATTGTGGAGCTGCAGCCGAGCCATACCGCGAAACAAGAGGCGTACCGGTACACGCAAGAGATGTTTCAACTTCTAATGCGCCACCACAAGGCCGGTGGAGAAACGTTAAACGAATACATGCGGCTCTGCGCCGTCGGGGCAGACCTCACGTCCGCCTTTGACTGGTTCAAGTACTGGCAGGAGGCCCAGCTAGATGGCTGGGCCGCCCTTGACACACTCACCTGGTTGCTCCAAGTGGCGCGTACAACACCCAGCGACGAACGCGCAGAGGATATGGCCTTGACGGTGATGGACCTGTACACCAGCCGTTTTGCAACGGTGCAGAAGGACCCTCAAGGCGGGAAAAGAGGAAGCTGCTCAGCTGCTGCAGAGACTTCGTCAACACCGCCGCCGTTTTTGCACTACGCGCCGACTTCTGCGAAAGACGTCGAGGCACTGCGACGCTTTTTTTCTACCTTTAAGGCACTTGAACCGCGTCTGCGACACAATGCGTTACTACGCAGTTTTTTGGACACGCTTCCGCCTTCCGTAGCGGAGGCAGAGGCGAACTGTGCTGCGTTTGGCTGGCCTGTGGAGAGCCCGCATCGTATCTTTCCTCAGCTGGAGCAGCACGTGCATATGTGTGCGTACACGCACGACGACAACTCCGTCCTCTACGCCTCCGCTTCACCTCCGCGTCTTCGTGACTCGCTACTGCACGACAACTATATTGCGAAGGTGGAGCGGAGCGCGGAGCGGCACAACGTCACGGATGTGGTCGCGCTGGTCGAGGAGTACGAGCGCCGTGTGACGGAGGAAAGGGATAAAACAAACGGCGAGCGAACACCGGCGCTCCGCAGGCGATCCGTCGAGGGTGAGCTGTGGCGCCGCTCGGCGGACCCCGGCGCTGTCGCCTATCGTCGGCGGCTCGTGGAGGGCGGCGGCATCCCGCCCGAACTCTATCACTACCTCATCACGGCGCTGGCCACGACGCAGCCGACTGCGGCGCTCCGCACGTTGGAGGGTATGGAGGCCGCCAACTTGCGTCCGCTCGACCTCACACGAGCTGCGGTGATCGTGGCGGTGCGCGACTCTACGGAAGACCAGCGTCGTCTCTTCCAGCGGCAGCTGGATGAAATCGACGCGCGAGCTCGTCTGGATGCGGACCATGACACCCACAAGGTGGTGGAGTCGTACTGGAAGTTCGACTACACGGAGTTCTTCTACCACCGTAACGCACTGAGCAGAGTGCAGTTTTACCTTTTCCTCATCGCCCGTCTTGGAGCTCAGGCGCTGCAGCAACTGCTGTTGGACACGCAGGTGCACGGTCCGCTGGCGACGGCGGAGGACCTTGTGGTGCTCGATGATGATCTTCGCCACGCGTCTCGGTTGTTCTTTCGATCGCGGGTTGGGCGTGGTCCGGTGCAGGCAGCGCTCGACGCGGTTAGTCACCACATGCCGAAACTTGATATCAGTCTCGTGGGGACGCTGCCGCATTTTGAGAATTACTTTGTGGAGGCGGCGGACGACATCGCACTCAGTGAAGGGGCGCTTCAGGCCCTCGTGCAGCCCTACGACACCATCTACGTGTTGGATGCCTCGTTTGTCGAAACGTCCGAGTCGTTTTTGAGCGTGGGTGGCACCTCTCGATCTCTCGTGTTGATTCCGTACCTTTCCCTTGCGCAGCTGGCCTCCTCCGTCTCAAACTCGGACACCTTCACATCCTTTGATCCAGCATTGCAACAGTCAATTCGAGCAGAGCCTTTCCTGGCTTCCCAGCGGCTGCGAGCGCTGTTTGCGATGCTCACCGCCAGTTCCGTCCGCGCCGCTTCCTCCACCACACAACACGGAAGCGGAGCAGAAAGCCCAGCCCGCATGCTCCACCGGCGAGCGCGTGTGCTGCACTTCACGGAGTGCCTGGTTGCGAACCAAGTCGAGCAAGAAGTACTGGACAGTCTCCACCTGTCACCGTCTACAGATGACAACGACCAGCTGCTGCTTGTACTCGCGATGCTGAGCTGTCTGAAGGAGTCCACGACACGACTGGTCCTCTGTACCGACGACACACAGCTGGTGGAGCGGCTGGAGGCGCTGCAAAACTCCGACCTCTTCGGCTCCGCGGTGGAGATCGTGAGCACGGCGCCGCCGGCGAACTTGGATTTGGAAAAGGACCTCGTTGACGACAACCCCGTATGGCGAGACGATCGCTGGCGTACGGCGGCGGGTTTCGAGCCTCGGCTGGACATCGCGGCGGCGCTTCCTCCACAGGACCCGTCCAGTGCCGATGCGATGGACCAGAGACGCACTGGAGATATTGGGTCTGCGCAGCCGCGGGAGCGACAAGGTGGGCAGGACTCCCCCTCCGCCGCCTCCGCTGCACAACCGCTGAGCCAGGCGTGCGCCAACGCTGAAAAGGACGGTGTTTCCTCGGATGTGAGCGAGGTGATGAACTCGCCGTGGCTGGCTTTACTGGAAGAGCAAGAGGGGGAGGGGGAGACGCAGATGAAGGGTGCCATGCGCAGCGGCACCGCTGCGTCTCCTCCTTCTGCGGCTGGTGCATCCACTCAAGCCGATGCGTCCACGGCGCAGCCCATAGCTTCCCCTTTGTTTGCTTCGTCTTCCTCGGTTGCCTCCACAGAAAGGGAGCAGGAGGTTCGTGATGAGCACATGGACCTGTACGAAACGCCCTTCGACGTTGTCCCGGTGGGGGTGCGGATGGCAGAAGCGTCGGCGCTTGGCTCCGTGTTCGCCGAGTTTGACTCGATGGACCCCGAGCAGCGAGCGGCCCGTGAAGCTGATCACGCGGCGGCTCGCTGCCGTCTTGCACCGGGTACCGGGGATGAGGGTGGAGCTTCCGGGCCGAGCCGGCGTCGTCGTCCGTCGATGCTAGAGCGGGAGATGCTGGCGAATCGTGGTTTTTCCAACAAGGACCGCTTCCTGATGGCACGGCGCCTGTCGAACAGAAGCGGAGGACGCGTGCCATTCAACATGCGGTACAGGGTGGTCGAGGCCAACGTGCGCGATCCGCGAAACGTGCACCTACGCAAGGTGTTCCAGGAGGGACTGAATAAGAAACGCGCAGCATTCAAGCGTCGACAAGGTTAGAGTGTGTACTCCCTTTCTGTTGTAGCAGATTTCAGCAGCAGCAGCAGCAGCAGCGCGCGTTGGGTATTGTGGAAATTGCGCGACCTCCTCTGCATTTTGTGTTTTCTTCTTCTTCACACTGTAAGTGCGTTTTTTTCCTTGGGCGCCACAGCAATAAGATTAACCCCCAAGTCAGAAAAAAGTTCCTCCTTTGTTTTAAAGAAATCGCGTTAATGAAGCTACAAGACTGAGCGGCATCGCCTCTGTGTTGCTTTCCATTCTCGCGCTCACTTGTGCACCTCACTCTATCAACGTTGACACAACCGACTGGTAAAGAGAAAAAGGATTTGCCACTGTGCCTCAGACACCTTTATTCTGGTGTCTCGCGCGTTTCAGTTCTTCAAAGCTCTCTCTTATTCTGCATTGGCTTTTGTGTGTGTGTGTTTGTAGTTTCAGCAGCGCCGCCGTAACACAGACGAGGACTCTTTCTTCGCGACAACAGATCAACACACGCATATACATCGTTATTCATCTTTTCTTTTTTCAGCGGAAAGGATGGCAGGTCCACTTGTCACTTCGTCTCCTCCGCAAGACGAGACTGGTGCGGCAAGCACAGTCGTTGACTGGTCCTACGTGCGGGCCCCACCGCCCCAGTCGTTCGATTACTTCACCGAGCGCTATTACCACCAGTACTGCATCCGCGACACGAAGAAAACGCCTGGCAACAACTGCAGAATCCTGCAGCACAGCAACGGCATGTGTGTGCTCTGCGTTGACAGCTCGCATGTCCTCGTGCAGAAGTGCGCGGCGGATCCGGCCACCACGGTGACCAAGGTGGAGTTCTTCAAGGGGCGCACGGCCATCACACCGGAGAGCATTCAGGTGGTGGGTAAGAAGAAGAAAAACGCGTTGGTGTGTCAGAACGACACCAAATTGTGCGGCATCGCACTCTCCGACGGCACGGAGTACACCATCCCGGCCTGCGTGAACGGCTTCGTGTTGGAGCTGAACGCGACGGTGATGGAGCAGCCGTGGGTGGTGGCTGCCGCCCCGACGACGGAGGGCTACTTGGCGGTGATTAACCCCACATCCAAGGCGGACTTTAGTGGGTACGACAAGGTGTGGACCGCCACTGGCGGCGACGCAGCTGGCGAGGAAGACGAATGAGGCCAGCGCGCAACTGCGTGTCAGTACGCGCACTTGAAAACGAAGCCGTATCGTTTTCCAGCGCTCTTCGTTTTTGTCCTTCTTTCTGGCGGTGCTGTTGTGAAAGAATGCCGCACCGAGTAAATCATAATAATGAAAAACAGAAGAATATGTCAAAAAGCAGCTTATGAATATCGGCATTGTCCCTCCGATCGGAACGGTGATGCGTGCGGCAGTGGAAGTTAATGCACGCAGCTCACCCTCCTTTGCTTTTCCCTATGAGTGTGCTTTTCACTATCCCTCCCTGTCCCTTCTCTTTTTAATTCCTCTTTACTCTCAAACCTCGAGCAAGGAAGTGTTGCTCTACACAGTATTAGTTAGACATAGAACGGAAAGAGCGTGCGCCACATCATATTTTGCTGCATCGCTCCCATCAATCAAATTGGTTTCAAGCTGCATTTGACATACTCTAGTTCGACAACATAAGAAACAACCCAAGACTTGCTTCCCAACGCGGCACTTCTTCCTTGGTTCTCTCCTCTCTTTTCCTTGCTCGTGTTATTCTGCGCTTCAAATACACCTTTTTTTTGGTATGTGAGTGTGTTTGAGTCCGATAGTTTGATTTCTTCCCGCTTGTGCCTTATGCGCGGACGGCGACGTCGTACTCTTAGTAGTGAGATGCGCCGCATCCGTTACAATGCCCTGAGCAGCAGCGACAACGATGCAGCGCGGAGCAACGAGGGGAACCCGTCCGTCTCGTCGAGCGGCATCCATACATCCCTCACAGGGCAGGACCTGGGCGGTCGATCAGACGTCGTGGTGAGCGCGCCGGCCTTCGCGACGAGCTCCGGTATGTCGCTGGTGCTCGCCATTCCGCCCCTGAAGAAGCGCAGCTTTCGGCGTTGGATGCGTGAGTTGCTGCACCTGCCGATTCCCCCGTCCACCGAAACGCGTCAGCTGCCGTTTGGGTACCTCCCCGGCGAGTGGGCCCCCGTCGGCTACCCCGGCAACGCTGTGAACAACCGCCGCTACACCCTCTTCACGTTTCTTCCGCTGGCGCTCGTGCACCAGTTCCAAAGTGTGTTTAATTTGTTCTACCTCTTTCTCGCGTTCTCGCAGTTCATCACGGTGCTCAAAGTTGGCTTCCTCTTCACGTACTTCTCCCCGCTCGTGATGGTTGTGTGCCTGTCGCTGCTGAAGGACGCACTGGATGAGTGGAAGCGTTTTCGCCGCGATCACGTCGCAAACGTGGAGGTGTACGAAAAGCTCACCCGTGGAGGCGAAATCTTGCCGGTGAAGTCGGCCGACATCCACGTCGGAGACCTTCTCCTCTTGCACCATGATCAACGTGTCCCGGCCGACTGCGTCGTTCTCCACACGTCGGAGAAGACGGGCACCACATTCATCCGAACCGATCAGCTGGATGGTGAGACGGACTGGAAGCTGCGGTATCCTCTGCGCACCACGAGAGGCCTGTCCTACGCGCTGCTAAGCCGGCTGCGGTTCAACCTCAGCTGTGACGTACCCCTCAAGGACATCTACAGTTTTGCCGGCACGTTAGACACCGCGAATGGGCAGACGGAGTCCATGACGATGGAGAATGTGCTCTGGACCTCCTGTGTGGTGGCCACGGGCACCGTAGTGGCCGCGGTGGTCTACACCGGCCGCGAAACACGCAGCGCGCTGAACTCCACAAATCCTCGCAACAAGTCCGGCCTTATCGAAAGCGAGCTCAACTGGCTTGCTGTGTTGTGCTTCTCCTTGCTGCTGCTCCTCTCCCTTTTGCTGGTGGCGCAGCAGGAGTTCCGCGGTGATGCGCCCGTGATGTTTATTCGCTTCTTTATTCTGCTCTCTGCGATTATTCCCATTTCGATGCGCGTAAACGTCGATGTGGGTCGGCTGTGGTACTCCTACGACATGTCCCACGACGACAAAATCCCCGGCACGGTGGCACGCAACACCGACCTGCCCGAGGAGCTGGGACGGCTGCGTTACCTCTTCTCCGACAAGACCGGCACCTTGACAAAGAACAAGATGGAGTTCCGCGTCATGCAGGTGGGACCCGACACGGTGCTATCGGACCGCGACACAGACCGCCTGTCCTTCGCAGCGCAGGAATTCTTTGGCGCGACCGCGGCAGAGAACAACGACGGCCGTCACCCGCCCCCTTCACCTCCGACGGCGGGTGCCGCTGCCTACGGCTCGAATCGGTTTGGCGGTGGCACCAATGCGAAGCAGTGGGCTCGCGACGTGCAGACCGTGGGGGAGCTGATTAAAACGATCGTTCTGTGCCACAACGTGAGTCCCGTGCTGGAGGAGGAGTTTGTGGATCTGGCCGGCGACATCGACGGCGCACCTGCCACCACCACGTCATTGTCCTCCCCTCCGCCGCCGCGGGTGATGAACGACGCCCCATTGGACTATCAAGCGTCGTCGCCAGATGAAGTCGCCCTCGTCAAGTTCTGCTGTTCTCTCGGGGTCGTTCTCACCCACCGCGACCTCACCAGCATGGCGTTTACGGTGGGTGCGGCGGCCCAGCTGCACACCTGCGCAATCGTCAAAATGTTTCCCTTCTCGTCGGAGCGCAAGTGCATGGGAATCATTCTACGCGAGCGGAACAGCAGCACCAACAACAACGGAGGTGGGCAGGAGAGCATCAAGTTCTACATGAAGGGTGCTGATATGAAGATGGCCTCTGTCGTGCGGCAGTCTGAGTGGCTGGAGGAGTGCTGCCAGGAGCTGGCGCAGATGGGTCTGCGCACGCTGGTCTTTGCGAGTCGCGTGCTGAGTGAAGAGCTGCTGGCTCGCTTTTTGCACGAGTACGAGGCCGCCATGGGCGTTCTCGGCGAGGGCCGCACTGACGCGATCGAGTCGTCGATGCGCCTGATAGAAACGGACATGACGCTTGTCGGGGTTACCGGGGTGGAGGACGAGCTGCAGGACGACGTCGCTGTCTGCCTGGAGTCACTGGGCATGTGCGGCATCAAAGTGTGGATGCTCACCGGCGACAAGGTGGAGACTGCCACGACGATCGGCCGCTCCACTCGACTCATCCCACGGCACTGCCGCGTCGAGTACTTGTGCGGGATGTCGCCGCCTGACATCGGCCGACGTCTGCACGAGCTGCGCGAGGAGTTCCGCTGGGGCGTGACGGGGGGCGGGGTGGTGCCACGGTGGGTCCTCGTGCTGGATGGCAACGCCCTGGCCTACTGCCTCACCTACGCCCCGTTCTTTGCTGAGGTGGCCCGGACGGCGTACTCGGTGATCGTTGCGCGGTGCTCGCCGACGCAGAAGGCGGCCGCAGTGAAGATGATGCGCGACTGCGATCGCCAAGTACGCGTGGCGGCCATCGGCGACGGCGGCAACGATGTTTCAATGATTCAGGCGGCAAACGTTGGCATCGGCATTGAAGGCGTGGAGGGCAAGCAGGCCAGCATGGCGGCCGACTTCTCGATCACGAAGTTTTCGCACTGTCTGCGGCTCATCATGTGGCATGGACGCAACTCCTACCGCCGCACCTGCCGCCTCAGTCAGTTCATCATGCACCGCGGCATTGTGTACTCGATTGTGCAGACCGTCTTCTCTGTACTGTTTGCCGGCACCACCATGTCCGTCTTCAACGGATACCTGCTGATGGGCTACTCGACCGTGTTCACCATGGCGCCCGCCTTTGCCCTCGTGCTGGATGAGGACTTCAAGGAATCCGACGTGCACGAGTACCCGTTTCTGTACAAGGATCTGCTCAAATCGCGCTCCATGAATGTCCGCACTTTTTTGCAGTGGGTGTGGGCATCGTTTTTTCAAGGTGGCGTCATGATGCTCGTCGCGCTGCAGCTCTTCAGCGACGAGATGTTTCAGATCGTCACCATCGCCTACACGTCTCTCTTGATCACGGAGCTCGTCATCATCGGGGCAACAGTGCACCTAGGCATTCTCTGGCGCGAGCGTCGTCGCCGCTTCTTCCTCTTCCTCGGCGCCGAGGTGTTCTCGTTGTTGGTGTTTTTCCTCGCCGCCCTCGTGCTGCCCGACACCTTCGATCGGGACTTCTTCTTTTCGTGGAGCTGCTGGTGGCGTGTGGCGGTGATATGTCTCGCGAGCATAGGTCCGCTGATGGTGTTTCAGCTCATTGGTAAGTTCATCCTGTTCAACCCCCGCGTCGCCGTGTCTTTCTTTGGTCGTCGATGAGAGCGCGTTTCGGCGGACACGAAGAGGGGCATGCCGCGTTTTCAGCAACCCTCGTTCGACTCCGATGAACTCTTTCGGTCGTGGACTCTTCGCTTGTAGTCTCGTGTTTTTGTTTTCCCTTTGCGTGTGCTTGTGTCAGGGATGTTGCGTAGTGCAGTAAAGAGAAGAAGTAGCACATCTCGTTGAGCGCGCCGAAGGCACCTGCGCGTGTTCTATTTTTGGTTTGTTTGTTTGCTTGCTCAAATCACGGCATCTCTAACGCTTCTCTTCACACATTTGGACCTATATACACCTCGAAAGGGAAGCGCTCTTCTTCGCGACCGCCATCACCACAGAGTGATAATAATTGCGTGCGGAGACAACGGTCGCGCTCTAAAGCGGCTGGTGCGTTGCTGCGATGTTCCTCTCCCACCCGGCGCTCTTTGCGGCCACCAACAACAAACCAAAAGAAAGGATCGAATGCCCCTGCGCTTTTCCAATCCTCTCACCACTTTTCTTATCGTCTTCTTTTTTTTTTGGTAGATTTGTGGGCAGTCCCCACCGAACGTAAAAGAGAAGACAAAGTCGTGCAGCGCGTTCAAGTGCTGAGCAGAAATCGAGGGGTAGCACCTGCACTTGCTCGAATAAAATACATTAAAAGGAAAGAAAAGACCCTCCCCTCTCTCCTTCTATTGTTAAGATAATTCAACGGAACTTAAAGAAGCGGTGGAAATAACTGGTGGCGTTGGCGCTGCCGTTGTTGGGGATACAAAACACTCGCTGCGGGCCAGTTACAGTCAGGTGCATAAACTATCTTCACAGAAATACAGCTGTATCGTTTTGTAGGCTGCAGAGCATTTTCTTTTTTGCTTCCAAATTAAAAAAAGGCTGCACCCAACTGTAGGAAAACCATTCATCAAACCCACGCCGCAGCATCCCCGGTTATCACCAAAGGAACACAGCAAACAACAACACTCAAAGGAAAAAAACGTTGAGTAGAGAGAGCTGCGTTTTTTCCTTCTTCCTCTATCACCACGCTGTTCTTTCTCCTGTTCAGCACTACACGAAAACACGTCTAGCATGAGGTCTTTTGCGCATAGACCTGCAGCGCTGGCGTCGACTGCGGAATCGAATCAGGCAGCGCTCTACCTCTGCTGCGTTCCTTCTCATGCACCGCGTCGACGGTACCTTCGCGTGATGTGGCCGTCTGCGACGCAATCCTTCTCCAATGCTCTTTTGAGACAAACGGCTCAGTCTTCTTTGCTCTCTGCGGTAGTGGTAGGCATCCATCGTACCTCAGCTCACACAACATCGCTCAGCCGCTTCAGCACGTCCAGCGGGACGTACGAGGTCATCAACCCAGCTGAGATCGCCTTTATGGACACCGCAGCGACCGCGTCGACCGACGCAAAACAACGTGGCAACACCGATCAGGGCGAAACAGTCTCGTTCGAATCGTCTCTGGCGTGGAGCATGACGCAGTCCCGCTCGTTGCCGTCCGCCTTCGTCGATGTCGAGCACGTCGATCCGTTCGCGCGACCTCGGATGCTCGGTTTTGTTCGCCGTCACCACATTGAGGACTTGTCCGGCGATGTCGGCTCCAATGGTTCCAACGGCTCCGCTGACGCTGCGTTTGTGACGGAGGAGCTGCTTGGCGGTGCGTTTCACGCGCGCCTGTGCCTCCCCGTCACCCCCGCCGGCGCCCGCTTTCTCGGCTGCGACAGCGACGACACGCCGGGCGCGAAGTGTCTGTGGGCACACGGGGTGGCCAACACGGCGAAGGACGCGGAGCTGCTCGCAGCGATGCACGCCGAACGCATGGCCGACCTGCTCGGCTACCACCTCTACAGTCTGCCCTCGAAGCAGCGCAAACACGCGGAGATGGCCCGTCAGGCCGGACGCTACGCCTCTACGCCGGACGATCGCAGCAGCGGACCGTCCGCGCAGGAGCGCAGGGAGCAGTGGCCGCTGCCTCTTCGCCGCGTTCTCACGGACGAGGAAACCGAAGGCGGGAAGTGGCAGTTGGTGGACACCTCCGCGGCGGCGACGCGCTTTCTCTGCCCCGACCACACGTTGCTCTCACCGTGCATGCTGGATCCAAATTCTCGCGTGCGCATTGAGGCACGATTTGGCGGTGCGCCGTCTGGATGTCCCAGCTTTGCACAACAGCTGAGTGTGGAGAGGGTGCGTACCTTGACGGCCAGTAGTGTCGCGGAGGGTGGATCAGAGTTCATGGTCGCGCAGCTGGCGCTGCCGCCAGAACTGACGACACTGGCCACACCAATAATGGCTTCTGGCAAGGCAGTGGACCGCGCGACGGCGGTGCTGCTGGCATGCATGCATGCGGAGCTACTGCTTGACACGCTGCACATTCCTCTATTTGATGATCCGGCGAAGCAGTGTTTGCACAGTGCAGCTGCTTGGTCGTTCGGCCGGCCGGCGCCGATTGCCGGGGCAAAGCCGAAGAATCCGTCCCACATGCATCTGCCAGATCCGCTGAAGCAACTCGTCGTCTCCGGTCCAACGGGGCAGCGCACGTCGATGCGATCGGCAGAGGAGGAGTACTTCCACCTGCACGACATCATCACGGAGCAGACGGGCACTTTCGTTGAGACCAGCGTTGGTGAATCGACCGCCGTCGCTGTGCTTTCGCGTTTTTTAGAAGCACACCATGCCCCGCGTGCTACCGCCGCCTTCTTGCAGACCTCCGTGGCAGGGCGCGTCAAGTCAACCGTGCTGCTTCCGCTGCCGGAGTCGTACGGCATCCGCGGCGGAGTGGGGATTGCCTCCAACGCGCGCGATGCCGACACCCTGGCCGCAATGCACGCCCTTGACGTGCTCTGCATGCTGAACATCCCCGTCACGGTGGGAGAGAGTGACTTGGCGGTGCGTACGGATGCTGCATGGAAGGCGGCCCGGCGGGAGCGCATCCCCGATGTCCCCGCCACCGTCAGCGACGTCGCCACGCCGAGCCCGCCGGCGCGTCGGTGCAGTGCGAAGACATTTACCTCAGTCATCAGTGTCGATGTGGGCCCACTTGCTGCGGCCTCAAAGGCGGCGCTGCCTACCTCTCCGACGTCTTCTTCCCACTCCAGCGCTGGGGTGGCGCCCACGGCTCGTCGTCGCGTGGCGAAGCGTGCCCAGCCCTCACCTGGGTCTGCAGCTCCTTCCTTCGCAACGGATTGTGCACAAGGAAATGCGGAGTCCACCCCGTCTGCACAAGCCGCGCCGTCTTCCCTTCCACGAACTCCGCAGGAAGAGGCAGCGGAGTGCGAGGCACGTCTTTCAGGGCTGCGGTCCGCCATCGACCCCGAACTGTGGAACTTGACGGCGGACAGCCCGGATGGCTACCTTATGATTTCTCCAGGAGCGCAGCAAGCATCCGCCGTGGCCGAGTACGCGATTGTGTCCCCGCGCAAGCTCGACAAACAGGCCAAGTCGCGCATCATCGAGTACCTGTCCACGGTGGGCCGGCGCCTCGATGACGTGCTCACCAAGCAGGCCCTCGATGAGAACGACACGGAGGGCCGCCCACGTCACCGATGTGCGTTGAAGCTGCCTTTGCCGTCTGCGTGCGGCGAGCCGCGGCTGGCGCTGGGCGAGGCGGACACCATCGCCGACGCCGAGCACGCCGCCTGCATGCATGCGGAGCTGCTTCTGGACGCGCTGGGTGTGTGCATGTTCAGCGACGCGGTGAAGCAGCTGCGGCACGCCGAGGCCTGTGCGCAGTGGGGGCGCTGGGCTCCATCAGGGCCGGGTCAGGAGAAGCCACCGACTACGCCGTCACCGCCGCCACTACGCCGCGAGCACGTCGGCTCTCTTCACTGGGAGCGGAAAAAGACGAAGAAAGGCGCTGGCTTTGCCGCTCAACGCCCCATCGACGAAACCCCCAAGACATCAAAGACGGAAGTAACGGCGGAGCGCGAGAAGAAATCGCTGGGCGAGACGGAAATAGAAGATGATACGAAGCAGTACGACTACGTGGAGGAGCTGGATATCGACCCTGTGGCGCGCACCCGGGTGCAGTACTTTTTGCGCCATGAGCGACTTACCGCTGGTGCGATGACCAACACCACCTTCATGGGCCGCGGTGTGCTGACGCACGTGGTCGCGTGGGACCTGCCCCTGCCCGCGCGGCTGCGCCAAGAAACAGTAGAGGGGGCGGTGGCACAAGGGAGCGTTTCGTACGCGGTGAAGGGAGCCGCCAGCACTCGCAAGGACGCAGAGGCGCTCTCGTGGATGCACGCGGAGCGTCTCCTCGACGCCGTCGATATTCCAATCTTTCCGAACCTGCCGCAGTTGCAGGCCTATCATGCGGCGGAGGCGGAGAAGAAAGGCCGACACGCGCCGAAACTCACCTGCGACCCGTCGACGCCGCTGCCGGCCGCGGACAGCCTCCCGATCAAACCGCTGCGTCTGCAAACAAATACGCGACGCTTCAACGTGAGTCGCCCAGTGCCGCTGACGCCCGCAGAGGCTGCGTCGGAGCAGCTGTGGGAGAAGTACATCACCGCCTGCGACGCCTATATCACTGCGACGCAGTACGCGGCGAACAATCTGTTTTTCGCTGCGTGCCGCGTCCCTCGCACGGGGGATGCGATGATTGACGCCGCCCTCGCCGAGGCCGAAGCCGCGCCGCTCGATCGACAAAGTCGCACTCTGCTTCTTTTGTACGCGAACGCGTGCAAGTGCTGCTCACCGCGACAGTGGACGGTGCGCATGGCGGGCGAACCGCACCAACGCGTATACTATGCTACCATCCCCATACCTGGTTTCGAGTATGTGGTAGCAAGTGGGGTCGGGCAAACGAAGTTCGGAGCTCATCTGCGTGGTGCCATGCACGCGCTGGCCATTCTGCGCCGCATCGACCCCAATTACGAGGATACGTACAGCGCCGCGAAGATGTTGCTGGTGTTGAACCTGAACAAGCTCATAGACGATGAGCGCGGCAGCCCGAGCGAGGACCTGGACGACTTCAACCTGGACGCCTTCAGCACTCTGCCCAGTATCACCTCAGAGGCGCAACGAGTGGACAACATGCGAGCGAGGCGCTTCCGCTTCCGAATGCATAGGTTATTTGCCCGCGATGTCGCCAGGTCGAAGGCGAACGAAACCGCTCTCAGCGAGGACGGCAAGCGACGCGCGGTGGAGCTGTACGCGTTGTGCTGCGGTGTGTCGAAGCCGGTGGAAAGGTCACTGGTGCGGCTGATGCCGAGGCACGAGGAGGCAAGCGAGGTGGCGCCGGTCATGTCGTCGTCTGAGCTGAAGCTGGAGGTGAAGGTGGAGAGCGCCAGCGACGAGGACGCGAAGGTGCGACGCGTGCGGACCGGGGCAACCTATGCGACGTCCGTCTCCCTCACCGACGAGGACGGCCACGAATGGTCGGCGCGGGGGGATGGCTTTGGTCCCAACGACAACCAAAGCGCCGCTTACGACAAACTCTACGATGCCTTAGTGAAGGACGTTCCGGTGATGCGCAAGTTGACAGAGATACTGCAGTCAAACTCGTTGTTGCGGGTAGAGGACGTTCCATCGCTGAAGGTTCCCGTCTCGGTAAGCGAGCGCATACAGGCGTGTCTGCGAAATCAAAAAGATCTACTCCAAACCGAGAGCGAGACGGGCGCCTTGGACACGCAGAAATTAGATGAGGCTTTCGACAAGCGGTGGAAGCTGCGGCAGAGCTACATGCTGGAGCTGCAGGAGCGGCACGGGTCGGAGGTGCAGCGAGAGCCGGAGGAGAGCGAGAAGGCGGCCCTCATAGCAGCGGAGTCCGCCTCGCTGCTGGAGCGGCTGCAGCAGCGCATCACCAACCCTGTGTACTTGGAGAAGTACGCGCTGAAGCGCGCCAGGCTGAGCATCGCCGAGCATCAAGCCGAAATTCTGCAGTGTGTTCGCAGCAACTCTGTTGTCATCATCTGCGGTACCACCGGCTGCGGCAAGACAACGCAGATCCCACAGTACATTCTGGATGCCGTGACGCAGGAAGGCCGCGGTGGGAGCTGTCACGTTCTCGTGACGCAGCCACGACGTTTGAGCGCACTGTCGATCGCCAGACGCGTCGCCGAGGAACGTCTGGAAACGATTGGTCAGTCAACAGGGTACATCATCCGCTTCGACAGTCACCCCGGTCAGCACATCACTTTCGTCACACCAGGCGTGTTGCTTCGCCTGCTGCGTGCCATGCCGACGTTGCCGGAGTACACGCACATCATCATCGACGAGATCCACGAGCGCGACCTGTTCACGGACTTTCTGTTGGTGCTCTTGCGTGACCTGGTCGCGCAGCGGCCTGACCTGCGCCTCATCCTCATGAGTGCCACGTTGCAGGCCAGCGAGTTCCAGCGCTACTTCAACGATGCACCACTGATCCAGGTGTACGGCTACGCGTTCCCCGTAAAGGAGCTCTTCGTGGAGGATCTTGTCCCCTTCGCACGGGAGCACCAGCGCATGACGCCTCTTCTCATGGAAGTGGAGGCGACAGCCTCCTCGAGTGAAAGTAGCAGCGAGCGACTGGAGCTGCCTCAACTCCCGCCGAGCTCGCTTACCGCGGCGCAGACTGCGGCGGAGGCGGGTCGCGGCCTGTTCGTGGATTGCAGCTCTCCCCTGTGCTACGACGTCTTGGAGGTGACCTCGCCGCTTGACTTCCAGACTGTGCGATTTGCCGTCGAGCAGGCAACCCGTATGATCGATCTGTCCGACTCATCCATCCTCGTCTTCCTACCCGGGTGGACAGAGATCAAGCTGATGCAGCAGCTACTGGAGCGTAACCCCGCCTTTTACATCTTACCGCTGCACTCCGCCCTGGGGCAGGAAGCGCAACTGCGCTGCTTTCTTCCGGCCCCGCCGGGGAAGACGAAGGTGATTCTATCCACCAATATTGCGGAGAGCGGCGTCACGATCGACGACGTGGCCGTCGTGATCGACTGCGGGCGCGTCAAAGAAAAGAGCTTTGCGACGAGGACTAGGGTGGTCATCCCACGCGCGAAAGACACGGGTTACGATTACTGCCACGTTACAGACAACAGCAGGGTCACCAAAGTTGTCGACGATAACGTGCGGGCGCAGGACCGCTTTTCGCAGCTGTTGGAAGTTTGGGCGAGCCGCGCCAATTGCGTGCAGCGCCGCGGACGCGTCGGACGCACTCGGCCGGGTGTGTGTATTCGCCTCTACTCCCGTGAGCACTTTGAGCGTCTGCACCACTACCAAACTCCTGAGATGCTCCGCACTGCCCTGGACCAGCTGTGCTTGACCGTCCTCGCGCTGAGAGTCGGCACCCCCGCAGAGTTTCTCAGTCGTGCCCTTGAGCCGCCACTAGAGTCAGAGGTGAGCGCGGCGTTGCGGCGGCTGACGGCGTTGGGTGCGGTGACAACGGAAGGGCAGCTCACTGCCCTCGGCCATCGTCTCTCCCAACTTCCGATGGAGCCTGAAACAGGCAAGATGCTTCTCCTCGGCGTCGCGCTGAACTGTCTCGACTCTGCCTTGACGTTGGCTGCCACGAGCGAGGGGGATGTTTTTGTTTCCTCAAGGGACGAGCGGACCGCTGTGCGCCTACATCGCGAAGACCTCTCCATGGGCACATTCTCCGACAGCCTCGCCTCGGTGAATGCATACAACTTCTGGGCCACGTCAACGCTGAGCAAGACACCGGTGCAACTGGCCGAAGACCTCAAGAACCGCTGCCTCAGCGTCCCAAATCTGTTACGGTGCTCCCGACTGAAGCATCACTTTTTCGCTCTGCTCGTAGACTCGGGTATCGTGCCGCTGGAGAACTACAAGGCGATTAGGATGGCGAATGCCTCGAAGCAGCACGTAAACCAAGTGTTCATTGATACCTCCGACTATTCGCGCAACGCCCTTGATGTGGGACTCATGAAGGCGATTATTGCGGCGGGCCATTTTCCTAAGATCGCCCTCCTTGCCGGGAGAGCCGTCATGCGCATGAACTTCGAGAATTTCATTCAGGTCTCCAGCGACAGCGTGGTGCAAAAATCAGACTGTCAGCCCACCTTTAATCCGTTCTTTGTGTATGGAGAACTGAAGCGCTACAACGAAGTGAAGACGCTGCGCTGCGGAAATCTCACGATGGTGTCGTTGTGGGCGCTTCTGTTTATGGGCGACCGGCAGATGCCGATCGACTACATACAAGACCTGAGTCTGTGTGTGATGGACGGGTGGATTTTCTTTCGTGTCTCGCTTCGTGAGCTGGAGCAAATACGTAAGTTCAAGGCGCTGTTTGATCGCCGGTTGAGCCGTAAGTTCACGGACCCTGAAGACTCCGTAAACAACGCGCAGCTAGAGGTTATCTGCGGCATATTGAGCGACTTGATGAACACCTCGTTTTATCCCAGTCCCATGCTGTTTCCAACGATGCTCTGGGGTGAAGCGGGGACGATTATTGCGCCCAACGTGAACAAGGAGGTGAACTTTGCGGACGACGGCGAGAGCAGTCCGCAAGACGAATTCTCCGATGAAGAAGGCGAGTTGGAGTGACAAGCGCACCCAAAGGAAGAGAGGTCTGAAAGGTGCGAATTCATCTTTGTTTTGGTAACACCCCCCCCCTCCCCCAACCGGAGATGATATCCCGTGTGGACTTTGGTCTTTTTGGATTTGCTTTTTTTCTCTCCTGTTGGTGTGTATTCAACTGCACCGTCGTCACAGTTATTGTTTCTTCTTCGTTGTATTTCCTCTTCCGTTGCTTCTTGCTACAACGCTGCAATCCGATATATATTTGCTCAGCAGTTCATTCGCCACGTGTTGCAAGAGAGAAGGAGAAGGCGAGTTGCATGGGGCGTTATTTGTCGTTCGTTGTTTTCCTGTTGCGTACCCGAGTTCTTCCTTGTGTGTATGGTTTGAAGCGTAAGGAAAAGCTGCAGAAAGCAAAAAAGGCAACGGTGCCGGTGGGCAAGGTGGACGCACGGCGACGTCACTGGCTAAACGCTACTGACTCTTTCCTTCCCTTTTCCCATTGTTCCCCTTTATCATATTGGTATTATGGGAGTACGACAGCAGTAAACAAATCGCTACCCGGCGCAGCGCCACGATACTGCTGGGGCATCAAAAAGCACTTCTTCTTTGCAGCATCGCTACCATCGCTCGACAAGGCTGTATTAATAATACGTTATGGAATGTATAATCCCGACCTTTTCCGTTTTCCTTTCTTCTGTCAATTTTCTCCTCCGCACCACTTGCGCTCTCTCTCTCTCTTCCTTCTTTCTTTTGTTCTTTCCCCGGCCGTCAGCGCACCAACGGAGGCGGCACTACGTAGGTTTCTTGCATCTTCCGCAGTTGTGCAAACTCTTCCCTCTCCCTCCTCAAAAGAAGAAAAAAGGAAACACACTTGAAGACAACAAAAATGATTTGTTTGCTTCTTTAGATACTCATTCAACACATTTTGATACACTCAATAGGCTCGCGAGCTTCTCGGTTTGCTTCCACATACCCGTGCCACTCACGAATTTGCTCACTGAAGCGATGGAAGACGAAGCGCGCACGCGAGCGACCACGACGCCGGCCGCCATTCCTCACTTTTTAGGGTCCGTAAGCATCTCCCTCGAGCACCTCCCGCCGTGGTACCAGCTCCTCTCGCTCTGTGGCGTCTTCGCGGTGGTTCACCTTCGCAACAATGCCGTCATTACGTGGCTGGTCGTGCAGCTGCACAGCTCTACTGGAACTGAGGCGATCTGGGTCGATGAATACAAGATGACCCTGCGCGTCATGTCCTTCACCGAGCGGTTGTGCTTTTCGCTGTACGGCGTTACCCTGGCCGCCATCGTGGCCGTGCTCTTTCGTGTCTTCTGCCAGGACACGTACAACATCGGCCTGAACGTGGGGCAGCTTTTCCCTGATAAACGGCTGCCAACGGCTGTGGTGCTCGTCCTGATGTGCGTTGTGGACGGCATTCGATTGCACACCGTCATTATAGACATTCTGAACTCGCCAGACTCGCTGGCGCACCTTGCTCTGCACAACTTTGTGGGGCTGGAGGCGACGGACTTTGATCCAAGCGTGGCGGAGAGCAACCCGCATTTTGTGATTCAGTTTGAGCTGGCCCGCTCCTTCATCTTCTCCGCGGCGCTGCGACGGCTGCCTGTGATGCTGCTCGCTGCGGCCTACCGCCTCTCACGTGATGTCCCGCGCAAGGCGCACGTTGCTCTGCGCTGGTACATGGCGACCTTCGCCGTCTTCTTTCTCCTTCAAGAAATCCTCTCCATGTACCTTCGCTACGTCTGGTCGGACTGGAGCGCGTGGGCGATGGTGGGCTGGGCGGTGGTGTTTCTCGGTGTTGTCAACTACACCTACGGGCCATCCAAGCGCGCCGGCACGGTCGTTACCATTTCCGCAGCGAACTGCGTGACGGAGGCGGTGCGCAGCCTCCTCACTTGCGCGGCGCTGTGGTTCATCGTGTCCTTGGTGGTGCTCGCCTTTGTCGTCAGTGTGCACGAGGAGTTGGTGTTGATTTGGCTCTTCATCACCCTCTTGATTCTCTGGACGCCGGCCATCATCGACTCCTGCGCGATGGATTACATGACGTTCCTCTCCTTTGGCGCAGCGGCGGTGCGGCACGCGATGGACAGTACGAGCACCGTCCCCTCCAGCGTGCGCTTTGGCGTGCTTGTTTTCCTGTGGTGGCTGTCGACCTCGTTGCTTTACAACGCCACCATTCACATTGCGTGTTCTCGCTACGTAGCGGCGGCGGTGGCGCTGTGCTGGTTCCTCTGGTCGCTGGCCCCACCGCGAGAGCTGTGGGAGAATCCGCAAAGCACAGCACAGCTGGGACTGGAGGACGGCCACAGCGTGGTGCACCTCTTCACCGCCCGCATCTTGTGGCTCCGCGCTGTGGCGAACTTCCACTCCTTGCCGGCCGGGTCTTGGATGTACCACCGGTCCGACGGCGACAGCCAGAAGGCCTTTGATCTCCTCCTCCACGAGGTGGTGGCGGTGTGCGTGGTGTGCGTGGCCATCACCTCCGCGGTGCACTACAGTCTCAGCCCGGCGGTCCGCCTGCGGTGGCAGCAGCACGACATCGTGAGCACGACCCCCAGCGTGCTCCTTCGCAAGGCGATTCGAACGTTGGTCGTCGTTTTCTGCGTAGGCGCTTCTGTCGCGGCGTGGTGGATGGTGCGACTTTACGTGCTGCCCATGTGGACGCAGCTGCTACCCGACATCATTGGGAAGGGGCTGTGTACCGTTGCTGCCGTCACCACGCTTGGCAACCTCATGGATATGCAAGACAGCATGTACGATGGGTGTGTGCGAGTACTGGGCTTACGGAATCCCAAGATGGCCGCGGAAGGTGGCGGCTCATTGGTGTCCGATGAGCCGACCACAACGCCCACCCCGCGAACACCGCGGTCTCGCGTGCGTGACCCGAGCACTTCCTTTCCCTAGACTGTGGTCGTAGTAGTTGCAGATTTCCGCTTGCTTCGCTGTTTGGCGAATCTCTTTTCGATGATTGAAACTATGAAGCTTTTTTTTCTGGTCCTGCACCGTCACGTTGCGCAGTGACCAGCACGTGTGTAGCAGGTGGAGGGTGCCCTTATGGAAACCAGACACAAATGAAATATCCGTAGAGAGCCTCTTCTTCCTTCTCCTGCTTGCTTGTTTATTGTTGTTTTCCGCCTGCTTGAGCGGTTACACACGCCGAAAATGACGCTGCCACCGAACGGCGAAGTCGCTCTTCTTTCTCTTTAGCTGTCGTGGCATGACGTTCAAACCGAATCAAACCACCCCCTTTCATTGCTATCTGATGTGCATGGCATTCACACCTTCACAGTGGTAGAACAAATCTCTTCTACATCTTTCTGTCTCTCTCTCTGTCCTCTTAATTTATTTTTTTTTTTTTACAACGAGTAGCAACACAAAGTCTTATTCCGTAATCGAATCTGTTTTGTTGCTTCTCAACAAGCAGACCAACAGAAGGAAGATTCGCCACTTTCTCGAAATAAGAGCCCTTTTTTCGTGTGTGTCTTCTCAATTCTTTTGTGAATTCGCTTTTCTTCTTTTCTCTCTTCCTCTCTGTGCCTTCTCTGCTTTCACTCCCTCACCCCTCCGATTTCTTGTGCAACCATGCCTTTTGAGGGATACACGGTCGGCTGCTACCTGCTGGACCGCCTGGTGGAGGCCGGCTGCGATCACCTCTTCGGTGTCCCTGGCGACTTCAACCTGCGCTTCCTCGATGACGTGATGGCGCACCCCACGATGAAGTGGGTGGGCACGGCGAACGAGTTGAATGCCGGGTACGCTGCGGATGGCTACGCTCGCCTGCGCGGCCTCGGCGCCATCACAACAACGTGCGGCGTGGGGGAGCTGTCCGCCCTGAACGGCGTCGCTGGCAGCGCCGCGGAGAGCGTGCCGGTGATTCACATTGCCGGCGCCACTTCCACCAAGAGCCAGTCAAACCGCGAGCTCCTTCACCACACACTCGGCGACGGCAACCACAACCACTTCCTGCACATCAGCGCTGAGGTTTGCTGTGTGGCGGTAATGCTGACGCCTGAGAACTGCCTGACCGAGATCGACCGCGTCGTTACGGAGGTGCTGTACCGCAAGAAGCCCGGCTACATCGCTCTTCCCATGAACCTCGCGGAGATGACCGTTAAGCCGCCGGCGGCGAAGCTGGTGCGTCGCGAGCCGGAGTGCTCGCCGGATGCCGTGGAGGCCTTCAAACTGGCGGTGACATCGCGCCTGGGCAGCGCCCGCAACCCGGCCGTGCTCGTCGGCCACCTCGTCCACCGCTTCCGTCTGAGCAAGCAGGTGGACCAGCTCCTTGAGAACGTGCGTATCCCCTTCGCACCAGCCACGCTTGGCAAAGGCGCCGTGTCGGAGCACTTGGAGAACTACGTCGGCACCTACCTCGCGGGTGATAAGCCCTGCCCTGCCAAGTCAGTTGTGGAGAGTGCGGACGTGTGCATCTCTATCGGCGTCGAGCTGGTCGACTGCGTGACCTCGCTCTTCCGTCAGAAGATCGACCCACTGAACACCATCGACATTCAGCCCTTCTTTGCCAAGGTGGGGGATCAGATCTTCCACCAGGTGCCGATGGAGGTGGCGGTGAGGGTTGTCGAGGAGGCCGCGCTCGAGTTCCACTCCAACTGGTCGACCGAGTACCCCCAGGCGGAGGAGTTTATCCGCCCTGACAGCAACACCACGCTGGACTTGGCCCACGTGTGGAACGAGATTCAAGCCGGCCTGCGGCCGAACGACATCGTCGTGGTCGACCTCGGCACGTCGGCCTTCTCCTCCGTTCTGCTGCGCCTCCCTGAAGGCGCCGACTACTTCTGCCAGCACCTCTGGGCCTCCATTGGGTACTCGCTGCCCGCCGCGCTGGGAGCGCAGGTCGCCGAACCAAACCGCCGGGTCGTCTGCATTGTCGGCGATGGGGCAGCGCAGATGACGGTGCAGGAGCTGGGCCTCTCTGCTCGCTACAACCTGCACCCCACCTACCTTCTCATCAACAACGACGGCTACACCATTGAGCGCTACATCCGCGGGTGGGACTCGTCCTACAACGACGTTGCATCGTGGGAGTGGACGGGGTTGGCGCGTAACCTCTGCAAAGGCAATGAGCCCCGCACGCGCGTGATTGACTCCGTCGGCGGCGTCCTCGACGCGCTGAATGAGAAAAATGACAAAATGCTCTTTGCAGAAGTGCTGATTGGCAAGTTCGATGGCCCGCTGCGCAGCGCCGTGCCGCTTCCCGGCAAGCCGGCGAACTTGAAGTAACTGCAATAAGCAACAAGAAGGAGAGGTCTGTTACGCAGGTTTGGGAACAACGAAAACCAAGTTTAGCGAGAATATCCAGAAGCCAAAGGGAAAACAAAATTGAGCCAGAAACTGGCAGGATGGTGGAATGGCGAATTTAGACGCTCTTGATGTTAATGGATTCTATTCTGTTCTGTTTTTCATTTTGATAGGGCATCACCATGCGTTGAGCTAACACAGTGCTTAAACAAAGCGCACTGCACGTCTTTGTCCTTGGCATTTCTTTAAAGGGAGGGGCATCGCTTTTCTTTTTTATCTTTTTCTGCTTGTGAAATGGAACGCTTCTTTTGTCTTCTCTTTTCTTTTTTGGCGTAAGTCCATGAAGTTGCAAGCGTTTGATTCACCGCATTAACATACAGCACTCTCTTTACGTTGATATCTGTATTCCTCTACAAAAGAAAACAAAGGAGTCTAGGCTTTAAAAAATGCGCTGTTTTCATTATTACTGACACCTACTATTGCAGGTCAAAACGTCAACTTAACCTCGGATTGGCGTTCTCCTGCGATTGATGCGGGAGAGACTGGCTTGTTTAACTCACACACACATATATATGTGTATATATGTATATGTATTAAACACACACACACACACCCTCTTAATTTAGTGTGTTCTAACGAAGAACAGCACTGTAAAGCAAAAGGAAAAGAAAAAGCAATGGGTCAGTAATACACGTTTGTCGATCTGGCGGAAACGGTGTTCTTAAACGCAATATATGCTCAAACGGAACCTTTTATTGCTGAATAGGAGCACATTTGTCTATCTACAACGATATTCTGCGCTCGCGAAGACACTTATCAACTTTTTCCGTTTTCAAGTAGCATATGCTACCGCTGATAAGCGTGTCGCAGCGCGATTCTCACATGGGTTTCGTCACGTGAGGCGTAGGGCATTGTTTCTTTTCTCTACTATTATTGCTTTTCGATTTTGTTTTTCCGTCGGTGCTTTTCGCTCTCGAGCTCGTTCACGTCTTTCTCTCTCCGACGGGGACTCCTCCCCCCTCCCGGGCCCCATACTCCACTCCGCCGCGCCTCCCGCCTTTGTTTCTTGCTGATACGCTCCGTATTGTCTTCTCTCGTTGCTTGTTTGGACACATTTTTTTCTGTGATCTGGCTATTCCGCTTCTTCATCTTTTCTGTGTGTTGGTGGTGTTGATGCCCAATACGTTGTCCTGCGTGAAGCGCATGTGCGAAGAAAAGGAAAGAAAGAGTCAGCGGTGCAGAGGAGCTGCCACGGTTGACTAGTGGCACCCCCCCCGCTTCTTGGCGCGCTCCTGTTCTTTCATTATATACGTTATATTTCGTTCTTTTCCTTTCTCGTGCTATATCAATTTGATGATGACGATACCCACACGTTTTTGTGACAAGAAATGGTAATGAAAAGGCACATGTGTTTAGGTTATAAGAAACGGGGACACTACGAAACTTTAGCGGTGCGTCGAGAGCCCAATTGCGACGCGAGGCGCACGCACGCCCGCATTGCGCGACACTGCACCTCTGCTGCATGCTACTCCGCGGTTGCACACATGCGTGCGCGCTTCTTCATTGCTCCACTCACCTCCACTTCACGCGTTTCTTGCATTTTGTGCGTTTATGTTCGTATGGGTTGGATGGTCATTCTACAGAGAAGGCAGGTCGCCTGCATAAACAGGGGAGGAAATCATGTTTTGAGGATGCACCAAGAAGATACAAACACTCTCAACTGCGCTCGCCTTCGAATTAAAGCGCGCATTTCTACCGTGCTCGCGTGAAAGCTGCCTTTTATTTGCTTTGCTTTTGCTTGTACGACAGCTCTTCTTTTCAGGAGGAGAGGGGGTTCTTTGTTTCTGGTGGGAGATGAGCTGATCGCTATCCAACTACACCCATACGGACTCACATATTATCATACGCAACTTATACGTCAACAACACGAAGAAAAGCCCATTTCGTTCCATGGCTTTCTTTTCTCGTGATACACCGTCCTCTCCTGGTGGGGAGGGCGGTGCGCGGAGGACTGCCCCGGCGGACTACTTCAAGTCCAGAGAGGTTTACCGCAGCGAGCGCGGCCTCATCCTCGTGGACGCCTTCCGCTTTGTCGAGCATTCTTACATCTCCTGCTCTGTCTCTTACCAGTCCCCTCGAGCAGAAGCGCACGTAGTGAAACTCGAAAGTGCAGCAGACCAGCGGCAGCGCGCACCTCGCAAATTTTTCTTCCTTAGCCACTTCCATTCGGACCATTACACGGGCATTCGGCGCACGTGGCACACCGACACGATCTACTGCAGTCGCGCCACGGCGGCCCTCACGCAGTCCGAACTAGGCGTTTCAAGCGCGTGTCTGTTCCCGATGGACATGCACGAAACGTACGTTTTTTCACTGCAGACCGGCGTGTGCCTTGCATGCGTGCCGGAGACGCCGCTGCACCCACGCGTACAGGCGATGCTGCGTGGTGCTCCGTCACCTCCTTCGACACCCACCACCACTACAAGAATAGGCCACGTGGAGCAGGAGGACGTGTTCGCCGTACGCCTCATCCCCGCAAACCACTGCCCCGGCGCGGCCATCTTCTTTTTCGTATCGCCTCTGTTCGGTACGGTGGTGCACACCGGCGATTTCCGCTTCAACGGGTCGCAGCGACGTTGGCGGGAGGCGGTCTGCGCGCCTGGCCACCGCACCTACGTCTCCATTCCGCAGCTCCAGCAACAGGCGCGGGTCTCCACGTCGTCTGTCATTGCCGATGTCCCTCCGCTGCCGCCGTACGAGCAGTTTATCGAGGACGACGTCGCCCTGCGCGAGGTCGCTGAGAAGGAGGCGCTGGATGTGCTCTTCCTCGATAACACCTTCTGCGGTCCTCCGTACAAATTCCCCACGCAGTGGGAGTCTACGCAGACGGTGGTGTGCGTGTTACATTCGCTGTTGAACCGCGCGGCGAGGCGGCAGAAAGACGCAGCAGACGCCGCTTCGTCATCGCCGTCACCACCACGAACGTGTGTGCGCTGTGCGGTGCTTGTAGGGTGCTACACGATCGGGAAAGAACGTGTGGCACTGGCGATACGCGACGCCTTTCCCCGTGCCCTCTCACAGCCGTCAGCCTCTGATGGAGACAAGGAAGACGCCAAGCAGCGCAACTGGCGTATTTATGTGTCACCGCGGCGCTACGCAATGCTGGCCGCCACGAACTTTTTTCCGTCTTGTTTTGAAGCCTTGCGGTCCTCCGCCGCTGCGACGCCGAAGAAGGAAGGTGCAGCACTCGGTGATCCCAACGACGCCCTTACGGATAATAGTAATAGTGCGGGTGTTCCCTTTGCAGTGGTGGAGGACACACCAGTTCAATTGCCGGTGCTTCTGCAGTCTCAAACGGCGCAACGCATGTGGGCCGAGGCGCAAGCCACAGGTACGGGTCGCACGAATGACGTTGAAAGCGACGAGATGCCTCATTCACTCACGCGTGTGGCCGCACCTACGCCGGAGATGCGACGCTCCCTGGCAGCGGACTCCAGAACTGAGGTCTCGGACACACCCGACTCCCCACTATCTAGCAAACCTCGCGGCGACGACGACACGCAGTATTTGCTGAGTGTATTCCTGGTCTCCATGGCGAACGTCGGCTACCAGTCGGTGGCGGCGCTGGCGCAGAAAGGGCGCGACGCTACGGTGTTACTAGAGGACAACCTACGGCTAGACTTGTCGCCCTACGACTGCGTGCTGCTAGTTGAGCCGACGGGTTGGTGCAAGCGGGACAGCACGCGTGAAATCAACCACAAGTTGACGCTGCTGAAGGTGCCCTACAGTGAGCACTGCGGCTTCCAGGAAATGGTGCGCTTTGTGCAGTTTGTCAACCCACGTCGGGTGGTGCCAACCGTCTCGGAGGACGCTTTCAAGGCGCACGAGGTCTTCTTCGTGGAGAAAGCCCCACGGCTGCGCAGCCGAGTGTCGAATGTGCAGCCCATCACCCGCTTCCTCGCCAGCGCGCCCATCCCAAACAGTACGGAGAGGGTCGAGGTGGAAAAGGAGACGGCAAAACACAACGTGGGGGAACGGTCTCGTAGCGGCACTGCAGCATATGTCAGTAACGGCAGTCACGTTTCCACTACTACGACTACCGCGACGACGGCGGCGGTCACGAACGTGCGTACAAACCCGCGGGAGCGTCGTGCCAGTGTGAGGCACATGACCGCAGCGACCAGTGTGTCTTCGTCTACAGTCGTTCCCTCGGGCCAGCTCTCTGCGCCTTCGGTGGGGGAGAGTGAAGATGAACTGTACCCTTCTCTGACAGGGAGCAAACAAGAAGAACCTTATAGGAACGCGACAAACTTCAGAAGGTCGGCAAATGAAGAGCGAAAGCGTTCGCAACCGGCTGAGGGAGACACGTCTACCGCAGCTGCGGAGACGTCGTCTGCCGCACAAACACTAGACCGGCTGTTTCAGCGCGTCAAGGTGGACGCCGTGAGGCGTGGGAGTCAAGCCGCGTCGAGGTTGACAGGGAAGACCGGCCCCCCTCACTGCAGCAACGACCAGAACTCCAGCGAAGACGATGAGGACTGTCAGCTAGTACAAATAGTGCAAACGGTGGTTGAGATCAGCGATGATGATTGACATGGAGCAGCACAAAACGCAGAACAGTATCGCGGCAAACCAACGCTACCCAACCACCTTGTTTTGTGTGCTTCCACACTTACCCAAGTCGTTTATTATTTTTTTTATGTTTTTTTTTTTGCGGTTCGATTTAATTCTCCCGGTTTCTGCTTTCGTAAGCGAAAACAGTTTACTTTGCGGGTGATTCTTCTCTCTATTACTGTCGCACGAAAACGATGTGGTGAGAACCGCATTTACTGTGTTTTTTTTTTTTACGATGGAGCACAACTTTAGACCTGAGAAAGCGTCATCTGCTGCACCCATGAAAAGCATTTTTAAGCTCCCTCTACGCTACAAGTACTCGTGTTGTTTCTTCTCATCTTCCCCCTTTCTACGTTTCGTTCTTCGACTTCTTCTTTCGTTTACCCAACGAATTATTTCTTTCTCCTGCAGCATGCACTTTTTTCTTTTGACGTGCGCGTGTTCCACCGCTGACGCTTTCGCTGTTGGTTTTCAGCCTCACTCCTCCATTAGTCCTCCGACGTGTTTTCAACACAGTTTCATCCACCTGACATCTCACCTATATATACACCTCAGCTCCTAAGAAATGTCAGCTGCGAAAATCGTCATCGTCGGTGCAGCGCGCACCCCTATCGGTGCCATCGGCGGCGGCCTGTCTTCCATTGACCCCAGCAACCTCATCGTGAAGATCGCCACGGCCGCCCTCGCCCACGCCAAGTGCGACCTCGAACACATCGAGTACATCACGATTGGGCAGTGCATGCAGGACATGCGCAATATGAACATCGCCAGGATGACGGGTGTGCGCATAGGGGCGCCCGTCTCTGCCCCGGCGACGACGGTGCAGGAGAACTGCTCCACCGGCGGTGCGGCCATCCACGACATTGCCCGACGCATCCTGTGTGGTGAGATCGGTCTTGGTGTGGCGGGCGGCGTGGAGTCGATGTCGACCATCCCTCGCGTTCTCTTCACCGGTCGCACGAAGGGTCAGCTCTACGGTGACATGAAGATCATCGACGGCTTGCAGGGCGCCTTGCAAGATCCAACGGTGGGCAAGAACGGCACGTTGATGGGTCTGCTCACCGAGGCACTGGCGGAGAAGTACAAGGTGTCGCGTGAGCTGCAAGACGAGATCGCCTTCCGCTCGCACAAGAACGCGTGCGAAACGTGGGATAAGGGCTGGTTTGACTACGTGGTGCCGGTGGAGGTACCGGACAAGAAGAAGCCGTTTGTGGTGTCACGCGACGAGGGCCCGAAGAAGCTGGACATGGAGTACTTCCAAAAGCAGAAGGCGTACTTCAAGGTCGACGGCACGGGGACGATCACCTCGGCCACCGCCAGCACGGTCAACGACGGTGCGGCAGCACTGGTGATTGCCTCGGAGAAGCGCGCCAAGGAACTTGAGCTGCCGATCCTGGCGGAGCTCAAGGCATTTGGCAACATCGGCGTGCCGCGGGAGTACATGGGCGAGGGCGTCTTCAAGGTCTTTCCCAAGCTGTTTCAGAGAGCCAACATTAAGCTCGCCGACGTGGACTACTTCGAACTAAACGAGGCCTTTGCTGCCGTGGTGGGTGCTGCGACGAAGGAATACCCTGAGTTGAAGCTGGACAAGGTGAATCAGTGGGGCAGCGGTATCTCTTTGGGGCACCCGCTGGGCTGCACAGGTGCGCGGCAGGTCGTCGACATGTGCCATCAACTGCACCGCCGCAACGCGCACCTCGGCGTGACCACCCGTTGCGTGGGTGGTGGCATGGGCAGCGGCGAGGTCCTTGTGCGCTACGAGAAGTAATAGAACATAACTTTTTTTCCCCCTGTGCGGGCAAAGGGTGTACAGAGAGAGAGTGCAGAGTTCGAGTAAAACGGGCCGATGTGTCTCTGTGGATGTGTGTGTGTGTGTGTGTTTCATCACCTACCTACGTACGCGAACGTTGAAAAGTCCGCGAAGTGAGTGTGCTGTATGACGCAGATGCTAGCTGTCCCTCTCTCTCGTTTTTTATTGCTGCACCTCCGATCACCTCAGACAGACGTTTTTCTCACTCTCTTACCTTATCACCTTGCTCTCAGCAGCGCAAACGTGCTAATGTAATTTGCATTCAACCACCATTTTCCTTTTTTACCACTTAAACAGTTCCACAACAAACTGAAGCGTCTCCTTCTTTTTTCCTACTTCTTCCTTTTCTTTTGCTTATCTGCCAGCGTTACACAAATAATAGCTTCACTTACCTTTCTTGTTCTTCTTCGTGCTCCTCTTCTTTGTTCTCCTGCGTCACGGACGCATAGTACGCGCCGGCGTTGAAGCCGTGAAATGCGTGCACCTTTTCCTCCGTTTTGCTTTCTCTCTTTTATTACTTTTTTTCATTTTTAGGCTGCTGTTTTTGAAAGCTACCAGGGCTGAGTCTCGTGCCCCTTCTCTTCGTTTCCCCCCTTTTATGCCCGTTTACCTAGTGGATCTTCGGGGACCGCGATGCTACCCCTCCCCCATCTCTCTCTCCGTCGCTCTGAAAATGAGGAGTAGAATGATGAAGAACAGCACGTCTGCAAGACTCCGCGTAATGATCAGATCTAGAAGTTGGAGAAGACGTTGTTTTATGTCCCTTCTCGTTCACCGTCACGTATCCGGTAGCTTGCTCGCACCGTAAAACGCTATTGCATCTCGGTAGGTATCTCCTTCTCCCTCTCATCCCACATGTTCTGTTCTTTAACAAAAAAACTTCTCTGTAAACTCAAACCAACAGTGCAAGCAACGGAAAACTGCTTTCATTTGAAGCTTGTTGCTCCTCCCTCTTTCGTCATGTTGCACTACGGCTCTGCCTACTCTCGTTGCCTACGGCAGGTGTGTGGCGGCCTGTCGGGCGGCGGTGTCTCACTTCAGCACCGCAACGGAGCCGCCTTCACGCCTTCCACTTCGGCGTTTACTGCGGTGGGCGGTGTCGTCTCCGCAGGGGCGGCGCTGCATACGTCCGTCCGCGGCAAGGCAACGAACATTCGCATAGCAAACCGGAAGAAAGTGGAGATGTTCGTCGCCAAGCGCTACCACCTCCCGACGCGGCTCCGCACCGCCGCACCGGACATCGCCCTCGAGTGGGACTACGAGAAGAACCCAATGCACCTCTACCCTGAAATTGTGGGCATCGGCTACATGCAGCCGGTCTTCTGGAAATGCAGAGGCTGCGACCACTCCTACAAGATGAGCGTCGAGAAGCGTGTGGTGCGTGGCGGCGGGTGCCCCGTGTGCGAAGAACGGGAGTTGAACCGGTCTATGGCGCAAAATGACGCTTTCATGGAGCGCAATCTCGCGGGGGACGCGACTGCGGAGGAGACGCCGCCGCTTCTACCGGGGGAGGAAAACCGCGCGCTGCGGCCGAAGCGGACGACGGTGCTGAACCTTCGCACGAAGTACTGAAGAACGACACGACTCACAAGCACCTGCGTCAACGTTGTCAAGAAGGCTTTTTTTCCCCTCTCTTCCTCGCCACAGATCTCCTCGTAAATCTCGTAATAAATGATACAAAAAGACCCGACATGAAAGAATCAAAAGTGGACCGGTGCCAGCTGTCCACGTGGAAAGCGTACATTTGGAGAGCACACTAACCTTCCCTGTTCAGCACGAAAGGCGGCTAATAACCAAGGACGTGTTCTTTAACTTGCCTAGACGCTTCAAGTAATCCTTTTTGTTGTTGTTGCGAGCTATCCTCCTTCGAAGCCGCAGTTAATGTCTCTACTGCGCTGCTCTTTCGCTTTTCCTCTTTTGACACTGTCTGTATATATCATCCCTACACAACGATGAGCCCCAAACGTACAGTGATTCGTAGGGAGCTCGCTTGCACGTAGTCCATTCCACAACCTGATCACGACCTATTTTCTCTATCTGTGTTCTGTGTGCGTTCACTTTTATCATTTATTACCATGTCCTCGTGCTGCACCTAAGCACAATTGGATCATCCTATTGCGTACCTTTTCCGTAGCTGTATTGTATTTTCACTATTACCTTTGGTGGTTCCGCTTTCACGAGTAAAGCTATTCTTTCCTTCAGTTGTTGCCCGTTTCTATTCACTTGCACGCCTTCAAGCGTTGTTCACCACTACCGTGCCGTCGCTACTGCTGTTGGGCAACGTTTTTTTTCCTCTACCCGTATCAGTTAAGTCCGGTGCACCGTGCGTGTGTGCACGTTGTTTCAGTCAAAAGGGTAAAGCGGAGCACTGAAGCAGCGGGCATGCTGCAATTCGAAGTTTTGAAGGTACGAGGAACGCAGAGCGTCACGCTGCACACGAGCTCGCAGGCCCTTCCAACGGAATTTGCCCGGTGTGAAATCCGTCTGCTGCGCCGCAGGTCATTTAAAAACGACTTCTTTACCCCCGTCGTCTCGACAAATCATGTCCTTTTGCTTTTTCCCAACTCGTGTGCCCCTGTGGTGGGTGGGGGTAACAGTAACGCCGCTGCGGCCTCCCCTGCACTTGCCAGGGATGCCCTGCCAGCTGACGGCACATCAACGGAGTTCTACGTCACGAGTCAGGCGCAAACCTGCATCAGCCACTTTCTGAATCGTATCGAGTCTATTCCGTTTCGCATTGTCTACGCTGCGGCATGCAGCTTTTCAGGCTGTGCCGTTCTCGTGCTGGAGTGTCTCGACATGGAGGATGTGCTGAACGTACAGCAAATATGCGCCGACGTGGCGAGTCAGGGCAACGATGAGCGCACCAGCAGTCTTTACGTGAAGAGCTTCACGTGCGCCGGTGGAGCGCCGGTGTTGGTCGATGGGCAGCTCCTCATCACGCACTATTACATCCCCACCTGCCCTCTGTGTGGGGATCGACTGGAGAGTACTGTGTCGGGTCACCCGCCGCAGACGCCGCTCTGCACGTGCGCACGGGGCGGCAACACCCAGCAGTGCACCTGCTTTCTGTCCTCCGCCTGTTTCGTGTGCCGTCGCTTCGCCGAGTCACTTGAGCAGGCACGGCAACCATCCCCGCAGCAGCAACAGCAGTCGCAGTCCCACGCACCACCGGTGCAGACGATCAAGTGCGAGGCGTGCGCCAAGGCGGGCGATCCGTGGATCTGCCTCATTTGCGGCTACGTTGGCTGCAGTCGCTACCAAGCCATGCACGCGAAGGACCACTGCGTCGCCCACCAGCACTTCTTTTCCATGAACTTGCTGACCCAGCAGATTTGGGACTATGACGGCGACTGCTTTGTGCACCGCGTCGTGATTCTGCTCGACACCCACACCGGCAGCTCCACACGAATGCAGTTCCCTGGCCGCGAGGACCCACTCTTGGAGGACGGCAATGGCGGTGCCGCAGTAGCGAACCTGCCAGACACACCGGAGGCGTGGAAGGCGGAAAAGAAGAGCATCTCTGCCAAGTACGACAAGAAGCTCATCTCGTCACACACGCAGTACGCCATGGTGATCAAGAGCGAACTGGACGCGAAACGCGCCTTTTACGAGTCACAGCTGCTCGAGGAAGGCGGGGCGGAGGACGGTGCCGGTGCGGTCGACGACGAGGAGGGCGGACAGCCGCTCACGAGCGAGGAATTCGAGCGGGAGGCGTACTTTGACCTCGCCAAGGCGTTCGAACCGGTGGACTCCGTCATGGCCGACGTCGGCGCGCGGCGACGCAAGGTGACGACGATGTTCTACGCAGTGAAGAACCTGGAGCATGAGCTGGACATGCGCGCCGAGGAAACCGGTCGCCTCGAGAAGCAGCTGGAGGGCCTCAAGAAGGAGCTGCGGGGCGTGATTCAGCAAAACGTCGCCAACGATCTTCGCCTTAGCAGCAGCATCCACGACATGAAGGAAACGCTGCAGGACATCGCACTAAATGCCCAGACACAGCGCCGCCTTGCCGCGCGGCTTGGTGATAATCAAGTCTCCCACATGGTGGTGTCCGGCGGCCCCGCGGCGTCGTCAAGCGGCACAACACCGTCCCCCTCCCCCTCTGGCAATCGCACAAAGGCAGGAAAGAACAATTCCAAGTCACCTAGAAAATAGGAGGATGATACGTGCCACATGTCGGGTTTAGTTTTGTACACGAAAACGTGCTTTTTACCTCTTCTTATTATGCGGATGCGAGTGTATGAGACTCTGTTTTATTTCAAAATGCTAACCGTGTTTACGCAACCACTGCTGCTTAAAACTGGCATCAACGAAGCGATGGAGAAAAGCTGGGGCTTTCTAATGCCATTTGAACAGAGTAAGAGGAGAACGATGGGAGAACGGATTACCTTCCTTGGACAAATGCACGACATGGTAGATTCCCTCGGATTACCAAAACGAAAGATGCGACGACCTTGTTGAGTATGCAAAGGGAGTAAATTTGTGTGCATGTGTGTGTGTGTGTGTGTGTTTTGTACCGTCGCCACCACAACCCTCTCGCTCTTCTTCATATTTCCTGCTCTGTTTTTAATAAAGATATATTTTTTTTCCACTGGAAGCAGCCAAATAGCGTGTTTAGCTGCACGTCCTCTTGCGTTGGTTCTTCGTTTTGCGGAAGGCACCTTCAACTAAAAAAAAAGCATAGGAAAAATGAGCTCTCTGCTGTCAGATGAGCCGCTGTCACTGACACTTCTGAAGCACGAGTTGGAGCGGCTCACTCCGCAGCACAGCGCGCTTCAAAGCGGCGCAGAGGAGGACCGCGCCGCCGCCCACCTTTGTAACAAGATTGTGTCGTCGTCGTCGAAGCTCGCGTCCAGCAGCGACGCTATTGCCTCGAAAGAAGCGGCGGAGGCGTTCATGACCACTTCGTCGGACATCCTCACCTCGATGCATCGCCTGATCCTTCTGACTTCCAAAGTTCACGAGAACGGGAAAGAAGATACCGATGGCGGCAAAGGTCCTGCCGGGGACGCAGCCGCGTCGCTGCATCCGCAGCTTTCGCGGTGCACGGGGGCGTGGGCGAAGTGGATGGTGTACGTGCCATGTTTGCCGCATTTCTATGCGAGCTGCATAGCCGTGCGCCTACCCGCCCTCCTTGCCTCCGTGAGCGCCCGTGGATCATCCCACGTCTGGGGCAGTTTCTTTGGCGAAACAGCAGAGTGTACGCTTCAACTTCTCCTTCGCGCCTCGCGGACGCTCCCACCAGAGGTGCTGGGACGCTACCTCCCCCCTCGCTCGCTGCAGCCGCCGTGGAAGGTGCTGGTGACCTGTGCGCAGTTCTCGTGGGCGTCGAACCGGCTTTGTGGTGTACTCGAATCGGAGGGGTATACTACGCCCTCCAGCAGCAATGGAGCTGCAGTGCACGACCAGCTTCAAAGAGCAAGTGTCAATCCAGTGTTTTTTGAGGTGCAGGAGCGTGTTGAGCTGGCGCACGCAGACCAATTCGCCCGTGACGTCCTTCTTTTTTCGTACGACTCCGTGAATTGGAAAGCTGGCAACGCCGTGCCGACCGTTAAGTCGGTGGCTCCGTCCATGTGGTGCCTCTTCCTGCGCTGTCGCAGCCTCGCTTTGCACGGCTTGACGGAGCAACGACAAGACGCCCCCTCCCTTTCTTTTTTTCAAGATGGTGTTGCCCGCCGCCTGACGGCGCGTGTGCTGCAGCGCTCCATTGACGGCATTCGCTCGTGTTTGGCGAGGAATGCGACGGACATGCACGCAGACCGGGTAGAGCAGCTGACGACACGCGACGTGCCCTGCGTTGTCCTGATCACTCGTCTGTGGTACCTGTACCTGCAGCCCTACCCCACTCTCTTGAAGACCCTTCACGCCTCGTTGGTGCGGTTGGTGAACACAGCTGTGGAGCTGCGCAACCCTCTGACGATAGAGGAGATAAGCATTGGTGTGGGCGCGCACGTAGATGAGGAGCTCGACGAGCATGCACGGCACGTGGAGGCAGAGGAACACGAGCAAGCGAAAAGAGAAGCAGCGCGAGCAAACTGCTTTCTTGATGTTGTGTGGGACGTGGAGCCACTGCAAGAGTACGAGGTATTGTTGGATGTTGCCGGCGTTCCATGGAGTCCCTCCTTCTCACGTGCGGCAGCGATACAAGCCGTTCTGGACGAGCGCGTTGTGGTGACGACGGTAGAGTAAAGTCCTGAAGTTGCTGATGACGTGGTTAGATGGCACAAGGTGCGCCTCCGCTCCACAGCTGCTACGGAACGGATTGCAGTGTCTCGGCGAAGTACGATGTGGTAGATAACGTTGTGCATACCATCGCTGGCGTTTTCTTTTGTCCTTTCTTTTCCTGACTCTTCTATCTCGCTGCTTCTCGAATGCGAGTGAAATCTTCTTAAAACTGCTCTTATTGCGTGTCACCGGACGGTCTGCTGCGATAGTAGTATCGCGGGCCTGAGCAAGGCAGGTAATGTGCGAACGCACAGCCTCACCCGTCCACGCATGACGGAGTCCGCGAAGTTTGCCCTCTTCCCTCGGAGTGTCTATCTGCGCCTCAGCTTCGTTGTTTCCCTCCTCTACTTTTCACGTTTTGTCCTCATTGCCGGAGCCCCACCTCAACCTCCTATTGTGACTGACCGGTATCGCCAGAAGAGCGAAACGGCAAGACTGCCTGTCGTTGCCTTATCCCTCTCCCTTCCCCCCCCCATGAAGGCATTTACAGGTGTGACGGTTAGTGGTGCGACGCCGGCGCTGCGGCGCACAACGCACCACCTCCTGCGCACAATACTGACGTTGGACCGGGCCCCCTACGACGCCCAGCTGCGGGTCCACTTTGTTTCGCTGCAGCACATCCACCACCTGAACCACACCTTCAAAGGCGTCGACCGTCCAACGGATGTGTTGACATTTTCATCCACCGGGGCGGCGGATAGCTTCGTGAACGACCTTCTGTTCGGCGACGAGGATTGCCTTGGCGGTGTGGCGGACGAGCCGAACCTCATTTTTGGCGTGGAAGCCGGACCGACGCCGCATCAGTTATCTTCATCATCACCCTCGTCCTCCGCAGACGACGTTGGAAGTCGTCTTTCCCGCTCCATGGTGCGTCTTGCGCTGGTGGACCTCGGCGACATTTACGTCTCGCTCGAATACATGCAGAATCGATTCAACGCATCGCCGTCGCGCTGTCTGCCGCTCGTGCCGTACTTCAATGCAGCAATGGTGCATGCCACTCTGCACGCCCTCGGCTACAATCACACGACGCCGCAGGAGTTGCTGTGGATGGTGCGACGTGAACAGCAGCTGGGGTGCCGACTCGCCGCGTTGTCGCGACGATCTCCCGGTTATCTTCCACCGCCGGACCTCTGGGACACAAAGTAGCCTGCTGCGTAGGTCTTCACGCTGCTGTGGTGGCGCAACCGTGCGAGCGGACTCGCGTTTGATTCGCTGCTGCAACGGGTTTGTTTTCCCTTATTTTTTCTGAGGGGGATGCACTGCCTGAGCCGGCGAACCGTTTCACAAGATAAGCGTCACGAAACGGGTAATATCGGCTGAGCAGTGACAATCTAAAAGATGGGACGAAACTTCGTTTGAGAAAAAAAAACGCACTTCGAGGTTGGATGGATTGGCTGAGGTGTGAATCGCCCTTCTTATTAGCGTTGAGAATGTTGCTCAGTAGAGCTGTAAGCCGCTGCGACTTCTCCCTTAACATCTCCGGTTTGCTCTCTCCCTCTCCGTTTGTTTGTTTTGCCTCCTTCTTCCATCCCACACTGCTGATAACGCCGTAGAAACGAATGCTTTTGCATTGAAAACGTCTCACCCCAGCAGAGGAAAATCCCCCTTGCAAATCACCGCAACGTTTATTTGCTGTTTTTGCTTTTATCATTGTTAACTTTTGAAAACAAAAAAGAAAGAAAGAAGAAGAGACCCGTTGCCCTGGCAACAAAATGGAAGCTTTTCGTCAAAAGCAAGTGCGGTGCCGCACGACACTTGCATCGGGCGTGGCGAAGGATCAAAATGGACACACGCTTCGCTCTTTCCACGCACCAACTCGTGGCGGTGAACGCGAGAGTGAGGCGTTGGCGGACAATGATAGATACGCCGGCCTTCTCAAGCTGCACGGCTCGACCGTTATAAATTATAGTCCGCTTCAGTACATTCAGAAGATGACGTCTGAGACGTTGACCGACGTGGAGGCGGAGCGCGTGGTATACCCTTTTTGCGCCTCTGCGGTCACTGCACCCTTTGAACAGGTGCTGCTGGCGTTGATTGACAAGCTAAGAAGCACAGTAGGGGCGGTGTCGTGGAACCGGCCAGTGGCGCACGCAGAGTGGGAGACGGACCTGCGTTTTTGGGGCCAGTGGTGGCTGGTGCTCCGCTCGCGCGAGGAAACGGGTCGTACTCTGTCGTCAGCGGATCAGCACCCTTCCGGACGGCGGAGTCGGGTGAGCTGGGTGCACGGCATGCACAACGAGCCCCTCGTGCCCCTGTCCACCAAAGCTCTTCTCACGAGGCTCCACGACGATAAGGAGGAGAACCGCTACGCGCCTCTGCTGCGCCGCGGTGCAGGGACGACGGAGGAGAACCAGCTGATTGCCGATCTCGCGAAGCGCCTGACGGGTCCAACAGACCACTTCGACATTTTTCACCTTAGCGGTGTGCGCATGGCGCCCGATCGAATGCACGTGCTCTTCTTCGACGGCTTCTTCAAGCTCGCCTCCATTCCGTCGCGAAAAGCGGCCGCCGCCGCCGCGCAATGCGAAAGAGATGAGGCTCGCGAAGGGTCGTCGCTGACTTCGGCCGCTGCGGTGCACAGTAAAGGCAATGCGGCGTCGGGGGAGGAAGCCGAAGAAACGCTCTCGACGCTATCGTTTTCCTCCTGTCAGATGGGTTCTGCAGGGGTTGTTGTGCTGCTGACGGGAATCGCCGCTCTCGCGGGCCAGGGCATGAGCAGCATCAGCTCACTAGATCTCTCCTACAATGCGCTGCAGAGCTGTGTGCTCTACAGCTTCTCGCAGATGTTGCGCTTTACCTTTGTGAAACGGCTAAGCCTGCGTGGCAACAACCTTGCCAGCGTCGACGTCATCCCTTTCCGCGAGTTTTTGCTGGAAGGGTGTGAACGGCAAGTGGAAGAGCTGGACCTCAGCTACACGGAGTTGACCCCTACGCAGATCGCCGTGTTGATCGAAGCGCTTCCGCGTCTGAGTAGGATGCGGGTTCTTCTGTTAGAGGAGGTGACCATTCCTGGAAGCAAGTGGCCCTCACTTGTCCGCGCCGTGGAGCGTACGCAGCTGTGGCACCTGCGTCTCGTCTCGTCCAACGCTGTCTTTTCCACCGCCACCGCTCCTCCTCCCTTCTCTTCGATCGCGTTTTATGTAAAGTCTATCGAGGAGGTCTGCGCTCGCAACGCGCAACGCGCGGCGGAGGCGAGTGGGGCTGCCGCGGCGGCTGCGGCGCGCAACGGCTTCTTCGGCCTAAACGGGGCGAGTTTTTTCGAGGCCTTCTTCCTTTTCTCGCAGTTGAAGGGCTGCAGGATGGGTGAGGGCGAGTCGGCGTTGCCGGGTGACTACACCGCTTTCACTACCAATGATCCCAGTCTTGTCTAAGCTACGGCTTTCGGTTTGCTTTACTTTTTTGCTTTTAATGCTTGATATATTCGTGTGTGCAGCGAGAACTGCAAGACACGGATCAGAGCGTGCTTGCCGCGTCTCCTTCTGTTGTTGATGTTATTGTCCTCTCTTTATTTCTTCTCTTTTTTTTTTTTAGTTGATATGCGTGTCGGGGCGCAAAGAGATTTTCTCTTCTACCGTTGCAGTCGGTAAAGCCTAATTCTTCTATTATATTGGAACTTGAGCTTTTTTTATTTTTTCCTCTTTTTACTGTTCTGTGCAGCTCGACGTTATCAAAACGAAAGGAGTGGGTGTGTGTGTTTCCCACTCGGCCAAATACCGAATAGCATCTTGTTTGGAGCCATGAAAGCGAAAGCAACGAACTACTCCAGTTATTTTTTCTAGTGTGTATGTCGTCTCAGAGACGTGGGGATAAGAAGACTTGTCTCGTAAGTGTATAGAGCTGAAGCTCTTTCTTATCTCTTGTTTTGGCCAGCCTGTGCAGAATCTAAAAGGCTTCTGTTGGACGTCTTAGATGGCCTCTCTCTCTGTGTCTTTTCCCCTGTTGACTCAATAAAGATCTTGCTTATGTACCTCGAGTCCTTCCTCCTCCTCCTCCCCTCTCGTTTTAAGATGATTCGCTAATTTATTATTCTTCTCACGCAGCGATAGAACGAACCGGCAGGGATTTGCTTTCATTTGAGGTGAATGTTTCGCTTTGCTGTGCGCCGTTTGGCTGTCGCGACTGGCAGCGGTGCCGCCGTCGCTGGGGCTGGGCAGAACATGAACTCGCAGCAGCGCGTGCTGGAGATCCGCTCTCCCTTGTCACTGCTGCGCATGTGCTACCGCAGCATCGACATCACAGTGAAGTCACGCCACGCGCGCAACTTTCTCAAGAAGCGGCTCATCGACCAGTGGGCCGAGAAGAGCAAGGAGACGGACCCTGAGAAGCAGCGCTTCTACATGGACCTCGCCGGCTCGCTTCTGCAGGCCCTTCACACGGAGCGCAACCCGCAGCCGGGGAAGGTGGTGGTGTTTCAGCTGTCGCGGCGTGTTGCCTACGAGGCGAAGTTGGCGGAGCGAGAGAAGAGCGTCGGCACACGCCGTGTGCGGCGCATGCCAAAGGAAGTGAAGTCTACTCAGCATTGAATGATGTTGTCATGGAGTGGCCGCGGAGAGGTGATATTTGTCACCAGCTTCTTAAAGTTTTCTGCTTGTTTGGCGTATGTGTGTGGGTGTGTCCTGGATATGGTAGGACGGAGTCTGTTTACACAAGGCACGATCCCAGCTGCGCTGTGTAGTGCTTTTCTTTTTTTGTTGTTCTCTCGCTCTCCCTCTCTCTCTCGGTGGGGAAAGGAACTTGAACGATCGGCGTGTACTTGTGTTGCTGCACTCACGTTTCACAACTCAACAAGGAAAGAGAAACGATATGTGAGAAGGTCCACAGTAATAGGGAGAAAGAACCTCTGTTCGGTTGACGGTGCTGAGCGTAAAGGGAGGCAAGCAAGCTCGCCTTCTATACTTTGGCGGGGCTTCTCCGCACGCACGCAAAAGCGATCCGTCTTGATTGATGGTGGTGGTGTTCTACCGGAGGCTGTCATTCTCTGAGCCTTTTTCTTTTTACATGCCTTCCCCTCCACCCATTGAATCGTCTCTTTTTTTCCCTTCCGTTTATCAATCATGATATGCATCTCCCAGTCCAACCAACTGCGCACCATTATTATTGTTATTACAGTGGCACTTCCTTCTCCCTCCCATTCAACGCACTGTAACGAGACGGCGAGTTGCTCCTCAAAGAAAGTGCAGCGCTGGATATTTCGACTTTCTGCTCCTCGCCTTCCACAAAAAAATCGGCGTCACATCTTCTCTGCATAAACTTAACTGCTTATTGTCCCCCTTCCATCACTTATCCCCTTTTCTTCTGCAATCCAATCGTTCGAAATACTCGCTTGAATACTACGTTTGAAATTCGGCTTGTCTGACTAGAGCATTATTTGAACTACCTATTTTTCTTTCTTTTTTTTTCTTTTTACGTGTTTAATGCAGACCTGTCCTTCCACCCGTGTGTCGCCTCTTCGGCTGGCGGCCGTCGCCACCGCAGCGGGTTTTGTCGCCTTCGCCACCCTTCGCACGTTGCAGTCCGTCTACTCACGGCCGCCGAAGATGCCGGAGCCTGACATCCCGACGAACCCGGAGGACGGTCCGGTGTGGAGCCTCATCAAGCGTGTTTTGTACCGCCACTTCTACGTGGTGCGCAAAGGTGACCCGCTCAAGAAGTTGCAGGAGTGGGGTGTGCAGTTCAACTACAGGCCGTTTATCATGAAGATTTTCTTCCGCGCGCATGTGGTCCTGTCGAGCCCGGAGGACATCGAGCACGTCCTGCTGCGTGCTGACACGAAGTTCCAGAAAGCCTCCGGCTACGACCTCGTCCGCAGCGTCGTTGGTCGCGTTGGCCTTGTCGCTATTGGAAACAAGGAGCTGCACGCCATGCACCGTCGCATTGTCATGCCCATCTTCAGCTCGCAGAACGTGCGGGGCATGGCGAACGAAATTCTTCGCGTGCACGCCCTCGTGATGCTGGGCGGTCTCTTCGACGTGATTCTGCGAGGCGGGGAGGAAGACGCAGCGGTGAACCTCAGCGACCACGTCTTTCGCATGACGCTGTCGGCCATGGGCGAGGCGGCCTTTCGCGCATCACGCAGCGAGTCCATACGTGTGCGGCAGCACTTCGATGCCATGATGAAGTTCTCGCGGTTGAACTACTTTTGCCCCTACTTCAACTCGGCTGCCCAGCGCAACGCGCGCAAGATGCTGAAGGAAATCAGCGCCAACTTGCTCGACAAGAATATGCAGATGCGTCACATGAACAGTCGCCGGTGCGTGATGGACGCGCTGATCGACGAGCTGTACGTCCACTTGAGCATGGAGGACGTTTTGGATCACCTCGTCATGTTCCTCTTCGCCGGGCACGACACCACGAGCCACACGATGGAATTCCTTTTCGCGCTGCTGGCCGCCCACCCGGCGGTGCAGGACCGACTCTACGAAGCGCTGGAAGACTTAATGCCGTCCACCTGCACCTGCCCCACCGCCGAGGAGCTTGTGGAGTGCGAGTACTTGGAGGCGGTGGTGAAGGAGGCGCTGCGCATGTACCCCGCCGCGCCCATCATCTACCGCGACGCCTGTGAGGACGTGTACATGCCGTCGTCGGGCGTCGTCATTCCGAAGGGCATGACGGCGGTGATCAGCCTCTTCACGCTCCACCGCAACACCCACACCTACGGCGATGACGTGGACACTTTCCGGCCGGAGCGGTGGCTCGGGGAGGAAGGGGCGGCGCTGCGCAAACGCTGCGGTCGCTGCGGCTTCATTCCCTTCAGCTGTGGCACGCGGAGCTGCATCGGTCAGGAGTTCGGCTTCTTGGAGCTCCTCATCGTCGTGGCGCTGCTCGGCCGCCACCTGCAGATGGAGCTGCTCGGAGACTTTCCGGAGGCGCGGTACAACATTACGATGGTCATGAGCCACCCCGTCTCCGTGCGTATTCGTGCCCGCCCGGGCATCGATGTGAGTGAGGTGTACGAGCGCATGAACGCAGTGCTGGACCTCAGCGACGAGGACTCGCTGACGTCAAGCAACGCCTCGGCTGCCGTCTCGGAAACGTTGGTGAAGGGACTGAAGGAGTGCGGGTAAGCTGCTGTGAGTTGTTTGTTTTGTTTTAGGCCGAGACCCTCTTTTTCGCTTGGGTTGTTCCTGAATCCTGCGCAGGTTTCTTCAGTGAACACTCATCTTCGTTTTTTTCATCGTTCTCATGTGTACAGAAGCACTAACGCCTATTGGCTGCCTTTCTCTTTCCGCTTTTTTTTTTTATGGAAACAATCACTGACGACAGTTTGTTGCCGGAACGGCAGCGCGAAGAAGTGTGTGTTCACCTACACCTAACGGTGTTAATGATTTTCTTTCTCTATTGCAGTTGTCTGCTCGACCTTTCCAGTGGCTATGTATATAATTCTAGTCCACTGCCTTTTTTGTTTGTCTGGGACGGGTGTGAACTGCGGGTGCGTTGTGTTTTTGTTGTTGGTTGCTGAACGACGAGGGCTCTTTTTTCCCCCCTTTTAAGTTCGAGGCGTGCTGCCAACAGAGCGATGTGCATATCTCTCTTCGTTTTTTTGTTTTGGTTTCTCTCCGCTTCCTTTGCCATTAATATTATCTTGCTCATTATTTCTCGTTATTCTTTTACGCAATCTAAGAAAAATAAAGCCTTCCCACATTTGGGGGGGGGGAAGACGGCCGGGTTTTCTTTTTTTTCTTTTCCCAACATTCTACTTCGTCGTGAAACCTCCCCTAACGCACCCCACTGTTTGTGACAGCTTACAACAGCTCCTCGCTTCAATGAGGAAATGAGGTGCAGAAAGCGTTTCTTTTGGTTTTAAAGGCATTTCTTGTTTTTCCCTTCTAACATAGTTTGCTTCGGCATTTCCGTAGATCGATTTCGTCTCTTTTTTTCACTGTTGTTGCCGGCCCTCCTTCAATTAAACCTCTCAGCTTCTTATCTCTTCGGTGCTTTGTCCTCGAGTCGTTTATACATAGGCATTTCAACTTTTTCTTTTCTTCACTTTTCCTTCTTCATGTATTATTTTGGGCTGCGCATGACGAGCGGCCACATGTGCAGATGCAATTATTTCTTTGTTGTGTATTGGTAATCGTTCATGTTGGTGCTGCCTTGTTGTCATTCTTATCTCTCGTCGCTTTTGTACATTTTGGGGGGTGGCTCCTCACTCGCCGTTGCGGATCTGTGTTGGCTATTGCTGTTATTGTTGTTTTCTCTTCCGTCTTCCTACCCCCCCCCCCCCCCTTCCGAGTCCTCATCTTTGTCGTGTTCATCGAGCGGACGTATTCTGTTTTTGTGCGGCTCGTTTGATTTAAAGAATGAAAGTGAAAGTGAGGAAAAACTCACGTGAACCGCGTCCAAGCTGAGCAGCCGCCTCTTCTTTTCTGTGTTTTGTTTCGTCTGGTGAACCAATCATCACGCAACCCGCCCCTCCGTCCGACAATTACCTCTGCTCCTTCTTTCTTTCTTTCTTCGAATCATTCGTTCAGGGAGACGTTCTGTTTATGCCGCATCCTCAGTCTGTACACGCCTCGTTGTTCACCGTTTCCCACTTCTTTTCATGCTTTCCTTGTTTTTTGTTTCTATTTTATTGGGCATTTATTCGAGTTGCGGAGCGAGAGAGATGCGTAGGTTCTTTTTTTTCTCAAAACCCGCAACGCTTCCGTTCTTTGCAGAGAAATGTTTCTTTACCCCGCAGGGAGTATCGGTGGGTTCCCTAAATCTGCCTCTTATTTCTACTTTTCTCCCCCCGAGAGGAGGTTGGTGTCCCAATTGTGATGCTTCCCACGTCAAACCCCTCCTTGTCTTGTGTGTGTTCTTTTGTAATCGCAGTTTATGCTACCTCAGCAGTTCTGCTGTATTTTTTCTTTTCTTTTCTTCGATTTCTCTTCGCCCATCTGCTCACACTCCCGCGGAACTTTTTCTCTTCTACTCCACTGCGGGGTGGATCAAGAAGCGCACTTCTTCCGTTATACATATATATTCATAGAAGAGAAGTGTGTTGTTTCCGGTGTGTGTGTGTGCATTCTGTTGGCAAGCGTCGTGACACACACTTCACTTTCCAATGAAGCGAAACGTGCGAATTCTACTATTTACTGCTTCTTGTCTAACGTCAGAAAGCTATCAAAACAGATAAAAAGTCGTTGCGCCTTGACCTCAAATATATATCATCTATTACCCCTTACCATTTACTTATTGGCCTGTCTATCGCACACTGACGCGAAGACAGCCTCCTGATTGCACGTTCAAATGTGTGCCGTGCGAAGTTGTTGACGCCGAACGGCTTGAATGCATTTCTGAAGGGCTTGATTCGGAATGCCCACTTAGGTTCGTCTTTCTTTTTTTCGGAAACCGTCAACTCCTTTTTGTTGTTGCTGATGAGTCCTTCTCCACCCTCCACCCTCTCTTGCCCCTTTCTTGCACCGATGTTCCTTTTGGAGTTTCCTCTCCACGACTTCTGGTCAAAGCGGCACAGTTGTTAGAAACGAAGTGAGTTTAAAAAACAAGAAAGCGCGAGAGATAAGGAGACGTTTCTGTGCCGCCGTGTTTCATGCTGGTGCATCCACCCACACGTTTGCAGTGTGGAAAAGAGAAAAAACATAACGGGCTACCATGTGGACAGCGACGGCGGCATCCGGCAAAACGAGCCTGTCGCTCTCGCGCCTCTCCGTCGTGACGGAGGAGCGCTCCCTCCACGAGACCGCACCCAACGTTGTGGCGCTGCTGCCGGTGTCCACTCGTTCTCCGTCGAGTACGTACGTCGCGGTCGCTGCACACCCTGACAGCGACGGAAGCTCACCCGCCGCTGGCTGCAGAGGTGCTGGAGGTGGCGGGGCTTTGGAGGGGGCCGACTTGCTGTCGCTTCACAAATCTACGCTGCAGGACTTAATAAATAATGTGAAGGCACCGACGCTGCGTGCAGTAAATGCCGTTCATAGGCCTGTGCTGCAGCTGTGTCTATACAACTTAAACCTCTCTTACGGGACACGATCAAAGGATCTTGCGGCTCTCGCACCGGATATGATGTTGATTCAAACCGTGGACTTGACATGCGAGGACTTGCGTCTCGCGCCGTCGCAACAGGCTGCTCTAAAAGCGGAAGAGAAAAGGGAAAGTGGGAGCCCCGCAGCGGTGCTCTCCCCTGAGGCGGTGGTGGTCGAACAGCTTGCGTGGGTTGGCGTGCGGTTCGTTGCGCTGAAGACGCGGCAGCGCCAGCTGTTGCTCGTGCAGACGGGTCTTTCCACGCGTATAGGCGACGCCTCCGCGGATGACGTCTCTTCCGATGAAGAGGAGTGGGCGGCGGCTGTGGATCCTCCGACAGCAAGCCCCGTTCGCAGAGTTTTTCGTTATATCGCAGATTTCTGCAGCGCCACGCTATCAACACCACCGCAGCCCAGCGTCGAGACCTCCGTTCTCATTGTCGCGGAGACGCAGCACGTCAGCGCGGTTGTGTGCGAGACCGTGTCAGACACTACCGCTCGCTCTCCTGTGTCGTTGCGGGAGTACACTTGGAAAGTCGGGCCTTTCAATCACATCAGTGCTGCTCCGGCACCATCAGCACGTGATCCGGCGGCGCTGTGCTTGTGTGGCTCCGCCGCCAGCAACAGCATTGAGGTGTACAAGTGGTCGCTGAATTCCGTTGCACCGCCGGTGTGCGTGCACCACGTTCTCCTGACCGCTGGGCACTTCTTCTACGGAGCTTCTGTCACGGCTCATGACGGTGTTCCTTTGCAAGGAAGGTCCATCGACTTCTGGGTTGTGGGCGCTGCGGCCGTTGACCTCGGCCATCCGAGCAGCACGGTGGCGGTAAATGGAGGTGCGATGCTTCCTACACTCTTCGAGTCATCGCCGGCGCCGCTGCCCTCCCTGCGCGGACTCGATGGCCACTACTTTCAAGTCGAGCCTTCTGCACCCGCTCCGCAAAAAGAACCACGTGAATTGCCGAACCTTCCCATGCCGTCCACCGAGCACCGCACCTTAAACTCCGTGTGGCAGGGCAGTCCTGTTCCTCGCGGACAGAGGAAAAGCGACGGAGAGCCGCACGACACGCAGCTTTCTTCTCCTGCTGGATGCGCTGCGGCTTCCACGACCTCTCTGACGCAGCTGGAGGCGATGGTCAGTCTGCGCATTAGTGCCCCGCACTTCCTGCCACCCGGCAGCCGGCGGCGCAGCGATGGAACGGCGCAAAGCCCGGCGCCTTCCACCGTGGCCATGCAACGGTACCTCCTCCACATCCATTGTCCAGTGCACACCTGCAGCGAGGAGAAGGACGCAACTTGTTGCTCAGAAACGGATCCACCGACGGCTACGTCACGGCCCGGATGGAGCAGCAAGCTGCTGTCACTGGACACTGCTGAATGCGCTGCCGCACTTCGGTGGCTGGCGGAAGATGACGACGCTGCAGAGCAGCGGCGTACTGAGGAGGACGTGCCATCATGGAAGCTGGACCCCGCTGCTTCCCTCGTGCAGTTCCCATCAGGGAGTACGAACGCCGCGACGGCTGCTTTGACACATGAACTTACGCTGCACACCGCACGTCGAGTGCTGAAACTGTCGGTGGATAGCTTCCCCTCCTCCGCGTCGAGGAGAGCAACGGGCTCGTTTCCACGCGCCGTCCACGTCCGTGGCACGCACGAACTGCTTTCACCAGAGCAAGTGGTGGGTTGGGGTGCGGCCCCACAAGTGCGAGGCGCATCTCCGCCTCTTCTCCTCCTCTCAGGTTACGGGCACACGATGGATGACGACAGCTCCGGCGAAGGGCGGCAGGTGACCTTGTACGGACAGACGAGGGTCAAGACAACATGGACAACGATCACGCGCATTCAAGCATCTCTTTTGGTCTCGTTGTCACCGTGGAAATCTGGCAAAGCCGATGCCATCGAGGAGGGGAAGACGGCCCAAGTGGATAACGAGAAGCTCTTGGCTTCGGTCAGGTCAATGGTGGCGGCAGAGGGCAGTCGTCTTCAGCGGCACTTCGACGAGCGGATGGATCGCCTCGAAGCGGTGCTCGGGCGGCTTACGCAAAGGCAGTCCACGTAGTTGATTGAGCTCTGCTTTCACGTCGGCAGTCGGTGCTTTTTGCGTGTTTATTGCTTTGCTGTGAAGAATTTCCGTTCCTTTTTTTCCTCCGCTCCCGCTTTCCCTCACGGTGGTATTTTCTGCTAAGCGTCGCCGTTTACAAATAACGTGCAAACGAGAATCACCCTTAAGACTGTAAATGAAACAGAATATCCCATTTCCGCATTTCTGGTGCAACTATTATTAAAACATGGCCGCAAAAAGGAAGGTAAGTGCAGGACGTCTTTCCACTGTCCTTTGAAAAGCAGTTTCACCTCTTCGCTTCCTGCCTTTCTCCTCAACCTCTTGAGTGTGATCAACGCCTTTTTTCTGTAATACTCCGCAGACACACCAGCGCCTTTGTCCTTCTCTCTCTCTTTTTCTCCCAGCCATCAGTTGGGGCCATGATGGAAGCCAAAAAGATCGAAGAAACGCGCACTCTCGTGCAACAGGCCAACAGCGTGTTACTCGAGCACCTTAAACAAACGCCACGCACCTCGCTGAGCCAAAGCGAACGGCGCAGGCTTCGCGAGCTGCTGCGATCACTGCTCCCGTCCCTCTCCATCGTGCGCTCGTTTGAGCACCTGCATCGCTTCCGCAGCGTCTATGTGACGGTCGAAAACGCAGTCGAGCAGGTGCTCACGTGTCCGGCGCTCAGCGAGACAGAGACGCCGCCAGATGATGGAACGCGTCCTACGGGAGAAACTGCAAATGCAAGTCTCTTCTCCGAGGCTGCGCAGCTTGCAGCGCCGACGCCGAGGGCTGCTCCAACTCATCCAGCTGACGCCGAGGCAGACGCTGCTCCTATGTGGAAGAACTTTTACGGCTGCCAAGAGGCCATCCTTGCCCTTCGCCAGGCCACCACCCTTCCGCTGCGCTACCCGACCCTCTTCACCGGTCCGCGGCGTCCGTGGCGACGTCTGCTGCTGTACGGCCCGCCCGGCACCGGCAAGACGCAACTCGCAGCTGCCACGGCGACGGAGTTCAACGCCGTGTTTTTAAGTGTGTCAGCGGCTGATCTGTTGAGTAAGTGGGTCGGCGAGAGCGAGAAGCAGGTCCGGCACGCGTTTGCGCAGGCGGCCGCTGCAGGGCCGCGCTGCATCCTCTTCTTTGACGAGGTGGACGCCCTCTGCGGCGCGCGCGGCGGTCAGGGCGAGAGCGAGGTCGCGCGCCGACTCAAAACAGAGTTTCTTCTTCACTTGCAGAACGTGGCGGCCACGGTGGTGGTGCTGGCGGCGACGAATCTTCCGTGGGAGCTGGACGCTGCAATTGTGCGCCGTTTTGATCGTTTTGTGCACGTTGGCCTGCCGTCCTTGGAGGATAAGCTGCAGTTCTTGCGCGATGGGATGCGCGGCGCTGCAAACACGGTGACCGATGCCCAGCTGCGTCGCGTGGCGGAGCAGACGAAGGGCTTTTCGCTGGTGGACCTGCGCCGCTTGCTCTCCGATGCCGTCATGGCACCTGTGACCGAGTGGCTTTCCGGACGTTCTTCTTTCCAGTGTAAGACGACGGATGGGAATGCTGTCCAGAATGGCAGGGCAGCATCTGAAGAGAAATGCGGAGGGGGGGCTTTGTTGCCTGCGAATGAAACGTCTCTCTCCTCGACGTTGCCGTGCCGAGTGCACTGCGGCGGCGAAGAGGTCGACGACGACAGAGCAAACGGAGAGCAGCGAGTGCTGGGCGACGCGAGCAGCGGCAGCGAGACGTCCGCAAATGCCGGCTTCACTACTTCGTCTGCGTGCACTTCAGCAAACGGTACGCAGAGCCCTGTTGATGCCTCTCTTGCAGAAATTCTATCCACGACGTCGGATGCATCGCTCGATCGCGCCTGTGAATTCGATGTTCCATCGGTGGAGGTAAAGCACTTTGAAGAGGCGTTGCGTCGTGTCGTTGCGACAACACCCGCAGCGGACGCTGCTCGGTATTCCAGTTGGTCCTCCCACGTTGTGCAGTCGTGAAGGGTGCGTTGACTGGCGTCGTACGGTGCTCTTTCCCCAACCAACTTTTTGTGTGTGTGTGTCGTTGTGTTGGTTTTTCTGCTATTCTTCGTTTGTGAGTTCTGCTACTGTTTGTGTTTTTCTCTTCACGATTCGTTTATTGTTGTTGTTCTGTTTCGAACCATTCTATTCCACGACAGTCTGAATGTTGAACCATTCGTACCCGCTACTAAACTCCACAATGCGATGTGGAGTAGCGCTGGCGTGGATGGAAGGGTCACCTGACCTGTTCTTATCTTTCCTGTTCTTGGGGTACTCAGTTTCATTTGGACTTGCTGGCTGTTTTCCCCTCCCTTCTCTTTTGGTGTTCCCTCACAACTATTCTGTACCCTCGACAACACTCCTTCTACCTCGTTCCTTTACCGTTTTGTCCGCATTAGGTCTTTATCAGCCTTTCATTCTTATTATTAGTTCATCATGACCATTCGGGTGGTGCTGCAGGCCATGGACCAGGGCTACCTGCTCGTGGACAACGACGAGAAGTACGTCCGCGCCGGCCGTGGGGTGATGCTCTACATCGCCTTCCTCGCCGACGCAAAAGATGGGACGATCAGCGACGCTGAACTGCAGCGCGCCGTCGACGTGTTGCTGCAAACGAAGATTTTCACGCACTTCTCACCGGAGAAGATGATCACGCGTCCGCAGTCGCTGGCGGAGTGCCCGGAGATGGACATTCTGATTGTGCCGCAGGCCTCTCTCGGTGGGAAGGTGAAGAAGGGTCACTCCGTTCAGTTTCACGAGCTCGTGCCGAAGGATGTGGGGGCGGCGCTGTACGACCGCCTCTGCCACTTCATCCGCGTCGCGCGCGGCGTCAATGAGGCGCTGGTCGACGCCAACGGAGCCCCGATCAACGAGGACGACGCGCCGAAGGCCGAGGGATGGATCAAGTACAGTGGCCGCGTCATCTCCGGCACCTTTGGCAACCGTCAAGGTCTTCGCTTTGAGTCCGAAGGGCCCTTCACACACGTGTTTGAAATTTAGGCGGTCAAGATGGTCCTGGAAACATGCGCCTCGCCATCACGCATCGAGACGCACGCTGCTAATCTATCGATCTCACAGCGTCTTTTTAATATCGAATTCCTGGGTGGCACCATAGCTGTGCTTTTTTATTGTTTCTATTTAATACCACAGTTGTTGCATCGTGAAAAAAAAAAAAGAGCTGTGTACATGATCTAAATGGCGGTTAAAATTGTATTCTCCAAGCTCGTACTAATGCCCATATTCATCTCGGTTTAATAATCAAAAAACTGTAACTTGGTTATCTGGATGAATCTGGTTGAGGTCGAATGCACGGGTAACTACTTACGTTTCCGTGCACACACTACCGACACGTTGATCCCCTTGCTTTGTATCTACGAATGGAACTACAATCTTCAATAGCATTCGGCTCCTTAACTTCATTTTTTGACCTCCCTCGCATTCTCGGCCCCTCCTCTCGACCCTACGCAGGGATTTTCGTCGGCGTAGCAATAAAGAGCTCCTCCGAAGCTGCTTCGTTTTTTCTGATTAATTGAACTCATCGAAACACCGCGTATTTGAAATGTCGCTGGCCACCAGCTCCGCGGCGCTTGGTGAAGCTGTACAGCGGACGGTGACTGGCGCAGCGCAGCCCGCGTTATGGACGCCGCAGCAGCGTTGCTACCGTGAGCTCATGCGAGCACTCCGCGGCGCCTACTACCACGACCGATCGAAGCTCTTCTGGGCACGGCATCGTGTTCTTGTCGAGTTCTACAAGTATTCCCGAGTGGAAGAGGAGAAGGACGTTGCGTTGCTCGTTGGCATCGGCGGTGAGGTCGCAGCGTTCGTGACGGAGTACATGAAAGTCGATGTGGGGGCCATCATGCAGCACAACGAGAAGATGCTGTCGCTTCCGGTAGCCGTGGCAAAGCGCTACCGTGAGGACTATCTGTTGCATGAGAAGCAGCACGACTCGTGGTGTAAGCAGAAAATACGGCTGATGATGGACCGGCGTCCCCCACCACCGTACCCTTTCTTCTAAAATAAAAGAAACAGCAGAGGGGCAAATAACGACATGCAGAAGGTCTGTGGTTTAGAAGTGGACGTTCTTGAAATGCTACGGTGCCAGGCTTCTTTTTTGTCTTTTAGTCGCGGCGTTAATTGGCTGTCTTGTCCTCCACCTGCCAGCGTTTGTTGGCAGTTGGGTTTCTCGTTACTTACACCAGTGTTCACAAAATTATAGGTATTTAATAAGAGCACACCTTGCCTCTCAACATTCGTCTTCTCGAAAAACGGCGTGGAGGGTTTCCACGAGTTCCGCACCTTTGTTTTTTCTTTTGAAAGACAATACAATCCTGCGTCAACGATTTGTTGCTTAAAAAAGCGGCTGCTACGTTGCGTTCTGCACGCAGTCGTGGTTTACCGTGACTTCCGTGTTCTGCCTGCCTCTTCACCTTTTCTCTTTCTTGTTCCTGCTCTTGTTGTTGTTCATTATCGCCCCAGCATCTCTAGTGAGCCCAAATCCAACCGTGAGTATCTCTCTTTCGAAAATCGACTTTTAATCGTCAAATTATTTTTACTTTTTTTGAAGTTGTTCTCGTTTATTACTCTTTTTTTGTTGTTGTTTCACAATCCCTCAAAATACATCCGAAACAAAGTCATGGCCGCATTTATCCCCGACTCCAACAATCGCAACAGCATCACGCTGCGCAACGATGACGGCTCCAGCATTACGGTGTACGAACAGGGCGCCCACCTCTCCAGCTGGAAGTCGACGGATGGGGTGGAGCACCTGTACCTGAGCCCCAAGGCCATCTTCGAGGACCGCAAGGCCCTCCGCGGTGGTGTGCCGATCATCTTTCCTCAGTTCGGCGGCTACGGTCCGATGCTGCCGGTGCACGGCTTCGCCCGCATCCGACCGTGGAAGATCGAGGACTCCGAGAACGGCCGCGCCACCTTCAGCCTGCACGCTGGTCTGGCGGAGCTGTTTCCGGAGGGCTGCTCCCTCTCCGATAGCCCGCAGAACGCCGTGAAACTCCTCTACACCATCCACTTCAGCAACATGGAGCTGAAGCTGACGATGAAGGTCACGAACACGAGCGAGGAGCGCGAGGCGCCGTTCCAGTTTGCCTTCCACACGTACTTCGCGGTGGAGAAGCTGCATCGCACCGTCGTCAACGGCGTCAACCGCTCCCCTTACGTGGACAACAATGAGTCGAAGGGCGACCCGAAGGCCAAGGTGCATCAGCCGGAGCCGCTCTGGATTATTCGCGAGGAGCACGACCGCGTCTACCCCGGCCAGCACTGCGCCATCCTTCTGCAGGACCTCGAGGCGAAACGTGCGATTCAGGTGTCTACTCCGAACCTGCCCGATGTGTGCATCTGGAACCCTGGCCCGGAGAAGTGCGCGGCGCTGAAGGATATGCCCTCGGACGGCTACCAGCACTTTGTGTGCGTTGAGCACGGCAACATGCTGAAGCAGGTAGTGGTGCCGCCGAACTCGAGCTGGACGGGCACGCAGGTGATCACTATACTGCCCGGCAGCCCGGCGGATGCGAAGATGTGAACCGACGTGGAGGCTTTGGTGGAGTCTATGGAGAAGAAATGAAAGTGGGAAAGCCTGTACGTTCGGTAGTGCAACCGGTGCTCGTGCAGTTCATTTTGCAAACAACAAGACACGACACACGAACGCAAGATCGTCGACGGCGTACTAAGGTGTGTGCGTGAGGTGCCTGCGCACCCGCACACACACACACACACCGCAGTGCGGCCCACGAGCCACCAACAGCTTTCTTTCACGACATCCCCTCTTCTTTCAACTTGAAAAACAGCTTCATTTGTTTTTCTTCTCTCGTAACGCACACGTCTCTTAACAAGGCCTCTGGATTCCTATCAGCGAGGGCGTCATCGACGCCGCACTCGCTGCAAAAAAGCACGCCTCCTTTCTCTATCCCTGATGTTCCACAAATGAGCAAGCTGCTCTTGATACGACGGAGGTAAGACGGGCACCCCGCCATACACTCGCTTGCTTCAGCAAGTGTGTGTGTTATTCTTTTCCCCTCCTCCTCCTCCTCCTTGTTTCGCGCCTTTGCCCCGCAAAAGCAGAGAGCAGACGAAGGGGAGAGAGGGAGAGAGAAAAGAAAATTATGACCACGGTGCAGCATGGCACCGGCCGCTAAAGCGATACAGTACCGAAGGATAACGCGAATGAATAAGTTTACCACATCGTTTCGCGCAAAGGATTTCTCCTCCACACACTGGAGGTGAACTTTTTTTTCTCATTACTACTACTACTACTACTACTACTACTACTATTCTTATTGCCCTTCTTTGTGGGTTGTTGTTGTTGAAGCATCACCTGTGGTATGCTGGCTTGACACTTTCTTCATCCCATTGCATCGGTTTCCATGTGAAACCCAAACACAGCACCCCTGATTGGGAAAAGGGAAAGAATTCTGATCAAAAACATTTCTTCTTCTTTTATTTGGCGCGGTTGTATCGAAATGTTCACTGCCCTCTGTGGAGAGCGGATCGTAAACGTTCAAGTTGATTAGTTTCCCTCCGCACGTTTTCATGGAGGCTGGGTTCAAGTCCTCTTTGATGGTCTCATTCCTGGCGCATGTTTGCGCTGGTTTATTTTTGTTGGTTTTTACACATTTTCTGAGAATACTACTAGTTTTCTTTCTCCTATTTCTTGGGTAATACATCGTATTAGGTGGTGTGTAACGTACCTCGCACCGGCAACAACAAAAAAAAAGAAGAGGAGGTTGCAGTCATCAGAGCTCATTGACGCTGGGTTTTCTGAGATCATGCGTTATTACCATTTGTTTCTTGTTTCTTATGATTATTGTTTTCTTCTTTGTACGCGAACGTTTCCCAGTAGTATCAAATGCATGCACATCTCTCCGTCTTTTATTTTCCCCACCCCACCCCATCCCCTTTTTTTTCGCGTATGCAATCGTCTGCCCCCCGCAACTACATATGAAAGAAGTGGGTGTTGCGTTGACGGTTCTCCTTGCTCTCCTTCTCCTTCTCGTTCTTGTTGTGGGGCATTTCCTTTCACGTCGGTGGGATGGAATTCAAGAGGAGGGCTTCGCTGTTGTTGGTGAACGACCGCGCACAGATACAAGCTGATGGGGTTTATCTGTGCCGGCGAATGTGCTCGCATTTATTCAAAAACACTCCCAGAAAAAACGAAATGTATCCGCTAAAATGGAGGTACCTCGATTTTCTCTCTGTTTCTCTGACGACAAAAAGGATAAAGTAAACTGAATTACACACGCCAAAACACTTCTCATGTAAATGAAAAAATATGGTTAGTATCTCTCAGTTCAGCATTTAGCGGGGTTTTTTTTTTTTGAGGGGACTTTGTATGGAGATGTCATGAGATCGGAGCTGAAACAGGAAATTGGAGGTTCTTGTTCGTTTCTGTGTTGCGAAACCAGCATCCAAAGTAGGTGTTCTTAGTGGAACAGACCGGATCGAGAAACATCCTGTATTGCATCTCCTCTCGTTCATCTCGTCATCACACTCCTTTACTCGACTCCATTTCTTCACTTTTTTTGTGGACGGCCGTCTGCACGCACTCGCACGCACACTCGACCAAAGGTACAAGACGCCTGTGTGTGTCACACACAAACGCACATACACCTTTCTCTCAATTCATATATATCTGCATGTGGACGCACTGCGCGCGCGAAATCACGAAACGCGAACCAGACAGAGTTGTTCAAGATGTTCCTGAACCGTAATGAGACCTTCCTGACGTCCTTTGTTCTGGACGACCTCCTCAACAGACTAGTCGCCGGCGTGTACGAAAAACGTCCTGTCAGCTCCCGCGAAGTGCTCGAGCTGATGTCGGAAACTCTCGAATCCACAAAGATGAAACAGTGGTATTACAGTGAAACAGTGCGGTCCTTCAAGAGCACAGTCGACGCACTGAATCGGCGCGGCTTTCCGATGCAGATGACGTGTCCGTTGTACTTCCGCGTCCCGCTAGAGGACGGCGGAGTGGACGAACTTTTCCCCAGCGGGTCGCAAGTCGCCGTAACACCGAACAACTACGACACCTTCGGCATCATGTTGAAGCAGTACTACCGCTACAGAAGCAATCCAGACGCCGGCGGCTCCTACTACGACGCGGCGCGCCGCTTCCTGCCCATCAATGTACACCGAAACCTGCTGAATCTCAGTTTTTTACCGGTGCTTAAGCTTGTCTCGGAGCACTTATTGAACCCAGACTCGCCGTGGTGCGTGCGCTCGGAGGAGGAGTGGGCCCAGCTTGGCGTGACCTACGCCGTGCCGCTGGCGGGGCGCTTCTTTCCGGTAGACCCGACAAAGCCCGCCATGACGTCGGTGCCTTTTGCCGAGGCGAGTCGCTACGTGGAGCTGGCGAGTGATACGGTGAACAAGCTCAACAACTTGCTCAAAACCGGCGCAGCGCTCAACGCATTCCGCTTGACTAGCACGGCGGCCCCGCCGCAACCGTTGCACCCGCCTTCCGCAGCGACGTCACCGGAATGCGACGTCGCGACGAGGCTTTCGCCGCTTCCACCGCAGCAACAGCAGCGACAACAGACGACCGCATCGCGCGTGACACACTCATTTAATGAATTTGCAGAATTAGAAAGCATTGGGTTACGTCGCGAGACGTGTCAGAACATGACAGCAGCTGAGCTCAGCTTCTGGGACTACATCCTGCAGCTGCGGCGAAACCCAACACTGACACAGGACGTTTCTTTTCGTTTAGAATTTGGAGGGGGAAAATACATCGACCTCGAAGCCAACGGGGCCTTTATCCCGGTGACCAAGTACAACGTGGCGCAGTTTTTCGAGGCGGCGGTGCAGCAGCAAGACGAGGTGCACCGCTACATCAACGGAATCGCCTCCACGACGACGATGGCGACAACGAGCAGCGCGTTGGCGGCGGCGGGGGTTTCGCCAGGGGAGGCCGGGACACGGCGATCGTCCCTTCCCATGCTGCCGCCGCCGCCGGGGGGAACGGTGAGGACGGCCGCCGCACCCGCACCGCGGCGATGGCGACGGACCCCGACTCCACCAGCGCAGGAGAGTCGGTGGCGTGGAACGAGACGCGGCTGCGGCGGTCTGACGTGGACTCGGCCGTGGTGCGCTCCATGCTGGGGCTGCGCGTGCTATACCACGAGAACCGCCTCACCGCGGCCGACGTCGGCGGGCAAAGCCTTCGTTTCTGCATCCCGTGCGCGGAGGGCGTGTACAACTTAATCCCCAACGGACGCGAGATCCGCGTTGGTCTGCGCAACTTTGGGGAATTTATGCTCCGCCTCGAGGAGGAGAAGCGACGGGTGGAGGCGGACGGCGCAGGCGGGCTTGGCGACGTGGTGCTGCCGGTGGAGGACAACGACAAGGGCGACGCGGACGCGGAAAGCTTCTGGACAGACAGGAGCGTGTTAGAGATCTGGACCTACGAGGTCACGACGGACCTGTTGGCGCGATCCGGCCTGCCGCCGGAGGAGGTGGTGCTGCAAACGAGCCTGAAGTGGGACACCAACTTTCTGCGCAACGCCGACGATCCGCAACGTGTGATGAGTGGGCCGCGAGGCGAAATTCTGCCCGGTCAGCTCACGAACTACCTCGCGCTACTGCACCGTCGACTGCAGACGATCCGGCTCGCCATTCTGGACGCGCGCAGGTGCAGCAGGCAGCCCTCTGACGGCGACAGCTACGACCTCGGTACGGCAGAGCTGGCCGCCGCCGCCGTGGTCGATGTGGTGCCCAACACCGCGACACCCACGTTCTACACGCCGCACCAGCCGCGTCCCGTCCCTCCCCCTCCAACCGAGGCAGACCTGAACATGTTATTCCCCACGCACAACACAGGGGGTCTTCTGGCCCCACCTCAATCGTTCAATCATTAATACAACGCCTTCGCCTCCTTCGTCACCTCCCTCTCTCTCTTCTTCCCCGTTTCGCGCCGGCCGAGATTCTCCTCCGCCTTGGTGTGGAAAGGCTTGTTTTTGCGCGTGTGCGTCGCCTCATCGCCGGCTTTCGTGACGTCTCTCCTCGCTCCCCTCCGGCCCTTCTTAGACAGTACTCACTTTTCTTGTTTTCTTTTTATTGCTATTTTTTTTTTCAAATCTCCAATAGAATTTTCTTTCCCTGTTCCCCTTTTCTTTTGTTTTGCCGTTGTGTATCTCCCTCGTCCACAACACGCACACCTCCTTCTCACACAACGAATGAAAAAGGGAAGCTCTTGAGAGCCGCAGGCAGGGCGCGCATCAACCACATCGACAGACAACGCGAGAGAGCGACAGACACACACGCACGGCAGGCTACTCTTTGCCTTGTGCTTTGTGCGACAACACTTTTTCGCCTTTAGACTTGCAGGTGTCTCTACACATTCCACGTGTGCCACCATCACCGCTCTTTCCTGTTTGGTCCGTTTTTTTGTTGTTGTTTGTTTGTTGAAGTGTAAATACAATTGATCCGCATTCCCTGTTTCTGTTTTTCTGTCTTGTCCATCACAATGGTTTGCACGATGCCACTTCACTTTTTTTTCCATATACTGTGACTATCGTCGTCGCACATTTTCATACACCCACACCCACACCCACACACCCACACACACATACACATGCATACACGGATATCCACAAATGATTGGTGTTTTTTAACTTTCTATACTACTACTGCTCATGTTGTGGTCGCTTTTCATGGCATTTCGTTTTGTTTTGTTTTTCATGATCTCTCCGCGTATATCAGCGTCTTCTTCTTTTTGGTTTCTCTCACCGGATTGTTGGTAGTGGTTTTTCTCTCATCCTTTTTTCATGTTGTGCCCCTCTCTCTCTGTCTCTGTCGTGAACAAGGACGTGGGTCCACCACGTGGCGGTGGTACGCCGTGAGTCACGCAGAAACCCTGGGAGCATCTTGCAGATGCACTCTCCTTTGCGCGTGATCCTTGTGCTCGTGTGTGTATGGCAGCCTCGCTGACACACTGCGAACCCACGATGAGCTTTCTTAATGTGTATGAATACGTTCTCTTTTTATCTCTTAGCCTCGTGAGTTCGCACGCTGGTCGACCAAAATGGACACGTACGCGTACACACGCATGCGCCTCGCTGCTATAAAATGAAGTTGGTGTGGAGGAGGCGTGCCTTTATATTGGTTGTGAAACGCGTTGAGCTACTTGCTCGTTCCCCAGGCGTTCCACAATACAGCTTCTCTACCGCAGCGTTTCTGCTGCTGCTTGTCCTTCTCTTTTTTCTCTTCTCTTGCTGAATGGCGAATTGTGCCTTCAGATTTCTTTTGTTGTTCTTGTTGGGGTTACGACGGTGTGTGAGATCTTTTTTGTAGTCGTCGTTTTGCCCTCATCTTCAAAGTCATCCGTAATTGCGACCTCTGCGAAACAAGAGTTTGCGGTTGGTCGGATTCGCTGCTCGCGCATGGGTTTTCTTTGTACAGCACCGGCACACAAGTAGGCGAGCCTATGTACTCTCTCGCTTTCTTTGTTTTTCTTGCCTGAAAGTTTGCGATAAAAAAAAAAAGAATGCCAGGAGGTGAATCGAAAGCTCGATGATGTGTGCTTTTCCTTTCTCTTCTCTTCTCTTCTCTCCCCTCTCTTCGATCTCTCTTCATGAAAGGCTGTTTTGGGGGTTTCCCGCCGTCCTGTCCCCTTTCCACCCCACGAGGTGGGAATGCAGACTACCTGAGTCTGCAAGAAACTTCCTTTCGTATAGTCCCTTAATCATTAAAGCAGTGCACAAAGGATGTCAACCCTTAAGGCGAAAAGAAAACGATACACGGGATGTAATGATATCTACTTGCACATTACTTGCGTTTCCTCCTTCTCGTTTCTTATTTCCCTCCCTCCTGGGTAGAGAGCAGTCGACTAGGTTTCTTTTCTCTTTCACTTTTTCTTCAGCAGACTACTGTGTGGATCATTCTTCTTTGTTGCCTGTTCGAGCACCCGCTTGCTTTCGTCCTCCTTCTTTGATTTGGTGTGCACGAGGTACCGAATCGGAAAGTAAAATGCACCTCCACACTCCGTCACCTGTCGTCGTCGTAATCCGTTGGTAGGTTTTGTTGCATGCAGGCTCGAAGTGTTTAGTTGTACGCCTACAGAGTCTGCTTTAATTTCTTCTCGGGTGTGTCCGACGGGTAGTTGCGTGGGTGTGGACGCGTTTGGCGTTTGCAAGTGATGGCTGCAAGACCCGTCGGCTCGCCTTTGCTCACACACACACCAAAATGTTCTCCTCTTATTTTTCTCTCCTCGGCTGGCATCAGCCCTCAAACAATAAGAAACGTTAAGTGCTTTAATTCCTTTTATCTTTATCTTTTTCTTTTGCCGCGTATGAACGCCTCGAACGGAGTCGAGCTATACTGTTGACTGGAAGCTACGTATCCTTTATGATACAGGTGTCTGTGTGTGTGTGTGTGTGTGTGTTTGTGTGTTTTGGGTCGTGTCCTATTCAGTAGCTAAAGATTTTTCTGCTCTTCCAATTACCCCCTGTTACGTCGGAAGCACTCCGAAGGTTATTGAAATCTGACTATAAACTTCACCTAACCGCCTCGGAGCACTACAAATCTGCCGAACGAAGACAAAAGCTTTTTTGTCTGTGTTCTTTGTTTTACAAGCATTATCTGTTGAAAGACGTAACACGCTTTTGTCACAGATGCTCGCTGCTTTGCCCTCCTCCCTCCCTCTCTCCCTCCCTTCTCCAAACACACGCATTAGCTCTAATTTGACTGTCTCCCTTTGCATCTTTCGACTTTCTCCTGTTCTAGTTATCGTTTTCAGCGCTAGGCAGGGTCAGACACCAACCGATCCCCCGTTCTTCCGTTTCGTTTTTTCTCATTCAATCTCTTCCGTATAGTTGCGGCTGTCCTGTGTCTCGGTCGTGCTTCTTTGCAGTTGTTGGTCTCGACCATTTATTAATCATCTTTGTGTTTGTATGTATTCCTGTTCACCTGTGTCGTTGTTTCTCCATATAAAAGCGTGCGCAGAAAAATAGATCTCATTGCGAGTGGCATAACGTTGAAGATGGCGCTCTTGTTTCGTCGTGTACTCTTGAATTAGAGCGCGTCCACTCCAGCGCTGCCCTTATTGCCTCTGTGTATCTCTTTGTCTACGCTATTTATATATTTCCGCCGTTGCTGCTCTGTGTTTAGCTATATGCTTATGAAAAGAAAGGTGCACTTTGTAAAAGATACTGCATAAACACAGCCGATGGAGTCTGTCGCTCTCGTCTACCGCGAACGGCCAAAAGGATTCCTTTTCTCCTTGATCTTCCGCGCGCATGCAGTCAGAGCCATTTTCATGTTGATATTACCGTTGTTTCTTCTTTTTTTTTGTCGCTCTGTGGTATTACCCGCTCGGCACACATGACCCAGGTTATTGAATATTCTCTGATGTACCACAGTGTTTCTTTCGTGTGTGTTTCGCTATATTTTTTCTCTCTTCACGCTGACTCGAGTGCTGTTTTCTTCTTTTTTTTTTAGCGTGTCCGCCGCCTCGTTCTTCTCCTTTTCTCCTCTCTTCTGTGGCGTTGGTCGCTGTAGCGCTCTAACCTTTCTGCGCAGCTTTTGGTTTGTGTGTGTGTGTGTGTGTGAAGAAGACGTTGTTAAAGTTTATTTGATCTCGGCCGTGGGAGAAGAGAAAAGCGAAAGCCGTTCTTTCCGCTCTCTTTACTTTAGTTCATCGTTCGTATCATGCTTGCCGGTTTCTTGTTCGCGTTTGTGTGTGTGATCATCGGTGCTTCCTTTGGTACGCGGCGACGCTGGAGCAGGCGAAGCCAATGGGGTAAAGCAGCGCCTTAATTATACTGAGGCGATGACACCAATTCTGAAGATAATTTTCGCTGCATTTTTGCTGGTTTTATTCAAAGGCCCATTAGCAGTATTATCCATCATAATTGTTTGTTTCTGCTTAAATATCAAGAGATTTTTTTCTTCACCTCCACATTAGCGTATATGCAACGTTAACGCGTTATATTTTTTGTTGTTTTCTTGTTTTCGTGCTATTTTCATGATGCGCTTCTCCTGTCTCCTCGACATTCTCCTTCCTCTTGTTTCGTTGGTTTCCGCTACGCCGCCTATTCCTCTGTATCTTTCTGTTTTTTTTTTTCTTTGCTCTCAGTGTCACGTGATGTATTCGTTCGCTCTTGTTTTATTGTAACTAGAGCGTATATGACTTTAACTGTGTGTGTGTGCGGGTGTGTGAGAGTAATCGTGTTGAAGCGTGATGTCTACGCCGGCGAAACAAATGTGTTGTCGACAAGGCCCACGTGCCCTTCACACGACTGAGCATATCAACATATAGATGAGATGCAGTTCTTTTCCCGTTTGCTCTTGTTGTTGTTTTTCCTTCTTTAGTTTCACCTCTTTAGGGGGTCCAGGTAGCATTTTTGATGCATAATTTTCTTCGTGCTAGCGCTGTGGCGCTCCGCAACTGTTATTCCTTTTTTCTGTACTGGCTTGTGTCTATTTCTGATCTTAATGACAGAGATGCTTAACAAGAGAGAGAAAAGGAGGAAAAACGGTAGAATAACAAAGGTAAGGCATGGTGGCCGCATTGCATGTTGTGTCTTGTACATGCTGTTACTGTTGCACAGTCTGCTTTATTCAACCCACGTGTTAATGTTCTTTTTTATTTTTGAGGGTGTGTGTGTATTTCTTTCGCTTTCATTGAACGAGCATTGTCTCGCGTGTTCACCTCAGCTTCTTTTTTTCCACGTGTTTTTCCGACCCTCACCGTTTTCCCTCGATCTTTACACATGTTTTTCCTGTGCTCCTCAGCTTCATTTATCGTAGTATGTGTTTTGCACTTCGATCTGTGTGCCTGAACGGTTCCAGCATAAAGGGAATTCAGCAGCGTGGGAGGGACGCGCAGGAGAGTTGGTGCTTACCTACTGATCTCCGTCTGCGCGCTTTTCATGTTTCCCTTCATCCCTTCAGCTACTAGAGGTTTTGCTTGTTGCTGTTGACTTGGTCGCTATTTTTCATCCAACTTGTTCTCGCCCACCACAAGCTGAAAAGAACCACAAGGAGGCAACCGCAAAAACTATCTCCCGTCTTCCTACTTTCTGCGAGACCATGGAAGGTGTTGTGGGTCATAGTATGCTGCGCTGTACCCCACCACAGGTTCTACACGCGTGTGCTTGAATGAGGCACGCACCGCCTTTTTTTTTCCTTTTTTCTTTGATATAGAACGCAGCTTTTTATTATTATTAGGAGTACTACTTCCTTTACTATGAACCTTTTCCTTCGTGTTCTTTCAAATGTGTATAGAGAGTGCTTTCACGTAACTACGTCTATAGCTTTCTCCGCTTTGTGTGAGGCAATTTGGGTTCTCTGTCCTCCAGTCTGAGCATTCATTTTCTTCCTTTGTTCTCTCACATTTCTAGATCTATTGGGGCGTGTTTTGTTTTTCTGTGGTTTCCTTTGTCTGTTTGTTTTCTTCTGCAGCGCACATCACTCTCTTCTTTCTCCCCTCACTGTTGATTACCAATCCGTTTAATACCGGCTTTATATATATATGCATATATATAATATAATATTGCGCTAATACTATTATTACTATTATTTTGTGGTTCAGCTTCTTTGGTTTACGGCGTTATTCCAGTTGTAATACTGCCTTTTCATCCTCCTTTCTCTCCGGTTCTGTTGCGCTTTACTAATATTATTACTGCTTTTTTTGTTTTTCCACTCTACCTCGCAATGGACGCTTTTCCTTTTTCATGTGTGTATACGCTCTAATTTCACTTGTCGAGCGCGGTGGCGACCGTCTCGTTGCGAATGCATCGCTTGCTTGTTTGTTTGCTTTCCTTTCACCTATTTTGGGTTTTTTCTTTTTATTCTCTTCTCTCCTTCATTCTTGCTTGGAGAGGTTGTGATAGCAGACGTGGCTTTGATGAATGCGAAATTTGATAACGCAGAGAAACAGAGGGGTGGCTTTCTTCACAGCTGAGCAGCAGCAGCAGCAGCAGCAGCAGCAGGCGGTCGATGAGCGCAGTTCACCGCACCTCGACCTGTGTCCTTTTGTTTTTGTTTTTTGAATGACGCGACTCATGTCCTCCCTCACTTGTCAAGCCAATGGTGCTCCTCAAATGCAATGAGGCCGTGGAAAAAAAAAACGGCAAAGCTGTAGCTTTGCGCTCGCCTTTGCTTTATGTCGAGCAACCCGAAACCTCCACTCGCGAAAGGGGCCATTGCGATTGGCAGAACTTTGCCTTCGCTCATTTCTCACTTCTGATCCCGATTCTTTTTGTCTCCATTTCTTTCATCTGAAGTGTTGGCTGTCTTCGTAGCACAACGACGAGCACGCTTTCACACACACACACACACACCTTCCTCACTTCTTTCTTCCCTAAATTCTTTGAAATCTATACACCGCTCACGTTTTTCTGTGGCTACGTAGCAGCCTTACTTGACTTTTCGTTTTCCCATAATCCGAATACATTGTCGATCATTTTCTTGCGTTTCCTGTGAGGCTGCGCACCCGCTCCTTTTCTTTGTACTCGTATTGTCTTACATTTCATCCCCTCCTTATTTCGTTCTCGCTTTTTGCGAATACACAGCAGCGATGGGCGGGGGTGCAGCTTTCTGTGTTGCTCCGCTGACGTGGCAGGACGGTCTCGCCCGCTACCCGCCTGCCGCATCGCAGGAGTGGAACACCGTCGTGCTGCAGCCCGGCGACTACGACGAGGATTTCTACACCATCATCAGCAACTTGGAGCAGCGGCACCTACTTCACGAGTTCTCAGAGGCGGACTTTGACCACCTAGGCCTCACCTTCAACCTTGTCACGGCGCAAGGGACACAGTACAACTTGATCCCAAACGGTAGCGAAATTCGAGTGACACGGTCGAACGCCTACGAGTACTTCCAGCGCGTCCGCAGCGCGTACGAGGGTCTGCGGCAGAGCACGGCGATGCACTCCCCAGCACCACCACCACTACCACCGGCAACTCGTGCCACCGCGCTTTCGCCACCACAGCCGCGACTCCGTAGTACCGCCACAGGGCTTCGGCTCACCGTTCAGGACATCCCGTCTCTTGAGAGGCTGCGCTGGAGTGCCCGCAACGACCCGGAGCGGCTGATTTTCCCGCCGGGTGAGAAGCTGCGGTGGGCCGTGGTGCCGCGTACAAACGACTTTATGATTCGCCTGCGCCCCGACGGCGAGTTCCGCGTGGTCGATCCGGATGACCTCCCCCTTTTCTTGGATGCGGTGGTGACGACGATGAACGAAGCTGAACGCGCTATTGAAAATTTCGGCTACTACCCGCCCAGCATCATCTGTGCCGTGCCAGCGGAGCTGACTGGAGCCGCCCCGGCTACCCGCTGTCAGGGACCGTCGACACACGCCTCGCCCACGCCAGTGCCTCAGCGGCGTGACAGCGGAAGCAGTCGCACTTCTCTTTACGCATCTGTCCGTGCTGCGTCGGCCGCAGCGGCGAAGGCAGCTGTAGCGACTGGGCAAGAGCGGCGCTACATTCCGAGCGCGTCTCCTGCGGAATTGGAGAAGCAGCGGGCGCTCTTTTCGCCCATGCACGGCACCGGTAACATTCTCGCCCCTTTTCAGGAGATCAACATGTAGGTGGTGTTCATTTTCTTTTTTCTCTCTCTCCTCATTCTTTCTGTAACCCCTCTGTTTGTTGTTGTTGATGTAGCCCGAAAGGAACCCTGTGCGTTGTCACCTCTACGTAGCATCAACCGCCCCCCCCCCCTACCACATGCATTACCGACTTTCGGCTGTCTGTCTGTGTGTGTTCTTTTCCCCGTTTGTCTCTCGCACACACACACACATGTCAATTGCCATTGTTTGATGTAAACAAAGCGGTGCTGAGTAGGTTGAGTGCGCCGCTGTGTAAATAGGCTCTTGACCTTTGGGTGCTGTCGAATTTCGTGTGTGTGTTTTTCCGGTTTGTTGGTTAGTGGAATGGTCTTGTTTCGCGGCTGTGCATCTACAGAATTTTTTCTGTGTCGCGCTTATTTATTTATTTTGTTTTTGCTGATGGCAGGGATTTCTCTATACATTCGCCCTCACCTGATGTCTCCCTCTTTTTTTTTTCTACTCTTTCTATTCGTGCGGTGCAGTTTTCCTGTTTTGTTTTCCGTTATTGTTGTTTCCAGAGTGTCATGTGGACTTTGCGTAGCACTCCTCGCACACACTTGTACCACAAACTTCTTCTAAACCGCTCGCTAGTTGGAGTGGTTTACGACTTTTTTTCCCTTTCCGTTTTTGACAGTAAAACACCAACGAAAGCCTTTATACCTGGCGGCGCCTTCTCTCTTCCCCTCCCTTTTTAATGGTGTTCAGCGCTAACGCTTTTTGTTTTGCTTTTGTCGGTTGCGAACGCGTGAAAGGAAGTAGGCAGGATTATCTCTCCTTTTTCTTCCGACATCAGAAATGAAGTCACGTCGAAGTTCGCTTCCACCCTCACGTGAAACGACGCTTTTCCCCGTTTCTTACAGGTTGTGCCTGAGTGCACCTTGACTCGTTAATAAGCGTATGATAACTGCATTCCCTCTTTGATAAATAACGTGTAAGGAAGAGCACTACGCACACACTTCTTTTCCCACGTTGCCCACGCAGCGAAAGACCTTTTTTTCTTTCTTTCTTTTTTTAATTCTCTTCAGATCCAAAATATACATATATATGGTGCGCCTTTCCCTCCCTCCCTCCTCTTCTCCTTTCATCATATTTCTCCATCCTCCATATATGTTCTTTTCTTCTTCTGCTTCCCAGTTTGTGGTTCTTCCTTAGATTATACCCCTTTTTCCTTTTTTTTGACGCTTGCGAGTTGTGTTTATAAACATATGTTGGTGCGCACGTGTCTCCAACGCAGCGATCGCAGTGAAGTGAAAAGGCGAAGAGAACCGGCAGCCGTCGAAGCGGGGTGGCACCGCGACCTTTCCATCGGTGCAGCCTGTGCTTGCACTGTTTATTGTTCTTGAAGACAAAGGAAAGTGCAGCTTTTTTCTTTCAGGCACATGTTTCTTCCGATTGAAGACACCAAAAACGGAGATTCTAAAACTCGCTCACTACAATGACGCTTTTGACTGGGCAATTTGTTGTGGAGCTTTTTTTGTTTTCTTATGGAGAATGCGATGAAGTCGACGAGTTCCATTTCACCTCAGCGCTATCTGACACTCTTCCCTTTGCCTCTCTTTCTCATCTCGGGCATCCGCTCCCGTGTGCGGACGCACGTCTTGAAACAGTCCTCTCATGAAAAAAGTTTTGTGGTGGATGTACAGACAAATACGCACATTCCTTCACTACGCGATCGCTTCCGCCAGCGGCTTACTGAGGTGCACAGAGCTTACTCTGCATACATAACTAGATACGTCACAGACGGGGACACATAGTGTGCCCCAACTTGCTATTTTTTGTTTCTTCCCACCGGTAATATTTTCTCTCTCCCTTTTTAGTTCGCCATCGCGATGAGGTTGCTGGGTCTCGCTGGGCCTACCGTGGTGGGGGCCTCGGTAGTCTACGCCTACCTGGCCAACCACCCTACCGTCGCCCAGACGGAGAACGGCACCGCCTACGCGTTCCCCCTCTCCACTCTCACCTACTGCGGCCTTCTCTTCTTCGTGTACGTCTCGGGGGGGCTGCCGCGCAACCCCTTCTTCCCCGCCTTCGTTTTCCGCAGCAATATCTTCCCTCTCCTGTACAAGCTATACTGCAGCTACGGCGTCGGCTATCGCTTTCTAAGTGGCGTCCTGCATCAGCCCGTCGCCTTCCCCCACTCCGACTACCGCAATGGCATTCGCTGCCTCGACGCGGGCAGCCCCCTGCGCCTGAAGGTGCCCCCCGTTGGCGGAAAGAACGCACTCCCGTTTCTGCAGAAGTTTTACGCCCGCGGCGGTGGCGTGGTGGACGCCGCGCTGTGGAGCGGGACGGCGGGGCGTGGCGTCGTGGTCGTGCCGGTACCCATGTTCTCCGACAACTACGCCTATTTTATTATCTCGATGCAGACGCAGAAGGTAGCGGTGGTAGACCCCGCAGACCCGGAGATGGTGCTGCGCTTTCTGCGGTCGCTGCGCGGGCTGCTGCGGGTGCCGCTGCAGCTCACCGACGTCCTCACCACCCACAAGCACTGGGACCACGCCGGCGGCAATGAGCTGCTCACCCAGTACGCCAAAACGGGGCCGCCGCCACCACCGGCTCCCTCCCGCTCGCGTGCTGCGAGGGCGAAGGCAGCAGCGGCAGCAGCGGAAGCGGAAGCGGCAGGACCGGCACCGATACCGCCGGAGATGGAGACGACGCCGCTGCTGGACCCACACCTGCGCATCATCGGCTCTGACGTCGACCGCCCGCTCGCCTGCACCGAATTTGTGAACGATGCGTCGCCCGTCTTCACGGTGGCCGGCGGCGGCGTGTCGGTGCGTGCGATGGCTGCCCCGGGCCACACGAGCGGGTCTCTCGTCTTCGTTGTAGGCACCACGGAGGTGGAGGCGGGGGCTGTCAACCCCAGTCCCGCCCGCATTGCCGTGTTCACAGGGGACAGTCTCTTCAGCGGGGGTTGCGGCGCACCGTTCGAGACGGTCTCTGTCACGCAGATTATCAAAGCACGAGAAACGTTTTTAGTGGACAGCCGCATCCGCACGCAGCCCGCTACGGGGCAGGAGGTCGCCGACGAGGATGTGTTGCTGTATGTTGGCCACGAGTACACGGAGCGGCTGCTCGAGGAGGTGGTGAAGCTCATGACGCGTGCTGTGCAGGGCCGCGGCGCGGCGGCGGACGAGCGAGGAATACGCTACATCCAAATGGCAGCGGAGGCCCTGCGTGGGGTGAAGGTGCTACGCGAGCAATCGGACGGCCTGAAGGATGCGTCCCTTATCGGGCAAGATGACAGCAAGCAGCGGCCCGCTTTTCGCCTTCCGTCCTGCACCGTCCCGACGTCCCTAGCGATGGAGAAGACGGTGAACCCGCTGCTGACGGTGGACGCCGCGGAGCTGGCGGAGCTGGCGAGGACGGAGAAGGAGGGTGGTATGGACGCGAGCGCGGTGGAGCGCACCATCTACGGCGCCGGTCGTCGCTGTTTGCCGTCTGAAGAGAAAAACTAACGAGCAGTTTTGTCCTGCTGTGTGCGTTGTCGAGTTTTTCCTTGCCGCTCGTCGCTCTTACGCGGATGTGTTGTTCTGCGTGTCTTGACGCTTTCTGTGTAGCTCTCGGAGCACTAAGCGATCGATGAGAATCCTCTCTGGAAATTCCCGTCGACATGTTGGTTTTTTCTTCTTCATATGTCTCGCCACAATTCGTAGCCGCCCAGCTGCTGTCGTGGAAACGATAAAACTTAATCACACCGACCGTAACAAAAAAGTGCTTAAATATAGACTTTGATTTCGTCTTTAACACCCATGGCATATTCTGGTCGTTGTTGTTCATGGCTTCCGCTGCCGGCGTTTTCATGCTGCTTGTCCCCCGCAGCACAGCCCCAACGAAGAAAACATTTCAATCATGCACATCTCATTGGAAGGCAAGTGTGATGGAGAACGCTTCTTTTGCAGTTCTCTGTTCACCCATTTCCCCTGCCATCGCGTCAAAGAAGAAACACATCTCTTCGCACTCTTCTTTTCCCTTCCTTGCATTTCTTTATTACTATTCTTATTGTTTGCCGCTCCTTTCCGTAGTTACTTTCATTTTTGAGGAGACGAAACGACACCCCGTGGAGTTTGTTTGGCGTTCTTTTTTGTTTTGCTTTCATGCTTCACAACTTGCTCGATTACGCATACCAACAGCGACGTTTTTTCTCTTCTCCTTTTCTTTTGTCGAGCCGCCTTCATTCCTTTTCGTTTCTATCACACTTACTCTCCTTTCACGATTTAGCTACTGCAAGTCTGCTAAGAGCCATTTGTTTACGGCCAACAGTCAACGAACATGACGGCACCTTTTCTTCCAGAGGCCGGAAACGGCGTGCTGCCGACGCCCTCGCGTACCCACGCGCCGGATGAGGTCGAAGTGCTGCCCATCGGCAGCGGCGGCGAGGTCGGTCGCTCCTGCGTGATTGTGCGCTACAAGGGTCGCGCCGTCATGCTGGACTGCGGCAACCACCCCGCCAAGAGCGGCCTCGACTCGCTGCCCTTCTTCGACAGCATTAAGTGTGATGAGGTCGACGTCGTCTTGATCACCCACTTCCACCTCGACCACTGCGGTGCCCTGCCTTACTTTTGCAATCAAACCTCCTTCAAGGGCCGCATCTTCATGACGAGCGCCACCAAGGCTTTTTACAAGATGGTCATGAATGACTTCCTGCGCATCGGCGCCGGTGCGAGCGACTTGGTCACAAGCGAGTGGCTGCAGAGCACAATCGACCGCATCGAGACGATAGAGTACCACGAGGAGGTGACCGTCAACGGCATCTCCTTCCAACCCTTCAACGCAGGCCACGTGCTCGGGGCGGCCATGTTTATGGTGGACATCGCCGGCATGCGCGCGCTCTACACCGGCGATTTCTCCCGCGTCCCGGACCGCCACCTGCTCGGGGCCGAAGTCCCGCCCTATTCCCCGGATATTCTGATCGCCGAGAGCACCAACGGCATCCGCGAGCTCGAGTCGCGCGAGGAGCGGGAGCACCTCTTCACCAGCAGCGTGCACGACGTCGTGCGTCGTGGTGGGCGATGCCTGGTGCCCGTCTTCGCCCTCGGCCGCGCGCAGGAGCTTCTCCTCATTCTGGAGGAGTTCTGGGAAGCGCACAAGGAGCTGCAGAACATCCCGATCTACTACGCCTCCTCCCTCGCCCAGCGCTGCATGAAGTTGTACCAGACGTTTGTGAGTGCGATGAATGACCGTGTGAAGCAGCAGCACGACAACCACCACAACCCTTTCGTCTTCAAGTACATCCACTCCCTGATGGACACCAAGTCCTTCGAGGACAGCGGCCCGTGTGTGGTGTTGGCCTCCCCGGGTATGCTGCAATCCGGCATCTCGCTGGAGCTGTTCGAGCGCTGGTGCGGGGACCGGCGCAACGGCATCATCATGGCGGGCTACTGCGTCGACGGCACCATCGCCAAGGACGTGCTGGCGAAGCCGAAGGAGGTGACGAAGCCCGACGGCAAGGTGCTGTCGCTGCGCATGAGCACGATTGAGGCCGTCTCCTTCTCCGCCCACTCCGACGGCCGCCAGACGCGCGACTTCATCCACCATCTCACGAAGGTGAAACACACGGTGCTCGTGCACGGCAACCCTGGTGCGATGGGCCAGCTCAAGAACAAGCTCATGCAGGACTTCCGCGAGCGCGGCATGGCCGTCCACACTACGGTGAACCAGGAGTCGATTCGCATCCCGTTTGTGCAGAACCGAACGGCGAAGGTGATGGGCAAGCTGGCCAACACGTCGGTTCGCGAGGGCGAGTTTGTGAGCGGGGTGATGTTGGTGTCTGGTCAACACCAGTACACCATTGTCCACCCTGACGACGTGCCGGTGTTCACCGACCTCAGCGTGAATCGCATTCAGCAGGCTATGGTGCTACCCCTGCCGCGCCACCGCTCACCGCTAGAGGTGCTGCTGGTCCTGCAGCGGTATTTCGCGCAGAGCAAGCTTTTTGAGGAGGTGGCGCCACGCACGGCCAGCCCGCAGGAGGACGAGGAAGCCCGGCGCGCCGCCGCGGAGCGTGGCGAAGCGCGAGACCCGGACACCACGCAGCTGTTCGTCTCGAAGGATGTCACGGTGGACGTGCGCAAGAGCTCGCAGGCGCAGACGACGCTGACGATTACGTGGTACAGCAGCCACTACAACGACCTGCTGGCGGATGTGACGTGCATTGCCCTGGCGAAGCTGGCAGAGGAGCCGCATGAGGCGGAGGCGGAGGAGGTTCTCGTGCCGGCGGACGTCGCTGGGCAGGATAAGCTCTTTCGTGTGAAGTGCTTCCACCACATGATCTCGCAGTTCTACCCCGCTGTCACGACGAATCTCGCGTCTGGCAACTGCACCATCACGCTGGCGGATGGGCAGGTGGCGAACATCACGGACTGCATCGAGATTGAGCTCGAGTCTGGCGCTGGGAAGAAGGACGTCGACTACGACGCGCCGAAGGTGCTGGAGCTGAAGCGGATTCTGAAGCGCATCTATCTCACGCTTTTTCCCATCCCGGTAGACAACGGGTGGTGTGACTGCGGTATGATTCACGGGGAGGAGCCGGTGGTCGAGTAGTAGGCCAGTGGGGATTGACTTTAGAAACCGAAAACTTGCTAGTGGCGTCGTCGGGTCGCCCATTTGCTCCGCTGCCCCCTCTTGCAGCCGTTGTTGCCTTGTCGCTGTTGCTGTTCGTGCTGTTTTTGGTCTTGTGTGTTTCGTTTCAGCGAACTCTCTTCGCTATGTCGGCGTTTCTTTCCGGGTGGGGGTGGGGGGGAAGGGCGTTGATTGTTTTTTCTGTTTCTTAACCTCCTCTGTTTTGTGTCACTCTTTTGCGGCTCATATTCCTACAGTGCCAGCTATAAAACCTCCTGTTAAACCCCCAAAAAGGTAACATTATTATATACTCATCTACGTACTTCCGTTGCGTGAGTCTATTCCTTCTCGCATGAGCTCATTCGCTGCTCGGGATCGTCGGCTCGTCGCCCCCAACTGCACTCTTTTGCGGTTCTTGCTGTTCAAGAATACACCAGGAACATCATTGCAAAACTATTCGAGTGGAGAGGCGTTCTTGTTTGGTCAAACGCCAAATGCGCGCGCTGCTTTCGTACATTGAACGCGCTGTGAAGCATTGCCACGCTTAAGAAGAAGAAAAAAGATAGAGATGCATGACATGCTCCTACGCAAATTCAGTACCACTATCCTCTCATCTCCTTTTGTTATGCCTGCCGTCGTCTGAAGTAGTCGGATCAACGTTAGAATCGGTGCTTCGTTCTTTTGTTTATTTCTCCCTCTGAAACAGCGTAGATTTTAGGGCTCTCTATCGCCGTTTGCACAACAGGCTTTTTTTTTCTTAATCCCCTTTAACGCCTCCACCGCCGTCCATGTCTACGTTGCAGACGCAGCGCAGAGAGGACAGCGCCCCACACCACGAACGCGTGAGCTCCACCGGCTCCCGCCACAGTAACGGTCACCCTTACAGTTGTGTTAGATCACCGACCTCCAACGACGGCGCGCGTACGTTGTCGTCGACCTCGGCCTCGGCGGCGGCGGCTAACCTGTCCGCGCTCGTGCCGCCGTCCATGCGGCCGCAGGTCTCCATCACCACAATGGGGCGCCGCTTCTCGAGTTCTTCGGAGTCGAGCTCCTCCAGTAGACATCGCGGGAGCCACTCCGCGCAACTCCAACTCGACGGCTTCGGCAGCCCCGACAGTTTTGAGATGGGCGTCAGCTACAGCGGCATGTCCCCGCCCCGTCCGTCCCCCACGAACCCCAGCCTGCGAAGGCAGCGCCGCCGCCGCCGGTCCTCGCTGTCCGACGTTAGCGTGAGCACCGCCGAGGAGGAGTGGGGTGCCGCCACCCTACCACCACTACCGGCCGCGGTGGCGCTTCCGTATACCTCGCCCAACCGCACCATCAGCGCTGCCGACTACGCGCCTTTGTTAGCAACAGCAGAGAACGCGGAAGAAGCAGAAGGTGAAGTAGCAGAGTACGTCTCACCCTCCTTACTGAAGCTCGCACGTCCCCGCTTCGGTCACGAGCCGGCAGTCGTGCCGCCAACCCCCACCTTTTTCCCCGCAGAGAAGGTGGACAGCGCCACTCTTGCGGAGGCCAGCCAGCCATCTTCCTCCTCCGCCACGCCCTCCACCCTGGCTACGGCGAACATCGGAAACGCGCCAGTGTCCACCTCCTCCGCCTCCGCATCACCACTTCCGACCGCCGACGTCACTCTCGTCTCGACACCGGTGGCTGTGCCGCCTGCTGAAGTTGCCGGCGCCGTCAACACACCGCCCCGCCCCGCCTCGGTATCGACGCCGCATTGCAGCCACGGCGAGGATCTCGACAGTCCCCACCCATCGGCCGACAGCGCCCACGAGAAGGAGATGTCGAAGGTGCCGTCGTCGCCGTCACAATCCGCGCAACCGACGCTGCCCCCACTGTCTCCGCCGCCACCGCCGCTCCGCCACGGTGCTCCGGCCCCCGTCCACGATGTGGGGCCGATGCCGCCCATGGCGACCGCACCGCCCATCGCACCGCGACACCTGCACCCGTTTGGCGCGTTAGACGCGGAGGCCCCTGCAGAGAAAATAGAGTTTATGCCGGAGGGGCCGGAAGCGCCAGCGGAGGCGTCGCGTAGGCGTCACGACCACCACCAGCCCTCACGTACCGCCACCACGCCGGAACCGGCGCACGCGACCAACAACCGCACCCGCTCCGCACGACGACCAACGCAGTCCGTGCAGACCGCCAGAGCTCGAGCGCAGCAGCGACGTCACGCCGTCTCGACCTCGCCGCACGCACGTGAGACCCCGGTGTCGCCGCTGCCGGAGTACTTTCCGGGCGCGAAGCGGCTCGACGACGATCGGGTGCCGCTTTCGACGAAGTTCGTGCTTGGCACCGCGTGCGTGGTTGGCGTGGCGGTTGTCTTGTACCTCGGTTGTTCCATCTACCGGTACGCGTCCGTCAGCGTGAGGGAGACAAGCACGCCAGCTCCCACCTCGCGCTTTGCGTGGGCGCGCGCACCGAAGACGACAGTGGTGAGTGATAAGGACGCGGCGAGGGTCGCGCGTGAAATTCGTGACCGCATTGTGCGCAACATGAAGGGAACCCTCTAGAAGGAAAAAAAGTGAACTGCTGGCTGTGGCAATGAAAGAAGGTAGATAGTCGCGTGGCTTTAAAAAAAAACTGAGAGCAGATTTCGCGGGCAGCTCCGTCATCAAAACAGACCTTTATCCTGTGATACTTCTAACACCCGTGTTTGCTGTTTGTAGCTTAAAAGGAGTTGGAAGCGAGGCTTGATTTTTTTAGCTCATGCCTCTGTTTTCTATTTTGGTTGTTGTTTTTTTTTTTCACTTTGCGCTGCTCTTTCTTCGTTGCTTCACCTGAATAAAAGCGTCTTTTCATTTTACGTTAATTTTCTTATGCTTGTTGCCGTTCGAGAGGTGCCCATTTTATTGAACTTTTCAGTTTGTCTGTTTCGCGTGTTATCTCTTTCACGCCATCTCTTTATCTGTATCTCTCTCTCTATCTCTGGATCGTTCATCGGTGTTTGTTTTCTTTCGTTTCCGCACCTTGGCGCAACGTAACTGCTTCGAAGAACTGTGAGTTTTTTTTGTTTGTTTTGCTACGCGCGCTCAAATATCGGTATACTGACGTTGCTGTCGACCTCGTCACGGAAGTGGAAGGTGTTGGACGCATCGACCCATTTAGTGTCTTTCTTGCTCTGGGATGCGTGGGTTCGTTTTAAGAAAGAAACTTCTCTCTCCTCCGCCCAGACAAGCGAACGTTCGTCGGTGGACGCGGCGAATTGGCGGAACGGCATTTCCGCGATCTAAAGTGGTCAGTTCGATTTTCTTTCCTGTACGGAGTCGTTCAGACGGTTTACGCAACGGAGACCGTAACCTCCTCCACATTCGTCACTGCGGTTGGGAGGCGAGATGTGCCACTGTTGTTGTTTTTCTCCTGCGCGCGTGCCTTCGAGCTCCCGCTTTCTGTCTCTTTTCGGTACCGCCTCTTCTTGGTTTCCCTTTCTTCTTCTGCTTTTCTGTTACCGTTGTTTCTTGTTTTGCAACCACAACATCTTCCGGCACCTTCACATGCCGGTGCCTCACCTACGAAATCAATGCCACACAAGTGCCGTTCACTCTGTCCGCGTAGTGACCTCTGAGGCATTGCATTCACAAGCCCTGCAGCATAAATAAATAAGAAGGAAAAGGTTCTGTGAGAGAGTGTGTGCGTGTGTGGAACTTGGACACCCTCTGTCGTGGTAGGAAGGAGAGCTTTTGATTGTCGTCGTTTTATTTTTAATCATCGTCTTTTTTCTCGCTGTGTTGCCGAAGCACCGCACTCTTCATTTGCGCGTACCTTTGTTGCACTAGAGTGAAAGCGAGTACTGTAGAAGTTATATTGTCGCTGCGAATTGTTGCAAGGACCTCGGCTGTCTCGCTCCACGCGCACACAAGTGTTAGTTATATTCTCCTGACATCATCTCCATCCTCATGAAGACGGAGGAGAAAAAATCTACGATCAAGCGCGAGGAGACGCGCTCTGACGAGGATGAGGAGAACAACGAAGAAGAGCTGAACTGGTGGGAGCAGGAGAACCTGCGCATCGCCGCGAAGGGCGAGCGTCGTTGGGAGACGCTAAGCCACAATGGCGTGCTCTTCCCTCCCCTGTACGTACCCCACGGCATTCCCATCTACTACGAAGGCAAGGAGTTCAAAATGACGACCGAGGAGGAGGAGGTGGCCACCATGTTCGCGTCCATGAAGGAGCACGACTACTACCGCATGGATGCCTTCCGCCGCAACTTCTTCGAAAGCTGGCGCGAGATTTTAGATAAGCGCGAGCACCCCATCCGTCGCCTCGAGCTGTGCGACTTCGAACCCATCTACCAGTGGTACCTGCGCGAGCGGGAGAAGAAGCAGACTCGCACCAGGGAGGAGAAGAAGGCCATCAAGCAGCAGCAGGACGCGGAGGCGGAGCCCTACCGCTACTGCGTCTGGGACGGGCGCCAGGAGCAGGTCGCGAACTTTCGCGTGGAGCCGCCGGGGTTGTTTCGCGGCCGCGGCAAGCACCCCCTGATGGGTAAGCTGAAGGTGCGGGTGCAGGCGGAGGACATCACGATCAACATCGGTGAGACGGCCGAGGTGCCGCCCGCGCCGCCGGGCCACCACTGGGCCGCCGTGCAGCACGACCACACCGTGACGTGGCTCGCCATGTGGCGCGATAGCGTCGCGGGCAACTTCAAGTACGTGATGCTCGCCCCGTCGTCGAGCGTGAAGGGGCAGTCGGACATGGCGAAGTTCGAGAAGGCGCGTCGCCTGAAGAGCAAGGTGGACGACATCCGCGCGTCCTACATGCAGGACTTCAAGTCGAACGACACGCACGTGGCGCAGCGCGCCGTTGCCATGTACTTCATTGACCGCCTGGCGCTGCGTGTGGGGAATGAAAAGAGCGAAGACGAGGCGGACACGGTGGGGTGCTGCTCCTTGCGCGTGGAGCACATCCAGCTGCTGCCGGACAACGTTGTTCGCTTCGACTTTTTAGGCAAGGACTCCATTCGGTACCAGAACGATGTGACGGTGCTGCCCGAGGTGTACGCGCTGCTGCAGCGCTTCACACGTCGCAAGTCACCTGCAATGGACATCTTTGACCAGCTGACGCCCACGCAGCTCAACGATCACCTGAAGTCCTTCATGGACGGGCTCTCGGCGAAGGTCTTCCGTACCTACAACGCCTCCATCACCCTCGACAAGTGGTTCAAGGAGAAGCCTGTCAATCCCAGGTCGTCGGTGGCGGACAAGCTGGCCTACTTCAACAAAGCCAACACGGAGGTGGCCATTCTGTGCAACCATCAGAAGACCGTCTCCAAGAACTTCAAGACACAGATGGCGCAGCTCACGGTGAAGTCGGAGCACACGCGCAGGACGATGGAGCTGCTGGAAAAGGCCCTCGCGACGGCCAAGAAGCTGTCTCTCGAGGCGGCGGCGGCGGAATTCCTCGCCGAGGAGGATCGCGTGCAGCGGGCGTGGCTCGAGAGCTACGGCACGGAAGAGCAGAAGAAGGAGTTCGAGGAGATCGTGGTGAAGCGCTCGGCGCTTCGTGCACCGTCGTCCAAGAAGAAGTCGTCGTCCACTGGCACGAAGAAGGCGAGGTCGTCTGCGTCGAACGGCAAGACAGCCAAGAAGTCGAAGTCGGCCAAAAAAGCGAAGTCGGCCAAGAAGTCGAAGAAGCCGACTACTACGAGAGGAAAGAAGGCGTCTGGCAAGAAGAAAAACGCGGCGGCCGCGGAGGACTCCGATGACGAGCCGCTCATGAACTTGGCAGTCAAGAAAGAGACAACGAAGAAAGCGGGGGTGAAACGGCAGCGTGCGGTCAAGGCGGAGGATAGCGACGACGACGACGTGCCGCTTGCTGCTCTGAGCGCATAGACCTGACAATTAAACCTCTAAAAAGAAAGAAAAACAGAAAGAGAGACAGTGTTTCTGATTCTGTGGGGAATGGTGAAGGATGTAGTGCACGTTCGTGTTTCCTTTTCCCACTAATGGAGAGAACACGTCATCACATTACCTTTGCTGTCGCTGTTTTCGTTCATCTTCGTTTTGTGTACTTGTATGGAACATCTCTCTCCTGCAACGGTTGGATTGCATCATTAATCGAATAACATGGACTTTTAAAGGGCAGAAAGAGGGCAAACATAACCTTAGCACTGTTCGGGTGGATGTATTTGTGTGTGTGTCGGACGGTAAGTACTGCAATGGTGGCTTTTCTGCGAGTTCCGTACACTCCCACGCAGAGTGAAATCGTTACCTTTCTCTTCGTTTCGCACCCGCAGCGCTTTTGTTTGTTTGTTTGTTTTTCCGCCTCTTCTCTCTAGATCTTTGTTTCTCTTTTCTTTGTACGAAAAAAACAGTGATGTTTGGTGGTGACGTGTTGTTGCTGTTGCTGTTGCGTACAGTCACGCATTCAGGGGAGGGAAGGTGATTTCCATTCAACGGCGACACGAGTTTTTGCGCCGCACCATCCATTTTCTCTGTAGGTGCGTGTGTGTATGTGTGCCCGTGCGCATGTTGTCGTGTGTTTTCTATTTCCTTTAACAGCTGGCGTTTTTTGTAGAGCGCAGAAGCACACCTGCTGGACTGCTGACGATTTCTCTGGGAGGCGAGGCAGCCACAAGTCGCTTTTGTCGGATGAGCATGAACACCGGCCGCAAACGCTTTGCAAAGGAAAGAAACTGACATAAAAGTTCTTCGATATCAAAAAGAAAAATGGAGGGAGAAGAGCTGTGCAGCGTGGCGGAAGGGAAACCCGTTTGACTTACATGCTCGCGCGCATTTTTTTCTTCCTCGGTTTGCGAAGTTGAAGCGCGGCTTTTGGGACGCAACGCAGGTTTTCATTTTTGGGAAGGACATCGCGGTGCTTTAGCGTCACGTGTCATGCTGCGCGTTACCTCCCTCAAGAAATCTCATTAAAAAAGAAGACAACCTCTTCTTGTTGGCATGCTGTCTTTTAACTGTCACGATGGATTTTATTTTAATATTGTTGCAGTCATTCTTGTTGTCTCCCCTGATTATCTTTTGCCTTCTGTTTTTATTCTTGTCTACTCCTTCATACACAGGCAACACGGAATCTCGCATGCCATCTGCTCCAGCTCTGCGACTGGGTGTTGTGAATCGCCACCGACATACACGTCATCGCATCAATTGTACTCATAGAAACATTCATAGAAACTGCGTTATAGAGCTTGACTAATATGCGCTAAGATAGATAGCCAAAACACAACAGAATCTTCAATAAAATATTGTTGCAGACTTCTGTGCCTCATAGATTTTCCTTTGCGCATTCGTTGTTCCCGCTCGTGTTGTCTTCCCTGTCTAGCGGCTCTCGCTCGGTGGTGACTTTGTTTCCACGGCGCTTCTTCCTCTGCACAGAGAGTGCAGTAGTGCTTCATTAGGGGTTTTTCATTTTTCTGTTTGATATATCCCCTCGTTGTTTCTCTGAATCGTTCTTGGCGCACCTACATACTCATGCCCTTCAACACCCTTTCCTCGGTTGCGCAAGCAATCCCCGCTGTGATCAACTCCTCCCTGGAGAAACTGTCGTGCAGCGCGCGCGGAATCGATGAGGTGGATATCTACCCAGCTGTCCTCTCTGCCCTGACCGCCAACGGCGCACCACACGGTGTTGCGGCGGACGCGCTGGCCGTGGTACGGGCAGCAAGGTTAAATCGCTCGCACAAACTAAAAGATGGAGCAGGCGCACAGGCGCGGAAGCGTGAGGACTCCTACATGGCGAGTTTTAATGTGGGCATCGCGATGAGCCTCCACACCGTCCTTCTCTCACGCAACCGGATCGGGAACCTGCTAGGCATCGTGCAGTTCAAGCATTGTGTACGGTTGTCACTGCTTGGCAATCGCATCCGCACGATCGAGAGCTGCGAGCCGCTGGCGTTGCTACCCGACTTGCAGTATCTTTCTCTCGAGTTCAACCCGGTCGCACAGCTGTCTCACTACCGCGCGCACCTCCTGCGCATCTGTGCCTGGCCACATGAACTCTCCGCCCAGACGTGTCGCCTGCGGAAGCTGGACAGCACCGCTGTCACCTCTGCCGAGGTCAAGCACGCAGTGCTGTGTCTTCAACGAGAGCAGACATTGCTTCCCGAGCTGCTCTACCGCATGCAGCTCCTCGCGTTTCTCGGGGACATGGAAAAGAGGAACGGCCTGCATCGTGAGTTGCGACAGCGTGGGTGGGTGTTTCAGCAAACCGCAGACGCCGTGACACTGGACGCCACGCTGGAGCGCTGTGCGGCGTACGCGCTGGCTCGGGTGCCGGTATCTGGTGCGGCGCATCTCGTGCGGCTGCTTGTGCGAGACCGGCACCGACTCTCGGCGGGGCAGTCCGTTGCGGATCGCCCCTTTTCGAAGTGTCACGCGGAGCAGAAATCTGCTGCGGCGTCTCCCGCACCATCACGGAAACCTGCGTACGAACGGAAAGCACGCTCCACGCCGGAGCACGCCAGCGAAGTCGACCTCAAAGATGCCGCGGCAACTGTGGACGCACCGTCCACCCCAACCTTCTTTGGATCGGATCAGCTGGACGACAGCCACATCGCCAGCGTGAGCAGCGTCGCCTCGTGCTCTTTCCTTCCCGATCACTCCGATGACGACATACAGGCGATGCACTCGCTATCGAATTTGTTAGGAGCAAAAGAGCTGGATTGGAGTCGAGCCGCGCTGCGTCGAGCTGACGCGTTGGCTGCGAAGGAGACGTGTAAGGAGTGGTCGTGGGATACGTTTCGGCAGGCGCTCGCCTTTCTTGATGTGCGCATCTGTGCGGTGCTGCTGCGGCTGGCGCGTGGATTGGGGCAGTCGTTGAGTACGCACGATGTGGACCGGCTTTGCCAGGTGTGGCTGCACGCTGTGACGCACTGTGCACCGACAGAAGAGTTGGCCCTGAACGCAACAGGACCTCGCCGACTCGTGTCTGCCGTCACAGTCACTCCTCGTAGGAAGCCAAAAACGCAGCTGCGTGGGACAGAAAAGGTCATTGAGGTGCGGAGTCCAGCACTCAACGAACAGGGCGGCGCTTACGAAGGAAACCAACGTCGTGTCAACGGTTCAGCGTGTGTCCCGCCACCACAACCGTGTCCCAGCGGTCGACTCCCCGTTGACGCAGTCGCGCAGGTCACCAAAAACGTGTGGGACGTCGGCGAGCAGGACGCCTGCCTCTCCAACACCCTCTCTTCCCTGCCCGTGGTGTCAAGCGGGGTCAGTGACGACTGCACCGACATCTCAATGACGTCGCTGTTGTCGACCGACTCACCCATTCAGCCCCGAAAAACGATCCCCGTGCCAACCGCTGCGAACGGTCATATGGCTCCTCGTGCCCTTCCGTCGGAGCAGGTGCAGCAGCAGCAGCAGCAAAACGCAGCAAGTCCCAGTCCTTCTCAAGTGCCTGAGGCAACACATAAGACGAGTTCTTCTGACGTTTCTTTGGCATTGGCGGAGAAAATGTTTCGGCGACAAGTCAAACAGCGCGCGTTTCAGCAGTGGTGTACATCGCTGCGTCATCGCTGGCAATCGCGCATCGCCACTGTGTACATCCGCGACAAAATAAATGAGGCCGTACTGCAGCCTCGGCTCGAGTGTGTGCGCGGTCCGGCGTGGAGTGGTCTGCTTCAGCACGTGACCTACATTGAACGTAAGCGAGGCTACTTTAACTGTTGGCGGCGCCGTGCGGGGGACAAGCGGGAGGCGCGTGCGAAAGAGCTGGAGCGCGTGTCTGAGGCGTGGCGTGCGCAAAGCGGCGAGTTGGCGTCGTTGTCGTCTTCACACCGGCAACAGGGAGAAGAAAAGGACGCAACAGCGGCAACGCGGCGATCCACGACTCAAAACCTTTTCCACGCATGGAAAGTGAAAGCAGAGCAGAAGGCACTGTCTCGTTGCACCACCGCACGTCAGCGCCTGCTGGCCGAAACGCCGCACACACCAGAGACCTTTCTCTCCCTGCACCCGCGGTCGGCCACCGTGCGTGCCGCACTTCGCGTAAAGTCGCCACTCAGCTCGCCCGTCATGTCTCGTCACCAGCTAGAGGAACTTCTCCAAACAACAGGAAAACCACAAACTGATGAAGATGGCTCCGCGCCGCCTTCGTCTCCTTCACCAACGGGCGGCTTTCGCCGCTGCGATCTCGCACACGAGTTGCCGGTTAAGGTGACGAAATGGCAGGCCGCGTCGACTCCCGCTTCCGCACAGGGGCACAAGGACGCCGCTGCGCACATGCAGCTCGACGAGGACGAAGGTCGTTTGTCTGTCGCGCCGTCGAGCTCTGACGGCATCAGTGTGAATAGTGTAACGACGCCTTTTCTCGCTGATCAGCACTTCTCACAGGCACATGGGAGAGTGGAAACGTCGAGCACTTATAGAAGCCCGCAGGAAGGTCATCCGCAGTCGGCCGGGGTGCTTCGCGAGCTTTCGCCACCGCCGGCGATTCGTATTCTGTTCCCCACGGATAATGCGGCCGGCTCGTGTGCGTGCTCTCCACCGGCGCCAACGTCTCGATCACGTAGCAACGGCAACATCGGCATCGCGTTGCCGCAATCCGCATCTTCTCCGATGCATCCTCCTCGCTGCTCTGTGGGCGGGTCCATGGCTGGAAACTTCGCCGTTCGCTTGCGTGGTTGTCCGCAGCCGAGTCGCCTGCCCTCCACCACCACCGCCCGCCGGGCGATCATCGCGTCCTCTACTCGCCCTAGCAGCCACTCAGCACCACGTCTGGAGAGTAGTGTGCGTCACACAGCACACAGTGATGATGCGGCATGTCCCTACCCCGCGGAGGACGTGGAGGCCCTCGTCGCACGAGCCAAGCAGCTGGAGGCAGATCGTGTATTTCTCCTTGCGGAGGTGCGCAGGCTGTCGCTCGCCTCGCAGCGCAACGGAGAAGCATTTACTCCCACTCCCGACGCATCTCCTAAACCGTGTCTTCACGCCGATGAAGATTGCCGCTCACCGATGCAAGATGACGCAGAGGAGCGCCGCATCGCGCAACAGTGCGAAATCAAGCGCTTAGAGTCGATCGTGGTGGCACTGCGAGACGAGCGTCACAGTCTGTTAAGATCCGTCAAGACGGAAATCTTTCAGTACTGATTGCCGAAGGTGACTCCTTTTCTCTTCCTATTCTTTTTGGGCCCGATACAAGCATCAACGTCCTCGCTGGACCTCTACAAGAAAACGGAACGGCTGAAACGACTGCATCGAATTTGAAACAGAGCTACGCTTCTTTTTTCAGTGTGACTTTTCTCCTTGCGTGAGTCTGGGAAAAGGAAAATTTTTTCCGAAGATCACCGTGAGCGGCGACAGCGTAGCGCGAGTTTATAAAACGCAGTGGTCTCCCTCTTCACTGTGAGCCCACCTCTCTTCCTCTTTATATTTTTATCTTCCTACACCGTCTTTCCCTAAACTCCTTCTCTTCTGTGTCTTCCGTGCCAGTCCCTCGCCTTTACCCCCACGAGCACCGTAACGCGAGGCGGTACAAGGAAGGAAGAAACGTGGATTAAGTTCCCCAACTTTCACACCGGCAAAACTGCCAGGGAAGAGTCTTTTTTTGAACTCCTCTTGTTTTTCTTCGTACCTCCCTCTCGAGATGTTCGGCGGCGGCGAGGAATACTTCCAAGATCCGCCAGAGATCGATCGTGAGACGCTGGCGCGCTTCGCATCCTTCTGCGCACGCCTGCGTGCTATTGAAAAGCCCGGCAAGAAGTCCATCGCCGAGGCGGTCGAGCTGGCGCGTGCGGTCGGCGACACCCTCCTCACGTACGAGTTAGTCGTCGGCGCTCTTTTCCGCCACATCAAGACCTGGGCCGGGCAGAAGCAGCTCGCCTGCTGGTACGTGCTGGACAAGCTGTGCAAGGAGGACCGCGACAAGTACGGCCACACGGCAGGGAAGTACATTTTAGAGGTCGGACGCGACTACATCCCGTACGAGGATGTGGAGCTGGCGGGCAAGTACGAAAGCCTCGTCGAGCACTGGGAGAACGTGTTTCCCCCGCACGTCGTGGATGCGCTCTGGCTGGCGAAGAAGGAGCGTCTGTGGGCCGTCGACCACCCTGCTGAGATGGCACAGCAGCAGAAGGCCGAGGAGGCGGAGTGGGCGCAGGAGGAGGAGGCGATGCAGGACGAGGACGGACTGAACGACTTCGGTCAGCCCTGCATCGACTACCTGCAGGGCCACTGCAGCTGGGGCGACAACTGCCGCCTCTACCACCCACCCGGCGAGGAGGGCACGCTGCCGGCGGAGTGCCGCATGGGGGACTGGAAATGCTCGGCTTGCGGCGTCATTAACCGGCACTTCCGCCGCCGCTGCTCCAACTGCGTCCGCGAGAAGCCGCAATACAAGAAAGGGCGGCAGCTGTCGGTGGAGGAAAAGCTACTCTCCACGCCGGACCCCAACGTGACCGTCGCCTTCCGTCAGCAGTTCGGCTACAACCCGTACGTTCCCGAGGAGGCGATTGCGCACTTCAAGCTGCGGTTTGAAGGTGTGTCGAATGAGGACTACCGCAACGAGCGCGCGGCCGCCTACCGTGTGCGCATCCTTGGCCGGCCGCCGTCCAACCCGCAGGAGGAGCGGTGCAAAGCAACGAAGCACTTTCCAGATGTGGACATGGAGCCGGACGAGGACTACGACGTGGGCAGCGACGGTCTCGTGACCAAGCGGGCGCGCACGGAGAGCTTAGTCCCCGCCCACACGGCTGCCAACAGCGCCATCGCCCTCTTTGCCCAATTGGTCATGGAGAGAGGTATTCTAGACCCGACGGTGCCGCAGCTTTTTGCGGAGCTGTCGCGGCACATCCGTCAGGCCGCGAATGATGCGTCGATGCAGCTGAACGAGACCCAGGCGGAGGTGCTGCTGTCGGCGTGCATGCTGGGCTTCACGGCGTGGAACGCCAACAAGGGTGCCGTGCCGTTTGTAGCCTCCTTCTTCAGGGCCATCCGCCACAACGAGACAAAGCTGGGTCTCTCGGCGGAACAGGCGGAGCAGCTAGAGTCTATGGCGAACATGTTTCTCGCGTAAGGCGTTGCGTCTGTTGGGGAAAGGGGGAAGAACAAGGGAGAGGGGGCCTGATCACTATCGGTGGTGAGTCCTTTCTCCTGTGCCTCTGTGAGTCGGTGTTGGTGGCCGTAGGCTATGGGTCTCCTTTTCTCTTTGCGAACCACTACTGTGATAAAGTTAAGCAAGGAAACTCTTTTGCTTCGCCACGTTGAAGCAGCGGCAGCGCCCGAATGATGATGGCAGAGAGAGTAAAGGAATGCCACAAAACTGCAACGTATAAGCTCTACGTAGGTGCGTTTCTTCTCATCTTTGTTCCGTGTTCACTCATAGGGACCGCGAACCGCAGATAGGTTTTCGGTCCTTCTCGTACGTCTCCACGCGGTGACGGTGACGGTTTGCGAGCCCATCACACACACACACGCACTTAACTTCACTGTGTAGTACACCGCAGCACCGTGCTCTGTATTTGGCGTGTCTGGCAGATCTCGCTGCTCCTGTTTTCCTCCAAAAACTCGCTTTTTCTCTCTCCCTCATCGTCCTCCTTCCTTTGTACACCCTCCTGCACATCCATTACAACGAAATGCGGGTCAAGATTCTTCTTTGACTGTTTTGACACGGAACTTCTCTCAAAAAAGGAAAATATTTTTATGTTACTCTACTTTCTCCTTTTTCACTATTTTGCCTTTCCTTCTGTCTTTTCCACACCGCCTCCGTAACGCAACCTCTTTCTCTAAAGCCACTCTCTACGGCCCGCAACGCGCTGTTTTGCCGCACGCTTACTTTTTCTTTCTTTCCCTGACCTGTAGATTCTCTCAGCGCACTTCCACTTCCCTGCAAAGCCTGTCAGGGTTCAACTCTTTCTCCATCACTTCTATTGTTTTCTTGACGTCTTCTTGTTTCTCACCGTCACCACTGTTAAACCCAATAAATACTTTCCCTTCGTTTTCACGTTCCACCATGTCCTCCGTTCTCCTTGTTGAGCCCATCACCTTTGGGCCTAACCCGAAGACAAAAGACAACGCACTCATCCAATCCATGACCGTCAGCAACGCCATGGCGGATATGGACCGCTCCCGCGTCTGCGCCCTCGTCTCGGATCTCAGCGAGTTCTTCGAAAGTCAGTGCGGCATCCACGCGGTGGTGATTCGCCAGGCAAGTGAGCCGAAGCTGCATATCCGCCCGCTGATAGATAAGGGCCAGAGCGTGTGCGTGGCGGACAACCTTTCATTCCACAACTTCGTGGACGCCGAGGGCGTCATCCAGCGCCGCGTCGTCGTCTTTCATCCCATGAGTCCGCTGCGTCGCGGCGAGCTGGCGCGGAAGCAGCTGGTCGACCAGATCACAAGCGTCGCCGAAGCCGGGGCTGCGGTGGAGGTGATCGACCTGCGCGGGTACGAGGCGGAGGACAAGTTTCTGGAAGGCTCCGGCTCCCTCGTGTTCTCTCCCGGTTGTCGCTACGTGTACATGGCCGTGTCGCAGCGCAGCGACCCCGAGGTGCTGGACACGCTCTGCAGCCGCGAGAACTTGAACATCCCTGCGTCTAACCGATTTCTCCTGCGCTCGAAGGACGGGCTGCCGCACACCAATGTGCTCGGCTGGTGCGGCCATGGGATCTGTGCGTGGTGCTTCAACAACCTGGTCTTTGAAACGGAGGACGCAGAGACGGCCTTCTACGATCACCTCTCCCAGTCCTATTCGTGTGTGATGGAGCTGAGCGAGGGGGAGATGCACGGCTTTGCCGGAAGCGCTGTCGAGGTGTTCATGCGGCCGTCCGGCGTGAACGACGGCTCCGCCCACAACGCGCTCGTTATTTCCGAGTCCGCATTGGCGGCGCTGTCGCCCAAAAACCGTACCCTGCTCAACGACTGGTACGATGTGGACCACATACACACATTTTACGGTGAGATGCTGGAGCGCCGCTGCGGCACGTCGTTGCCGTCGTGCATTGCTCTTTCCTACACCCACGGGTCGTGCCCGCCGGCACCCGAGCAGGAGTCCATCTGTGAGATGCTGAAACTTGGTGACCGCAAGTAAGGGAACGTCGTAGCGTATTTTTCTTTTTCTTTTTTTCTTTTACTTTTATGTTTCTCCTTCCCCCTCCCTCTCCTTCTCCTTTTTTATAGTTTGTGTTGTTCCCTTTCTCTTTTTCTCCAATTCCATCTCGCTTCCGTAGTGTTTGAATCGGAAAGGCTATTTACTTCCTTTCTTCTGAAACATTGGAAAGAGCTAGAAAAGAAAAAAGAGAAAAGCAGCAATGAAGTCGTGAGAAGCACACACCAGAAAGGTGGCGCTTATGCGCTCTAACAAGTGCAGTGCCCCTCCCCCACCCCCCACCCCCCTCTCCCCTCATCAAGTATTTCCCCTATCGACACTCGCTGCTTCCCAACCTTTTTTTCTTTTCTGTGTCTCCCTCTCTCTCCATCTCCATGTTGTGCCGAGCTCTCGCCAAAGAACTCGAAACCTCTAGTTTTATTTCTCGCATCAGGTTTTCCTCACTCTCTATCAAGTAGGTTTTTTCTTCGGTATCTTCGTTAGTTACTGCAATCCACTCACGATTGACTCTCTCCCGCAACCATGAGCTCCGTCCTCCTTGTCCAGCCCGTCCAGTTCGGCTCCAATTACAAGATTGTCGACAACGCCTTCATGGTGGTCGAGGACATCACCGACGAGAAGCAGGAACGCGATGAGCGTGCCGCCTTCCAGGTGCTGCAGGACCTCCGCAGGTGCATCACGGCGCACGGTGTCGAGGCCCGTATCATACGCAACCGCGACGAGCCGATGTGGCGTGAGCTGTACCTGACTCACGGCGATGCCATCTTTCCGAACAACTACATGTCCTTCCACCACTTCACCGACAGCGAGGGCCACATCACGCGCCGCCTCGTCATTCTCTACCCGATGAGCCCCTACCGCCGCAAGGAGATCCCCGAGGTGCAGGTTCTGCAACGGCTGGAGGCGGCGGCGGCGGAGGGCAGCATCACCCTGCTCGATCTGCGCAGCTACGAGGCGGAGAACCGCGCCTTGGAGGGCACTGGCGCCCTCGTCTTCTCTCCGGATGGCCGCTACGTCTACATGACCCGCTCCGGCCGCACCGATGACGAAATTCTCAATATCGTCTGCAGCGAGGAATACTTGAACATCCCGGAGGAGAACCGCTTCCTCTTCACCTCGGCCGTGCCCCGCGTCGGCGGTGGCGAGGACCTGGTATACCACACGAACGTCATTGGCTGGTGTGGCAAAGGCATCGCCGCCTTCGCGCTGGACCTGTTGCGGTTCGACACGGCGGAGCGGGAGACTGCCTTCCGTCGCCACCTCGAGCGCGAGTACGACTGCGTGGTGCACCTCACGGTGGAGGAGATCCGCGCCTTTGCCGGTAACGCCTTCGAGCTCGCCACGCGCAGGCCGGACGGCTCGGAGCACCACTTCCTCTGCATGTCCGGCACGTCGCACAGCGGTATGGGCGAGAAGAATCGCGCTCTGCTAGAGAAGTGGTACGGCGGCGAGAACGTGTGCAGCTTTCCGAACGAGCCGGTGGAGCGCCGCACCGGGGGCTCCATCCGCTGCATGATGGGCGCCGCTATTCTCCACGGTGATGTGCTCCCGCGCTGTGGCGAGCCCACCACGCTCGACGTGTGCGGTATTGTGGAGCGGGCCGAGTAAGCGGATGGGGAAGGAAGAGCGAAGGGTAGAATAACAGCGGACAAGTGTGTGTTTCTTTTTATCCGTATTGTCTATTGTGCAGGAAAACAGAGGCGTTTCTGTCCTACTGTTCTCTCGCCACTTTTTTCGCCTCTGGTGGCGGCTGTCGATGTGCTTCTTCTTCGCTTCTCCTGCCTTGTATCGAGTGTTTTGTGTTTTCTCGGGTTTTAAAAAAGAACTGTTAGAGGAGAAACGCGAGCACCGTTGCAGCGTAGGATGCAGATCACCGAGAACAACAGAAGAACAGGAACTGTTACGAAGAAATGCACGCACTCCGCAAATACACTCGTCCCTCCGCTTCTTTGTGTGCACACACACACACACCTACCTTTCTTCCATATATATATATAACCGGCAAAAACGAATTCTGTCGTTATTGTAAACGCATGCGAGCGCCTTTTATAATATTCACTTCTTCCTTTTTTTGCTGTCGTTTTCTTTTTCATCGAAGTTAAAAATAGACGTACTCCGCCGTTTTTATGTGTTCGTATCTTTGGTGTTGTTTTTCTTTCTTTTATTTCTTTTATACGCCAAGACAGAACGTGATGCTCTTCGCACCCAGATCATTTTCATTCGATGACGAGGGTCAAGCGCAGAGCCGGGAAAGAGTGAACGAGAATTTTGAAAAGGTGATTATGAACACTTTAAGATGGCGCTACAAAATGCTACCTCTCTACGTCTCGTCATCCCTTTTCCGTTTGTTGTATACACCGCTCCTGTCTTTCTTTTTTTCCCCCTTATCGTTCTCCTTCTACTCCTTTGATGGAAGACGATTTAGTGTGCATGTTTCTCGACTATATATTTCTACTGTTTTTTATTTACCATAATGGCCGACCTTGATTGATTATTAAGATGCTCTCTACACTTCCTGTTTCACGTGTCACTCTGTCGTTTTTCTTTTTTTTAATTATTGTCTCTTTTTATGTTGATTGGAGTAGTTTTGCGTCCTCGTTTTTAGTTTTTGTTTGATTCTTCGATTTCTATTGCTCTCCGTCGTTGTGTGAACCGTCTATCTGAAGACTTGTATTTCTTTCTCGCCTCCCTTCTCGCCTTGTCCACACATCTTCCTCCCTTGTGCCACTGGCGTCTTCAGGGCTTCGCAACTTTTCGCACACGCCTGGACGTTTTGAGAACTGACGAGCGTGTTACCGCATGTCCCACCAGGTTCTTTAAAACCCTCCGCTTATTTAAATGGACAAAAAGAAAAAACAAGCATTTTTTTCTTTTTGGTTGTTGTTGCCGATCATCTCTTTGTTTTCTTTTCCTGCTGGGCGGCGTGGGGGGGGGGGGGGTCGAAGGGGACTGCCGCCTGTATTTGACCCCACACCCCAGCCCAAGCGAGCACGGCACCACAAAAACAGTTTGTGTAACAAGCAGCACCCATGGCCGTATGTCTGCGCGTACATTGAGTCAAAAATAATTCGAGAGTTTCTTTTTTTTTCTTTCTTTGCGTGGGTCGTCAACAATTGCGTTGTCTTCCGAAAAAACAATGGAATTGCGGTCACCGCAGTTGAACTGCTCTTCTTCATCTACACCACGTTAAACGGAAAATCTCACCTCTGTACTTTTGTAGTAGGAAGTTAAGAAAAAAAGCAGTTATCCGCGGTTTCAGCATTCCAGAGGAAAGATAGCGGGTGGTGTCACGAGCGGTTGCTCTTGAGAGAAGTCTGTCTCCGGTGCTGTAAAAAGAAAGGGAAACTGTCTTGTGTTCTTGAATTACGACTTCGGTGAAAGCGTCTTCTTAGCTTCCCGCTGAGCAGTCATCGTTGAAGGCAAAAAACGGAAGAAGAAACTCTCGTAGCACACAAGGTGTTGGTGGGACTTAAAGCTACGTCTCAACAGCTTTATATAACACTCCTCACGTGTGAAAACTGCTTCTTTCTTTAGTAGCTCGCCGTGTCAAGACGCTACACCTTTGCCACTGACCTTGTCGTCTCAAATAAACAGGCGATCATCTGCTGTCTGCGAAATCGACAGCGTTTCTTCGTTCCCGAGCCTCCTCTCTCCTTTCCCACTCTTTCCACTCGAATCGTAGACTACTGCGTCTGTTTCCCCTCCTCTTTCTTTCCTTTTCCTTTGTTTGTTAACATAGTTATGAAAGCAGCAAGCATGTACAAGCAACTTGGGGTGCGTGGACTCCACGCGCTGGTTCTTCGATGTGCTGAAGTGCCTTCCTCCGTGAAAGCGGCGGATGCAGCGGTCCACCATTGCCTTCACCGCCACCTGCGCCGGTTGTCCTCCTCTTGCGTCTCCACTACGACAGCGCTTGCCTTCGCCACCCTCACGCCGCGGCGCTGCTTTGGCACCAATGACCCGACGAAGCCCACCGACACCGACGCCCCTTCCAGCACCGCCTCCGCCGATCTCAGTCAAAAGGACCTCATTGAACTGAACAAGGAAGCCTCTGAAGCCTTTGAAAAGGGTGAGTTTCTCGTTGCCATTGATGCATGGGAGAAGGTGGAACGGTCCAAGCAACACACACCGAACAGCCCTACGCTCATGAGCTGCCTCAACAACCTTGCCTGCGCCTACGGCGAGATCGGCGACAGCGTGCGCAAGTTGAAGCTGCTCGAGCGCTCGCGGGAGCTGGTGAAGGAGGTGTACGGCACCGACCACCCCCAGTACGGCATGGTGCTCTACAACATGGCCAGCGCGAAGGAAGAAATGGGGCTGTACAACGACATGAAAGCGCTGCTGGAGGAGTCGTTAGCCTTGCATGAGAAGCGTTTCAACCCCCGCCACGCCAAGGTGGGTCGTGTGCTGCTGCTGCTGGCCGCCGCGCAGGATCACCTCGGCGAGCACGACGCGCAGGTGAAGACGGCGGAGCGGGCGCACGAAATTGTGCAGCGGCACTGCGGCCCAGACCATGTGCAGACCACCCTCGCGATGATGACCCTCGGTCGTGCCTACGGCTCCGTGGGGCAGGTGGAGCGGCAGCTACAGCTCGCGCAGGCCGCCTTCAACATCCAGGAGAAGCGGCTCGGTCCGCGTAACCCGCAGTTGGCCATGACGCTAATGGAGCTGGCGGAGGCGCACAAGGCGAACAAGGACTACTACAATCAGCGGGCGTTGTTGGAGGAGGCGGTGGAGGTGCAGCGCCGCTCCTTTGGGCAGCAGCACACCCACCTCATCGACACGTACATCGCTTTGGGGGACGCCTGTGGATTGTTGGAGGACACGAAGATGCAGGCGCAGTACTACCTGGAGGCTCTCAAGGTTGCTCGACAGCGCTTCCAGGGCAAGCACATCGCCGTTGGCAAGGCGGCACTGAATGCTGCGCGTGCCTATCTCCTTCAGGGGAATATGGAGAAGGCGTCGCAGCTGCTGAGAGAAGCGCGCGCTATCTTGGAGCGCAACGTCAGCCCCGTTCACCCGCTTTCGAAACAGCTGGAAGAGGCAGCATCACAGCTCAAAAAAAAGGCGCAGTGAAAGCCTACACACACGTTTCACTACCCACACGCAACGCACAGGTGGAGTTCCCCGAGGCGTAAGAATCCCGGGGTGTATTGGTCGTGAGTTGGTTGTAGTAGCGATAGAAGTGGCGTTACAATGAAGCATCGAGTGGCGTACATGTGTGTGCGTATGAGCCGCTTTTGTTGTTATGGTATTCCCCTCTTTATTGATCACACAAAGGAAAAACAAGAATTCCGTTCCATAAATAAGTATATTTGAAAAAAAGGTTTTACGAGAAAAATTGAGGTGCTTGTGCAGCGCTGCGCATCAAACTTTGTGTTATCATTCGAACTGTGAGGCACCTCAAATCTGTTGCTGCATCTTATTTTTATTTTTGATGAATTCGTGTGCACCGCGTTACTTTGAACTCTACGGCAAAGGAAAGAAACTCCTGTTTTATTTTCCTCCCCTTTAATTCTCCTCTTGCGTCGGCACACCTCCATCGGTGTGTACTCTGACTATCTTCTCTTCTCAACGCGCAACCGGCCACGTCAGCAGCTATTTCTATTATTATTGTTGCTGTGAGTACGCAGCACTCTAGATCTCGTGCCTTCATTGCTTTAGACACCGGTTTTTGTTTTCCTAGCTATCAACGTGTTTTGGCGAAACGCATTTTCTCGTTCCTTGCTTACCTTTCCACCGCACTGTGGTGAGAAAGATACGTTTTTGAGTTACTATTATTATTGTTAATTAAAAAGGTAGCTGTTAAACGACGCTTGGACTGCGATGTCGGTCATTAAAATTGAGGAGGTCATCTCGACCACCAAGAAGGAGCGGGTGGCAGCCCACAGCCACGTCAAGGGGCTCGGTCTCAACCTGGATGGCTCCACAAAGGACATCGCGGACGGCTTCGTGGGTCAAAAGACGGCGCGCGAGGCGGCCGGCATCGCCGTGGATTTGATCCGGTCCAAGAAGATGGCCGGTCGTGCGCTGCTCTTCGCCGGGCCGCCCGGCACCGGTAAGACGGCGCTCGCCCTCGGCATTGCGAAGGAGCTGGGCCCGAAGGTACCCTTCTGTCCGATGGTGGGCAGCGAAGTGTACAGCGCGGAGGTGAAGAAGACGGAGGTGCTCATGGAGAACTTCCGCCGGGCGATTGGCCTGCGCATCAAGGAGAACAAGGAAGTCTACGAGGGTGAGGTGACAGAGCTGCGGGCGGAGGAGACGGACAACCCGCTCGGCGGCTATGGCAAGTCCATCTCGCACGTCATCATCACCCTCAAGTCGCAGAAAGGCTCGAAGCTGCTGAAGCTGGACGCGGCCATCTACGAGAGCTTGGAGAAGGAGAAGGTGTCGGTGGGCGACGTCATCTACATCGAGGCGAGCTCCGGGGCAGTGAAGCGCGTGGGCCGCAGCGACGCCTACATCGGCGACCATGACCTGGAGGCGGACGAGTACGTGCCGATCCCGAAGGGTGACGTGCACAAGAAGAAGGAGGTGATTCAGGACGTGACGCTGCACGACCTGGACATGGCGAATGCGAAGCCGAACCAAGGCCAGGACGCGCTCTCCATCGTGAGCAGTCTGGTGCGTCAGAAGAAGACGGAAGTGACGGAGAAACTGCGGCAGGAGATCAACAAGGTGGTGAACAAGTATATCGACCAGGGCGTCGCGGAGCTCGTCCCCGGCGTTCTGTTCATCGACGAGGTTCACATGTTGGACATTGAGTGCTTCACCTACCTTAACAAGGCGCTGGAGTCAACGCTGGCGCCTGTTGTGATCTTTGCAACGAACCGTGGCAGCTGCCGCATCCGCGGAACTGAGATTCGCGCCCCGCACGGCATGCCCACCGACCTGCTAGATCGTCTCCTCATCATCCGCACCTCCAACTACAACGTGAGCGAGATCACCTCGATTGTCGAGATCCGCGCGCAGGTAGAGGGGGTAAAGATTGCGGGGACGGCGGTAGTCAAGCTGGGCGAGATCGGAGAGAGCACCTCGCTGCGCTACGTGGCGCAGCTGCTCACCCCGGCGCTCATCATTGCGGAAACTAAGGGTCGCGAGATTATTGAGGAGGAGGACGTGGATATGGTGAATGAGCTCTTTAAGGACGGAAAGGCATCCGCGCGTCTTCTGCAGGATCACGCTGAGGAGTACGTCTACCAGTGATTTAATGAGCTAAGCAGGCGGGGCGTCGTTGGGGTGACGCAATTGGATAAAGGAAGGAGGAGAACATGGTGACGACAGAGAGAGAACAAGCGCCCCACCATAAGCTCCTCAAGTGCGTTGGTTAAGTCTTTCTTTTTATATATTAAGAGTTCTGTGATGTTTATAGTGTGCTAAAATGCAAAGAAAGTGAAGAAGCAACTGACCCCATTGCACCCCTTCTCCCTCTCCTCAGCAGCGAAGCCGATTTGACTTTACTGAGGAAGTGCATGTTTGTCCTGCCGTGCTGCTCGTTCACGACGCTCACGATTAAGGCATTCAGCACGGTGTTCTTGTTTTCTTCTTCTTCCTTGCCCACAACACCTTTTTTTCCTCCCAACACTCCTGTGCTCCTCATCGTCTTTTATTTTATTTGTTTTGTTTTCTCCATCGCACACGAACTTATTTAGCCCTGTTTGTAAAATAGGAAGGCGCTCCGCCAATGCACGCGTCCCTGTGAGAGACATCCGTTCTGAGAAATCTGCTCGCGAGAGCTTCCCGTCAGAAGAAGCAACACACACAACACTGTTCTCTGTCATGCTTGAGTTTTTCCTGACCGCACAACCGGCCCGCCGCATTGTGTGCCGCAACGAGACCACTTATGTGTACTTTTGGCCCTACCTGTTCACGCGCGAGGTTCCCGGGGCTCGTCCCCTGAGTCGGTGGGCCGCGCGTCGTGGCGCCGCCGTGCACGGAGCCGTCCGTCTGCAGCCGAGCGACAACGCCGTCGCACCGCAGCAGTGTTACCTGATGGTCACCCGACCCGTCGAGCAGGGCCGCGCGCTCATCTCGCTCCCGCCTGCCCTCGCCCTCGGCGTCTCCTCCACCGAGGCCAAAAAAGGCTCCTTTGCGGGGCGGTACAACCCACTGGAAAGCCTGGCGCAGCTGCTGGCGCGCGAACTGCACAATCCTCGCAGTCCGCACCGCCCTTACCTGGAGTTTCTCTACGACCTGCACAACACTGCCACGGAGGAGGAGCAAGAGGCACTTCTAGCGAGTCTGCAGTACGGACGCGCTGGTACCCTAACGCAGCAACTGGAGGCAATGTACGGCGGCAACACGTTGCAGGCCCGTGGCGTGGCCAACGCGCCGTTCCTCACCAAGGAGGAGCTCGTCTCGCCGAGTCAGCGGGTAGAGTGGGCGCGGCTACAACAAATGCGGCGGCGGCTGGAGCAGAGCGTGCCGCACTTTGCCGCCAAATCCACGTCCTGGGCGCTGTCGATGGCGCTGAGTCGCTCCATGGAGGACGACGACGAGGGCCGCACCATGTACCCGATCATCGACTTCTGCACCCACAGCTTCGCCCCGAACGCGGGGGTGGTGGTGGATGGACAGGAAAACGCAAAGGTGGTGCGGCCCGTGCAGTGGACGGAGACGGACGGCGCTGGCCCGTGTGTGCATCTTGTGACGCTTCGTCCGCTGCAAACGGGTGAGCGGGTGACGGTGCGATGGCACGCGAGGCCGGCCACGACGCAGGAGGACGCCGAGTTTTGGCGGCTGCGCTTTGGGTACGTCCCCAGTGAAGGAAACAACGCAAAAGCAAAAAGATAGTTGGTGAAATCGTGACCGGTCTCTTTTAAATTTAGTAATACAGTCGCGCTTTGGTGTTGCTGCTGTGTGTTGCTTTGCTGTTCACCGCTGCTTTTATGGTTGTCATGCGTACCATCTCTTCACCTAGTTACGTATACATACGTTTGTTGTAGAAGTATTCGCTCTCTTTTCGACTGGCTTCCGCCTTCGTGGTGTGCGTGTGTGAGAGCGGAAAACGTGTGTGTCCTCCGCGTTTAACCATCACACAGAGTTGAGGGAACACATTTTTGTTCTTTTTCCGATGCCTTCGTGAGACTCCGTTAGTTGCCTGTGTGTGCGTGCCGGTGTGCGCCGCATCTCCCTCCTTCAGTTCATTCTTCGAAAATCTGAATGTCTCCCTCCTCCTTCCTTCTCCATTACCGGCCACGGCAATCAGAAGTCAGCGAAAACTTACATACATATCCTGCCACTCTTGTGCGCCGTGTCACAAGATTGAAGCACCAAATCAAAAAAACTAACAACACTTTTTTCCTTGTTTTACGCAACCGCGATAATTTCTCCCACAAGCGAATCGACGGCACCGTTTCTTCTCCTTTGCCCGGCAGACACCTTCTTTACCTCGGCTGAAGTTGAATCAAAACACACACGCAAAAAGAAAACCGAACTGTTCATCTTCGCTGTTGTCTTCTCGTTATAATGCAGCAGTCTTCGTTTGAGGTGGCCGTGAGCAGAAACAGCCAGCACTCCTTCGTCACCGTCTCGCAGAACTATCTGAACAGTGTGTTGCAGCCGCTCTACAGCGGGCATCTGCCCCCTGCGGTGCCGCTGCGCATCACCGGCCAAAATGGCAAGGACATCTACGTTGGCTGTCTCACCGCCAACCCGCATAATCTGTCCAAGTTCAAGATACTCTTCCCGCTTACCCTGTGCACCGACTTGGGGCTGAGTGAGGGCGAGCTTGTGGAGTGTGTGCCGCTCTCCAACGCCCCACGCGCGACAAAAGTTCTTGTGGCCCCTCTTACGGTGGATGACAGCGAGGTGGTGGAGCAGAACGCGCTGCGCATAGAGAACTTGCTGCTGCGCCAGGTGCAGGTGGTGTTCCCGTCCATGATCATCTCCGTCGCCATCTACGCCGGCGTGACGGCGAAAGTGATCGTCACGTCGATCGAGTGCGGGGCGTCGGAGGAGAAGCTGCGCAGCGGGTGTGCGACGATGCACGAGGGCACGCACTTTGTGATCGCCACGCGTGTGCGACGCGAGCTGGCGGATGCGGCCGCCGGCAACGACGCCCCGCCGTTGTGGGCCTTCGTGCGTGGGCGGCCGTCGCCGCGGGCCTCGGCGCAGCCTCGCGGTGACGCTACCGCTGCTGCAGTCGCGGCCGCTGGTGGAGAAGGAGGGACGGTGAAGGTGGGCAGTGCGATGGCGGAAAACTACCACTGGAAGAACGGCACCGTCCTCGGCGCCCTCGACTGCGCGATGGTGGCCACGCTGGACAAGGAAGACTTGACGCCGGGTTTCCTGCGCACGTATTTGAAGACGGTGGTGGTCTCCGTCGAGGAGGTGCGCACGACGGGTGAAGATGGAAAAGACGAAACGGACGTGTGCGAGCTGGATTTCCTGGCGCAGGCCACCAACGTCCTCCTCACCCCACATGCCATCGACGCCCCAGCAGCAACGGCGGCTGCCGAGACCACCGTTGAGGCGCAAAACGACGTCACCGAGGCGGCGCAGTCGCCGCTTATGTTGCCGTCCACTGCACTGAGCTTGGACGACGTAGCGAAGGTGCACGGCAGCGTCGCGCACGAGCTGCGGCAGCACCTGCTCGCCGCCCTCCACCAGTCGGCCATGCCGCACTTCGCCAACTTACACCACAACAACGTCCTTCTCTGCGGTGGAAAGGGCTTTGGCAAGACGACGGTAGTGCGGGCGGTCTTGAGCACGTTGCCGGACGTGCACACCGTTTCGCTCGAGTGCGGCAAGACGAAGTCCTTCTCCGCTGATGTGGCGAAGGCGCTGACGGAGTGCGTGCTGTGCAAGCCCGCCGTGCTGGTGCTGGAGAACTTCGACAGCATCGCTCCCGCGCAGCAAGAGGGGAACGTGGCTGCCATGTCCGCTATGACGCAGGCCACGCTGGAGTGCACCCTGACACGCTTCTGCTACCAATTCTCGGTCCGTCCTGCCGGTGCGGTGGTGGTGCTGGCGACCTGCTCCAGCCGCGACGCCGTGCACGAGTCGCTGCGCTCCGCGTACTGCTTCCGACAGGTGTTGACGCTGGAGTCGTTAAACCGCGCCTCGCGCACCGTGCTGGCGACGCAGCTGTTCCCGAGTGCCCCGAGCGAGGAGGTGGCGGCGGCGGCGGCGCTGATGGACAACTACACGCCGTTCGATGTGAAGCAGCTGGCGTCGCGCATGCGGGCGAAGCTGGCAGCGGACCCGAGCCTGTCCCTGCGCGCGTGCGCCGAGGCGTGCGTCGCGTCCTTCACACCGCTGGCCCACACGGGCATCAGCTTCCTGAAGGGCGACAAGGTGTCGTGGGAGTCCATCGGCGGCCTGGAGGAGGCGAAGAAGGTGCTGTACAACACCCTGGTGCTCCCCATCAAGCACCCCCAGCTGTTTGCGCGGCTGCCGCTCAAGACGCGCAGCGGGATCCTTCTCTACGGCCCGTCGGGGTGCGGCAAGACGTTCATCCTCGAGTCGCTCATCAACGCGGAGAATTTGCACTGCATCGTGATCAACGGGCCGGAGGTGTTTGGCAAGTACATTGGGCAGAGTGAGCAGAAGATCCGCGACGTCTTTGAGCGGGCGCAGGCGGCGGCGCCGTGTGTGGTGTTCTTCGACGAGTTCGACTCCGTCGCCCCGCAGCGCGGCGCCGACGACTCCGGCGTGACGGACCGCGTGGTGAACCAGCTGCTGTGCTATCTCGACGGCGTGGAGGGCCGCAAGGACGTCTTTGTCGTGGCGGCGTCGAGCCGGCCAGACCTGATCGATGCGGCGCTGCTGCGACCCGGGCGCCTGGACAAGGCGGTGGTGTGCCCGGTGCCGAGCGAGGACGACCGCGTGGCCATCCTACGCAGCCTCCTGAGCAAGACGTCGGCCCAGTTCAGCGACGACGAGCTGCTGCAGGTGGCGCAGCGGACGGAGAAGTGGACGCCGGCCGACCTCTCGGCGATGGTGTCGTCGGCGAACACGCTGGTGAACATGCGCTTCATGGAGAACCTCACGCAGCAGGCGGCGGCGCGCAGCAAGGGTGCGGGCGGTGGTCTACTTGGCGGCGACGGGGAGGAGGACGGCTTTGTCATCGCCAACCTCGGCGGCGGCGTCACGCGCGAGAAGGTGAGTGACGCGCTGAAGCCGCTGGCGCAGGCTGCTGTGGCGGGTGGCGCAGCGTCGGGCAGGGCAGCGCTGGCGGCGGAGCAGATGACGATGGATGACCTCTGGAAGTCCGTGGACACGACGCGGCCGTCGCTGTCGGAGAAGGACATCCAGAAGCACGAGCGCATTCACGCGTTGTTTTCAAAAGGCAAGACCATTCCGCCGCCCAAGCCGCCCGGCACGCGACTGGTGACCCGATAAAAGCAACAACAACAAGCGCTGTGGTTGTGGCGAAGGAAACATCCTGTGGTAGTTTTTGTTCCTATCCTGTTAACGCTGTGCTTTCTATCCTCTAATGGTAAACCGAAGAGCGAAGATCGAAACGGAAATGCATGCGTGGGATGCGCAAGACTCGCCTTGCATGTGACACGCGCCGTACACGTCTGTTCATCAGCTGTGAAAGAACCGCTAAAAATGCCGGACGTTGTCTTTCGCCTGCGCTTTTGACTTTCGTTTTCTCTCTTCTTCGCGCCGCCGTCTCTTCTCGCTTCGCACAGAAAAGCTCCTCCCGTTGGATTCGAACCAACGACCTGTAGGTTAACAGCCTAACGCGCTGCCGACTGCGCCAGGGAGGATCTGAGGAGCCGCATTTTTTAGCACTTCGATATGCTCCGTTGTGGGACCTGAGAGTGAAAACGGGCCGCTAGGGGAATTGAACCCCTGACCTCCCGCACCCGAAGCGGGAATCATACCACTAGACCAAGCGGCCATGTATCGAGCTTCCGTGAGCAAGGAGACTCACTTGCGGTGTATATTATAACTCCTGCTCTTCAGGACAGTAAGCTTGTTGGCCGCTTAGCACAGTGGCAGTGCACCACTCTCGTAAAGTGGGGGTCGCGAGTTCGATTCTCGCAGTGGCCTTGCTTTTTGTCCCGCAACGCACGACACCTTTCTCGCTGACAAGCGGACGATTTCGAATACGGTCGTAACCTTCTGTAGCTCAATTGGTAGAGCATGTGACTGTAGAGTAAGCAGGTATCACAGGGTCGCTGGTTCGATTCCGGCCGGAAGGACACTCTTTTTCACGCGGCGGAGAGATAACAAGTGGAGGAGTTAGAGCCCGGCCCTGCTACGGTGCGAGTCCTCCCTGGCGCAGTCGGCAGCGCGTTAGGCTGTTAACCTACAGGTCGTTGGTTCGAATCCAACGGGAGGAGCTTTTTCTTGACAACACCAACCCGCGCAAGGCCCGACGAGCCAAGAAAACGCAAAAGCCGGCTCCCCCCCCCGCTCTCGCCGATTTCGTTGTTTTTCTTTTCCGTCCCAAAGAAGCTTTTCATTTCCCATCGTCGCCAGTACAGAGTTCATTATTGTTCTTCACCGCTTCACCCCCCACACTTCTTGCGATAAACACTGCGCATTCGCAAGCGCTCGCGCAGAAAGGGAAATGCAGTTCCGACAAACGCGGAAAACAAATATGCGACGCTTTTGAAGTTCATCCCTCCTGTTCGCAAACTCAGAGCGAATAACCAAAATTCTTGTGCTTCATGAAGAGGAGCCTATCTACCGCGAGAGCTGTTGTGACCGGCCTCCCGACCGAGAAGAAGAAAGGTTTTCAACTACGCCTTTGACGGATGAGCTTTACCATCGGATTCAAAAGAATAATACGCAGGGAACTAGTTTCGACTGCACCTCAAACCCCTTTTTTACGCCTTCGTTCTTCTTTCTCCATCAGATGCTATTCTTCTTTCATAATCAGTAGCCACACACAGAAAACATCTGACACAAAGCTTAAAAACAAACAAAAAAGGAAAACATGAGTATCTTTCCTCGCAATCTACAATGAACAGTGAACAGGAAATTCTGGCAGTGCTGTGGCGCAAGGCAAAAAAGCCGTCACGCAACGCTGCAACATTAACACACAATATAGGAGTAACGTTCACTTTCCTCGAAACGCAATGGGACGACAAAGCAAGGCAAATTATCGGTGCGCTCGTTGCGGTCAATGCGAGTCGCATGCACACCACCATCTGGGCGGCGTTATTCCAGCAGCTGCGAGAAACCGATACCCCCAGCATTAAAGTGTACATCCTCAAACAGTTTGCAAATATCTGCTGGACTGTGCCGCTTGCGCAAGGTGCAAATGCATTTCGTGCCTTTGCATTGGAAGTACGGCCGCTTCTTTCGGATGTTCAAGTAGTGACAAATAGCACATTTCAAAGCCATTTCTCCACCATTGTTTCGTTCCTGGAGAATTTCGCGGAAGAAGGATTATCGCTCGAACTGTTTAACATCCTCTACGCTGACTTGGTGGAATGGAAACGAGTCGACGCAATTCGTGCTGTTTCGAACGCAACTGCTGTGTTAGTGTTGCGCATTCCACATTGTCCAACCGTGGAGACGCTTCTCCCACGTGCAAAGCAGGAAATGGAGCTTTCCGGCTACATAATTCTCGTTGAAACACTTATTGCTGCGGAGAACAGTGGCACCTGTAGACGAAATCCGAAACGCTTCCGTTTCTTCTGCGGCGAAGTGGACGACGCACTACGCATAATCCTGCAGGCCATCAACGAAAATTGCAAATCTATTCCTCCATGTGTAAGTGCCTATCGACGGCTCAAAAACGTAGACGCAACTTGGGAATCCACGTATGCCACTGCGTTTTCGAATGCAATTTTACACGAATTAGAGGCAGAGAACGCAAACGTGCTGCTCACCTGTCCGTTTTTGCAGTTTCTGCAGTCCACGTCTCACAATTGGTGGAGCGGCAAGGGCACAATCTGGAAACTCACTGGCAGTACTGATCCTTTTGTGCGCGCTGACGCTTTCCTCGCGCTTTCTAGCAGGTCGCATGTTCTCGACACTTCTGAGAAACGGCTCACCATCGCCGAGCTGATGGAGAAGCTGTTTCACTTTATCGGAGAAAACTGCAGCTACAGCATCGTCGCGATTCTGAAGTTTTTGAGGGCGCTAGTGTTCAACTCCGATATACCGTCTTCGGCGCAGCAACTGTATCTTGGGAAGGTGCTTCACATTTGTTGCCGCTACGGAAAGGAGTTTAGTAACGACACAGCTGCTCAACTCGAGCTGCTAAATCTTTTTTCCGCGACTTCCGTTGCACCGGAGGCTGTACAAAAACTGGCACTAAAGCTTTTTCTTCAATCGAACGATCGCACTGTCGCTGCAAGCGCGTTCAAAGTTCTTGTTGGTCTTTCAGCATTGTGCAAACCAGACGAAGAGACGCTAGGTTTCAAGTACTTTGGCTCGCTCGATGACTTTTTCGACGGCGCAGTTTATGCAGAGCAAGAAGAACCCAACGAACGGTCTCTCTCTTTCGCAAACTGCATGCCGTGTTATGAAACTCTTTCCGCAGTTGTGCATTGTCGGTTTCTTCAATTGGCTGTTAACGAATCGAATGCAGGGTTCAACTACATTGTTGCCAGTGACGCTGTGAAACACCTTTGCGGCGTAGTTGATATGCGAACCCGCTCCGTTTTCGTCTCCCAGCACTCGCCACTGACGATTCTATCACAAATTCTACTTTCGCATAGCGCAATATCGAGCGATGCCTACATCGCAATAATTCAGGCAGCTTCGGCCTATGTAGGTCTCGAAGAATGGGAGACGAGTGCAAATGTAAATTGCGTTGCTCGCCTGGTGCAGCATTCTTGGAGCACTCTAGTGAACTGCGCTGCCGCGCTGTTTCCGGAGTTTTCTCCCTCTGTTGAAGCGCCAGCATGTCGTTTCTTTCGAAATGATGCCACGCCTCTTCATCTTCACGAACTGATAATACAATGTAAGGACGTAGCACTGTCGAACGAAGTGCCCTTCCATTCCAGTGTTTTTTTTGACATTATAGAGAGCAACATTTGTCTGCTCAGTAACTGCATAACCGCATTAAAAGATTCACCTCTTTTCGTAGATGAACTGTTTTACATGCTGGATGAAATTCTTAGATTCAGTGACACTCTTTTTCATTGTACTCCAAAGCGTACTCTTTGTTTCCTCACAACGACTTTTAAAACCATCCTAACTTTCAGTGCCGCAAATGAATCAGATCCGCACTTTATGAAACGATGCACAATTCATTTTGCAAACTGTTGTAGTTCCCTTGTCACTCGCGCCATTACGCTGGATTTTCTGTCTTATTGCCCTGATCTGTGTGATTTTTTTGGTTTATGCCTCCAGCTGGATTCCGGCAAAAACGGTGGAATTCTACCAGAGCTTGTTGCAAATAACTGGAGTATATTCGCCCACTTGTTTTCTTTCTGTGGCAGTGAGTTTGTTGGTTACAGCAACAGCGACGAAGGAAGCGCTATATTTTGTATTGTGCGGCTTATTCGCTCGTTGTGCTGGAGCTCTTATTTTCCACAAATCGCGCAAGTTATTTCGCTGAACGATGTGCGCAGAGCAGCTAGTTCTTCTCGAAAATGGAAGTGGTTTGCAGAAAAGATGGAGTGCTATCAAATCATTTCCGATGTGCAACTGGCTTTTGAGAAAAGTGAGAGCAACACAACGGATGTTGTGGCTCAGTGTCTTTGCAAGCATAGTTCCTCGAAGAACTTTTTTGATTATTTTGAAAGTGTAATTGATTTATTTAACGTTAGCGGCGTGGAAACTCAACGCAGAATAAAAAAAACACTTTTTGCTCAAAACACTGGTGAAGGTTTTGTTTCCCTTGCGGCACTTGACAATGCCTTCATTTCTTCAGCCGTGGAATTTGTTTTGGTCACACCCGTTGAGGAAGTTATTTTGAAAACACTTTTATTAATTGTTTCGGAAAGTGAACAGGTAGATGTTTCGCCTCTTGAGTTTTACGTTGCCGATGCCGTTTTGGGCACATCCGGTGAGCTTATCAGAGAAATTATTGAGAACTACCGTTGGGGATGGATCTGGGGGACAAAAACTGTCAAAATGCTGTCCAGTGGTGTTTTGAAACGCCAGGACACACCTCTCGGCCACTTCGTAAAACGGCTTTCTCAGTTGCCACCAAAACACCCGATTGTTGTAGACGGTCACAGGTTTTTATCGAATGATTCTGGCCCAAAAACCTTTTCTGTGCAAAACCAGCTGTTTCCTGGAATTGCAACCATTAGTTTACTATTAATCTCCCCAGATGACAGTTTTATTGTAAATAACAGCGTCGAAGAAATACTTGCTAGCGGCAGCCTCTCGGCACTGCAGATACTTCATCAGCTTTTTGTCACGCACGATGATTTTGAAGTTTTATCTTCCCCCCAAGTCATTTTTCTTTTTGCAAGACACATTTCTGTCGTTCGATCTGGTGACATGCTTTTATGGGATGTTTCGGAGTGGATCTCACTTCTCCGCTCGTGGGTTTCGGTGACACTCGCAACGCAACCGGAATCAGAGCGGTGGGGATGGCAGCAATTAAGTTGCTGGATACTTTTTTATCGCGTGTACAATCATCTGTACTCTATGGCCAAGAGCGGTCACCCGAGGTACCCGAAGGAAGGTGGAGTACAGCTCTTTGAGGAACTTCGCAGAATTTACTTGAATCTTTCAAACTGTTTTCTTTGCTGCAATGCCAACAGCGTAGACCAAGTTGCACTGTTTACTGTTCGCTATGCGCTAAAAAATTCTTCGTTTTTTGAGAACGGTGGGATTTATGATGACATTTTTTGGTGCATTGCCCGCACATGTTTGGAAGCCGTGTGGATGGTGTTAAGTAGTGAGCAATGTGCTTCTTTGCAAGATCCGGAAGTGGTCGAGTTTTTGTGTCGCGTACAAGGAAAAATTGGACTTCCGCTGCACTTGCAGCGCAGAACACACAGGATTATTTCCGGGTGGCTTCACAAGTGCGACGTCAAGAGTACTGATTATGAACCGGACGCGCAACGGCACGCACTTTGGCTTGTCAGTAGCTTTGGACAGGGCCTATACTCGCCTTCAGCGACGGAAAATAATATGGAGAGCGCAGCAACGCAGGGAAGCCGCAGCCTTGGCTACGAGAGGCAACAGACAGCTGCAACATCTCCTGCTTTTCTCTCGGACGCGCACGTAGATGGTAAAGCAAACGACTGTTTTTCCTTCCGTCGCGCTGTTGCACTTAATCTGTTGAAGTTAGCGCAGAAGGCTCTTCGTACACCCACGCAAACCCCACCGTCCATGGTTTTTGACGTGTTGACAGTATTGCGCGGCATCTCGCATTTGACAGCCGTTTCCTCAGTTTCAATCCCGCTGGAGGGAACCGTGAACGAGGTTGAGCAAATCTACCTAGTCATAAAGGATTTTGTCGCGGCCGTCTCTCCGTTGAATCCCAGCGCCTCTTTGCAGCCCGCAGCACACTGCCTCTGCAATTTGATGGATGAGTTTGTTAGACCACGGCGCGCTTCAGGCTTCAGCGACGAATATTCTCTGTCGCTTGTCGCTGCGACACTGAGCGGAACGCTTGCTTCTTGGTTGCACAGAGGCGCTTCGCTATCGGCACCGCCGGCTCAAGTCCCGTGCACTTTGGCGGTGGTTTTGCCCTATCTCGTGCGCCTCGATCTCCCGCTCTATACAACAGCCCTGCAGTGTGTTGAACTTCTTGCTGAATGGGGTGCGAGCGTAGAGGTCGTCGCCGTGCATAACGTTTTGCTACCACGGTTTGTGGAGGACTTGGTTGACATTCAGTGGAATTCGCCCATGGCCGCAAGTTGGAACAAAGCGCTACTTTCTTTTTTGGGGCACGTTGTTTCTTGTGTGCGCGACGGCAAAGAGCAGCTCTCTCGCCGGGTGTGGGAGGGTATGTGGCAAGGCGCGGGCACCTCCGATGCGTGCCACAGTCAGGACGTTAAAGAATGGGTTCAGCTTACGCTGCGGCAGCTGGTTCGTGACCTCATTCCCAAATCGCCGCAGTGGGAGCTATGTCGCCTCGTCATTCTTGGCACTCCCATTCAGCGAACGGCCTCGAAAGCGGACGTGACTGTTCAACATGAACTGGAAGCAAACGACGCCCAGTTGTCGTTTCGCATCGCAGCGGACCTGGAGGAAAGCTGGTGGCTCGCCCTGTTGGCCGAGACGCAGGCAGAGTTTGCGTTGAACGCGGCAAACGCGTTGGATGCGGACAGTTCTCACTCTCTCCTGTTCGAATTCGGAAAAGCACTTGACTCTCTCTTTGACTCGAGCAGAAGCGGCGTCGCGAGCGTGGAAGAAGTACAAAACTGCTGCTTGCTGCGAGAACGTGTCAGCACGGCTCTTTTGTCTTCAACCGAGGCGGCTCTGGCCGCTTTAAACCACTTCACTTTTTCCAACTTAGACCGACGGCGTGCTGTACTCAACGAGTTGCGCCGGATGGTCATCAACGAATCTCAGCCGCATCCGGTGTCGGACATGCTTACGGCTTCGTGGGCCGACGTCTACTTCGACATCCTCTTTGAGCGCGCAACGTGCGTTGACGAGGGACTGTGGGTCGCTTGCGCGCTAGCTGCCGTGGAGGTTGGCGGAAGTCAGCTGGATTGGGTCATCCCAGCGCTGCAGTTGCTGATTGCCGCGAGCTCAACGCGATGGAAGCGCAGTTTTCTGCGCCATGCAGGACAGTTGGCGAAGCGCGACGAAACCCAAGGGCGAGTGCGCAGCTTTTTTGTCGGCGCAACCGACAGACTTGCGGCCTCGCAAGACCCGTCTGCTGTGTGGAAGGCCGAGTTACTGGTGGAGGTGACATTTGTTTTTACCGCCTGAATGCCAAAGAAAGACGTCAGGGCCGAATATTGGCAAACCAGACTCTCTTCGATATTATTATTTTTATTCTATAGCTTGCGTTACGGAAACGCAAAGCTCAGCGGAAAGCTGCTCCTTTTTGAGAGGACACAACAGTGAAGCACTTTTTTCCAAAGCGAAAGAATTCCATCTTTTTATCTGCTTGCCATTTATGAAATTAGTTCTAATAGTGCCAACGGAAACGAAAGCATCCGTCGCTTTTGAACTGGCTCCGATGTCGCCCGGGTATTGGTTCCGATGGCGTTCTACAAAGGGTCATTTAATGGAGGTGTCGATCTGCATTTTTGCCATTTCACACCGTTGAATAGTTTAAGCTACCGGCACTCCACACTGCGAACGATTGGAATAGTAGTAGTAATAATAGTAATAAAAAGACAAGAGGATGAACAAAGCAATCGCTCCTGCCTTTTTTTTTTCTATCAAGTGAAATGCTGCATCTCCCTCTTTTCAAGATGAGAATGCCTTTTTTTTTTACCTTACAGGCTCTTCGTCTTCTGCTTCCCTTTTCTTTTTCTGGGTACTGAGCTCGACGCTCTTCGCTCACTCGGGCAAGGACACTTCATATCGTTAAGAGTGGGTTTCTCGTAACCCAACAACAGTAACAACAGAAGACAACGCGACACGTAAGGTCATAAGTCGCTTTCATTATTCTTAAAGATGAGCAGCTTGGAGAATGCAAAACCCGAGGATGCGTCGAACAGTGTTCAAAAGAGTACAACGACTGTATCGTCGGAGAAGGTCAGCACGCCGCCTGGACTGATGTGGACGCGCGCGGGTATCATCGCACTTGTGTCTGTGGTCTCGTGGATTACGATTAGCTACTGCTCCAACGTCTACTTTGACCGCGATTCGGCCTTTCACGACGCTCTCAAGTGCACAGAAGGGGTGCTGAACGAGCATGTCGATCAATTCTGGCTGCTGAATGGCACTCTGCTGGGTTCTACTCGTATTGGTCGTCTCGTACTCTGGGACGCGGACTTGGACATTGGCGTACTGGTGCCAACGCCGAGCGACTTTGACAAGGCATCAAGCGCTCTTGACGCTGAGTGCTTTGGACACAAATCGGTGATTAAGCACGGTACGTACAATCCATCACTGCGTGTGTGGCGGAAATGCACGCCACGCATCTGTGCCGAGTTTGTTGAAACTACCTTGGTGGACGGCACCGCGAGGACGGGGGAGGGGGAGTCGGAGGAGTCTTTCTTATTTCCTCTCCAGTCGTGTACTGTTTCAGGCGTCGAGGCACACTGCCCGAAGAATTTCAGCTTCTACCTCGCGCAAGCCTTCGGCCAAGATTGGCTGACGACGCCGCTTACCAAGTTGTTTTGATCTGTTAGAATGGGTCTTGCCTGTGTTGTTGATTTCTTATACCATCATTTTTCCTGAAGTGAATTTGGAAAAAAAATGTGGTTAGCGTCTGCTTTTATAAAAGCACACACGGCGAGCCATGTCTTTGTTGTGTGCGCTTTCTCCTTGCATTACGATCCGTGGTTCACTCATCAATGGTTGCAAAGGCAATGTCCTCAGGTACTGCAAGCAGGCTCGATGAAGAAGGGATACACGGTGGGGGACTCACGAAGCACACTTCACCGTTGCAGCTCTCATTCTCACAGCAGCTGAACCGCACAAATAAAAAATGAAACATCAACAGCAATGACACGTCTGTAGTCTTCACACTCTGCATTCCTCGTTCAATGCTCAAGGGCTAAACACTTTGGGTTCAGATGGTTCTCACTGGCACCATTATCAATGCTAAAAATGGGTGCAAGGGGTTTATAACTGCTCGCGTCTTCGTCCATTCGTTTTGACGTCAGCGATGCAGTCCATAATCATACCGCTTTATAAAACAATCGCAAGTGCGCTTCTCTGCGAACGTTGTAAAAATAAAGAGGACCTTTTTTTCTTTTTGCTTCACCCGATCTCCGAGTCGTTTGCGCAAGCTTAGTATCCCTCTCTTGTTACTGCCCCTCCTTTGTCGACTTCTTGATTGTTCGCCCTTTTTTGTGTCACGGAGCTACTTGAAACTTTGAAACTTACAAAGGCTTCGGCGTACTTGGCCACTGCTCGCGTTTTTTTTCTCTTTTCTGCGTAATGAGTAGAGACGCCTCGCCGGCTGTGTGGATCGGCACGCCGCAGCGCGGCCGATCGCTGGAGGATATACTGGACCCGTACACTTCCAAAATTGGCGGACAAGCGACTTGTTTTCGCGTCGGGAGCACCCCGACGGAGCGCCTGGATGCGGCCAAACTGAGCAAATACTTCCAGTGTCCGCAGTGCAAATCGACGGAGCGGGTCTCCCTTTTGTGTCAGGTTTACGCCCCACTGGAGGTGTACGATCGTGTCCTCTACGTACTCACTTGCGCCGCCTGTGCACGGCGTCCGGCTGCCGGGCCATCAGGCTCTCGCACCGTTCCAGCAGCCGCGCCACCGCCAGGCGCGGGAAAGAAGAGCGGCCTCGCTGCTGTCGCTGCCGCGAAGTCGCTTGTCAGCTTTTGCTTCGCGGTGCGTAGTCAAAACTTCAGCCGGGATTTTTTTTTGGAGCTGCAGCAGCAGCAGGAGCGTACGGCGGCTCAGCAGAGCGAAAACGCGCCGACAGCCAAGACGGAAACGGAGGCACAGCTCTTCGACGAGGGCGACGGCGACTGGGGGGACGGCACGGGAGACTGGGGGACCGACAACGGCGACGTCGTCGCTGCGGCACCACCGGCCGCCTCCCCATCGCCTGTGGCTGAGGTGAACACGACCGACGCAGTGGAGGAGCAGGTGTCTTACCCGATTGCTGGGCGCGCCACCGTCGTACCGGTTAAAGGGACGCTGTACACAGACGGACTCCCACTGGACCTTTACGTGGAGCCGGCGCGAGCGATGACCAAGGAACTCTCGATCGAGGAGCAGCTGGCGGTGGCGGAGCGCATGTATGGCGACGGCGCCACGGTGGACACGAGCGGTTTCGAGGAAGATGACGAGTCCCCGACGGAGACCTGTGTGCGGGAGTACCTCGAGGCGATAGAAGCGAATCCCTCGCAGTGTGTGCGGTGGTGCCCGGGTGGTACGCCGCTGCGGACGTCGTTGTCGGCCATCGGCGTGAACGGTGCCGCAAGCCCGCCTCCGTGTCCCGCCTGCGGTGCACCTCGGCAGTTCGAGATGCAGCTAACGGCGCCGATGGTGTACTACCTCACCAAGCATATTGGCGAGGCAAACAATGCGACGCTGCACTTTAGAAACGTTTTGGTGTACACGTGTAGCAAGCACTGCTACGCAGCCACACAGAACCAGCCGTACTTACCGGAGTACGTGGTTGTGGAGGAGGAGCTTTAGTATTATTGCCAAGCCCTGTGACTCCGTGCTCTTTTTTTTTTTGATAATTCATAATTAAGCCTCCGGCGTAAACGCGAGTAACTCCGATTGAAAGTCAACGAATAGCGAAAGCACGTAAAATATATTGAAGAGACCTTACGATTGAGAGACAGCTTCTGCACCCTAGCGGAGAAGCGATACGATAAAGAAAGGAGGTGTCACAGTTTCGGGCACTTGAGCGCTGGCAGCTGAGGCAACCCACAAGCTTTTGTCGTCATATTCCTGTTACCCACACCACCACCCACCTGGGTTAGTCGTTAATGAAACGAATTCTCGCCAAGTACTCTCTTTTCTCTTTACCTTTTGTTTAATGCCGGTTTCTTGCTGGCTTTTGCTTTTCTCGTCTGCACGGCAACATTCTGTTGTCCAAACTGTGCGCACGCTCGCTGAAGAAATCCGAGGAGACTCGATTTCTCTCCACAACCCGGTTGTTCATCTGCGTAGCGGATCCCCATCTCGTTTTGGCCTCTTCTTGGATTTGAAGAGATCGTTTTTGTTTTCATACATTCTTATTATTAATGCTATTTGGGGCAACCTGTGCGACAACACTTGTCCGGTACTGACTTCTCACACACACATACATATATATACATATTCCTTCTTTTTCCTCAAAACAATTGTTTGCGTCGGGGCTGCTTAGCTTACGTCTTTTTTTTTCTGAACGAAAACCGTCAATACAGACTCAAAGGACTTTTTACTTCGTCGTTTGCTGCTCAAAACAGCATAGCCAAATAGCAGCTACAACAGAACACGAACGGCTCACACCCATGACGGATTTCGAAGAAGTGATTCTGCTCAACGATAAAGCTGCGTTGCTGCAGTTCTTTTCTGCGGCGCCGAAAAATGCGGTGAACGGCGTGAACGGTGAGGGCTTCACCCCTCTCTACTTCGCCTGCATGAAGCCGTCGGTGTCCCTAAGCACCATTGAGGAGCTCATCCATCTCGGCGCTAGCGTCGACGACAGGGCCACCGACGACGAGACACCGCTGTACATCAGCGTGTACAACCACCGCAGTGACGTCGCCAAGTACTTGCTAGGCCTACGCGCGGATGTGAATGCCACCAACGGCGCCTTGAAGGAAACGGCGCTGCACGTCGCTGCGCGATTCGGCTATGGCGATCTCGTTACCCTTTTGCTTGGTGCCGGTGCGGATCTGAACGCGCGCAACGTAAGGCAGGAGACCCCGCTGTTTGCGGCTGCCGAGGCAGGGTGGCACGAGACGGTGTATCTGCTGCTCAACGCCGGTGCCAACACAACCCTCACCAACGAAGACGCCAAAAGCGCACTTTACATCGCTTCAGAGAAGGGATTCAAGCACGTGGTGGTGCTGCTGAAAGCCCCCCAGGCTGACCTGAAGCACGCCAAGGCGGAGGCGGACGTCGAGTGGCGGCTGCGTCCTGAGCCGATGATGTCTTCGGATCAGATGATGGACAAGGCGGCCACGGACAAGAACTTCTCGGCAGCGGTGAAGCGGCGCTCCTCTGCCACGGTGGAGGTGGTTCCCGAGACGAAGCCGATGGAGGTGATGGACATCAAGGTGCCGGAGCCGAAGATGCGAATGCACGACCCTCTCACTGGTCAGGCCTATGGCCCGTGTCGGAGCCTAGCAGAAGTGGGCTACGACTCTCCCCCGGCCATACCAAAAGAGCTGCAGCATCTTCCACCCGCGCGGCTGTCCCGTGTGGGCGGAACTTCCATGGTGGTCGGCACGGGAACGGAGGAAGGTGCTCGCGAGCCTTTCCGCGTGGAGACCCCCATCACTGATGCGATGCACTTCGAAATGCCGCACAGTAAGTAGAGGCAACAACAGGCGGAATCGTCCGTATTATGTTCGCCACTGCCAACGCAGCGTCGCATTAGTCTTTCTTGACGCCTTTCCCTCAACTCGACCCCTGCCGCTTCTGAAGTCAATTTGGCCCTTCTAAGGAGGAGAAGGACACGTACCTTTTCCTGCCTCTTCTCCGGCTACATTCTTGTTGCCTACTCTGACAAGTCCGTTACCCACACGTTTTCTTTTCTCCTCCCTTTGAATCTGCATCGTGCTTGGCGAAGAAAAAAATAATGATGTACAGTAGTTTGGTTTGCTTTTTTTCGTAGTGAAAGAACCTCGGTACAGCTGTTTTCTGAAAAAAGCGGAATGCAAGACTGAGAGTACAGGGTTTGGTTTGAGGTGCTCACTCGCTTTCGTAGAGACCGCGCGAGGCTCGTCGCTACTGCGTCCCACGTGCGGTCCTAGGGGCAAGCGAGCGCGCCGGGCGGAACACTAGCCTTTGCGGTAATCGTGCGTGTTGTGGGTTTCTGACAGCTATTGCATCAAAGTCGTATTCGGTTGTGAGCGTTAAAAAGGGGAAATGAGAGAAGGAAAAACACCTGCTCGAGTATCCGACCTCTGTGATGATTTCCATAATGATGTACATTCCCTGAGTCTCCAGAAACACGCCCGCTTTCTCTGCGCAAGGTATGTTCAACTCTCCCTTCATTTCAATTGCTGTTGTTTCTATTTTCGTTTTTTTACCCGACTCGTTGTGTGTCTTCATGCCGCTTAGAACGAACATACATAAAGAAAGGAGTCAAAAAAGACACGACTGCTATTTGTTGTCGTGCACGCAAGCATTGCTGCCGCATCTCCGATTCACTGCCGCAACCCAAACAAAAACAGAACAGAAGCAAGAAAACAAACAAACAAAGCAGCAATAAAACACGCGGCATTCTTATCTCTGAAACGGCGTCTGAAGCAACGACAAACCATAGCACCGAGTGTTTCTCTTCTGTCATTACTAAGAGAAGAGGAAAGGAACAAAAACTTAGTGCTTAGCTTGCTGTGGTCTGCGCTGCCGAACAACAGCATCAAAACTAAGAACCTCTAATATGTCTGCCGCGAAGAATAGTAAGCGGTGTCACGGGGGCTTGAAGGTGTCGTTGATTTGCCTTGCCGCTGTCTTTCTCCTTTTTCTTGGCTCCAGCGCGAGGCTTGCGGTGGCGCAGGAAAACGCTGTAGCCCCCGAAGCTGTCGTACCGACAACGGACACACCGACCGCCGTAGCAGCACCTTCTCATGATGCCTCTTCAGACCTTTCTTCGTCCCAGGAACCGCAACAGGACGAACCGAGACAGGTTTTAGAAGAAGAGCCAACGCTCGCCGCCGTGGCTGCAGCCGCCATTGCGGAATCGAATCAGCAGATCCAGGAGACACTCAGACCCGAAGCGGAAGACGCACAGCGCCTGCAGCTGGAACAGGAGGCGGCGCAGCGCGAGGCGCAAGTGCATGCGCAAGAGGAAGCGACAGAACGTCTCGAAGCGGCGAGGCGTGCGGCGGAAGAGGCGCGGCAACTGCAGGAGAGAAGACAAGCGGAACAGGCCCGACAAGAGCGCGATGCAGCCCTCGCAGTGGAGCGGAGGCGCGTAGCGGAGGAGAGGGAGGAGGAGCAGCGGCGGCGTCAGCAAGAGCAAGCACGGCAGGCACAGGAAGCGGAAGCGGAGGCGCAGGCGCGGGCACGAATTGTAGAAGAAATTCGACTCGCCGAAGAGAGCGGTGTTGCGGAGGCGGCGCAGCAAGCGGCGGAGGAAGCCGTGAGAGCCGCAGAAGAGGAGCGGAGAGCTGATGAGGCTCGACTTGCCGTGGAAGCGCAGCGAATACTGGAAGAGGAGGAGGAAAGACGAGCGAAGGAGGCAGCTCAGATTGCCGAAGCAGCACAGGAGGCTGAGAAGGCGCGAGTGGCCGAGGAGCGATCACGCCAGGCGAAGGAAGCTGAGGCAGCTCGGATAGCGGAAGAGGAGCGTCGAACCGTGGAACAAGTGCGCCAGCAGGAGGAGGCGCAGAAGGCTGAGGAGGCGCGAGTGGCCGAGGAGCGATCACGCCAGGCGAAAGAAGCTGAGGCAGCTCGGATAGCGGAAGAGGAGCGTCGAACCGTGGAAGCGCGTCGTGTAGAGAGCGAAAAGGTGGACGAGGCGGGGCGGCTCGCTGCGGAGGCCCGCAAAGCCGAAGAGGTCCTCCTGGCGCAGAAAGAGCAGGAAAGACTTGAAGAGGCGCGGCGCGCGGAGGAGAGGCGACGGGCTACGAAGGAAAAAGAGGCGGCTGCTCGGCAACTTCGCGAACAAAAGGAGGAGCTGAACCGTCTACTAAGTCAGAGAGGGGAAATGCTGCAAAAGACACGGGCAGAAAACAACGAGTACCGTGCCGCCGTCGCTGCGCTTGAGGCACAGGAGGCGGATGATCTGGCAGCCGTGCAGGAGCGCGAAAAGGCGGCTGCGCGTTCACTGCAGCAGTCGGTGGAAGGACAGCTAGAGACGCTGACGCGCAATCTTGCGACGCTTGATGAGCAAACGACGGCTATTCGTACATGCCTGAAGGAGTCCACAGCCGGCAACAAGCCGATGGAAACGCTTCTTACCGAGCTCAACGCGTTCTTCAAAGAGGTGGACAACGCTGGTGGCGCCATGGACGCCATTGACGAATCGACGCGATTCCTGAAAAAGGCTACGAGGCTCGCTCGAAGCAGCAGAGACGACAGCGACGCTTCCTCCACTGCTGCAGCTTCTTACGAAGAGCGGCGCAACGCGTTAGCGGCGTCGCACAACTCTGCTAATGCCCGGCTGCAGAAGGAACAGCTCGAGATAGACGCACAAATCGCGGAGCTCCAACAGAGACTCGGTCGTGAGGTGGAGACTGGGAAATCGAACGAAGAGGTCGACGAGGCAGAGGTGACAGCTCCCATTCCAACTCTTCCTTCCTCTTCATCTACGCCCATAGTCTCGTCGGAGAGTGGTTGGGAGGACGCTGAGGTCACCCCACCAACTCCTTCTACAAGGAATGCCCCCGAGCCCACGCTTCACTCCGATGCTGCTGGTGCCGCTGATGGTGCTGTTACACCACCACCCTCCTCCTCCTCTGCTGCACCGAGGCCGGTAACACCACACCACGTTCCGGATCTGCGCCAAAACCCGTCTCTCCGTCAGCTGATTGATACTCTCGTCCGGCAAGCGGAGGAGCGCGGTTACAACGTCTCCAAGTACGAGGTGCATCACCGCGAGGACGGCGCCTTCTTTGAAGCGAAAGGTCAAGTGGAGATTATCGTGACGACGGTGCTTGTTACCCTCGTCTCTATCATCCAAACGCTGCGGTGGTGCCGTGGTGGCGCCGAAGAAGCCAACAGTGTGGTAGAAGCGACGAATACGGTGACTCCTGCACTACAACTCACCAAGGACACCACAAGTGCTGCTGCTGCTGCTGCTGCGAGCGGTGCCCTCCCCAATGCACCACCGCAGCGAGGCGGTCAGCGTGCTCCAACTGGGCCGCCTACACCTCAAAATCTGGCCCCATCGCTGCGTTCGTTGCCACCTAATGCGGAGAGACGCGATCCTTTCGAAGGTGCACCGCTGCGCCAGCGGCGCACACCCGGCAGCGAATCTTCGTCGTCTCCCACGAGCAATCTGGACCCGATGCAGCAGCAGCCTCCGGACCTGCCGACGGGCGTTCCACCCAGACCGCCATCTCCCACCGATGCGCAGCCCACACAGCCGCCCAAAGCGTCGGTCGGTAAGCCGCAGCGGTTTGGGCTGGTGCCGACCTCCACGCAACGCCCGTCTGCGACTAGCCAGGGTGACTCCCCGAATCGCTTCCCGGCTTCTCTTAACAACCCCTCGCTAGGGGGTCCGGTGCTGAGAGCGGCCGCGCCGCCTGCGGTGGGGAGCCAGCCGACGCCCCCACCACCGCGGCGCCGCAGGGATGCCGAGGACTTTGAGCTGGAGAACCCGTTTCTGTCGCGATGGTCCTAAACACAACGGGTGACGTGTTCTCCTTTTGCCAGGTTGGAAAGTTTCTGTCTGTGGTAGATGATGTGGTGACGTAAACGGCGCGCAGCCGCAATTCTCATTGGGCTCTACTAAGCAAATCGTTTTTTTTTTCATTTAGAGGGTGAGTCATACCGGTATTTTTCCCTTGCTTTTGCTGTTGCTTGAAAATATCGAAGGCACTTGCAGTGTTTCCACGGAGGGCGCGTGACACTCCACAAGGCTTACAGACGCTTTCAGCTCACAGCGTTCCGTCTCTCGGGATTTTATTTGTGGGCGTTTTTTTTTTCTTCTTGCCGCATGTCAACTTCGGGTTGCGCGGCATCGCGAAGAAACACGCTGCTACGAGCAGGTCCCTCACTTCACCCCATCTCTACTCCGCGTTCCTTCTTTCTTTTCTCTCCTGTGATTGACGACACTTGTGAAGTACTTGTCACCTGCAAGCTGACGTACAAAGACGGGCTAAAAACCTTTCAGAGCACAAACATACAGTCCTCGTAAAAGTCTACTTTTGCAGCAGGTACTTTTTGTTTCCTACGTTGTGTGGAACAAGCGTTGAATCTTTGTGAAGTATTTCTTCTGCAGCGCGTCGGTTTCTCGCGCACACACTTAAACGTCCTGTTTTCTGTTCAGTGAGATTCGCGATGTCCGCGGAGGACGAATCGTCATGGCGGCTCCTCTTCAGCATCGCGTTGAGCCACGGTGAAGCCCTGCACTCGAGGCAGCTGACCTGGGAGGCCTGGATGGTCTTTCTGAGTTCAGCCCGCCTCATCGGGACCACCGCTGGCGTGTTTCCTGTGTTGCTGGATCAGCTCTGGCAGCGGCAAGCGCTGTTCACAGAAGGAGCGCCAAGAAGAGAAAGGCGCAGTGAAATGTTTACCTCGTCGTCCACCCTACTCGATGAAGCGTCCCGCCATGCCTCGGATAGCACAGGAAGCGTTGCGTTCGTTGAGTTTGGCGGTTTTGTGGACATGATGAAGGTGCTCTGTCTGCGCGTCTATCAGACCTTCCAGTTTGCCCACCTGCGGGCGCAGCACGGCGAAGATGGCGATGCGGTGCTCCTTGCCCTACGTCGCTGCGCCGAGGACCGCGTGCTGTTGACCGAGGCGGTGCGGTTTACCGCGTCACGGTACTTGAAGCCTTTCATTACAGAAAGCACCATTCACACCACCTCGCGGGTGGGCCTCCGCGCCGCGCGCAACGGGTGGGCGGTGCACGTGAACCGCCTCGTTACCCACATCGTCGGCGCACTTGCCCAGACGACGATCGTACCGGTGTACCGTAAATACGCGAACACCGCCGTGGGCCGAATGACGGAGGAGGACTACTGTGCCTTTCTGAAAGATTACCTGCCGGGCTTGAACACGTTGGAGGAGACGTGCGCGCTGGCGATCTTCACACACGGCGGCTTTCCAGATATCCGGCCCCTGCTGAAGCCGTTGCTGTCACTCGCAGCGACATCCGCCGACGTTTCCCTTCTCACCTCCACCCCCACGCTTGGCTTGACTGATTTCATAGAGGCACTTCTCATGTTGGCGGTGGTGGTGTCCGCGGACGAGGAGCGGCATCCCAGCCTCCGTCCCATCACGGCGAAGGTGTGGCTGTTCTTTGAACGCTACCTGTGCTGCGGAGGGACGGGGGGCAGCTCCATGTGTGCTGACCCCTACGTGACTGGACGGTATGCTGCGATGCCGCCTGGCCTGGTCGCGGTTTTTCCGAACGTCGTAGCACTGCTGCCGTGCCCGACGTTGTTTGTTGAGGTCTGTAACGCGCCCTGCTACGTGGAAGAGGGAGACACAAGTTCCAGTCCTCCCCCCACTTCGGTGAAGCAGCCGGCTCTGTCGCCCGGCTCGCCGAACAGCGATAAAACACCTTTTCTCACGGAAGTGGTTGCCCAGGCGGACACAACCGATTCGTCACCTACGAAGCCCACCCCTCTCGCCGCTCCAAAAGGAAATGTTGCGATGGAAGCGGCCTCGCCTTTTTTTGCGGCCCGGTGGAGCCTGCTGGAGTGCAACGCGGATGTTCCTTTTTTCGGTGAAGGAGAGGCGCTGACCGCATGCCAGGTCACGGTGGGCGGCACGGTGGTCAACGCCACGCCCACCTCGTGCCCTGAGATTTGGAAGATCAGCCTCTCCGCCCTGTCACTGGAGTCTGTGAAGTTGAATCGATGCGCGGTGGAGACAACAGCGACGACTGCCGGGTTGGATGATGGCGGTAGCAAAAGCAGTGGCAGTGAAGTGAAGCTGATCTTTACGCCGCTCCGATCCTTTCCCGTGGAGCTCGTGATACCGGAGGGCGACGGGACTGGCGGCAACGCGAGGAATGGTGGCAAAGCAGAGAAGAGCAACCGACTCCAAAATTCTGATGGAGACGCAGCTGAGCATCTCATGCCGTGGGGATGCAAGGACGTGGTGCTCACCGACACGTCCGTCACTCAGCTGATGACGGCTTCCTTGGTGAGCCGCGTGCGTGCCCTTCTCGATGAAGCGAACAAAGCGTCCAGCACACCCGTCGCCGCCGCCACCGCTGACAGCGCACCGTCTTCTCTACAGCAGGCAACGGTTTCACTTGCGTCGTTCTGTGAGGTGTGCCGGCGGCTGCGGTGGTGTGGAGCGCGCGAGAAGGACGGTGCGACGGATCTCGAGCACCTGTGCAGTCAGGCGCTGACGAGTTGCCGCCTCTATCACCGCCTTCTGCACGCCAGCGCATCGCGCCGTAATGCGGCACCTCTGCCGCCCTCAGACGGGTCGCAGCGGATGAGCGTGCTGGAGGTGTTGGGCTGCCTGTCGGTGTTGCTGTTCCGCGATGATTTGTGCGGACTGCGCGACATCCCCGACGTGCCCCGCCGACTGGAGTTAGCGCTGCACTCGGCCATCAGTGCGGAGACGACGCCTGCAACGACCGCCACGCCGGCTGCCGACCTTCAGGCGGGGAAAAAGGCAGACATCCGCAGTCTTCCCCACAACAAACTTCGCGACGAGCCCTTCATGTTGGCGCTGGAGCGAAAGGAACTGCAATCGGCGGCATCGCGGGAACGACGGGCTGCGTTGATCAAAGCGATTCGGGATCATCACACACAGCAGATGTCGGGTCCCGTTGTGCTGCCACCGCTGCCAGAGAGTCGCCCAAACGCCATGCGGCTCGTATCGCAGTACGGCAACGTCGATCCCACAGAGGACTTTCAGCGCGTGATGCTGGAGGGGGCAGAGACAGTCAAGGCGTATTTCATCGAGAAGGAGCTTGCCATTCCTGAGTGGCGAGGAAGCTAGATTTGCTACCCATGTACAATAGCTTGCAGAAGCGGAAATTAATTAGGAGCTGAGATAAGTGCAAAGCTCAATGTATTGAGTTTTACTCCGCGAGTGTTGCTCTCCGCCTCTTTTGTTTACCCACGTTGGTCTCCCACGGTACGCGGCTGAACCGCCGCGGTGGAACAAGACCCTCTCGAATGTAAAAAAAAAAGAGTAACTGAATAGCCCGGCGTTTTAGTCTGCCGGGGCGCTTGTTTTCTCTCGCCTTTTCGCTGAGAAGTGACGCTGCTTTGCTTTTTTTTTTGGCTCCTACGATATTTAGTGAAGCGGAAAGGTGGTGCACTCACTGCCGCCGTCAAAAAAAAAGACAACAAGAAACAGCAGGCGGCCCACGAGATCGTCGCTGCATGCTTGAATACGTGCAGTCTACCGTGAATTCTCGTGACGCTTCTATCGTCTCGTCACCGCACCTCCTCACCTTTCTTCTTTCCTGTTCTTCCTTTGTTTTCGTTCAGTATTGGTGTTTAAACATCAACGACGGCGATTCGTCGTTTCAAAACTTGTCGGCCTTCCAAAGCGCACGACAATTGCTTTTTTCTTCATAAAGCCGTGCAACTAGAATCTCACCTAGTGTATTTTTCGTTCGGAAAAAGAGGGCGTCGGCGTCTCTGCTTTGTTGTATTTGAAAGGCCTTTTCTTGGTGTTCTCTCAGTGGGTTTCCCTTTTTTTGTCTGCATTTTCACGACACGTGCTGACGACGATGGCCGGAATTAATAGCCGCAGGGCCTCGGCTCAACGGCACGCTTTGCTCGAAAACCTGCAGCGAATCTACTTCAACAACCTGACCGCAGAGGAGCAGGAGGACTGTGTTCGGCAGCTGTACGATGTCGACCTGCGCGCGTTAGAGGAGTGTCTTCTGCAGGTCACTCACGTGTGCATCACCCATCCCGACCCTGCTACCCAAGAGCTGCTGCACAACTTCATGCTGTGGCTTGCGGGGCGTTCACTGCACATCGCCTTCCGTTTAGCGTGGACAGTGGATGCTGTGTCCGACTTCTACAGCACCACAGGACTCGCGGACAGACTGAAGCACATCCACGACAAGCTGGAGAGCTACGCCATTAACCAAGGACAGGCCCCCGTGCACCTTTCGAACAGCAGCGCCGTCGGTGGCAGTATGCGCAGCTCAAACTCCCCCACGTCTCGCCACGGCTCCTTCGAAAACGATGACGAGTTCAGCGAAGTGGACGCGAGCGCTGTGCAGCGCAAGGAGGTGCGTCTGAAGATCTACAACGACGAGCGCACCTTTGTGACGACGCTGACGAACATGAGCAACATGCTTCGCTTTTTCCCCGATCGCAACCGGCGCAAAGATGAGCTACGGAAGCGGCTGCGTGTGCTGAACCAGCGCCTCGACTCGATGCGCCTGGTCCACCCCATCTGCATGAGCGACGAGGCGGTGCAGTGGATTGTGCACATCGCCGTCGAGGAGTGCACCGTGTTCTCCTCACGTGAGCGGGCACCCTACCTCATCCGCTACGAGGTCATTGTGGACGACACGGCCACCATGCGGGACCCGACGATGACGCGGCTGCGGCTGCCCGACGGCCGTTTCCGCCTGCACCAGGACAGCGATGCAGTTTTCGTGCCCACCGCGCCGCCGACGGACGCCACTGCGAGCGCGGCCGTCTCAGGAGTCTCGGCGCCTATCTTGTCGCCGGGGCGGGACGGCGGCCTGGGTGGTGGTCTCGAGGAGCCGTCTCCAGACGCGTTGCAGTGTCTCCACACGGTGTTTGGCGAGAGCAAGGCGGAGCGCATGGCCCGCGTCCGTCGGTCGTCGCCGTGGGGTGCGCACCCGAACTGGTCCATGAACGCGATGATTGTGAAGGCCGGGGACGATTTGCGGCAGGAGGAGCTGTCGCTGCAGCTCATTTACGTCTTTCAGAGCATTTGGCAGGAGGCGGGACTGACGTGCAGCGTGAGGCCGTACGTGGCCCTCCCCACCGACAGCGACTGTGGTCTCCTAGAGGTGGTGGACGACTCGTCGTCGATCGACGGAATTAAAAAGGCGCTCCGAGTGAGCAGCATCTATAACTTTTACCTCCAGGCCTATGATGGCGAGGATTCCATGCTGTACCGCAAGGCGCAGCAGAACTTCGTGGAGAGCATGGCGGGCTACAGCATTGTGTCCTACATCCTGCAAATTAAGGACCGACACAACGGCAACCTCATGATATCGCGCAAGGGTGATCTGGTGCACATCGACTTCGGCTTCCTCTTCGTGACCTCGCCCGGTGGGCTGAATTTCGAATCCGCCCCGTTTAAGCTCTCTCAGGAGCTGATTGACGTACTCGGTGGGGACTCCAGCGACTCCTTCAACTACTACCGCATTCTTGTGTACCAGGGTCTGGCGGCAGCGCGCGAGCGGTCCGAAGACTTGCTCTCGTTTGTCTCTATTTTGACCCCGTACAACGCAATGCCGTGCTTTGGGGCGGACGCAGGCGCGGTGGTGGGGCAGCTGCGCGCGCGCTTTCGCGACGACCTCTTCTCGGAAGCTGACTACGCTGTCTACGCGAAGGAGCTGATCGTGAACAGCGCTGACAACTGGCGCACGCGGCGGTACGACCAGTTCCAGAGCCTGCAGAACGGTATTCTGTAGGAGTGTACGCCTCCTCCACAACGTGCCCCTTTTGCCTCGCTCACCTGCCGCTGTTGTTTTTGTTCTTTTTCTTCTCTCTCTTGTGTTCGTCTCGTAGTTTCTGCTTTTGCTCCTCCCACATTTGAGCCACCCTTTTCAAATGCCTCACCGCGTTTTTTCTCTTTTGCGTTTGCGTCTCCGCTTTTGTGTGTTGTGACGCTGCTGCGTTTCCGTCGCTAAAACGTAGAATGAACACGACCAACCGCAATTACCACAACCACTCGTTCTCCGTTGCATCTTAGTGACTTAGCATGCGCTTTGCCGGCGCATGACCTGCCGCTGCCTACGCACTTTGCGAGCTCCGTCGGTCTTGGCAGCCACAAATGTGTCTCCTTCCTGAGTGACAAAGCGCAGCCGGCTCTCTTTTTCTTCCTTCACACGTGCACACGATCTTTCAGAACTCTGAGTGCTCCTCTCTCTCTCATCGCTGTGCTTTTCATAGATTTCTTCCCGAATGTAGCGCCTTTTTGTGCTGTCATTCACTCCATAGTACGATTGAATTTGCATCTTCTTGAACGCAAAGTACGCACCCGCTTCTTTAAAGTTGAGTCATTAACAAGGTCTGCTAATCAGAGAACTTTACATAACGCCATAAAGGACGACCACTCGACTTCTTCGCTTCCCCGTTAAAAGTCTCCTCTCGTGTCTAAAACACAGCAAAAAGGACTTCCCCCCTTAAAATATAATAACGCTCATCGCCAAGAATAATACGGGCGACAGCCTTTCCCGAAACGCGGTGCCGTCTCTATCCACTTCTTTCTTTTAAGCCACCTTTGCTCTTTCGCCAGCACACTACTCAGTGTTTCGTAATGACGAAGGACATGCCTAGCGAAACCGCCACGAAGCCACCGTCGCTGCTGTGCTTCGGCCACCCCCTGCTGGATATGATGGCCACTGTAGACGAGGCTTTCCTGAGGGAGCACAACGTCGAGCCCGGCAGCGTCTCCCTTGCCTCGCCCGAGCAGCTGTGCCTCTTCACGAAGCTGCTTGACGACTTTGAGGGGAAGGTCGGCTTTGTCCCAGGTGGGGCTGCCATGAACACCGCGCGCGCCTTTGCCTGGATGACGCCGGCGGCGCGTGTCTCCTACGTCGGTGCCCTCGGAAAAGACCGCTTTGCCGAAATTTTGAAGGATGCGCTTGTTTCGGCTGGCGTGCAGCAGCTTTTTGAGGAGTGCGACGCGAAGCCCACCGGCACGTGCGCCGGGCTGGTGGTGAACAAAGACCGCGCATTGCTGGCCTACCTCGGTGCCGCTGTTGAGGTGTCGCTGAAGCACATGCAGACAGACGAGGTGCAGGCCGCTATCGAAGACGCGTGCGTCTACTACTCGGAGGGCTTCTTTTTGAACACCGCGTCCAGCCCCGACAACCTCGTCTCCGTCGCGACCCACGCCCACCTGCACGACAAACTCTTCTGCTTCAACCTGAATGCGCCTTACCTTAGCATGACGTTCGCCAGCCGAATCCAACTGTTGATGCCACACATCGACATCCTCTTCGGTAGCGACGAGGACTTGCTGACGTACGCCTCGGTGCGCTGGCCGCAGGACTTTGATCTGGCCGCGTTGGAGCCCAAAATGCACGCGAACTCCTGCCGACAGAGGGCGCTGGTCCGCTGCCTGGCCCGCATTTCGATGCTTCCCTCCGTCATGCCGAACCGCCCACGGCTGGTGGTGGCGACGTGCGGTCCCCACGACACCTACGTGGCCTGCGGCGATCGGGTCCGCTCCTACCCAGTTCCGCCGATGCTGCCGGAGGAGATGGTCGACGTGAACGGCGCCGGCGACGCTTTTGTGGCGGGATTCCTGGCGCAGTACGTCGCGAACGGTGACGAGTCTGCCAGCGTGGTGGTTGGCCACTCCTCGGCACAGAACTGCATTCGACACAACGGCGCCGTCGTGAGCGGCGTCCCGCCTCCGCTGTTCGGGGTAAAAACGGAATAGGTGCTTCTATCTTCTTCTTTCCTTTGTTCTGCCGTTTCGTTTTCATTCAAACTGTGTGTTGCTCGCGCTCGTTCAGCAACGCAAGAAGGCAAAACCGGCGAATGTCTTTCACCTCATTTTCTTCGTTTTTCTTCTGTCTAACTCCGACGCGTGTCGTTGTTTCGTTTAATAATCTTCAGTGTACTGCTAGGCGATGCTGTGAATCAAGCGTAATCCTTGTGTACGGTGTGCTCCAGTGTTCTCTTTTTGCTTTCACACTTTCTTCCATAGAGTTCCCGAGTTCATGAGTTATTTCCCTCTGAAGCAGCGGTGTGAAATCAGGCATCTTCAGACGGGTGTATGCATGCGTATCGGGTGATAAGGTAGCTTCCGTAAAGCATTGATGAGTCCGCAACAAGCACAAAAGCTTGCATCAAAAGGTTTGACCGACTCGCGTCGTCACGAGTTTTTTTTTCTCCTCTCCATTTCTTACTTGTGCGTGTTACCGGTTCTTTTTTCTTCTGATGGACGCCAAAGGCAACTTGCTAGTGCGGTGATTTTTTTTTGTTTTCTCTTTCTACAACCCTCATGCGCGCAGGCTCTAACACACACACTCGTGTCTTTTATCGCGCATGCTTGTTTCTTCGCTTTGGGTGGATCTAAAAAGTACTATTTTTTTTCATTGTATGCTTCTGTACGTCGGGCGTGCTCTTCTTTGTTACTATTATTATTTTTGTTAAGCTTGCTTCGTTCATGTGGCTTTCTTGTTTTCACTTAGGACTAATATATATGTATATATATATATATTTTTTTACGTGGACTATCCTTTTAACGTTGAAACTTTTTTCTTTTCTTTTCGTGTCCAGCAGGTGCGCTTTATCTCTTCTGCGTCTGTGGCGAAAAGGGAAATAATTGAAAAGAAGGGGAAAAGTGGTGAGTTTGTTAGGTGACGACAAAAACACGGTGGCCATCATCGTCTCTCCGCCAGCTGCTTCAGTCACATCGTTGATAGGCGTAGCAAAACCCCCCCTTCAAATGTGTTCAATACACCGCAGCAGCACACTGTGTTTCTGTGTTTGTTGGAACACGAGCGTATGTATGGATGTAAGTATTCGCCGCGACACACGATAGCTACGGAAGAGGCTTCTGCCGAACGGGCGTAATTGCTAAATGATATTCTAGTCAAATAGCACAGCTAAAGTAGTGTCAACAAGGAAGCAGAGAAAAAAGACAAAATGTAGGAAAAAATTTGTGTTCAAGGTACCTATGTCGTGCACACAAGGCTGCATTATTCAGTGCGCTGATGTACGTTCGAGGTCAAACAAGGTGGAACTTACTCTCCGTTTCTTTCGCTTTTTTTTTAGAAAGTCAGCTGAACGGTTTTTTTTTTTGAAAACGTATTTTTTCTTTTAAACTAGTATTCCGTTGTATATAGACTTTTCGTTGCTAATCTGTTGATGAAGTGATTAATATAAACCAATAACAACAACCTGGCAGAGCTATGAGGGCTTCACGTTTTCCAACTGCGCCGCTGCTCATGACCAAATACAATTGTGATGCGGCTGGCATCGCGCGCATTTGACTTTGATGGCTGAACTTCCAAGGCAGCGACTGTGGTGCCCGGGACGCCGGTTGCAATGACCACCGCTGGCTTCGTCGAGTCGCAAAAGGCTGTTTAAAAGAAAAAGGAAAAACCTAAAGCGGCAAGTGAGGGCCTGAATGCTTTCCTTTTTATGCTGTACCTCAACGCACGGTTTTTGCGTTTTTTTTTCGTACTTTCTCCCAACTCAATAGGAAAAAAGACACGGATTCCATGAGCTCATTTTTACAGATCTTCCACTCTTCCTCTTCCTCTTCCTCTTCCTCTTCCTCTTCGTTTCCTTTTTTTTTTGGGGGGGGGGGGTAGGTGTTGTTGTTGTTGCTGTTCTGTATTGGTGCTGGTGGTTTTTGACCTTGCACTGAGAGTGTCGTGCATTTGGTGTTCAGCGCAGAGCCAACTGCTACACATCAAACGTACTTCTTTGGGTCGTTGCTCGTGCCACTGGGATAAACCGTATTCACGTTGTGAAGCGAGCGAATTCGCATCGCATGCACTTTCTCTGCTGCTCGTTGAGCTTCTCTTTTCCTCCTATTGATCGCAGCTCGTTTAGCTGCTGCTGACATATACCGAAAAATAATGGCGCGGTCGTTTGGGGAGATTCGTAGCGTGGCGGAGAACCCGTTCCGTTCACAAGTCCTCTCGTGGTACCGCAAGTGTCTCCGCGCCGCCTTTGCCGCTCCCTGGGACTCAGACGAGGACGCGATATACGTGCTGGAAGAAACGCGCCGGCTGTTCCACCAGAACCGTGACATTCGCAGCGTGGAGCGCATCGAGCGCAAGGTGCGTGAGGTGGAGATGCGGTACGAGATGGCGCTGCACTACAACATCCCCTACCCACGTCCCTTCAATAAAACGCAGGGCTCGATGCCGGAGAGCGGGGTGCCGTATGCCGCTTACCTCGACTCTTCGTATGACCACCTGGTGAACCCAAACGTCGGCGTCATCGAGGAAGGCAGCGCGAATTTGGGCGTGATGGGCGGGTTGGAGAAGCGCGAGTATTACTTTGAAGATAACACCGGCGAGGCCGACGTGGCGGGGCGGCAAAACCCCCTCGACACAACGCCGGAGCCGCCATCGACAATACGCTAGAGCTGCGCGTTCGCCACGCCCTCACGTCTTGTAAAAGGATAGCGCGAAGGCGTCTTACCGTTTCCCTCCCCCCCCTTTCCGCTTTCCCCTGGGTGCCACGACTGCTCTGAGGTCTCATGATGGTCAAATGGTGGTCGCGTACGTATCGCATCCTTTTGTCTACACACACATGCATAAGTATAATAAAAACAAGGGGAAAAGAGTACCGGGTATCGAAGGGCAGCAACAAAGTATATATTGAAAGAAAATATGGATGTGAGAGCGGGCCGCCGTGACGGCCAGTTTTCCGGAGTCGCACAGACGTCAAGCGGGTGTTGCGGTGTTAACCCGTCACGTTGAGTAGGAGGTACGTCGCTTTACTGCCCCATGCCTGGCATCCAAACGATCTTCTTGTTCTTCTCCCCATTCTTCTCCATTTCCTTTCTCCAACCTGTACGCTACAGGGACGTCCATCATACACATCATTTGCTGTTTTGCTTTTGCTTCTCCAGCTTCGACAACCTAGCACTGCTCTTCCTTTTTTTTCTTCTACACTGCTCTATACACCCCTCAGCTATACAGTTTTTGGTTTCAACGTTTTTTTCCTTCCTTTGATATCGTTTATCTGCAGAAAGGCTGTTTATGCTTTTCTGCGCCCACCGATGGAGTCCACCATTCACGTTCTGTGGGTGAGGTGCATCTCCCTGTACGAGCGGTCGCACTACCTGCTCTACGTTCTCTACACCTTCGGTTTGTTTTTATGGGAGGTGGTCACCGGTGTACTGGAGATTCCCACGGACGCCCCTCAGTACGATGCCCTGCTTCATCAAGCCAGCTGCGCCAAGTCGTACGAGGAATGGCTCCCGATCGCCTCCACCCTCGACGACCTAGATGGCTTTCAGCAGTGGCGCACCAATGAGCGGTCGGCGTACTTTTCGTTCGAAGGTGTCATGCGCACGATCGAGGAGCTGCTGGAGCTGCGCAGCACCGGCAACACGGAGACGCTGCTGGAGGGCCTGCACAAACGCGTCCACCGCTCTCTCTGCGGGATCAGTCATCACCGCCTCTACGCCTACCGCACCGGGACCAAGACGGTCATCCACTCTTACACCTCACTCGTGTGCTTCCTGCTGGGGCGCGCCGGCGAGGCGGCCCGGATCGACCAGCGCCTGCTGCCCCGCACGCGCGAGGTGCTGTCGGAGATGCACCACGTGTACGGCTCCACGGCTCTGCTGCTGCAAGGTGGCGTTCTCGCCGCCAGCGCCCACCTCGGCGTCGCGAAGACGCTCTACAAAGCCGGTCTACTGCCACCCGTCATCTACGGCAGCGGCAGCGGTGCCCTCGTGGCCACGTTAGTGTGCTGCAGCACGGACTTGCCAGCACTTTTTAGCCGATCGTATAAGGACGACGCGAGCGCGCTGATTGGCGGTGGCGGCAGCGGCAGTGCGCCGTTGTCATGCCGGAAGCGGCGGTGCCGCCTGCTGCACTCCGGCGAGGTGGTCGACCCCGCCGCTCTCACCGACTTTCTGCAGCGTACCGTCGGCGACGTCACGTTTGCCGAGGCGTACGCGCAGACCGGCCGGGTGCTGAACATTCTCTACACCTCCGCCCCCTCGCCGCTGCTGCAGGCGTGTGGGCACTACATGGTGGACCACCAGTTGCTGAACTACCTCACCGCCCCCGACGTGGTCATCCGCTCCGCCGTGCGGTGCGCGATGTGCGCCGTCGTCACGTCTCCGCCGTCGTCCACCTCTTCGCCGGAGAAGGCGGACGCGGTGGCCCCGCGCGGCCTCCTCGCCCGCACGCGACAGACGGGCTCGATCGTGATGTACGACCCTCCCGTGGTGCGCCAGAGCTACCCCAATCCGTGCGGCAAGCTCACCGGCGATGGCGCCCGCGATCCAGTGCAACGAATGCGCGGTCTCTTCTCCGTTCGCTTTAGCATTGTGTCGGATGTGTCGCTGCGCGGGTACTTGTGGCGGCAGCTGTACCTTCACAGTTCTAGCAGTCCCTTCTCGCGGCAACGGCTGTGCATGTGGGCGTGGCTGCGGTACAGCTGCGCGCTGTGCTGTCTTGGCGTTGCCCATTTGGTCTTGCGGGTAATCGCCTTGCTGGGCTACGACACCGTCGCCGGCCCCTCGCACACGTCCATGCGTGCGATGCTGCAGCAGGACGAGAGTGAGAACGTGCAGATTTACCCCATCGCCGGCCTCTGGTCGTACTTCCGTCTGTGGTGTACGTCCAATGTGGAGAACATGGCGGCTCTCGAGATGGACGCGCAGCGAGAGGTGTGGCCGCGGCTGGAGCAGCTGCGGATGTCCATGTCCGTTGAGCAGGTGCTCGCTGCTACATTGAAACGGCTCCCCCGAAATGAAGAAGAGTGAGGCGGATGATTGGGAAGAAAGGGGCGGTGGCGTTACTCCTTCACCAAACACACCGCATTTCTTAGGAAAAACGAGGAAAAAGCCGTCGACCTTTTCTGTTTTGAGTTTTTATACGAGCGACGAAGCCCTCCTTTTTGGTTTCACTCCTTTTCCTTTTTTTGCCGTTGTGTCCTTCCGTACACGCCGTGGATCAACGCACCCCCCCCCTTGTTATCCTTCTTGTCCACTCCTTTGAACTCCCGTCATCGGTGGCTTCATGCGCTTTTGGGTCCGGCACACACGCAACACGACCGAGCTGAGTGCGCGCACAAAGAAAAGAAGACAGATAAATACAAAACAAAAAGGAGCATTACCATCTTGAACATTGGGGGGCAATGAATGCCTGATCAACGCTGAAGCGTTGAGTTGTACGGTTCCACGTTAAATGGCAGCTCGCTCTTTTCTGTGGCAAAGCTGTGCCGGAAAAGGAAAACAAAAAGAAGGCTACGCCTTTGACGATGACTAATTTCAAGCTCTGAGGAGGTTCACTGATAATTCTTACCGATTCACTCACCGCCGTCAATAATTTATCTGAAATCGTACACAATAGTGTTCACATTTATAAGCGTTTCTCCGCACCCCCAAAGCATCCGTGAAGTTTTTTTTTTCCCTCATTTTCGTCCTCCAGCTGCATCTTCATCGTTGAGCGAAGCACCGCAGGTATCTGATCTTGTAACCCCCTTTTTTTTGGCACAGGTTGTTCCTGTTCTCCAACTCTCCTTTTTTTTTTTTAAATAATCAGCAATGTGGAGGCGCGCTCTCCACTCTGCAGCCCTCCTCGTGATGATCAGCGCAGCCGTGGTCACGGCATCGGTGCGCGTGACGCTACTCTCTGACATCCACTACGACCCCCAATACGGCACCACAAAGGCGTTTTCGCAGTGCGTGACGTCCAACAGCTCGGTGTGGGGTGTGGCCGGGTGCGACACGTCTCCGCAGCTCATACAGCGGGCACTGGACGATGTGTCGAGGCAGGGGACGAGCTTTATCTTCTACGGCGGTGACTGGCAGCGCCATGATTATCACAACAGCGGTCTGGCCCCTGCTGCCCTCTTCACGGACTTGTCAGAGCGCTTCCGCAATGTGACGGTGGATGGGTCTCATGGCACGGTGGCTTTCAGCGCCTCGCTTGGCAACAATGACGTGGTGCCGGACTACTACTTCGAGTGGGAGAGCGCAGCGTCGGTGCAGGAACTGACCGCCCGTGTGCAGGCAATGGAGACCGCTGGATTGCTGACGGCGACGGAGGCGGGCGTGATGGAGAAATGCGGGTATTACACGTATGAGAAGGCGACGCTGCACGTGATTGTGCTGCACACACTGCTGTGGGCTTTCCGCTTGCGCCCCTACCTATCGGATGCTGTCGCCGACCCGTGCAGCCAATTTGCCTTTCTCAAATCAGAGCTGCAGAAGGTGCGCGATAGCGGAAAGCGTGCTGTCATTCTTGGCCACGTCCCTCCTGGTCTGGACACCTACAAAGTGCTGAAAGGAGGGTTCAAGACACCGCCGGATGACTTGTACTGGAAACCGGAGTACCTGAGCGCATACGATGCTATTATCTACGCGTACAAGGACGTTGTGGCGCTTCAGCTCTTCGGACACACGCACAGGTTCGCGTTGCAGGTGTTTCCTGCAAACGGCGTGCTCAGCATCATCCTCCCTGCCATCTCGCCCATCTTCAGCAACAATCCCTCCTATCTGCTGGCCGACTTCCGCGAGAAAGACTGGTTTCTACAGGACGTTCGGATCCGCTATTCGACTCGGGACGGTGTGTTTCACGCGGGTACGTCGGCGAAGGCGGCCTTGAAGATTTCCGCTGACCTTGCCTCACTGCCGCAGCTTCGCTCGGCCGTCAAGAAACTGGCCACCGACGACGAAGCGTGGAAAAACTACCTACAAATGTACTGCGGCGGTGAGACGCGTCCTGAAGTCTTTCCAGGGGAGGCGTGCGATGCCCACTGCCGCTACGTGGTGGTGTGCTCGATGCTGGAGAGCAACTACACATCCATTCAGAACTGCGTCGCCGACTTTTTCGCTGACTCCTCTGAGGCGCCGTGTCGCACTTCCCCTGGCGTGGTGGCCACGATCCTCATTTTTTCCGTGATGGTGCTTGCCGTGGCTGTCCTACTGGTGCGCATGGCCCGCAGCGGGCAGACAACGCTGGCGTGCCACAATTTCACGAAGGTGGGGTGGTGGAGGTCCTTGCTGAGCATACGACCCACGTCGTCGATCGTTGTCGAGACGGAGCTGCACGTTCCCGCCTAGTTGTGGGCGGGGACGTACGCATCATGCGTCGCATTTTCGTTGACAGCGCACCTGCTGGTATCCGCTTGTTGTTGGAGTGACACAGGGGAATTCCGTTAGCCCCTCGCGATGGCGTCCAGAAGAGAGATGAGGATGATGCAGTGAACACTTGGGAGAACGTAAATACTTTTTGCAACAGCGTAGCTTCGCCTGGGAGTACGCCACAAGAGGCGAAAGGTCGTCTTGTGGAAACAGTGAGGCGTTATTATATTTTACATACATAAAACAATTAGCTTCTGGAGAATAGTTTTCGGTCGCACGGAAAGAGTCGCTGTGCTGTTGTGCTATTCTTAGTTTTCTCCTCGTCCTCTTATGTTGCGAATACGTCGTATTGCAAGCTGTAGCTGATGACGTGGAGTTGTAAGGCATCCAGTTAATATCCCACACGCGTAGTTTGCGACCCACCCACCCGACCCCAGCGGAGAGCGAGGTGTACGCGGGACCCGTTTTTTTTCCCCTTTTTCTCGCCTTATGAGTCAATCGCTGAATTTTTGTTTTGTGCGGTACCGAGCTCTCGTTTTCATTCTTTTAACTTATCAAACATTTTTTATTTCGATAATAGGCGTCACATGCCCGTCGCTTCTTTCAACGCCAAGCAGTAAATCCAATAGCGGAGAAGAGTCGGAAAAGTAGTTTGTCACATTGAGCTGGTTGTATTCCAAAGGCATTTAAAAGGGGTTTTGTGGTGTATGAAGTTAGGAGTGTCAGAACACTCGTACATTGAAAGGGTACTCGTCTTTATCCGTTTTCTCCGCCTACTCCATGCTCACTAGGGATTTACTTGAATGATTTATTCTCTCAAGCAGGTTGGTTTATTTGGACCGGCGCAAGAGTTGGCGATGGTTTGCAGCGTTGCGCACTCAAAGGAAAAACATGATATTCTTTAGTTGACAGGTTTTTTTTCTTTTAAAGGAAACCGTACACTGCACTGTTTCGATATCAGCAAGCGCCGTATTCCTCGCTCTTTCTTTTTTCCCTTTGTGTTCTGTCTCGCTGCATCTACCGTTTGAGGATGAAGGCGCAAGAGGAATCGTGCTTTACCTGTCTGTCGTGTGCCGTCTCAGGTCGTTCACGCCGGAGGGCCAGCAACACAACACTTGTTTCACTTCTTTTTTTTTTAGTCTTTTGCGGCTGCTATGCCTCGAACCTCTCACGCGATCGAACTAACGCAGTTTGAAAATCCATAGGCGAGGCGCATTTGTGAAGAAGCGTGCAGGAACGTTTTTGTGGCCGTGGCCTGCAGTCCTACCGTTTTGCCTTTATTTCTCCTCCCCCTGGCAGCGTGAACTTGGAAAGCCTGTTATTTTTTTTTTACGCCACCATAATATCGTGATACATGTCGTAGTACAAACGTTTATGGGAAGGAAAAAGAAAAACTGTTGGACTGCTTCTTAAAGCAAAAGAGGAAAACTGCAGGGGACACGATGCCCACTCCGGTTGTTGGGTGGTGAGGCACCACACACCTTCCCTTCTTGCACTCGTTCTCTTTTTTTTGGTAGTGTGACTGGTTGAAGCGCTCTCTCCCAAGAAAATCTAGGAGACAGCCAGTATGATTCAATTGACGTTTACATCTTTAACTTCGTACGTATTTTCACGCACCCTTTCCCTCTTTCCTCTTTCCTTCTCGGTTTCTACACGTCGTGCTTCGTTGCTCACGTTTTGTCACCGCACCTAAAATAAACGGCAACTTGTGCAGTATGAAAATTACACAACCTTCTCTTCGTTGTTATCCGCGTCTTTTCTCTCCCTGAGCTCTTCTTCATTCTTTTTTAAAACTTCGCTTGCTCTTCTGCATTGTATCTACTTTTCCTTCTCTCGTCATCGATAAAAAACGGTTCTCATGTCCATGCAGAAGTACACTCTGGTGACTGCGGTGGTGGCGTGCGGGCCAGCCATTTTTGCCGTTGCTCAGGGGGAGTCAGCCGCGTCGACGACGACGACGACCACGAAGACGCCCGTGCCGGTGAATCTGGGCCAGAACATCGTGACGACCGTGCTGATTCTGGGTGTGACGACTGGGGTGACGCTCGTCTACGTGCTCACGAAGCTGATCCCGAAGATGCGCCGCGGTGAGATTTCGCTGTCGAAGATCGAGTTCGACTGGCGCGCGGAGCTGCTGAACCAGACGTCGAAGAAGGAGAAGGCGCGCCGTGCGGAGGAGATGGCGGTCAGGCGTTACGGTGAAGTGGACGAGAGCGGCATGCGTACCTCGTCGGAAACCCAGCCACGCGTGCAGATACGCGGGGCGGACAAGGCGGATGAGGCGGACAAGGCGGCAGAGGAGATATACAGCTCTCGCAACACCCGTGAAGAGGAGGATGCGCATGTTACGTTCCCCCGCGAGCACCGCGAATAAGATTTATCGTAAAGCGTCACTTTCGGTGTTTTCTTTTGCCTTTTAAAGGCACTTCATTCTTCTTTTCTTTTGGAGAAGTAAAATTTCAAGGAGTAAGAAGTGGTAACGCGCACGTCATTTTTTTTTTACCTGCTGGGACGCTGATAGTGATCATTGTAAATACTCTAATTGTAAGGCGAAAACAAAAACAAAGGCCTAACCAAATAAACAAAAGACGAAGCTTAAAAAAAAAAAGAAGCTGTTTATGCCGAATCAGGAGGTGCAGATGCACATGCAAGCGCAGACACAAAGAAGGCAGTCTTTGGTGACAAAGAGAGAAGCTGCTTCGTTTACGATTCACCGAACCTTTTCTTCTGCGGTTGCGTTTGTCAACTCCTGCGGGGAATTCGTTAATGACTTCGCCGCAGCTTAACCGTCAAAGGAGACACTTCCTTTCTCTTTCTTCTCATTTTTGGGAAACGTCGCTCACGAAAGGGAGGGGGGGGACGCCACTAGTTGACATTTTTTTTTTCTTCTGGTGTGTACTTTCTTGAGTAGATGCTGAGAACATTGGACTTGCAAAAAGGTGCTTTCACGCACACACAACCAACGGAAGTGTGGCTGGATGAAGCTGTACGCAGGGCGGGAAGAGAAAAAAAAATGGAGCGAGCAAGACAGCAGTTTCCTCCCGGCTGCCGTCTTACACTAATGCAGCAAGGAAAGCATCCATCGTAAAAGAAGACTTCTTTGCCCGCTCAGCGGGAAACACTTTTTCTGTTGTTGTTGTTGTTGAAGAGGCAGCCTTTCGACTCAACGTTCAGTGTTTTCACATTAACAAAAATTTGGCTTTTGTCGCTGTTGAGTTCTCAGAATGATGCGTTGTGCACCGCGCGAGCCTTTTTTTGAGCGTGCATGTCGTTCGAGATTTACTACCAATTTTTTTTTCCACCGTTCTCTCACTCCGTAATGCATGTTTCTCCGCTGTTTTTTTTTCCTTTGGTTTGCTCACAAAAAAAAAATGCTTAAGCTCTTTTCTTTTACGTCTTTTTGAATAATCCAGTCGCTCTCTTTCTTTCAATTAAAGCTGCTAGAATAATTCTAAAAGGAAACTCACACATCTGCTCTAAGGTTTCGCTTGTCATCAACAAACAGGATTTAGCCGAAGGTTTCCTTTTGTTTTCGAATTGATGTCATTGCCGTTTTGTGTGAGTTGCGTAGGCACAGATGTCAAACCGACCATTCAAAGAAAAAACAATGAGTATGTATGAACAGCAACGTCTCGTGCCGTTTTTGTTGGTTGTTGCTGTTGCAAACGAAAAATTCTCTGCCGTTGGTCAAATTGGTGTCGGCCGGGCGTATGCAGTTTGCATGCCGCTTGCGTTTCTTCTTATTCCTTTTTTTTTTCTTTGCTTCTTTGAGCCGGTCGCAGATAACTTTTTCTCCTCTTTAAACCACCACGCTCGTTTCGAAACCACAATGCGTCATTCGCATCCTTTTTTTTTCTTTAGGTATATATGCGAATTCGTCACCAACGCTAATGGAGAGGAGCCCGCCCAAGTGCAATCAACGACAATGATGTTGACAGGGACTTTGCGAGATATGCTAAACTTCCAAGTCAGACCACCGAGAAGGGGAAAATACGTCATCTACCGTTACGCTGCTCAATGTCAACAAGAACCTCTCCAAGAAAAACGGCCTTGATTACACAGTGAAATTCCAAAACACTTTCAGCAGAAGCGTACGGAAATTATGTGCATTACCTTTTTCTCCCCCTTACACTGCCGTCGTCTTCTTCCTCTTCATCCATTTCCTCCCTTGTTTCTTCTGTCTTCCTGTATCTGCCGCGTGTCGAACTGCTGTACCGCTAACAGCTCTCTTCTCACCCAACGCACCCCGCTAATCTCTTCTGCCGTTTTTAAGCCTCGCACCCCCTTCACTCTGCGTTTATTTACAAGGTAAAGAATCACCTGTCACCGTCTCTCATCCCTCAGCAACACCCGTTACTCTCTCACCACAAATCTCATCATGTCCTCCGTGCGCACGTCTTCTGCGGTCGCCGTGCTCGCCCTGGCTATCGCCGGTGTGCAGAGCGTAGTCGCAGCCCCCGCGACCACGAAGGCGCCCGTGCCGGTGAATCTGAACGAGAACATCGTGACGATTGTTCTGATTCTGGGTGTGGCGATTGCAATTCCACTCGTCTACGTGCTCACGAAGCTGATCCCGAAGATGCGCCGCGGTGAGATTTTGCTGTCGAAGATCGAGTTCGACTGGCGCGCGGAGCTGCTGAACCAGACGTCGAAGAAAGAGAAGGCGCGCCGTGCGGAGGAGATGGCCCGCCGCGACGAGGAGCGCGCTGCCGCCGGTGAGGAGCTGGAGTTCGCAGAACAGGGGACGCAACACTACCATTCGATGGAGCCGCTGTCGCCCCGCGATGCTGCGGTGCCGAGCGCTGCTGCAAACGCGAAGCGCGTGCAGGTGGAGGTGTCCTCCTCGATTGAGAAGCGCGAGGGTCACTAACACGTCTCCCTGCCTGACGGACGCCGCCGCCGGGACTGAAGTCCCGCGGAAGTGTTTTGAAACCTAAGTTTTTTTTTCGTTTCTCGCGCTCTCTCTCTCTTTTAAAGTTCTCGAAATTATGCTTGGTGCTTTTTCCTGTTGTTGCGCGTATTTATATAGATTGGTTTTCTTTTTCTAATGTGTGGGATGCTCACGACGCAAGTGTGTGTCCCCACGCGTAACAGGTAATAAAAGTGAACAATAGCAAGACAGCGCAGGGCTGCAGCGACGCAACTGACGGAATCCAAAAAGTGTTTCCAGCAAGCACAAGTTGCACGGATTCTCATTTGCTGCTGTGTCCTTCTGTTTTGCTTCCTAAGGAATGCTCCTCTCCTCCTTCCCCCCTTACACGACGCATTTGGTGATTTCTTCACCCAGTCCGAAGCGAGTGGCTTCCCGTAAAACCGCGAAAGTGATGAAAGGGAAAAGAGTAGAGTTGGTGAATGCTAGGCAATCGACGGTGTGAGTTCAGTGCTCCTGAGGTGTTCTTCTTTGCCGTGCTTGGAAGTTCGTAGAGTTGATGCGCTTAGTGAAAGCACCCCAACGTCGCTGCTTACTCGTTCCCGTCATGAGTAGGACTCGAAGTGCCCTTCAAACAGAGCTGCTGCCTCAGCGGGTGTCGGTTTCCTTTCCTCCCAACTTTTGGGTTCCCGTTTGTAAGGTGTTTCGATCTACTAGCAATCTTCCTCTACGGTTTACTGTTCAATCAGACTATGCTCCCCTATTTAAGTTTTTTTTTCTCCTACTGACAAAGAATGTCGTAAATGAAAATAAGTGAAGTTGAACACAGAAATTCGTCAAAGGCCAAAAAGGCTCGGCTGTAGACTTTGTGAGCTCAGCAAAGAATAAAAAGTATGTGCTCGTGTCTCTTCTTGATTCTTTCACATCGTGCTGTCAACGGTATAGGCGGTGGTGTGTGTGTGTCGACATGAAGATTGGCCCCTGGTGACTCCATGAGATCAACGGAGCAGCAAGTACATCTTTTTTTGTTTTGCGTTTTCACAAGTCGAATTCGTTTCCTTTTCTTTTTTTAACTTTGAGGTACGCTGCAAGTTGTTTGACGTCCCTTAAAGCAAAGCCTAGCATTAAATATATATTGTAGCTTTTATTTTTGATTTTATTAAGTTTTTCTTTCAATTAAAGACATTTCAGCATTATTCGATACAAAGCTACTTTCCACGAGATCATGACGCTCCGCACTCCTATGAATATTTTGGGGTAACAATGCCGACTTGCTGAGGCCGCCTAAAGGCTCTATCGCCTGCATCGACTGTTTGCTGTGACAAAGTCATTTGACAGTATGCGTTTTCTGCCAACCAACTGGCAGGCGGGTTCCGCTATTCTCTCCTCTTGTTTTCTTATTTGTAGTGGGTTTTTGACACTCTCATCTCCTCTGTTTTCTCCTCCTTTGTCGTCTGTGTTTCTTTGCGTGTTGATGTCGGTGCGCGTGAATGCGCCTTCCATATCTCCACCTTCGACAACGCTCATTACCTGCCGTTTCCCTCGTATTGCGATCACGATTCCTGTATTATAATATCAACAACAACAATAATAATTGCTATTATTTCATCTTTAGTTACCGTCTGTACATCACACAGAGACGTTCCCACGGTTTTTGTTCTTCTACCTCAGAATAACTTAGACAATGGTCCACTCGTACGGCTACAAGTCCGGCACCCGCCACCTCTTCGCGAAGAAGTTCCGCAAGCACGGTGTGCCGCCGGTGTCGACGATCCTGTCGACCGTGAAGGTGGGCGACTTCGTCGACGTCGTGGCGGACTCCGCGGTGCGGGAGGGCATGCCGCACAAGTACTACCACGGCCGCACGGGCATCGTGTGGAACGTCACGCCCCGCGGTGTCGGCGTGATCATCAACAAGCCGGTCCGCACGCGCACCCTGCGCAAGCGCATCTGCGTCCGCTTCGAGCACGTCCGCAAGTCGCGTTGCCAGGAGGCGTTCAAGGCGAAGGAGCACCAGTTCCAGGCCCACCTCGCTGCCAAGAAGGCCGGCACGGCCCTGCCGCCGCTGAAGAAGAGCTCCCGCGTGGGCGGCTTCGTGCGCCCGAAGAGCGTGGAGGTGCTGGCCCGCCGCGTGGCGGACTACGAGGCGATGCTGCCGTACTAAGAGCGTGTACCGCGTCTCTGGCCTGCCGCACTCCTGCCGCGGTGCTCTCTCGATGAAAGCGTGGAACACTTTTTGTCGGTGCAGAAAAGGTGAATGACTTCGGTTTCTTTTCTGGTTTTCTCATTTCTGAATCTCTAAAAAAAAAGAAAAGGTTGCGTTACTGAAAGAAGAGGCTTTGCGTTGGATCTGCTGTTTTCATTGAGAGGCAGCTCGATCCCGCAGCACCTGCTTAGACGCCGTGTGTGCTCCTTCGGATGCACCAGATCGTACGGCTTTGTGTGAGAAACACTGCCGATTTCGCAGCGGGTTGGATTTACCGAACACGCAAAGCACGGCGAAAGACTGCGTTGGGCGCAAGCTCGTTTGCACATTCAAGGACACGTGGCGGGAAACAGCGTGTTCTCTTCTCGCCAAAATAGGAAACCGCTTCAAGGAAACTCATCCTTCTGTTCTCCTGCACGCGGGCTATGACGTCCGTTTCTCGACTCCATTCGATGCCGCCTCTCTGAGCAATTGCATTTCCCTTTCTTCATGCGCTATTTCCTGGACTTTCATCCTCTTTTCTGTGTACTTCTTCAAAACGGTTCCGCCGTCGTGCACACGGCAGAATATACCACCACCGAGAACCTTAGCGGCGCTTCCCGTTCTCTCTCTCTCTTTCCTGTTGTTCGTGTTTTGTACTTTGGGCAAATTTCTAACGTCTCTCCTCTGCGCTTTCTTAGTCGAGGAAAGTTCTTCCATAAACCTGCTGTGCACGCGGGCCGAACTAGTGGACACCTTCGAACTTATTTTTTTAATTTTTTTGTTAGGAGAAATTCAAAGAAGAGGTCGGCCCTAAAAATGAGCACACGCGCCACTCTCGCATTCGCGCTGATCGCGCTGTTGTACGTGGCTGTTGGCACTTCTGCCGCCTCATCCATCCTTGGCAGCCACGCGGAGGGTAGCCTCATCTCGCCGTCGGCAAACGCGTACCGCAGCCGACGCACGCTGATGCCATTCAATTACTACATGATTCCCGTGTGCACGCCTACGACGGATCAATTGAAGCAGCATGGCAAGGAGGACATTGGCGGAATTCTCACTGGCAACCGACTCGTGCCGACGCTTTTTGAGTTCACGGTGGGCACCGATGAGAAGTGCAAACGATTGTGCTCGGCACGTTTTACAAAGAATGATGTGCGGCGAGCCAACTACATGATCTACAACAAATACGACGTACGCATGTTCCTCGATGGTAACCCGTTGGTATCGACCTTTACGGAAGAGGGCGGCTCTGTTTTCTACCGTAAGGGATACTCGTTGGGTACTCGGACAGTGAATCTTGATGCCAAGAAGACGGAGAATCACATCTACAACCATCTCGACTTCACGATTCGCTACACCTATGATGTGGATCAAAGCTACGTGATTACCGGGTTCCATGTGACGCCGCGGAGCTACGCGAGCGTTGGTATCTGCAGTACGTCGGAACTCGGGGACGTGGCAAAGAATGCGATGACGCTCCCAACTGTCGCCAGCAGTCAAGATGTTTCGGTTCCCTACACCTACAGCGTCACGTGGGAGGAGAACAGCAGTTCGTACGTGATCCTGCACAGCGTCGAAGAAGCGGTGCAGAAGCGCGGGCACAAGATCGCGGCCATGTATGGCGTGCTGCTGACGGTGCTGGCAGGCGTTGTGGTGGCCTTTGTGATGCTGCGGACGGTGCGCAAAGACCTCGCTGTCTACCTTGACGAGGAGCTCAACGAAATCGAGCTGCGCGAGGAGTCGGGCTGGAAGCTCGTGCGCGGCGACGTCTTTCGTCCCCCGCCGTACGCGGTCGTGCTCTCCACCTTTGTCGGCGCCGGCTGTCAGATCGCGGTCACGGTATTCGTGACAGTGCTGCTGTGTGCGACTGGCGGCGTCAACCCTACGATACGCGGCCACTTCCTGACGACGACCATCATTGTTTTTCTCCTTATGCACATCGTCGCCGGCTTCGTGACGTCGCGTCTGCTGAAGCTGTTTGGCATGGACTCGTGGAAGACGGCGATGCTGTGCGTGGCGGCCTTCCCTCTCACCCTCAGCGCCGGTGTTTTGACGCTCAATTTCATGCACTGGTTCATGCACTCCACCGCGGCAATTCCGCTCGGCACCATCGTGTCGGTGGCACTGGTGTGGGTGCTCGTGTCCATCCCTTTCGGCGCCGCCGGCGTCTTTATTGGCTACAGCCTGAACACGATCGCCGTCACGGCGAAGGTCAGCAGCATCCCGCGCCTCATTCCGGCGGAGGCGGGCAGCCGTACGCTTTTCGTCGTCATCGTCGGCAGCCTTGTCCCGTTTGTGGCCTGCTGCGTCGAGCTGTCCTACGTGCTGAACGCCTTCTGGCGCGAGGAGCAGATGTCCATGTACGGCATGCTGGCTTTTTTCCTGTGCACCGTGGTGGTGCTCTGCGTGGAGGTTGGCATCGTGGTCACCTACATTACGCTGCGCGGCGAGGACTACCGCTGGTGGTGGCGCAGCTTTGGCTCGTTGGCAGCGACGGGCGTGTACGTGTTTTTCTACAGCATCTTTTTCCTAAAGCACTCCCTCCAGATCCGTCTTGTTGCCTCGGTGATTCTTTTCCTGGCGTACATGTTCGGCGTGTCTGTGATGTTCGGACTTGCGTTAGGCGCCATCAGCTTCCTCGGCTCTCTCTGGCTGGTGCAGCGAATGTATGACGCGATTAAAGCTGACTGAGGTCGTCGCGAAGCCCTCTCCCTTCGTGCTGCTGCACAGGCTGCTGTTTCGTTTTGTGAAAGAGGGAGGCGTGTGTGTGTGTGTGTGTAGGTGTCTTGCTCTCATGTCTTTTTTGTTTTTTGAAGCGTGACCTGTGCTGCTCTTCATTTTGGCTTCTTAAGGATTTTTCACGAGAATACTTCGCTGTGTGAAAGGAAAGGAAAAAGCATTGAACATAGAAAAAGCGTGCATTCACACCTCCTGTCCGCTTGTCACATATACTGTTTGAACGACTCATGTTGGCGTCTTGTGCAGATGATGTATTTCGGAGAAACAAAAGGATTTCTGTTTTGGGGGCTTCTTTTGCACTTGGCTGCACAAGCCCACACAGCCCTTTTTTCGCTTTAACTCCTTCTGTCATTGACATTTCTTTAGTTATGTGTATGTACGTGTGTGTGTGTGTGCTTTCCTCCACCTCATTAATCACTAGTGAAAGACTTTTTTGTTTCTATCTCTTTTCCGGGTTTTGCTTCACCGAAGGACGCGCACGCACACACACACACGTGTGTATGAAAGCAGGTTTTTGCGCTATGTTGTGGCAAGTCGCAAACTCCGTCCTTCTTTCCTTGTCCGTAGTTGCGCTTTCGCATGAACTCGGTTTGGGGACGCTGAAGGTCATTTCCACTCGAGTGCTATCGGTCATTTACTTGTCGGTGTAGAGTATTTTTTCTTGGCGGCGACGTTTCTTGGAGAAAAAAAGAAAGAGGAAGGGAGAGAACATGGAGCGCAAAAGCAAATTTCCTTTTCAATGGGCTTACTTTAAAATGGTGTCATCTTTACTCTGCGCATGCGCTTGTGCGTGTGTGTTTGTGCTCTGTAGTGGACCACACGAGGGGTCCGGTACACACACACACACACAATAAGAGAAATATATATTTATGAGAAACGTGCAACAGTGGGGCATCTTGAGTCCCGGTGGCCGAAATTAGGCGGAGGTGCCTCTTGTTGGTGAATACGTTCTGTCTTCGTAACCTCTCTTATCTATTTACTTACATATATACGAAAAAAAAAAAACTAGTAAATGCAAAATGGATACCGATTTGTGACAAAATAAGCAGACAAGAAGACACAACAGGGAATGCAGAAGGAAAGCCAGAGTTGAGATAGTTTCTTTAAAGCAGTGCGGTGCGTGCATACCGGCAGTGGCTCGTGTGAACGCGCTTTGTCGGTGGTGTTGTGGTAAGATTGGCGTTGCAACAGCAAAGGAAAATCTGAAAACAAGGACGCACACGTCAGGAGTGAAACGCCTAAAAATACATTTACATCCCAAAAGAGCGTGAAAAAAACCCAATGAATCGTACAGCTGATACTTGACTCCGATGCGCTTCATCGTGGTGTGCGTGTTTTACCTCCTATTTTTTTTCGTTTATGCTCTCCTCCAACTTCTTCTCCACGTCGATTGCTTTTAACTCTTTTCTTATTTGGAAAACTATCCATTACTATTCTAACATACTGAATGGCGGTTACTACTGCAAAACGCATTACGAACGGGTCCGTGTCGCACTCTATATATACATATATATTTATCAACGTTATTTAACGCTGACATTGTTGCAGGAGAAAAGAGAAAACCTTTTTTTCTTTTTCGTTCTGTCTTTCCCTTGTGAGATCTGCATCGGGCCGTGCTGTGTATCGTTTTCACCCACACCATCGCTTCGTATTGATCACCGCAACGCCGATTCATTTAGAAAACGATTTCTGTTCGATACGTTTCCTCGCACACACCCACGGAAGGAAAATGGCTCGCGATCAACACGCGTTTGAGTCGGAGCAGCAGACGGGCTCCGTCAAGGCCGTCTCCGGCCCCGTCGTGATTGCCGAGAAGATGAGCGGAAGTGCGATGTACGAGCTGGTGCAGGTCGGTTCTTTCCGCCTGGTGGGCGAGATTATCCGTCTGGAGGGCGACACCGCCACCATCCAGGTGTACGAGGAGACCGGCGGCCTCACAGTTGGGGACCCGGTTTACTGCACTGGCAAGCCCCTCTCCCTCGAGCTGGGCCCTGGCATCATGTCCGAGATCTTCGACGGCATTCAGCGCCCCCTCGACACAATTTACCAGATGGTGCAGAACGTGTTCATCCCGAAGGGGGTCCAGGTGCGCGCCCTCAACGCCCAGAAGCAGTGGGACTTCGCGCCAACGGTGAAGGTTGGCGACATCGTGACGGGTGGCGACATCCTCGGCACCGTGGCGGAGAACTCGCTGATGAACAACCACAGCATCATGGTGCCGCCGAACATGCAGGGCCGTGTGACGTCGGTGCAGCCCGCCGGAAACTACACGCTGGACGACGACGTGGTAGAGATTGAGCACAACGGCAAGAAGAAGTCGCTGCGCCTGATGCACCGCTGGCCCGTGCGTACGCCACGCCCTGTCGCGGAGAAGGAGTCCGGCAATCACCCCTTGCTGACCGGCCAGCGCGTCTTGGACGCCCTCTTTCCCTCGGTGCAAGGCGGTACGTGCTCCATTCCCGGTGCTTTTGGCTGTGGAAAGACGGTGATCAGTCAGGCACTATCCAAGTACTCGAACTCTGACTGCGTCATCTACGTCGGCTGCGGCGAGCGGGGGAACGAGATGGCTGAGGTGCTGATGGAGTTCCCCACGCTGACCACCGTCATCGACGGCCGCGAGGAGTCCATTATGAAGCGCACGTGTCTCGTGGCGAACACGTCGAACATGCCGGTGGCGGCCCGTGAGGCCTCCATCTATACCGGCATCACCCTCGCCGAGTACTACCGTGATATGGGCAAGCACATTGCGATGATGGCCGACTCCACCTCTCGCTGGGCCGAGGCCCTTCGTGAGATTTCGGGTCGTCTGGCCGAAATGCCTGCGGATGGTGGCTACCCGGCCTACCTCAGTGCCCGTCTCGCCTCCTTCTACGAGCGCGCCGGCCTTGTCACGTGCATCGGTGGCCCGAAGCGCCAGGGCTCCGTGACGATCGTAGGTGCCGTGTCCCCGCCCGGCGGTGATTTCTCCGATCCGGTGACGTCCGCTACGCTGTCGATCGTGCAGGTGTTCTGGGGCCTGGAGAAGCGTCTGGCGCAGCGCAAGCACTTCCCGTCGGTGAACTGGCTCATCTCGTACTCCAAGTACCTCAACGCCCTGGAGCCCTTCTTCAACACCTTCGACTCGGATTACATGCGTCTGCGCGCCGTCGTGTCAGAGATATTGCAGCGCGAGGAGGAGCTGCAGGAGATTGTGCAGTTGGTCGGAAAGGACTCCCTGTCCGAGTCCGACAAGATCATTCTGGAGGTGGCCAAGGTGATTCGCGAAGAGTTCCTCCAGCAGAACGCCTTCACCCCGTACGACAAGTTCTGCCCGCTGTACAAGACGTGCTGGATGCTGCGCAACATCGTCACGTTCTACGAGGAAGCCCAGCGCGTCGTGGCCGAGTCGGCCGGCGACCACAAGATCACGTGGAACTACATCCGCGAGAAGATCCCCACCATCTACACCGGTCTCACCGAGATGAAGTTCCGCGACCCAATCGAGGGCGAGGAGGCCAACATCGACTTCTTCAAGAGACAGAACGAGGAGATCATCAGCGCCTTCAACTCCCTGTTGCAGTGAGAGAGGCGAAGTGAATCGATGGATCACCCACTCCCTTCGCTTTCCTGAGCTATCCTTGTTTTCCTTTTTTTTTTGGCTTCCCTCTCTTTGCCGGAGGGAAACGCATCGGCTCTTCCGTGCGTAGGCGTCGGACGCCTCGGTGTCTCATGGGGCGCAGTGTACTAGGGTAGTAAGGTTTGGGCACGGGAAAAGGCATAAGGTGTTTGCATGAGGTGTTATGGGAGTAATATCCCTGCTTTTTCTTTTCCCCTCTGAAGTACGTGTTTCCGTCTTTTAAGTTCAAGCAAGACGAAGCATTTATTGATGTTATCGACGTTTTCATTTCTGTTCTCTCTCGATTAGTGTAAGAGCTGTTTCCTTTTTTCTTTTAGGTATTGTATGCGAGTGTGGGGATGAGCTGGTGTGTGCACGTCCTCCAACTCATCTGCCGTCTGTGTGAAATAGCTCGCTGTTTGTTTTGCTGGATTCTATCGGTTTAGTGCTGGCGTTGGTGTTTTTTTTTCTTTCTCCCCTCCTCCTTCGAAGCTTTGTTAGACGTAGCGGCAGATTCACGGTGTGGCGCCACTGATCCCTAAGAATGGGTGTAAGTGATCGTTTCCGCTCACGGCGTATTTCTTCGTCTTTTTGCTGTCGCGATACAAAGGCCGTGCCCCTGTGGAGTCGCACCTCGGTCAGTGATATTTTGTTGGTGGTTTGCTGTTCATTTGTTCTTTCCCTCCCCCCGTTGGCCGAATTGCAGTAAATTCGTAAGTTGACATAAAGCAAAAAAAAAAACTAATGAAAGAAAAATCCCTCAGAAGAATGTGTGAGTGCGTATGCACAGGCTGCGAGGAAGATGCTCACAATTTATTCTTGTCCCATCCTGAGTCGCATGTTCAAACGATGGAGGATGACGTCGGTAGCTCGCAAAAGAACGGTCTCCTTGGGCACTTGAACACGGTTTTCTACAAGAGATGACTGGCTGAGAGCTTCTACAGGATCATCTGTTTCTCTCACGCTTTCTTGACACGTGGAACGCTCCTGCTCTTTTTATTTCGGCTTCTACTCGAAACGTTGCCTCGTTGAAAGCATATCGACGTGTGTTTTGAGTGCTACCAGAGGCGTGCGGAGTGCGTACCGGACTTCTCTGCGCACTCCCTTTCCGATACCCCTCCTCCCTTCCCCTCAATTTGTCGAGACAACGATCCTTCTTCCTTCTCCCGCTTCCTTTTTTATTCGACTGCAGCACCTTCTGCTCTACGCTAGACGGGTTGCTGGGCATTTTTTTTTTTCAACTCCATCATTTTTCTTAGCAACTTTCGAAGAGCCATGCTGCGTAAAACTGCGCAGGCCGGCGCACCCTTCAAGAGCGTCCTGCGCCGCCACAAGTTTCACCCCGAGGGCCTCCCGCTCTATAATGATCTGTCGAAGCAGTGGCTGTGCCGTGAGGGCGAACGGTGGTGGTTGCTCGACGCGCGTGGGGAGCAGCTGCCGCACGTGGCGAAGATCGCCGCGCAGTACATCACAGGTCAGCATCGGGCCGATTTCACACCGGGAATGATTACCGGCGACCACGTAGTCATCACAAACATCAAAGATGCGGTCATGACGGGCGACAACTGGATTCGCGTGCCGATTACGTGGCAGACGGCCTACCCCGGCGGCACTTACCGCGTCCGACTTTCCGAGATGTACGAGCGCGACCCGTGCATGGTGATGTGGTGGTATTTAAAAGACGAAGTGAACCGCCACTTCGTGCGGAAGCTCAAGACGCGCACGGCGCCGTTAGAAAAAGCGTGGCTGTACGAGGGCAGCGTGCACCCGCACGGCGACAAGAGTCCACGCCCGTTGGTGTGGGTGGATGCGCAGAGGGCTGGTTGGAAGTACAAGGACCGCATGTTCCAGCGCCGCTGGTCGCCCAACCAGTTTATGATGTAGTGCTGCTCCTCTCTCCTCCTCGAAGCGGGGTGGGTGGTGGGGGAAAGACGAAACGCACCTGGTGTGAGGCCCTGCATGACTGCGTAGGGAAGCAGAATACACCAAAGAAAAGAAGTGTGTGGAGGCGTGCTTGTTGGCTGCGGCAAGAAAACTCGCCTCTACGTGCGCGCATGTGGATGCATGCATGTTGCAGTGGAGTGATTCTTGGTCCTCCTTTCCTCTATTTTGCTGTCAGTGATTCTACCAGCTCACATATAAGCAGTGAAGAAATTGAAAATGAAGCACCCACGTTGCGCTTTGCAAGCGTGTTCGAAAACAAAATGGTTCATTGCGACGCTGTCTGTCTTCCATCGTCCTTTGTCGCGGAGGGTGTTTTTTTTTTTTGAAGCGGACAAATCGTGCCGTTAACTTATTTTTCTCGCAGGCCCAGATAGCTGCGAACGTGATACAAGGCATGTGCGAAGGGTCTGGTGCAACTCTTCAACGCCGAAAGCTGCGGACCTGCCAGCGATCTTTCTCCCTTTTCCCTCGCCATCCGCTACTCACCCTATTCCTTTTTTCTTGGCTACGTTTCGTCTACGAGCGAAGGTTTTCTTTTTTCTGCGACATGTTCTCGGTCGGTCGCAAGCAATTCTTGGCTTGTTTTGTGTTCAGTCTTTTCGTGTTTCTTTCATGTTGCTGCACGCACAGCAGCGTAGTGTGCCGCTATGCATTTTTCACGGCAACACTATGTGAAGTCATCTCTGGTTTTATGCTGCAACGCAGGGAGCAAGCCGCTGACGGATGCGCTGCTGCGGTGCTGGCGAGAGATGCGTGCAGCCGCACCAGCTTCCGCAACAGCGTCGACTGCGTCACTGTTAGATGAGACCCTCACGCACCTTCAAGTCACCGCACCGGTGACGACCACGGAGCTCACCTCCTCGTCGTCCGCAGTCCCAACGTTGTTTTCCTCCCCGGAAGATGCGCAGATAGTCTGGAATGTGGTACAGCGACAGCGAGTTTCCTGGCGGGCGGCGCTGCAACTGCTGCCGTGGCAATTGCAAGAGATGTCAGCGGCACAACGTTCCTTTGTCAGCCGGCGCGTCGCGTCCTCGCCGTGGCATGTTGCCCACATCGTATTGGCTGCAGGAGATGTGGTGGATGACGCGCGTCTTGTGCAGACCTACGGTGCTCTGAAGCGAGCCACGTACATGGTGGAGTTTGCGCGGCTTATCTCGGCTGCCCTGCGGGAGCGACCTTCGCTGCCAGAAGGTCTCTTGCCCGTCCCCTACGGCGTGATGCTGCATGGGTATGAGTTAGGTCGCCGGTCCCCGCAAGACGCCGCCATGGCATTGAAGCTGTCGCAACATCTTACCCTGCTCGGTCGGTCGGCGCTGTCGCGCTCGGCCGAGGAGCGTCTGGTGCTGGGACACGCATGCTTGGAAGGCCAGGCGGGCAACTGGGCGGCGGCGCTGGAGGTGGTGGCGCGTAGTCGGGCGGTGCGGTTGTCGATCCGCAAAGGGTTCGAGCGCTTTGTGCAGGCGACGCCGCGGGAAGTCCCGACACCGTCACCTGAATCAGGATTAAGCAGTATCAGTAGCAGTCGTGATAATGCCTCTTCTTTTCCTTCCTCTGCTTTCGGGTCTTCAGCGGAAGAGGCAGGTACACAACGTGACTCCACGTGGTTGTCGGCCTGCCAGGCCTTTCTCGCGCAGCCGCCGGATCGTCAAACGTACGCGGAGGCGCACTCGTTGCTGGCCACGCTTCCCAAAGAACGGACCGAGCGCCCCGACTTTGTGGTTCTCGCTGTCGAGGTGTTGCGCCACGCCGCACGTCGCATGTACGCCGGCTCCCTAACGCGACGTCTTGTGAGCAGCACAAAAAAAGCTGAGTGGGGCTTCGCCTTGTCGCTCGCGTCTGCTGCGCGGTACTACGACATGGCCGTGCCGCTGCTTCCTTTCCTGCCGCAAGGCACGGAGCTACCGCTAGACCTGAAGGACTTCCTTTCGACAACGCAGCGGATCGAAGGGAATGTGGATGACTCAGACTCTGCTGGATCTTCTCTGCCCCCTCTCACGCGTGCGGCGGCAGAGAAGCTGTCTTACCCGCAGGCCCTGGCCTACGCGTTGAAAGGGGATGCCGTCACTCGTCAGACGTTGCTGTCCTGCTGTCCTCAGTCTCAGTCGTTGTCTCCATTGCGCTCACTGCTTCTTGCAGCGCGTCGTGCCGCCGACGACGCAGCAGCGACGAATGCTGCCGCGAGCGGGGTTGTCAGTTCCGATGAGGCTGAGGAGGAAAGCATGTCTGACGTTGACTGCTGCACGTTTCAGTCGTCCTCGCTCTCGCAGTTGGTGTGCGCCGCAGCAAGTGAGAAGCGGCAGCGTTACTTTTACAAGGTGATTCCAGCCTCCGCGAGGGCACATCATTTTGGGCGTTCTTCTCTTTCGAATGCGCCTGTTGGGAGCAGCACAGAAGTTGCTGACAGGGATGGCGAGGACTGGTTACTCGCTGCGCATCCGCACACGAGCGACTCCGGGGTGGCCTCCGTGTGTCATGAGCGGCTGCAGCGATGGCGAGAGCGGGTCGCTACCACGCCCGCCGACTGCGCGGCGCTGCTGGCGGATCTCTCTGCCTTTCTGCGTGCGACGCACACCATCGAGGGCGCGCCCATCCTCGGCGGCGAACATGCGAAGCCGCGCTTGACGGAGGACGTGTTTTGGCGATGGGTGGCTGCATTTGCGGCCTGGGGCACGGTGCAGCTAACTGCCACGGAGCGCTTCTACTGGCCGCTGGCGGTGCTGAGGTCTGCGTGTCTGCTGCGTGTCACGCTGGACGCCTCCCTCGTCAGCGCCGCCGTCCGCAGTATTCCGTCGATGTTCGTCGATGACGCGGCGCTGGCGCTGCCGTGCGTTTTGGCCTCGCACACTCTCCTGGGAAATTGGAAAGCAGGGTTGCAGGTGTGCGCGCGACTGGAACGGAAGGAAAAGGCAGGCGCCGTGCGACTCGAGGCGCCAGCGGGGCCTCGGAGGCCGCACACGGTTAAGTACAAACCGCCACCTCCAAGTTTGCGCGAAGCCATGGCACAAGTCGGCTACGCTGCACCAGCGAAGGACGCATTGCGGCACTGGACGGAGCTGGACGCGTCGCTGGCTGCCTCATCTGCTGCGAACTCGTTCTCTTTCCCATTGATGCTGATCGAGCTGAAGCAGTTCCACGACACGCGCCAGCTTTGCGAGAAACTGCACGCAACCGTCGCGGTTGCCGCGCGCCCTACTCGAATGAACGCAAAGCTCGAGCATCTATCACGGCGACGGATGCTCCTTGGGGCTGCCTTCTCGCTTCTAGACGATGAGGCAGCACTGGAGAACGTTGTGCGCGCTGGTGGGGACAGACAAGTGCGTGCGGACGATCTCGACGTGCATGGACTCCAGCGTCTTCTCGGTGTGTTGCCTGCCGCGACGGTGAGCCGCGTTCTCACGGCCGAGGCGGCCACTGGGCGCTGTGCGCAGGAGCATTGGTTGCTGTCGTGCATGAGCCACCCAAGCATCTCCGCTGGTGAAGCGCGCCCATTGGCACGACTGCGCCCTGCGTCTTCCATGCTTTCTGCTGTCTCTTGCTTCCGAGCGGCGGTGGAGAAGAGGCAGCCAGTCCTGTCGATTAAAGCGTTGAGGCGTATCGCGGAAGGGGCAGTGGACAGTCCCGTGCCTCACGCCTTGCTAAGGTGCATCGCCCGGCTGCTGCGTGTGTTTCTTTCGAACGATGATCTTCTGCAGGCGTGTGTGCGGAGCGGTGCTCAGCATCCGCGTGCTGAGAGAAGTAGCGAAACGTATGCAGACGATGTGGCAAAAGATGCCTTGCGGCAGGCACAGATGCTATTCAACAGACTCCAAGAGGTGGAGCAGCTCAGCGGGGCTCTCAAGCATGCCCGCCGCGTTGTTCGCCACGCCATCGAGGTGCACCCTGTCGAGAGAGCATCGGGAACCTCTTTTCCTGCTGCCTCCACCACGACCCCCTGCGCCACGTGGGTTCTCTTGTCGTCGCTGCACGTAGCCATGAGTCGTGTGCTGCATCTGCCGATCCCCGCCTCCTTCACCTCGCACCTTTTCCTTCTCGCCGCTGCAGCGGGGGATGCGGCGGACTGGCGGGCGGCGCTCTTGCTCTTCAACGTGCTGCAGCGCCCAACGGACGCGGAGCGGGCGGCGCTGGTGCGGGTGCTTCGTCAATGCGGTGCCACGGCGACATCGCTTCTCCTCCCGCATCGGCGCTTTATGCGACATCTGCCGGAGCAGCTGATGGTGTGGGCCGACGAGGCGAGCGGGCCGTCAAAGTGGGAGCGCTCAATTACGTTACTGATGCGCGTACAGGGAAATGAGATGGATGCGCAGGTAGGCGACGGTGCTTCTCCGTCCGCGACAACGCGAGAAGAGCGGGAGCAGGCCACTCCAGCCGATGCTTTTCTTTCCCCTGACGTTCTAGCGGCAATTACGAAGTGGAATGCAGACGAGTGCTTTCGTGCCGCGCAACTGCTGCGTCGGCAGGGCTTTTTGAGGCTACCCGCAAAGCGAGAGCGGTCTCTGGAAGGCGCGCAGGTCACGGAGACCGATCCGCATGCGCGTCGCCAGGTAGAAGCGATCCTGAAACTGCTGAGGAAAGGAACTGCAAAGGACGCAGCTGCACCAACGCCATCTTCTCCGAAAGTACCTTCACCTCCATCAGACGTCGTGCGTCGCAAATAACGTGCCGGGATGAACCCACGTCTGCGCGCCCGATGCGTCCTCTCCAGGTTGCGTAGCGGTATGAGCCCCCCAGCAAGAGGCATTGGCGCTTGCATTGTAATCCGGAGGCTCAGACGTTCTGCTTTGTTTTCTGTTCTCCTACGTCTTTTGCTGGATGAATGCCGTTCACGCGGCGGCTTCCACATAAAAGGATATGTTTTTACGCCGAACTGCTTATGTAGCATTAATAAAAATGAAAACGCATCCAGCAGAGACGAGAGGATCAGCTGCCACGAGGAAAGAGACCATCCTTCATCCTCGAGGAAGAGACGTGCTGGTACAAAGTACGGCATTGCTTTGTTTTCTCTGCTTGCTATTCCGACGGTCGAAGAATCCTCATGAACTGCGGCTTCATGACGGGTGGGATTGTGATGATGGTCGCCGTTGCACTCTTGATGTATGCAACTCTTTTTTCTCTTCTCCCTTGCACCTTGAGTCGTTGGCTACCGTCTTACCTTTTTTTTTGTTTGCTTTACGGATTCCCCAGCGGGGCAACCCGTCCCCTGCAATCTGCAAAGGGAACCTCCCCCCCCCCTCCCCCCAAAGAATGAGAAGCAACAACCGTAATGCGTGATTCGCAAATCGTGTTTCTTGGCGCTGGAAAGGCCAACGTGGTGGTCGACTTGCCCATTGCCGACCTCCCGAGTGCACCGTCGTCGCTGCGCACATCTGCGGCGAAGATGCAGCGGATCGCCCTGCGAGTTCGCCGTGCGGCACACAAGGAATGCGCTGAGTGCTACCGCGCGCTGCGGGCGTACGCCGGCTGCCGCGACGTTATCACCTTGGGTCCCGCCTTGTACAACGCTATCGAGGCCGTCGTCCCACCGACGCATCGGAAGCTGATCACCGGCGCTACCGAGGCAACCGTTGTGCCCAACTTTGCAAGCATTCCCGCGCACCTGTTGCGGGTTGACGTGACCGCCGCCGAGGCACGTGGCCGAGCCGTCGACTACGCGGTGGAGGTGAAGCCAAAAGGCGCGTGGCAGTCGCCGCAGGTGGTCGGCATTGTGGTGGACGGTGAGACGTACTGGGTGGAAGAGGCGAAGCGTCGCCACTGCCGGTACGGGCAGATGCGGTGCTATAAAGATGTGCGAGATGCCAAGAAAGACGAGTTGCCCGCCACGATGGCCTCCGCACCCCCCGCTCACACCGAGAAGACGTCGTCGCCAAGCCTGCCCTACTGCCCCAACTACCTCTTCCGCACCTCGCTGTCTACTCGGGAGGGCCTGCGGCGGCTCATGCACAGCCCGCAGAACAATCTGAAGGTGGTCCGCTGCTGCCCGTCAGGTGCGCAGTCGCCCGGCGGCGACCCGACGATGACGACGCTGACGGTGTCGGAGCTGTGCGGCGTCGCCGACGCCATCGACGCCTCGGGTGTGTTGACGCCGCTGTCGCACCTGCAGCTGTGCGGGTGTGCCCCACCGGCGGCGGACGAGCCCGCAGACGTGGCGGCTGACAAGCAGCTCCCCGTGCTGGACGTGGCGTTGCTCTATCGCTGGTCCCTCGCAAAAGACAAAGACGCGGTGGAGTGGATTATGCTGCCCGGGGATCCAGCAGCGCACTGCAGCTGCACCGCCCCAGATACATTCAGCAGAGCGTTGAAGGTCGATGAGGCGCGGCGTGTTCGGCCGATGCTGGATTATGAAACGTGTAAGGAACGTTTCTATGTGTCGACGACGGCAAGGGACGTCTCGCTCATAATTGCCGTGTCGTCGCGCCGCGGTGCGCCGGACGCTTCCACGGCGTGCTCGCGGCTGACCGGTGTGCCGGCTGACGTCGGCGGCGTCTTTGTGCAGCGCGGCCCAGACGTGTACCGCGTTGGTGTGGTGGATCTGGACGACAAGAAGCATAAGACGCTGCACCACTACTACCTCCACGACAGGGAAATTGTCGAAGCATTTCTGAATCAACACCGCACGTCCCTGACGAAGTAGAAGTCTGGCAGCTCAAAGGCGTCTGTAGTTATTGTGCAGAGCTGAAACAGATTTGAATGAGAATGCGTTGTCGATGTGTGCATATTTTTCTTCTCGCTTTTGAAGTGCTGCTTTTCCATGCGGTGGTTGCGTGGAGCTTATTATATTTTCGCTGCGTGCTCTTTTTGTCTTTTGCGCATGCACTCTTCTTTTCGTTATCTTTGGCTTAAACTGCTCTTTCTTCGTTCAACACAACTTTCTTTTTTCTGCTCCCGTTGCTGTCCGCGCTCTTAGCAATTGAGCTCTGCTCCGCTGTCACCGCGCCTCAGACGCACACCCTTCTCTGTAGTATTTTCAAGCATGGACATTATTTCTGTAATTCTATTGCGCGAGCACCGACAATCAAGTCTCCCCGTTTCCTCCTCGCTTCTTTTCTAAAGGAGGTGCTTTCATTTGGTTTTGTGATACTCATTGCCTGCCGCGCTTTCTTGTCGTTGCCTCACTTCATCAAATCCCCACAAAGTATTCTCAGCGATCCAACAAACACGTGCAATCACCGACATTATTTGCGGAAACATCAGCAGCCAAAGAAGAGAAGATCCACATCAGAGACGCGAAGCTGGTTTCTGTAATTGAAGCACCGTTGGCCGTCTGTGCAGTCTTGCATTCAAACAAAGGAGAAATACACGAGTGAACACGGGCTGCGTTGACTGTTAATCTGCTCAACCATGACCACAAACTATGATGATAGCATGGTGGGTCGCGCCCACCTCTCTGCGGAGGAAGAGAACAAACTTGTCGATCGTCTCTACTCACAATCACTGTCCCGCAAGGAGGCGACGCTGGCGGAGCTGCAGGCGCGCTACTACCCCGTGGCGGCCCCGCTCACCATCTCCAGCGAGGCGCTGCAGAAGAGTGTGAAGCGGCAGGTGGATGAGGAGATGGAGCAGCGCCGGCAGCGACGAGCCGTGATGGACGCGACGGCCGCTGCGGCAGCCACGGGCTACGCCAATCGCCGCGACCCAAAGGTGGCAACGCAGGCTACAATTTCTCCCGAGGAGGTCGAGGTGAGCGTGCGCCGGATGTACGACGAAACGCTTGCGCGCAAGAAGGCGAACATGGCGGAGAGCGAGAAGCGCTACGCTTTTCATCCGGAGGGCGTCACATCGAAGAAGATGCCGAAGGACGAGTTCCAAGCCTCTGTGGAGCGGATGAGTAAGCCGAAGAAGACGGAGTTCACTACTGCTGAGATCAACAAAATATACGGTCTGTAGCTTCCGAAAGAAATTTTTCTTGTGTAAAGTATTTCTCGCACATATGTAAATTAGACTACTTCCTCTCCTTTTTCTCTTTCGCCGTTTGGTCGCGCTTGCCTGATCTGTTGCCGTTGCTTCGCTTTGTACACACAAATAAGTTTAACGGTGGCCTTTGTTATTGTTGTGTGTTGGAGTAACGCAGCGTTGCGATGCGTCCAGCTCATCTGTCTGTAGCACTCCGACCGTTTTCGGCGTCGTCTCTTCTATTTCATTTATTCGCGTAGCAGATATAATGAAACGTTGTCGATGTGCGGCCTGCAGTTGCCCCTTGCTCTTCGCATTGGTGAATCTTCTCTCTGTCTCTTCTCCAATGCGACTGCGCTGTTGAGTTCTCCTTCAATGTTTTCGTCTGGTCTCGAAGCCGTGCAATCCCGCACATGTCCAGATGGCTTTATATAGAGCAAAACCTGTTGTACCACCGCAGTAAATCGAATTACGTAAACGGCCATAATGCGTGCAGAGGATGGAAAGGAGGAGACCCCCTCGCTGAAACACAACCCCTACGCCGCGGCCGCTGACCCGGAGAGGTACCGCGCGGTGGATGCGCCGCTCTTCACGTGTGTCGCGCACAGGGAGGCCTGCGTCCTCTGCACCACTGCGGGGAAGAACGGACGCAACGGGCGTACGGCAGCCGTCGGTGCCACGGTGTTCTGGCTGACGTGTCCCCACCTGAACGCGCTCGTCGCACGGCTGGAAGGCCACCGCTGCGTGCAGGCGGTGACGGAGGCCATGAAAAGGCATCCAAGCCTCACCAACGCTCACGTGCGGTCCCATGAGGCTTATGCAGCGCGTGTCCGGCAGCTTCTCACAGACGAACAGTGGCTCTTCTTCGCGGAGCACTTTCTCTCGAAGGACAAAGCGCAGCTGCACAAGTTTGGCAACGCGGCGGTAAGCCACGCCAGAGATATGAAGTGCTTACACGCGCTTGTTGCGCAGACACTCGCTGGCGCGGCCAACCCAGTCGGATCGCTCGTGGTAAACTACGTTTTATTTCTGCATCAGCTGACCGGCGTAGCGGAGAACGAGGCCGCACGACAGGAGGAGAAGCGGATGGGCCTTCGCGCCGCTCTCGATAATACACAGCTGTTCGTGAACTTCATGGAGGCGTTTGTCGCGTGCGTGCTGAATGGAAAGGGAGAGGAGGAAAGAGACGTTCAGAGCGGCACGGATGCTCCCCAAACGGTCTTGACGGTACCGCTGCCAGCGCCGCAAGCATTTGAAACGGCGGCGGCAGTGTTCTCGTGGCGTTTGGATACTTCCTTTGCGGCTCTGTCGCCCGACATCTGCGCGCGTGCCCTGCGTGTGCTTCTCTTTTTAGAGGGTAAGCCACCGCGTCTACACAAAAAGCATCGCATCAATTGAGCGCGTGGGTGTGTGTGTCTGTCACTGGAAAGACCCCTCTTCGCTGCTACGATTCTTACTAATAAATGCGGTGCATCGTGCACGCTGTTGGCTCTTTTGCATCGCTTCCCACTCAGCGCCTGATCGCCTCTTTCCTTTCTAGAAACGACTAACCTGCTCTTCGTGTTGTTGTGTTTGTGTTTGTGTTTGTGTGCTGCGTAAGCAGCGACGGAGCGCTGCGTAATCGAACTCGGAATGGCGAGACGGAACGACATGCGTTGTAGGGAAAGCAACATGTGACCATTCGGGAGTACTTGTGAATGCGCGGTGCACAGGATCGTTACTCTCTGCTGCGCACTGCTATTTGTGGAGCAGACCAACAGACGCTGAAACGATCGCATGCAATGCGATATCGCTTCAGATCCTCTACGGCAAGCAAGCAAGCAACGACGGAGCTTTGAAGGAGCAACGCCCATTCAACAAATGTATTAAAGGATCTAGCAGCAACAGCGGCAACAACACCCCGCTCTCATCACTCTTTCTCTCTCTCTGTGTGTGTGTGAGTTGCAGCACATTTTCTACGTAGTAGTTGGGCCATAGAAGCGCCATGGAGATAGCTAAATAGTCTTTCAAAACCGCTCAACACTTGGGTGTTCATTTCCTATATTGCATCGAAGGCGTTTGCACTACCCCTGCAAGCCAAAAACAAAGAAAGAGGTAGTACTCCCTTGAAGGAAAGCAAAACCTTAGCAAAGCGTTAATAATACTGCTGCCCAAACGCATAGAACAGTTGTGACCTGACATGAAAAGAGCCGAACAAGGCTCTTCTTGCTTTTATTTATTTACATGAACCTCTCTAGCACGGCGTGGATTCGCCAGCCGGATGATTTCTACGTCATTGAAGAACTGCGCCACTCGCACTACGATGAACACGGTGTGTCGTACAACAAGAGCTCTCGCGCGCACAGCACGATCACATCCGTACTGGAGCCCTCCGCACGGGCGGTAGATGGAAGTAGAGGGGACACCTTCCCCACTCGTAAAGACCACGAAACACATCTCACAAGAACAGGACGCTTTCTTAAAGGGCGTTCGCGACGTGATGTTCTGGGCGACCTGCAATGCATCCGCGCCGAGGCGAATACGCTTGTGCTGCGACGGCTGCTGCTGCGCTGGGGGCTTTACGCCGTACGCCGCAGCGCTCTGCGCCAACTCCAGCAGGACACGCTTCACGTACTATGGCAGCGACTGGGTGGCCGGTGCTTTGCGTGGTGGCGCCTTCTCACGGAGCGGCGGCTGTGCCGCGAAGCGCTTTATCAGGAAGCAGAGATTCGTGAAGCGTCGTTCTTGCGCGACTTTGTTTGTCGAACGGTGTGGGGCAGGTGGCAGCAGTGGGCCCGCACTCGTGGACGTCGTCGCGATCGGGCATTTCGCCTTTCCCTTGTGAACCGACAGCGTCACGCCCTTCTGCGCTTCTGCGCGTGGTGTTGCTACCCACGTCAGTGCGCCGTGCTGCGCCACCTCCAGTGCATGCGCTTTGCTGCGGAGCGTCGACTGGTGCGCTTTTTTTTGGTTCAGTGGCGATCCCACACGCTCCAACGCTTTCTCGCGTTTCCGTTGGAGGTTAAGGCGGCTCAGCAGGTGGCCGTGCGCGCGTTCCGTGCGTGGAAGCGTCGAGCGTTGATAGGGGCGTATCTGCACCGCACCCAGCAGGAGGCTTTGTGGAGTTTGGGGGTCCGCTGCTTTGGCAGGTGGAAGCGCTGGCTGCGCCGTCGACTGCAGGCGGCGCTCTTACAGAGAGCGAACGAGACACGTCTCCTCCTGCACATCTTCACGCAGTGGGCCTGGAAGTATCAACTAGGCGCACTATCGATTTCGAAAGCGCTTACTTAAGTAGTCACGTGAAGTGGACGACCCTTTGACGTGTGTGAAGTGTGAAGCGGTGGGAGAAAAGGCCCATTAACTTGTGTGCGTGTGCGCTGACTTCCTTCTCCACGTTCTCCAAGATGTGTTCCTCCTTCTGGTCTGTCTCGCGCTCTCCTGCCACGCGCTGCTAGAAATGAAATATCCACTCACAAGAGATAATGTGTTACAAAAATATGTACACAAGGATAACTCCGTAAGGGGCCACTTGCTCACCGATCAACTCCTCCCTCCGCGTGACATTGTTGTTGGAGGAGGAACAAGGGGAGAACAGACATACGCGTCGTTTTCTCTTCTTCACTGTTGTGCATGCTGATTGCGGAAAGAATGAAAAATGCAAGGTCATCATCTTTTTTCAAAGAAACGGTCTTTATGCATGCGTCAAGAATCATCGCGAGTGCTGCCTGTGAGTGGTGCGCAACGACGCTGGAATCCTTTGCTTCTTTTTTTTTTGGAGGGGGAGTTACCCGTGTAGCATTTTTGTACTTCTTTCTTCATCTGCGATGCCGTGTTTATTCTTTTCTTTTCTCGTCCCCACTCTTCTGTTTTGTATCTGCCCAGCTCACGCTCTGTGCGTTTCACATCCGCCTTTGTTTATTTTTTGTTGGTATTACGTTGTTTCGCTTGCAGCTTTCGTTGCTCTTTTTGGACTTTTCATCTCCTGTTCTTTTCTTCTCTGTTTGTGGTGCTTCTGCACGCGTGCGTCTCGCAGCGAAGGCGCTCTATTAGCGAAAACACAGTGGCTTAGTTTTCTTCTTTACACAAATCGTTGGTATTCTCTATAAATCGCTGTAAGCTAACAGAAGAAGAGTATTTCACCTCCACCGACAAAGCGCACATCAGTTGGCAATGTCTTTCGTCTCCGCCGCGTTGTCGCAGCAGTTGGCAGACCACCCGTTCCACATCGTGCTGGAGCTGCTGTTCGTGGTGGCGCTGGGCTACCTGCTGCTGCAGCGCTCCGCCCGTCGTGCCGCCGCCGCGAAACGGGTCAACTTGCCCTCTTTGGAAGAGCAGGAGCGGCGCATTGCAGCGTATCAGTCCCAGCCCTTCCACACAGACAGCGTGGTGACCTCGAACGTGCCGGTGCCCGAGTTCAAGGGCATCACGGAGGTGTGCGGCCGTGACGGCTGCCACATCACCATCCTTCGTCCTGGCTCGACCAACCCCGAGGAGTGCCTCGACCTCGCCACCTGCGACTTTCACTCCTTCTCCACGCTGCCGGAGGTGGTGGACGTGGCGCGGGCGGCGGTGAACGCGTACGGCGTCGGCAGCTGCGGCCCCAGGAGCTTCTACGGCACCATCAAACCGCATTTGCTGGTTGAGCAGGACCTCGCCAAGTTCCTCAAGACGGAGGACGCGGTGGTGTACAGCTTCGCCTACGCCACCGTCGCCACCCTCATTTCGTGCTTCTCCAGCCGCGGCGACTATCTTGTCTACGACGACGGCGTCAGCACCTCGGTGGTGGAGGGGTGCAAGCTGTCGCGCTCGGACGTCCGCACCTTCAAGCACTGCGACATGACGGACCTCGAGAAGAGGATGAAGGAGGTGGTGGCGAAGGACAGCGCACCCACGCCGCACCGCCGCTTTGTCGTGACGGAGGGCGTGTTCTACGAAACCGGTGACATCTGCCCGCTGCCGCCGATTTTGGCGCTGTGTAGCAAGTACAAGTTCCGCCTCCTCCTCGAGGACGGCTGCGGCTTTGGTGTGCTGGGCAAGACGGGCCGTGGGACGCCGGAGCACTTCAACATCGCGACGATGGACGTGGACGTGTACATCGGCAGCCTGAGCACCTCCATGGGCGCCGTCGGCGGCTTCTGCGCCGGTGCCTCGATAATGGTGGATCATCAGCGTCTCTCCGCCTCGGCCTACGTGTTTTCTGCGTCCCTCCCCCCGTACGTCACGGCGTCGGTCTCGCAGTGCTTGACGGTGCTGGACCGCGACAACAGCTTTGTAGAGAAGCTGCACGCGCACACGAAGCACATGCGCGAGCACCTGCGTAACGCTCATTTCAACGCGGAGAAGATCCACCTGGTCGACTGCGTGGACGACGCGTCGCCGGTGATTGTGTTGGCGGTCCCGCCCGCCTACGTGAAGGCAGAGGGACTGCAGAATGTTGAGAATCGCCTGCAGAAGGTGATCAACATGCTGCAGGGGAGGAAGGTGGCGGTGGTGCGCAACGTGTTTACGACCGAGGAGCCGGTGAACACGGTGTCGGGGCTGCGCATCCTTGTGAAGAGCCAAGCGTCGCAGGCGGAGGTTGACGGGGCTCTGAAGGCAATCGAGGAAGCGGTGAAGACGGAGTTCGCATAAGGCTTTCCGCCGTTAGACTGGGAAAAGGAAAGCCGTTTTGTACAGTGGTGAGGAAAGGAAAGAAGACACGGTGCTGCGCATGGGAGTTTTGTGTTGTGCAACCTCTTTGTTTTCGTGTGTCTTTCACGAACGTTAGCGACATAGATATAGGCGTACGTTGTTACGATTCTCTTTTGACCGAAAGGAGAGAAAAATATTTGTACCCCTATTTTCATCCTATTATTATTTTATAACTCTTAGTTTTTTTTTTTTTTAATCCTTCGATGCAAATACATCGTTTGACGTGACGCTGTCTTCTCTTCCCTCTGTTCTCGCCGTACTGCGAGAGCGTTTTGAAAGTTCAACAAGCAAAGCCACAAGAAAATTCGCTTCCGAGTGGCGTGATCGAAGAAAAGAAAAAGCCTAATCATCTTCCACATCATGCGGGCTTCCGTTACCGCGCATAACAACAATTATTTGGAAACGGGCGTTTGGTCCAAGAACGCGGTCCTCAGCCTGGGATGCCCCGCAACGACCTCGGTCGACTGTTGCTGAATCTTTCTCTTTTCTCTATTTCGATCTAGCTTTGTTGTCTCCTTTCCCTCAAACGTTTTTCTCACACTTTCCGCGCTCATCTCCCCCTTTCTTCAGCTCGTTCTCCTCTCCTTTCTTGATCTGCGTAAACGGTGCATTCAAGTGCGGCAGTCTTGCTGGCAAGCAGAGGCGAGCGCCAACTTCAGTTCACGTATTCACAAACTAGCTTCTGTTTTAATGTGCATATATGAGGATCATCAGCAACGCCTCTAGCCGTATTTGCGTTGCTATACGTGTTTTTTTTTCTCTCTCTTTTCAATGAAATCGGATCGTTTGCACGTAGCAACTGTGGTCTGTTTCACAATTTGACAGAAAGATATCCGCGTTGTTTGCCTCTTGCTGATCAGAACAGCAAAAAATAAGTCAAAGTATTGTCCGTGATTGGGTTTGGCTTCCGTTTCGCAGTCCTGCACAAAAGAAAGTATCTTTTTAACGCCTTGCAGGAGATAATCATCGCACGTCCTCTTCCGCACTATCGTCTGCTTGAAGTGTTGGAGCAGCGACTTGCTGTGCCGTTTCTTATCATTCTCTATATATATCATACCTTTTGTTTCACTTTTTTTTTCTTTCACTTCAACATAAAGCCTCGTTGTAGCCGTTTACAGCGTCCCCTCGGCGCGGCTCATTGTGTCACTGCGAGGGTTGGTTTTCCCTCAAAGTCTAAGTGCCTCATTGCCTTTTTTTGTTCTGTTATTTGTTAGTCGTCTCTTTGTGAGTTTTCTGTCTCCCTTTGTTTGCTCTTAGAGCTGCCTTTCCCCACTGTTTCTCGACTTTCGACTTCAGACAAACTTCTATTTATGTGTTTTCCTCTTATCTTTGCCGGCTTTCAAAACTAACATCGTTTTTGTTTTTTTTTCGCGTTTTCTTTTTTTCATATTCATCTCGTACTCGTTGCCCATGTCGCTTCCGGCAGAGTTAGAGTTCGGTCCACATCGGCTGAAGCTGCTGACTGTCAGCCGCAATGCCGAAGACGTTTTGGATGCGCGGCGGTGCAGCGACCACGCCCTGACGGCCTTCTGCTACGTAGGGGAGATGCAAGACACTTCCATCGGTAGCAGCGGCGGCGGCACGGCTATTGTGTGGTATTATTCCCCCCTTTACCAGTTTGAGCGCAAGAAGATTCGCGTAGAAGAGAGTGTTATTGCCGCAGCCCTTACGAAGGCCGTCGCCCAGCACGGTGGTGGGGGCGCCGCCGGACTCTCAAGCCCAAGCGTCTTTGTGGACGCCGCCTCTGTTGCCTCGCCCCCCTCCTCGGCTATTCCCTCGCTGGTCGATGTGAACGAAGAGGTGCCGGTGAAGAAGCCCGGCCATCGCTTCTCCCTTCCTGCGCTTTACATCCGGCTCGGCAAGTCGTCCACGTTCCGCGAGTACAAGCTTGTTTTTCCTGAACCGGCTGAGGGATCCGCACCGCCCAAGGAAGAAGAAGCGGAGCCGCAGTGCAAGCCTCGCGCTGAGGAACACCACGTTACACCGCGACTGCTGAGTCCGACACTGCCCCGCAAGCCGCCGCTGAGGCCGCTTAGTGCACGGTTGGGCTCCTTCTCCGTGCGACGCCCAACACTGAAAAGGGAGGGACGGAGCAGCCTCATGGACTCCAGCTCAGCTCGCAGCTCACCAACCCGCATACATGACGAACTCGCCGACGTGGCCACCGCACCGCAAGACGATCCCCTCCCTTCTACAGTTTCCAACACCAAAGCCGGGGACGTTGGTGCCGCGGGGGCTGCGGTCGACAACGACGACGACGACGATGGTGCGCACCCCGTCGTATCAACCGCCACCGCGCCAGTCTTTTCGCCGCCGCCGCAAATCTTGTCGAACGTGGTGAGCGTGGTGCACTCGCTGTCCTCTCCGCTGTGCGCGGTGCCAGAGTCTGACGCACACAAAGGCGCACTAAACGGCGCTGCTGCATCGAGTTTCTCCTCTGGCTTTCTCTCCACTTCCAACTGCCTCTCAGGTCGGCTCTCGCATCTGCAGACGAGTGTGATGACTACAGCCCGCTCGCCAGGCGCGGAGTCGGATGTGCGGCCCTCGTCAAGCAACGGCGCCAACGGCACCTCTGCGCAGTGCGGCGACGATATTCCGCTGCTTCTTTTTTCTTCCTTTACGGGGCCGGAAACACGGAGTCCGTCGGGCCCGACACCGCCGTCGCAGCGACTGCGCACGCAACGCCGTCGGCCGCTGCGGGCGCACGTTATCCGTGCTCCCTCAGGCCATGATGGCCAAAGACCTAGTGGACCAGATAGTCAAGGTGAGCTGGATCAAGTGAAAACTGCCCCAACGACGTTGATGCACGTGCACTAAGCACCTCGGTGCTGTTTTTCCCCCTTTTTTACGTTTTTTTTTGTTAGAGTGAATGCAGTGTTGACGCTCACGGTGATTTTTTTGTTTTGTTTTGATGCGATAATTATTGTTATTCATTTTTGTCCCATGTATCTTCTTTCTTCATCATTTTTTCTTTTTTACTTACTCCTTTTCATTCTTTTTGTCAAAAGGTTTTTTTCATAGTATGACGTTGGCTTTTCTGGTTTCTTTGTTTCGCGAGCCATGCTGCATTACGCGTGCTCGGGAGCTGAAGTAGCGTGTGGCGATAAACGCGATGGTATGCTCTGCAGATGGTCTAACAATCACCCGAGCGCATGTTCATCAACATGTGCACAGATTTGGTTTTCATCTTCACTTTGTTACTTCGTTTTCGCGCTGTTTTTCAAAATTCAACACACACCAAGAGCGGTCGTTTTCCCCAAAGTGTCTTCCTTTTATTCTTCGTTATCATACCTCGACGATCCCTCCCCGCATTCGTCGTTCAATCGGTGTTCACCGTCGACAACGATCTCGTCCCAGTTTCTGTCGCGTGGTTTACGGATTAGCCGCGCTGATGCGGCGAGTGCCTTGGAGATGAAAAAGAAGATAATCTCTGCGAAGCTTCTGTATTCGCAGTACGGCAGCAAAGTTTGTTGTGACGCTGCTTTTCTCCCACACTAGTCCTCCGACGCGACAGAATTCGCGGTGTGGGGAGCTTGAAGCGCATTCATTTCCTTTAACTTTTATTGTTGCCCTACAAAAATAGTTTACATTTTTCTGCAAGTGCTTTCTTTCTGCGTGTTTTCCTGCGATGTTACTCTATTCCTTTTGTATGATGCAAAGTGAAATCCTTTATGTATTGCTGTTCCGCAGCTTTGTGCACTATTCCCTGGCTTTTCCTATTGTTTTTTTTTTCTGATATCATTCCTAAAAAGTTAGAATATTGTTGCATCCCTTTAGCCGTTTCATCTCGTTTCCCTGCAGGAGAACACTTTTTTATGTCTGTACATTGAAGAGACCCCTCTGCCCTTCCCCCAGATGCTTGTTGTTCGTTGCCAATGAAAACATGTTTCGCCAGGGTCTAACAGTTTGACAGTTTATTGCTTATATATTGTGGTTTCTGTTGCACTGTATTCGGCTCTTTCGTATCTTCTGTACGGTTTCCGGTAGTGCTGTTTTGGCAGCTTTCGCAAGGCATCGACATACAATACACGAGACAAAAGAACTACGTAAGTGAACGCATCGCCTACGACGAATCGTACGGCAGCTGTGAAGAGACAAATCGGTGCTCTGAAAAAAAAAAAAACATATACCCGCTTGACGTTGATATATAAAGAAAAGAAAACAGAGATTATTATGCAGCACATTTGTGCTGCTACCACCGTTGACGGCCACCTTTTTCGTTGGCTCCAGTGTTCAGTTTTATTATTGTTGGTGGTCGTGGTACATTCCCTGTGCGGATGCTAGCGATCGAAGCCACTCCTCTCTCATGCTAACACCGACGTACGTGTCGCCTTCTTTCCTTTTGGTTTTCACCCAACAGTTTTTTTCCACCGCTGTTGTGATTGCTCCCTCCTGCTCTAGGCAATACAAAGATACTTATCCGAGAAGTACACTCCCGTGTGCTTTCCTCAATAGAAGGAACGAACTCACAAGGAAAAGCGACTACACCGGCTGAGTCACACCTTTTCTGCTTAAAGCGTAGGCAAACACACGAACACCAACAACGCGTTGGAACGCTTCGGTGATCTGTTTTTCTGAACCGTTGCGTGTATCCGTACTGTAGATTGACCAACCTGCTGATTCCTTTGTCATTAAAATACATCCCATATAAAACACCTCTTGTACCTTCAGGTCCGTCACGAGAGGTACATCGTAGTCAAAGCTTGCCATTTCCTATTCCAGCACTCACAGGAATTTCTGTCCAACTGCACCGAAACGGCTCTGCTACGATGTGGGCGATCCATAAACTGCTTCCGCTAGCTCGACGTTTTATACCTATTATTATCTATTATTAACATTGTGGTCTTAAATAGCCCCTTTTATTTTCCTTATAGTGTGTTTCTAGTGGCTCCCGCTTGTCGTACACACACACCTTCACTCGTTTCTCGTTGGCAACGCAGCTGCTGACGTCCATTTTCATTGAGCTATCGAAAGAATAATAATTGTATATCAGAAAAGTACTCGGTCAGCGCACAGGATGGAGGGCCAGCGCCGTTTTTCCGCTGCGCCCGTCAACTTTGACCGTTTCGTCTCCCTCAACCGCTCCCAGTCTCGCAGCCTGTCTCCGAACAACGAACTGCATCAGATGCTTCGTCCTTATGAGAGTCGCCCAACGGCGGCGTCCCGCAGCGGACATCGCAAGACGACCTCCACCGCGTTGCTGTCCGCATCGTCAGCGTCGTCATCGTCGCACCCTCTCAAGGTAGAGCGCCGCAGCATCGACATGCTGAATGTCCCGTCCTCTGGCGTCGTCACCATCGAGGGGCCGTCAACGCAGGCAGCGACGCCACCCTCCCGGAGCGCCTCTGGCGGGGCCGGCACCACCTCCACCGGCATCTCGATGGAAGTGGGCGCTCCAGCAGAGACGCGATCGGAGTTGCGCTACTACAACTCAGAGGACGACACGGCAGAGCTCGAGCGGAGCCAGTTTGTGGTGGAGGAGGTGGACGTGCTGCTGCGTGCCGTTCAGCAACTAGGCAGCCCGCTGTACAACGCCGTCACTCGTCAGTTTCTATGCTGGAACCTGCACACGTTAGAGGCGCGATCCCGCGCCTCGTATGGTGACACAGAAGGCATCAGCTGCGACTTCTGCGGCCACACCGACTGGCTGGATTCCCTCGTGGACGGAGAAGAGCAAGCGGACGACAGCGCCGAAGGCATCGGCGAGCTGTCGGAGGTGAAGAAGGAGGAGGGAGAGAAGAAAGGTGGCCACGCCGCGTTGCCGGCGCACCGCCGCTTCTTGTACCACTGCCCGGTTTGCAAGGTTGACATCTGTCGTGCCTGCCTGGCGGAGGTGCTCGCCGATGAGCGCTTCCACGTGCCCTGTCTGCAGTGTCAGCGCTGCGGTGCGTACGAGACGCGCCGAAACGCCCCGCTGCACCAATGCACGGGCACCACTGGCTGGAAGGAAGAAGGGGAGCTGGGCGAGATACCATCGTGGATTCCTCGACCCAAAGAGGAAGCACCGGCGTTGCCTGCAGAGGCGGTGACGCTGAAGAAGTTGGCGGGCGTGACCGCAATCCGCAGCCATGTCCGGTTGGGCCTGTCACGGCGACGAGATGGCGACGGTGCAACGGTGGCCGCAGAGACAGCACGAGAAGCGGCAGTAATTACCCGCAAGGATAGCAGCACCGGCCATCCCCCGGCAGTACAGCCTGTTTCTTCTTCCTCATCCTCCTTTTTATCGTCTTCTGCGGTGGCAGCTCCGACGCGGAAGCGTCCCTCTGCGACGCGCAGCACGACCACGACGAATGTCAGGCCACGTGCAACACTGGAGGAGCAGGCTGAGAGCGATGACGGAGACGATCTTCCGGTGAAGGAGATTCCACCACAGCAGCAGCAGCAGCGGCGGCGGCGTCCAGGTGCGTTGTCCTCGCGCGAATCTCGCGTCAAAGCTCCGGCTTCTTCCAATAGCAGTCTCGATGCACCACAGGCACAGCTGCTGCGACTCCAGCAGCAACAGCAGTCCTCTGTGCTCTCCACGGCGCGGTATGAGGTGCACCTGGCGCCGCAGAGCAGCGACGAGGAGGAGGAGGTGCGGCGGATATCGCGCGAGCAGCACCTTTTGCTGATCCCCGCCCCGTCCGTTGGAGGGACGAGTGTGGCGTACTTCCCAACGCGGCTGGCGGCGGAATCGTGCGTCGATCGCGCCACGGTCGGCTCGGTCGAGGCCGTTTTGAAGCGACACAGCCGCCAGTCGTGAGAAAGCACAGTGCGGTTTTTTTTTGTCTCCTAGATGTATGACTGCTACGTAGAGCGCTCCAGCTTGTGACTCCACTGATCCACCACTCAAGAATAGATTTGCGACCATTTAACTTCAACCGAAGACACTCCCCTTACCTTGCAATGATTATCGATAAAAGAAAAACGAGGATGCTTTTCAAGTGCCTTTGGGGGCACGTTGTGTGTGTGTGTCTCACGGTCGTCGCCGCTGTGTAGTGATGCATCAATGAAGCAATAACGAAATGAGGGGACACACGCACGCGCAGGCAAAGCCGCATACTTTTCTACCGTCATTTTTTTCACACCAACAATTTTCTCTCTTTTTTTTAAATGTCTCGCGGTCCGTCTTTTTATCTTCTTGAATTCTTTCTCAAGTCTGATTCTTGCTGAGGTAGGTTGTGGCGCGTGTTTCGCAAAGGGGAACGCGACCTGCTGACGATCTCTACGTCAGCCAACAATACATAAAGAAAGCAGAAGGTGCGGGTGTGCGACGGTGAGCCCGTCTCGTGCCTGAATCGGACATTGACTCCTCTGTGCTACACACACACGTCTCATCTTCACAGAATCAGCAAAAGAATATATATATATAGGCTACACGAAGTTGTTTAATTAATACAACACAACGCTGTCCTTCAGAAGACACGAGCTATCTGAGCGGGTTAACGACACCGCCATTTTGCGTTGGGTCACGAAAATTCCTCTAAACGGGGAAAAAAGAGAAACAGGCGGAGGAAATAGGGTCAAGTATGGCGGTGGTGGAGGTGGGTACGTACAGCATCCGTGCCGGCTACATCGGCGACCTCACCTGCACACACTGTGTCCGCTCCCTTCGCTCAGCCGCAGCGCCGGAGGAGGTGGACCTATTCTCCATTTTGTATTCCGCCAGCAGAAGTCTCGACGATGTAGCGGCGGTGTCCGCACTGCCGGAGGGTGAAGAAGGAGGCATCCGAGGCTCCTTTGACAACGCAGCGTCGTCGGAGGCGTTGCTTCCGCTGTGGAGTCTCCGCAACGTAGAAAGCCACCCCGACGCTCACATGGACTCCCTGCGTCGCATGAAGAAGGATAGTTTAGAGTGCACCGAGCAGGACCCGCTGTGCCTTGTCCTGCCCGAGGTGTGGCACGAACGGGTAGACGTGATGGAGGCGCTCTTCCAGTTGATCCTGGAGACACCAGGCCTGACAACGGCGTTGTACTGCATGCGGCCCAGCGTGGGGTGGACGCTTTCGTCCGGGGCCGCCTCCAGCATCGTGCTCGATGTCGGGCACAGCCACTCCACCGTGACGGCGGTGCTGGACGGCTACGCGCTGCGGCACTCGGTCGACACCGTGCCCGTCGGCGGCGACGCCGTCACGGCGCAGTACCGCGAGCTGCTCGCCAATTTTCGCCCCGCCGTGGAGGCAGCAGCGCCGGCGCTCTCGCAGGACTTCGCACGCGAGGTTTACTGGGCCGACTGGGTGTCGGATGTGAAGCACTGCCTGGCGCGGGTGCTGCCGTTTGCCGCATCGGCCGGAACTGCAGCAGCAGCAGCGCCAACAGGTGTGAATCGCGCCAACGGTGCGAAGTCGATCACCGCGACGACGGCAGCGACGCCGAGTGTACCGCTGGACCTGCAGGCGCCAGACGGCACGCGGGTACACCTCGACGAGCGCAAGGCGGCCGCCCCGTTCGAGATCTTCTTTCGCGCCACCGGCGACCACAAAGGCAGCGTGGCGGCCATGATGGCGACGTGCAAGCGACGCATGGATCCGGAGTGGCAGCTGCACACCGTGCCGCACCTACTGGCGGGTGCGGGGAGTCTCGTGCCTGGTTTCCGTGACCGCGTGTTGGAGGAGTTGAAGGCGCAGGACGCGTCGTACTTCCGGTACGAGCGCGATGGGGCGATGAACGTTGCGCAGACCACCGATGGCGCGTGGGCGGGCGCCTCCATGGCCGCCTCGAGCTCCTCCTTCGATCCGCTGTGGGTGACGCGGGGGGAGTGGGCTGAGGAGGGAGCGTCGGTGCTGCACCGCAAGCTTTTCTACTGAGGTTGCCAGGTTTACGAGGAGAGCGCTAAGCGAACCGTCTCGCCGCTATCGGTGACTTGTCTTGCAACAAGGGGCAGCGTTGGTTGCTGCCGCTGCTCAAGGCGAGTTTGCGCTGCACAGGCCCGTTGCCATCAGTGCTTTCTGTTGCTGCTGCTCGTGCACTTGGATGGGGTCGGTCTTGAGTAATTCAGAAATGTCCTGCTTCTAACAGATGAATGCAACAGAAAAAGAAGAAAACACAGGTGTGCCTTCCCTTCTTCCGGAGATTACGTGGAGCGTGCGGGGAGATGGCGCTTTTTGAAAGTTGTGCATGTGTGTTGTTGCTGTGTGTAGAATGGTGATTCAAAAGGCGAGTGGACGTTTTTCTCTGCCTTTTTAAGTGTCCACGAGTGGCTTGTATTTCGAAAGAAAGAAAAACTGACTGTCCATTCTACCCTGCCCTTCCTTCTCCTTCCTTCCTTCCATCGCCTGCCTCCTGGCATCCACGTCGTGCCACCGCCTACTCACCGAAGAAGATGTCGCACAAAACAACAACGAGTGCCGGGGCGCTCTTGCAGCGTCGCAACGTGTGGGTCGCGTCCCTGAAGGCAAACCTCCCCCAATTCACCGATTCCACTGCGTCTCCGCTGCAAAACAGCCGTCGCACCACCGTATTTGGCCAAGGCGAGCGACGCCTTCTCGATGATGCGGTGGGGACCTCGTTGCTTCTCCTCCCGTCTGGATGGAAGGAGCAGGCAACTCGCCGTCTTGCGCGGACGCTGCACGGTGTTGTGGAGCCGCCGTTGCTGCGCCAAACCGATTACTTTCTCTGCTCGTTGATCCATCCCACGTACGTGCAAGCGGCTACGATCCAGTGCGAAGGTGAGGCTAAGCAGCGCAAGCTGCAGCAGCAGCTTCGGCGTACGGTGTGCATGCCGCTGGAGCTCACAATGGCTGGATCGAAGAGCCTTCGCTTGATGCATGAAGTGAATGGCTTTGCAAGCGCAGGCTCAAAGACCACCGCATCTGCTCGCCTCACCACCGGGGCCTCCTCGTCGTTTCAGCTGGACGCTCCATGGCCTGAGCTAAAGATGGCGGATACGCGCGCCTTCCTCGCATCCTTCCGTGAGTCTGAGTTGGAGTCGCTTGTGCTCTACGACAAGAAGGTTTTCTCACCTACACCGTCCGCCCCTTCTGCTGAGAAGTGTGCTGTCACGCCAAGTGAGGTTTCCCTAGCTGCTTTCACGGCCTTGTGTGGATCCATCGAACTCGTTTGTGGTTGGGCAAGCCTCGTACACTATCTGGATCGAGTCGCACGCGAGCACGGCAGGATACGCACATGAAAGCCTCCAAAGCACTCCGTAAAGAACTCCTCAAGTAGCTCGTTGTGGTTTTAGCTACTGTTGGCTTGCTTGTGCTTCCCTTCTTTTTGTCTGTTCACAGAATGACAAACGATCTGCGTCGTTGGCGAATTCGATTTGAATTTGTCACGGCTACCGGAAGGAGAAGCGATGATCTAGAAAACAAAGATTGTGGTTCGAATGATCGTTTAATAGCGGGGTTTTTTCTCCGAGGCCGCTCTCCCTCGATGGCATCCTCAGCGCCACGTACTCACACAAATATGTACAAGGTAAAAGTTTCTGGTCCCGTGGACGACCGTTAATGCTGAAGGACGCGTCCCACTAAGAAGAAAGGAGACTTCTTCAACCAACCTCTTTTGCTCTCTCTCCCACCGCTCTTTTTCGTTGCCTCGAGTTCTCCGCTGCTGTGCTGCCACACTCACAGAAAACCAAGAATTATTCTTGAATCAACATCGGTAGTAGCCGATCTGGCAACATCAGCAACAAAAACAAACTCCATCATTATAGTCCACTGCAAAGGGAAAAGGGAAAAGACGCCTAATCCGTTTTTCTCACTTCTTTCATTCTGATCTTTATCTTTTCTTCTCTATTTTCGAAGTGTACATCGTTGTAATCAAACTTCCATAATCCTCTTCTTTTTCTTTTTCTTTCTTACTTAAAGCCGCGACCGTTTGTTTTCAGAGTGAGACGTGAACTTCATTGTTTTTACTCTTGTTGGCTCCGATTAAACAAACACATTCAAAGTAAAGAAGAAGAAAAACGCGAGCGTTCACCGAGAACAAACCCTACACGATGTCTTCCCTCGATGCACTTGTGAAGCAGTGGCTGGAGTGGGACCACGATCCGGTCACACGAGCGGCGGTAGAGGCGCTGGTAGCGAAGAACGACACGGCAACGCTGCAGAGCATTTTGGGCTCGCGCATGACCTTTGGCACGGCCGGTCTGCGCGCCACCATGGGCCCCGGAAACGCGCACATGAACCGTCTCACCGTACTCCAGACCGCCCAGGGCCTTGCTGCCTACCTTCGCGAGAAGTATTCTGCCTCCGAGTTGAGCCGTGGCATCGTGATCGGCTTCGATGGCCGCCACAACAGCCGCGTCTTCGCCGAGATGTCGGCGACGGTGATGCACCAGCAGGGGCTCAAGACGTACCTCTATCGCCGCTGCGCCCCCACCCCCTTCGTGCCCTACGGCGTCACCCACTTCAAGGCGCTGGCGGGTGTGATGGTGACGGCGAGCCACAACCCCAAGGAGTACAACGGCTTTAAGGTGTACGCGGAGAACGGCGCGCAGATCGTCTCCCCCATCGACCAGGCGATTGCTGCGTCCATCGAGGCCCACCTCACCCCGCTCCCGTCCTCCTGGGCGCCCTTCGCCGAGGGCGACCACATCGAACCCTACGACGAAGTCTTCGCGAGCTACTTCAAGACGCTGCAGGAGTCCTACGCGCCGGTGGGCGATGCAACAGCGGTGCGCTTTACCTACACGGCGATGCACGGCGTCGGCACCGACTTCACCACCCACGCCCTGCGGCACGTGCTGAAGATTCCGGAGGAGCACCTGAGTGTCGTTCCGGACCAGGCGCGGCCGGACCCAGACTTCCCCACCATCCGCTTCCCCAACCCGGAGGAGGGCAAGACCTCGCTCGCGCTGTCGTTTGTGACGGCCGATCGCAACGATGCGTCCATCGTCTTGGCGAACGACCCCGACGCGGACCGCCTTGCCGTGGCGGAGCGCCTGCCAGACGGCCAGGGCTGGAAGTGCTTCACCGGCAACGAGCTCGGCACCTTGCTGGGCTGGTGGGCGATCGAGTGCGCGCGTCGCCGCGGTGCGCCGCTGAAGAAGTGCCTGATGCTGTCCACGGTGGTCAGCTCCTGTGTGCTGCGGACGATGGCGGTGCACGAGGGTGTGCAGTACTCTGAGACGCTGACGGGGTTCAAGTTCATGGGCAACGTGGCCATGCAGCGGGAGGCGGCGGAGGGGCTCGAGCCGATCTTTGCCTTTGAGGAGGCGATCGGCTTCATGTGGGGTCGGCGGGTGATGGACAAGGATGGCGTGACGGCGGCCACCGTCATGGCGGACATGGCGTGCTACTTGCGCACGGAGAAGCACCGGTCGCTGGTGGAGCAATTGGAGGCGATCTACAAGAAGTACGGCTACCACTTCACATACAACTCCTACACCACCTCGGATGATCCGGCCAAGACGGGCCTGCTGCTGGAGGGCATCCGCACCTCCGAGGACGGCCACTACCCGACCACCGTGGACGGCCGTAAGGTGACGCGGGTGGTGGACCTCGTCACGCAGATTGACACCGCCGAACCGTCGGGCCGCTCGCAGCACGCGAAGGAGCCGCTGATCACGCTGTACGTCGAGGGCGGCATCCGCATCACCATTCGCGGCAGCGGCACGGAGCCGAAGATCAAGTGGTACGCAGAGATCGTGACAGAGGATCCCGCCGGCGCTGAGCAACTGAACGCGTTTGTTGCCAAGGCGGTGGAGCAGCTGATGCAGCCGAAGAAGTTTGGACTGGTGATGCGTCCAGAGGACATCGCCATCTTCAGCAAGCTCTAAGGCGCGCTTCTTCTTCACTCCATAATAAAAAGCAACTAAGCTACTAAAGCATGAACAGGGGCGAGGGGAAGGGGGGTGAGGCACATAAGGTCAGCAAAAGTTTTTTTCTCTCTCTAGAGAAAATCAGCACTGCTTCCAGCGTGCATACTGGTGTTGTTTGAAGTATAAATGTATACATATGTATACAAATGCTCTCTTTCAACGAGCTTTTCTGGCCATCTGTGCCTACCCAACTCGTTTTCCTCTTGAACTTGCGATCACAGGTGATTGCCCGTCGCAACGACTCGCGACCGCATCGACGTGAGATGTGCCACCATACAACTTTCTTATTTGTATGCACACAGCATCGGCGTTTTTTTCTTTTCTTTTTCTTTCTTCCATACTCTTCAATATTCAGTAACAGATTCAGGAGATTTCCACCTTACGTTTTCTCTCACACAAACAAAACATTTCCTCTTTTTTCTGAAGGTATAGCTGGAGCGACGCGTCTGTCACTGGAGACAGGACGCAGAGGGAAACTATCGGGTGACACTTTCGCCTCTTTTTTGTGTTTCGCTTTCTAAATGTATTCTCTCGCTGTATTGGTTGTTCCGCGAGGTGAAACACGTTCGCGTATCCCCCTCGGCAATCCTTTTCAATGTTTTTTTTTTTTCTCAGCCGAAATCGTTCTGGAGCTGCGCTTTACACGCTCCCCTCCGTAACTCACATGTTTTTCCTTTCTCTAACTTGTCGACTTATCGACTTCAAAATTGCTAGCTTTCAGCATCTGCAAAATGTGCTAGAGACGGTGCAGCAGGCACACACTTTGGAAGACTGTTTTTCTCTTTCTTTTCATTTTTCTTTTGTTCCCCTTTTAAGATTTATACACTCTCGTCCAGCCTTAATGACATCATGATAAAACGCTAGCAAGTGTGTTACTACTATCTTCACGAGTTTTCGCCTGGCATGTGTGGCCTCGTCGGAGGTCTCTCGAGCTTGTTTCGCAGGAGTCAAGAAATTCACTGGTGCTCCGTCTTCTATGCATTTCATCTCGGCGGATATCGCTCGCTCCCGGTTGCCGGAGCTTTCGCATGGTTTCAAGAGCGTTCGCTGGCAACGCTTCTCTTTCTGATTTTTCTCTTCTCTTCTTGGCGACCTCCTCCCTCTCTCTCGCTATCGGATGTGTGTGTTCGTTGTAGCGCCTGTCTGCCGTGCGGACACTCTCAGCCAACGATACGCGTTGCGCCGCCTTTCCCTCATCGCTGGGAGGCCCGCTCATTTCCTCTTCTTCTGTTTTTGTTGTTGGCTTTCCGATTGCTTTCTTACTTTCTGTCTCGCTCTGTGCCTGTTGATACACACAAACATATATATATATATATATATATATATATATAATATTTAGGGGTGTTGCAGCCGTGTCATGCAGACGTTCTTCACTCATTCTGCCGTAATGAAACTGCCCATAACGTGAATTTTCGCCGTACAGCCTCAGCGTCGTGGAGTCTTCTTTGTTGTTTTTCTCTCTAAGTCTTCCGTTCTCATTTTGTGCGGCAGCACCGGTTCACCTCCCCTTTTCCATCGTCTCTGTTGCCCCCAGCTATTCGCCTACTGCTTGTTTCAGTGTACACGCAGCACACATAGCAGCACGAAGGCGCCACGACGTTTCATGGCTGTAGCGGACGCTGTAGCTTGCCTTGGAAGCTTTTCTTTTCTTTCTCTTCTTCTGCTAACAAGCTCATAGGTATACAAAAATAGAGGAGCAAATACAGAAGGAAGCGCACACACCTCGAAATGAACTTTACCGCCGTCGCCCCTCCGCTCTCACCAAAGGTCATCCCGGGGTGCGGCAACACGCACAGCAGCAGCGGATTCCCCACCATCCTTTCTGATGGCGGCAACTTCCCTTTTCAGTCGGCCGCCTATGGGCAACAACAGCTGCTGGCCTGCAGCTCCGCGGTGAGCCACGGCGGCGAAGTCATCTTTATCTATGACGTGAACAGTATGCAGCTGACGCAGTCGCTGAGTGGGCACAAGGCTGCGGTGCGGGCGCTGCTGTGGCGCCGCCCACCGGCCTCGTATCTGCAGACGGGTTTGTTTCTCTGGAGCGGCGATGCACACGGCGTCCTCATGTACTGGGATGTGGTGGAGGGCGTCGCTCTCACCAGCATCCAGACCCCGTGTCAAGGCCCGGTGCAATGCTTAGCGCTTCTCACCGAGGAGCACCTGCTCGTCGTCACGTCCGAGCGCAACAGCTACATTTTTAATTCCCACCTCGTCGACAACACGCCGCTCCCACCGGGTGGCCTGCCTCTCGAGGTACCGCATAGCTCGCTGCTTGAGAATCGGTGTCAGCCCACGCTTGTGACGCTGTCCCGGCTGAGCGACCGTCACTGCTGTGCGGTTGTCCTGGGCGATCGCCTGCGCGTTATTCGCTCCCTTCAGCTGGAAGGCGGTAAGGAAGCCCCTGTGGCGAAGGACCTCATCTACGACAGCGGCGACGGGTCTGCCACCGTGTTGGATGCCTTCTTCAGCGACGCGCAGGAGGAAGTGCTGTACTTTGCGACGCGCAGCGCCGTGGGCTGCTATGACTGGAAGTTGGGGCTGATGCTGAACGAGTCGTTTCTGTGGATGCCGGACGAGGTGGAGTTCCGTCGCATCTTTCGCTCCTCTGCCACCTACACCACCGCCCTCACCTCGCCATCCCCACTCGCAGCGGAGAGCACGAAGGCGCTTCCCGTGTTGTACTCCTTCGGCTCCGATCAGCGCCTGGTGGCGTGGCACGTCACCCGCCACGACCGCTTCACCACCGTCGCGACGGACGTACGAGGGGTGCGCATCAACGCGAAACTGACCGCCAATGTGGTGCAGTCCGAACTCGATCCCGCGCGCTTCGCGGTGCTCTTCGAGGATGGCACCATTGCCCACTGGCAGTACACGGCGGTGTCACGGCGGTGGAAGCTGTTGGGTTGCTGGCTGGCACCGGTGTTGCGGCCGGTGACGTGTTGCCCCGTCGGTGCGCATCACTGCTGCGTGGCGCTGGAGAGCGGCCACCTCGCTCTCATGGACGTCACCCACGCCATCGCTGTTCGGCGCTTCAACTTGGTCTACTCGGGCGGCACGCAGATTGTGCTGCTGTGTGGCCACAAGTGGAGCGACCTCGTGTGGGTCGTGTCGGACCGCGTGCAGCAGTACCGGCACCACCACCAAGTCTCCCTGATCGACACGCGCACCGGTGAGGTGGTCCGAATCCTGCGCAGGCCGTCTTCGGTGCCTGAGCAGACGCGCATGAAGGAGATTACAACGGACCCGTCCACGACGTACATCCTACTCACCTACTGGAACGGCACCTTTGAGGTGTGGACGGCGGAGGACAGCCGCCTCGTGCACATCCACTCCGGCCTGGGCGTGGCGAACGTCTCGTGGGCCCCGCCGTCGATGCGGCGCTGCCTGAGTGGCGTGCAGGGCACCCCGCAGCTGCTGGCCGTTCTCTTTTCCGAGGGCACGCTCTCGCTGTGGTCCGTGTACAAGGATCGCGTCGTGGTGAGCCGTGATGCGATACCGCTCTTCAACCCCGCCGTGGCCGAAGGCGCCGTGCGGTTTGCCGTAGTGGGCGACGGTCTCGTGACGTGGGACGGCCACGGCAACGGCGTGGTGCTGCACGCGCAGGGCACTCGACTCTCCGTACGACGACTGCGCGATGCCCCGCCGAACTGCGGCGCCGTGGTTTGCTTAGCCGGCCCCCTCCCGCCCTCCTGTACACCGGCGGCCAACGAGCTCATGAGCTTTTCCTCGCCGTTAATGTGGGTCGCCACGGACTCTTTTGGCCGCAGCGACGTCCTTGCGGCGTCGACGGCGACAGCGTCGGAGAATGCGAATGGGACGAGCACCGCGGCCGCCGCATCTCCCACCGGCGCCGGCAACGAGGGAGTCGCCTCCACTAAAGTGGTCGCGGTGCTCTTTGAGACGGGCGTGTTCGCCGTGTGGGACATCACCACCGGCGAGCTGCGCGCCCTCTCCTCCAGCGGCATGCCAGCCGACGTGCGGGCTCTCTCGCTGTACTGGGTCGGCGAGTCGCTCTGTGTGCTCGGCGCGGACGGCTGCCTGTACGTGTTCGATGCGAATTTGGCGGAGATGAACAGCAGCGTCCGCTACCGGGCCCTGCGCCGGCCCATGAAGAATTTGTCCTTCCTGCTGCCTGCCCACCGCACTTACGTGCAAGTGTCGCTGGAGCTGAACAGCCACGGCGGGGTGCAGAGTTCCACAGGGGCGGGGGGTGACATCACCGCTGCTTCGCCTTCGCCGGCCTCCTTCGCACAGATGCCGAGTGCCGTGATGGAGGCGATTCCCGCGAACGCGCGTCCGTGCCGCGGCCCTTTTGGCCAGTTGTTGACGGAGGATATGACAATCCTCTATGACGAGCTGGAGCTCTATCGTACTACCATGGTCGCACACGATGTGTTAAAGCAACTGGCCAGGTGCACCGAACGGGCAGCAGCGACGACGCCTACCTCTCCGCTGCTGTGGCTAGAGCGGTCCATCATTGTGACGGGATTCTTGGGCCAGGTGTCGAAGCAGCGTTTTATGCGTCTTGTACTGGTGGCCCTGCAGAGTTGGACGCCGTCGATGCGTGGCGCTTCTGCTTCGCAGAGTTCCTCGCTGTTGACGTCTCCCGCTGGCACCGCGCTGACCAGCGAGGCAGACAGGTGCTCCGCTTTCCTCAAAAGCGGCATCACCGCCAACAATAGCGCCAGCGCCGTTAGCACGAATCCCAACTCTGCGGGAGAGACTGTGACGACGGTGCCGGAGATGTACCCCAATGCGGACCCCTACGCCGAGGCCCTCGCCCCCGCATCCACCGTGCGGCGCAATCGCGTGTTGCTAAACGAGCAGCGCACCGCCGCCCTTCTCATCAACGCGGGCAACTTCCGAAACGGCAACAACGACGACTGCGCGACTCGCCTGTCGCTTGCGCGGGACTGGCTGCAGCTGCAGAACCCCCAGCAGGCCATCGAGGTGCTGCTGGACACTTCTTCCCAGTCAGAAAAGTACAACGAAATGGCCACGCTCAGCATGGCAGTCGCCGCCTCGAGCGGCGCGAAGTCCGCGTCATCGGTCGACACGGCTCTTTCTACGTTGTTCACCGCTTCTGCAAAGCGTGCGGCGGCGATGCTGCTGGCGCAGGACGACGTCGCGGCCGCCGTGGAGAAGCTTGTGCTGGCTGGCGAGTACCGCGGTGCCTGTCTGACGCTGCAGTCGAAAGGCCTCTGGCGCGAGGCAGTGGTGCTAGTGAAAGCGATGCCTCATTTGCAGCGTCCCTTGGTATCGGATCTGCTCCAGCGCTGGTCAGCACTCTCGGTGCAGCTTGGCTATCGACTGCTCGGGGCCGCGTTGTTGCTCGCTGGTGGGGGCGGTGCAGAGGGGTTGACGCAGCCGGCCCCGCTCGCGGCGCTGTCGCTGTTGAAGGAGTCGGCGCACTACACAGACGTCGCTGGTGTGGTGGCGCTGGTGCTGGCGCAGTACCACGACGTCCTTATCTGCTTCGGCGAGGAGGGTGCTGTTCACGCCGCAGAGGGAACGCCACCTTGTCGCCCCTCTGACGGGCTAACCACCGGTGGTGCCACTGCGGCGGCGGCGGCGGCGGCGGACGCGAGAGGTGCGAGTGCGACGACGGAGGTCATTTTACATGCGTTGGGCGACTACAGCAGTTTGCTGCATACGGTGGGCAACATGGACGCGGAGGCACTCGTGTTACAGCAGGCAGCGCACCTCAAATCTGTCCTTCGGCGCAGTTGAGCTGGCAATGAAAGCGTGGGTGAGCATGACACAGAGAGAGCTGCTTAGACAACAACAACAGAAGTTGCAGCTGTATTAAAAACTGCCGCATTCTGATTTTGAAGTGGATGATGGATATTTTCTTTGACGGCGCGTTGTCTGTAAAGGGAGCGCGTGCATAGGTTGGACTGCTTTAACAGGAAACGATAAGATCATTGCAGTACACGAGAACGCACCAATCGCTCGGCGAAGCTGTTTATGCGAGGCAGGAAGCAACACACGTGAAATGCGGTGTGCGTGCTCCTTACGGCGGCGGCAAAATGCTACTTTTGATAGACCATGCAATATTATTTTTCCGGGCAGTCTTCCGCGCACCAAGTGAAACTGCGCTGCAAGGGATTTTAGAAGTCAACGCGCAGAATAAGAATGGCGCGGGATAAATCTGAACAATGGTGACCGGCGCTTTTTCCGTGTGTCGTCTACTCCAACGACTCATCCCCATGTACTTCGAAAAAAAGAATTGAGTTCTCCCTCAACTTCTGCTCCCCGCGTTTTCTGCTGCGGCTTGCTTTGCTGCCGTTGTGAACCCCTCGCTTACGCCGCCACCACCACCGCTGCGCACCCATGCAGCCCCCCAGCGCCACAGGCGTGACGTCCGTCTCGTTGCGGCGCGTTAGTTACCCATCGAGGATGCCCTCGCCAGTGATGCGGGCACGACGCTCCGCAAAACTTGCGGAGTACCTCTCCACCTACGCCCTATTGGAGCACATCGGCATTCACCCCACCGCCCTCATCGAGAAGCGCGACGCTGCTGTAGGGATTGGGCTGTACGTGCGCGACGCTTGCGACGCTGGCACCTCCCTTCTCGCCGTCCCGTCGCGCCGCTTCTGCGCGAATTCCGTCCTCTCCAAAGTGGGCCTGAAGTGCCAATTCACAAACCCTTGGCAGACGACGTCGCAGACAACCACCACGACCGCACTCGCCGGGCCTTCACTGTCGCCGAGGGCCACGGACACCATTCAAGATGGGATTGTGTCCTTCCTCACCGGGAGCTCCCAGTGGCCGGAGCTGGCGTGGCGCCTTACGCTGGAGCAGCACCGCAGTGTCTCGCACCTGTGGGGCTGGCTGCAGAGCCTTCCCTCCGCAGCGGAGTTGAAGGACCAGACGGAGGCCGCGGAGCGACACTGTCGCATCCATCACACGATGCTGCTGCCCTACTACCTCAAAGGCCGGCAGCGAATGCAGGACGAGACTCTCGCGGCGTACCGGCAGCTGCGTACGAACAACTTGCTCGTCAGCTACACCACTTTTTATTGGGCGGTGGAGGTGCTACTGTCTCGCGGACTGCTTCTCCCGCTGGCTTGGCCGGTGGAAAGAAGCGCGAATGAAAGCTTGTTGATGCGGGAGCGAGCGTCGGCGCGCGGCGACGAGGACGTGGAGGAACAGGAAAGAGGGTTGTTTGCACAGAGCCCACCCGAGGAGAACACCTTGGAGCTTGGTGTCGTGCCTTTTTTAGACCTCGTCAACGCCCCAGACGATGAAGGCCGTGTCGTGAACGCACGCATCGAAGTTGCCTCGACGCTGGAGGAGCTACCGGCGTTCTTTCAAGAAGAAGTTGTCGTCACCTCCGCAGCAAAGGGGCGTGATGGGACGGCGGAGCTGGAGGAACTGCTGAGGACGCACTACTACCTCTGCCTCACTTTGTTGGCACCTCTGCGTGCTTCAGAGGAAGTGATCGTGGATTGGGACGTCCCTGTGGTCACGACGGGTGTTCTGCACAGCGCAGAAGATCAGCTCGTATCTCGGCTGCTCAAGTACAAGTTTTGAACGGAGACAACTGTTTGAGCTTGAATCCTTTTTTTTTTCCACTCTGCGTGTTTACTTCTTCCATCATCACGCGGAAAAGCATTTCCAGGCGATTTTGGTGTCACAGAGTCTTTACACTACATAGAAGTCCGACAACGTGACGTGCTGCGTTGATGCTATTATTGGGCATCGTTGAGAGGCATGAAAGAAGAGTGGTGAATGTGAAGGAGCGAATAAACGATTTATTTCAACCATAACATAATAGGCTCGGGCAATAGTGCAGCGCTCTCTATTTACGATTCTTTTTTGTGGCTCAATTCGCACGTCTATGTTCCACTTGTCGCAATCATTCTGGAGCATTAACGTTGTATTTTCAGCTTTGATGGAGGTGCTCTCTTTGTTGTAATTGCCTTCGTTGTTGCTTTCCCCCCTCCTTCTTCTTCACGCGGTGAACGAAACACACGACACCCTTTTGAGTTGACAACAGCAGAATTGGATCTTTCCTTGTGAGTCCGACAAAATCAGGCTGATTTCATCTCGTCGCACCGCACTTGCAGACGTCATGTCGCTTGGCTACCAACGCATGAAGATGCGTGCGACCACCGTCGTGGTGGACCACATGCGCAGCTTCTGTGACGGCTGCAACGTCGTCCTCAACACTGTCGCACGCCCTTTCAGGATGGTAGCCAGCCGCATTCAATCCGAGGCACCGTGGGTGGTCGCAGTCGGTGCCTCCACCTTCATCACTCTCGTCCCTCTCGTCAGCTACCCTCTTATTAAGAAGTACGTTATGCCGGACGAGCGCGGAGCGGCGGAGGCGGAGCGGGTGCGGTTGTGCCTGCAGAAAGGCATCGACCCATACCCGTACATGCGGTACAAGGACTACGTGTACGGCAACAATGCCCCTGTTATGGCCACCGCGGAACAAATGCCGAAGCGGGCTGGGTGGGAGTATGATGCACTGAACGAGTTCCTCCGTCGGAAGGAGGAGCTGCGCAAGGAAGTGAACGGCAACGTGGATGACACGGTGCAGAGGTTGATGGAGCTGAAGAAGCAGCAAGCCGCGTTCTACAAGTCGAAGCGCGGTCACTTCGTCGTGGAGCCGCCAGATCTCATCTTTCACGGCCGTGAGGACGTAGATCAAGTGAGGTCGTAAAAGTTGCGGTGGCGACGACGGAAAGCCGAAATACTTTGTCTTGCAGGACCTGCAAAGAAACAATGCATGACTTTCGAGCTGTTTTGCTCCATTTCAGTAGCGTAGTTGTACGCTTGTAGTTTGTGTTTGTGTGTCTCCCATTGCTTCCCTTTACCGTTATGCTTTTTTTTTTAGTGGTTTCAAGGGCACAACGCTATGCTCTGCTCTTCCAACTCCGCATACACCATCAGTCATTCCCGATGGAAATAGAAGATTCCACAGGTCGAGATAAGTATCGGGTTTCCTTCACCGTTTCTGGAAGCTTTGCTGAACGCAAAATCACCAAAAAAGACGGCTTCCCTCCCCCCGCGAAAGGGCCGCAGCATTGGCATTTCTTTCTCCGCGATCGAAACAACTCGACGTGGCGAGGTCTGGAAACGACGTTTCTTCTGAAGGGAACTGAGGAGGAGAGAAGAGAAGCGAATGCGCGGTGCTTCGCTCTCTCCGACTGCAGCTACTTTTTAATCCATCTATCGCGCTGAAGAATGCGGTCTCAACGCGTTACTTTCTTTCACAGTGTCGTCCGTTTCTCTTCCACGTCTGAACTTCCGCATTCCTCGTCTCCCTGTTGTTGTCATTGGTGTTATTGCCTGTTCAGGAAAGGGTGCGACAAGAACCCAATGTTCCGCTTTTGTCGTGCGTGGCTCGCGCCGACCACCACAGACGCAGCCGCCAAGCTGCCGGCCGGTAAACCGGTAAACAAGACGTGGTTCCGCAACAACTTGATTATTCGCCGGAAAGGCTCCTACCGCTCCCGGTGGGGCACCGGTGCTGAGGGCTACGGGACCGGTGTGCCACTGAGCGATCAGGTGAAGCTGCACTGCGTGGACAACACGAACTGCAAACACGTCCGACTCATTGCGAAGGCCACGGGCGAGCGGTTTGCCCACTGCCGCGTCTTTCCTGCTGTGGCGCACCGCGTGTCGGTGCAACGCTTTAAGGGCCGCGGCAGTGGGGATGTGTCGCGTCATCGGGTGAAGCCGGGCAATATTTACTGGGTCTGCCTCTTTACTCGCCGGCAGACGAACACGCGTGTGAGTGGGCTGCAGACGAACTTTGATCGCAACACGTGCATTATCATGAATGATCAGCGTGTGCCGCTGGGGACGCGGGTGATGTACTGCGCGGGTCGTCACGTGAACCACAAGTACCACCTCAAGGCGATGGTCCTGGCGAACTTCTTTGTGTGAGGCAGTGGCGTAGGTTTTTTTCTTGGGTGTGCGTTCTTCCTCTGCGCGACGGGAGTGTGGAGGGAACGCGTGAGTGGGGCGAGCTGTGTGAGGGTTGTCGGCGTGGCTTCTGCTCTTTTTGGGTCTTTCCCGTTGTCCTGAAAGCGAAAGCCAGAAAGCGGTATTTACGGAGATTGATATACGTATCTATCGAAAAGAAGAAGAATACATAGAAGGAATGGTGCGTTTGTTGTGGCCAGTGCCGCACACGGGGCAATCAACCGCGCTTTCCGTCTTCTTTTGCTTCGATGTTGTTGTCGCTGCTGAAAAGAAAACTTCTAGTTTGCATCCGTGCGAGTGTTCTGTTTGTTGTCTGGCGTCAATAAGCAGAAGAGCACTCTTTCACGCAGGGCAGACGCTTGTGTGTGGAATACTCACCTGAAACATTCACGTGGAGAGGCGTATAAATGCCAAAACGAAAGATTACCGGTTTGAATCACTGATCGTCATTCCGCAGCGTATTTGCTTGGGAATTCCTCCCCGGCTTCGTCTACGTCATTCCATTGCTGTTTGTTTGGTTTGCTTCTCAGGTATTTCGTGACTCGCCTTCTATTTTTCAAGTGCGAAACGCCCTCCCCCCTCCATAACGTTGCGTTCTCGCCACGAGCACGTACGCGCATACGAGCGCACTACTACACACACACACACATACTTTACATATATACGTTTCAAGAATTGGTGCTCCCCGCCCTCCGCTGCTTTCGTTTTTGTGAACCGGTAAGTTTTTGGCCTTTTTCGCACTGATTTATATTTAGAGAAAGGAAAAATGCCTGCTGTCGTTGAGCAGTTGCCGACGTCCGACGACGAGGACCAATCCACACCGCCGCCGGAGTGCCCCAACGTCGTCAGCCCAGAAATCTCGGAAGAACAGCAAACGGCCTCCGCTGAGCCGGCTGCGACGGCCACTACAACGGCAGGAGTGGAGGAAGAGCAAGGTGAACGCTCCGTGGACGTGGAGCGCTGCGGTCAGCTGAAAGTAGCAGGGAATCAACTGTTCAAGGAGGGCAACATCTCGGAGGCCCTCGTCATGTATCGTCGCGCACTTTGGTGTGCCCCAATCAAACCCGTGCCGGCTCGACCAGCAAAGAGCAACATGCCAAAACCACCAGCAGACGTGGAGGAGCCAAACGTGACCGACGGCGACAGTGACCACGACGACGAGCCGGCAGATACGACGGACTACACGCTCACTTCGCAGGTGTACTGCAACGCGGGGTTCTGTCTCATGAAATTGGATGTGAAAGAGGAGGCGGCCCAGATGCTCTCCGAGGCTATTCGCCACGATGACAAGTATCAAAAGGCGTACCTGCGACGGGCGGACTGCTACTACGACTTGCAGAAGTGGTCCAGCGCGTACGGCGACTACGAAGGCTATGAGAAGCTGGGTGGGGTACTGGATGCGCAGGGCCGGGCCCGCAAGACCGCCGCGAAGGCCAAGGTGGACGAGGAAATGCAGAAGATGCTCGGCGAACTGAAGAACCTTGGTAACAAGATCCTGGGCAACTTTGGTATGTCGACGGACAACTTCAAGTTCGACAAGGACCCCAACACCGGCGGCTATTCGATGCGCTTTGAGCGATAACGTTGGCCCTCACGGAAGGGAACTGCTGCCCGTCTCTTTTTTTTTTCCTTTGCTCTTTTCGTTTCTGCTGTCGAAGCAGGTGTTTCGTAGGGGAGAGAAGCGCTCTAACAGGAACGGTGGAAAAGAAGTGTACTGCGTCTCCTGTTCTCTTTACGTTTTTTTGGCCGTTAAGAATGCTTGCCATTAATATTATTATTATTATTATTATTATTATTATTATTATTATTATTGTAATTGCTCTCTTGGTAGGTGCAGTTGTGGTGGACGACAACTCTTCCTTCCACGACTTCCGCCGATAGTCTACAAGGGCCACAGGTGAAGGCACCGAAACTTGCGCTCATATTTGGGCAGCTGTGCCATCTCACAGACACACACGTTGTATTTCTGCTCCGTTAGTAAGGCCTTCTTTTTTTCTTTTCGCTTTAAAGGAAAAGCGCAAGCCTCTCTCTCTCCCTTTCAGTGTGTTGTGCAGGTGCGTAAACTTTGTTCCCCTGCCGCCGTCACGACCCCGCACACCCTTCCTCCCCTTCTTCTCTCTCTTCTCTAGCCGTTTGTGTCTTCTCGCCTCTCCCCTTCGCACATCGCTACAGTTTCCCCCTGAGAACACAACCCTCTCCCTCTCTCTCTCTGCGACATGATTCTCGGAGTCTTTCGATGAGGCGCAGAAATCCCAAAGAAGCAACGGCAACGTAATCAGAGGTATTCATTGAAGACCTCACACATTCACCACCTCCGTGTGTGACCGACGCGGCTACCGCTCCGTCCGCCTCCACGCCTCCCTTTTTTTTTTATTATTATCGCTTTATGCAGCTAAATGAGGACCGCCATGACTTTTGAAAAGGCGAAAGTCACCAACGCAGAAGCCACGCGGCGGCTGCACAGTGTGCCATTGCCCCTGCTGAGGGCGGTGGCGGCACAGCTCCAAGAGGAGCTCCAGCAGGAGCGTCTCGGTCTGCTGGCCGACCAACATGAATGGAGCAAGGTAACCAAGCGTGTTGCCGATGCCACGAAGGAGCTGGCAGCGGCACAGAAGTGCGCTGCGGCTCGCGAGCGGCAGACAGAAAAGGCGTTAGAATCTCTCGCTCGGACGGAGCAACTTCTCGCGGCGGCGGCGCACAAACGCACGGAGCTCGAGACCGCCATCGTGGCAATTCAGCGAGAGATTTCGCGCATCACAGCACCTTGCTCATCGCCAGCTGCGTCTGCCCGTAGCGTGCAGTTCCATCGCGACGGCGGCGCTCGCGCAGTGAATCCGCACTGCTCATCAAGAGAACGGCACCGCGACCTCTCATCGGATTCGGCTCCGATCCCGGTTGACGACCGAGCCAATCGTGCCGCTGCTGCGGCTCAGCAGGCGAATTACGCGCAGCAATGTGCTGCCGCGCAGTACAGGAAAGAGCAGCAGGTGCTTCAACTAGAGCGAGAGAATCGCGTGATGCAACACTGCGTCGAGGTGCTGCGCCGCGGCGATGCGTCCTCGGCGAGACTGTATCACACACTCGTTGCTGGCTCGAAAGAAACCCAACCAAATGCGCTCGAAGCATAGGCGCAGGGAAGCCAGCAAACGAACAGCATCAAGAAAAGCGGTGGAGAAGATAATAGTTTACAAGGAGCAGTCATAGCGCCTTAACGACAACTTTCGCTCTCTTTACCCTGTTTTCTGCTCCTGCTCCTTGTTCTGCCTTGTGGAAAGGAGGAAAGAACTCACGGGCGCCACTTTTTGTTGGATGCGTTTGTCGTAACCTCCCGCCCTCCTTTTCCCGCCGTTACGCGTTTTCGAGGTTTCACTCTTCGCGGCTTTTTGATTCTGTCGGCTTTCATGCGACTCCATTGCTTTTTGAATCTCGCTCTCTCCCTTTCTTCTTTTCTATACTGCGATTGTCTTCAACACTGTCGCGCAACACATCTTATTCTGGGGCCTGTAGAAAGCAAACCCACAATTGAAGACTGCTGTCTTCATGATGACCGACGAGCAGCAGAAAAAACCTGCGTCTGCATCCGAGACGATTCCTGACATCTTTGCTCGCTACCTGAAGGCGACGTCCGATGAGGAGAGGCAGGCCATTGTGCAGGCGCACCCGCCTCTGTTTGCGGGGCCGGTGATCCCTGCGCTACAAGAAGCGCGACGTCACTTCAGCGACACGCTTCGGGAGGTAAAAGAGGCATGTCGCATGATCGACGCCGTGTCCGGCAGCCTCGAGTACACCGGCACTCCCGTCGAACTCCAACCTAGGGAGGCGCAGTTGTTGCTCGACGAGGACACCCTACTCCACAGCTTCTCCACCTCGCTCGCCTCGTTGCTGGACGCGCGTGAGAAGCAGGGCACCGTTCTTCCCTCAGTTGCTGCAGAGGCGACGATGTCAGGTACGACGGCAGGGTCGTCTGCGCCCGCGTCGTCTTGTGCATGGGGTGCTGCATCGGGCTTGTGGTTTACCCAGCCGGCGATCGTGCTGGAAGTCTTGTCTTTTCTACCGACCGAGGTCGTTCTCGTGGAGGCCGAGAACGTGTGCCGACGGTGGCGAACGTGGCTGTTTGAGCCTGACGTGTCTCGCTTCTTTTGGGTCGGCTGCGTCCAGCGGGAGTTTCCGCGGCAGCTCGCGTTGCTTCTCCAGACCGAAGGCGAAGACCTGTTCCGGAGTGACTGGCGATCCTTGGCTATGCTTTGCGTCGCAGAGGAGGAGGATAAGGGAGGAGAGACGCGACCCGCAGCGGAACTGGAAGCGTAATGCTGTACGCCTCTCTCTTTTGTTTTTAAGTCTGAAAAGGAGTCGAGTATAACTAATGGAGGCGAATATGCCCACACTCCTTCGCTTTCCTGTTGATTTTTGTTTCGTATTGGGACCGCTTTCACGAGCGTTTCTGCATCACCGACCGCATTCGTTTACCCTACACGTTGTGACGTAGGCCGATGCAGTCCCCCAAAACGAGGTGATACATCTTGACGAGCCTTCAAAGAAGGCAAACATTCCACAGCCTCTTATACGGTCACGACGCGCTGCATTATCTTTGCACTGCAAGCCCAATTTAAGTCATCATGCATAGGCATTCTCTTTTTGTTTCTGTACTTCATGCTCCGAACTCTTTGCCAGAATTCTAGACGTCCTTCTTGTTCCCCTCTTACCCATTGCCACTTCCAACAAATACACACACACACACACATCCTTTGCCCTCTTCTTTTTTGTTGCTGCTCCTCTACCGCTTTACCACCGCTATTATTGAAACTGTACATTCAAAAGTTCAGATTCCAACGGTATTGCTTCATTGAAATCGCAATGTTCTCCGAGTTTTTTAGTCAGTTGGTGGCCGAGTTCGTCGGCACCTTTCTATTCGTGCTCACCATCACACTGGCCTCCATTGGCGTCGGCACTCTCGCCCCGCTGGCCATCGGCTTTATGCTCGCTGCAATGTGCTTCACCTTTGGCTACATCAGCGGTGCCCACTTCAACCCCGCCATCTCGTTTGCCGTTTTCATCAACCGCAAAATGACGCTGCGCCGCACTCTCTTTTACTTGTTCGTGCAGTTGGCCGGCTCCTTCTGCGCGTCTCTCTACGCGTCCATCATCGTAGGCCTCAACATCCCTGCACCGGAAACGAACGCGGATGTGCTGAACGTCTGGCAGGCACTGCTGTGCGAGATGGTCTACACCTTCGCCCTCACCTCCGTCGTCCTGCACGTCTGCTTCTCTCGACAGCGCACGAACGACTTCTACGGCTTCGCGATCGGCATGACGCTGACGGCGGCCGGCTTCGCGGTAGGCGGCTTCACGGGTGGTGCCTTCAACCCCGCGGTGGCCACCGGCATGCAGCTCGTTGCCTGCATCGGCGGTAAGTGCCGCCCTCTCATCTTCTTCTGGGTGTATTGGATTGCGCCGATTGGTGGAGCGTTCATTGCCACCGTTGTGTATCAGCTCCTCGACACGCACGAGCGCGTTCCGGTGCACATCGACAAAGAGGCGGTTTACTAAACGGCGCGCAGCAGAAAGTGTTTCGCCGTCCCTCTGTCTCCCGCGCTTTTCCTACCGCTTCTCTTTTACTCTGTCATGCCTCTCGTTTTGTTGCGTACTATACACTCGAAGCTGGTCAATAGCAACAACAACACGGCTACAAGTGATTGGCTCTCGTCGAACACACGGCGTTGCGGAAGCCTTCGTTGCTTCTGAGGAACTACTGCCCCCCTTCTCGTAGCTGCATGAATCGTAAAAAAGAAAGCTTCGATGCTGAAATTGCTGTGATCTGCGCTGTCTGTCCTGCCGCGCAGTTTTCGTGGCCCGTAGGAAGAAACGAGGCACCGGTGATAGCTCTGCGCGTATGCCTGCCCAACGTGCTTTCTCTGATTTCTCACGCGCCTCTCCAACGCTTCTCCTCTTTCGTCTTCTCCATATCTCCTGTCCCCTCCGTCGACCCCAACCGACAACAACAATAACAACAAAGGAAAACTGTCTGAGAAAGAACGAAACACATTCGAAACGGGTGGAAGGAAGCGATATCGGTGCGAGGACTGCGCGTTGTTCTCGTTCTCAAGCTCGTATTTCTTTATACTTTGCGACGCAGAAAAGGAAGGACTGTCGTATTGCCAATAACGAATTCTCACACGTAATTCTCTCGCGGCTGTGGTGCGTTGTTTTTTCCCTTTGGAACAGCGTTTTTCAAGGAAACACTACGCGAATCCGCGTGTAACCTTCGATCACACACGCTCAAAATTCTTCACCTACGATGGCCGAAAGCATCCCATTGAAGGTGCTGTTTGATGCGCTGCACCTGCCTGTTTCAATAGAGGTCGCCACGGGTGAGGTGTACCATGGCACGCTAGAAGATCTCCAAAACAACATGAATGTGCTTCTCAAGGACGCCACCAAAACCGTGCGCAACGGCACGGAGACGAAAATGGAGTCCGTCTTTGTGCGCGGCTCGAACGTGGTTTTTTTCCAGCTGCCCGACGCGTTGCAGACGAGTCCGGCGTTGCTGCGTGCGGGCGAGGTCGTGTCCAAGGCGAAGGACACGCGCGGCGAAGGGAAAGGCTTTGGTGCTGCTCGCAAGCGTCAGCGGTCGTAAGCGCCGAGTGCGTGCGGCGCTTGCGTGGCTACTTCTGTTGTCCTTGTTGGTATTCGTTTCAAACCGCGTTAGCTTCTGCTGTTTGCGTTGCATCTGCCGGCACGTCTGCGATCAAGTGTTTGTTGTGTGGCAGCAGCGAGTTGGTTTTTTTGGGTTTTGTTGTTGATGCGTGGGGTAATACTGTCCTGTGCCCGCGGCGCGTGCGTGCAGGTGCATTGGCACCGACTCTCGCGTGTTGTTCGGCTGTCAGACCAACGACGATGGAGCTTTTGCGAATTTGTTGAAGCGCTTGCACCAACCCTTCGGTGCAAGGAACCCCTTGTGAGAACTGTATGTTTGGCTTACGAATAAAGGAAAGGAAGGAACACAAGAACATGCGAGTAATGTGTTGCAGTTGATGGGCGAAAACGTCGCGATGCACTTGACGCTGCTCGCGTTATCGATGAGGTGGAAGAGCTTCAAAGAAGCCGTGACAGTCTTGCATGTTGTTTTTCTTTTGGCAGCAACGAAACCTTTTTTTTTCTTGTTGGGTGTTTCTTTTCTCACCGCAAGTAAGCGTGACGCAGCAGTGCGGAGCTGTTTTTAATGTGGTTGTCTGCGTTTGTGTGGGGGTTGCCTCCTCGACGTCCCACCGCCGCCTTTCCTTGGTTTCACCTTCTTCTCCCTGTCTTGACTCATCTCTTGTTTCATCTCCTTTATGTAACCTAGGTCATTTTACACCGACTTTAAGTGCGTTAAATCACGGCACAGAACACGACAGTAAGGTCAGACGTCCACCAACAACAAGCAAACGTGGTATTTACATGCACGGGAGCACGCGTCTTCCGTCACGCGGCGGCCAACGGCGCGGGATTGCTGCAAATAACGACGCAGCCACCGCCCGTGCAGCTCTCTTTACTTTCCACTCGTCTGCGCACAGTTCTAATTCAGTCCGACTTCCGAGTCTGACGCCCTCCGTCGTGACACCTCTCGTGGCTCCGCCCAGCAGTAGTGAGTTGAAGGAGGCCGCCGTGCACGCTGCCCGCCTTCGATACACGTCATCGCTCAAACGGAAGACGCGATCGGCTCTGAAGGACACCGCCTCCACCTCATCAAACCCTTCTTCAAGGCCGCCAACTTTGGGCTCGGTGGAGCCGGTGAGGAGCTCTGCAGCTGAAAAACGAACTTCGTCTGCTTCTCCTTCCCCGCAGTGTTGCGTCATCGAAAGCGGTGCGACGCCGCGCTCCTCTAGCAGTCTCGAAACTTTAATGAAGAATCAGCAGTATGCGGAGCTCTACTTTGTGTTATCCACACTCCTTCCGATCACGTCGCGCCGGCTTCTGAAGGACGACGCACACACCTTGCGCATCTTGGGCTACCGCGCCATTTGCTCGTGCGCGCTTCTCCGTTATAAGGAAAGCGCTGAGGATGGCATGGCGTGCCTTGACATTCGCCGGCGACTGCACGAAGTGGGCTGTGCGGTTTCCAGCGGGGATGATCAGCGGCTCAGCGTACAGGTGGACGAGTGCGTCATGCGTGCCTTGGTCATGGGTGAACGCTACGAGGAGGCGGATAAGGTGGCGAGTTTCTTGCTCAGCACGTCGTCTCCTCCGTTTTGTGGGGCCGGCGGGGAACATCTTGCAGCTGACGGCCCCACCACCTCCATGTGGCAAAGCGCGATCCCGCACATAAAGCGTTTCCGCGGTGCGGTGGTGGCCCATCAGTGGCGGGACGCGCTGGCGGTGATAGACAGCGAAGAGTCAGGCACATCAGACGCGCGTGCGTGTTTGCGGGCGAGTCCGCTGTGTGCGATGCTCGCCTTTGTGCACCTCGAGTCCGGCCACCCCATGACCGCGCGGGCGTTGCTGCTCGCCTACTTGGCCGATCTGCCGGAGCCACCAATGTGGGAGGTGATGCTGACGGCGCCGTCGGAGCACGGGCAGCTGTGGGACAGCTTCCGCTCCCACTACGTCTTCGCCACCACGCTGCTGGCCAAGGCGTCGGTCATGTCGGGCAGTGCGTATTTGAACATCGCCGCGGCTCTGCTGCAGCGCTGCCTACGCGTGTTGCCTCTTTACACCCCTGCCCGTCTGCTCGCTGAGTTCGTGCTGTCGTACGAGGCCCAGCAGGAGCTGTTGGAGACTGCCGTGTCCGCACAGGACTTCCCCGCTGCTCTCCACCTCTCCGCCCGCATGCTTGCGATGCCGGAGGTGAACCCGGCGTTGCAGGCAGAGGTATACCTGGCGCGGACGCAGATCCAGTGGCTGCGTTGTCTGCCACTGGAGGTGGTACGTGAGGCGTCACAGTGCGTCGCGGCTGATCCGGCGTGTGCACTGGCGTTGCGGCTGCGCGCCGATGCCTTGGAGGCGATGGATCAGGGAGCGGAGGCGGTGGCCGACAGAGCCGCTGCGAGGCATCTGAACGCCAACGTGGAGGCGGCGTACGCGCAGTTGCAGGCGCAGCGGCAGCGGTACGACGCGGCGCAGAGGGTAGCCGCCTCGCAGCGGCGTTCATTTACAGCGTTCGCCGCTGCCGCGCCGACCGCTTCACATCGGCCGGACCACCTGTGGGGCGCGTCAGACAGCGGCACTCACACCAGCCCCCATGCTGCGGATGCGGGCTTTCGGTGTGCTCGCGCCAAAACAGATTCGGAGGATCCCCCGTCCCCCTCGCCTTTACAGACTTCCGCTGCCTGTTCTGAGCCGACGCACTACGCCATTCTTGGTGTGCCGCGTCACGCAACGTTGAGTGAGATTCGTCAGCGCTACCGTCATCTCATTCTGCAATGCCATCCCGATCGGCTTGTCAACGCATCCGCCGAGAGCCGTCAGCAAGCGGCGGAGGAGTTCAAGCGGGTAAGTAATGCGTACAGCGTGCTCTCCGACGCAGAGCAACGCCGCGACTACGATGCAACTGTGCACCCCTTCATTTAGCGGTCGCAGGCGCAGAACGGGTGTGTTTTTTCTACATGTACATAGGGGAGTTTCCCGTTTCTTGTTGTGCTTTGGAACTGTTTTTGCCGTGCAGCTTCTTTTTCGCAGCTCTATTTCGCTCGCTTTCTTGGAGTTCCCTCCTCCATGCTGCAGAAAACACACCCGCATACACCACCACCACCAAAAATCTGCGGCAGTTATGTGCGCTAGGCATCTTCGCTGTCGTCTTCATTCCCCAAATCGTGGTGGTACGTTATGGCAACAACGAATCAAAAGGCAGAACTGTGATGTTTCCCCATGCGCAGATGTTGTCGCAGGTAGCTTCTCCCCTCTCCCTCTCCACTTTTCCCTCTTGCCTGCTGCTCCTCTCTCCATACCTTCACTTGACATCTCTGAAAGCTACGCTCCACCAAACGGACGTAGGCCACATCACGGGTCTTTCTTTCTGCCTCGAGGCGTAACAAAAGAAACAAGCCACGCCGACTCGGCAAGCAGAGACGGAGCCTTTTTTTTTGCTTCGCTTCAACTCGCTTTGTTTTGTTTTCCTTCTCTCCCTCTTCGCCTTCTTTCTGTTCATCTGAAAGGGTTTTTTCTCTTCTGTTCTTTTTTAAAACTTTCAGATGTTACAAGGAGCCGAAGTGGACCCACGCCTTGCGTGGGTCGCGGAGCAAATCCGCAACAACATGTACGGCGTGACTCCCGCCTCGTTCGAAGATCTCTTCCTCGATGCGCAGGGCGTGCGCACCATCTTAGAAACCTTCGAGGACCTCGACAGCGCCCTGCGGGTCTCCTTTGTCATTGTGGCCCGCGAGAAGGAGTACGTGGGGGCGCTGGGCAGTGCGGTCCCTTTCCTCGCTGCGACACCGGGGAGCCGCCTTCACGACGGCGGGCACACGGCGCAGAAGCTGCGTGTGTCCTCCGGCGTGGTGCACAACGCGAATATCACCTGCTCCGCCCTCTCCGTGCCCGACCACAGCCGCTGCCTCTACTTTGTCCGGACGGACCACATCGACATCTCCGCCGAGGCCGCCGCAGATTGGGCAACGAACCCCGCCAACCCGATCCACTCCGCCTTTGAGATGTCGGGCATGCCAGTGCCGTCGCTGAACTCCTTTTACGTACTGCTCATGGACGTCTTCGAGCCAGTGCTGCAGGACATGGAGCAGGCTGCGGGCAAGCGGAAGACACTGATGGCGCTTGCGGTAAACGGCGGGGCGAACGGTTCTCCCGCGCCGCCGGATGCGGAGGCCGCCAGCGGAGGTGGTGCCATCAGCGTCAGCACCGACGCGGCTGCGGATGGCGTCACGGCGATCGGGAACAGCCGCCAGCTCTACAGCGAGATCCACCTCTGGATCAACCGTCTTGGCACGCAGCTTGGTGGTTTCATGGACCAGGTCAGCGCCGAGCGCAAGCTCCCCATTCCGCAGGAGTTATACGCGCTGGAGGACACGGAGTCCGAGCTGCAGGCGGCACTCGGCAACAGGGACGTCTTGCGCCAGGTGGACGCGACCGTGTCGCAGTGGCAGGCCGAGATCAGTTATGCCATGTCACTCGAGCCACAAAAGGAGGGTCCGCTGGGCGAGATCGAATACTGGCGCGAGCGCTACAGCACGATCAGCGCCCTGTACGAGCAGCTGAACTCATCACAGGCCAGGTTTGTGTTGAAGGTGGCAAAGGAGGGGGAGTGCACGTCGGCCACCATGATCGCCTCGACGATAACGCAGTTCTTTCGCATGTACGCAGAGGCCAAAGACAACGTCAAATTTCTTGGCACCCTCGACCGCCACTTCCGCACTCTGAACTCCATCGACCCAAAGAACGGCTCGTTGCAGCCCCTCATTGACACGATCTCCCCGATGGTGACGGCGCTGCGCATGGTGTGGATCATCTCCCGTTACTACTCCACCGAGGAGCGGATGGTGGGGCTGCTGGAGAAGATTTCGCGGCTCATCGCGCAGAAGGTGAGTGAGCACATCGACTTTCGCACCGTGCTGGGACTGCCTCCGGAGGAGACGAAGGCGAAGGTCCAGGCGGGACAACAGTGCTTGCTCAAGTGGAAGGCCGTGTACAAATTTGTGCAGGCGGAGATCAACAACTCCGAGAGCGAACAGCACTGGACCTTTGACGAGCGCCGCCTCTTCGACGTTACCGACTACATGTCGGACCGCTGTATTGACCTGCTCGAGGTGATCGAGACGGTGGAGTACTACACAACCGTTCTCAGCGCACAGCTGAAGACGGTGCTCACCGACACCACCAGCATCGAGCGCATTTTGAAGGACGTTGAAAAGCTGAAGCGCCCTTTCGAAACGCTAACTTTCGACCCCTTCGAGAAGCGGGCGACGCACAACTGGCAGGTCGTCTTCTCCGGCTTTTTGACTGCTGTCACCAGCCTCGACCACGAGGTGTCCCTCTTCATCAACCGCATCTTCGACGACGACCTGCGCAGCGCGGAGTCAGCCTTTGAGTTGCTCGTGTCCTTCAAGAAGATCCGGCGGCGCCCCGACCGCACCGGCAACTCGCTCGACATCTCAGCCCTGCTGTCCGAAAAGGCCGACCGCATTCTGGCGCAGTTCTTCGCCGAGATCGAGAACGTGCAGCGCATCTTCCAAGAGAACAAAGACCACCCGCCACTCACGAAGAACCAGCCGCCGGTGGCCGGCTCGATTCACTGGAGCATGTCCCTCTTCCAGCGTCTCAAGAAACCGATTCTGCGCTTTCAGCACGAGGGTATGCTGAAGACGGCGATGGGCCAGCAAGTCAAGGCGAAGTACGTGGAGACGTCGCGGCAGATGAAGGAGTACTCCACCGCGCGCTTCCTGCAGTGGCGGGAGCAGGTGCGAGTGCCGGCGCCGGCCTCACTCAAGTGGAATATACTGCGCGCGGAGTCGGACGGGACGTACAAGGTCAACTTCAACTGGCAGATCTTCGACATGATTCGCGAGACCAAATATTTGGATCGGCTTGGGTTTGAGATGCCGAAGGAGGTGCTGCACATCACGTTGCAGGACGAGGCCTACCACGGCTACGTCGACGCGCTGAATGGGATGCTGGTCAGTTTCAATTACGAGCTGGGCGCCCTTGCCGGGCCGGAGCTGGCGATTCTGGCCGCGGAAGTGCGCGAGCTTAAGCAGGCGCTGGAGCCGGGATTTCACGACATTAACTGGACGAGTCTCTCCATTCCTGAGTTCGTGAACAACTGCCAGCGGGCCATCACCAAGTTCCGCAACTTGAGCCGCGAGGTCCGCAAGAGCGCGGATGGGCTGCAGACGCAGGTGGTGCACGCGATCGCCTCGACGCGGCTGATGCCCGAGTACGAGGAGCTGCTCCAGGCGGGTGGCGAGCTGCCGGAGCTGCAGACGCTCGTCGACATCATGGAGCACCGCCGTGTGGACCAGCTGGAGCGCTGCATGCGTGCCTACCGCACCGCCAAGCCGCTGCTCACCAAGATGGAGAGTCAGCTAGTCGGCACGCACACTGGCAAGTGCACCATTCTCGCTTCGTACTACAGCCACTGGGAAGTGCGCATTTGGCGGGCGCTGACGCAGATGGTGCTGCGGTCGCTCGCCACCTTTGCGAAGCTCGTCGGCTACACGACCTCGTCGCGCAGCTATGCTCGTCGGCCCCCGCTCTTCAAGGTCACCGTGCTCCTGACCAGCGAGCCGACCTACACGCCGCAGCAGCAGGAGATCACAACCGCGTTTCACAAGATTCAGTCCGGCATCATCGAGACGACAAAGCACTTCCAGCGGTGGATGCGTGGGACCTGTTTGGAGTTCACGCAGGGTGAGATCATTCCCCGGCCCGCCGAGGAAGACTACGCGACCCTGTTCACCTACTACCAGGACATCTGCGGCCTCCCGCAGGTGTACAAGCTCCAGGCGCTGATTAACCGCACCATTCAGACCCACCTCGGCGCGCTGGCGACCAACATCAAGATGCTGCAGCGCTACCGCTTTGTCTTTTTGGCGGACAAGAAGATCTCGGTTGAACAGCAGGCGAAGAGTCAGCTGCAGTGGATCGATTACGATGCGAAGTTTCAGCTGTACTTCAACATGATCCACGACTTCGACGAGGAGAAGCACATCAACGACTTTGGATTCATGCGGTGCGACGAGACACCCTTCTACACGGAGCTGGTGGACCAGGTGTACCAGTGGGTCGCGATGGAGGGCGCGCAGCTCAACGACACAGTGCGGGCGCGCATGACGGCGATGTACAATAACATCCGCAAAATCAACGAGGACCTGGCGCGGCCGTGCGACAACATCGCCGACCTGAAGGCGGTGCTGGAGGTGATGCACAGCGCCCGCACGTCCTCGCTGACGGTGGAGCAGGCGATCAAAGAAATGGAATATGTATATAGTTCTCTCCAACACTTTGGCGTCGCCCTGGATCCCGAGGAGGTGAAACTGGCGATGAGTCTGCAGGACATGTGGTCGTGCTCGCTGGCACGGGTGCACCAGACCGGCGTCGCGCTGGAGCCGCGCAAGGTGCAGTTCCGTGAGCTGACCGTGAAGGAGGTGGAGAAGTTTTTGAACGAGGGGGCGAAGGTGCTGGGCGAGTTCCGCCGCTCCGGCCCTGGACGCGCGGACATAGACCTGGCGGAGGGCAACGAGTCGAAGAAGCAGTGGCGGCAGCGCCTGACGGAGCTGCAGGTGCGGCGCGAGCAGCTCACAAAGGCGGAGAAGCTCTTCGATCTCCCCCTGACGAGTCACACGTCGCTGCAGCAGCTGAACGAGGAACTGGCCAAGATCGAGACGGTGTACGACCTGTACGAGCAGTGGATGGGCGACCTCCGCCGGTGGAACCGCAGCAGCTGGAAGGATCTCCTGCTGCCCGACCTGGAGGCCACCACGGAGGAGCGGGCGAAGCAGGCGCGCATCCTCAGCAAGCACTACGGCACCGTGGAGCCGTTCCCCGGCGTGCAGCAGCTCATCATCAACTTCCAGAACTCGCTACCGCTGCTCGCGAAGCTGAAGAGCCCGGCGTTGAAGGCGCGGCACTGGACGGAGCTGATGCGGGCCACCGGGAAGGACTTCAACTACGAACAAATCAACCTCGACGAGCTCATCGCGATGGAGCTCTTCCGCTTCAGCGACGAGGTTGACCACGTTGTGCTGGCCGCAGCACGCGAGCAGGGCATCGAACAAGAGATCCGCGCCATCAAGCAGTACTGGGCGGAGAGGAGCTTCTCGCCCGTGCCGTACGCCCCGCGCAAGGGGCATCCGCGGTGCGACGTGCTGACGGACACGAGCGAGATTCAAGAGGCCGTCGACGACAACACGCTCAAGATGCAGTCCATCGCGAACGTCAAGTGGGCGCAGCCCTTCATCGACGAGGTGAAAATGTGGGAGCGGCGGCTGTCGATCATGAGCGACGTGCTCTCGGTCTGGGTGACGGTGCAGCTGAAGTGGCAGTACCTGGAGTCCATCTTCAAAGGCAACGAGGATATCGTGCAGCAGCTGCCGAAGGAGGCGGCGAAGTTCAACGACCTCGACAAGAAGTTTGTGCGCATTATGAACGATACGAGCGCCGCGCCAAACGTAAGCCAGTGCTGCAACGTGGCCGGTCGGCTGGAGGAGCTGCGCTACCTCGAAGAGAAGCTTGAGGAGTGCCAGAAGGACTTGTCGAATTACCTAGAGACGAAGCGCCGTCTCTTTCCCCGATTCTACTTCATCTCGGACGACGAGCTGCTTTCCATCCTCGCCACCAGCAGCGCCAAGGCGGTGCAGGACCACATGCTGAAGATGTTCGACAACTGCGCCCGGCTGATTTTCAAGAGCGAGCGGGATGAGACGATCTGCGGCGTGGAGTCGCAGGAGGGGGAGCGGCTGGACTTTGGCACGGTGGTCAAGACGGAGGGCCGGCCGGTGGAGGAGTGGCTGCAGGCCGTCCTTGACGAGTCGAGGCAGACGCTGCACGACATCCTCAAGGCTGGTGTCTTCTACTACCCCAAGATGCCGCGGCTGGAGTGGGTGAAGCAGTATCACGGAATGGTCACCCTGACCGGCGCGAAGATCTTCTGGACCTACGAGGTGGAACACGCGTTTGAGCAGCTCAAGAAAGGCAAGCGCAGCGCCGTCAAGGAGCTATCCGGGGCCCTCAGCCGCCAACTCATCGACCTCGTCGCGGAGATGGACAAGGACATGGAGAAGCAGTACCGCAAGAAGATCAACACCCTGATCATCGTCGACGTTCACGGGCGCGACATTGTGGATCGCTTCGTTCGGGACTCCGTTACCGACGCCAGAGAGTTTGATTGGGAGTCGCAGCTGCGCTTCTACTGGGAGCGCGCGGTGGACACGTGCACGATTGCGCAGTGCACCGGCCGCTTCAACTACGGCTTCGAGTACATGGGGCTGAACGGGCGCCTCGTGATCACCCCGCTCACGGATCGCTGCTTCATGACGCTCACGCAGGCGCTGACCTTCTGCCTCGGCGGCGCGCCGGGCGGTCCGGCCGGTACGGGCAAGACGGAGTCGGTGAAGGACCTGGCCAAGGCCATGGCGATTCAGTGCGTCGTCTTCAACTGCGGTGAGGGCCTCGACTACAAGGCGATGGGGACCATCTTCTCGGGACTGTCACAGGCCGGCTCGTGGGGATGCTTCGACGAGTTCAACCGCATCGAGCTGCCGGTGCTCTCCGTCGTGTCCGAGCAGCTGCGCTCGATTCAGGCCGCGCTGCGTGCCGGCGACAAGGAGTTTCTGTTTTGCGACAGCGTTATCCGGCTGGTGCCGACCGTCGGCACGTTTATCACCATGAACCCGGGCTACGCCGGTCGTGTGGAGCTGCCCGACAACCTCAAGGCACTCTTCCGCCCGGTGGTGATGGTGGTGCCGGACATGGAGCTGATCGCGGAGAACATGCTGTTCTCCGAGGGCTTCACGACCGCGCGCGAGCTGGCGCGCAAGATGGTGACGCTGTACTCCCTCGCGAGGGGGCAGCTGTCGAAGCAGCACCACTACGACTGGGGCCTGCGCGCACTCAAGGCGGTGCTGGTGATGGCCGGTCAGCTGAAGCGCGGCTCGCCGGAGCTGTCGGAGGAGTCGGTGCTCATGCGGGCTCTGCGTGATATGAACGCGCCGAAGTTCATCGCGCAAGACGAGCCGCTTTTCAAAGGGCTGATGGGCGACCTCTTTCCGGGTCTTGACCCGACCCGTGTGCCGCAGGAAAACCTCGCGAAGGCGAGCACGAACGTGCTGAGGGAGTGCGGCTTTCAGATCAATTCGAAGCAGATCGACAAGGTGGTGCAGCTGTACGAAACCATGCAGACGCGACACACGTCGATGGTGGTGGGCCCCACCGGCGGCGGCAAGTCGACGGTGATTGACACGCTGTGCAAGGCGCAGACGGAGCTCGGCCTCCCCACCAAGTCCTTCGTGATCAACCCGAAGGCGCAGCCCACGTCGGCGCTGTACGGCATGATGGACCCGATGACGCGCAACTGGACGGATGGCATTTTCTCGAACATATTCCGCAACATCAACCGGCCCGCCGAGGGCACGCAGCGCGAGCGGCGCTATGTCATTTTTGACGGCGACGTGGATGCGAAGTGGGTGGAAGACATGAACTCCGTGATGGACGACAACAAGCTTCTCACGCTGCCAAACGGCGAGCGTATTCGCCTGCACTCGCAGTGCTCGCTGCTCTTCGAGGTGGGCGACCTGCAGTATGCTTCTCCTGCGACCGTGTCTCGTGTGGGCATGGTGTTCCTCGACCCTATTAACCTTGGTTGGCGGCCGTACATGCACGCGTGGAAGCTGACGCGGCCGCGCGACGAGCAGGAGACACTGGAAGAGCTCGTAGAGCAGTTTGTGCCCCCCCTCATCGCCTTCATCTTGGATGGCACGACGAAGGAGGCGACGCTGTCGACGCCGCCGAAGCTTGTGATCCCGACGCAGGCGCTGAACATGGTGAGGCAGCTGACAACGATGCTGCACACCGTCTCGCCAAGCGCCACCTCGCTGGAGCCCCGCACGCTGCAGGCGGTCTTCATCTTCGCCTGCGTGTGGAGCTTCGGTGCCCTCATCAGCACCCCGGCGGACCGCCTCCGCTTCGACACGCTGCTGAAGCGGCTCAGCGGGTGGTCGCTGCAGGACGTTGGCGACAACTTCCTCACGCGCTTCGTCGGCTCCGGCTCGCTGCCGGAGAAGCGCACCCTGTACGACTACTACTTCGACCTGCAGGACAGCCGCTGGAAGCCGTGGAACGTGCTGGTGAAACCGTTCGTGCGCACGCCCGGGCAGCCCTTCAGCTCGCTGCTCGTCTCGACTGTCGACACAGAGCGCAACATGTGGCTGCTGAACAAGATTGTGCTGAACCGCACCCCGGTCATGTTCGTCGGCGAGAGCGGCACTGCCAAGACGGTGACAATCCAGTCATACTTGCAGCTGCTGAAGTGGCGGTCTCTGCATGGTGACGACAATAACACGGAGGCTAGTGGCGAGACGCTGGACAACGACGAGGACGTGCATCTGGAGGCGATGCTGCTCGAGATGAACTTCAGCTCCCGCACCACCTCGCTCGATGCGCAGCGCACGATGGAGGACAACATCGAGAAGCGCACCAACACCGTCCTCGGCCCCCCCGCCAAGAAGCGGCTCATTGTGTTTGTGGACGACATCAACATGCCCAAGGTGGACCTGTACGGCACGCAGCAGCCCATTGCCTTCCTGAAGCTGCTCATTGAGCACAACTCGTGGTACGACCGCAAGGACCTGCTCTTCAAGAGCGTACGGGATACGCAGTTCGTTTCGGCCATGGCGCCGCCCGGCGGTGGCCGCAACGCGCTTGATCCTCGCTTCGTCTCCCTCTTCACCGTCTTCAACATTCTCTTTCCCGAGGATGAGTCGATCCACACCATTTATCAGCAGATTCTCGCGGACGCGTACAAGACGATGCCGGTCGAGGAGGGCTTTTCAACCATCATCACGTCGATGACGCTGCAGCTCTATCAAGAGCTCGTCACTGCCCTGCCTGCGACGCCGGCCAAGTTCCACTACATCTTCAACCTGCGCGACCTGTCGCGCGTGTACGAGGGGCTGTGCCGCGCCACGCCTGCGAAGTTCCCCACACCCGGCTCGATGGTGCGTCTGTGGCGAAACGAGGTGACGCGGGTGCTGGTGGACCGCATGGCGGACGAGGACGACAAGGCCTTTGTGTGCGAGATCATTGAGAGGCAGGTGTTGCAGAACTTTCCAAAAGATCAGGCAGCCATCCTGGCAGACCCACTCTTGCTGGGCGACTTTGGCGACTTCGAGCCCGACAGCTCCTTTGACCCACTGCACATCTACGAAGACTTTGGCCCGTCCTACAGCCGCCCTCGTGAGCTCGTCGAGGCGATCATGGAGGAGATGAACACCCCCGTCAAAAAGATCGACTTGGTGATGTTCGACATGGCGCTGGAGCACCTGCTGCGCATCACACGTGTCCTCTCGTTGCCGCGCGGACACTGCCTGCTCGTCGGCGTGGGTGGCAGCGGGAAGCAGTCCCTAACGAAGCTGGCCGCCTCGATCTGCAAGATGGGTGTCTTCGAGATTGTCCTGGCGCGCAACTACGGCGAGGACGCCTTCCGCGAAGACCTCAAGAAGCTCTACCAGCGCGTGGGTGTGCAGCGGGAGAAGATGATCTTTCTGTTCATGGACGGACACGTCAAGGAGGAGGGCTTCCTGGAGCACATCAACAACCTGCTGGCCTCCGGCATGGTGCCGGCGCTCTTCACCGAAGAAGAGAAGGAGCCCCTGTACACGAGCGTGGCGGAGGAGGTCGAGGCGGCCGGTCTCGCGCCGTCGAAGGACAACAAGTGGACCGCCTTCATCGCACGCTGCCGCGACAACCTGCACGTGGTGCTTTCCATGAGCCCGTCCGGCGACGCCCTGCGCACTCGCTGCCGCAACTTCCCCAGCCTCATCAACAACACGACCATCGACTGGTTCCAGAAGTGGCCCGCGCAGGCGTTGGAGGCGGTGGGCCGGAAAGTCCTTGCGGAGGAGACGCTGCCGGAGGAGCTGCGCACACCGATTGTGGAGCACATGGTGCTGGTACACCTGACGGCCGACAAGCTGTCGAGTCAGTACCAGAACGAGCTGAAGCGGCACAACTACGTGACACCGAAGAACTACCTCGGCTTCCTGGCGAACTACGCGAAGCTGCTCGTGACGCGGCGCGAGGACATTGATGACCTGGTCAAGAAGTTCACCATCGGCCTGGAGAAGCTGCAGCACGCCGAGTCGGAGGTGAAGGTGATGAAGGAGGAGCTGGCTGAGAAGGAGATTACGCTGCGCGAGAAGCAAGAAATCAACGGCAAAATGACGAACGAGATCAAGGAGCAGAAGCAGACGAACGAGACACGCAAGGAGGAGTCGCTGAAGATGGAGGAGGAGCTGAACATTCAGAACGCTGAAATCGAGAAGGAGTCGGCCGAGGCGCAGGTGGTACTGGAGCAGGCGATGCCGGCCCTGGCTGAGGCGATGGAAGCTGTCCGGCACATCGATCCGAAGAGTATCACGGAACTGCGGTCGTTTGCGAAGCCGTCGGTGAACGTGGTGGCGGTGGTGCGCATGGTGTGCGTCGTGAAGGGCGTACCGGCGACGTGGGAGTCGGGCAAGATCATGATGGGCCAGGCGGACTTCATTCGCTCGCTGGTGGACATCGACACCCTCACCCCGACGCTGACGCAGGCCAAGATGAACGAGATCAACAAGATTCTGAAGGAGTTCCCGGTCAACTCGAACGACCTCAAGAAGGTCAGCATAGCCGCCTCGGGCCTCATGATTTGGGTGGAGGCGATGAAGCAGTACTGGAACGTGGCGAAGGAGGTGTTTCCAAAGCAGGAGCGCGTGCGCCAGCTGCAGAAGCAAAAAGAGACGGCGGAGCTGCAGCTGCAGGCCTGCCGCGACGAAATCGACCGCCTGACAGAGAGCCTGCACCGGCTGGAGCAGCAGCTGGAGGCCGGCATGGCCGAGGCGCGGCAGCTGCAGGAGGAGAAGCAAGTGATGGAGCGCCGCCTCAACGCGGCCCACAAGCTCATCGACGGCTTCAGCTCGGAGCGGAAGCGGTGGACGGAGGAGAAGGCGTCGCTGAGTGCGTCGCGCAGCCGCCTGGTTGGAGACTGCCTTGCCGGGGCTGCCTTTCTGTCGTACCTCGGTGCGTTCACCTATCCCTACCGACAGGAAGCGCTGGAGAACATGTGGCTGCCGGACCTGCGCGAGCGTGGCATCCCGCTGACGGAGCGCTTCGATGTGCGGCACCTTCTCACGGACGACGTGGCCGTCTCGCAGTGGGCCAGCGACGGCCTGCCCTCGGACGCGCTGTCGGTGCAGAACGGTATTTTGACATCGGTGAGCACCGACTACACGGGCAAAGGCAAGCGCTCCGGCAAGATCCGCTTCCCCCTCTGCATCGATCCACAGATGCAAGCCGTAAGCTGGATCAAGCGGCAGCATCAGGGCAACCCGCGCTTCGAGACCGCCACCTTCAGCGACCCCGACTTCTTGAAGAAGCTTGAGTTCTCCATTCAGTATGGCAACCCCTTCCTCTTCGAGAACGTGGACGAGTTCATTGACCCGATCATCGACTCCGTGCTCGATCCGCAATTCCGCTACGAGTCCGGCCAGCGGCTCATTCGCATCGGCGACAAGGACATCCCGTGGGACGACAACTTCAAGCTCTACTTGTGCACGAAGCTGCCGAACCCCAACTACGCCGCGGAGGTCTTCGGCAAGACGCTCGTGCTGAACTACGGCGTCACCGAGGACGGCCTTGAGGCGCAGCTGCTGAACTACGTAGTGGCGAGCGAGCGCAGCGACTTGCAGCGGCAGAGCGAAGAGCTGGTGCAGACGATGGCGGAGAGCCGCGCACAGCTGAAGGAGCTGGAGGACACGCTGATCCGCGAGCTGACGCTGGCCACCGGCAACATACTCGACAACGACGACTTAATTGCCACGCTCGGCAACACGAAGAGCAGCGCTACCGAAGTGGCGCAGAAGCTGCAGCAGGCGCAGAAGACCGCCCAGACGACGGAGGAGTCGCGCCAGCAGTACCGGCCAGTCGCGAAGCGTGGCGCGGTGTTGTACTTCATCATTTCACAGCTGTCGGCGATCAACTCCATGTACGAGTACTCCCTCTCCGCCTTCCTCTACGACGTTTTTGGCTACTCCATCACCAAGAGCGACGCCTCTTTTGAGATTCAGGACCGCCTGCGCAACATCATTCAGACGCTCACGTACAACTTATACTCGTATGTCTGCATGGGCATCTTCGCCAAGGACAAGCTGATGCTGTCGTTCCAGATGGCGGTGCGGCTGCTGGGTCAGGACGGCCGCATGCTGCAGCACGAACTCGAGTTCTTCCTGCGCGGCTGCGTGCTCGCGTCGAAGAGCTTCCCGCCGAACCCGGCAACGTGGCTGACGGAGCGGCAGTGGAACGATGTCTGCAAGCTCTCCACCAGCATTGAGGCTTTTGAGCACCTCGCCGAGGACGTGGCGGAGCACCTGGAGGAGTGGCAGGCGTGGTCGGCGCTTGACCGACCGGAGGAGTCGGAGAGCAATGCGATTCCCTGCGGCTACTCTGCCAAGGTCAGCGAATTCCAGATTTTGTGCTTGCTGCGCTGCTTCCGGTCGGACCGCGTGTACGGCGCCGTCACCAACTTCATCTCCAACTGCGACCTGCTGGGCGAGCAGTTCGTCGTGCCGCCGATTCTGCGCTACAAGGAGGTGCTGGAGAAGAGCTCGTCCATGTCGCCCATCGTGTGCGTTGTCTCGCCGGGTGCGAACCCGACGGACGAAATTGTGAAGCTCGCGACGAAGGAAGTCGGGCTGGACAAGCTGCGCTCTATCGCGCTCGGACAGGGCCAGGGCGATGAGGCGATGAAGCTGGTGGAGGTGGGTGCGACGCGTGGCCACTGGGTGCTGCTGCAGAACTGCCACCTGCTCAGTGCGTGGATGAAGGACCTGGAGAAGGTGATGGAGAAGATGGACGCCACGCAGGTGCACGAGCAGTTCCGACTTTGGCTGACGACCGAACCGAGCGCGCAGTTCCCGATGGGCATTCTGCAGCGGTCGCTGAAGGTGGTGAATGAGCCGCCGAACGGGCTGAAGATGAACATGAAGAACACCTTCTCGAAGGTCACGGAGGACCAGCTGGATGTGTGCCCGCACTGGGCCTTCCGCCCCCTCGTCTTCACCCTCGCCTTCTTCCACGCCGTGGTGCAGGAGCGCCGCAAGTACGGCAAGATCGGCTGGAACGTGACCTACGACTTCAACGAGACGGACTTCTCGGTGTCGATGCGGCTACTAGACACGTACTTGACCAAGGCGTACTTGAACAAGGACCCCCTGCCGTGGGACACGCTGCGCTACCTCGTCGGGGAAGCCATGTACGGCGGCCGTGTGACGGACGGCATGGACCGGCGCATCGTCACGACGTACCTCGAGGAGTACTTCGGCGACTACCTCTTTGACACCTTCCAGCCCTTCCACTTCTTTGTAGAGAAGGGTGTGGTGGACTACTGCCTACCGCCCGGCAGCACGGACCCGGACAAGAAGGTCACGCTGACGCAGATGGTGGCGCTGGTGGATTCGTTCCCCAACACGAACGCGCCGGATGTCTTTGGCCTGCACCCCAACGCCGAGACCGGCTACCTGCGGCACTCCACCGAGACGCTGTGGTCGAGCCTGATGGAGCTGATGCCGCGCGCCAGCGCCGTCGCCGTCGGAGAGGAGACTCGCGAGGTGAAGTTGACGCGGTTTACGGAGGAGATCCTCGCACAGATCCCGGAGCCGTTTGACATAAAGGTCGTGTCGCGCAAGGAGGTGGAGCGGGCCGCGGCGAGCGGCTACGACGCCGTCCAGCCGACGCAGGTCGTGCTGCTGCAGGAGATCGAGCGATGGAACATTCTTGTGAACGCCATGACGACTTCGCTGAAGGAGCTGCAGAAGGCGCTGGCGGGTGTAATTGGTATGAGCGGGGAACTGGACGAGCTGGCCTCTGCGCTGGACAACGGCCAGCTGCCGCAGCCGTGGCGCCGCTACGCCCCCGCGACGCGCAAGAACCTCGGCCGGTGGATGGCGCACTTTCAGCGCCGCTACAAGCAGTACTTGTCGTGGAGCATGGACGGCGAGCCGAAGTGCATGTGGCTCTCGGGGCTCATGGTGCCCGACTCCTATCTCTCCGCGCTGGTGCAAGTGACGTGCCGCAAGTACGTGTGGCCGCTCGACCGCTCCACCATCATGACCACCGTCACCTCCTTCGCCTCCGCGGACGATGTGACGGCGGCCCCGGAGGACGGCGCGTACGTGAGCGGGTTTTTCCTGGAAGGTGCACGCTGGGATTCGAGCACGCACGCCTTGGCCGCGCAAATGAAGAAGCAGCTGATTGCGGAGATGCCGGTGTTGCAGATCGTGCCGACGGAGTCGTCGCGAGTGAAGACGGTGGGCACCTTCAAGACGCCGGTGTACGTGAACGGCGATCGTCGCAACGCTGCCGGTGTGGGCCTAGTGTTCATGGCTGACTTGCCGTCAAAAATGCACCCCTCTTTGTGGGTGTTGGAGTCGGTGGCGCTGCTGCTGGACTCTGATGATTGAGAGCGAGACAGCTTCTCTTTTCTTTACTTCGCCTTTTGCTTGGCGCTGCTGTTGGCCGTTGCATACGCTTGTCTTTTCCCTTCTATTTTAACGTGTGCTTGTTAAAGGCTTTTTCTGAGACTGAGTGCTGAGTCGTTTGTAGAGAATTACTTGATTACAGTTGATGGCTCTTTTGCTTAACGGTGATTAGATCCTTTCTTTCCCGCGCTGTGTCTGCGTGAGTGCTTGCCAGAGTGCGCTTCATTTGATCTACTATTTTCAGCGTTGGCCAGTGGGTGTTCCCTGGATGTTTTCTTTATGTCGGTGCTTTCGGTTGTGATGTACAACAGAACGGAGCAGAAGCTCCCGTGACCAACACGAATGGAGCGGCGCATTTACTACTATGTTTTATGTAAATAACTGGTCACGCTGTCAGGACCTTTCTTGTCTTGTTCTTTTCTTCGATGTAACAGCAGTGCTACGAGCGTGAACCGCAACAGAAAAACCAAGAGAGAGAGAGAGCAAGTCACGACTGTGTGTTAGTGAGTCGCGTCGAAGGCCGAAATCTATTTTCTGCCCCTTCGAGAAGTATTGTAGACGGCGTTGGGGCGAACCAGTGGAGCGCCATCCGTGTTGGGCGAAACAACGTCGTCGTTTCAGCTGCGTTGGCAGTCCCTTCAGCAAACGGACTCTGCTCGGAATCTCAGACACGTTTCATCTCCTGCACTCCGCGCTGGTGCTGGTGCGATTCACATGAAAACAGGACACAAAGAATAACTTACCTGAACTCTCCTCTCCCCTTGTCGCCTCCTTTCACTCCTCACTGATGAACGCTGGCACATGCTGTGTCTCTCGCCCCTCTAGTTTAGTGGCAGACAAGCGTCTCCTGAGCAGTTCTTTTTTTTTTCTCTCTTTCTCATATTCTCTCAGTGTCGATCTGAGTTGTTTGTTTAGCGAAAAAAACCGCTGATAGTCTTCTCTGGTTTTCTCATTTTTATCTTTTAAATTCGTTTACACTCCAAGGCGCACTTCACCGAAATGGGGCATCACGCTGACCCCAACAAGTACGCCGCGTACCGCGATGCCATAGCGCTGCGGCAGCGCATCGAGACCTTCGCTCTGGTCTTCTCCGTCGTCGTCATCGCACTCATCATGACCTTCTCGGCCGTGCAGTTCCGCGAATCCCCATGCCAGGAACGGGCACACGAGATCTCCTTCGACACCTTCTTGGACCCGAGCGCCACACGCGAGCAGGTCGTGACGGCGTTGCACGAGATTCTGAACAGCCGCCGTGGCTCCCTCGACATCCCACCCCAGAACGACGATGCCGCATCGGTGGTGCAGCTGGACGTGCTGGACACGGGTTCCAGCTTCATCGGCTCGCACGGGTTCCGTCTGGTACGGCGCTCTGACGACTCCGGCTACCGCTTCGAGCTGCGCGCCATCTTCGACAAGCTGTGCGGCTCGTACCCCACCGTGTCGATGGAGGTGATGCCCAACGTCGACTACGAAACGGTGACGTACCACATCAAGGGGATCGCCACGACGAACGGCACGGTCAAGTACCTTCAGCAGAGTGCGCTCAGCACGAAGGAAAAGAACCGTATCTCGACGGTGGCGCAGCTGCAGACCGTCTTCCCAGGTTTTCACGAGTTCGGCGGCAGCGCATTGCGGATGTCGTCGACTCATACCGCCAAGTACTCACTGGAGGGCGTCGCGCAGGTGTACTACAACGGCAGCCCGCTCGACCTGCGCGTTGCCGTCCAGTGCTGGTACACCGAAAAAGACAAGCCGCAGCTCTGGCGTGTGGTGGCCAGCACGCAGAACATTCTCGCGGAGAACGATCTTTTCTCGCTGCAGAACAGCCTCCAGCAAGGATTCGCGGACCGCGGCATGCTCTGCAACACGAGTTCCTCGAATTGCGGGGCAGATCTGGACATCTACCTGCGGTAAAGCAGCAGTTGTAAAAGTGGCTGTTAAGGAAATAATAATAGTAAAATATCATGCCTCCGCTAAACAGTTCTTTTCTGCGTTGTAAATCTAAAGTGACCGAGAAAGGAGTGGAGCAATGCGGACAAGCGTGTTTTGTCCCTGTGCGCGTCACCGTAGCGCGTTGCTGCAGTGAGGTCACAGCAGCGTCTGCTAAGGTTGCTCTCCGTCCGCTTTTGGGAAAAAAGGCTCTACTTTGTTGTCACGATATAAAATACAGTGGCTTCTTTTTTTCTTTTGGATTACTGTTGCACCACTGCGTTCTTCTAACACTATCCTTTTCTTTTGCCTCTTTTTCTCGTACAAGTCAATGAAGCGGAAGCTCTACTTTTAAACGGAAGTGCCAAAGGGACCAGAAGCGTTGGCGGCTGCGTTGGTGTGACGAAGCAAGCAACACTGGCTCACATTCTCACCCGTCCGCAGCCATCTGTCCCCGCATCCTTTCCTGGCAAGTTTAATGCAATGTAGCGAACGATTCGTTGACGAAAAATAAAACTTGTATTATCATTAGGAATGACATGAAAAATAACTGTTAAAAAAATACATCAACGGTACCCCTTATGATTTTGTTTTCTGTTGTTGTAGTTTTCGCGTTTGTTGTTGGTTCTTCTGCGCTGTTGGGGTGAGTGTTGTGACGTGTTGTGGCCTGATTCTTTTCTCTCTTGTGTTGTCCGCCGTTGACGATGTGATACATGTTTGCTGTGCTCGTGTTCCAAAGAGGGTAGCTAGCACATACATGAGGCACACCTTTTTTTTTGTTTTCAAGACCCCAAAGGATAACGCAATACGAAATGAAAAATGACTTTTGGCTGACGTTCACTTTGATCGCCTAAGGACAAGGAAAAGGATTAAGACAGCACGCCCTTCCAAGTAGCCTTTCGATTGGAGAAACAAATAACGATAGAAAAAAGGCAGCGATCATGTTAGGCTCATTCTTGTTAGTTGCCGTTCTTCTTCTATCTTAAATAAAGAAGCACCAAGAGAAGTGTGGTAAGAACGAGCGCAGGAAACAGCCTTCATTGCTGCATTACGTGAAAATACATTTTTCGTGCTCTGCAAATCTGTAAATGACGACACCAGGCACGGATTTGATTTTTCAAATCACTCTCCATCTTACATACCCGCATTCGTCTTCCTCGTTTTTAGTACGCGTGTGTACCGGCTATCTCGCCCACCCACCCGCACACACACCGACCCGTGCAAGCGCATTTCTCATCGGATGCGTTTTCCTTGGCACCGACAACAGCATTCACCACGCACGACAGAAACCCGTTGCGAGGCTGCTCTATAGAGAAGAACAGCGAAAAAGCGAGTCGCGGGCATGAAAAGTACTTGCAAATAAGTACCTTTTGTGTGATAGCTGCCCCCTAGACTTTGCTTTCCTCGTGCAAGACCCACTCTTCGACTTTACCACGCTTTCCGGGCACTTTCCTGGGACTGCTGCTAACACCTAATTCGTGCGCTGCACCGCTGTTGCGCAACGTGCTTCTCGCGCAGAAAGCCAGTTGCGTTTTTTTTTTTCACTTCATTGTCACTTTCTTTCAACTTGAAGAAAAGCTGCTACCTCGAGGCCGCATATACTTTTAACGCTCCACAAGATTTGCGCGTAAACTGTTGTTTTGTTTTATTTCCTGGCCGGAATGTGTGCCAGCCTTCTGCAGATAACACATTATTAAAACTGCTCGCTGTGCAGGTGAACGTATCGTCTCGCGGCGTCATCGAGGCAGGCCGTGAGGATACGAAATACCTCGAAGCCATTCAGCTATTTTATTTTCCTTTTCTCCCTTGCTGTTCCTAATTCGACTCTCGTCCTCGACGACGCAATGCAGAGTTTTACTACCTCAGCGCGGCGCAAACCGGTGTGCAACGTATCCACACTGCAGCACTACCTCTCTCTCCCGCAGACGCCGATGGAGCTGTCGGCGATGTGCCGAATGGACGCTGCGAAGCTGCAGGGCAGTGTTGTGCATCAGCTCGTGCGGGAAATGGCTATCCGCACTTCGCGTTGCTACCAGACGTTTGCGGAGCCGGTGATTCTGAAGACGCTGGATAAACCGCACGCGGAGCGGCTGCGATGGGTGAAGTCGTTTGTGCTGCGTGAGTTCAACTACTGCGTGGCGCTGCACCGCAGCATGGAGCGTTCCCGCCCCGACGGCGGCCTCGCGCATTCTACCAATGTGAGCCTTGTACGGGATGAGTTCAAAGGTCCCCCGGCCTCCATTTCGCGCCTACGCAACACCGACGATGACAGCTTCATCTTCGAATCCGCGTTTCCCCCGCCGGACGGGGAGCCACACGTGCTTGGCAACGGAAAAAGTGTCAACGCAGCCCTCCCTGGCCCTTCCGCCCCGGCAAAGGTGGCCGAGGGCGGCTTTCGCTCTCACGGCCGACCCATGGGCAACGAACTCACCCGTGAGGAGGTGGAGGCTGTTCTGGATACCTGGAACGGTGACAACGCCACGATTCCGCTGACCACCGCGTTGAAGCTACTCCAGCCGCAGCAATCGCTGCTGGACGTGATGGTGAACGAGGCGGCCGTCCGCTCCGACGAGCTGAATCGGTGGTTTCTACGCTTTTGCCGCCGCCGTGTTGCGTGGCGCGTGATCCACGAGCACTTGCTCCACCTCACCCTGCCCGGCGAGTCACCGCGCGTGATCTGCCACGACACAGACATCGAGGCGATCCTTCAACAGGCGGGCAACGCCGTGGTCGACATCTTTTCCAACTTGGTCGAGAACGGCAGCGTCCACTCGTTGGAGCTCCACGTGGAGGAGGACGCCCGCATTCTGGCGGGGGTGCCGGCCGGCACGCTCATCAGCTCCTCGACGTCGCTGCGATCCTGTCCTTTCGATGCACGAGACAAGCAGCAAGTCGAACCGGTACCGTCTACTGAAATTTACTCCATCGAAGGCCATCTCCTTTATATTTTCCGCGAGGTTCTCAAGAACGCCTGCACGGCAACGCTGCGGCTGCAGCCTGTCATCACCGTTTTCGTTAAATACGCGATGGACGACAAGTGGGTTGTGCTCGACTTCATCGACCACGCCGGCGGCATCCAACCTCAGCATTTTAAGAACATCTGGAAGTTTGGGTGGACGACGAGCGAGCATTACGAGAGCCACCTGGGCGGCTTTGGAGTGGGCCTCCCGACTTCGAAGGTGTACACGGATATGTGCGGCGGCTCCATCGACCTCTACCGCACGGGGAGGCAGAGCACCACCGTCCGTGTGCGATTTCCAAAGGCGCCGGTCGAGACCCTTGTGCCCGATTCGATGCTGCCGCCGGTGTCACGCTAACGCACGTAGTGGGCTACATCCCAGCACGGCCTTGCACCACCGGAGAGCGAGCGAGAAAGAGAGAGCGCGCTCAAGCGGTGCGTGAGACCGTTTTAACCTGCGCACTTTCAGCCGTGTCTTTTCTATACTTTTCGATTGCTTCCATTACTGAACGTGCTTGTAGACGACAAGAACATGAGACATAAATCGCTCTGATCATTTAGACAAGACTGAAGGGGGCGCCTGCCCCGTGAAGTACTCTGGACGGTGCTACCACCCGCAGATGCGTGATCTCCGCGCCACAGCAGAAAGGAAACACATACATACATATAAGGGCCGTGGAAACTCCTCCCCATACCAATCGCCTTTCACGGCTTGTTCAACGCCTCGCCTGTCACACCTGCAGCGAGCACGACTGGCTTTGCGCTCACCATGCAACTGTCTTCCTCGTCCTTAAAATCCTCCTCACCTTTCTGAGGCTGCTCTCAACGTGTTTTGACACAGGTACGGGTGTTTTGTTTTTGTCTTCTTTGGCGCTCTCTTTCGCTGTCTTTCCTTCCCTTCTTCGTACTCGATTTGCGCCGGCAATGGAGAAGGAGAAAAAGAGCATCTGCTGGCGTCCGAAAAACGCCCTGATTGAGTGCATTGTGATGACCAAGTGCTTCGAGGAAAAGGGCGAAGTGGAGGAGTGCATCGGCGCCAACGACTGCTTCCTGGAGCGGCGCAACTGGACACTTTGCAAGATGAACGCCGTCAACCCGCGCTATCGATTGCGCGGCAACCCGTACGACGTGGCGACCGAGGATCAGAAGAAAATTGAGGCGCGCGACGAGCGGATTCGCCAGCGGGAGCTAGAAGAGGACGGCTTTGTCACAAAATAAGGTGTCATGGATGGTGCGCCCTTCTTCCACGTGTTATGGGTGTTCGTGAGTAATGGGGGTTGCTCTTGCTTGTTTGTATTTTTCACTCTTCACGTTTTCGCTTTCATCTTCACCGTTTCGAACGAACCAAACCAAACCAAAAACTGGTAGGGCAAGAAATACCTCGCATTCGTCACCGTGCACGACTGCATGGGAGAGCCGAAAATAATAGGAAAGAGTCGGACGTTTGCATTGATGTTGTGGGTGCAGTTCGACGACGCTTAAGGATCTCGGATTGTGATGCTTTCTGACAGCAACCAACCGAGTCTAGAAGAGGACGAACGGTCCTGAGCAGCGCTTGCTACCGGAAATCAGCTGAAACAGCAACAGCAGCCAAAGCGACGCTTCGTCATGTCTTGTTTGTAGCAGTAAGATCCCCCCCTTACGGATTACCTCCTCTTTTTTGTTTATGGCTCCTCTTTATATTATTCATCGCGTGATGATCGTAAACGTCGCTCCTTGCTGTCGCTACTCACTCTTCATGGACATGAAGCTGTCTAACTGCATTGGGCAACTGAGAGTGAAGGTGCGCTTTTGGTATTGAACGCGCTTTTTATTTCGTGCGTTGCGTCGCACACCGACACACATACAAAGGAACAATAACAGTACAACACTTCGAAAAAAAAAAAGCGGAGAAACAGAGAAGTGAAAGCGGTGTTTTGACCTCCACTCCTTGTAGAGTTTGGGTCGCTCCGCATTGGAGTTTGTTTTTGTCAGCAAACGCAGTGGAGGAAGAAGAGAATTTGCTCCTATGCGATCGTGTTGCTAAAGAGACACATTAAGGCCAAATTGGTCGTCTCGTTTCGGTTTTTTCTTTATTGTTATTTCGCCCACTTCCACGACGCAACCTCATCGTACGCCGACCACCGGCTCAAGGCTGAAGTGACGCCGCAGCCTTTCAGCATCTCGTTTCGCCGTGCATTACGGCAACGAAAATGAGTTACAGTCACCCGAAGCGGTCGGCCTATGGGTCACTGCGCCGCTCCCGCTCGTCCAGTACCTTAACAGGCCTCAACCAGGCTCGGCGCAGTCGCAACTGCTTCCAACGCCGCCCTTTGCGTTCCTCCCACTCCACGCAGTGCCTCTTTCCTTCCACCATCGGCGTCGATGCCGACGCAGTGGAGGAAATCCCGCCAACGGGCTACGCCTCTCTGACCACGTCGACCTACGTTCGCTTTGACGAGGTATACGATAGCGATTCCGAGTACTCCGAGTACGACCTGGTGAATGAGCAAATGCAGGATTTCTTACTCGATTCAGACGATTCTCTGCAGGGTGTGAACTGCGCGGACGGTGTGCTGGGGATCGGCCCCTATTGTGTGAGCGGCTTTGTGCCAACGGAGCCGACGGAGCCAACCGAGGCGCTCCATTCCCGTCTGCGACGACGCACGGCGACACCGCAGCGGCGGCGCTTGGCGAAAAAGTCCGAGAGCAGCGCCGCACTTTCGGCGGCGCCGCGCGTGACGCCGAGCTCCAGCACAACCTTACTGAGCGATCTGGACACCAACCTGCGAGAAACCGTGACGATGGTAGGCCACACACACCTGCGCAATCGCAAGCAACGCCGCGCCGCAGCCGGAGATCGACGCTTCCTTGTCCCGGCACTCGCGCCGCTTTCAGGTGACAACGCGTACCAAACGGAAGTCGGTCTGCCGCTGTTCACCGTCGTCTTTGATCTTGATGAAACACTGGTGGGTGCGCGAAATGGCCTGATTCAGCCACGACCCCATGTCGGCACTCTTCTCCGCGCACTGCACGCGCTGCCTGTCGAGATCATCGTCTGGACCGCCGGCACGGCCCACTACGTCAACCCAATTCTACACGCACTCGGCCAGGCGTGTGGACGGCGCGAGTGGTTTCATCACATTATTAGCCGTCACAAGCGCTGGTACAGCGGGGCGAACACATCTGTGAAGGACCTCACGCAGCTGGGCCGTCCCATGGACCGCGTTCTGATGATTGAAAATAACCCAATTTCCGTGGTGCAGCAGCCAAACTTGTGCATTCTCGTGGAGGACTACCTGCGGGCAAATTCCACCGACGAGTCGCTGCTGGTTCTGCAGGGCGTTCTGGAGCGGCTGGTGGAAGCGCACCGGAAGGCCGCCCCGCCGTCGGCGGTAAAGAGGGGCGTCAGTGCCAGCTCCTTAACCTACGCGACACTCGAGCCTGGTGGCGCTTACCGCACCGACGAGTCTCTGAGTGCGCCGCCTCTGTCAGCGTTGCTGGCGCACGACGCGGCGCTGCAGACCATTGAGTTCCGCATGGACGATGTCTGCAACGAGGACGGTGTCTCGATGAACCAAAAGGTTGAATTGCGGGAGCGGGTTAGTGGTGCTGAGACTCTGCTCTGCCGTGCGCTGCGTTACTCGCCTTCGCTTCCATCGGCGCTGCCGCTACCGCAGGCGCAAACGTCCGTCTCTGTTCGAAGCTACGGGTGCGTGAGACCGATGATTCCGCTGTGATTGGTGGCTTTTTCTTGATGAGGAACGGCGGGAACGCCTTGTACATCTATATCTTCATTGCTATTCAGCACATCCACGTCAGCGGAAATCCACGTGAAAGCAAATGGAAATTGAAGCAGGTGCAGGAAGGAAAGCGACGAGAGATCTCCGCAGAACGTTCCTTTGGCGTCTGTGGCCAATTACTCGTTGTCGTGTGCCTGACTTCGACCGATAACATGGTGTAACGGCGAAGCTATTATTTAGTTGAGAATAGTTCTTTCCTTTTAACACATTTTTGTGGCGCTGTAGACGACTTCTTGCCCACAATGCGGGTGCATATTCGATGTGTCGTCGCCGTCGTTGCGGTGCACTTCGCCACGAGCAACTTATCCTCCTTCCGGCAACCTCCGCCTTTTGTTTCTTCACCTCCCGGTTGTTTTGCGCATGTCACGTTTTCTGCTGTGCTCGCATCGCAGAAGCGCGCGCCCCTTTCATGAACACGCACCCTCTCTTATAAGCAATCACACGAACCTGTCTGTTTTTCTCTTGTTTTCTCACATCCTACTTTTACAACCTTTTTTATTTTGCTGCATCGAAAAACCTGCTAAGTTGCATTCCCAAATCCACCATTAGCTGTATCCTCTGTTATACGTGGTTGGGGAGGACGGGTTTCAACGAAGAAAACAGAAGAAATAAGCGTAAGCCATACGTACAAGCCTCGTCATGGCGTTCGTGCGAGACCGCGCCGCCAAAGATGAACGCACGACGAGTACTCGTTCGCTGAAGACGCTTTTCGTCGTGTTCTGTCTCGTCTTGCTGAGCGGTGCATTGGCGATGCGGGGTTCCTTCAGAGACGCGTTTACGCGGCCTATGTACGTCAGCGAGCATCGTGCGTACGGTGAGCCCGACTGCCGGCCGGCCAACGTAGCGATCTCCGTCGCCACATCCGTCATCAACGCCTTCACTCAGGCGGTGCTGATCCCTGCCTTGAAGGCGGAGATCAACACGGCGGTCATCCCGGAACAGGAGGACGATCACATCTGGGTCGATCAAATGGTTCTGATGAACTTCACATTGGATTCGCTCACGATCGAGACGGCAGCGCCAGACGCGCAAAGCGTGACGATCAACGCCAAAGGCTTCGGGCTAGACGTAAACGAGACGCGGTTCCGCTACTCCTACTTGGGCATCCGCTGCTACGGTCACTTCACGGCGACGTTGAACGAAACAGACATCGACACAACGATCGGATTCACGCTGCTGCCGGAGAGCTACTGGAACGCCACCTTCGCGCAGTTGAGTTTTGCGTGGGGCACCCTTGCGATTCAGCACTCCCTCGACAGCAAAGCCTGCGGGATTGCGCAGTCTATCGTGGAGCTGTTTACCGGGCAGATGGACAAGTACATCTCCGAGCAGGTGCAGAAGAAGCTGGATGTCGACGGCAAGCGCAAGGCGACGGAAGTGTTGAATTCCCGTTTGGCTGATTTTTACCTGCGTGCACTGAGCCCACCCATCATGACGCCAGATCGGCTGGCGGTTGTCTTGGATGCGACGCCTGCGCCGGTCGGCTGTCCACCGCAGCCAGCCGTCAGCGACCTCCCACCGTTGCTGCCGCGCGACATCGCGGCGCACACGACGGTGCACGACATCAACAACGTGCTCTACAACGTCGCCCTCCACGGTCGACTGCGGTGGGAGGACCATCTGCCGGATGATATGAACACCTCCCTCTTCTCGGATGTGCTGCCAGGGGTGTATGAGATGTGTCCAGAGTGTCTCATGTACACACTGGTACGCGCTTCTTCGCCGCCGGTGGCTGTGTTTCTGCCGGTCAACACCGTGACGATGACGTTGCGCGACGTTGTCGTTGGGCTCTACGTCGTGCCGCGAACGAGCGCCGAGCGGGATGCCGTCGAGAGCTTCACGTCAACGCATGACTTTCCCAGCCGTGAGAAGTTTATTGAGGTGTCTCGCCGCCTCGGTATTGTCGATGACTACAAGTCGAATGCACACTCAGACATTCCCGTCCTCGCGCTTTCGTGCAGCGCTACGCTCGGTGTGCGGAACGTCACCTTTGAGAAGGGACGTGCTGTTCGCTACCAGGTGCTCCGCGTTGACGACTTTCGAGTGGATGTGGTGGCTTCTCTGATCGGCGACGTGGACGTGGTGAATGTCGAGCAGAAGGGAATGGAGATGTGGAACGAAATGGCGATGCCCCTCATCAACGCTAAATCGCCGTACAAGCTTCCCTTCTTTGTTCGCAAAGCGGTGCTGGACATGACACTGGTGAAAGCCGACGCCGGCTTCAACATTGGCCTGATGAGTGAGTTTGTCTCCCTTATTATGAGAGAGTTGAGCTAGAACACAGTCAATAAACGCCTGCGTTCGGAAGTGCCTAGACAACCCTCGAGTTCAAGACACCAGGCATCCATTCAACTCTCGGATGCTCGTGTTCGCTTTTGTCGTCTGTTTTGTTTTCCGTATTTCTGCAGGCGCGACATTTCATACCGTCTTCTTCCGTTTTACTCTGCGTCACTCAACGGGCGCATTTCTTTTTTCATTACTGTTGTTTTCGTCTTTCCGCTTTTTCATGCTTTGTCGCGGCACCGCTTCCGATTTCGTTTTCCCCATACAAGGAACGTCTATGCCCTCTCCACCTCGAAACGTCGTTTCGTTGAACCTGTGTTGTTTACATCGTAGACCGTGCTCCCACCCACCCCTGATTCTCCTTCGCTTCTCCGTCAGTTTTCTCTTGTGATATTCCGCCTCCACGCTGGCAGGCTCCGTAGCAAGCAAGGCAGCCAAAGGCATGCACACAGAAAGAAATGTCTCTGCGCGATCGTCATGATCCACACCCTGCAGGTACTCTAGATGCTGCGATTTTTCCGTGCTTCCCGGAGCAAAGCGCTTTATGCCGTTCTGATGTACTCCTACGCCTCCTCTGTCGCTCTCCTTTCCATCGTCTCTTTCTGCTACTCTTGTTGTGCTCTCCTCCTTCTCCTCTCCCATATGATACGCGCCATTCCCTCACACTCGCTTATGCGCATGAACATCCACGTAGCAGAGCCCGCACGCAAACAACTCAAACGACAAGCGGTTTTCTCTCCTCCACCGGCTACTCGCGCTCCTCTGTTTGACCAATACCACTGAAAGCACTCTATATATATATATATATATATATACATCCGTTAGTAAACGAAGGAATTCATGTTTCCATGTTGGTCGCGGGTTTTACGACATCTCTCCTTCTTGCATGGTTCGCGTATTGATTGTTGAAGATACTCTCTAGGCACCTTTTCCGTGTGCTGCTGTCTGTGTTCACTGGAACCACTTTCTTCACCACTTGCTTTTTCTTTCGTTTTCCGACTTACTTCTCCTTCTCACACCTGGTGCCTTGGTACTCCAGAGATCGGCGAAGAGGCACCACGTCTTCCAATTCCTGTGTCCGAGTCTCCTCTTTTTGGGGTTTCGCTTTCCTCCTCACCTCAGCGAGATACTAGTCGAGTCCGCTCCTTTATCAACGGGGGCGGTCACGAATGCACAAAGCCGAATAACTGGTACCATTCTCGTGACCTCTATATATACAATTTCCGCAAACACCTATTATTTTGGATCCTAGACCTCATCAAGCGTGATTATCTCCCGTGCGGTACACCAATTCGAAGCAGTTGTTCTTAACCGTTGTGCTGTTTATTTTCCAGCCTTTTACCGGCGTCTCTTCTTCTTCTTCTTTTGTTGTTGGTCACCTCTCCACTCTTTCTTGAGGACTCGCTTACGACACGCAATTGGACCTTTTGCTTCTTCCTGTTTCTTGCGTGCGTGCGTTGCAGCTCCCTGCGTTTCTGATCTCGTCGTTCTCCGGCTCGCCCCCCCCCCCCCTTTGCGTTGGCGCGCGCGTAGAAGCACTCTTTCCCCATTTGTGATCGACCTCGGTCTCATGTATTTTCTCCTGCGGTGCTGTTAAGAATCGTTACATCCCTTTCCTTGTATTTATCTTCTGCTTTTGAATACGCTGCGCGACTATCGTTCATTCAACTCCCTCCCCTTTTTTTCTCTTTCGTGCTTTTTCGTTCAACGAGCTGTGCGGTGGCCGCCTGCTGCGTTGCCGACAGCGGTGAGAATCACGTGTGAGTTGGGAGGTCCTTTTCTTTTTTGGTGGGTGTGTTCATTATCCCATTGCTGCGTACCTCAACAACGGGAGGGGCTGCATTCATGGCCGAAACTCCAGTGGTAGAGGACGGCGGCGGGGTATTTATGGGAAAGCTCCTTAGCAGCGACAACTCCGCCGCGCTCGCCCAGCAGCTGAGTTCCATCTTTTCTAATTTTAATAGCACGCCCGAAGGCCGCGTTCAACGGGAGGAGGAGTGTCTAAGCGCCCTAACCGACACACTCTTCTTTCACGAAAAGGAACTGGGGCTGAGCGAATCCTTGCAAGATCGCATTATCTCCTTAATAGATAGCGCCTTTGCGGTATCGGTCGACAAAGGCTGCAGCTCCTTTCGGATCGTGTTCGACGTGAAATGGAGGGACCAGCATGAGAAGCGCAGCCGCTGCTTTGTGCTGCTGCTAAGCCGCGCTTTCAAATGTACAACACAAGAGGACTGTATCAAAGTGACAACGGCGATTGGCGAGGTGCTCGAAGACAACATTCGCACCGCGACCGACATCTTAGCAGATCACGTAGAACCGCTGCTCTCCGAGGTGAAGCGCGCCGATATGCAGCGCAGCATTGTCGCGTGCGAAGTCGTCGCAAAGATCGTGAAGACGACCTCACTAATTATCAAGCGGAACCCAACGCTGCTTGAGTTGCTCACGAACGCATGCGCGCCGCTGCCGACGCTGAGAGAGGCCCTGGAGACGCGAAATGTGTGGCACCGCACGGCGCTGCTGCGACTCACCTCTGCGCTTGTGGATGAAGGCTGCTACGACGTCACACAGACGCTTTCGAGGGATATTGCGAATGTTGTGCAGGACCACCTGCGAGCGGCAAAGGATGAGCCACAGCTGATGGGTGTGTTGTGCGCCCTCCTGCACGTCGCCGTCACGCCAGCGTTCAGCTCCGCGCCGTGGAACGTGCCTCAGATGGTGCGATTTCTAGTAGAAACCAATTGGTCGCTCTACACCATTCCCGCACGCGTGAGTGCGATGCGGTGCATTGTGAAGGTCATGTCAGTTCTGTGCAGCGGCGACAGAAAACAATACGACGCGCTGGCGCACCGCGCGCTGGAGCTGTTCACGAAGGACGACTCCGTGGAGGTGGTGACGGAAGTGCTGGAATTGGTGAAAGGCCTGTTAGCGACGGAAGTCGGTCTGCGGATGACTGCGGACGTCGTGGAGAGCTTATGCAACTGTATTCAGCGATTGCCCTACATGGCGGCCATCTTTGACGTCTTGGAGTTCATTCGCGACCGCTACGGAGAGGCGGACATGGGGCCAGTCTTCTCCCTCTTAGAGGACTACCTGAGCATGGAGCAGGAGTTTTTAAACTTTGGCAAAGTGAACGCTCTGCTTCGCTTTGCTGGTCCGCGCATCCGTGTCGACGACCCGCGGTTGGTGCAGCTCCGCATTAACGTCGCAGCAGGCCGGCCCGTGCCGATCATCATACGTTCTCTCCCGCTCATCACTACCCTGCAACGCACCGAACAGCTGGAAGACGTGATTGACATCTTGTCGCACGACGACAAGGAAGTGCGACGTGTCGCCGTCACGACTGTCCTGGAGCTGTGCGAACTCATCATTGAGCACGGCCAAATGCAGGATGAGGCGAACAGCGGTAACCCCGGCAGTGGACCACACACTCAGCGCCTGGACGATGGGGTCAGCAATGCGGTGGAGCGCATCCTGGATGTGGCGGTGGTTGACCGCGACGCGGAGATTCGGCTGTGGGCTTTGCAGCACCTGACAGCTCCGTTCTTCCCCTATTTGTGCCTCGCTGACAACCTCGATGCCATCTTCATGAGCCGTAATGATATTGACAAGGCCACCCACGATCAGGCGTTGGCGCTGCTGTGTCAGCTGTTGCCCTACCACCCAGCCATCGTACGGCCGCAGCTGCAGCGCGCACAGGAGTACATGCTGCGCGACGTCGCCACAATGGACTCGTCGGTGTCGTTTGCGATCTCAAAAGCACGCCTGCTCACCATGTGCGTCGAGCAGGATGCTCTTCTCATTCCCGATGGGACTGTCGAGACAATTGTGCTGCAGCGGCTAGAGGCACAACCGTTTATCTGCCGCTCTCTCTCTATCGCCCTCCTGCAACTAATACGCTCCATGCTCGAGCGAACCGGACCGCAGCACAACGTGGAGTACAAAACCTTCCTGCGCACGCTGTTGACGATGATCAACGGCGGCGACTGCTGCTCCACCCGCCGCGAAGCCCTTGAGACGCTCACTGCCTTTGTCACGCACATCACCAAGACGGACATCTCCGGCCTCAGTGAGATGTATCGCACCGTGGCCCGCATTGTGCGCCGAGAAACGGAAGAAGAGGAGTCGGTGACGATGGCTGCTATGAAGGTGCTCAGCGCGATCGGCGCCGTCACCCCTGTGAAGATGCGCGTCGTGCTGCTCATGCTTGAATCGGACGAGATCGAAGAGGAGGAGGAAGTCGTGACACCCGCTTTAGCGCACGTCAAACCACGCCTGCGTGTCTCGCCCGACCTGGCGGAGCGCTACGCCTCCGTGGTGGTGTACTACCTTGTGCGCTCGTTGCAGCTCGCGATCGACCCGAAGCAGCAGATGGACACGCTAGCTGCCGTCCGCACGACGCTGCAAGACGTGGAGGGGCGGCCGAAGCTCAGCCTTCTCACGCAGCTTTTGCCACAGCTGCAGACGTGGCTGCGCGACCCCGAGCGCGCCTTCTTGTACGAGACCGTCCTCGCTCTCATGAACGATCTGGCCATTCTACTACGGCAATTTAAGGAAATGGTGGCCCCGTCGGTCGGCTTCGACCTGTTGCAGTCGGTGCATGGATTCTGTCTCCTCCCTCAAGCGGGTCAGAAGCCCTTCAGCACCTACGTAGTGCAGCTTCTCGACAACCTGGCCAGAGGCATCCCCGCGCAGGAGATGCGCGACAACCGATGGGCCGTCGAGTTTATCCACCAGCGTCTGTCGCAGAACAAAAACGACCTCGACCTCGTGCACCGCGTCGTCAAGTCGTTGGAGTCTTTCATGGCGGTCATGCACGAGAAGGACCTGCAGATGATCCTGCCGCACGTCTTGCAGTGCATCGAGCCGGCCAAAGCGTCACCGGGCGGCAAGCTCACCAAGTCGAAGGACATCAACGACGCCTGCTTTGACTTTTTGAATCACGTAATGTCGAAGCAGTTGAACCTGGTGAAGGACTGTTGTGCGCAGATTGTGCACACCATCATGTGGTACATCGAGCTGGCTGACAACAATGAGGAGATGGACGTGGGCTTGAACACGCTGGCGGCGCTCGTCGACGTCGTAAAGATGCCCGCAAAACGCTTTATCATGCCGATTGAGCGGGTGGCCACGCGCAACGGCTTTCCGCCGCATTACTTCATCAATTTAGTGCAGAACGCTGCCGTGGGCGCCAAGTCACGCATGACCGCAGCTAGCGGCACCGACCTCAATCCGGATCGCCCGATCACCGTCGTGTCGCACCTGCCCCGGCTCTCGCAGGCGGATTTTGAGCATGAATTTCGGAACATCCTGCGCGCTGAAAACGTCGGCGTCGACGTGCTGGACGTGCACCACGATCACGGGCAGACGATGATCGACTTCCGCTTTCACCCCGGCGCGGACACGACGGCTTGCTGCAACCTGTTCAGCCGCAAAGCAGCAGACACGAAGTCGTCGCTGCGGCGCAACTTGGGCATATTGCGTGTGGAGCAAACCGAGGAGAGCCCACGGGCGGTCTCGGCGGACGTGATTCAAGCCCTCACCGTCATGCCCGAGGCAAAAACGAAGAAGCGAGAGCAGTCGTGGGTGCTGTGGCTGCACAACGCCACGGTGACGCTGCTGCGCGGCTCACCGTACGCCGTGCTACGTGACACCTGTGCCGTGGCCGACCGCAACCCCGACCTCGCGAAGGACTTGTTTCCTTTTGCCGTGGCGGCGGTGTGTAGTCTGCTGGATCTCGCGCTGCGCGGACAGCTCATGTCCATCTTCGACCGGGCCATGAGCGGCGCGCCGGCCGACGTCAAGCAGGGACTCTTTTCTTTTGCCGAATTCATGGAGGGCGAACGAGGTGAAGATCGTATAAAGCTCGTGAAGGTGATGCGGGAGAGCGTCTTCAGTGTCGAGCGCGAGTCCGCGAGCCAGAAGTTCGGCATCAACTACGACCAAGACCCCACGCGTGGTGTAATAGTGACGAAGCTTGCCCCCAACGGCCTCGGGGCCCGGGCCGGAGTGCCCATCGGCGCGCAGCTGCTCGCCATCAACAACAACCCTGTCCGCGCCGTGAGCGACATCCGAGGGATGATTGAGGGTCTGCTGCACATTGAGCTTTCCCTCGCCTACATGGTGGAGGAGAAGACACGCTCGCAGCCGAAGCCGCTGATGAACCTGGAGGTGCTCGCCTCGGTCGCGTTCAGCGGCGAAATGCACACCAAAGCCATCTACTTCAACGAAATCCTTTTTGAAAGCCTCTCCAACAAACTGGGCAAGATTGCGGATCGCAAGGACACGCAGATGCGCCGCGTGATGGCGGTCGCGGAGGATTTAATCCAGTACTACCGCCACCTGAACATGACAATGACCGCCAACGGCCTGTTAAAGACGCTGACGCGAAAATTCTCCGATGAGATCTTCGCCCCAGAGCAGTTTGGCTTCGAAGAAATAGCCTCGCTGGAGCAGCTGAATTGGTGGAGTGAGGCACTGCGGCGCTACGAGGCGCGGCTGGCCAGCTTCAGCTCACGCGGGCTGGAGACGGCGTCGCTCGTGGGTGTGCTGCGGTGTGAGCAGGCGCTGGGCAACGCGAGACGCGTGCAGGAACTTACGGAGGAGTACTGGGACCAGCTGTCGCCGGAGGCGCAGAAGGAGGTGGCTCCGTTCCGCGCCAAGGCCGCGTTCGCCCTCGGCACCTGGGACACCTTCGATGAGCTGGCAGTGGATCGGCGACTGCGTAACTGCTTCGGCGTGATTGAGCGCTGCGCTGCTCTTTTCCGCGCCGAGAGCTACGAGGAGCTGCTGTGCTACACGGGCGAGGTGCGCGAATCCATGTTGGAGTCGTTCGCCGACTCGCTGAATGAGAGCTATAGCCGTGCCTATGATGGTCTTACACGCCTGCAGCACCTCCGTCACTTTGAAGAGCTCGTCTCCTTTACCACGGCGTGCGGGGAGCGGCAGTCGCTTCTGAAGGAGGTGTGGCACCGCCGCCTCCTGCAGATGTCCAGCAAGCCCGATGACCTCCTCACGGTGCTCTCCATCAACTCGCTCGTGCTGGCGCCGCAGGACGATCTGCAGTCGCACGTGTTTGTCATCCGCAGCCTGTGCAAGTCGCAGTGGTATTCCTACGCGGAGCACCTCCTACACGAGGTCCTGCGCGAGGACGCGTCGTTGCAGGATCTGTGCGAGTGCGACCCGGAGCTGATTCACACCTACATGAAGTTTCTCTACCTGACAAAAGACAAGCAGGGTGCCTACGTGGAGCTGAAGGAGATTCTCTCCGCCGTGGAGGTAGACGCTGACGATGCACAGGCCGAAATGTGGGGTCAGTGCTGGCTACTGCTAGGGGAGTGGACCATGTACCTCTACCCCGACTGTGGCGAAGAGGCCATCGAGGAGCTCATGTGCGCCACCGAGCTGGGACCCAACAACGCGGCAGCTTTCCACTCCTTGGGCATCTTGCACCACGATCTCGCCCGCGACCCCAGCACTCAGGGCGAGGTGCAAGACAACCACCTGGTGAGCTGCATCAATTCCCTCTTCAAGTCGGTTCAGTTGAGCGATGATGTGTCGGGTACGTTGGTGATGCAGGACGTGCTGCGCATCCTGTCCGTCTGGTTCGCCCACAGCGGCCTGCGGGAGATTAACGAGTCGGTGCACCACGGCGTGCAGGTGGTGGCCGATTACGTGTGGCTGAACGTCGTACCTCAGCTCATTGCGCGCATCGGCATTGAGGCGCGCTTCGCGCGTGTCATCCTCACCGACCTGCTCATCCGGGTCGGGTCGCGCTACCCGCACGCGCTCATCTACCCCCTCACTGTCGCGGAGAAGTCGCCCGGGGAGGTGCGGCAGTACATGGCGGAGCGCGTCATCGCAGGCATGCGCAACCTGCCCGAGAACGACCGCGTTGTCCAAGAGGCCTCGCTGATTAGCAACGAGATGGTGCGCATCGCTATCCTGTGGTCGGAGAAGTGGCACGCCGCGATTCAGCGGGCCGCCTACAAACCGAACAAAGCCGCCGTCATCTCCTCGATGCTCCAGCCCCTCTACGACCAGCTCGATCGCGCCTCCACGCCCAACGAGCGCAGTTTTGAACGCACGTTTGGACAGACGCTGCGGCGGGCGCAGATGGCGCTGAAGGAGCAGAAGACAGATGAGGCGTGGGGTTTCCTGCGGCAGGTGTACGCGCAGCTGCGCCGCGGCGTACTGGAGCGTCGGCTGTACATCAGCGACCTGTCACCCATTCTCGACGGCCTGCGTGACAGCATCGTTGCCGTGTTAGGGACGTTCGAGCACGACAAGCCGCTCATCACGATCCGGAAGTTTCACAGCCGGGTGTACGTGATGCCGTCGAAGCAGAAGCCACGCCGCGTCGGTCTCGACGCCTCGGACGGCAAGAAGTATCGCTTTCTCTTGAAAGGACATGAGGACATGCGGCAGGACGAACGAGTCATGCAGTTCATTCGGCTGATTGACAGCATCTTCCAGCTGGACAACGCCGCCACCGCGATCGGCCTGAGCATCCCCCAGTACGCCGTAATTCCGCTGACGGACAACGTCGGCATTGTAGGATGGGTTGAGAACACAGAGACGATTTACAAGATGCTGGAGACGTACCGGCAGGCGCACGAGGTGTCTATTTATGAGGAGGTGAACCTCATTGTGAAGCGTGGTGGCCTCAACACCATTGAGGAGTACCACCGACTCCCGAAGCAGCAACGCAAGGCGCTGCTTAACTTTGCCATGGAGAACTCGCCCAACAACGAGTTGCGGCACATCTTCTGGGACCACAACGATACGTGTGAGCAGTGGCTGAGCTACCGTCAAACCTACGGCCAAACCTTGGCGGCCATGTCGATGGTGGGTTACGTGCTAGGGCTGGGGGATCGCCATTTGAACAACCTAATGCTCCAGGGAAACGGCACAGTGGTGCACATCGACTTCGGCGACTGCTTCGAGGTGGCGATGCACCGCGCCCTCTACGCTGAAGCGGTGCCCTTTCGCCTCACCCGTCTGCTCGTGTGCGCGCTCGGCATTACCGGAGTGGACGGCGTCTACCGAATGACGTGCGAACTGGCCATGAAGAATCTGCGTCGGCACAGCGAGAATCTGCTCTCCATCCTTGAGGCTTTCATATACGACCCCCTCATCAACTGGCGACTCAACGTGGTGAACGACGGAACAGAGAAGTCGGGACCGAAGTCTGGTCAGCCCGACAGCAACGGCGGGGGCGCGGGGTTTTCACACGGCGACGCAGCGGCAGCCGCGCGTCTGGGCGGGGACGACGCCGCTGACATCAACGCAAAGCCAATTCCGATGCAGCTGTCACGCTCCTTCGCGAAGTCGCGCGAACCGTGCGATGCGCCAGGGCAGAGCCAAACCTTTGAAGACGTTGAGGAGACCCGCAACCAGCAAGGCGATCTCGCGCTGGCACGCGTGCAGGCGAAGCTAACCGGGCAGGACTTTGGCGTGGTAAACAGCTCCTTCTCCATGGCGCGGTCGTCGCGGCGGATCGATCCCGGTGGGTCACAGCGACAGGGTTCCTCTTGGGGCTCGATCAACCTCGCCGGCTTCACGGACTCGCCGAAGGACTCCTTCGCCGCCCCACTACTCACGACGTACCTCTCGATGCGCGTGTTGAATGGGGGAGCGGACAGCCTGGATGTGCCGCACCAGGTGGATCGTCTCATACAAGAAGCGACAAGCCTCGACAACCTCGCCGATGCATTTCTCACAGGTTGGGCACCGTTTTGGTAACACCCGATACACACGCGTATTGTTGTCGCCGCTGACGCCTCCCTCATTCTCACTCAGTTTCGCTGATCTTCGTCCCTCGGCCTCCAGTTTTCTGTTGTTGCTGCCAATGTAATTAACGGCTGGACGCTGCGTCAACATGATACCAGAGAAAGTACGAGGAAGAAAAGAATGTCTTTCTGCGCGAGCGAGTCATCGAAGTTGGTGATGGACCGCCGGTCAGGGAAGCGTTAAAAATGTTCCACAAAACCTACGCGAGGAGGAAGAGAAGAGCGAACTTTCTTGCTGATGGTGGTGGTAATGGAGGCGATATTGTGCGGTGTGCCTCTCCGCGGAGGCTGCTTCCGTTTGCGATCACACTTCTTCCTTTGCACATGAGGAAGCCGCTGCTCCCGGACGCAGCGGGAGGGGGGAGGAGGGAGGATGTCCGCGAAACATCACTCATACGTGCATCATGCAGGACGCCAAATACGGAGACAAAAGGGGAACAAGCGGTGTGTTACAAAAGAGAAGGCAATGGAGAACTCGTGAGAAGTCTGTTCAAGTCCCTGTTTATACAGTTTCAACCAAGGCCACATTCGAGCGCTATTCAGATGTCACCCAGCGAAGCGCAACCTGGGGCATCAGGGGTCTCATCGACACTCTTCTATTAGGAATGTGGTATCTCTTGCGGTATTGCAAAACACTTTTTCTCTTTTTTTTTGGAGGAGGGTGATTTACGGTGCCGCGCCCTGCTAGCGACTTTGCATTCGACAAAAAGAAAGCGTTACCAGTCGCACTCTTTCGCATCGCGATAGTGCCAGAAGAGCATGCAACAAGTGAAACACGTCCCTAACACGGCGTTCACTCTCCCAACACTCGTGCAGGTTCAAAAGACGGCGAGTATCGGGGCTACTACTCGCAATGAAAACTATTGGCCTTGCTTCACTTCCACTATTCTCGGAACACTCCATTCTCGCCGCGGGCTACGACGCCGTCGTCTCACCGATCGAGATATCGTATTTCTTCTCGCACACGCGAACGGAATTACTCCTGTTCTCGTTACCGTCCCAACACCGCCACACCATTCGGGGTCCCACAAGCCAGCTACAACGTTCCCTCGTTCATACCAAACGCGCAACCGACCTCACATTCCATTCCACACATTTTCTCATTCTTACCATTCTAACTCACTACTCCACGATACCACGCTACGAACAGCATGCCCGCTCAGGAGTATAACGTTGGCTGCTACCTGCTGGACCGCCTGGTGGAGATCGGGTGTGGTCACCTGTTCGGCGTTCCCGGCGACTACAACCTGCGCTTCCTGGACGACGTGACTGCGCAGAAGGACCTGGAGTGGGTTGGCTGCGCGAATGAGCTGAACGCTGCGTACGCGGCCGACGGGTATGCGCGGTGCCGCCGCATCGCCGCCGTGCTGACGACGTACGGCGTGGGTGAGCTGAGCGCCGTGAACGGCATTGCCGGCGCGTACGCCGAGCGCAACCCTGTGATCCACATCGTTGGTGGGCCTTCGACGGAGGCGGAGCACGGCCACAAGATGATGCACCACACGCTGGGCGACGGTCTGTTCCAGCACTTCAGCCTGATGAGCGAGAATATTTCTTGTATGACTGCCCGCCTGACGGTGGAGAATGCGCTGACCGAGATCGACCGCGTAATCCGTGGTGTGATGTACCACAAGAAGCCCGGCTACATCTTGATGCCGATGGATGTGGCTGTTGCGCCGGCGTTCCCGCCGACGGTGCGCCTTGCGCCGCGCATGGCCGAGTTCTCGCAGGACGCGCTGGACGCCTTCAAGGTTGCGGCGGAGGAGAAGATCAAGAGCTCCAAGCGCACCTCCGCTCTGGTGGGCTACCTGTGCGACCGCTTCCTGTGCCACAAGGAGGCGCAGGCGCTGGTGGACGACGCGCACATCCCGTTCGCGCACATGCTGCTGGGCAAGGGCACGCTGAACGAGCAGTCGCCGAACTACCTCGGCTGCTACTTCGGCTCGTCGTGCCCCGACAGCGTGCGCCGCCCGGTCGAGGATGCCGACGTGTGCGTGATGCTGGGCGTGAAGTTCCACGACTTCGGCACCGGCTACTTCTCGCAGAAGATTCACCTGGACCACATGATCGACATCCAGCCCTTTGAGAGCACGATCAACGGCCGCGTGTACCCGCAGCTGCCGATGAAGGACGCCATTCTCGCCGTGCACGAGATTGTCATGAAGTACTGCGACAACTGGCCCAAGAACGAGTCGAAGCCGCCGCGGTTCCCTGCGCCGGAGGACGAGAAGTTCTCGATGCGCCACTTCTGGAACGAGGTGCAGGACAACCTGACGGAGGGCGACATCATTGTGGTGGACCAGGGCACGTCGAGCTCAGCGGGCGCGGGCCTGGTGCTGCCGCGCAACGGCAAGTGCATCGTGCAGTGCCTGTGGGGCTCCATCGGCTTCTCGCTGCCCGCTGCCTTTGGCGCGCAGCTCGCGGAGCCGCATCGCCGCGTGATCCTGTCCGTTGGCGACGGCTCCGCGCAGATGACGATCCAGGAGCTGGGCTCCTTCCTGCGCCACGGTCTGCGCCCGATCGTGTTCCTGGTGAACAACGACGGCTACGTGATCGAGCGCGTGATCCACGGGTGGAACGAGGCGTACAACGACATCGCGACGTGGAACTGGTGCGCGCTGGCGAAGGCGATGAGCGCGACGGAGAACCAGGCGGACACGGCGACGGTGAAGGAGGTGGGCGTGATCGCGAGGATGATGAAGGAGACGCAGAAGGAGCGCAGCGCGCTGATGTTCCGCGAGGTGATGCTTGGCCGCCACGAGCTGCCTATCGTGTCCCTTGCCTGGAAGCCGAACTAACAGTGTTGTCTCAACCCAGGTGTTGGTGCATACTGTGTGTAGCTACCGCTTGCTCGTACTGTGAGTTCGCGGTCCTGGTGTTTTTCGTATTGCCGCTTCGTTGTCGGAACCCCCGGCAGAGGCGCTGTGCGTCGCCGCCGGGCAGTGGGCTGGGAGTTTCTGCGATGCAGTCCGCCGACGGTGCGAATGACACACATTGCCGTTCATGCTGTAACTTGTTTGCCGCTGCCCTAGACAGCTCGCTCACCCGAGTCAGGTTTTCACGTTCCTGACAGAAGTGATGGAGGAGTCCTGAAAGAGCGGCGTGGACGTTGGCATTTCAGCTCGTTGCGACGCTCCGTTTTCTTCGCGGCGTGGTGGCGCGACCCTCGAGCTTTGAATGTGACACCGCTCCTTCAAAATACAATAATTCTTTTAATTGTCTCGTCATCATTTATTGTTATTATTATTATTGTTCTCTGATCGCCAATACACTGTGTGCGGCGGAACGTGACGGGAAAACTATACACAGTCTTTTCCCCCTTCTATTGAAGCGGCATTCGCAAACTATCTTTTCTTCACTTTCTGGTTCGCATGATGGCCCTCTTTTCTTTGCTGTGCTCTCTTCGCGCTGTTGACCGCCCTCATTCGACAGAGGTGTGTGCGAGGTCAACAGCTACGCTGAAGGTAGCAACCGATTTTGTAAATTGTGTGTTTATGGTGCCTGTGAGAGAATCTGGCGCACTGCAACACCTGAGTTCTGACGCGTGCGGTCCCCTTGCCTCTTCCAGGGCAGTCTCTCTCTCGAGGGCACTGTGCTCATGTACTGTGTGCCGCGCCCCCTCGCAGAAGCCAACCGAGTCAGCTCACGGGTCACCTTCACCACAACAAAATGACGCCATCACGCGACGCACGCTGACGTTTATTGACGCCCTTTCCTTTCGTCTTATAAAGTTCTCCCTTTTTCTTTTATTTTGAATCTTAACGTAGATGCGTTCGAATACTTCGGAAAGCTACGACTGCGGCGTCGAACAGTGACGCGATCTCTCTCTCTCCCCTCTCGACCTTTTTGTTGTCAACCCTGACGACGTTTATGTATTTGTTTGTGGGTCAGCTTGCGCACCTGACTACCGTCAGAGACGAGCGCGTGCAAATGGACTGGAGTTGTACGGGTCGCTCTGTGTGCTCTTGTGTGGGTGCTCTATGTCGGCAACGGAGAAGTGGGGTGCCGTGCCAGCATCGCGCACCTTCACTCTCCGGCTCCGTCATCTCCTGTGAAGCGCCGGGGATGTGTTCACTTTATGCGCTTCCGAGTAACTATGCGTTAGATGTCTGTGCCAACTGTCCAAACAAGAGAGTATTTATCACGATGACGCGAAACAAGCAATGAAACCCCTCTCACCGAAGAGCGCTGCACTCTGTGTGAGCTTACCTAGCAGCGTAACTAGCCGAAGCAACGGTTACCGTGCTGCCTTCGTGTTGGCTCAGTGGACGGGGCTGCCTGTGGCGGTGGGAGTGCGGCTGCAGGGTTGCGATCCCGAGGCTTTATAACGTCCCCACCGTATTGCGGTGACTGTGGCCTCGGATCACGACGTTTTCGTCACCAGCGCAGGACACCAGCTATTTGTTTCCCTCCCTCCTCTCTGTTAACGGATACATTTGATCGCATGTCCATCGGCGAGATAGCCGGGATGGCTGTGCCCACACGCGCTCTCTTCGTTATCCGTGATTCGCGCAGTACTGACTACTACACCCTTCGCATGATCATTGACTTTGATGACACGATCATGCGAGATGGCGTGCGGCACCTGGGAACCCGCTCCGCTGCCCAAATATTGTATTCCCTTCTCCCTTCTTTGCCCATCCGCTGCTCTGTGCTCCGCGCCACTTCATATAACGCCGCGACAGAATTCTGTTAAGCGTCCCCCCTCAACCACCCTCACACCTCTCACTTTAACCACCTCCCACACACACACATAAGTGTCTTCAAAAGAACAGCATGCCCGCTCAGGAGTATAACGTTGGCTGCTACCTGCTGGACCGCCTGGTGGAGATCGGGTGTGGTCACCTGTTCGGCGTTCCCGGCGACTACAACCTGCGCTTCCTGGACGACGTGACTGCGCAGAAGGACCTGGAGTGGGTTGGCTGCGCGAATGAGCTGAACGCTGCGTACGCGGCCGACGGGTATGCGCGGTGCCGCCGCATCGCCGCCGTGCTGACGACGTACGGCGTGGGTGAGCTGAGCGCCGTGAACGGCATTGCCGGCGCGTACGCCGAGCGCAACCCTGTGATCCACATCGTTGGTGGGCCTTCGACGGAGGCGGAGCACGGCCACAAGATGATGCACCACACGCTGGGCGACGGTCTGTTCCAGCACTTCAGCCTGATGAGCGAGAATATTTCTTGTATGACTGCCCGCCTGACGGTGGAGAATGCGCTGACCGAGATCGACCGCGTAATCCGTGGTGTGATGTACCACAAGAAGCCCGGCTACATCTTGATGCCGATGGATGTGGCTGTTGCGCCGGCGTTCCCGCCGACGGTGCGCCTTGCGCCGCGCATGGCCGAGTTCTCGCAGGACGCGCTGGACGCCTTCAAGGTTGCGGCGGAGGAGAAGATCAAGAGCTCCAAGCGCACCTCCGCTCTGGTGGGCTACCTGTGCGACCGCTTCCTGTGCCACAAGGAGGCGCAGGCGCTGGTGGACGACGCGCACATCCCGTTCGCGCACATGCTGCTGGGCAAGGGCACGCTGAACGAGCAGTCGCCGAACTACCTCGGCTGCTACTTCGGCTCGTCGTGCCCCGACAGCGTGCGCCGCCCGGTCGAGGATGCCGACGTGTGCGTGATGCTGGGCGTGAAGTTCCACGACTTCGGCACCGGCTACTTCTCGCAGAAGATTCACCTGGACCACATGATCGACATCCAGCCCTTTGAGAGCACGATCAACGGCCGCGTGTACCCGCAGCTGCCGATGAAGGACGCCATTCTCGCCGTGCACGAGATTGTCATGAAGTACTGCGACAACTGGCCCAAGAACGAGTCGAAGCCGCCGCGGTTCCCTGCGCCGGAGGACGAGAAGTTCTCGATGCGCCACTTCTGGAACGAGGTGCAGGACAACCTGACGGAGGGCGACATCATTGTGGTGGACCAGGGCACGTCGAGCTCAGCGGGCGCGGGCCTGGTGCTGCCGCGCAACGGCAAGTGCATCGTGCAGTGCCTGTGGGGCTCCATCGGCTTCTCGCTGCCCGCTGCCTTTGGCGCGCAGCTCGCGGAGCCGCATCGCCGCGTGATCCTGTCCGTTGGCGACGGCTCCGCGCAGATGACGATCCAGGAGCTGGGCTCCTTCCTGCGCCACGGTCTGCGCCCGATCGTGTTCCTGGTGAACAACGACGGCTACGTGATCGAGCGCGTGATCCACGGGTGGAACGAGGCGTACAACGACATCGCGACGTGGAACTGGTGCGCGCTGGCGAAGGCGATGAGCGCGACGGAGAACCAGGCGGACACGGCGACGGTGAAGGAGGTGGGCGTGATCGCGAGGATGATGAAGGAGACGCAGAAGGAGCGCAGCGCGCTGATGTTCCGCGAGGTGATGCTTGGCCGCCACGAGCTGCCTATCGTGTCCCTTGCCTGGAAGCCGAACTAACAGTGTTGTCTCAACCCAGGTGTTGGTGCATACTGTGTGTAGCTACCGCTTGCTCGTACTGTGAGTTCGCGGTCCTGGTGTTTTTCGTATTGCCGCTTCGTTGTCGGAACCCCCGGCAGAGGCGCTGTGCGTCGCCGCCGGGCAGTGGGCTGGGAGTTTCTGCGATGCAGTCCGCCGACGGTGCGAATGACACACATTGCCGTTCATGCTGTAACTTGTTTGCCGCTGCCCTAGACAGCTCGCTCACCCGAGTCAGGTTTTCACGTTCCTGACAGAAGTGATGGAGGAGTCCTGAAAGAGCGGCGTGGACGTTGGCATTTCAGCTCGTTGCGACGCTCCGTTTTCTTCGCGGCGTGGTGGCGCGACCCTCGAGCTTTGAATGTGACACCGCTCCTTCAAAATACAATAATTCTTTTAATTGTCTCGTCATCATTTATTGTTATTATTATTATTGTTCTCTGATCGCCAATACACTGTGTGCGGCGGAACGTGACGGGAAAACTATACACAGTCTTTTCCCCCTTCTATTGAAGCGGCATTCGCAAACTATCTTTTCTTCACTTTCTGGTTCGCATGATGGCCCTCTTTTCTTTGCTGTGCTCTCTTCGCGCTGTTGACCGCCCTCATTCGACAGAGGTGTGTGCGAGGTCAACAGCTACGCTGAAGGTAGCAACCGATTTTGTAAATTGTGTGTTTATGGTGCCTGTGAGAGAATCTGGCGCACTGCAACACCTGAGTTCTGACGCGTGCGGTCCCCTTGCCTCTTCCAGGGCAGTCTCTCTCTCGAGGGCACTGTGCTCATGTACTGTGTGCCGCGCCCCCTCGCAGAAGCCAACCGAGTCAGCTCACGGGTCACCTTCACCACAACAAAATGACGCCATCACGCGACGCACGCTGACGTTTATTGACGCCCTTTCCTTTCGTCTTATAAAGTTCTCCCTTTTTCTTTTATTTTGAATCTTAACGTAGATGCGTTCGAATACTTCGGAAAGCTACGACTGCGGCGTCGAACAGTGACGCGATCTCTCTCTCTCCCCTCTCGACCTTTTTGTTGTCAACCCTGACGACGTTTATGTATTTGTTTGTGGGTCAGCTTGCGCACCTGACTACCGTCAGAGACGAGCGCGTGCAAATGGACTGGAGTTGTACGGGTCGCTCTGTGTGCTCTTGTGTGGGTGCTCTATGTCGGCAACGGAGAAGTGGGGTGCCGTGCCAGCATCGCGCACCTTCACTCTCCGGCTCCGTCATCTCCTGTGAAGCGCCGGGGATGTGTTCACTTTATGCGCTTCCGAGTAACTATGCGTTAGATGTCTGTGCCAACTGTCCAAACAAGAGAGTATTTATCACGATGACGCGAAACAAGCAATGAAACCCCTCTCACCGAAGAGCGCTGCACTCTGTGTGAGCTTACCTAGCAGCGTAACTAGCCGAAGCAACGGTTACCGTGCTGCCTTCGTGTTGGCTCAGTGGACGGGGCTGCCTGTGGCGGTGGGAGTGCGGCTGCAGGGTTGCGATCCCGAGGCTTTATAACGTCCCCACCGTATTGCGGTGACTGTGGCCTCGGATCACGACGTTTTCGTCACCAGCGCAGGACACCAGCTATTTGTTTCCCTCCCTCCTCTCTGTTAACGGATACATTTGATCGCATGTCCATCGGCGAGATAGCCGGGATGGCTGTGCCCACACGCGCTCTCTTCGTTATCCGTGATTCGCGCAGTACTGACTACTACACCCTTCGCATGATCATTGACTTTGATGACACGATCATGCGAGATGGCGTGCGGCACCTGGGAACCCGCTCCGCTGCCCAAATATTGTATTCCCTTCTCCCTTCTTTGCCCATCCGCTGCTCTGTGCTCCGCGCCACTTCATATAACGCCGCGACAGAATTCTGTTAAGCGTCCCCCCTCAACCACCCTCACACCTCTCACTTTAACCACCTCCCACACACACACATAAGTGTCTTCAAAAGAACAGCATGCCCGCTCAGGAGTATAACGTTGGCTGCTACCTGCTGGACCGCCTGGTGGAGATCGGGTGTGGTCACCTGTTCGGCGTTCCCGGCGACTACAACCTGCGCTTCCTGGACGACGTGACTGCGCAGAAGGACCTGGAGTGGGTTGGCTGCGCGAATGAGCTGAACGCTGCGTACGCGGCCGACGGGTATGCGCGGTGCCGCCGCATCGCCGCCGTGCTGACGACGTACGGCGTGGGTGAGCTGAGCGCCGTGAACGGCATTGCCGGCGCGTACGCCGAGCGCAACCCTGTGATCCACATCGTTGGTGGGCCTTCGACGGAGGCGGAGCACGGCCACAAGATGATGCACCACACGCTGGGCGACGGTCTGTTCCAGCACTTCAGCCTGATGAGCGAGAATATTTCTTGTATGACTGCCCGCCTGACGGTGGAGAATGCGCTGACCGAGATCGACCGCGTAATCCGTGGTGTGATGTACCACAAGAAGCCCGGCTACATCTTGATGCCGATGGATGTGGCTGTTGCGCCGGCGTTCCCGCCGACGGTGCGCCTTGCGCCGCGCATGGCCGAGTTCTCGCAGGACGCGCTGGACGCCTTCAAGGTTGCGGCGGAGGAGAAGATCAAGAGCTCCAAGCGCACCTCCGCTCTGGTGGGCTACCTGTGCGACCGCTTCCTGTGCCACAAGGAGGCGCAGGCGCTGGTGGACGACGCGCACATCCCGTTCGCGCACATGCTGCTGGGCAAGGGCACGCTGAACGAGCAGTCGCCGAACTACCTCGGCTGCTACTTCGGCTCGTCGTGCCCCGACAGCGTGCGCCGCCCGGTCGAGGATGCCGACGTGTGCGTGATGCTGGGCGTGAAGTTCCACGACTTCGGCACCGGCTACTTCTCGCAGAAGATTCACCTGGACCACATGATCGACATCCAGCCCTTTGAGAGCACGATCAACGGCCGCGTGTACCCGCAGCTGCCGATGAAGGACGCCATTCTCGCCGTGCACGAGATTGTCATGAAGTACTGCGACAACTGGCCCAAGAACGAGTCGAAGCCGCCGCGGTTCCCTGCGCCGGAGGACGAGAAGTTCTCGATGCGCCACTTCTGGAACGAGGTGCAGGACAACCTGACGGAGGGCGACATCATTGTGGTGGACCAGGGCACGTCGAGCTCAGCGGGCGCGGGCCTGGTGCTGCCGCGCAACGGCAAGTGCATCGTGCAGTGCCTGTGGGGCTCCATCGGCTTCTCGCTGCCCGCTGCCTTTGGCGCGCAGCTCGCGGAGCCGCATCGCCGCGTGATCCTGTCCGTTGGCGACGGCTCCGCGCAGATGACGATCCAGGAGCTGGGCTCCTTCCTGCGCCACGGTCTGCGCCCGATCGTGTTCCTGGTGAACAACGACGGCTACGTGATCGAGCGCGTGATCCACGGGTGGAACGAGGCGTACAACGACATCGCGACGTGGAACTGGTGCGCGCTGGCGAAGGCGATGAGCGCGACGGAGAACCAGGCGGACACGGCGACGGTGAAGGAGGTGGGCGTGATCGCGAGGATGATGAAGGAGACGCAGAAGGAGCGCAGCGCGCTGATGTTCCGCGAGGTGATGCTTGGCCGCCACGAGCTGCCTATCGTGTCCCTTGCCTGGAAGCCGAACTAACGGAGCGTGCTCGCTTTGACGTGCAGAGGGTGCGGTGACTCACCGTACGTACTGCGTGCGGGCTGCACACACGTGGTGTGAGACCCTCCATCAGGAGGCCCGAGCACCGGCGTGTGTGCGACCCGCATCATATCAAAAAAGAATTAATTATTTAAACTACGGGAAATGTAAGAGTAATTAACCACGCTATTTTGCGTGCCTCTTTTTTTTTCTTTCGCTATTATTTTCCGCCACCCTTCCTGAGAAGGGTCCAGGCGGATCGCTAATTGTAACGGTTGCGTCGATCGGTTGCAGACGTACCAGACGGTTGTCGACGGGTAGAACTGCGGTTGTCGGTAGTCGTTTGGCTACACAGACTCGATCTATACTCCTGTCCCGGGCTCCTGTGTGCACGGACGTGCTGCGTTTGCGCGAGGGTGGCTCATTTGTTGCGAGTTGCACGTGCGGGCAACTAGCACCTGTGACCAACGCTCCGCTGACGGCAGCATGAACAGCGTTCAAAATTATAATTGTCTTGTATTGTTTGGCAGTGGCTTCTGGCGCTCGCAGCCTGCGGTTGGTGTGTCGTTGGCGTTGTGCTTGGTACAAGTTGCCTTGACACTTCCCCGGCCCCTCCGCTCGCCGCGACGCGAGCGACACGCGTGGGTCATGTGACGCGCTGAAACAGCAGCCCCAACAAAAGAAGTGACGTGTAATCGGGCAAACAACGAAGAGTCCATACGCATGTGGTGAGATGGTGACGGCTGCAGTGCAAACCGGCACCCGTGTGCTGCATGGTGGCGCTGCGAGCTGGCGACTGCGTCGGCACAAGTGTCTTTCCCGCCCTTTGCAGCGTCGTTGTAAGCGCGCACACACAGCTGCGTGCTGTCTGTCTTTCCCTCTTTCCCCTTTTCCCTCTTTGTTAACGCGTCAGCACCTCCTCCCCTGTCCTCCTTCTTTGCCCCTACCCTGCTCTGTGCTCCGCACCACTTCATATAACGCCGCGACAGAATTCTGTTAAGCGTCCCCCCTCAACCACCCTCACACCTCTCACTTTAACCACCTCCCAACACACACACACATAAGTGTCTTCAAAAGAACAGCATGCCCGCTCAGGAGTATAACGTTGGCTGCTACCTGCTGGACCGCCTGGTGGAGATCGGGTGTGGTCACCTGTTCGGCGTTCCCGGCGACTACAACCTGCGCTTCCTGGACGACGTGACTGCGCAGAAGGACCTGGAGTGGGTTGGCTGCGCGAATGAGCTGAACGCTGCGTACGCGGCCGACGGGTATGCGCGGTGCCGCCGCATCGCCGCCGTGCTGACGACGTACGGCGTGGGTGAGCTGAGCGCCGTGAACGGCATTGCCGGCGCGTACGCCGAGCGCAACCCTGTGATCCACATCGTTGGTGGGCCTTCGACGGAGGCGGAGCACGGCCACAAGATGATGCACCACACGCTGGGCGACGGTCTGTTCCAGCACTTCAGCCTGATGAGCGAGAATATTTCTTGTATGACTGCCCGCCTGACGGTGGAGAATGCGCTGACCGAGATCGACCGCGTAATCCGTGGTGTGATGTACCACAAGAAGCCCGGCTACATCTTGATGCCGATGGATGTGGCTGTTGCGCCGGCGTTCCCGCCGACGGTGCGCCTTGCGCCGCGCATGGCCGAGTTCTCGCAGGACGCGCTGGACGCCTTCAAGGTTGCGGCGGAGGAGAAGATCAAGAGCTCCAAGCGCACCTCCGCTCTGGTGGGCTACCTGTGCGACCGCTTCCTGTGCCACAAGGAGGCGCAGGCGCTGGTGGACGACGCGCACATCCCGTTCGCGCACATGCTGCTGGGCAAGGGCACGCTGAACGAGCAGTCGCCGAACTACCTCGGCTGCTACTTCGGCTCGTCGTGCCCCGACAGCGTGCGCCGCCCGGTCGAGGATGCCGACGTGTGCGTGATGCTGGGCGTGAAGTTCCACGACTTCGGCACCGGCTACTTCTCGCAGAAGATTCACCTGGACCACATGATCGACATCCAGCCCTTTGAGAGCACGATCAACGGCCGCGTGTACCCGCAGCTGCCGATGAAGGACGCCATTCTCGCCGTGCACGAGATTGTCATGAAGTACTGCGACAACTGGCCCAAGAACGAGTCGAAGCCGCCGCGGTTCCCTGCGCCGGAGGACGAGAAGTTCTCGATGCGCCACTTCTGGAACGAGGTGCAGGACAACCTGACGGAGGGCGACATCATTGTGGTGGACCAGGGCACGTCGAGCTCAGCGGGCGCGGGCCTGGTGCTGCCGCGCAACGGCAAGTGCATCGTGCAGTGCCTGTGGGGCTCCATCGGCTTCTCGCTGCCCGCTGCCTTTGGCGCGCAGCTCGCGGAGCCGCATCGCCGCGTGATCCTGTCCGTTGGCGACGGCTCCGCGCAGATGACGATCCAGGAGCTGGGCTCCTTCCTGCGCCACGGTCTGCGCCCGATCGTGTTCCTGGTGAACAACGACGGCTACGTGATCGAGCGCGTGATCCACGGGTGGAACGAGGCGTACAACGACATCGCGACGTGGAACTGGTGCGCGCTGGCGAAGGCGATGAGCGCGACGGAGAACCAGGCGGACACGGCGACGGTGAAGGAGGTGGGCGTGATCGCGAGGATGATGAAGGAGACGCAGAAGGAGCGCAGCGCGCTGATGTTCCGCGAGGTGATGCTTGGCCGCCACGAGCTGCCTATCGTGTCCCTTGCCTGGAAGCCGAACTAACGGAGCGTGCTCGCTTTGACGTGCAGAGGGTGCGGTGACTCACCGTACGTACTGCGTGCGGGCTGCACACACGTGGTGTGAGACCCTCCATCAGGAGGCCCGAGCACCGGCGTGTGTGCGACCCGCATCATATCAAAAAAGAATTAATTATTTAAACTACGGGAAATGTAAGAGTAATTAACCACGCTATTTTGCGTGCCTCTTTTTTTTTCTTTCGCTATTATTTTCCGCCACCCTTCCTGAGAAGGGTCCAGGCGGATCGCTAATTGTAACGGTTGCGTCGATCGGTTGCAGACGTACCAGACGGTTGTCGACGGGTAGAACTGCGGTTGTCGGTAGTCGTTTGGCTACACAGACTCGATCTATACTCCTGTCCCGGGCTCCTGTGTGCACGGACGTGCTGCGTTTGCGCGAGGGTGGCTCATTTGTTGCGAGTTGCACGTGCGGGCAACTAGCACCTGTGACCAACGCTCCGCTGACGGCAGCATGAACAGCGTTCAAAATTATAATTGTCTTGTATTGTTTGGCAGTGGCTTCTGGCGCTCGCAGCCTGCGGTTGGTGTGTCGTTGGCGTTGTGCTTGGTACAAGTTGCCTTGACACTTCCCCGGCCCCTCCGCTCGCCGCGACGCGAGCGACACGCGTGGGTCATGTGACGCGCTGAAACAGCAGCCCCAACAAAAGAAGTGACGTGTAATCGGGCAAACAACGAAGAGTCCATACGCATGTGGTGAGATGGTGACGGCTGCAGTGCAAACCGGCACCCGTGTGCTGCATGGTGGCGCTGCGAGCTGGCGACTGCGTCGGCACAAGTGTCTTTCCCGCCCTTTGCAGCGTCGTTGTAAGCGCGCACACACAGCTGCGTGCTGTCTGTCTTTCCCTCTTTCCCCTTTTCCCTCTTTGTTAACGCGTCAGCACCTCCTCCCCTGTCCTCCTTCTTTGCCCCTACCCTGCTCTGTGCTCCGCACCACTTCATATAACGCCGCGACAGAATTCTGTTAAGCGTCCCCCCTCAACCACCCTCACACCTCTCACTTTAACCACCTCCCAACACACACACACATAAGTGTCTTCAAAAGAACAGCATGCCCGCTCAGGAGTATAACGTTGGCTGCTACCTGCTGGACCGCCTGGTGGAGATCGGGTGTGGTCACCTGTTCGGCGTTCCCGGCGACTACAACCTGCGCTTCCTGGACGACGTGACTGCGCAGAAGGACCTGGAGTGGGTTGGCTGCGCGAATGAGCTGAACGCTGCGTACGCGGCCGACGGGTATGCGCGGTGCCGCCGCATCGCCGCCGTGCTGACGACGTACGGCGTGGGTGAGCTGAGCGCCGTGAACGGCATTGCCGGCGCGTACGCCGAGCGCAACCCTGTGATCCACATCGTTGGTGGGCCTTCGACGGAGGCGGAGCACGGCCACAAGATGATGCACCACACGCTGGGCGACGGTCTGTTCCAGCACTTCAGCCTGATGAGCGAGAATATTTCTTGTATGACTGCCCGCCTGACGGTGGAGAATGCGCTGACCGAGATCGACCGCGTAATCCGTGGTGTGATGTACCACAAGAAGCCCGGCTACATCTTGATGCCGATGGATGTGGCTGTTGCGCCGGCGTTCCCGCCGACGGTGCGCCTTGCGCCGCGCATGGCCGAGTTCTCGCAGGACGCGCTGGACGCCTTCAAGGTTGCGGCGGAGGAGAAGATCAAGAGCTCCAAGCGCACCTCCGCTCTGGTGGGCTACCTGTGCGACCGCTTCCTGTGCCACAAGGAGGCGCAGGCGCTGGTGGACGACGCGCACATCCCGTTCGCGCACATGCTGCTGGGCAAGGGCACGCTGAACGAGCAGTCGCCGAACTACCTCGGCTGCTACTTCGGCTCGTCGTGCCCCGACAGCGTGCGCCGCCCGGTCGAGGATGCCGACGTGTGCGTGATGCTGGGCGTGAAGTTCCACGACTTCGGCACCGGCTACTTCTCGCAGAAGATTCACCTGGACCACATGATCGACATCCAGCCCTTTGAGAGCACGATCAACGGCCGCGTGTACCCGCAGCTGCCGATGAAGGACGCCATTCTCGCCGTGCACGAGATTGTCATGAAGTACTGCGACAACTGGCCCAAGAACGAGTCGAAGCCGCCGCGGTTCCCTGCGCCGGAGGACGAGAAGTTCTCGATGCGCCACTTCTGGAACGAGGTGCAGGACAACCTGACGGAGGGCGACATCATTGTGGTGGACCAGGGCACGTCGAGCTCAGCGGGCGCGGGCCTGGTGCTGCCGCGCAACGGCAAGTGCATCGTGCAGTGCCTGTGGGGCTCCATCGGCTTCTCGCTGCCCGCTGCCTTTGGCGCGCAGCTCGCGGAGCCGCATCGCCGCGTGATCCTGTCCGTTGGCGACGGCTCCGCGCAGATGACGATCCAGGAGCTGGGCTCCTTCCTGCGCCACGGTCTGCGCCCGATCGTGTTCCTGGTGAACAACGACGGCTACGTGATCGAGCGCGTGATCCACGGGTGGAACGAGGCGTACAACGACATCGCGACGTGGAACTGGTGCGCGCTGGCGAAGGCGATGAGCGCGACGGAGAACCAGGCGGACACGGCGACGGTGAAGGAGGTGGGCGTGATCGCGAGGATGATGAAGGAGACGCAGAAGGAGCGCAGCGCGCTGATGTTCCGCGAGGTGATGCTTGGCCGCCACGAGCTGCCTATCGTGTCCCTTGCCTGGAAGCCGAACTAACGGAGCGTGCTCGCTTTGACGTGCAGAGGGTGCGGTGAGTCACCGCCGGTGTACCGTGAGGTTGCTGGCACGAGGTATGGGTGCCTGTCTCAGGTGGCGCAAGCAGTTGCGTGGGTGCGTCTGCGTGCCCTCGGCGACAGGTAGAAACGTTGATATCCTGAATACGTTTTTGGTCCTATTTAATTTTATAATGTGTCTTGTGTTTTTATCTATTGTGTTGGTTCTACAAAACGCCAAATTGTTCACTGCGCTGAATTGTTCACTGTCCCCCGTTGAGGACTGAGGTTTCAACGAAGTGCTAGTTAGCCAATATTCCCTCAACGTAGATGCTCCGCAATGTTCGTGGACGGGTGTACATCGTTCTCTTTCTTTTTTTCTTCTTTAACGCGCCAGTTTATATGTAATACAGGTGCTTACTAAGAGTACAATTTTTGTGTTTCTCTGTCTCGCTGTTGTGGATCATAATTGCCTCTCTTGGTAGCACGACGCTCTTTCGTTGTTGTTTGTTTGAAGGCCAACCAATGCTGTTCTCGACAATAACGCACCTCCTTTTTCTATATACACCTTAAACCCCAGTCTTCGTCTGGCTTTTCTAATCGTTCCCCAACCAAGACGCAGTGCGAATGCACTGTGAGTTGTTTATTATTATTATTTCGGTGCAGATATCATTGTTGTCCGTACTCGCTTTCAGTCCACGTTTTAATGGGTGTGTTTGAGGAACGTGCGAGAGGAGGGAAACGGTTTCTTGGACCGGAAACGGCAGCAAAGTATGAATGAAAGCGCGTTAAAGTAAGGCACGGCGGCGCTAATTACGCAGAGGTTTCTCGTTCACGGGTACGCATACGCTCGTCCCAGGTTGCGTTTCTCTCTTCTCCAGGTGCAAAGAAGGGTTCTGGCTTCGGTTTGACTTGCACGCTTCAGCGCTCGGAGGTTGTTTTGTATGTCCTCCTTTTATCTGACGTGCTCGTGCGCCATCGCTCTGCACCCTGCGAAATGAACTTGTATATTTTTGGTCTACCCCTTTGGCGGCATTTCACTGCGGGATATGTCACTTCATCAGAGGTATTCTTTCTGCGCTTTGATCACGCTCCTCAAAGCGCTCAAAGCAATCCAACAGCCCATACCTCTCTATCTTCTTGAACCCCCATCTCCATATTTGGTGCTGTGCCCCGCCGCCATCCTGCGCTGGAGAGACAATAGCAAACTTTTTCTTTTAGAAGACTTTCGATTATCCAGGGTGGCGGGACTTTATTTTTCTCTTTCTTTTCCCCACTGCTGTTGTGATGTCGAGTGGTGTGTTCAAGCGCAGCACGGACGTGGTTAGAACTCGATCGGAGGTTTTCTCCGACTCCCCGCCGTGTCACGACGTCGCGGGGAAGGTGGCTCATCTGTCCACCATCGCATCTGACGCTTCCAGCGCAGAGGTGCGCCCCCAACTAGCTGCCATCCGTCGTGAACTCGATGTGTTGAAGCAACGCCGTGCTGCTCTGGAGGCGCAGCGGAGTGCATTGCTCAACGAAAAGCTGCATCCTTCGCGGGACAAGAAAAGCGACGGGTACAACACCTCCAGTCCAATCTCTACCCCACGTGGCCTCCATGCGTCGTGGTCTGCCGGAGGGCTCACTGGAACGCGCCGGCATTGCGAAGAAGGCACCTTCGCGGCCGCGTCCACATCGCATAGCACCTCGCGGCACCGCTACGTGGACTCTACCGTCTTGGCAAACATGTCAGAGATTCCTTCGGAGAGGAGGCGCCAACGGCACTTAACGCAGACGCCGGAGCTCGGCGTGAAGGTTGCCATGCGCGAGGCCGCAAAGCACGACAGTACGCTGCTGATGGGGGACTTTCTCCCCGAGGATAACCCGCATGCCTGCACCTTTGGTCGTGAGCGTCGCTTCCGTTCAGTGGTGGGCCAGCATGGACAGTACTACCTTAGCACCGATGTGGGTGTCGAACAGCTGCTGAACCGAGACCACGTAGACCCTGTCATGTATCAGAGAGTCGCACCGCGGCATGACCAGACCCCCGGCCCTGGCGCGTATACGCCGCGGTACTGCAAAGTCTCTCGCCCGCCTCGCTTCTACTAAGTAGCGGACGTCAAAAGAAAAAGGCGGCTCTGTTGAGTTCTTTTCTCATTCTGTACACTTTACCGGTGAGCTTACCTGCATGCCGATGTGTTGATGTCACTGCCTTTGTATGAATGATTGTGCCGCGTAAATTTTACCCCCCCCCCCCGTCGCTCCCTTCCTTCCCTGTAGATTCTCGCACCCTATCGAGGCACCATTTTGTTCTTCTCTTGTTTTCGAGGAACACTCTCTCTCTCTTTACAGCAAGGCAAATGCGCGACGGTATGTCATTGCGGTGGAACTTGAGGAGGGGGGGGGGTTAGGTTTTTCTGCGGCTCTGCGTCTGCACCGGCAGTCTCGCTATCTCATGAATGTAAATGGGCCTTGTCTGTTGCATTTGTACTCGCCATCGTTTGGTGTGGATCTGCTGACGTGGAAGTCTGCCACACACAGCCGTAAATGCAGCTCAAACGTTCCGTTGACGTAATGTGTTGTTTAAAACTGTTTTTGTTTTTTTCTCCAGGAGGGGAGGTGACGCGCTCAGGTTGTATTTAATCTTTGTATTTGTCCTTGTGTGTTGTGCCTTTAAAAGGATTTCACTCAAGTGCGGGCGGCAGCAACTGTTTTGGCTTTTTCAACCTCTTCGTCGTTGCGGAAACCTGTTGCTCTTATTATCCCTACATTGCATTTTGTTGGTTTAGATTTTATTTAGATAGATTGGTCATGGACATGAAAGGTCCAGTTACACCTCACAAGAAGAGCGTCAAAGAGAATATGAAGTACCGCATACACTTTGCGCATGTTCGAATGCATTTTCATCGCGTTGAGTAGCACTCATCTAGATGCGTGGCATTCATCACCGCTATGGCGAAATAGAACCACAAAAAAAAGTGAGGTGTACTTACAAGAAGATGTACCCAACTGTGGTTTTCCATTGCGCTGCGTCGCTGATCACGTCCCAGCAGAGATTTCGTCAAGTGCCTTCCGTCGTTGATGCTTCGGGTCGTACTAATTCATTTTAAGCCAATGGAGTGTTCACCTGCGCTTACTGCTCCGCTTCTGACTCATCTCTGTTTCTCGCTACTTCACTTTCACGCGTCGTTACTTCTACCACTCTTTTCTTTCGTTCGTGCTCCCTTTATGGATGCGCCATTTCTGATTCTTCCTCTGGACGGCTTTTTCTTCTTGTTGGAAGGGAATTCCTCGCATCTACTCAGCTGACCTGCAGGGCAGTACACACAAAAGGAAAAGTTTAAAGGACTACGTAGGAAGGCAGAACGAGGGCAGGGCGTTGTGCGTTGTGCATTTCATTCCAGCGCAGACCCTAAGAGACAACTCGTTGAACTGTTGGATTGCTGACACTGTCAGCAACGCTGAACAGTTTCGCTCAGGGGGTGTTACGGAAAGCTTTTGCTTTACAACTCCTCCTGTTAGTTTTATTTTGTTGTGGGTTTTTTTTTTTCTTTTGCTGGGTAGCGGTTAAGCGCGTTTTAACCTCCCCCCCCCCAAATACAAGTGGTGTTCTGGTGACTGTTTATCTATATGTATATGTTGCCGCCTTGTCCTTGTAGTTTTAAGAGCCCGCTCCTTTGATGTATTGATACGTCGAACCGGTGTTGTTATTGTCTACGCTTTGCTTTTCTATTACCAACTTGATCTTGTCCCTTTCTCTTCCTTCTCGTTTTTCTTTACTTCCTTTGTACACGCCTTCTGTGCCTCACCGCACATCATGCCGTCTTCGACGTACAACTTTCCTCTCCCACTGAGAGAGATTGCCGAAGAGGCGAACGCTATCCCGCCGCCCAATCTCGATCAGCCCCCGATTGTCTTTGGCTATGCGACACTTTTCTGCGCTGTTAGCTTTATGTTGTGGTTTGCCTACAACGTCTGTGCGTGCCTCAAGGAGGAAATGATGGACTTCCACACCGCGTCGCCAATCTTGAGCTCACGCTGGCATCTTGTTCTCTGGGTCGCCGTCTCGCCGCAGCTCTTGTTTTTCTGCGCCTACGCCAGCTGGCTGGGCTGGAAGTTCTTCAAGCACAACTAACTGTACCCCGACTTCGGGGGTACGACTTTGGGGTGGAGCACACACGCACACACAAGCAAAAGTATGAGAATAATCAGAACCGAATAACAGACACGCGATGCCGAAGTATGGCACTTCATAACGGAGAGACCAGTCTCTGAGGCATCTCAGAAGGCTGAGCTTTGACGATGAACTCCAAAACGTAAAACGCACTATAATTCTCTGTCAGCGCCATGAATGTGGAAGAGAGAAAGAGAAAAAGAGGGCGCTGCAGCGTTGCCTCGAAGTCCTGGGCCTGTTGTGAAGGTGTTTTCCCCCTTCTCCTGTCTCTCGGAGGTTCGCTGACTTCTAATTCTTTTTGTAACTGCTACGATAGACCTTGTTTTTGCTTTTTGCGTAACGTAAGAAATGGAAGAAAGCAAAGGCGTACAGTTTTCGGAAGGTGTAACCCTTTCAGGAACCGAAGGGAATAGCCCTTCGCTCCGTTTCGCGCACTATGGGGTCCGGTAGGGAGCGGGGTAGCAGTTGAGTGCCACGCGGGTGGCGCCTCGGTGTCTCTACAAGGAAGAAACAAAGGATGCGCACTTGATGGAATGAAAGTGTCGTTTGCGAATCCCCGTGGACTATTGAGAGCCGTTGGAGTGCCTGGGGTATGGGCGTCACTTGTCTCTCTGGTGTGTTCTCTCCACTGCGCCACAAGGTTACACAAGACCAAATCGCGATGCTTTTCTCTTGTAGTGCGCGTCCGCTTCATTTGATTTCTCATCCTCTCTTTTTTCTTTCTCTGCAACTGCGCTTTTCCCACGCAACTCTTGGCTTTCCGAATTCCACTCGAAAGCGACGTTGCTCTCGGGGCACCCACACACACACACATTTGCACGTACTTGCAACCACATTCGGGTCGCACACCAAGCGTAAAATACGTTTGCATAATTGCGTTTCGAGAGGTTTTTCCTCTGTTCTCAGTTTCAACAACAAAAAGGGTATCAACGAAGAACGGCCGGCCTTTTTTATCCACTGAAGGAAGAACATCGTTAACTCACTCATCACTGTTCCTTTTTTTTTTGACTTCTGTATTTATTACTCTGCCATCGTGTTTTTATTATCATTTTTTTTTCTTTGCTTCTGAAGCTGCTGCAGCTATCGCACTGGTGTCATATATATACCTTTTATTTTGACGCGCCCAGCATAAGACCGCATGACGTGTTCTCTGCTCCGTAATTCTGCACTGAAAACGATTCCCTGCTGGTGCACCCATCACAGTCTTCTTGTTTGAATCCAACTCCACGCAAAACGAAACTTAGTGGGCGAGGCACCGTGGAAACGCGATGCTCGACGTTCCGGACTATCGCCAGAAGCCTTTTGTGAGGTTTGTCTACGCCTGGCCCGCGCTCATCGGCGTAATCCTGTTTGTATCCCTCACGTTGTACGGCATGTGTCGATGTCTCTCTCGAAGTTTTGACTCGTCTGCCTCACAGCGCATCGGCTCGAGCTCGAATTCTGTTCGGCAAGACGTCTTTTACGTGGTGGCCGCCCCTCTCATTTTTCAGGGTCTGTGCGTGAGCATCTACACCACCTGGATAAGTTGGAAGTTTTTCCGACACAACTAAAGTGCTTTTCTTTACTGGGTTTTATTGTTTATGCACCGTGGCGAATTCATCTGATAGCGACCTTGGGGTGGGCGGACGGGGCATTGGCGTCAAATCGCTCTTTCTTCGATTAGCACATCTCCTTCGTCATGGATTACGGTGGCGTTTTTGTTCATCTCACAACGAAAAAATCTTCGGGGAATTACGATGGAACGCTCGTGTCGTTTTTTCTGAAAGGCTTCGGAATAGCGCTTCTCCGTCTGTGAGCGCGTCTTGGCACTTCTTTTGTTATTCTTCTGAGAGAGGAATCAGGGCTACACGCTTAGCGTATATGCAATAAGTGTCGTTTCAGGTAGTTTACTTCCTGTGTATGTGCGTTAAGGAATGCTTATTCAACGGACATGTGAAGATGTACTTATGATCAGTGCATTAAGCGTCTCTTTTTTTATTGGCTTCGTTGCATCTTCCACCTCTTTCGCATTGACATAGAACATCTTTATTTTAGTTGTAGTGTCAGTATTGATGCTTTTATTATTATTATTGAGATGTGGCAATTATCTGTTTCATTTGGAATGCTTGTGTTTTTTTGCGCTGGAGGCCGCATCCCATGGACACGCGAAAAAACGATTATCGCTACATCACCGTAAACTCGTGACGGTGGAAAACTCATGAGCGTAAGTGCATCTGCTCTAATATATGTACTTCCTTCGGCGTTGACAATTTTTTTTTTTTGGACCTGCATCAACTACTCTTTCGCTGCCAGAAAAGGTTTCTATCGAGTGAATTCTCTTTTTTCATATTCTGACTTCTGCTTCCTCAACCCCAAATGGCACTGTCGGAACGGATGACGCTCCCGTGAGAAGGATGAAATCCGCTCGCTGAGAACGGTGACTGTGCCGCGCCAGTTGGATAGCTATGCGATGTCGCGTGTACACGAAACAGCTATCTGCACTCCCACACCACACTTCTTTCGCCTCTCTTCCTTTTCTCTTTATTTGTGAGACACACAGCAAACGATGCATTGAGGGCCCCCAGACGATCAGGGTCTGACGACCACCAAGCTCATGAGTGTCAGCGGGTACATTCTGCCGAGGTATCCGGGGATTGGTCGCCGTCTTGCCAAGGAGGCCATGACCACGCAGGCTGACGCCGCCAGAGTCCACCAAAGGCGGGACTTGCTCGAGATGGGCACGCTTACTGCGAAGGAGCTCGACATCGTCGAACGCGCTCTTTACAGAGAAATCTGGCTTTGGCGAAACCGTGGCGCGCTCGGAGAACTCACGTGTCGTTCGTCTCCCTCCCTCTCTCCTGTTGTGCGCCATACGTACCACGCGGAGAAAACAATCGGGTACCTTTCCACGCACTGCGGGCCCACAGAGGTGTCTGCAGCGAGGGGTTGAGGGGCCCGCGCAGATCGGGACGGCGTGCTGCAGAAGGTGCGCGCTCAACACAGGCGCAATGGGTTGAGAGGGATTGCCCGTGGGGTTGAGCTCGAGTCCTTACACAGATTAAACAGATGATACGCCGCAGCGAGAAGGTTTCCAGGTCGTGTTCCGCTTTATGGAGGGCCCTCTCCGCCTTGCTGATCCGTATTCGCGACACATTGGGAATGTGGTGGACGGCTCGTTGAGGGTGACGAGAGCACATACAGTACTACCGTCGCTGGAAGAGAATTCCTCTGCACCGATGGGGCGGGGGGCGGGGGAGCTTTATGGGTACGTCGTCTCTGGTGGTGCATGACGTTGCCCAAGTCTACTTGACCAATGTGTGATGCGACGGAGGCGAACCTGCGATGCAGTAGCGAGACGGCAGCCATTCACGCTTTCTCATCTCCGTCTCACCTGGTATCCTTCACTCTCCTGTCTCTTACGAATCACTCAAACTACGAAGCAACCGCAGTCTCCATCAGAGCCGCCGCTGAGTTCGTCTCCTGCGCTACCTCACGAAGACGACGGCAGTTACACACGTTTCTTCGTTATCGGCATCAATCGTTTGAAATTGGTATCTTTTTTAAACCCACGCTATCTATCATGCATCTCTCCCATACAATTCCGTGGAATCAGTTCAGTCGCCACTTCGAGTTCATTCGAGAAAACAAAGCGATTTATGGACAGCCCACCGCTATTTTCCCTAAGAAAGACGAGCATGAGGTGTCAGACGGGCTGCACTTCGCGCGTGTCTTCGCGGACACTGTCGATGAGTTTGCCGTGACGGAGCGGAAGAAGTTTCCGGCGAAGATGGATATGAGTGTTCCTCTCTTCGCAGACGAACTCCTCGATCCTGAGCGCTTTCACCTCTCCCCTTACAGCAGTAACGACAACTCGTGCATTCCACTTAACGAAGATATGCAGCAGGTTTCGTTTTGGAAAAAGGAGAGTGAGAATGGCTTTTCCACGGAGCACGGCTACCTCGCGGATGCAGTGAAGTTTCTGATTCAGCAGCATCAAAGCGGCGCCCTTCTCACCCTCTGCCAGGCAGTTCCACTTCAGGGGTTGTTTAACCTCCACTGGGGGCACGGCTTTGGTGTCTATTTGCTGGCCTATCATTCGTTTCGCATCTACGTCTTCTTGAACCTTGTCTATTCAGTACAGCAGGATCTGCTGACGAAAGGGAAGAAGGCCTTCAAGATCTTCGACGTACCTGCGCTGAAGCGAGAAGTGCTTGAACTCTTCAGTAACAACGATTACAGTGCCCAATACATCGCGCATCGCCAGTTTTGGGACAAGTACGTGCAGAACCCGCGTAGCGATATGGAAGGCACCGTTTTCCAGGATCCCGCGGAGGTGGACCCTGCTGACCTGAAGCAGTACCTCGCCAACTGCTTTCGTGACATATATCTGTATGACATGATGCTGAAGGAGTGTGGGCAAGAGAAGACGAAGGAGTTCTGGGTCAACGATTTCATCCTCACCTTGAACTTCATGTTTCAACCGCTGTCCTTGCCGACGCCGGAATAAAGCGGTTCGTGAAGCATGTTGAGCGCATCGTTTCTCCGGCGTTGCTTGTACGGAAAGCCAGCCTTGCAGATGCACTCTTTATTCCGATCGCGATGTGGTCTCCGCCCTCCTGTTATTGATTTTTATTTTATTTCTGGAAAATTGGATCAAAAACAGCGCCGATAAACTTTTCACTCGCTCAACTGGCATTCATTACGTAACCTTCGCTTATGTTCTCCTCTCATTTTATCTTCCTCAGTCAAAACGTCCCTTCTTTTAGTTTTTCGCCTACGTGCTCAATTTCATGAACTAATGGAGTTTCTTTTCCTTTCCCCACCGGGTGGTGAGGAAATCGAAGGAGAAGCGAAGGTAATACCGCCGTCGGGGCGGCCGCTTCATGCGTGTGAGAAACACGTTGCTTTCTCTCTCTCGGTTTTCTGGTGCTCTCTCAGAAGCCCTTTCCTCGCTGCGGAGGGCAAAAAAAAAACACGATGGGAATTCCTTTCTTGTTGGGAAGGTCACCGAGGCGTTTCTTGTTGTGATGTGCCCACCCCCGCTCCCGCCGAGCAGTGTCATTCCACGACCTCGTTCGCGGCTTCGCTGTTGCTGTGTCTCGCACTCCCTCTGTCTCTCTGTCTCACTTCTCTGACTCTCCCTCGTTCATAGGATTAGTTCCCACCGACGTGCCCACGCATACGCCTCACACCACCTACCCAATCATCGCGGCAGAGAAAACCCGATCGTGTTCGCTGTCGCCGCCTGCAGAAACATCCGACCTCGTCCAACGCGTGACAACCACTGGCACACGACAAGACCGAGTGCAGAAGACACCGTTTTCGTGGCCCACATTTGCCGATTTTCCGTTGTCGAACAGACTCTTTTCACCTCTCTGCCTCTTTGCTTTTGCCTAACTGCAGCAAGCGCCTACCATGTCATCACCAGTGGTGCGTGCGTCTGCCAACGTCGAAGACGAAGACGCGTACACCTCTTTACTGGGCATTTGTACTGAACTTATCATCAGCGAAGGCACCGACGACCCACCCATACACGATGCCCTGGGAGTTCTACACGGATTGTTGCACTGTGAGCACCTCAGCGGAGACGCCACAGTGCTCTCCGTGCGGGCCGTACGCATCTTGGTGGACAAGTTTATTCCCACGCTGAAGTCGAAGTCGCGTGCAAAGCTGGTGGAGTGTGTGCGGGCGGCCCTCCGTCGCATGAAGACCGTCGCCGGGGACGCCGCTCGCGGCGCCTTCACTTTTGTCCACACGAAACTCTGGGAGTTGCAGGAGGAGCTGCTGCAGTGCATGTCGACAGCGGCGCAGAGCGACGACATCGTCCGCGCCGCTCTCCCGCCGCCCGAAGAGCAGTTGAGATTCTGCGTATACGTGATGGACACGTCGCTGGATATGTGCCTGCAGGCGCTGCGGATGTGTTGCGTGTTGCTGCGCAGTGGAAGCACCAACTACCCCGGCTCCCCCGTGTCGGCGCGCATCCGTCGGGTACTTCGCGAGAAGCTGGCCGCGCTGGAGTCGATGGAGGTGAATCAGGACTGGCTGCGCCTCCTGCGGCACTTGACGGAAGGCTTTGTGACCATAAAGGCCTACGTCACTGGGACAAGTAGCAACGCGTCACCTCTCGCAAAAAGTGCTCCCACTTCGATGAAGAACAGCAAACGTGAGCGTAGCGCATCCGTCACGGCAGCGAACTTTGCTGCGGGTGATGCGGACGGCGCTGCGCTGAAGGGCGATGAGGTATTGACGTGGCTGCGTCTGTGCCAAAAGGTATGTGCCACCCCGCGCCTCGACCGCGGCTTTCGCAGCACCGTCTTTGGTTGCGCGAGCACCGTGCTCTCGACGGAGCCTGCACTCAACGCGGTGCCGGCCACAACGTGCGTGGCACTGATCGTGGACCTTGCTCGAGAGTTGAGTCGCAACGTGCGCACCACGCTGACCATCACAAACCCGTTCATCAACCGCGAAAATGTGTCAGGGGCGCCAGCGACGTCGTCAAACGCGGGTCCAAACCCTTTCGGCGATCTAGACGGCGAGAACGACGAGGACGAGGATCAGGGGGAGGACTTGCTAAACAACGGTGAGGGAGTCAAGTGGCACACGCCAGAGCCAGAGTGGCCGCTGCTCGTGTTGATCTCGGTTCTGTTGTCATCCGCCACGATGGCGTCAGCGGAGTACATGTGGTGGTGGGTGGGCGACGACGAGTACGCGCGACGCTTTGCGAAGGACGACCGCGCCCAGCTGACGCGCGCCTTCTTCGCCGCCGGTGATGCGGTGAAGCTGCGGAAGCGCGGCAGTCGCGTCTCTCTCTCCGCGATGCGCGAGATTCAGTGGCCGTTTGCGAACAGCTACCGGATTGTGTTTCAGCCCATCCCGTGTGCCTATGACGTGACGACGTGCGCCGCGCCGTCTCTGCAGGCACTGCCGCCCAGGCGTGCGCAGGAGCAGGTCGCAGCCCTCCGCAAGTGCGACCTGAAGAATCTATTTGAGCACCTTAGCGCCGCGACCCGCCACGAAGGGCCCATTGCGCAGTACGGGCAAACAGTGCTGCTGACGTTGCTGCTCGCGGTTGGGCCCGACTCCACCGACGTCACCCGGTCAGCCCTGCGCAGCTTCCTGGCGGACGCGTCCACCGCCTTGATTGAGCGCGTTTCCGAATCGCTTCTCGGTCACGACCGGGCCTGGGCCGGCACCCTCGTGGAGGTGGGCGTGGCGGAAACCATTTTGCGCCGCAGCACCGCCGTGACACCGGAGCGCAGCCCTGTGGTGCGCATGCTGCGTCGCGAGGCGGCCAGTTTGCCGGTGACGCCGCCCCTCCTGCCGCAGCGTTCGAATAGTCCGGCCGATCCGGCGCAGCTGAAGCGCATTTTTCAGTACGGCGGTCGGGAGGAGCTGCGGGAGTTGCTGACGTCGCTAACGGACGGCGACTCGCCGTGGAACACGACTCCCTGCTTGGAGGCTGCGACGAGTCTGGCGGCGGCCGCCGCATCGGCACGTACTGCCGGCAGTAACACCTCCGCTGCGTGGGTTGCACAGGTGGAGAATACCATTGCTAGTGTGGTGCTAAAGCATCTTCAAGACATCGCCTTGCAATTTCAGTCCGCGAAAAGCTTAAAAGAAACGGTGGAGGACGCGGAGGTGGTGCAGCTGGAGTTGTGCAGCGCTGGTCTCTCCCCTGCCTTTTGCTGCCCACAGCAGCACCCTCTGCATCACCACCACAGTACCAACTGGACGTGCGACACCTGCGCAGCAAAAGGACTCGACAACGCCTGGTCGTGTCGCCTGTGCAACTACGATTTGTGCGCAAAGTGTGCCCGTACAAGGTGCAATCGTGTCGAGGGTGCCGTCACCGCCACAGCGCTGGATGTGCTGGTAAAGGTGCGCTCCGAGCTGCACCAACCACCGCAGCAGCAGCAACAGAAACAGCAGCCCGCGGCCGGCAGAGCACCGTCCGAAAACCTTCTTGAGTTCTTCACGGACGACGGCGGCTTCGTTTCCGCCGCCACCCCACTCGCCTGTCTACATCAACGCCCCCTGCACGTGGCGGAGCTGTGCAAGCTGTGTGCGTGCGGCTTTGTCTGCCCGCAACCGGTGAGGAGTAGCCTGGCCACCGTGGCACCGGCGGACAACGCTACGACGGATCTCCTGGGCGTGTTACTCCGCAGCTTTGGCGCGTCCTGTGGACAGGACGTGGGGGTGCAGCGAAGCCTGCTGAAGGCGTACGAGGATGCGGGGATGCGTGTCTTCCTCGGCGGCGCCCGCGCCGTCCCGCCGTCGCTGCGCCGAGTCATGCGTGGTCTGGCGCCTCATCTCCCCCTCGCTGTAAAGCACACCGTGGCGCGCTACTTGGCGGTTGACTGCCGGCGCTACGCGTTTCAAGTGCTGCACGACGAGTCGGCGGCCGTCCTGTCGATGGTAACCGGCGTGACGGCGGAGTCCACGCGGAACCACCGCATTCAGGTGCCGCGCGGCGACAAGACGGCGATGATCCGCATTTTGCACGACGGCTTCCGCGCGCTGCTGTCGCCGGTGCTGCGGGTCGACTTCATCTTTGAGGGCGAGGAAGGCTTCGGGAGTGGGCCATCGCAGGAGCTCTACACCGAGCTCTCCGCGTACTTCCGCGCGGAGAGGAAGTTCTGGTTCGTGACGAACGACGACGGCGGCGCAGACCCGATAGTACTGCCGTTTCCGAGTGCCACGGCGCTTTTCCTGCAGGAGTTCTTCGTTCTCGGTGCGGCGTGCGCGCGGTCCTTCGTGGATGACTTTCGTATGAACCTGGACCTTTTGCCGGAGTGCTGGAACTTGCTCCGAATTCCCTCGCTGGGGGTGCTGCTGGAAGGTCACCAGCACCGCACCGTAGGAACGACGGTCCACGAAGGACTGGAGAAGCTGCTCGAGGTGCTCGACCCGTCGCTCCATCGCACCTTCACCCAGCTGCGCACCACCTCAGAAACGCAGCTCGCCGCGATGGAGCTGGAGATGGACGACGGCACACCAATCACGACGCATGCGGGACTGAATGCCCATATCGAGCACACCATCCTCACGCGTTACGAGATTGCGTTGGAGAACTTGCGACAGTTTCAGTGGGGCCTGCTATACGTGTTGGAACTGCCGTCTCTGGACTGCTTGAGCAACAGCGAGCTCAGCGCCGTGCTGTGTGGCGCGGACAGGGAGGGGGAGGGCCCGCTATTCACCGAGGACGAGTTGAGGACGCAGACGACCGTGGGCAACGGCTACAGCAGCGACAGCCCGCACGTGGAAATGTTCATCTCCATTGTGGGCAGCGAGCTGACGCGGTCGCAGCAACACGACTTCCTCGAATTTCTCACGGGTACACCGCGGCTGCCGCTTAATGGGCTTGCGGGTTTGGGACGTCTCATCACGGTCGCGATGAAGGACATGGAGGGGGCGAAGGAGCTCACGCTGCCGTCGTGCAACACCTGCTTCCTTTACCTGAAGCTGCCACCGTACACTACCCGTGACATCATGAAAGCGCGATTGTTGCTTGCTGTCACGGAGGGACGCCGCAACTACAGTTTGTCGTAAAGCGTAAGGGAAAAACATCCGAAAAGATCCGTGTTTTTCCGGTGCGTTGGTTACAGAGGAGAAAACGGTGTTCGTAGCGGTGATGCTGTTATTTAGCCTGTTTTTTTTTTTGGCAGTACGGACTGTTTATGTGATCTCTCTCCTCTTTCTTTTTAAGCGCCTACTGACTCGTCTCAACGGCCTTTTTCCGCCGGTAGGTTTGTTTTTCCCTAACTCGATTAACGTAAAACTGCGTCTGTTCCGTGAATGCTGTTAACGCACACACGTAAGAGGAAATATCAACCAATCATGAAACACAACGTGGTGCTCTCACGGAGTGTCGTTTCATCACAGGGCGTGTGTGGCACCGTGTTTACGTTCATTTTCAAAATGTCACCGTTGGCAAGTGATCGGCACATCGCACCTTGCATATCGAGCAGCTGTGGTGTATGTGGTCTACCTTTACTATCACATCCGGAAAAGTATCCATTTCACGTTCCCACCCGACAGAAGCGCGGTTATTTGCTATGGGAAAACGCGTACGCTTGGTGCTTCATCATTTTTCTTTCCTTTCTTGTCCTTTGCGGGTTACTATTATTATTATTATTCCTCTCAAAGGAGCGGAACCCGTCTGATCACGCGCCTGTTTTCGTTCTGCCCTCACGCACAGTCACCCCCTTCCCCCTAAAAAAAGGCCGGCAATTCGTAGCTTTCTTCCCCTTCTGGGCGTAGCCGGCTACCGTGCCCGGTAAAAGAAGAAAAGGAGTTCCGAACATCATTTGTTCGCCGTGGCGCTTTTCGTCTGCTACGGTGCTGATTCTTTTTCCTTATCGAACCGCCAAGGGGCTCTCTACTGGGCCGTTCAAAATTATTTATAGTCCTCTACACCAACGCACAGCAGCACGCAAACCAAAAATGTCGTCGATGGACTCGATGCGCCTGCAGGGGCTGATCCGCATGATTCGCCAGTGCAAGACGACCGAGGAGGAACGCGCTAGCGTGAAGATCGCGAGCGCGCAGCTGCGCAAAGGGTTTGAGGAGGCCACCCCGTACATCCGAGTGCGCTACATGCTGATGCTGCTGTACATCCGCATGCTGGGGTACCCCACCGAGTTTGGGCACATGGAGGTGCTGAAGCTGCTTTCGCAGACCGATTTCTCTGGCGTGCGCACTGGCTACCTGGCTCTGCAGCTCCTCTTTAGCGAGGGCGACGAGGTCCTGACGTTGGTGGAGAACCGGATGATTGCGCACCTGAGCATCAGCGGCGCACGTCGTGGCGTCTCATACGAACAGCTGTGCCTTGTTGGCGTGTCGTTGAATGCAGTGGCCAACATTGCCAGCGAGGATATGTGCCGCGACCTTCTAGATTCCATTCTTCGGGTCTTCAAAAACTCGCCCGTTCAACTGCGAAACAAAGCGGCGCTCGCGGCGCTGCGTGTGGTGCGGAAAGCGCCGGACCAAGCCGGCTACATCCTGGAGCAGTGCACCGACCTCTTCGACGCCAGCACCGATACGCTGATGTGTGTGCTGGCGCTCGTCATTGAGTGCTTGCAGATGGAGACAGGCGCTGCCATGCTGGGACAGTTCCGCCGACTCGCGGTGAGTGCGGTGCGCGCGCTGAAAGGCCTCGTCCTCTCCTCGCGCATCACCGATGAGGACGTTGGCGGCATCACCGACCCTTTTCTTCAAATTAAGCTCCTGCACTTTATGCGCGTCATCGGCACCGGCAGCGAGGCGACTTCCGAGGCCCTCAACGACGTATTGGCGCAGGTCATCACGAACACCGACGCCACCCGCAACGTCGGCAGCGCCGTGTTGTACGAGTGCGTGCGCACCATCAACGCCATAGAGAGCGACGAGGGGCTGCGCACGCTTGCCGTGAACACTATCAGTCGCTTCCTCTCCTCGGTGAAGGACAACAACCTCCGCTTCGTTGCGCTTGAGACGCTGTTGACGTACGCGAGCAAAGACTTCGACGCCGTGGTGCAGCACCAAACAGTCATCCTAGAGTGCCTGCGCGACCCCGACCTCACGATTCGCCGCCGCGCGCTGGACCTCACCGTGACGCTGATTACGGTGAGCAACGTCCGCCTCCTCGTGCCAGACCTCATCACGTACATGACGCTCTGCGCGGAGGAGATGAAGGGCGACGTCGCGCAGCACATCTGCGACGTCATCGAGGGCCACTATCCGACCGACGAGTGGCGCGTCGACTTCTCCATTCGCCTGCTCAAAGTGGCGAAGCAGTTTGCACCGATGGACTTTGCTCGCCGCCTGATCGCCGTCATGTCGAACCAAACCGACGAGATCAAGACGCGCGCGGTGCAGTCGCTCTGGGAGGAGGCGTCGTACCCTTTTGATGCCTTGCACCAGTCACGCAAAGCCTTCCTGATGGTGGCGCTGTGGTGCATCGGCGAGTACGTCGACCTGCTGCTGGGCTCTGTGAAGGGGCTCAAGGGGGGTGACGTGGCGACGTGTCTGAGCGACCTCACGACAAACACGAACTACACGGTCATTAAGCAATACGGCCTCACCGCCCTGATGAAGGTGGCGGCGAAATGCCCCGATGCGAAGGAGCAGGCCCTCGCCACCTTTGCAAGCAACATGACGAGCATGGACTGCGAGCTGCAGCAACGCGCGTGCGAGTACACGACGCTGCTGTCCGACTTTCCGGAGGAGTCTGTCTTCAGTTTTAGCCGCATGCCCGCCATCCGCCCCGAGACAGACGCGGTGAAGCCGGTGGAGGTGGTCTCGCTCACGCAGGAGCAGCTGCACCAGGAGACCGCCAGTACGCTCGATGACCTCTTCAACTTCGAGGGTGCCAGCAAACCGCCTCCGTCCAGCGTGGACACGGCTAGCCAGCCGCCGGCGTCGCCTCTGCAGTTCGGCTCAACTGGAAGCACAAACTCGTCGCCCTTGCAACCGCAACAAGAGCAAGAGAAGCAGGCTTCTGGCTCTGCGAATACGCTCGGCGACATCTTTGGTGGCAGCGCTGGCTCGGCTTCCGGCTCACCGTTGATGGGCGGGTCGCCGGCTGACCCGGTTTCTCCAAAAGCGGGGGCGAACACCGTGTCGGGCGTCCCTGTGTGCACCTGCGCCGACTTCAAGGTGCTGCTCTCGGCGCGGATGGAGGGTACGCACATCACGGCAGACCTCGTGGTGCAGTCGAACCTGAGTGCGTTGATCGAGGAGCTCATCTTTAGCGTCGCCGTGCTGCGTATATGCACCGTGGAGGTCGCACCGCTGCCGAGCACGCTTCTGCCGTTTGGCACCGCCACGCAGCACCTGGTGGTGGACAACACGCAGAACACGGCCCACCCACGCACCCTGACACTGCGCGTGAAGGTGTCGTACGCGGTTAACGGGGAGCCGCGAGAGCAGAGGTTCCAAGTTGCTCAAGAGATGTAAGCGCAACACGACGTCATCTGTTTGATCCGCGTTTTCGTCGTGGCCCGCTTCTTCGGTGAGGCGTAGGAGGGATGATCACATTTATTTATAGGTGAAGGTGTGTGCTGCGGCATTGCTGGACTTTTTGTGCTTCCGTTCACCGTTCTGTTTTCTTTTTTGGAGTTAGCGCGTCATGGATGATGGATGGTTCCCACGATTATTTGCTTGTGTGTTTGAAGGGGACGTAGTACGTGCCCTCTTTTTATTGGGCTCTTTGCTTTTCTTTTTTTATCTTCTGATGCTGTGAAACGCGTGTGGGCTTGGTGTGATGTGCGGAACTTCGACTGTCTCTTTGTGTGTGTGGTGTTTCATTGTAGTTCCGCCTGCGAATCCTATCGCGCGGTACCTAAAACAGACAACACGCGCTTTTCTTTTTGCCGCACAAGTCGTACAAGTGAATACTTCCACAACACGACTGCCGTGGTGTTGGGCTCCGTGTCGTGCGGATGCCACGACTCTCACGACCGTGAAAGCTCCTGCGGTCTTCTTTGAAGGGCGTGGAAGGGCGGTCGCGTGAACCGTGACGCGATCTGGCAACGGGCGACGAGTGCCCATCTTTGAACGCACTGCGTGTCTTGCAAAGCTGGAGACTGGGGTGTTCTTTCGCGAGGTGCTGAAGCGGCGAAATATTTCGCCCCTCAAGCAGCACGTCTCTTTTTGTGGCTTCTTCCCTCATGCAACTTCATCGTTTTGGTGATTCTTCTCTTTTCCCAACGTGACTCGAATTACGTTTTCCACGGACCACCTCCTTTCACCCACTCTGCTCTCCGCAACCTCCTAAAACGAAAGAAGAAACCCCCCAAAGAACGCGAACTTTCATTGCCTAATAGACAGTGAACTGTTTCCTGTTTTACCTTCTCTTATCATGTCCCAGGAAGAGCAGACCAAGAGCACGGAGGAGTACGACTACGACCGCGAGCTTTACCGCTGCCCCATCTCGTGGCCCATCTCCTCCGATAAGCCGAAGATGACGAAGAAGGTGTACTCTCTCATCAAGAAGTCGGTCACGGCGAACAAGAAAAAGGGCATCGTCAAAGGCATCAAGGACGTGACGAAGGCGGTCCGCAAGGGACAGAAGGGCATCCTTGTTCTTGGCGCAGATGCTTCGCCGTACGACGTCGTGTCGCACTTCCCGGTCATGGCCGAGGAGGCAAAGATCCCGTACGTGTGGGTGCCCTCTCGCCAGGACTTAGGCACCGCCACGCAGTGCAAGCGCGCCACGTCGGTAGTGCTGCTGAAGGTGAACGAGGATCTCAAGGCCAGCTACGAAAAAATCGTGCTTGCCATCGAGGACCTGAACTCCGAGGAGTAAAACGGTGTTTAAGGCTATAACAAATGCGTGAAGAAGCAATAAGGTTTTGAGTGTGTGTGTCAGTGTGAGGGAGGACTCTTTTTTTGTTCTTTGCGCGGCTCCGCCTCTGGACTTACGACGCTGACGACTTCTCGCTTCTTGCGAGCTCGAATGTCGGGTCACGTCGAACGACGTGCACAAAGGGGGAGGGGGAGCAGTTAAAACTATTGACAGCTCTGGCGATAAAAAGGCGATTATTTTGTTTTGTTTGTTTGTGTCTCGGATATGTTTTGTCACTAAGCATAAGTCCGCACCAACGCCCTCTTTTTCCCCGTCTTTTTTTTCTCGAAAAACCGGGGTTTGATGACGATGGTGTTGCACTTGTGCGTAACCTCTGCGATTTAACTGTGTATTAAACAAACAAGCAAAAAAGGAAGACATTTTTCGCTACACGGGCATAGAGCGCTGGGTGAAATGGAGAAAGCGAGCCGGCGTTGATAAGCATCCTCGTCAATGCGCACGATGGCGTGTCCCTTTTCACGGTGTCGTTGAGTAGTTGAATCGACGCGACACACCACCATATCCTTCTTTCTCCGCTCCCGAAAAGCATGGTGGGCTGAAAATGATGCAGGGCGTCCCGCCTGGTGTTGTGCGGATATCATGCACGTTACAACTATGATTGTCTTGACGGCTAGTCCGTTTCACGGTGCTCTTCGCGACGGCTTCATTTTCTTCATCTCTCTCTCCTTCTCACGCAGTACGTATTTATCGATCGAGGCAGTGTTGTTGGCGGGTTCTATTTGTTGTCTGTAGGGAAAGCGCTGCGTTGCGCTACCTTCTCGGTGTCTCCACAACTACAGTCATTTGTACTGCTTCAAACGGGAGCAGCAACACGACGGCAAAAATATGGAGTCACGTTTGATCTTAAATGCGGCGGCGCACCGTCTCTGGTACGTCGATGGAGATGTTGTGAAGGTGCGCGTATCGCTCTCGTGTGTGCCGGAAGGCGTTACGGGCGCCAAACGTGATGTTGTCCCACTGCAGGCGATTCCTACGCAAAACTACTTTTCCGTTGACACCGCCGAGTCGGAGCCGCGTGAGATGGACGTGCGCGTGCAGACGCTGACGGCGGAGCTCGTAGGTCGTGTCGAGCTCGACGCAAGCGTGATGAAGGTCATTAGCTGGCCCGGCGCCACAAGCAGCTCGCAACCGACACCGAGCAGGCGACCGGGCAGCGCCAATTCCAAGGTGCTGTACGTTCTGTACAGTACCGGTAAAAAGCCACTGCTGGATGACGTGGGTATGCGGCGGTATCAGTGTACGGCGCTGGAGTTTTTGTTTCGCCTGCCCGAAGGATGCCCGCCGACGTGCAGCGGCAAAGGCGCGGACTACCGACACGTCGTGACGATCGCCGCTTCCTGGCAGAACGCACGCGCCGGATCTGCCAAAGGTTCTCTACCGCACACCTGCAAAGTGCGTATTCCACTGCTTGTCTTTAGCAGTGTCGCGAGCATCGCCCAGCTGCCGCTCATGTCGCTCTTTCCCTTGCCCAGAGACTCGACGCTAGTCAAAGAAGACTTTCACTTTCAAGTGATGCCGCTGCCCGCCGTGCCAACACCGTCCGTCGCTGCCCCGCTCCAGGACGTGATCTTTCCGCAGGACGGCCAGCTGCGCACCTCTCTCACGGTGCGTCGCTTAGCTAAAAACAACATGCAAAACACCTTGGCAGCTCAGCGGCAACCATTGAAGCTCTTAATGCCATGCAACGGCGTAAACATTCTCCAGGTGCATCTGCACTCCTCGTGTGTGGCGCTCGGCGGCTTTCTGAACGGCTCTTTCATCGTGTGCGACGGTGGTGCGGCGAACAACGGGGTTCGGGCAAATCGCAAGAGAGACATGGAAGCGCCGGTGCCGGTGAACGTGACCGCCTCGTTAGAACTGTTAGAGTGTGTCACGCCGGAGTGGGCGCTGACAACCGACGAGGACAGCATGCGTGACACCAAGGCGCAGGGGATCGACAACTTCGTCTGCCTGCACAAACGCGTCATCGACCACGCGCACTTCACCGTTGTGGACACCCCGTCGGTCCCGTTTGAGTTTTCGCTGCCCATCGGCCTGGTGCCTGCTACAACTATCACTGACGTTACGACCTTTTTATGGCAGCTGCGAGTGGTCGTGACGACGGTGGCGCGCAAGTCGCTGGCGAAGATGGCGTCACCTGGAGTTGATAGGCTAGGGCCTCTGCTGGAGCCGGTTGCAGGGGTGTTTCCTCTCCTCATTGCACCTCCCGCGATGCCCACTCGAGGTCGTCAAGGAGCGGCTTGGTAACGAACTGCACGAGCAACTCGGCTTTTCGTGGAGGTTTCGAAGTGATACTTCCCCGTTAGGTGTTATCATAGAGGGTGTGTGGGGAGGTTTCTCTCTCCCTTAACGGTGCGCAGTTCATTTTGAACGCGCATGTTTGTTTTCTTCGTTGCGTACACTCACCACTAAAACAAAAGAAACGGAGAAAAGCGTAAGCGATGAATGCACGCGGGGAGGAAAGGGAGGAGGAAGACCGATAGACGCCCTCGCCCCCCTCCCCCAACCACAAAGATTTTCCTTTCAAAAGGACGGTTGTTTTTCCCGTTGCGGCCAGTCGCGTTCTCGCAACCTGCCCAGCGTTTCCCGCAGTGTCTCTGCCGTGATGATGTCCCGTTGTATGACGAGTATAGTCTTTTTGTCTTTCCCGCTCCCCGCCTTTTAAAAGATATGAGTGGACGTTTCTAAAGTCCGTTTTCGTTACTTTTAATTTTTCAATTCCTCATGCTGGTTTCGTTGGGAGATCTGGAGGCGCATGCCGGCGAGGCGGTGTTCCCGCTGCACGCACTGCAGATGAACGGCATGACGATTGGCTTGGTGCGCGACGCAGCCTTCGCGACCCTCCCGTTTTCTTCGAAGACCTGCACCGATAGCGTGGTGAACTCCTTCGAAGAGGCTCCACGGTTTCTCGCGCACAGCGAGACCACTCAAAGTGTCGCCTTTCAGTGGTGCGCTCGCGTGGCATTCTCCATTTCGTCGTCGGCGGTACGGCACGCACTGCTGCTGCGTAATCTTTCGAGCAACGCGTCCTGTTTTTACCTATTAAGCAACAGCGGCAGCGAGCGCGATTTAGGTGCTGTCATGGCAAGTGTGGAGGCGCGAGAGGATTTGTGGGACTCGGCGCCGTCCAAAGGCGCTGGGTGCAGCCATCTTCACATCTTTTTCATGAGTGAGGTTGAGGTGCCGGACACCATGTCTACCAACCTCAGCGATTTGCCCGTAGTCTCTACGCCGGGTACTGCAGGTGACGTGACCACGCGGGTCGTGCTCGGCAACTCCCCAGGCGACATATGTGCCTGTTTGCGAGAGCTCGTCTCGGCTCTTTTACACGGTGACGACCGGCGGTTTAGGGGAACGGAGGTGTGCTGGCCTGCTGAATTACTATTTCCCGTGAACGTGCACACGCGCGACGACGCTGTTCGCCGTCTCGAGCACGCAGCGCTGCTGCTCCCCAACAAGGCCTTGCTGCACCACCAAGATGCACTACCGAGCTGGTCCACCTGGGCCGACCTCCGGCAGCGATGGCGGCAGCAGAAGCAGCAACTGCAGCAGGCTTCCACCAACGCACCCAGCTTTCGCACTGGTGAGTCGTGGGAGCGTCATCTTGTCACCGACCCGCACAAGGCACTGCCTGCCTTCGCAGCCCCGTCGCTGACCGGGGCTGAAACGCTTCTGACGAGCGGGTCGTACGATTACTATCATTACCGCGTGGACGGCTTCCGCGACGACGGGTGGGGCTGCGCCTACCGCAGCCTACAGACCCTCTTGTCGTGGTTTCAACACGCCGGCTACGTGACGGCACCCATTCCCTCCATCCGCCGCATTCAAGAAATTCTCTATGCGACCGACCCGGACAAGACGAAAAAGAAGCAGTTTGTGGGTTCGTCCGATTGGATTGGCAGTTTTGAAGTCATGTTAGTGCTGCAGCACTACATGCCGGGGTTGGACTGCACCATCAAGCGCCTGGAGAGCGGCGGAGACTTGGAGAGCGACGCCGCGGTGCAACTGCTGCTGAGCGAGCATTTCCGTAACCCACACGCGGCGCCGGTGATGATTGGCGGCAGCAGCTACGCCCACACCATCCTTGGCATCCACGTGAACGTGAACACGATGGAGTCGCGCTACCTCATCCTGGACCCGCACTACTCAGCCAATCCGACGCAGTTGAAAACCGCCATTAAGAAGGGCTTCGTGGGGTGGAAAGAGGCGTCCAAGTTTTTTGAGACGGGCAGCTGGTACAACTTGTGTGTTCCACGAACCGACCTCTACGATCCTCGCTAGAGCGAGAAGCGCATGACGGAGGTGAAGGCGTTCCGTTTTTTTTTTCTTCTTGCTGTCGAGTACCGATGCCGTCCACACGCATAAAACGAGGAGGAAATCGAAATCCCACATTCCTGGCACGGATTCGTACACCCAATTCAGATGATGTTGAAACGGGCGTTGGTAAGGTAAAGCACAAGAGGGTTACTTCTCTATACGAAGTACTACCCGCTCACTTCAGTTCCATGTTACTCAAGCGCGACGCATCGGTAATAGTAACAATGGAAATTCACGTTCAAATAGTTTGCCCACCTCCACTTGCAATGACTGCTGCGTTCTCTTCCTACGCCCAACTTCAATTTTTCTGCTCCTACGCTCTTTCGTGTTTCTTCGACCTTTTCCTCGTCGCGATCTCCCCACAAACACACAGCAAAACACCAGCACCTTCCATCGAACTAGCCGTCCTTGACGCCCGCGTGAGGGAGTAACGATCTTCTTGTTTCTGTGTGTGTTCGCGTCAAGGTTGATCATCGTCGTCATGCTACGTCGCATCGCCAACAAGTCTGGTATGGCGGCCGCCGCCCCCATGCTGGCCAGCTCCCGCGCTTACAACATGTTTGTCTTCAAGAACCCCGATCGCCGCCCCCAGTTGTCGGCGGAGGAACGCGCCAAGGTGAAGATCAACTACGCCGAGTGGCCGGTGGAGTTCCGGGATTACGATCCGGAGGACCCCTACAAGAACTCGCCCGAGATTATCGAAGGCCTGAGCAGCTGGAACCTCTTCCTCTGGGGCGTGGAGTGTGCCTTCATTTACCAGTTCTACGAGCTGGTCTTCCCCAAGAGCATCTAAGCGGAACTGCCAGAGAGAAGTCAGCGAAGAGGGGGGGGGGGGAGGAAAATGTGTATACAGCAAGGGAGAAGCATGACGTGGAAGAAGGGCACAGCAAGAAGCCTTTTAGACACTCGGGTCACTACAGCTCTGGCTTTTTTGTCGACTCTTTTCTTTGTGTTGTTGATTCTTTTCCCCGCGCTGTGGGCGACATGTTTCTTATCATTCTTCTTGGCAGCCTGGACGCAAGAGCATAAGACTAGGAAACGATGATTCCTTGCAGGTTGGGTCCCAAGTACGTAGAGAGGTGTCGTGCTCAAGCTCCGCTGGCGCGGTATTATTGGAACCTTTCACAGGGACAACAGAACAACAGGAGCTGAAAGTGCTGCTTTTCCCCCTTCATCAAGAAAGAGGAGCGTGCAGCAACGGTGTGCATTTGAGAGTCTGTCTTCGCTTTCTTTCTTTTGTTGCTGTGTCGCACGTTTCTTCGTATTCCTGCCTGTTTACGTTGTACAGGCTCTCATGCATCAACACTTGTTTACGAAGAGCGCCGTTCTTTTCTCGGCGTTTCCGTTTTGTGCCGTGTCGTACCGTGTAGTAGTTAGTAGGATTAAGTACAAGAATTCCTCCAAGCATCAAGCGCAAGAAGAAACACTGATGCAAGCCATGTGGTCGATTCGGAAAAAGAAGTACATTTATTTGTTTTTTTTTTTGTCAGAAGAGGCGATGGCACAGTGCTCAGCGACAGCGCCGCTGGCCATGCGGAACGACGCACTCGCGTTCATCTCTCTTGGATGATTTTGTCCGTTACGACAGCACCCACGTCTCTTTCTTCGTGGTGTGTGTTTCGTTCACAATGAAGGCAATGGTGAAGCCACAGCAAGAACAGTAGTGATCGTAGTAATACCCCCAAAGCACTTTCTGAAGTGAACGCTTGGAATGCCGCTCAGGCACCACTTTTGTTTTCTCCTCTTCCCTTGCTTACGGCTCCCTTCGCTCTTTTCTGTTTTCCCTGAACAACACTTCCACATGGGCATGTTGCGCCAACACGGGTGTGATCGTTGACGAAAACCCTTTGTGTTGAGTTTCTTTCTTCTTCAGCAGAAAGTCTTTTTCCTGGTGATCAAAAATAATTACCTCTTTTCTTCCTAACGTCCAAATAGGATGCCGCCGTTCTCTTCGGCTGCTGGGCTGCGTTCGCTAACGCGGCTTTCCTACGTATCGCCTTCCCGCTGTGCCATAACAAGCTTTCCTTGCCCAGCCGCGTCGAGCAGACGTTACTATCACCTTTCCGCTGCCTTGTACGCCGAAAATCACTCGCCGAAAGAGGCCCCGGCGACACTGTTGGGTGCTGTGGCCGCAGACGCTGTGAAGCCGCAACGTCTGCCGCAACAGAGGGAGATCACAGACCCAGCCGCTTCACAATGGCACAAACAACCCGACGCTGCTGCTGCATCTACCGCTGAAGCACGGGACTCCTCTGCCAGCGCTGGCGGCACCGCCACCTTTACAGAGGCCGCTGCCCATTCCGAGAGTCCGTTGCGGCGCCTCTTTATTTCGTGGCAACAGGGTGTGGTGGCAAGCATCGGCGCCGTGATGGGCATCGGTTTTCTGCTGTACTTTCTTTACACGCCTGTGAAAGAGGACACGGTGCACCACACGGCAGTGGTCGCATCAGAGGCGCTGGCAGATGCCCGCCTGAAAGGGCAGGCCGTGCAGCTCTCCAAAGACGTCGTGTTGGAGGTCCTGCGCGACCACAAATCACTGGATGCGGCGGTGAACCTTGTGGCGAAGCTGCTGCAGCGCGAAGAGAGCAAAATTGCAGTGTCCATTCTTCTGCAGTCTCTCTTCGTCGACCACTACACACTAGAAGTCACGAAGAAGTTTGTACTGCAGGTCGTGCAGGATCCGTGGATTCAGGAAAATCTACAGGGAATCACGGAAGAGCAGGTGCGGCAGCTCCTGCGAAGCCCCGAAATACAAAAAAGGCTCTCCGACTTCTTACTCGGCTCTGCGCTCGAGTCGCTGAAGAAGCCGGAGCTTCAATACGAGGTGGCACGCGCTGTGCGTCGCTCCGCCGCGTCCTTGTTCTACTCTGTGTGGAGCTGAATACGAGCTTCATGATGGTGAGGCATTACCATCTGCTTTCACCGACGCCCTCATGATGAGCTCTTCATTTTCTGTTTCTTTTTGTTTTGCTTTCCTCTTCCCTTTTGGGGAGAGGAATATCAAAGCATCCGAGACCGTTTTCTGTCTTTCTTTTAACCATCGTTTACGCTGTGACTTCAAACGTGAAAAAAAGAAACTACTTTGCCGAATGGAAAACGGCGCCTTGATGTGACGGACTTCTTACGAGCTCGCGTTGTGCCTCACGAAAAAGGAGAGGAGGCGAGGGGGGGGGGGAGGGGGGAGAGAGAACGCAAACGTTTTAACCCTCACTGCAACCAATACAGAAGTGCATAGCACCGCGGCGCTCTCTCGAGGAATTTCGCGTTGAAAGCTACATATCTATCTCACCGTCGGCTCACCTTTATTTTTTCTTTCCTACACAACCCAGCAGCATTTCTTTTCTTCTGCCTTTTTGTCGTAGCTGCTCTTGCTACTCGTTTCATCACGCTGTTTTCCACTTTTATTCGCCTGCTGTTCACAAGACATATTCTTACGGACGCGTCATGAGCTCCCCTGTCTCTTCTTCTCCCATTGCGGCCGACTTGCACCTTCGGTTTGTGCACAAGCTGGACGAAAACACGCAATGGAAGGCGCAGCACCTCAAGATGAACGGCGTCTACTGGGGGCTGAGCGCACTTACCCTTCTCCACCGGCTGGACTACAAGCAGGAGGATGTTCTTGAGTTTGTGCTGTCGTGCAAGAACGCCGACGGGGGCTTTGGCGGGAACACAGATATGGACTCCCACCTCCTCCACACCATGTCCGCCATCCAGCTGCTGTGCATCTTCGACGCGCTCGATCGCATCGATGTCGACCACACCGCAAAGTGGATCGCCTCGATGCAGCTCCCTGATGGCTCCTTTCAGGGCGACGAGTGGGGCGAGGTGGACACCCGTTTCTCGTACATCGCTCTCAGCTGCTTGCGTCTGATGAACCGCTGCGACTTGATCGACGTGAACGCAGCCGTGGGGTATGTGTTGGCGTGCCAAAACTGGGACGGGGGGTTTGGGGTGTCGCCGGGTGCGGAGAGTCACGCCGGTCAGATCTTTTGCTGCGTCGGCGCCCTCTGCTTGGCGAACGCGTTGGATCGCATTGACGGCGACCGCGTAGCGGCGTGGCTGGCGATGCGCCAGTTGCCTTCAGGTGGTTTGAACGGTCGGCCGGAGAAGAAGGCGGATGTGTGTTATAGCTGGTGGGTCATCTCCTCCCTCTCCGCGCTGGGCCGCACCCACTGGATTGACGCTGAAGCGCTCTTTCGGTACATTTTGAGTTGCCAGGACACACAGGACGGCGGCTTCTCGGATAAGCCGGGCAACCAGGCTGACGTGTACCACACTTTCTTTGGGCTGTGCGGTCTCAGCCTGCTGGGCTACACGGACTACGCGTTGGCGCCCATCAACCCGGTGTACGCGCTGCCCTACGATGTGCTGGAGCGGATGAAGATACCCGCAGAGTACGGATCGCGTGTGGGGCTAGCGCGGTCCAACTAGATATGTGCTATGGAGGTGCACGTTCCCTCCAACGTATTTGTTTCCTTGCATCCCGTTGGATGCGACTGATTTCACGAATACCGAAGAAGAGAGGGAGAAGAAAGCAAAGTGGGCACCGACTCCGCAGCTTCCTCGGTTGACCCCGCCCCGGAGACAACCGAGGAAGCTGCTGCAGTGTTTGTATGCTCGGAGTTCCTGGGAGTGCGTTCGGTATAGAAGTCTCAACGTTTCGTTGCTGTATGTGCAGGGGTTTCCTTCGCACGAGAATGCTGTTCAGGGAAAAGAATTTTCGACGTTTCACAATGGTACAGCTCTTCTTTCCCTCTCCCCCTGCAGCCGCAAAATAGCCCTGCTTCTCCTTATACCTTTGTTCAGCACACTGACCTTCTCTTCATGCGTAGGAGCTGCAAGCAACTTTGAAGGTCGACACACACAGACACACACACATATATATGAGGGCTAGAATGTTGTTTACCAGACGGAGTCTGGGCACCTGCGTACGTCATACAGGGCCGTTCTCAGGAAAGGCGCCTCTTTACCTTTCTATCCGCTGTTGCGCCACGACATCGTCGGTCTCTCTCACGCACAGTAGCACCGTACCTCAGTCAAACGTCAGTCTGTCCTACACGTGTCGCTTACTCGACACTATCTGTGGCGCGGACCAGCCGACCTTCGTCAAGCGGAAGCGCATCCAAGGAGCGGTGCGTAAAATGGAAGCCGGAATAGTGGATAGTTTTGCAGCCGCCAGTTCCACCGTGTCACCGGCGGAGAAGCAGAAGCTGCTGCGGCGATGGCTGCAGTCCCTCTCTCACAGTGTCGAATACATGCCGCGGCTCGAAAGCTGTGGCGCGGATGATGCGACAGAGCCGGAGCGATTCTCGTCCCGCTCTCCCCGGCGCAGCCGCCACACTTCAGCCGGTGACGCGGAGACGTGGTCCGGGGCCTCACCTTTTTTTTCGTTACAGACGAGCGACGTCCTGTGCCTCTGCCTTCGCGAGTGTGTCATGAACGTGGTGGACACACAGCCTGAGCTTCTGCAGGAGCTGTTGGAGTACGCCGTGGTGTTGGAGCTCGGGGACGCAGAGGTACTCCAACACATGCTGCACGCGCTGACGAAAACGGACGTGTGCCGGCGCCGCACGGCGGCAGAGGTTGTGCAGCTGCTTCATTACATCTCCCTCGCTGCGAAGCGCTGCAAGCTGCCCGCCCCTCCGCTGGACCGCCTGTTGTCTGTGCTCTCCGGTGCGACCCTGACGGCCCGCGAGAGCCTCATGGTGCTTTGCGCGTTGCACCGCATTCCCACCGTGCACGCCGGCGACGTCGTGACATCCGTCTCGCGCAAGGCTGCCGCACAGGCGTCGACGTACAACGTGAAGGACGTCGTGTATGGGCTAGAGATTTCGGCGTTGCTGGCGGGGTGCAACGTGGCCTACGCGGCCGCCGTGCTGGACCGAGCGGGCGTTCTTGCCCCTTCCATGACGCCGAGACAATTGGGATCTGTCTGCAAGTACGTCGCTCTTCTTAACACGACTCGTCGGCAGAATACGCTCGCCTACTCCTGCGGTGCGGAGCTCCGCCGCCTTCTTCCGCTGCTGGTAGAGCGTGCGGAGCAGCTGCTGGGGCAGTTTCATCTACGCGACTCGCGTAACGTGCTACGCTGCTTTCGCGAGCATAAGGTGCGTCATTCGTTGATCTTCTCTCGCCTGACACCACTCGCCGAGGATAGTTGAAGCCTTTTCCTGTCTTTTCAAAGATCCGTGCAGACACAATGCAGCGCAACGCATCAGGACTTTAACAAAAAGTAATATTTTCATATTTTTCTTGAGAATTGAAGCTCTTCTTGTTTGCTGTGTAGGAATACTGGCTCTTGTGATGCTTTGTGTTCATCTGACACGCAGATGGTCCTTTTCTTTCCGTTATGGTGAGCGGTTGAGGGGACGCGGAACGAGTGTGCAGCCTCCTCGAAAAGAATCATGGTTTTTCTAAATATTTTCTCTCCTGACACCTTTATGCCTTCATTTCTCTCTACGCCTGTCCGTGTTTCTGCTTGTTTTCTCTTGCGCACATCAGTTATTCTCCGCCACAACGCGGGAAGCGGTACGTGAAAACGCGCAGGAGATAATAAACGAGCCGCCTTCACTCTCCTCCCCCCCCCTCCTTTTCGCGACTAAAAGAAACCCTCTTCTTTCCATCGCGCGCACACCCATGAGCAGCACACATTCTGCTTCCGCAACGCAGGAGTCGCCCGATGCCCTCCTCGCACGGTTGCAGGATAGCTACTCTCTGCAGAAGCGGCTTACCGTCGCCCAAAAGAGGAAGCAGGCCGACTTAGAGTTGCAGGCCGCGGCCGCCTGCTACAATGACCTGCCCATTACGCTGGAGCTCCTCTCCGACGAGACGGCGACGCTGTTCACGGAACTCGAGCACCTCATGGAGGCGCAGCAAGATTTCACGGCGACGACCAGCAAAGATGTGCTACTGCTGCGACGTATTCGCGCCGCGGTGAACCGGGAGCTTCGGCAGGCCGTGTCCTTCATCGAGGAGGGCTACCACTCCGGCTTTGAGAAGCTCATGCAACAGAGTTGCTTTGATCGACGACAAAGTCCGCTCGTTACGAAGCCCAGTGTCTCGACTTCAAATGCGGTGGCGCCGAATGTCGAAGCCAAAGCCACCCCTGCGGAGATGCCGCCGAGCACGGCGGTGCTGACGGTGCGCGAGGCACTCTCCGAGCACCTCAGCCTTGTTGCGGAGTCGCTTGCCGTGCGACTTCAGTGCGAGGCGGTTCGCATCTATTTGTTTGACGAGCACGAGAATTTGGTATGCGCGGCGCAGTTCCCCTATCGGGCCTGTCACGCCGACCCGATGCACTCCAGCGCGTTAGCTCTCATGACGCTGCGGGAGGTTCATCAGACGGTGTGCCGCGACCGCCTGGCGGTTAACGGGACGCTCCGTAAACCCGGCAGCGCTTCCACGCCGTCGTCTTCGCCGGAGGAAAAAGAGGCGCTGAGCAGTAAGCCCAGTGGCGTGGAGGACATCCGTAGCTGTCTCATATTCCCGTTGTTTTCCTCATGGGGCACCGGTGCGTCGCATGGCGTGATTCACGCAGTGAACAAACGCTTCCCGATGGTGGTGGACTCGGGCGAGAAGGGCAGAAGCGAAGCGCCGCTGCGCGGATTCAGCGTGGAGGACGAGATTTTGGTCTCGAACGCGGCACGCCTGCTCGGCACCATCCTGAGCCGCTACCCGGCCGACCTCTTTACCTGCACACACATCGGCGAAGCCATACGACGCCGTGCGTACCCGGGCGACAACCAAGTTGGCAGCCTCTCCGCGCACCTCGCACCCACTCTGTACGATGACATCGGCGAGGCTGCCGAGATGGCCCACGAGGCGCTGAATCGGACGCAGCCCCGTCTTGTCTACCGCGCCCCGGTAAACACCATCTTTGCCTCGCGATCGGCGACAGAGTCGCGGCGAGGCACCTTTACCTCCCTCGGTGCTGGCCACGACGCCAGCGTGTGCACCGTTGCCTTTCGGCTGCGCTGCATGAACGAGCTGTGGGCGAGCAGCCGGGACGACAACACCGCTTTGCACCACCAGTACCGTAACCTCGAGAAGGAGGCGCAAAAGACGCGGCTGCTGCTGCGCAACGTGCTGGACGGCGTCGCAACGGCACGGTCGATGCGGGTCTCGTCGGATGTGGCGCAGTACCTGCAGACGCTGGAGCTGTACGGCCGCAGCGAGCGGACGGAGCGCATGGCCGCCTTTGTGGCAGATAAAATGCTGACGCTGTCGCAGGTGAAAAACAGCGACACTGCAGCTTCTGCGGAGAACTCCCGAGAGGTCGACTCGCGGGTTGAAAGCTCTCAAGATTACGCACTCAGTGAAGAGGAGCTGCGACGGCTGCAGCGCGACCACGCGCGAGTGAACACCGTCACGGTCGCGTCTCTCCACTTTGATGGACCAGAGGGAGTGCCGTCGTATACTTCAGACGCAGCGCAGCGGAGAGAGCAGGTGCGCTTCATCGACGAGCTCCGCCGCAGTGGCGCGGACACGACGCACACATCGGGCACAGCAGGGCTGCGGCGCAGTGGGAAGGGCAATGGCGGTGCTGCAAAGTCCCCATCTCCACAAAGCCCAATGCAGCGTCTGGCGAACGCTAACCGCGCGCCACGGAAAGATGCGTACCCCTTTCAGCGACCGTTCAAGCTCTAACTGCTCTGCCCCTCTTCGTGTTTCCGCCTACCGTCAACGACGGCGCAAATTCTGTTGTTGACTACGATGTAAGTGCTGCGGCTGCTCGCAGCCGCTAGCTTGACAATGATACTTGTTTCTGTCTTATGTACACTATACGAAAGTTCTTACCCCTCACCCCCCACTCCTTTGAAAGTATTTTTACTCTTGGTCTTGCCTTTGAATCTCCCATCATCGAATATGAATAATAGTAGTGAAAATAATAGGAAAAGCGAAAGGTATTGTTGCGGATTGCCGTTGTGGTTGTTTCTGTTCTTCTTCCCTTGCCATCCCCTGAGGACGTGCTGATCCACTCTTATGTATCGACTTTGTTCTACATCGGTCTGATGGTAGCGGCGCATCTTCATAGTACGTGGTGTACCGGGTAGCGATGCAGAACTCGATGTTTGTGTTTGCACTCGACTGCTCAAGTGTTTCTCTCAATCTTTCTCCACTCCCCGCTTCACATGAGCGCCTATAGTATCAAAGGATTCCTTTGGTGTGTTAACCGAGGAGGAAAATAGTTTTTCTCTCTCTCCTACTTTTGTTTTGGTTTCAGGTCTCGACAGTGATCTGGTGCAACGAGATTTTGTGTCTTTTGGCTGTTTTCCAATCGCGCCTCGCCGTGAGTACCCCCTTCAGTGAGCAGGTTTGTTCATCCACGCACTTGTTGAGCGCCGGAGGATTCGTACTACGAGATCTGTTGAGAGCTACCAGTAAACCGATTCCCCCACTCACACGCACGCACACCCACACAAAATCGCTCGCTTCGTCGATCTCACGCTTCACGTTACCGACCAAAAAAAAAATCGGGGAACCTTCGTACGCTTTTAACGCGGCTTGATCTTCTCCTTCTCCACCCCCTCCCCCTCTGTCCTTTCCCTTCCACGATGCGATCAGGGTATGTGGGCATCTATAATCAGGGTAGCACGTGCTACCTGAACTCCGTCATTCAGGCGCTTTACCACCTGCCGGCCTTTCGCACGCAGGTGTTCAACTTACCAAACGTCGAGAGCGACGCCGTCTCGCTGGCGCTGCGGGAGATCTTCGCTCAGCTCGAACTGCGCAACCGCAACATTACTACGACCGACCTAACCAAAGCCTTTGGGTGGTCAGCGCAGGAAGCCGCGGTGCAGCACGACGTGCACGAGCTCATGCAGCAGCTGTTTGACAGTCTCGAGACGGCGCTAAAGGAAACACCGGAGAAGAACTTGATTCGAGATATGTTTGGTGGTCTCATGATCTACCGCTCCAAGGCCGTCGACGGCGCCAACTACCTCTCCGACCGACTGGAAGACTTCTACGACGTCGAACTCGTAGTGAGGGACAGGACAAACATCGAGGAGTCGCTGCAGCAATTCTCTTCAGGTGAGAAAATTGACGGTGTGTCGGTGGAGGTGACGGCTGGTGCGGCTCCTACCCCGCACACCATCGAACGCAGTCAGCACTTCCTCGACTGCCCGAAAGTGCTGTTGATCCACCCTAACCGCGTCGCTTTCGACACGGAAACGTACGAGCTGGTGACGCTGCGCAACGTGTGGAGTTTTGAGACGAAGCTGTCGCTGGCGAGCTACTTGATGAATGACACAGCACTCAAGCTAGACAAAGAGAGTAGGGAAAAGATGGCGAAGATCACTCACCGCACTCACCTAGGAGCTAACTACACGTTGCGATCCATCTTGACTCACGCCGGTGACGCGACCATCGGGCACTACTACGTCTACGTCAACTTCGACGGTGAGTGGGTGCGCTTCAACGACGAGATCGTGGAGGCGGCGACGGAGGAGGATGTGCGCAAGTCTGCCTTCGGTGGCCAGCCCATTCAGTCTCGCTACCGCCTCTTTGATAACGAGCGCGCTTCGTTGCTCCTGTACGTGAACGACGACGTGCGGGACGAAGTGCTGCGGGAGACACCCCCGCCGCAGGAGATTTTGGACCTCGGCCGCTTGATGGAGGACGAGCGCACGAGGACACTCGAGACGCGCAAGTTCAACTACTATGTGTGTGATGCGAGCATCGTCGACGTCTTCGACGGCGTGGACGGGGCGTCGGAGAAGTACCTAAAGCAGCTCACTGCTCGTGTGCCGCAGGGGAAACCGTCAGGCCCAGTGCTGGCCATCGCACTTGCACAGGAGCTCCACGTTGCGCCCACGCAGCTTCGGTTGTACTACCGCGATCACGCACAGTTTCATCCGTGGTCGACTGTAGAGTCGGTGCGCAACCCCTATGATTCCCACTACCCGCACCTTTACGTTGACGTTGCCCCTCCCGAGGCGGCATTAGCGACGCCGCAGAACACAGAGGCGGTGGGAGACGTTCCCGTTTTGGCCTTCTTGCGTGGAGTTACGGCCAATTGTGGCGTTGATGTCCCCGTGCAGGTCGTCCGTTCGATACCGGAACTGCGGCATGCGCTCCCCCCGCACTGTTACGTTTACACATATCGCAAAAGCGCTGCGCAGCCGCGCCGAATCACGATGGAGAGTGACGTTGTCACCGGCGACAACATTTTATACTACGTGGGCGAGGACGCGGATGTCGTGGTGGCCAAATTTATCCGCAATCGTCGGCTGATTAAAACCCGCGTGTTCCTCTATGACGACAATACAGGCACCGAAAAGGAGGTGCTTTGGCTGCGCATGGAGGAGTCTGCCGGGTACGGCACGCTACAGCGCACTCTGTTCAAGGAGATTGGAATCTCGGGGGCGATCCTTCACAAGCCCGCTTCTCCCGACCACATTGGATTTTTTAGTCCTGAAACGAAGACAAGCTACGCATTCTCCATGCCGATACCAGACAGCTACGCGATTCAGCAGTCTGTGTACGAGATGACTCTAGCAGACCTCTGGGGCCGCGGGGAGCAGAACCATAAGCTGGTCATGACCATCCTGCCTCTGCCGTTGCCAGACATCGACCTCTCCCAGTGCATCATCCTCAACAGCGGGTACAAGAACATGCCGCACGTGTACCTCTCCCGTCACGTTGAGGTGGTGACGTTTCGCCTGCTGCTGCGGCTTGCGGTGCAGCAGCTGGGGTCGCAGATGCGCGAGAGCGTTCTCTCGAGCTACACGGACCAGCTGGCGGGCAAGTCCAAAGCGGTGCGACTTCTGTGGGTGATACGCGGCGAGATCAAGAAGGTGGTCGAGGACGAGGAGGAGGAAGTACCTCTAGTGCGTCACGGCAACCTGGTGCTCGATAAGCTCTCGCCGACGCTGCCGGGGTATGCGCGGTACGACGTGCTGTTCTGTCGTCGCCGCTCGGGGGAGCGCTTTTTTGGACTCCCGACGAACATCATCGTGAAGGCGGAGCTGAGCGAGCAGGGTGAGGTAGTGCTGCGCCGCATCGTGAAGAGGCTCGGATATCCGAACGTGGAGGAGGCGATGAAGAAGTGGATTTTGTGTGTCATGAACACCACCTCCCGCAAGACGCGAACTGCCGGCATGAAGGAAGTGTTGTCGGACCTGGTGAAGGACGTGTGCGGCGCGCCGTTTGTGTTTGTGGTGGACCGCCCGCAGATGCTGCTCCTGGACGGCGTGGACGAGGCAGACCGCCACCAAGAGTCCATCGTGATCAAGTCCAGCTCCAAGACAGATCTTTCCGCGTTGTAGCCGCATCCGTTTTTTCCCCCTTTTTAGTGCTTCGTTTATTATTTCTGTTTTTTTTTTTGTGAGTCGAAAGTCGCCCTCACGAGGTGCCTCCTGACACATCTGCTTTGTACTTTTACAAGAAATTGGTCAAATCCTCATTATCATGCCACTTTACAGGAGTTCGTTGTTGATGCGCTTTATCCGGTGCGGTGGTCGAAGCTAATGGCGGGAACTGTGATGTTATTGTTGTTGCTGTTTAAAGGGCAGTGCTCTGACGTGCGAAAAGATGGGAGACTTGCTGAACATTATTCGTTGCAATTGACGAGGGAGGCACTTCAGGAACCATTCTTCTATATATATATATATAAGTGGGGGGAGGGGCTCATCATCGCTTTTGCTGGTTGTCGGTGCAGCTGCTGCAGTTAAATGAGCGAGGAAAAGCAACACCGCTGTCTTTCCCGGCGAGGAAGAATGGATGACACAATTCGTGGTGCTGCTCTTCCGCCTGCTGCGTGCTCTTTGTGTTATTTTCTTTTAAAGGTGCTTTGACACGAGGGCAGCGATGCAAGTTTATTTTGGGCGTTCGTGTGCGTGTGAATGAGTGCGCTCTAGGCCTGTTCTCTTCTTCTTTGCTGCTTTTCGATGGTGAGAGAAATCTCCAGTTTTTGGTTTTTATCGACGTCTTTGAGAGTAAATGTTGCTGTCACGAAGGAAAACTAGTTCCACGAAACCCTCACCTTCGGTAATCCATCCAGTTGCTGCACCGCAGCTCTTGTTCGTGTTCTTCAGTAGCGCGGTGGGAATCGTGTGCAGGCGAATTAAGGCGAACGCGTCGTGCGGTAGAGCTGCAACTACGTGTCACCGTTTTGGTACATCAGCTGTTAGGTTTACATATTCATACCTCCCCATTCTTACTTCGCTCTCCGTTGTTGTGCCTCAACTGGCACGTGTCCTGTTCTTCATCTGCCTCTTTTTTTTTTCCGAGGTCGTGACGGTGATTTATGTACCTGTGGGTACCGACGTCAAAGCCAACGAAGTGAAACTCTCGGCGCAGCAGCTGCTCTGTCGTACATTTTCGAGCTGTCCGTCGCTGTCGCAACAGGATGCTAAGAATCGAGAAGCTGTCGTGGTCGCCAAACCGGGTAAGATCGCTCGTGTGCGCTAGGTTCAGGCAGACAGGGTACTTCTGAGCCTTCTTGAAGCGCGTCTTCGGCTTTTTTCCATGTTTGGGACGTGTCGGGGGCGTGCTTTCCACGTCGAGATGGTGCCCCCTCCTTCCGCCAACTCCTTGTGGGAGGTGTGGCAGCTGAACCACAAGATAAAGAAAAAATCGACTTTCGAGGCTTTCAACTTACAAACGTTCTTCTTGCTCTTTGTACCACCTCTTCCCTTGCTCCCTCTCCTTTCACGCTCTTTCTGTCTCTCCCAAGGAACTCGCGGAACTGCCACCTTTTTCCACCCCTACCGGATCACGAAGGCGAGAGAAATCATGCCTCCAAAAGCCAAAGCACCAGAGGTGAAGCCCAAGTCGAAAAAGGCGCTCGCGTTGGAAGAAGCGATTAATCAGGCGAACAATGACGCACAGCAAATCTACCGGCAGCATGAGCTGCTACGCGCAAAGGCCGACCAAATAGAGAAGAGTCATCGCGAGAATCTTTATTTGGACGAGACGGTTGCGAAGGCCCGTCTGAAGGAAGAGCGACAGCATTACCGCAAGCTTCTCGCGGAGCTGACCGCCGAGGAGCAGCTGGACTACGCGACCTATGCGAAGCACAGCGAGTGGGAAAACATTTCCGCTGCTTCGCGGCTGCCGGACGTGCGCAATCCGGCGGATATCAATTCCTTTCTCACAATTTGGCGAAACCGCCAGTCTGCCAGCGACGTCTTCGTGCCTGAGACGACAATTGTTTCCGCCGGAGTGCCGGACGAGACGGGCAAGAAGAAGCTGACGTTTATCCGCGGCGAGCAGCGCCTGCCACCGTCGAAGCGACAGGAAGCGGTGCAAGAAGAGCTACTCCAGTGCTACGATGCCTACGAGCTGGCCGAGAAGATCAAGGAGGCGCGTGACCTGGCGGTGGACTCGGTAGCAGGAGGCGCCACAGGAGCCGCCGCAGTGACTGCGTCTGCCAGCCTCTCCCGTAAAGCACGCTGCAAGCCCGATGACACCTTGAAAGACGTCTACGCCCAGCTGTGCTCTACCTTTGACTTTGTCGCGACAAACGTGCTTCACTTTTACGACGAGGTGATTGACAGCCCGGACGGGGAGACGCTAATGCGTACCGTGACGTCCGCCAATCCTGTCATAAAGTTCGGTATGTGGGTGAAGACAAAGGACGTGACGCGCAGCTTTACCTCGTTGGCCTTCCCCGAAATTGAGGTACGGCTGGACCCGAAGCAGGTCACGCTGCCGAAGCTCCCTAAAGCGCTGGGTTTGAGCCGCGAGAACATCGCAGTTCGGGCTGTCCAGCTGGCCTTCGACCCCTTCTCTTGCTACGTAAACGAGCGAGCGCAGTACTACGCACTGGACTGCACCATCAAGATAGACCTCTTAACCTTCGAGGAGCGGCCGCGGCGCAACGGGGAGTGGCTGCTGCGTGGGGAGACGATCGAGTCACACCAGCTGCACGTGGAGGAGTACCCGCCGCGAACTGCCGAGGCGCGCGCTGAGGATCCGGCGCTGCGCATCTCCTTTGAGGTGCCACACACGATCGTCGTCCGCCAGCCAAGTCTTTTCATCGGGAAGTGGAACGAGGAGACGCACGAGTGGGAGCCGTGCAGTCGCGCGATGCTCGGCGCGTCCTTCGGCAACACCGCCCACGTCGCCGAGAACCCGCGGCGGGCGACCTTTGTGACGGCTGAGTTCGCGCAGTTCGCCGTGCTGCAAGAGACGGTCGCTGACATCCTGTACGAGAACTGGAGTCTGAAGCCGTTCGACAGCAACCGCATCCTCATTTCATTAGAGGGTCGTCACCGCGGCGACGCCACCGATCGCGAGTTCCGCTTTATGCTGGAGGACGCAAGGTGCCGTCTGCTGTCTCCGAGCGACGAGGCGCTGTCCGCGCTGCGGCAAGACTGGTGGAGTCCGGCTGTGCTGCTGCGCAAGCTGAAGCAGGCGGGCTTCAACTTTCTGGTGCGCGACGAGGAGGCGGTCTTTCTCGAGAACGTGGTGCCCAAGTCGCGCGCACTGGAGGAGAAGGCGTACGCGGATATAGCGCAGTTCTGCCAGTACTTTACGATTGCGAACACGCATCACAACAAGCATGGCGAGGACCCCGACATGGCACTCTTCCGTGTGTCGAAGACGTGGCTGCGACCGGAGGAGGAAGACGAAAGTTTTGACATTCCGACCGCGGTGGATGTGTGGCGCTCCGTACGCTATCGCAAGGACGACTGCGCTCTTGCGCTCTTCACAGAAGCTGATGAGACGACAAACCTGAACTTGATCAGCGGGACGGAGACGCACCACAACCTGTACTCGCTGCTCGCTTCAGTAGAAGGAGAGGAGGAGATACACGGGCAGCTGTTCAACACAAATTACCTGCTGCGTCGATGCGTGACGCAGTTCCTGCATCTCGTCCGCCCGCTCAGCTGGGGCTGAGCGCAGCGTTACAACTTTTCGAAGAGGCCAGGGTGCTGCCGCTGTCGGATTGTTGTTATTACTATTTGTGTGTGTGTGTGTGTGTGTGTGTGTGTCAGCAGTGATGATGTTAGTGTTCGGCTCCTTTTTCTGCGCCTCGGTGAACACGTATGTACAATAGCATTCGATACCCTTGTGGTTGCTTTTCAATCGCAACGTGATCTTTTATGTAACGCACTTGGGGTCTCTCCTGGACACTCTTCTACTCCTCTAATCAGCCATCGAACGAACGCGCGTAGTAACAGTAAGAGAAAGGTGTTCCCCGCTGCATTTGTTTTCTGTTTCTCGTGTTGTTGCGTAACCGGTACAGCAACGCATGGTGGGAAGCAGCTGCGCTACAACAGAGAACTCATAGTTGCATATATGTATCCATGTCGGACCATGTGCTCTGTCAGCCGTTCATGCTCGCAGGACTCAAGAATTGCACGCCCGTCGCTATCATTCTCTATTTGCGAGGTATTCTCTTCTTGCTCTCTTCGAAAACACCCCACATCCTGCCTTCTCTCTTCGACATCTTCCCGTCGCCGTGCGCTCCGCATTCCACGTCCGCTTATCGGCTTTCACGCCTGTGTTTACTGTGTAGAAGAAGGCAGAGTCTCGCGCTCACGTTGATGCGATACTCCTCTTCTTTCGCTCTTTCCTTCTAGCCAAAAACGTAGAAACATCTGTGCGTGCCGCCGGCATTTGCGGTGCGCCGCCGCTTCACGCAATGATTCGCCGAACCGCGCCGTGGCGCGTCTACGAGAGGTTTGAGGGACACATTTCCGGCGACAAAGGCCACATGACGCTGCAGCAGGCCTGCACCATCTTCGGCTTCCAGCTAAACGACGAGTGGAAGAAGAAGGACGTCAAGAAGCGTTTTCAGAAGCTTGCCTTGAAGTTTCACCCCGACCACGGCGGCACCAGCGAGCAATTCCAAATGCTGAAGGAAGCGCAGCACCTGCTGCTCACCCACCGCCACGACCGCGGCACCGACCGCGCCCCACCCGGCAGCAAAACCGACGCGGGCGGCGGCGTAAACTTTCGACGCATGAACTACGATAATTTGACCAACACGATTCATCGCCAGACAGCTGACAGGCCGGAGTACCGCTCCTTTAGTCTGCAGGACGTCATCCTCTTCCTCATCTTCTTCTCGTGCGTGGGCGGCTACTACGTCTACAAGACTTACACAACGCAGATGCGGGTACTGAGGAGCCGGTGGAGCTACTCAGAGGACGCGATCCGCGACGACTACAAAGGCAAGACAGTGTCGGAGACGGCGTGGCATCCGTGGATGGCGGACTCCGAGACACGAGACCGCATGGACGACATCGCAGTGCTGCAGGGCAGCGTGCGCCGCGAGCTGGTCGACGCGAAGCGCAAGGAGACGCCGCTAGTGTACACGCCGTGGCAGTCAGGTGGGCCCTTTGCACGACACATGGCCCCGGCACATCCGACAGCTACGACGGAAGGAGAGCCGCCTGCCGAGGCGCAGCATCCAACACCCTAACAAAAAAAAAGACTGGTTGAATTCAATCGAGACGGCTACGCCGCAGACGTTTGTTTTCTCGAGAGCGAGCTGCTGTGACTTTTGAAGATGATCTTTACATTATTTCTTGTCTTCTCCGGATACGTTGACTCACGTGGTGCTCCTCGTTACAGAGCCGAAACAAGACGCATCCGTACGTGCCGCTTGCTCGGATTGCGCCCGAGCATTTTTCACGCTGTCCGTAATGATGACGTATTCACAGACGCAATTAAAAAGGAAAACGTGTTGATTCTCGTTCGTTCATTTGCGCTGCGTCTTGTACAGTGGAATGAAGGAACTCAAGCTTGTGCTCGCGTTGTTGTTTTTCGTGAAGTGTCTCCGGCGTGTGATCGAGCGAATCTTTGCGGATGCATTTCACTTCATTGCCTTGTTCTTAGAAAGAAAGAGAAGAACGAACTTCAGCCCTTCTCGTTCTCTCTGCCTTCGCGGGACAACCTCAGAACACCTGAGGGGGGTACGTGCAACGACAGAGGAAACAAAGAGAACCGGTGTTTCCTCTATGCGTGATTCGGCTTCTTTGCAATCCCCGTGTCCCCGTCATTCACCGAACCAACGTGGCTTTGACACACCCCTACTGTTTCGGTGTGCCTTCAGAAAACACTTCGTGGTGCTTCACTCTCCTTCTCTGTTATTTCAACCGCGCCGGAACTCAAAGGCGCAGAGGCGCGCACATCTTCGGTAGTCAATTGGGACTCCTTTGATAGACCATTACATCACAAATGAGTGCGGCAACTACGTCCGATGCCGCGGCTGCTGACCATGGCAACAAAACGGAGGAAGCGCCAGCGGAGTCGTCTTCGTTGGAGGCGAATCGTCTTCGAGAAGAGCTTCAGCACTGCCAGGAGAAGTTCGCCTCGTGGAAGGAAAAGGCGAAGATCGGGGTAGACAACCTGCGCATGCAGATTATTGGGCTCAATCAACGCCTTGAACGATCGGAACAAAAGAGAGTTGAGGAGCTGCGCACGGTTGATCTTCTTCAATCTTCGATGTCAGCACAGGCAGACCTCGCAAGCGCTCACTCCTTCGCCGCAGCGTGTCTTTTTGTGAACTCGCTGAGCGCGCGAAACGGGGCAACAGAAGGCGCAGCAAAGGCTACAGCTTCGTCTTCACCTTCCCCTACACCTGCAGCCGCCGTTACTCCCCCCTCTCCGCCATCGCCACCGAATGCGCTCATCACGAAACTGCAACGCACCATTCAAGAACAATCGGACCGACTGAAGGAGACGCATCACGCATTGAAAAGGTCCACCAACGAGGTGCAGCAACGCATCGAGGCACTGAAGCGTCAGGACGGCATCGTGGCCGTTCTGAAGCGGCGCCTTGAGGCCTCGGAGGCGGCAAACGTCTCCTTAGAAGAGCAACTGATGAATGTGCCGAACGTGGAGGAGTGGAGGGCGGCGCAGGACGAGTTGGACCATCAGCTGGAGCGCTCTCGGCTGGAGTACGAAACCCGCGAAAGCAACCTAGTGCTGCACCACAGCAATGAAATTCAAGCGCTGAACATGGCGCACGAGCAAGAGATACGCGAGCTGCAACGCGACGCACAGGAAAAGGTCTCGCAGGCGGTGCAGAACGCGCTGGCGAGCCAGGCGCAGGCGGCGGCGTCTGCATCGACGCAGCTGGCGCAGTCGCACCAGCAGCGGCAACGCGAAGCTGAAGACGCAGCGTACATGGATCTCCTGTCGGACTACAAGGCGCTGGAGGCTACTTCTGGTGCCGCGGTGAGAGAGCGGGACGCTGTACTAAAACAGCAAAAGACTCTTATCCGCGAGCTGCACGACTTTTTCCGCGCAGTTGGGATGGGCGGCATCGCGAGTGCCTCACAGGTGCAGTCGCCGCAGTCAGGAAATGTCGCTGTCGCGCGTGAAATGACCGTGGAGGACACCATTCGTCAGATTGGCGAGCAGCGGGCGCGTGTTATTGCCCTGCAAGAGGAGCTCAGTCGGTGCCGTCGTGAAGTGGTGCAGCTGAAGCGGTCGAAGCCATCGCAGCCCCCCGACGGCTTGGGCGCTCAACAGACGCAGTACGTACGCTCCGTTGTGGTGCAGCTCCTCTGCTCTCTCAACGACGCGAGTATCGCGAAGCGATTGCTCCCTGTGCTGAGCATGCTGCTGAAGTTTAGCAACGACGACATGACGGCGGTGACGAAGGCGATGCCGCAGTGGACGCAACACAGGTGAGCGATCTGAGCTTTTATTGCGTTCTTCGTGTCTTCCTCGCTGCGTGCCACCACCACGTCGCATTCGTTTTCACTCGTAAGAGATGCGGGGGAAGGGCAAAGGAATGAGAAACGTTGACGTGGAGCGTCGGTGTGGGCGCAAATGGCGTTGGGGCTTTTTTGGTTCTCACCTCTTCCTCCACTGAGTCAACGTGGCGCGCTGCTGAAGTGTGCATCCTTTCTGGGAAAAAATGGCCAACGCGTGTCACGGCGGCGACAAGTCACAACTCCAAAGGTGATGCCCTTGCAACTCATTTGGTGATGATGGAATCGCCGAAGACGACAAAAAAACCGAAACGTTCTAGCCTGTGAACAGCTCCAGGACTGCGGTGTTCATCTCTGCGGCTCAACCGTTTGTCGTGACTCGCCGTCACTTTTGTTTTCGAACAGAGTCTTTCTGCTCTGTCTCTCTCCCGGTGGAGACAACCGCGTTCCTGTGCAGGAAACAAGGAAAAGAATCGCACAACGATTCCAACTTTATTCCACGCCTTCTTCCGCTCTCATGTTTTCTCTTCTTCACACACAGCTGAACCGTACAGTACCAAATCTGCGAACCGGGAAAAAACAGGTGAACACAGTTCAAGCTGGCTAACCAACGTTGTGGTTCTTCAGCACTCGAAAAACTCGGGGGCAACGAAACCGACGGATGCGAAGGCGCAAATAGCGCGAGCCGTTAAACCTTTTTGTTTGTGTTGCTACTTCAAAGATCGCAATGGCGACGCTCAAGGATCGTTTCGCGGCTGCGTTCTTCTTCAGTGATCCAGAGGACGCGCTCGCCGCGGAGAAGGCCCGCAACGAGGAGGCGAGGGCGAAGGCGACGGAGACCCGACTTCGACACAGTCAAGAGGAGCGCGACTTCAAGGATAAGGTGGACCAGCTAGACAACAAAATCAAGCACCAGCGCGAGCACTACGCGCGCCAAGCCGCGCCGATGCTGAAGGAGTTCGATGACATTGCAATTTCGCAGCACTACTATCAGGAGGTGGGCAACAACGTCAGCGCACAGGAAAGCTTTGTTGATCAGATGGTGCAGCGGGAGGTGCAACAGTTCGGTTACATGAGCAAGAAGCTTGTGTCTGTCGGCCTCAACTTTGAGGCGCTGCGGCAGAAGATGCGCTCGGGTGAGCCGTTCGCGCAGGAGTTGAAGTCCGCCCTCGACGACGCGGAGAGCGAGGACCTGATCGTGATGTCGGCGCCACTGCAGCATTTTGCGGAGCGGGGGGTGCCGAAGCCGACCCTCGTGCGGGCGGCCGCCTTCGACCTTGCGCGGTCCATCGAGGAAACCGGCAAAGCCCCCGTGCAGCAGCCGGTGCGAAGTTGGCTCGACATGCTGAAGTTCCGCACCGCTTTTAGCCCCTCCACCGTGGACCAAAACGAAGTGCGCGCGCGACGCGCGGCGACGCAGTTTACGCGCTATGTGGAGCAGAATCAATACGCTGCCGCCCTGTCTCTCGCGGAGGAGGCAGCGAAGTGGACGCGCAACGAGAAAGACGCCTCGTTTGAGTACTTCGATAACTCGTACCAGAGTTTTCTCCAAGCGGCGGTGCCGGCCATCACGTCGGAAGTATTTCTGGCTTACGCATCGGCCTCGCTGAATGCGTCGCGGTACGCGTGCGTGGAGCACATGTTGAAGGAGCAGTAAGAGAGTACTCTACAACGGCAGAAAAAATGGATGTGCTCCCTAGCTGCAGCAGGTGTGGAGTCTTCGTGCTTTGCACGGAATCCCTCCGGGTAGTCTGTGTTGGTTTCACGAGTACGTGTGCATGTGTAAGTGGAATTTACCTCTTCGTCTTTGTTTGTTTGTTTTCCCCGTCTGAGGTTGCGTGATGTGGCGCGGGTGTGCTTTGGGTCTTGTTTATCTGTTTCGAACGCGCATGAGCGGTCTTTGTCACAACATCGAAAGAGGCAACACGCTTTCCTTCTGAATAGCCAAACTGCACGCTCTTCTTTACCATTTCTGAGAAGGGATCGACACACTTGACTGTCGCACCGTGGCACCGCACCCAGGCAGTCGCTTTAGCTTCTGCGTCTTCCACTGCGCGGTAACCACGTGGACACAGCAAGAGAAATTACGAGCGCCAAGCAGTTTCTTTTTCTTGTATATGCAGTGCTGTTTCCCGGCGCATCGTGAAGCACGGACTCCGTGTTTTGCGTCGACAGCCCACTCCTCATCGATTCTCTGACTCTCCCTCCGCTGCTTCTTCAGATCTTGCTGTTGAGTTGAAACGTGAGGCACCTCTTCACATCTAAAGAGGGAAGAAGAAAAACTTGCCGCCTGCACGGTGGTGTGACTGCTTGACGTGTCCATTGTTACTACAACTATTATTGCACAGTCTCTTTCTTCTTCGCTTTCATCATGGGGAGCAGCAGCAACCATGTAAAGCGGCTCCTCGCCACCGCGCGCATGCACCACCGACCGGAGCTGCTGCAGGATGTCATGGAGGAGCTACTGGCGACCGAAAGCAATACGGGAACGACGTCGACGGAGCTGCGTGTCCTCTGCTCCGAAGTCGCGGTGGAGCTGCAGCAGTGGCAAATCGCATCCCAGCTGCTGCGAGGCGTGGGGACATCGCATGAGTCACGCCTGCTGCGTATGCGCAAGGTGTTCTGCGACGTGCTCGTCTCCCTGCACGAGGTGGAAACGCAGCCGACGCTGTCAGAGGACGAAAAAGTGCAACAGAAACTGTTAGGCACTGCCACGGCACTGCGAGCCTTGGCGGACAGTGTGGAGATGTGGCCGGACAGCCTCGACGCCGTGCTGATTGGTATTCGCACGTTGTGGACCATCATTCGCCCCCTCCTCGATGCCGGTCGTCAGGCGGAGGTCTGTGACGCCGTGGCCTTTCTCGCCTCCCTCCATCAGCAACTGCACATCGGCGGTGGCTACACGCTGGTGCAGTGGATGGCGCGCAGTGCCCTCTGCCTCTACGCGGCCGACCGCTATGCAGAGGCGTTTGCGCACTTCACCACGGCGATGGAGGCGGCCGCTTTCTTGTCCAATCAACGGCTCTATGTGCAGCTGCTGCGCATGGCCGCCGGTGTCATCAGCGCCAGGGAAAAGGCCGCGGCACCGGTAAAGGGCCGGACCGAGTTTCTCGGAACGTATCGCTCCCGCCCGGTAATCTACGCCGTGCTGCTCACTCAGCTCGTCCTTACAGGGCACGTCGAGGTGGACACCTGCCGGGAGGAGCTCCACAGCACCTACGAAACGGTTCACAACGGCTCCGCTGAGGTGGTACTGCCTGCGGAAGCCGCCGGTGCGACGACAGGGAAAGGCAGAAAGAAGATACCCGCCGCCAAGCAGCAGGCCGCGACGACTCGTGTGACGGAGGCCTTTACCATCACCGATCCCGACGTCATCGAGGAGGTGAAGAGCGATCTGCTGCTCTGCATCGCGCTGCACGACACCCTCACAATGGCGCAGCAGGAGGAGCTTGAGCGACGGCGCAACAGCCCCAACCGGCGCGTGCGCAGCTTCACCGCGTTCGCCCTCATCGTGCAAGACGCGCGCCTCCGCGGACTAGCGCAGCTGAACACGTGCGCGGATGCCTCCGTGCTGGTGGCGGCCCACCGCTGCGATGTCAACGCGATCATACAGAAGCTCCTCTCTGTGCTGAAAGCCACGAACGCGATCCACGACGAGAGTGAGCGCCAGTACACGCTGCACATGGGTGTGTCCCTCTTGTGGAACTACATTCTCCCCTTCTTGCAGCCGACGTTCACTGGCGACGTGCAGGCATCGCTGGAGGTCATTTTGGAAGTGAGCCAGGGCGCCGCCCCGCCTCTCCGGCAGCTGTTTCTGCAGGCGGGGTTGCAGCAGTGTCACATCGCGTATAACGAGGACCACCGCCCTACCCTGCATCACCTTCTGCCTCTGCTGAAGCAGGAGTGCGCCCGCAGCGGGGCTCGCAAGGACAACCCGCATCTTGAGTTTCCCCTTCAGTGGATGCAGTACCAGCTCAGCGTCCTCGAGGAGCCGGAGAGCAGTCTCACCAACGAGCAGGACCGATGCCTGTTTGCGATTGAGCAGGCCCGCACCGTGTCCAACCCGTGCAAGCGCATTCCACTGCTGAAGGCGGCCTTTCAACACCTGCCACCTCTCCTGCGTGCGGAGCCGCGGCCCGACCCCGCAGCGCCGGACGTCTCACCCAAGCGTCAGGGACAGGCGCAACCGCAGCGACAGCAAAATTCAACAGCACTCCTCGCGAGTGCGTCAATGCCCGTGCAGCGCCGGTCCACCGTGCAGCTCTACAAGGAACTGTTGGACCTCTGCATGGAGGAGGTGAGTCCATCGCTCTACACCGTGGCCAGCGTCATGGCAGACGCGCTGCGCACCCTGCCTCGTCCCCCTGCCGGACCGACAGTTGACGACTTGGAGGAGATCCAGGCAGTGGCCAGCCTGCATTGCGCTACGCTGCAGTGCAAACAGCTGGAGGACGAGGCGGCCACCGCAGCCGCCGACACGTCCACTGCTTTTCCTGAATGCAGCAGCGCCCAAAGGCTACTTGCCGGGCTGCTGAAAGAGGCAGCGCAGCGCGGAGCTTCTCTTGAGGCGCGGAGCACAGGCAGCGGTGGCTGGATCGTGGCGAACGCGTGCATCACCTTTCTCAACATGAAGCAACGTGCGTACAATGCTGGCGACTACAGCACCAACATGGCTGAGTTGCTCGAGCTACACAGCACGTACACAGCTCTCTTTGCGAAGGGTCGCGTGCAAGACGTCTCTCTTCTGTCCGACCTCACCGTTGCAGCCGTGGTCGGCCTTCTTGCGGGGTTTGTGGCGGCGAAAGCTGCGGCGGCCAATCCCGCAAGTCCTACCCACGCTGCGCCCAGCAACACCGTGCCCGATGCCACCTACACGGGGCTCATACGACGCATTCAATGCTGCACGTCGGTGGAATCCTCCAACTCGCAGCTTCGCAAGGCGGAGGCGCTCTGTCGAGAGGCCCAGCAGCTCATACAAAACCCGAAGCACAAGTGGTTCATCGCGATGCTCTACCCGAACGTGTTGCGCCTCTTCAACGAGAAACCGGTGGTGTTCCTCCACCCTCAGGAGCAGCTTCTCATCTATCTTGGCATGCTTTCAGGTCCATCGCTGACGTTGCCAGAGCGGCAGTCGCTGCTAGAGCAGGAGATGCGGCCGCTTCTGCGCAGAGACCCCAGCGTGCGGTTGTGTGCGTGGGTGGCCGCCGTTGCCGCCGAGATGCATGTGGAAGACGCCGTGATGGAGTGCTACCAACTCGCGGATGCCCTCTACGCCAGTGGCCGGCTTGGCTGGGACTCGTCGTGCGATGTGCAGCGGTCAAACACGTCGACGGCGGCGGGTGGCGGTGTTGGTGGGGGTGGTGGGAAACCGTTAGAGAGCAGCATTATCAGCAATGGCGGTGGTGGGGGTGGTGTTGCCCTTGGTGGCATCCTGAACGGCGCCAGCACCGGGAACAGGAAAGGGTCGCTGAGCCTTGTGCTGGTGCAGCAAGAGCCTTCAAATCCAGTCAAGCCAGACGCCGATGATTGGGGCGCGTATGCGCAGCTGCTCGCCATGAAAACACAGGTGTGTGCGAGCCACCTCCAGGGCCTCAGTGGCAACGTACGCCGTGTTGCCTTGCAGCAACTCCTGACAAACTGCGTGAACTCCGTCATCGCGACGATTCACGGGCCGGCGTCATCGAAGAGGACTCAATTCACGCGCGCCTTCACCTCTTACTACACCATTTTGCGTGACAACAACGGCATGTTCCCGCTGGCGGGCGCAGCGTTCATTCTGCCCAGCCTGCGCATGCTACTCTCGAAGGCGATACTGATGCAGTTCCCCAAGCGTGAATGGAACACCACCTTTACCGAGTTGGTGTACCAGCTCGGCGCCATCCTTGTGTACGTCTCCTACAGCAGTGGATGCGACGATAACGTCCTGCAGCTCAGTAATCATCTGCGCCTCCTACGAGAACTGCTTCCCCCGCGGTACCAGAAGTCCCTGAAGGTGCGCGAGACCACGGAAGTGTGCTACAAGGACCCGAGCGTAAACGGCTTCCTGCACGTGAGCCGCAACATGGAAGTGGAGCTGCAAACACACGGCTGGCTCATTGTCGCCCAGCGGGCTGAGGAGGAGGGCAGCGCGATGGAGGCGTTTGCGCTAGCGCTGTCCGGCACGCAAGCAAACCCGTTCGCCCGCGCGCAATGCACGTTTGAGTTCGCCTTCAACTCCCTTGAGCAGGGCAAGGCGCCGCTCTCACGCGCGACGGACCAATTGCGCGAAGCACTGCGCATCCTGGAAGGCCTGCCAGACAGCATACCCCTCCTGCACGATGGCACGGCGGGTCAGGTGAGCCTAGAGGCCACGCTGATCGATAAGTCCCTCACCGCGTCCTTCTTGAAGACGTCTCGGAGGCGATCGCAGGAAGAGGTCAGCAAGGCGGCGACTCTCAGCGGGAAAGCAAAGCCGGCGGCGACGCGGGCGTCAACGAGGAAGTCCGCCAACGCGGTCAACGCACCGACTGTGAACTTCCAGCACGTGTTTTTGGGGCTGCGCATCGTGTCTCTTCTCTTCCGCGTCGCCTCCCCCATCGCCCCTTTCGCCACCGGAGCAGGCGCCGCCGCGGTGAGGGCCAACAAGAGCGCGTCGATGGCGTCACGCCGTGACTGCGCAAACGTCATGCTCGACTACATTTCGTGCTTGTGGGAACTGTGCGGGAAGGTGCTGCGGGAGGAGAAGGAGGCGGTCGCGGCGGCTGCCACGCCGTCCAGCGAAAACGACGGCGGCGACGGCAGCGACTTTTGTCTGCCCGACAGTGCCGCGGAGTATTACGGTTTTGTCGTGGCCGCCGGCGTAGCGCAGCAAGTGCGTCGGTTAGTGCCGGGGGAAGAGGTACAGCTCAACACCGAGGGGATGTGGCAGCCTCTGCTGGAGCTTGGCGACTACCTCATCAGCGCTGGCGACGAGGCGCACGCCTTCCTTGTGTACTCGTGGTTGCGTTTTGCCGCCGCGATGGCGCTCGGCGAGCCGGAGGGCAACGCGCAGTGCGCACTCGTGCATCGGGTGTGCAACCTGAAGATGTGCCTTGCAGCCACCGCGAGCGGACTCAGCGACGAGCCCTACGTGGCAGCGCTGCGGCACCTCGACGAGGCGCACCTGCCGTTGGACGAGTATGCACTGGTGTCGTCGCCACAACCGAATGCGACGTCGTCGCTTTCTGTGCAGCCGTGGCTTGCGATGTTTGTTTTGGCCGAGTGCGAGATGCGCATGGTGTTTGGGCAGACGGACGAAGCGGCCGCGATGGCGTCTAAGTTTCTCGTTGCGGCCCGCAAGAGCGCGGGCAAGTCGTTCACCGACGTGGAGCTCAACGGTCTGCGCATCCTCGCTCTGTATGATGTGGTGCGCGCCCGCCACGATGAGGCGCTGCGCGTGACAAACGAATGCTTGCAGAGCATGCGCAGTCACCGCGACGCCTTCGCGCCGTCTAGCAGCTTCTCTGTGGGCACGTGGATACGTCTGTGCGGTGTGAAGCTGCGTGCGCTTCTCTCGATGAAGGCCGTCGACCAGGCATTCCAGTGGATGGTCGCGATTCGCGAGCAGCTGCTAGAGTGGCGCGCTGCGGCGACGGCAGCGGCTGAGTCGTCGGCAACGCTGCGTGCGCTCAGCCTACGTGTTGAACTGTGCGATGCGATCCAATACTGGGGAAAGGAGCTGCTGTGGACTGCTGAGAGTACGGTTCCTTCCTCCACCGCGCTGCCACTCTTTACCACCTTTGAGGGTCCACTTCACGACGCCGCGGTGAGGATGTTCGGAGAGGTGGAGTTGTTGATGGAGCACGGGGAGACGGTCTTCTGCCAGCTGTACAGCGCAGCGGCACGATGGCGGCTGCGCGACCGCGTTACCCCAAGTTGGGTGGCGCAACACGCGAGCTCCGCAGAGGAGCACCTCTGTCCTCGCTTGACGACTCTGTTAGCAGAAATGAAGGCGCTTCGGCAGCTCTCTGAAAGTCTGCGTGGTGTGGGCGATTCAGCTGCCGACCAACGGACAACCGACGACGACGACAACGGCACGAGAGCCGCTACAGCAGCAACAGCAGCCACGGACATCAAATCAGCCACCAGCCTTTCATTGTGGAAAGCGTTCCTGCTGTACTGGAGCGCGGTAGATCGCCTCGAAGCCAACCGCATCGTGGAGTGTCTGCTCGGCAACTTCCGACGTCTCTCGATGACCGACTTGCAGCTGCCCACCTCCGACGCACCGCCCCACCTCGAAAAGGAGGTGCTGAAGTTTATGCGCGGCGTGGCGGACGACGCTGCGGCGACGACGTCGCGCCTTGTCTCCGGCAATGTCGGCGCACGCTGGCAGCAGACGCCGACATCAGCCATGACGGAGGTGGAACAGGCGCTGCAGCACTACGGGCTCGCGGTGCAGGAAGGGAAGGACATCATGGACCTCTCCTCCGTGCAGCCTTCCTTGCAGACGTCGCTGGTGCTGGCACGCGCCTGGTCCGCCTCACGTCTTGCCAAAGTAATTCTGATTACCTTTGCAGAGATCGAGGTGCAGCGGCTGACGGAGAACCAAATCGCGGCAGCGGACGACATGCTGGGCGAGAAGCTCGTCCTGCAGAGGGAGGCGGTGCTGACAGCGGCGTGGAACCGCGCCCCTTTAGTTCCACCCAAGACAGACAAGGCAGGCGGTCGTGCCCGGAAGAGCGTGTCAGCCGGGAAGCCGCGAATCTCAAATGAGGCGTCGTTGATGTTTGTCGCACCGATCCTCTCGGCGGAGGAGATGGAGTTGCTGCAGCGTGTGAAGGAAGGCGCCGAGGAAGCAGTACAGTACATGCATCTGGACATCGCCGAGCAGCTCTACGATCATCTGAGCAACTTGGCGGCGCTGCTAGGCCGTCCGCGTCTTGCCGCTGCGGCGGCGGAGCAGTTACAGACCTGTCAACTCATTGGCTTCCTGTGTGCGAAGAGCACGCAGGAGATGACGGACTCAGTGGAAGGCCGACTCTGGCGGCAGCTCCACACCGTGCACCCTTTGCTGTGTCACGCCACTTTGTGTAAAGCGCTGTTGGACGAGGTGCTCGCCGTGTCACCGATGAGCAAGTACATTCGCAACTGCGCGTTGTTGTGTGTGGAAGAGACAAAGGAGGAGGAAGTCGTGCCAACGAACTCGCACGCGCGTGATGCAGCGGCGCTGACGGTCTCGCCGTTTGCCATCGACGCGCCAGTGCTGACCATCACGTACAGCAGCGGTCACAGCGACTTCTGCCTCGTCCTGCTGCGCCACCCCGACGGCGGCGTCGAAGGCCGTCGCAAGAGCGTCGCGGCGGAGGAGTGGCACCCGCTCGTGCAGCAGTTCGAGCGCATGCAAAGCGAAACACCAGACCTCTCGGATGAGCCCAGGAGTGGCAAACCTGGCAAGGCGGCGCAGCGCGTCATCTCCGAGGACGTGGTCGACTTGACGGACCACCTTGCTCCGGTCACGATGAAGCTGCTGATGGAGTTCCAACCTTCGCTCCAATCCTTCGGTGCGAAGTCTCCTCTGTACCTTTGCGTCGCTCCAGGCATGCAGCCAATCGCGTGGGAGCAGACGAGCCTGCTGTCCACCTGCGCCCTCGTGGTGCGCGAACTCGGCGCGGCGGTGGTGGTGAGCAAGTACAACGAACCAACACACAACACACGGCAGCCCCCCGCGCACGGCTCGAAGACTAACGGGTCGGGCCCATCCAAAGGAGCGTCAACCAGCGTGTCCGTCTGCATCGCCGACGTCTTTGGCGACCACATTGAGTCTACCGAAAACGTGCTGAGCGCGGAGTCTCTCAAATCGAAGAACACGCAGCACACCCTGATCACCTGCAGTGCGCCTGGCTCGCCTCCCGATCCCGCCTACATAACGTGGGTGTTAAACGCCTCTGCGCCGAGTTCCGTCGTTGTGGATATGTGTGGAAGCTTCACAGATGCGCTGCCGCTACCCTACCTCGCGGTGCTGCGGCTGTCGCAGGTGAACGTCGCCGTGTTGGCCGATGGCGCCGTCAACGCCAAGTCCCGGCAGCGTGAGGAGCGGCAGCAGCTGGACTGCTGTGGCGTCGGTTTCGTTCCACCCAGGTGGGTGGTGCAGCTGCTCTTGTTGTTGCGCGGTGCACGGCTGGTGGTGGCGAACGCGTTCCCGTGCAGTCCCGAGTCCGCTGACGGACTCACCCGTCGGTTTCTCTCTTCCCTGTCCTCCATCAAGACTCTGGTGGAGCAGCTGAGGGGTAAGGGCAGAGACGCGAAGACGCCCCCTGTCACGCTCTACGGTGCATTTGGAAGCAGCAGCATTAGCAGCAAGCAGAAGTCGTAGCCATCGGACAAGCAGTAGGTGGATGCGTTAACGAAGGCAGGTTCCTCCGTCATGCAGCCAGCAGTTCAGCGTTGCGGCTCTTTTATCTTCTGATTGTGGTTGGATGTAAATAGTACGATGTTCTACCCTTCCTTTTGTAATGTACACGCAGTCCCAAAGTTACGCCACGCAAAGCGGAAAAATGCGTCTATTGCAGCATAAGTAGGATATTCTACGCGAAGCCGAACAGCACGCTGTCTTGCGTTGTTCTCTGTCGTCTCTTCTTCTTTTTTTCTTCAGCCGCGCAGAGAGAACGTCGAGCGTAGACGCTGGCTGGAGAGGTTGGTTTCCCAGCAAATCTCCCGTCGACTCAGCGCTCCGTTTTCGTCGTCGTGGTTTGCCCCCTCTGCACTGTTGCCGCCCTCTTCTCTTCCTCTTCCTTCTTCTCTCCCCTCCCCGTTGAGTTTGATGCGTTCAGCCTGTGTTTCTTTTTAAGGATTTCCTGCCCCCTTTTTACGAGTCAGATCTTTCGACCAGAGAGTGCGCACCTGCGTAGGTGAAAGGAACCATGAGTGGATTTTTGAAGACCGTCTTCAAGAGTGCAGCTGCTGCTCCGGGTCCGCTGAAGATCGCGGAAGCGCCGACGGCCATCTCCTACACCCTCGCCTCCTTCCGCTGGCACATGGACACACGCACTCCGGTGAAGGCAATCGCGATCCACGATTTCCTCGGCAGCTGTGCGTCGTGGCAGCAGCTGCTGCATGAGCCGTTGGCAGACTTCCCGCTGCTCCGTCACACCCCGTCTGACCCGCTGGAGGTCTTCTGCGCTGACTTGCGAGGGCACAACTTCTCCGAGAACGCACCCATGACGTCGGCCAATGCCTTCCCTCTGGCGTGTGCGGCGGACGTGGTGAAGATGCAGGCAGATATTCTTCGGTGTGAAGCACCACTTTTCGGCATTGGCCTCGGCGCCCTCGTTGCCTCCTGTGCCGCCCTGCACGCGCCGGAGGCCTTCTCGTCGCTAACACTCTTCGTGAAGGACCTGGCGGAGCTTCACGAGTGCAAGCCAGCCTCGTACGCCTTGGCGGATGTCGTTCGGCACGCACCGCGCGAGGCGAAGAGCCTGGCCGACCTAAACGCGTACTTGCAAGAGAAGATTCCCAGTGCCACGGAGCGCGCCACCTTGCTCTCTACTGTCGAAGTCCGCAACGGCTCGTGCCGCTTCCGATTTAATAAGGAGCTGCTAGAGCAAAAAGAAACGTTTGTTCTTCAGGCACCTGCAGAGCGCAACTTCACAAAGCCCACGACAATCTGCTTGTACGGGGAAGGTGGGAGCAGCGCACGGGCGGCGGAGGCGGCGGTGCGGGCTCGCTTCCCGGCAGCCAATATTCTGCAGCTGGACACAAAGGGCAAAGTGGCTCCGCTGGATGCCGTTCCGGTCGTGCCGCTTCTGCTTCAGTCGTGCAACCTGCTCGGCCAAATTAACGAAGGTGCCGCGGAGTGATGTGAAGCGGAGAACACGCAGAGGCCTCCCCACACGCGTTCGTGTCCCCAGAAGGATGCTCATGCATCGCCCCCTAAATTCCAATGGGCGGCAAGAGCTAAGCCCTATTTGATTGACCTCCTTGCTTTAATTTGTGACAGGCGCGACAGGCACCCCCTCTTTTCTTTTGGCAGTTGCTGAAGTATATTGCTGTGTTTTTGTGGTTGCTCTTATTGACTATTGCGGCGTTGTTATTATTCACAAAATTCCGATGATGTCCCACAAAAAAGTGCCGCACTGCGCCTTGCCTTTGTACGTAACTGCATTGCGTCTTCCTTCATTTTCCCCTGGGAGGACTTTCCGCTTCTTTTCCCTCCCCTTGCGCAGGTCTTTGAGTCGGGAAAAGCGCTCTTGTAGCTGCATCAGGGCTCGGTGTAACCGCATTCCTCGCTGGCTTTTCAAAATGTGCTGCGGCCCTTATGATCGTGACGCCCATGCGGTGAAACGGCAGTCCGTTTTCTTCTTCCACTCACGTTCGGCTTCGCTCCTTTGACTTCTCGCTTTCTGTTGTGGCAGCTTGTTTATTTCTTTTCAGTAGAAGAAAACACGTATTTCGAGGACTCCGACCGCCCTCACTGTGCGCGTTTTACACATCTGATTGCTCTTCTCCACCCTCCCCAGGCACCTTGTCTGAACATACTGTTTTATAAATAAAAGAGGAATCTACCACCCTCTACGACCCGCTCGTGTTCTCTCCTTGTCACGGTCTCATCCACAACGGCGAAAAGCACGACGACTGTTTCTGGCGCTTCTTCCCCGATTGTTGTTGTTCTTCTTCTCTCCATGACCAAGTTTAGCGGCACCGCGCGTCGCTTCGTCGCCCTCTTCCTCGTGGGTGCGTTGTTGCTGGGGTCGATCACGACGTTGGCCATCCACGAAGATGAGCAAGGCACGCGGGATTGGGTCATGCACCTGGTAGGAAACGTGCAGGATGCCGCCGTGCAGGTCGCCGTCAATCCGCAGCTGATCTACGTCGCGTCCGAGGACGGTGCGGTGGCGGCCATTGACGTGGGTGCAGCCGGCGCGCTGAATCTGACGTGGCGCCTCACCTCCACATCCAAGCCACTCTGCGTAGCGGCGGCCTACCAAGCCGTCCTCACAGTGAACGACGCCGGTGTGGTCGCGGTGCTGGACCCCGCCACTGGCAGTATCGAAGTCACCTACGCGCTGCAGACGGTGGAGGCCCCTCTGCGCGCGGCCGCCTGCGCCATCGAGGGCAGCAACGCGGTGGTGGTGGCCCACGACGGTGAGATGCTTAAGCGCTTTGACTTCTCCCTCGCCTCTGAGGAGGAGACGATTCACGTTGCGGCCTCCACCGCGCTCGCCGGCGACGTCTCAAAGATGTACATCGCGGGCACCACGCTGGTGCTGAACAGCGCGGCGAACTCGGCAGAGGTGCGCAGCGCCGAGACGCTGCAGTCGGTGCGCACCGTCGCCGGCATTGCAACGAGCATCGCGTCGGACGGCCACTTCACCACGCGCGACGCGGCTGCCCTCCGCTCCTTCCCGCCTGCTGGCGACGCCGCGGAGTTCCCCTGCGCGGACTGCGGCATTGCCGTGGTCACGAACACCGAGTCTGGCACCTCGCGTGGTGTGGTACGCGTGGAGACGGGCAAGGACACGATGCGCATCGCCTACCCGAGCTCGGAGCTGTTGATTCCGAACATTGGCAGCAGCAGCACCGCCTACCCCATCGCCGCCTTTGAGACAGAGGACGGCGACGTCGTCGTCCTCATCAAGACTGGTGCCCACAACCTGCTGCTGGTCAGCGCGAGGAAGGGGCTCGTCTGGCGCCGCTTTGAGGGACTGGCCAACGTGGCCGCGACCGCCATCGTGGAGCCAATGGAGGAGCTTGATCACTTCCACTTCAACAAGGACGTGCTGCTCGCCTCCCGCTTCGGCACGCTCTACTCCGTCCCGCTCCTGTCGATGGGCTCGGAGGTGCGCCTCATAACGGACTTCTCCAAGGAGCTGGTGGAGGCGCTGAAGGCGCCATCGATCGCGCAGGTGCAGGTACGCGGACTGAAGGTGCGTGACAATGGCCACACCGCAGTTGTCTTTGCGGTGTACGGCACCACGAACGCCGACGTCGTTGTGGACCTGGTGTCGAGGCAAATAAAGGAGGTCTCCACCACGGAGAACAGCATCCTCTCGACCCCGCTTCTGGAGGTCGGCGCCGACCTCTCGGTGAAGGGCTCGCTGCCCCGTTCGACCATCTACACCTACGTTAGCCACAGTGCGACCGGTGTAATAGAGGGATACAGCGTGGACAAGACGGCGGGGGCGCGTGCGACGTGGGTCGTGCAGATGCCGTCTAGCATTGTGGCACACGCCTCCGGCAGTGAGCCGCCGCGCCGCACCGACATTGTGAACAACATGCGCGTCTTCCCGAACATCTCTGGCAAGGAGCCGGTAGAGGAGGTCCGCCACACCTATCCCATGCGCAACGTCATCGCCGTCGCACACTACGAACCGGTCGAGGACGAGCTGCCGACGCTGGTGATCACCGCGATCGACGTGGTGACAGGCGGCGTGCTGGCCACCACCCGCCACGCCAACGTCGAGGGTGACGTGAAGATGGTCATTGTCGAGCACTCCATCATCTACTACTTCTTGGACGCGAAGAAGATGCGGTACTGCTTCGGCGTGTGGGAGCTCTTTGAGGACGAGAACTCGCCGGTGGTGACCAAGTCCGCCGTTGCCACCCTTCCGCAAATCATTGCCTCCTTCTTCGTCAACACAAAGCGCGAGTTCAGCTCCCGCGCCACCCGGCCACCCGTCGTGACGGTTTCGACGCTCGGCGTCTTTGGCGGCCCGCTCGCCGACATGGGCGTCACCACGTCGTACAACGCCATCGCCCGCAAGAGCCTTGTGCTGGCCTTCAAGACGGGCCGTGTAGTGGTGGTCGAAGTGCTGCGGCTGCTGGCGGGCGGCCAGATGCCGATGCCGGACGTGAAAGACCGTCAAATCTCTCACGTCATTCTGCCCAGCCTTCTCTTTGCCTCGCACAAGCACCGCCTCGCCCTCCCGCAGAAAATCACGACGGAGCCGACGGGGCTGGAGAGCTCGTGCCACGTGGTGGTGTCGGGTCTCGACCTCTTCTACGTGCGCTCTTCCTCTGGTAAGCCGTTTGACCTCCTCAACAGCGACTTTAACAAACCGCTGCTTGTCACGCTGGTGTGCGGCTTCGCGGCGCTGTCTTTTGTGGTGCGCTACTTTGTGAACCGCAAGGCCATCAACTCATCGTGGCAGTAAGGGTGAAGGGTAGCGTCTCTTTTAAAATTGTTTTTGCTTTTTGAGTTGGCGTCGGATGAGAAGAGGAGACGCGATCTTCGTGCCTTTTCCCGTGGCACGGCTCGGATTATTTTGTGGGCTTGCGTTGCTTTCGCCGTTGTTGTTTTGTTTTCTCCTGCCATTTATTTTATTATTATTGTTTCGTTTTCGTCGCGCTTCTGAACGCTGTTTGTTGTTGTTGATGTTGATGTTGTGCGAAACTCGTGTGTCTGTCTGTCTGTCTGTGTGTGTGGGTGGGGGGGGGGTGGGGGAGGTGTTGTAGTTCTGAAGAATGTTTAGTTCTTGTTGCCTCTCCGGCTGTTGTTGTGCCGTGGAGGAGAGGAGGAGCGATAAAGTTTCTTTGTAAAAGGTTGCGTAAGGATTCTGTTAAGCATTTTTACGGCGTAATTCAATAAAACACTCAAGAGCAGCAAGAACAAGATGAAGTGAGTTGCAGCACGAGAGTTGTAGCGCTGGCGATGTCGTGGAGATCTTTCCTCGACTAGAACCGGAGGTGGAAGGCTCGTGCACCAACAAACGCCGAGGCACGAAGCGAGGTGCGCAAAGAGCAACTGCTGTTAGGCGCTGCGGAACGCGAGATCTACAAAAAAAACAAAACCACGTGAGCTTTATCGTCATCGTCTTCATCACAGTTTAATAGTAGTCAGTGGTAGGCGAGATGACAGCGTTAAGTAGTTTCGCGTGAAATCAGAACGCTACTGTGATGACGCCGACCCCATCAGCAACGGGTGCGATCGATGGCTCACAATTCCCTCAACATACCGTGCTGTCCGTTCTTGGACCTTCTCACTCCGCTCCTCTCGCACACGCACACCCGCATACGAGTGTATCACCTCATTGCTTCCACCGTAGGACCGCCATCACCTACCTCTGTTTAGAAGATACCGAATCACGCAAGTAGCAACGAGCACAAACAGAACCCAAGTCACAAGTCACAAGTAAACGGGCCAATTGAACATGACGCTTCGTGTTTCTGCCTCGCGACCGTACGCCGCCGAGGTGCAGCGCGTCACCTCCGAAAGCGTCGCCCTGCGGGATGAGGCACAAAGTGTGCGAGAGCGCCGGATAGCGCTGGAGGCGGCAATGCGGCAGGAGCGCAATCGACGACTGCAGCATGCTGCGCAAAGGAAATCAACATTACCTCGCAAAGAGGCCAATGGTGCACCGCAGGAACAACCCCAAGCTGCGAGTTTGTCTCCTACTCCGACGGCGGAGGCAAAGCACTCCTCTCGCAGCCCTTCGAACGGCAATGAGCTTCCGCGAGACCTGAACGAGTACCGCCGTGAATTGGACAGCGCCAACGGAAACAAGCACACCCACCATCCCCACTGCTACACCAGCAGTCACCTCAATCCTGCTGACGTCCACTTTTACAAGGCGGAGGGGCGGGTGCGGGAGTACCAGCGGCACGCGCCGAGCCCACCGCAGCCGCAAACGTCGTCGCGCCATCCGTCAGGACGCGACGAAAACCCGACCGAACTGCTCGACGTCACGCCGTCGCCCGCGGACGGCACGTCAGAGCAGTGGACGAAGTCTGCCCTGCTCCGCATGGAGGCGAACCAGCGCATTCTGAGGAGTATTAAGGCACGAGAGGAGCGAGAGGCCGCGTTGCGTGCTGCTCGTGGCGGGACGCGTGCTGCTTCTGCACCGCGGCGGTACGGCGAGTCAGCCGTAGTGCAACCTCGCGCCTTCACACCCGGTGGAGCTGCCCCCGTTGTTGAGCCCGCACCATCGGGTCGGACTCCTTCCCGACTTGCACACTCCTTCTCCTCCTCTCTTGTTCCACCCCCACCACACCACTATGAATGGAAGTTCAATCCGGCGCAGAGATCTACAGCTGGCGCCCTTGCAGCAGCGACAGTGCGGTCGAGTCCGCCGCGGGCACAACAGCGGCAAAGTCCGCCGCGGAAGTACTTCAGTGGGAGCCCCTTGCGCCGGTATAGCAGCGGGAGTTCACCACCGAACCATATCACACAAAACTCCCCGTTTAAACCGTCCCTGAAATACTCATCGGCCTCGTTGCACACCTCAAAGGTGGAACCCAACCCCATCACCTCCTCAGTGAGGAGGCCGGCGACGACAACGAGTTCGTGGACATCCTTGCGCGACAGCTGGACCTCTCCATCTCGCGGTCCGGTGCAGTCGACCTACCAGCCGATCGCACCGCAAGCAGCGGCCACTGCCCCCAGCACACCGTGGGAGAGCCGACGCTCGTGGGAAGGGCTAACCCGGCCCCGCTCGCCTTCTCGTTTTTACGAGGAGCGAAAACCCCTTCTCCTGTCGCGCTCCAGCGCACCGGCTGGGACCGCCGCGGCCAAAGGCAAGGCCGAAGTGGAGGTTTCGCCTCTTACACCGATTCCCGTTATGGGAACGGCCGCGAGGAGCGCGGGCAACAGCGCTGATCGTGTGGAGCAGCCAGCCGCGGCTACGAATAAGTCCTCTCTTCTGGAGGGGTTTCGAATGCCTGACACTATTTTGAAGCGCGACGACCTGTTCCAAGGCACTGCATGAATCTCTCTCTAGAAGGAAGAAACAGGCGCTTATTCTCTCCTACCTTGAAAGGGGTAGTATTTTGAGTGAAGAGAGAGAGAGAGCTGGCTCGTTTGTAAAGGAAAGGAGCGCCGTTCTTTGTCTCTGCACCACCTTCTCCGCATTTGTACTAGAACTCGCACACTGTATATGTAGTAGTGTTATTTTTGTTGCCTTCTTCCTCGTTGTGCTGCATTTGGCAGGGCTGCACCACTGCCGAACTCAACCCAGAACTCAAAAGCAGAAAAGAGGAGCCGTTTGAAATGTGCTTGTTTTTCTGCTGTTGTTTACGACGCATCTCAGGTACAGCGTTTTGCTTCACAGTTCTCGATTACACCTCTCTCTATCTCTCCTTCGTTTTCTTTACTTCGCTTCTTTGGCACTCAAAAGGCAGCGTGAAGGGCTTCTTACCGTTTATAGGGATAACAGGTCGCTTTCTGTGGCGGACAGTAAACAAGAAAAAAAGCCGCTCATTATCCTTCGCGCTCTCATCTCCGCAGACAGAAGTATTTGGTTATTTGTTGTGGAAAGAGACCTTCGTCCAACGCACCCACAGACGTACGCGTAGAGAATGGAAGCCCTCTCAACGGGCTTCTGTGGCGCTGCTCTCACGCAGTCTCTCGCGTTAGAAGAGATAGAGGAATGGCAGCGGCAGTGGCCTCAGCCAACTCTGCAGGTTGTGGATGTTCAACGTTACCCTCGCTGCCCCACCACGGAATTGGAGCCCTGCCGTTTCTACGTCGCCGCCTCGGACGGTCAGTCTCTTGTGTGGCTGGTAGTGCCGCCCCAAACACCTCTCGAAGAAGCCATTGCGGGCTTTGAGTTGGAAGTCGGCTGCTGCATGACGCTGCTGTCGCACACACTGGTGACGGCGGCGAACGGGTTGAATGTGGTCGTCCCACTGCAAGTAAAGTACTCGTCGAACACGCTGCGGCTGTTGGGACGGCCGACCTGCCCTGACCAACTTTTCCCTCTATCGGCCAATTCCCTCGTGCAGCGCGCGACGGAAGGCGAAGGGACAGGCGTCGTCGGCACGGGCGCCAGCACCGCAGCGGTCCGGCGCCCGTCGCATCGCATTGCCGTGCGTGACTTTGTCGACAACCCCGAGAGGGCACTGGGAAACTGGTTTATCGCTGTGCGGGTGGTCTGGCGAGGGCGGGAGTATCAGATGAACTCGCCGTCTCGCACCTTCGGTTCCCACTCTGTCCGAGCCGACACGCCGCGCTTTGTCTTTCGCTGCCTCCTCGTCGATGAACGCGGCGACGGCATCGTGGCGGCCTTTTTTGGTAGTGCCGCGCTGATGGATCGAGTCCAGCTACATGATTGTCTGATGCTGGCACAAGGCACCGTAAAGTGGGCTGTCAGCGAGGTCGCAGCGCCGGTTGAGTTGCAGTTTGGCGAGAAGTCCATCGAGACGTTGCTTGATGCAGAGAGTGTCCAGCACACGTTCCCTCTCTACGCCGCCGCCCTGGTCGGCGAAGTGGCGGAAGACCTACGCTCCGTTGCGGCGGTGCTGTCGGATGCGCAAGTTGGCGACTATACCTCCGTTGTCGGTCTTGTGGTGGCAGTGCAAGGCAGCACGCAGATTACCACCAAACGTGGGCGTGTGTGGCGGTCTGTGGTGACGCTCGCCGATGATACCGGTCCCGGCAACCACTGCTACATGGAAGTGACGCTCTGGGGCGACACTGCTGAGTTGACTGAGCCATCTGTAGGAGAGCACTGGGTGTTTCACTCCTGTGCGGTTCAGCTCTTTCAGCAACGCAAGACGCTGTCGAGCCGAGCATCTACTATGGCGGTGCAACTGCGTCCACTGCAACTCCCTCTCGACTCCTCTGCCGCTGCTCTTCCACGTGAATGTGTGTCTGTCACCGCCGCAGCAGCAGAGACGTCTCCGCCAGCGGTCACAGCCAACGAGTCCGGGGCAGCAAGCACAGACCCTTTTCCTGCGACACCAAAACCGAGGTCGTTGCAGTTTGTATTTAACTTTCACGAAGCCTCTCCAACGCTGCCGGTGCTGGCGCGCGTGCAGGAAGTTCTTTCGCCGCTGCTCACCTGGACGTGTGTTGCCTGTCACAGCATTGTGAACATTGGGTCGTGCGATGCGTACGCAGACGCTATTCCGGATCGTTGCGGCGTGTGTGGTGGAGAAGAGCTCTTCCCCTCCTGTCACCTGAACATACGGATGAGCGACTGCCTTTCCATCGCAGCCGTGACACTGCACGGCTCAACAGCGGAGACGCTGTTAGCGGCAACCGCGTTGGATCTGGCCCGCACGTTGCAGCGAAGGCCAGCAGCGGGCCGTGAGTTTCGCGCCGGCCTCGTTGGTGTGCCGGTGCTATTGTGGCTGCTTGTGGAAGCGACGGAGGAGGGCGACACAAATCACTACGTCGCTGCAGCATGCAAGCACATTCACTGCGTCTCTGGCTGCCACACGCTCCTGTCCGCGATTGACGCTTTCACCGGTGACTTGGCCAACGGGAACGACGAAGTGCCTTTGGAACGTTGACATACTTTCACTTAAACGTGAAGACCGCATCTAGGACTTCTGTGTTGTTGTTTCTTTGCTACTACCTGCTCAACTGACCTAAATCGATGTCTCTCAGAATTCGTACCTCTCTCCCACTCAAGTTTTTCATGGATATCAAAGAAAAAAGGAAGGTATTCGTTCGCGCACCTGCAGGTCGTTGTTGCCACTTCCCCTTATCTGCCGCCCCACCAGCGGATTTAAAAAAGGTTGCAGCGTCCATTTTCTTGCCGAGGGGAACTTAATGCGCGTCTGCAAAGATGACTGAATCAATGTAAAGCGTTTTCCTCATCCCTCTTGGATTTTTCTCGCCTTTTTTTCTTTCGTTCGTGCAGTTCACCGCAGGTGTTTTCCGCGTAATTATTATTTTTATTATTATCTTTTCTCCTGTACGCCCTGCTTGTGGGCATCGCCGTTGCACCACCCCACCAACGTTGTTCTTGCGAGCGCGTGCAGAAGACACTACCCTGTAATCTAGAACCCATAGCCATCCCCGGCCGACTACATTTATTTGTGTGATACTTTCCTTTTCTTTCTCTTTCCCTTGCTTGTAGTTCTTCCACTCGCGCAGCCATTGAGACACGCTCTCAATCAGTGATCGAAGGATAACGTGATTCCATTCCTTATTATCTGGGCTGAGAGCAGCTTGCATGTATAGCTGTAGACCATAGTAAAGTCTTGGACTTTTGGTTTCTTTTTGCTGGTGGTGGAAACTTGATCGATCGGAGCTGAAGTGCAGCGACGCGAGAATGAACCTGTCACCTACAATGAAAGATTGTGTGACGGCGGTCACCAAGGCCGTCAAGAAGCGCCTCGCCGGCGAAGTGGTGGATCGGAAGGATGTTGGGACAGTCGTGGAGCTGCAGGTGCAGGTCTCGCTGTCGACGGCAGCCGAGGCTGCCGCGGCGCTTCTCGCGGCAATGACGAAGGCGGCGTGCGGCGCGGACAAAGGCTCCACGAAACTTCCCAATGGCGAGATCATTGTCGACACCACGGCCGCGCTGCAAGTGCAGACGTTTGCCGATTGCATCCGCGTGAGCACCTTCCGCTTTCAGGAGCTGCCGGCGGACAACCCGATGGTGTGCGCCATTGCCGAGGCGACGTACGTCCGCCACCTGCAGCGCGCGTCGGAGCTGAAGGTGTACGGCCTCGAAGACTTTCCTCCGTGTCTGCTGCGGGAGGCGATGTCGCGCTTCGACGTCAGCATCGGCGGCTACGTGGTCCTGTCGCTCCTCATTTCCAAGAACAAGGACGTCGTCCTTCGTCTTTTCACGACGGCCGTGGACACCGTCATGAGCAGTATGTGCAGTACTTCCTTCACGAGCGGCGTTCTGCCCGCGTCATGGGCCAAGCGCAGCAGCCTCGAACCACACCAGCTGCTCGACGCGCTGGAGGATGTGCAGCTGGCCATCAACGAGTACTGGCACGACAGCGCGCAGGACGACCATGCCCGCTCTGTCATTGTGTTTCTCATGAGCTCTGTGGGAAGCGACGTATGCGAGTGCTTCAAGAACAAGATCACCACCGCCAACGGTGTGTTTCTCGGTGATAAGAAGCTTGTGGAGGAGGCACATCTCTGCTGCGATGAGTGGGTGACGGTTTGTGGTAGACTGACGACGGTCGACTGGGCCTCTGAGTGGGGCGAGCGCTACGAGGATGCTGCCCTCGTGTGCATCCGCAATCGCCTCCACACGGCGCTGTCGCTACGCGGCATCATCGAAGAAATCAGCGAGCTGCTCGGCGCTGACGACTTCCACGCGTTGAAGACGGAAGTGCTGTGGGATGTCTTTAGCGACGTTGCGGTGATGGACAGCTCGGCGAGCGTGCAGAACCAGTGGAACGCCGCCCTCGCCGCATACTACCGCCGCTTGGAGCCCATTGAGCATCGCTGCGCCACGGTGCTGCGTGAGCTGTTCGCGACGCGGGTCGGTCTCGCCCCCCAGGCCATTCTCAACGAGTTCTCCGGCTACTGCCACTTGATGAAGCGCCCCATCATCGCGCGCGAGCTTGTGACCGAGCGCGACGGCCTTCTGGGAAAGCTGAACGATCGCCTCTCTGCGATTCGTCTCGAGTACGAGCACCGCGCGGAGAGCACGGAGGACGAGCGAGTGCTGGAGGAGGAGGACCGACGCTGCCAGACCGGTCGCTTTTTCCCAGGTGTGGTGAACAACATCATCTGGCTCCGCCAGCTCCGCGGCCGCATTGAGGAGATGATCGATATGTGTTCCTCTATCCTCAACGACCTGCCCAACGCGAGTGCCTTCGTCGCGTCGGCCAAGCAGTTGCTGGAGGAGGTGCAGGACTACGAGCAGGAGTGCTTCCGCGGCTGGGTCGCCGACGTGGACGACAAGAGCGATGTGCTGACGCTGGACGCGGATGCGCCGCTGATGGAGATTGACGGGAAGGGGCGGGTGGAGGTGAACTTTGCCGAGCGGCTGGTGCAGCTGCTGAAGGAAGTCCGCGTGCTCGGCACTCTCGGCTTCTTGATCCCTCGCCAGGTCACCCGCATTGCGCAGCAGGGGGCACAGTTTATGCCGATGGGCGTCGCGCTGAAGCAGGTGGCGCACACGTACAACTCCATGGCCGCTGACATTATCCCATGCACACGGGCAATGCTGCTGGAGCCGGCACTGGGGTTTGAGAAGGTGATCACCGCCGACGGCAGCAAGAAGCTCACCTGGCGCAGTACGAAGGAGGCGGCACGCTTCATTGAGCGGCTACAGGGCGCCTCGCAGTCGTTGACGGAGTGCAATCGCCGCCTTCACAAGACGCACCAAGAAATCGAAGGTCTCGTGGTGGAGCTCTTCGGCATCAGCCTGCTGCGCTCACGCGACCGGTGGATGCGCAAGGTGCGGCAGATGCGCGAGAAAATCGAGCTTTCCGGCTTTCAGAACACCGAGTCGTGGCGCGAGTTTTGGGATATGCAGCTGTACAAGGCGATGGAGGCGCAGTACCAGCTAGGGTTAGAGTCGCTCCACGAAGCCATCGAGGAGATTAAAGCAGATATAGTGTTGGACGCAAACAGCGGGCAGGCCGCCCTGCGACCTTCTCTAGAGATTCTTCGCGCTCAGTATTACCAACGCATCCACGACTTCATTACATTTCCGCAGCGCTTTCAAGGTTGCAGCGAAAAGAACGTATTCAAGGACATGCCCTCGCGGAACACCAACGGCATCTACGCCGTGCTCCAGCACGCCGCCCAGCTCTTCAAACGCGTCTCGCACGAGCTGAAACGCTTTACGCCCTTCCTGGTCATTGGGCGCTGCGGCAAAGGCGACAATCCAACGCTGGAGCAGATCGTGAGCAAATCGCTGACCGAGGTGCAGCACTGGGAGCAGAGCGTGCGACTTCTCAAGCAGAAGGGCAAAGAGATCAACGGCGAGGATTTGTTTATCAAGTGCGACTGCATCACCCTGTGCACCGCAGCCATCAAAGGCACGGTCGAGGAACACCTAGTGCGACTCACTGACGCGTTGAAGGTGACGCTGAAACAGAGCGCAGAGCAGCACCTCTCCTCCATCAACGACTACCTCGCGAAAGCGGCGACGTGCCTCGACAGCAAACTCACCAAACTTGACGAGATCGGCGAGGCGAATTTGCTCTACGGCGAGCTGATGGAACAGCGGCCCGCCATCGAGGTGGAGTTCTACCACTTCTACAACAAAAACGTTCTTTTGCAGAACATGACCGGCACGGCGGGACTCGACTTCACCAAAACGAAAGAGCGCTGGGACACCTTTATGAAGCGGCTGGACTCGCACGAGAAGGAGGTCGAGGATCAGCTGAATGAGATGAAAGGCACCGTGAGCGAGTCCGTCAAGGAGTGGGAGAAAGACTCCATCCGCTTCACTACGCGGTGGCATGAGATGAAGCCGAAGGACCTGAACTCGCAGAAGCCGCTAGAGTTCGTGTCAAAGAAAAAGACGGAACTGCAGGCGCTGAAGGAGCGCGGGGAGGAGTGCAAGAAGCAGTGCGAGTACTTCCACCTCGATGAGCCGGACCTGCAGCCGCTGGAGGAAGCCGAGGCGGACATCGAGGACTACTTCAACATGTGGAGCATGCTCGGCGACTTCCAGCAGCAGGTGCAGGAGATTTGCAAGGAGCCGTGGATCAGCTTCCGCGCCAAGTTGTACCGCTTCGAGGACTTTGTGAAGGTGTGGCAAGAGAAGCTGAAGGAGATTCCTTCCAACTCGGTGACGGTGCACATCCGCACGATGCTCGAGCAGTGGGGCCGCTGCGTCCCGCTGATGAAGTACGTGCGCGGCGACGGCTTCACCCCGGCGCACTGGGTGGAGCTCTTCATGCTGCTGAAGCTGCGCAACGTCACGCAGGACACCGTCAACTTCGGGCAGATTCTCGATCGCCACGAAACCATCTTACAGAACGAAGCGCACATCAAGCAGCTGCACAACCGCGCGCAGGGCGAGGCGCAAATCCGCGAGGCTCTGGACGATGTGCGGGCGTGGGGCACGGAGGCCAGGTTCGCGCTCACCCCGCACCCCGACCGCGCCGGTGTGGTGCTCATCACGGACTGGAAGGACACCATGTCTGCCCTCAGCGACAATCGCGCACTGCTGCTGAGTATGAAGGAGTCCCCATACTTTAGCCTGTTCTCCAGCGATGCCAGTAAGTGGGAGGTGCGCCTGTCCACTCTGGACGAGTACTTGCGCCACATGAACCACATCCAGCGCAAGTGGGTCTACTTGGAGCCGATCTTCCGCCGCGGTGCCCTGCCAAACGAAACGCAGCGCTTTGAGCGCATCGATGCCGCCTACCTGACGGTGATGAAGTCGGTTGAAAAGGACAGCCGGCTCATGGCACTGGCCGAGCACGGCGAGTTCAAGAGCACGCTGCGCGACGTCGCGGAGCAACTCGAGCGGTGCCAGAAGGCACTCAACGAGTACCTCGAGTCGAAGCGAGACTGCTTCCCCCGCTTCTATTTCATCAGCGACGATGACCTGCTTGAGATTCTTGCGCAGAGCAAGAACCCCAGCGTGATTCAGTCGCACTTGAAGAAGCTCTTTATGGGCATCCACAGCGTGCAATTCGATGCGCCGAAGGAGAACATCCTCCAGGTGCTCTCGCTAGAGGGCGAAGTGGTGACGTTGCTGAAGCCGGTCCGTGTGACAGAGGAGGTGGAGGCGTGGCTGTCGCAGCTCGACGTGGAGGTGAAGTCAACGCTGAAGGCGCACGTGGCGCAGTGCGTGTCGAAGTTCGACATCGGCGCCTACGCGTCGCAGGTGCTGTGCACGGCGGAGATGGTGACCTTCACTCGCAAAGTTGAAACCGCCATTCGCGAGTCCACCGGGGTCAGTGCGCTGAAGAAACTGAAGGCGAACCTGCAGACCCGCCTGCGCGAGTTGACGGCGTACGCTGGCGGCAACAGCGATGCCTTGGTGGGCATCAAACTCAAGGCCCTCATCATGGACCTCATCCACAACATTGCCGTCGTCGATCTGCTCATCGCGAACAGCGTAGAGAAGGAGTCGCACTGGCTGTGGAAGAAGCAGCTGCGCTTCTATCTCGACAGCACGCAGCAGTGCCTCCTCCGCATGGTCGATGCGGAGTTCCGCTACAGCTACGAGTACCAAGGCAACGCGCCGAAGTTGGTGCACACGCCCTTGACGGACCGCTGCTATCTGACGCTGACGCAGGGCATGCAGCTCGGCTACGGCGGCAACCCCTACGGTCCTGCTGGCACGGGCAAGACGGAGTCGGTGAAGGCGCTCGGCAACGCCATGGGCCGCCAGGTTCTTGTCTTCAACTGTGACGAAGGCATCGACTTCAAGTCCATGGGGCGCATCTTCACCGGCCTCGTGAAGTGCGGTGCGTGGGGCTGCTTCGACGAGTTCAACCGCCTGAAAGTCGACCAGCTGTCGGCCGTCTCGCAAATGATCCAGGTCATCCAGGAGGCACTGAAAAACGGGGAGAAGACATGCGGCCTGCTGGGCAAGGAAATCGACGTAGACTCCAGCGCCGGCATCTTCGTGACCATGAACCCGGCCGGCAAAGGCTACGGCGGCCGCAGCAAGCTGCCCGACAACCTGAAACAGCTCTTCCGGTCCATCTCGATGAGCGCACCGGACAACGAGCTGATCACAGAGACGATCCTCTACAGCGAGGGCTTCGAGAATGCCACGCAGCTGGCGACGAAGGTGGTGGAGACGTTTAAGCTGTCGAGTCAGCTGCTGTCCTACCAGCAGCACTACGACTGGGGTCTGCGTGCGATGAAGGCGGTGTTGCGACTTGGCGGCATCCTTATTCACGACTTCTTGACGGAGCGGGTGGCTGGTAAGGTGGAGCTCACGGCGGAGCAAACCTTAAAGAAGGAGAGCGAGATTATCATCAAGTCGTTGCGCGTCAACACGCTTTCCAAGCTCACCTTCGACGACGCCGTTCTCTTCAACACGCTGCTGAGTGACATCTTCCCTGGTGTCCCTGTGCTGGAGATCGACTACAAGGAACTGCGTCCCGCTATCGTGGAATCGATAAAGGAGCTGAAGCTGCAGGTCGTGGAGACACAAATTCAAAAAATCCTCCAGCTGTACGAGGCGCTGCGGCAGCGCATGGGTGTCGTGCTCGTGGGGCCCAGCGGAAGCGGGAAGAGCACGCTGATGCGGGTGCTGCGCCGCGCGATGCAGCGGCTGGGCAGAAAGATGCCGCTGTACGTGGTCAACCCAAAGGCCCTCCCACGCGATCAGCTTCTCGGGCACATGGACCCCGACACGCGGGAGTGGTTCGACGGCGTGCTGACCGATGCCGCGAAGAAAGTCGTGAAGGAGGAGCCGACGGTGCAGTCGTGGGTCTTCTGCGATGGCGATATCGACCCGGAATGGGTCGAGTCGCTCAACTCCGTCCTCGATGACAACAAACTCCTCACCATGCCCAACGGTGTGCGCGTGCAGTTTGGCGACAACGTCAACTTCTTATTTGAGACGCACAGCCTGGAGTACGCTTCGCCCGCGACGGTGTCGCGGATGGGCATCATTTACCTCTCCGAGGAGGATGTGGATCCGAAGGTGGCGGTGGCGACGTGGCTGACAGAGCAGCCGGAGGAGATGCGGGCGCAGCTGCAACAGTGGATTGACGCGTACTTTCGCAAGGCGATCGACTCCCTCCTCTCCGTTGGCGAGCTCGTGGTGCAGACGACGCGGACGGGACTTGTCATGTCGGGTCTCGCGCAAATGAAGAACTGCACGACGAAGAAGCAGTTCGCCCTTGCGCTGATCTACGGTCTGGGCTCCTACCTCGCAGAGAAGCCGCGACAAGACTACGCGAAAGACGTGCTCTTCATGATGGAGGAGCGCGCGCCGGACCCAAAAAACCCGCTCGACTTCAAGTACGACGAAGACCGTCAAGAGTACGTCTCCCTCGTTTTTGAGCCGGCGGGTGGCCTAACGGTGGAGGAGCTATACCGGCACCCGATGGTGTCCACGATTGACTGCCAGCGCGCGTTGGAGGTGATGAAGGCGTGGACGACGCCGACGAAGCCCGGCGTGTATCGACCCTTCATTCTGGTTGGCCCCGAAGGCTGTGGGAAGTCGATGCTGCTGAACAACCTGTTCGCGCACACGAGCAACGCCCGTGTCGCCAGCGTCAACTGCTCCGCCCAGACGGAGGCGATTCACGTAATTCAGAAGCTGAAGCAGACGTGCTCTATCTTCAACTCGAACCAGGGCAAAGTCCTTCGCCCAAAGGAGGCGGAACGGCTGATTCTTCTGCTGAAGGATTTGAACCTGCCGAAGCCCGACAAGTACGGCACGGTGCAGCTGCATTCACTTCTGCAGCAGCTCATCCTGTACAACGGCTTTTACGACTCGGACCTGGAGTGGGTAATGGTGGAGCGGGTGCAGATCGTCGGCAGCATGAACCCGCCCGGCAGCATGGGCCGCCACCCCGTGGCCCCGCGCTTCCTGGCAATCACCTCCATCCTGGCCATCTCCTACCCCTCCAAGGAGTCCCTCCAGCAGGTGTACTCGGAGTTCCTCAACGTGGTGCTTCAGTCGGGTCGACTGCAGCTGAACATGGCCAACAAGGGCGCCGCAGACCTGGCGCGGGTCATCGCGACCGTGTACGAGACAGTGGCGCTGAAGTGCACCGTAGACGTGGCCTCCCACTACGTCTTCAACCCGCGCGACCTCACGCAGTGGGTGCTGAACCTGCTGCACTACGACACCCCAAACATGGGCGACGTCTTCGCCTACGAGGCGCGCCGCATTTTTGTCGACCGTTTGGTCACGTCCGAGGAGCGCGTGAGGCTGTCCAAGGTGGTGCGCGACAACGTCGCCTTCCTCGTCGGCCACCGCGACGCCCCACCGGAGAAAGAGTCGGTGTTCTACGTCTCGTGGCTGGACTCCGCGCCGGCGGGCAAGAAGCGGCTGATGCCGTCCTCGCTCGACGCCGTGAAGAAGTCCGTCGACGCGTTTGCCCTGAAGTACTCGCGCGAAAACGCGAACTTGAACGTGCAGCTCATCCCCGATGTGTGTGCGTGGATTACCCGCGTCGACCGCGTCCTGTCGCAGGAACGCGGCAACCTTCTGCTGGTGGCGCGCTCCGGCGTGTGCGCGCCGCAGATCGTGCGTCTCGTCGCGTACTACAATCGCACCGAGGTTGTCACCCTTGGCATCACGCGCGACTACGGCGTCAAGCAGTTCACGACAGAGCTAAAGTCGGTCATGACGAAGACGGGCGTGGAGGGGCAAAGCGTCGTGCTGCTGTTGGAGGACTTCAACTTCTTTCACCCCTACTTCCTCGAGACGATCAACTCGATCTTGTCCTCCGGAGAAGTTCCCGGGTTATTCTCGCAAGAGGAGCAGGACGCGATGCTCGGGCCGCTGAAGGATGACGCGGTCGGCGAGGGCATGAGCGCCTACAACTACTTCGTGGAGCGCATCGCCCGCTACCTGCACGTGGTCGTGGTGATGGACCCGACGAACCCAAACTACGAACTGCAATGCCGCGCCAATCCGGCGCTGTTCACGCGGTGCAATGTGTACTGGATGGGCACGTGGGACAGCAGCAGCCTCAAGGTCGTGCCGCGCATCATGATCGCCGACGCCTTCGCGGCTTTGGACAGGCGCGATGACAAAAAGGAGTTCAGCCTCACCACCGAGCTCGTCCACATCCACCGCTCCTTCGGGGAGAAGTTCTCGCCGCAGCACTTCAAGGTGCTGTGCGAAACGTTCGACCACCTCTTCCAGAACAAAAGCAAGGAAGTGACGGACGGGCTGCTGCGGCTGAAGAGCGGCGTCACGAAGCTGGACGAGGCGCAGGAGAACGTCGACAAGATCGCTACGGACGTGACGGAGAAGAAGGGCCTACTGGAGGTGAAGCAGCGCGAGGCGGACGACGCGTTGAAGGAAATCCAGAAGAAGATGGAGGAGGCGGGAAACCAAAAGCGCAGCATTCATAAAATCCAAAAAGAACTGGACAAGGAGCAGACAGCGATCCAGGAGCGCAAGGTGGTGATTGAGGGTCGCCTCAGCGGCATCCAGCCCATCCTCGACGCCGCCCTCTCCGCCGTCAGCTCCATTCGGTCCGATCACCTGACCGAGCTGCGCTCCATGGCGAAGCCCCCGGCCGCGGTGCAGTGCGTCATGCAGGGCGTTGTGCTGCTCATTGACAACGGCAAGGTCTCCGAGGCCGCGGCGTGGCCAGCGATCCGCAAAGTCCTCGCGGGCGACATCAAAGGCCAAATTCTCAACTTCGACATCGACAACGTCGACCCGGCCGCACGCGCGCAGGTGGAGAAGTTCATCGCGGCCAACAGCGAGGCCTTTAAGCGCGAGACAATCGCACGCGCCTCGAAGGCGGCGGCGCCGATGGCGGAGTGGCTGAAGGCCGTCGTGGAGTACAGCAAAGTGCTGGAAACGGTTGCCCCCATGCGGGCGGAGCTGAAGGAATACGAGGCGAACATCAAGAAGGGACAGGAGGAGATGACCACGTACGAAGGAAAGCTGAGGAAGGTGGAGAAGAAGGTGGAGGAGTTGAAGCAGAAGTTTGGCGAGAAGACGACGGAGGCGGAGCGGCTAAAGGATCAGCTGGAGCAGGCGGAACAGCTCCTGGTGAACGCGAAGGAGCTGCTGGCGAAGCTGGGCGACGAGCACAAGCGCTGGACGGCGCAGATGAAGACCATCAAGGAGGACTCGAACTTTTTGCCGAAGCGGTGTCTGCTGGCGGCGGCCTTCATCACGTACCTTGGCAAGGAGGCAGAGGACAAGCGGCGAGCTGCGTTGGCGGAGTGGAAGGAGCGGACGAAGCTGCCGGAGTTCAACTTTTTCGCCTTCCTGCGCGATGAGAGCGTCCAGCTGCATTACAAGGCGGAGGGTTTGCCAGGAGATGAACTCTCGCTGGACAACGCCGTCATGATCCCCGAGCAGGTCAACACCGCCCTCATCGAGGACCCGTCAGGGCAGGTGGTGGAGTGGCTGCAGACGAACCTGAAGAAGCAGAACGCGGTGGTGGACGTGTGCAACATCTCGGAAGAGCGGCTCGTGTCGGCGCTGGAGCTGGCGCTGCGCTTTGGCAAGAAGTTCATCATAACGGACGTGGACCGCATCGAACCGTTTCTCTATCCCATTCTGCGCAAGGAGCTGCACAACGAGGGCACTAAGCGCGTCATCCAGATCGGCGACCGCCGCACCGTGGACTACGCGGATGGCTTCCAGCTCTACCTGGTGACACGTAGCACCGACCTGCGCGTCGCACCCGACATTCTCAGCTACCTCACTCCGATCAGCTTCAGCATCACGCACAGCGGCCTGGAAGGTCAGTTCCTCGGTATTACGATCCAGCATGAGCAGCCGCAGCTCGAAAAGGAGAAGCTCGAAATCCTCAAGAAGGAAGAGAGCCTTAAGATGCAGCTGGCGGAGTTGGAGGAGCGGCTGCTAGCGAACCTGGCCAACTCCGAGGGCTCGCTCCTTGAGAACAAGACCCTCATTGACTCGCTGAACCAGATCAAGTCACAGGCGAGTGACATCTCAGCCGCGCTGGACCAGTCGAAGGTGGTGCAGGAGGACCTCGATGCCAAGCGCAACGTCTACCGCCCCTTCGCCACCACGGCGAGCTCCGTCTTCTTCTTAACCAAGAGCCTCGCGGAGCTGTCGCACATGTACCAGTTTTCGCTCCAGCTCTTTCTCGATCTTTTCCAGCGTGCCCTGCACCGGCACAAGGACCTGCGCACCGACCCGGAGACGAAGATTGCCGCGCTGCAGGAGACCTTCATTCAGATCACCGTCTCGGTCATCGCGCAGTCGCTCTTCAAGGAGCACCGTGTCGTTTACGGCGTGCACCTCTGCCGCAACCTTTACCCGGCAGAGTGCAATGCGGGGGAGTGGGAGTTCTTCGTGGATCAGGCCATCGCACCCGAGGAGAAGCGCAAGGAGGTCCGCGTGCCGACCTTTGTCCTGCCTGACAGCACCGATACCTTCCGCACCTTCGCTGCATTGTTCCCCGACCTCGCCGCAAAGGCACGCTTCCAGGAAGCGGATGTGTGGCTGCAGTGGATGCGCACCGCCACCCCGGAGACGGACTACCCCGGGTTTCTAAAGTCTCTCACACACTTCCAGCGACTCCTCTTGATGAAGACGCTGCGTGGCGACCGCCTTATCGCCGCGATGAACGCGGTCTCCTGCACGCTGCTCAAGGTGGACTCCCTCGGCGAGAACAGCACGTTGGCCTCCGCTGTAGACCAGTCGGAAGCCGCACGCCCCGTGCTGCTGCTCATCACAGCTGGCGCGGACCCGTCGCAGGAGCTACAGACGATCGCACACGAGAAGATCGGCCGCACCCGCTTTCATCAGTTGGCCATGGGCAGCGGGCAGACGGACGAGGCGATGCGCCTGGTGCGCAGTGCCGCTGCCAAGGGCGAGTGGGTCTTCTTGAAGAACCTCCACCTTGTCATTCCATGGGTGTCACATCTGCAGAAGGAGTTGACGGTGCTGAAGCCGAATGCCGCTTTTCGCCTGTTTCTGACGAGCGAGGCACACGATGAATTCCCCTCCATTCTTATTGGGCAATCGCTGAAGATTACCTTTGAGCCGCCGCCGGGAATTAAACCGAACCTCCTGCGGACCTACCGTGACTGGGGTGCCGCTTTCGTGAATGAGAAAGACGAGAAGCAGCGGCAGCTGCTCTTCGCGGCGGCCGCACTGCAGGCGATTGTGCAAGAGCGTCGCTCCTACGTGCCGCAAGGGTGGACGAAGGACTACGAGGTCACGGCGGCTGATCTCAAGTCGTCGGTCGACATCGTGCTGCGTCAGTCATCGCAGGCCGAGGTGGACTGGCGCTCGATTCGCGGCATTTTGAACGACGCCATCTACGGTGGTAAGATGGAGACCGCGTACGACACGCGAATCATGACAACCTACATTGAGAGCATGTTCAGCGCGAGCTGCGTCGCCGGAGCAAAGCCGCAAGAGCCGCTGTTCTACCGCACCCGCATCCCGAACGGCGACTACGCCGAGTACGAAAAGGTGGTTAAGAAGCTACCGGACAGCGACATTCCCGTGCTGTTCTCCTTGCCGCCGAACGCCGACCGCGTTGTGCAGCTGACACGCGTTCGCGCGCTCACTAACGACCTGCAGCGCCTCAACGAGTCGCAGAGCGAGGCCGCGGTGGACCACGAGGCTTGGGCGGCGCGTCTTACGCCCCTGCTCGATGCCTGGACAGGCCTGATCGCACCGCACGCGCAAGTTCTCGTGCCGCCGTCCTCTGTCCCGCCAAGTCCGTCCGCTGCGGCCTCCGTGGCCCCGAAGCCGATTGACGGCTTTATCGCCGCCGAGCTGCGAACCGCGCTCCGGCTGGTCATGCAGGTAAACACCACCATGAACGATCTGCGCAGGGTGATCGAGGGCGGTGCGCTGCTGACGGAGGACCGCCGGAAGGAGGCGGCTGCGATGCTCCTCGGCGACGTCCCTGCAAACTGGGCGGACCACTTCCCCAGTGCCGCCCGCATTGCGGCGTGGTTGCAGTCCGTGGTGCGCAAGACGGTACGCATCGCCGAATGGCAGAAGATGGTGTCGATTGGGACGTTGATGAACACGAATGTAGATTTGTCGAACTTCTTCCGCGCCAAGACGTTCCTGAACGCGCTGCGGCAGGAGACGGCACACGTCATCCAGCAGCCTCTCGTGTCGCTCACGTTAGTGTCCACCACGTCCACGCCGCCGGAGAATGCGCCGTGTGCCGTTGTTCTGGAGGGGCTGCTGCTGCAGGGTGCCGTGCTCGACGACGCGGACAGGCTGGAGGCGATTGCGACCGCGGACGAGCCGGCGGTGTTTCCAATCAAGAAGACCTATGTGGCGTGGATGGCAGTGCCGCCCGCGCTGCCGGCGTCGGTGCGTGTGCCCGTGTACGCGAACACCACCAAGGAGGACTACGTCTGCGACTTTGTGCTGCCCTGCGCAGATGCCGTGGCGGCGCGCAACTTTGTGTTGTCTGGTGTCTCCATCGTCTTGGAGCAGTAGAAAGAATTTTTTTGCCGTGTTCTCTGACGCGTCTGTTCGCTTTCCTTTTCCTCGTGTAGTGTTTGAGCAGACAAGCCAACGCGGACGTTGGCGAAGCGGCGCATCCACAACTGTTTATCAGACTCTCTCTCATCCACACGAGGTGGAGAGCCTCTTTTTTCTTCGTTGCTGTTTGTACTAACGTTCTGTTTTGTGTTGTTGGGGACTGTTGCTGTTTTTCGCAGACGTTGAAAAGTCCCTCGTGCTTTGTCGCCTGCGCCAGTGTAATTTCTTTTGTGTTTTCCCCCATCGGGGCCATCGACAGCTTTCTCTCCTTTGCCTGCTGTGTATCGTCGTTTCGTTGCGGTTGTTTCTGCCGAAATCGCTGGTAAAAACAACAAGAGATGATTTGTTCATCCTCCGATTACAATTTGCTTTGATACTGAGCCGTTGGAACTGGCTCCGTTATTTTTCTCCATGTGGGCACATGTATATGGCAATGACTCTATGTGGTTTTTCTTTTTCTCTGGTTTCCCTTCGAACCAACACCCAAACAAGAAATCGTCAAGAAAGTGTGTCAATGACCGATATTTTTGCTGCGATTCGAATTGAGGGGTTTTGCGTAGAGACTGGTACGTCGCTCTCGCGTTTGCCCTGCTGGGTTTATCGAAGGCGTGTTCTGTGTATGCGCGGCACTCTTTGTGTGGGTCGGCCACGTAGGGGCGCGCTTGAAGAAAAGATGTAATCGTGATGTTAAGGCCCCCAGTTTCGTTTCTCCGTCTCACCATCCGCCACTTCATCCACCAACTCGGCCTTTGAACTCTCCTGCAAAACTTCCATAACCAAAACACTCACAAGGTAAAGGCGAATAGCTGTTTGTATTATTGACCTGCCAATGTACGGCGACAAAGGACCCCCGAAAGGGTACAGTGTCCCTCGCTACGACACCAACGCCAAGAAGCACTGCCAGCTCTGCTCCAGTGCGGAGCATTGGACATTTGAGTGTCCGCGAAAATCCTCCTCTTCCACGGGCTCATCGGGTGACGCTGCGAAAAAGAGCAGCATGAAAACGGTGAAGCTGAGCCGAAGTCAGATGCTCAAGTACGGTGTAAAACCAAAGTTGGCGCACTTCGTGCCGGAACCCACTGAGCGCGAAGTCTTTGACGCGGAGATGAAGGAGCTACGCACTGTCCTGACAGCGGAGGTGCGAAGTGAGTTGAAGGCGGCGAAAGCCACGGAAGGCAAAGGGGATGCACGGAAGGCCGAGCATGCGAAGCCGGCTCCTGCATGTGTGGCCACAGCAGAGCCACCACGGGGGACTGTTCCGATAAAGAAGGAGCGCAGCGACGAACACGACTGATCATCGACTTCGGAAGGCCGTTTTCTTCGTTTTCATTCGTGTCGAAGCAAGCACTCGTAAAAGACAGCTTCTGCTTTTGTGGAAGCCCTTTTGTTCCATCACTATCCCTTCCTCGGTGTCGAACTTTGTTCACACGAGACGAGACATGAAACACGCATGTAAATATATCTAAATATGCCTTGAGAGAGAGTTGAACGTAGCGATCGTATTTGTTGTTGAAGCGCTCATCTATGCGCTTGCTGATTCGTGTAGAATTCTCCCAAGTGATGACTTGACTTCACTTTCACGCTCTTTGGCTCCTCCAACTCCTCCTCGTCTTCTCGTTGTACACACGCTGCTCCATCGACTGTTGAGTCCGCGTAAGCGATGTACAAGGCACGTTTGCTGGTCCACGCTCGTCGCAATGGTAGACAACTCGTAATAGGATGCGGCCTCTTTTTCCTTCTCCTTCTGCTGCACGCGTGGATGGTCGCGTTGTACTTGCCGCATGCCGCAGCCGTCGAAGTGCGTCACGGCGGGCCCGAACACGATGACGTGCCCCGCGAACCGGACAAGGGCGAGCCGTGGCATAAGAGGCTACTAGGTAGCCCGTCCACCCGCTCCGCTATTCCCCCTCCGCCGCCGCTGCACAACTTCGAGCCCACGCTGCCGCCAAGCAGACCAACCGTCATTTCGACCTCGGCCCCGTCGCTCCCGCCGGCCCCCGCGCGGCCGACGTCGAGGCCGCCCGCGACGAGTCTCACTCCTGCAGTACCTTTGCCGACGTCAACGCTTTCGCCAGCAGACAGCATCGCTGCCTTCTACGCAAAGCTGAGAACCTTCGACGACAACCTTCTACGGACGGACTTCAAAGGCAATCCGGAGCAGCCGACAAAGGACTTCATCGACATCGACGCAGACGACGGCACCGGGTCGCCGCTGCCATACGATCCAAACTTCACCGAAGACGCGGCGAGGTGGAGGGCCTGCGACCCGCGCGATGCCTCTTTCACTGCGGAGCGCGATCGCCTCTGTCAGGAGTACCTGTCCAATGTGAACAACATGCGCCACATCCAGGCGATGTCCTCCAAGCTCTTGCAGGGACGCACCATCAAGATGCAAATCTTCTACGCGCACAACAACATCAAGACGATCGTCAAACTGTCGCAGCGGAAGTTCTACTACGAGGCCGCCAGCGAGTTCATAGCGTACTCCTTTGACCGCGCGTTGGGGTTTAACCGTGTGCCAACATCCGTGTACGTGCCCATTCCGCTGGACTACCTGCGTGTCGCGGTGGCGTACTCGCCCCTCTTCTCCCAGTGGTTTGACCGCTACGTAGTCTTGTACAACAACACGAATCAAAACTTCGTGCCATGCGCCTACTACACTCGGCAGGTGTCGGAGTGCAGCGTGGCCACCGTGCAGCTGTGGATGAAGGACGTCCACAGCGCGCTGGAAACGTTCCTGGGACTTCCGTTTGAACTGGACCAGAGTTTCGTTCGCAAGTATTACGTCCCCGGTCACCAGCTGTTCGCTGGCACCAGACGCGCTCGCCTGCGCGCCATTGGCGAGTTGTCCGACCGCAGCGTCTTCGACTTCCTTATCGGCAACACCGATCGCGGGACGAACGACCACAACAACTTCGTGTACGGCGGCTGCAGCGCGGAGACGGAGTGCCAGGTGGGCACGCCGGAGAATCGCATCAAAGGTCTGGCGAAGTACGCCTACCTCGACCACGGTAGCAGCCTGTACTCCCACAAGGAACCGATTGGAAACATGTTCTATGGCGATGTGGGACGCATTGCGGTGTGCCGCTTCCGGCGTTCCACGTTCGAGCACCTCGCCAAGTTCGCGGCGACGAGTCGCGTGCCGTACCCTCTCATTAAGCAGGTGGAAGAGGTGCTGCCGCCGTCCATTTTCAAGGTGAGTCACGAGTCTGTCATGCGGAGGGTGCAGGTACGGCTGGACAAGATTCTGTATCTCGTGGACACATGCCGCAAGAAGTACACGGACGCGGAGGTGTTTTCCCTCCCAGAGTACGACGAGATCCGCATCGCGGAGGAAGACGCTACATTGGGCGACGAGTGGGACTAGCACGCGGTCACCGTGCGGCGCGGTGCACTGCGGCTCGTTGCGCGCTTCTCGCAACCTCCTCAACGTTGTTGGATGGCGAAAGGGAAGAGAAAAAAGAGGAGAGGCACTAATTGGTGGCGGATGTGCAAACTTGCCATGTGTTATTTTCTCCGTTGTTGGTTTTCTGTACGTGAACGCGCACACTGGGCTGCTCAACCACTAACACACACACGTTTGCGAACGTGGGTGTGGCAACCGATGTATTCGAGATGACGTAGAGAAAGGCACGGCACCGCGGGAAGGCATATGAATGAAGAATCGAGCGAAGAAGGGAGCAGTAATTCTCCGTGCCTGTCGCTGAGCGCACACTCACACATGTGGTATTTACCTTTGCCGATGTGCCGCAACTCGCGGAGACAACTGCAGCAGGAGAACTGCGGGATTCAGGTCTTGTGCCGATTGAACGCTGCTGTTGCGCCTCGACTGTTTGGCGAGGCCTCTTTTGCGCTTGTGGGTGAATCACACCAGCACGCTGTTTTCCTTTCCTTTCGCTTTTACCTCCCGCCTCTCTCCTCCTTTAGTTGCTGTTGCACAGCCTCGTAGGTGAACGAGTAAATACTTCTGTTTACCTCTACACAGTTCCTGTGCGGTGGCCGTTGTTGTTGGTGTTGTTTGGCTCCTCACGAGGTGTCCTCAATGCGTCACAGGCCAAACGTAAACACTAGAAAGGGGGAAAACCCAACGTATTTCTACCACACCGCACTTTACTCTATTTCTTGTGGTTATTGTTGCCGTTGAGCTCGGGAAAAAATATATACATATTTGGTAGTTGATAATTAACAATACCTAGAACTAGAGAGAGAGTGACATACAAACGCAGACATAGTATAGGCGCCATGAATCTTGACGCGTGGGAAGAGCGGGTGCGCCGTGTGCAACCTCTCGAAGTGAAGGAGATGCAACTTCTTCTGCGGACCGCCGTGAACCTGCTGGTTGAGGAGAGCAACGTGCAGGCTGTCCGCCTCCCCGTCACCATCTGCGGTGATATCCATGGGCAGTTCCCCGACCTGCTCCGCCTGTTCGAAGTCGCCGGCGAGCTGAAGCGCGAAACGGTCAGCATGAACTACGTGTTCCTCGGCGACCTCGTCGACCGCGGGCGCAACAGCGTGGAAGTGCTGACCTTTCTCCTCGTTCTGAAGCTCAGGTATCCCGACAAGATCACCCTTATCCGCGGCAACCACGAAACGCGTCAGGTCACCACGATGTACGGCTTCTACGACGAGTGCGCGGAGAAGTACGGCACGGTAGAGATTTGGAAGCTGTGCACGGAGGTGTTTGACTGCATGCCGATTGCGGCTCTCATTGAAGGCAGAAGCCTGTGCATCCACGGCGGACTCTCGCCGGAGATTCGCGGTGTGGATCAGATCCGACTGCTCAACCGGCGCCAGGAGATCCCGAACGAGGGCCCGTTCTCAGATTTAGTCTGGTCCGACCCCGAGAACGTCGACGGCTGGGTGGTGTCGCAGCGCGGCGCCGGTTTCCTATTTGGTGCCTCCGTCACACGGGAGTTCATCCACCGCAACCGACTGAACCTCATCGCACGTGCCCACCAGCTCGTTCACGAAGGCTTCAAGTACCATTTCGATGAGGAGTACCTGTGTACTGTATGGTCGGCACCAAACTACTGCTACCGCTGCGGCAACTTAGCGAGTGTCCTCCGCATCTACGAGGACAACTCTCGCGAGTTTGTTGTCTTCAAGGAGGTGGATGCGCAGATCGCCGCGTCCGACGAGCCCAAAACAAAGGAGCCTGCCTACTTTCTGTGATGGCGAGAAGGAAGCTGTTTGTAGTTGATGACGGCGTGTGTCACGCACGCTGTTCTCTGGTGGTTTGATGGCTTTGGTTGATGCAAGTGAACGTGGTGACATTTGTGTGATTGTTGTTGCTGATTCGAGCACATCATTTTTGCGCCTTCACTATGTGCATTGTCGTTTCCGGTGCAGCGTTGCTTCTCTATCGAATGCGGTTGTATTTGCCGCGTAACACAGAAGAGACAGAGGCGGCGCCAAACCCCACTTCAGCACACTGGTGTGCGTGTGATTGTGGTCGAGCAGAGCGGACTGTAATGATCTGACTCGTCTTTTTTTTTCTTTTTCCTTTGCGCTTATCTCCTTACAGCTACTGATGCATTTCTTGTTCGCGGTTGGTTGAGCTCATCCAGCTAGTTGCGTGCTCTTCACCCAAGGAAATGGGAAAACCATCGTGGCAAGAAGCAGAGGAAGAGTTCTCGATCCCCTCAAAAAAGGAAAGAAACGAAGGCGTTGGTGGTTTGTCAAGAAAAGCCTGTACTACGCGTTTCGGCGTAAGCGGGTACGACTTCTATCACGATCTCAATGACGGCTGCTGCTCTCTTGTTGTGACTGACAAAAGGAAAAAAAATAGATGATATGTGATGCTAGTTTTTTTCTTTTTGCAGACGACGTGTCGGTGTTGGTATTGTGTGTTGTCTGCTGCCCCAATGTACCTTCTCTCCTTTTTCTGTTTGTCCTTGTCCTACTACTTTTGAAGGTCATATATATCCAAAGCTTGTGAAACGAGATATCGCATAGACGTAGCTGTCGCTCTTCAACATTGTTATTGACTCCCGTCACCTGCCTCGCCATTCGTAAATTTGATTGGATTCAGCACAAGAGGACAGCACCAAGCACACAAAGCACGCTGCACCACTCAAAACATAGATTTCTCCCTTTTTTTTAGAAACGATGGAAACGCAAGTGATTTCTCTGCTGAATTGCCGTCCTCTTCTGACGACTGGCGAGGCGGCGTGCCTTCTGAACGTGTCAGAGCAGGCGGTGCAGCCCGTTTTTGCAGCAGTTGCCAACGCCAACGCAGGCGCCTACACGCTGCTCGGCGGCACCGTGGAAGAAGCTGCGCGTGGAAGCACCACAATCACGAGAGTGACCATGCAGGCAGTGAAGAGTACCGACAACGAGACGTACGTGTACGCGTTGATGTCGCTGACCTACCCGGCACATGTTGCGGCTTCAGCTGTTCCGATCGCGCTGCGGCCCAGCGCCATCGACACCCTTCGCACCTACCCGGTGGTGTCGCGGGCCGTAATGGAAACTCGTCCATCCGGCGCCCCGTGTGCGGCAGCCCCCATCGCGCCAGCACCACCGGCGGTAAAAGCTGTCACCGCTGTTGAGCCAACCGCCGTGAAGCGGGAGGCTGTGAACTCCTCCGCTGGTTCTCTTTCTGCCGCAACCACCGTGTCCACGCCGTCGTTGCCCATCCCTGCGGCGGAGGCCTCGCCAGCTCCACCTGTCTTGAGGGCCATAGAGGTGCTGGCACCAACACCGGTGTCTGCACCGGAGACACCACTGAAGCAGGAACCGCCCCAAGAAGCGGCGGCTGTTGTGATGGAGGCACCTGTAGCCTCTGCACAGCGGAAGCCGACTATCTTTGACAAAATGAAGGAAGCCGCTGCCACAAAGCGGCCTCGTGAGGGCGACGATGCACCGGCCAAGGCGAAGAAAGCCGCGACGTCGAAGCCGAAAAAGACGGCGAAAACGGAGAACACAACGAGTCTGGCAAAGCTGGCGAGGGCATCGAAGAAGAAAGCGGGCGCGGCGGCCCCTCCGTCTGCTCCGCCCAACTTGAGCTTCTTAGATGAGGACGACGGAGATGCCACGCACGGCACCCACAACAGCGAGGAAAGCAGTCGGCACGATGCTCCGTTCGCGGTCTTTGAAGAGGCGCCCGTGCTGGACGTGGTGGAAGTGTCGGCGTCGAATGATGAGGTGATTCTGTGCGACGACGCGCCGCCGCTCGCCTTCCGTCCCGCAGAGCCCCTCGTCCCTCTCTCGCCCACACCGGGTAGGAAGGATGCAGCGGCGAAGAAGGCCTCCGCTGCGGTGGGGGAGGCCGGGGCTGCGCAGTGCACCCTCGGCTTCTTCTTCAACCCCGCCGTGGTAGAGTTTCAGAAGTCGTACGTGCGCGAGGTGCAGACGGAGACGAAGGTGGAGAAGGGCGAGTACATCTGCATCGATGTCCCTTGTTACAAGCACACGACCACGGGCGAGGTGATCAGTGAGGAGGAGTACCACAGACGGACGGCGCAGCTGGTTCGCGGGCGTGACGCACCAGCGGAGACGTCACCACGCACCTCGGCCGGTGCGGTGTCCGACGCCCCACCCAGTCCCGCAGCGAAGTCGGCGGCACGGAGTCCGAGCGACAAGGAATCGAAGGCCAAGTCGTCTTCCGCCCCTGCGAAGACATTGATGTCGTTCTTCAAGCCTGCCGCGTAATGAAGAAAGCGTCTTTTTCAAAATCTTGATATCTTCCTTCTGTGAGGGCTTCCTCTTTTCTTCTTCCTCTCTTGTGGCATAGAACACAACCATAGAAGGCACGTCTTGTGGCGATGGCATACACTCAACCTTTATTGTCTCCGTTTGGCTAAAAAAAGTTTTAAAATGTCCTCTGTGCTCTCCATTTGTGTTGCAGTTCCCCGTGCGTTGGTGAGGGACGTTACACCTGCGCGGTCTCTATCAGATGGACGGCAGCGGTGCTTTCCATGTCTCTGTGAAGGAAGGAGGCTGTGTCGTCGCCAAGGGGAACCGCTCGATATCACTTTTGTAGAAAGGGCACGAAGGCGGTTTCCCAACTCCGGCGGCAGCGATGCCCTCGGTCTCTGCAGCGCTACTCTCTTGCATTCTCCCTGCTTTCTGTTCTCTCTTCCACATCTGGAAGCCTTTCCCTCGGAAACAAGGGAAAACAGTTCTACTGGAGATGAGCAAGCAAGTGCTTCAAACGCTTCCGTTGGCGAAAGGGAAGGACATCCACAACCGCACGGCAAAGCTAGCCTTGTACAAGGAATGTCTCGCACTGGCCTACCTGGTGCGCGACCAACTGGTGCGGGAGCACACACTTCGCGAGGTGCGCGAGAAGTGGTTTGAGCACCGCGGGGATGGCGGTCACACCCTGCAGCTGCAAGTGGCGAGCTGCCTCGACCGCATCTCGTACGGACGCATGTGCCACTCCAAGGCACGGCAGCGTCTTCTGCCCAACGCCAGCGAGACGTACGACTGGGGGATTGTGAACCCGATGGAAAACCACGAGAAGCTTATCCGCCGTCGCGAGGAGCGGCAGAGCCCTGACGCATTCAATCACAGTCGAGGCAACCGCGACTTTGTGCCTGTGTCGAACTGGGGCTACGGCAACATGGACCCCGACGCGGTGGCGAAGCATAAGGAGCTGACGGACCGGCAGCACTTCATTGGGCCGCATTGGCGCGACCGGCCAAAGCCGATGGTGCTGGAGGACCTGAGTTTTGAGGAGGAGCTCTACGTTCACTTTCAAGCAAAACCGAAGATGCGCAAGACCCCCAAGAAACACTTTTAGTGCGACAGCAGCTCCCTTCTTTGTAACGGTCCTCTTCACATACGTATTCAACGTGCAAGCCAGATTATAGCGGTCAACGAGACACGTCACCGCGTTTAGGCGCTGCGGTGGTGAACAACCAGACCCCGCTGCGTCGGCTTTGGGCCTTCCTTTGACCATCTTTGGTTGTCTGCGTGTTGTCCTGCTTCGTACAACAGTTTTGTTCTCCCTTCCTTTAGGAAGCACTGGTTGTTGCTTTTCATCTATCTCAGCTGGTGTTGTTTGTTGCTTCTACACGAAAGAAAAAGAAATATTTAGCTGTAGCCCGCACGGTAGTTGATTGGATTTCAGCACCCTCATTATCCGTTGGTTGTTTGTGCAGTGGCCACGTGGTGCGCGGTGGGTCCTTGTCGCCCTTTGCACCCTTCCCCTGCCGGCATTTCCTTTGATCTCTGTGCAGTCACGTTGCCTCCATGGGAGTCGTGTTGCTGGAAGTGAAGCGATTGGAAAGAACTGTTCTCCGCCATCTACCTGTTTCGTTCCGCCTTCATCCGCAGAGGGATTTCCTGTTTTAACTTGCAACGCGCTGCCAACACCGTCACCACAAACTGCATCTCAACAGCACAGCTGTCTCGGTTGCGGACAACATTGAAGCGGTAGGTCTCTTTCTTGTTTGATTTAACAATTACTCTGCTTAAAAAAGAGGCAATGAGTCAGCTGTCTATTGTGAAGGATCAGATGCTGAGCCAGGGCATCAACCACTTTGTCGTCCTATCCTCCTCCGGTCAAGTAGTGGAATACAGCGGCGACTTTGAAAACAAAGAGAAACAGGTGCTGGCCTACGCCATCATTCAGCAGTGCTCCGCGCTCACAGTGCCCGGTGAAGCGATGAAGCGCACGACGATGAAGTTCGAGGACATCCTTTACGTTGCCACCACCGTGGAGGATGACAAGATGGTGTACGGCGTGGTGGCGAAGCGACCGTTGACGAATGCAACCATGTGAGCAAGTTGCAGGAGTATATTCTCCTTCGGGAAACGGAATGGGAGTGAACGGAATTGATAACTGCTGCTGCTTCCTTTTTACAATAATATTTGGATTTTCTTTTTCTTGATCGCATTGCGATGTTACACGGCGGGTGTGCGCTCAGCTTTCTCCTTTGCGTGATGCGGTGTTTGCTTCAGTCTTGATGGAAACGGATTTAAATATTTACATGTATAGAAGAGACGTGCCCAGCAACTGCGTGATGATTCTCTTTGTGTTGTTTTCGTTGTTTTTCCAGGGTTGTCAGCTCGTTGCGCCGCCTGTGAGTATACCTTCGCCAGCAATAAAAAGAAAGGTGCTGACCGTTTGTGGTTTTGCCTCGCATCAGACTTTGTCACTGCGAAGTGGGTAACTGTTCTGTTTTTCTCTTCGTTGTTCTCTTCCTATTCCTCACATTTTCCCTTTTCTTCTCTTCTTGCGGCGTTGCTCGGCGCACCCTCCTGCCCTCCCGGCAAGATGGACAAGCACGTTGGAGCAGACACACATCAGCACTTTATAGATCTCTGCACAATGATCACGGCAAGCGCCACGGCGTACGCCCTTGTCGCTCAAGAAAAGCAGTACCCTTTGCAGATTGGCAAGAATGTGGTGGGCCGCAGCAACGTCCCGGTAGAGGGTGTTTCGTTTATTAACTTGGAATCGCCTCTGGCTGCCATCAGCCGTATGCAGGCATTCGTGGACGTCGCCGCGAACGGGGACGCGTGGGTTAGCGACTGCAACAGCACTAACGGCACCTTCCTCAGCGTACGTCCGGGTCCTGGTGTTCGACTGGAGACCAACCGTTACTACCAGCTCACGCCTGGGTGTCGCATCGTGTTTGGCGATGTGGAATGCACCTTTGAAGCTCTTGGCAGCACGCCTCACACGCCTGAACGAACCACCGCCTCACCGGCGAGCTCCGCGGCGCGGGCCTCGCGCAAAACAGAGCGCATCGACGTCATTGGGGCGTCCACGGACAGCATCGGCAAAGCACCGCGATCGAAGCGTGAGGACAACTGGAAGGCGCCACACACTGATGACACGAAGGTGCATCGGGGCGACATACCCTACCTCGACGAGAGCGTCAGCTTCTCACAGGATCACAACGGTGTCGCAGCCGCATCGCCAGCGGAGAAAGAGAAAGGAAGGAATACCGCGAACCGCAGCTCACCGGCCGCGTCCTCATCTCCCGCTCCGGCGAAGAAGGGGAAGAAAGAAACCGCGACCGGCTCCTCCCCTTCGCGCGCCAAGGAAACCAAGTCGTCGCCTCAGTCTGCGGGTCAAACGGCTGGTCCGCCGGTTGTCTGCCTGACCGGCATGGATAGCGATGAGCGGACGGCCATCACTAAGCGGGTGCGACAGCTGAAGGGGCGCGTGGTGGAGGACATTACCAAGGCAAACCTTCTCGTCGTCGCCACCCCGCCGGTGCGCACGCCGAAGTTCATCATTGCGGTCGCGCGCGGCGTCCCGGTCGTGTCGGTCAGGTACATTTGCAATGACCAGGCGGAGCTGGAGGACGCGCGACGCCACATCGTTGGCCTCAAAACGCCACAGCACACGTACACAGCAGCGGCCTTGGAAAAGGTGATTTATCGAAAAGACCATCGACCGCTGCTGAAGGGCGTGCGCGTTAACGTGTCTGCGCTATCAAGTAAAACGAAAGGTGTAGCGACGGAGATCATCACCGCGTCGGGCGGCGAAGTGGATCGCACCAAGAAAGGCGACGCTCTCCACGTCACTGATGATCGGCTGGACGCCTTGTACGACTCTATTCTGCGAGGCAAAGTGCCACAGTCGCTGTGACGAACCAAGTGAGGCGAACTCGAACAAGGTGAAGGGAAGGACAGCGATCATACGTGTACGTTCACGGCAGTTGATCGTGACGCCTTCACTCTTGAGTTTCGTGTGCGCGTTGTTCGCTCGTGCGACTCTTCACATCCTCGGCAAGTGCGTTGAATCTCGTAACGGAACCGCTTTAGTGCACTGCGATCCAGCCAACTTCTGCGAACAAGAAAAGGTCACTATTAAAAGCTCCATTTGCCTTCTCAAACGACGCGGGGGGGGGGGGTTCGCTTCGGAGTCATTGAGCTTTTTCTCTTTTTACCCATGCGCTCTCTCTCTTGGACTCGTCTTGAAGAGAGCATACGGTAGTCTCCCGACACGAGTGCGCGTTGTGAACTCTCTTTGTGCAGGCGTTTTTCCTTCACCTGTTCAACAGGTCCACTCCAATGGCATCTTCAGCAACAGGGCCAATATGATATCAGTACGAGGTTGTGGTAAAACTTTCGCCTTCTCTTCTTTCCTCTTCCGTTGTTCTGTGAGAGCGCTCCCCCTCCGCTCCTCTCACGCGTTGCACATCCATCTGCAGAACCAAGGCACAAATACGCAGCTTCCTCCACTGCGGTCTGCTCCACCGCCCGCGGCGCCCAAACACTAAGCGAACACCACCACAAAAAAACCGTCGTAAGCTATGTCAAACAAGCGAAGACGCTGCTCGTTAGACATTTTGGGTGGCATTGACGATCTCCTCGGCATCTCCGCCGTGTCCCCGCTGACGTCCTCTGCGTGCGATGATGAACAGAACGCTTCTTTTTCGCGTGATAACGAACCACGAAGCTCACACAAGGTGGACGGAGAGGAGCGCTTTGCCGGCTCTTCTCCCGTGCGGAAATGTCTGCGTGCGTGTTACTCCCCTGCGAGCACGCCATCCTCCTCGACTGCTCCCTCCGTCGGCACCAACACCTCCGTTGCAACGACAATAGACGGCTTAGGCGGCGACGAAATCGACTTACTGCGCCGCAGGGATGAGGAAATGGCGGACATGGCGCTCTTTCTTGCCAAAGCCATTGGCGAGGCACCGTCGCAGCTGTCCCTGAGCGAACTGGTCAGCTTTCTGGAAAAGGTCGGTGTTCCGCGAGTCCTGCTCGCCTTGAAGCGTGCGGAGGCCACGGAGGCGTTTGTGGATGCCCTCTTTCGTGCGCACCCGAATCAGGCGCAACGCGTCCTCCTTCTTCGGCTCCTTTTGGAGTTCCTTCACTTTGTCGAGGCCGAAGTCTTTTTTCAAAGAGGCGTAATAGTCTTTCTGGTAGAGTCGCTGGCTCCACCCGACACTTCTCAACCATCGGCGAGCATGCCGTCGTCATCGCTGAGTGCGGCGGTGCACTGGTCCGCGCGAAAGAAATGCGTGTCTCCGTCCGTTGCATCAGTGAGCGGTGCATCTTCACCGTCACCCACGGAAAGTTGCAGCGACGAACTGGATGATCGCACGCAGGGGCTCTGCCTTGCCAGCTCTACGGACGCTTCGTCTTCTGCCACTAACGCTACCAGCGCCCTGCTCTCTCTTAAGGCGTTGCTCACACTTGTGTTTCAACACAATAGAAGCCTCCATCTTGCGAGTCCGTCAGCCTTTTCGGTTTCTCTGAGCTTTGCCCACGCCGGCGGTTTAGAGCGCGTTGGCCAACTGCTGCTCAATGAAAACGAGCGCGAGTGGACGCTGTCGCTGCTGGAGGTGCTAACCACCACCGATGTGCTGCGACGCGAGGGAGGGCGACTGCTGCAGCTCGTGCCGGCGCTGGTGGGCCTACTCAGCACGGTGGCTCAAGCTGCGCAGGTGTCTGTACTGAAAGTCATAACGAACATCACCAATCTCGTGCCGTCCGCCCTCTCAGAGACCGACACAGCGCAGACATTTGCGGAGTTTATTCAGCGCGTTCTCCTCCAGCCCAGCGTGGACGGTGACTTGGATGGACGGGAGACGTTTGCGCTCTGCTGCGCCATCAACGTGGTTAAGCACGAGGCAAAGGAGGGCTCTGCCGTGCAGCCCACCTTCACCCGCGCCATTATGGCCTGCGCAGAACTTCTTCCCGCGCTGGCGGAGAGCATGACAAAGCGCTACCGCTGCAGTGACGCAGAGCAACTGGTGCTGAGTGGATACACGGCTCTTCTCTTAGGTGCGCTGTCGTTGGTTGACGTGGGGGACGCGGAGATCTCCAGTCTGCGCGTGCCAGTCATGACAGCCGTTGCGGCGGCCTCTCGAGGGACGCGTATCGGTAAATCCACAGATCGTCAGCCCATGCGAATGGTGGCGGCGATCATTCAGGAGTTTCTTCTTTTTCAGAGCTCCTCCGGCACGTTGACGAAGGAGGCGCTGGTGGACACGGATTTTCTCGTGAGTCGCATTCGACAACACAGCCGCATCGTGGTGGCCAATGCCACGGAAAGTGAAGCTTCACCGAGCACAGCAGAAGACAGTGGTGACATGGAGGTAACGCTAGGTGATATGTTATAGAAACAGATGAAGGAAAGGGAGAGGGGGTGAAGCGAGAGGTTTTTGTGTTGATGTCATGCGTGTGTTCGCGCATAGAATGGTTTCAAGTCTGTCGTTTGAGCCATACAGGCATCGCTGTATACGTCACGCGTTGCCGTGGCTGCGTTGCACCTCAAAGGTCTCCGCAAGCGGTGCGATCATCTTACAAAAGGAAAAAATACTGCGAACTTGAGAAGTAAAGCGATGCTTTATATTGAATAATTCTTATCTGGATTATCATAATGGCTGCCGTTGACAACGCTCAATCCGCCAGAGTTGCGAGCACTTGATCCGGCTGCTGCTTTTCGAGTTTCACGGAATGCCCTACACCGGATGCTGTACAAAACACATACATATGCGATATGCGATGTAAACGGCTTCTGAACGGAAGCAAAGAGGGCAAAACGCACTGGGGCACCTGCGCTCCATCAAAGCAATTTGTGCAAACCACCAGCTATCCTGCACCACATCTTGGCTCCTTTCTTTCTCACAGTGTACTGGAATCGCCTTGCGACGAGGCAGCCTGTGCTCCGCGAAGTGACAGGATCTGCTTCGGAGCGCACACACCTATACAAAGTGCGGCCTCCTTTGCCGCACAAGGTGCGTGGTGAGCAGTTCGTTGAATACAACCAATGACCTCCGTGACGAGTGCCACGCCTCACTTTTGTTGTTTGAAATACACAACCAACCTCACAAAGATACACGCCGCTTTTTTTCCTTTCTGGTCGGCACCATTTTTCACCGCTGAGCGGCTTTTACCCTCCACGTCCATCGAACGGTCATTTGACTCGCTCTCCGCTACAGCATCCCGATCATGTCCGTGAGAGTCGCAGTTCGGACTCGCCCACTCAGCGAGAACGAGTTGAAGACCAACGCCGAGGTAATCGTCCGCATGAACGGGAATGAGGTCTCCGTAGTTGAATCCGTGGAGGGGTACGGTGGAACGTTCCTGTACGACAGCGCGCTCTGGTCGACAGGTCGGGTCGTCGAAGGGTCCTCGAATGCGGAGGCGTCGCAGGCGTACGTGTACGACGCCATCGGCGCGGAGCTCCTTGAGCACATCATGACTGGCTACAACGGCTGCATCTTCGCCTACGGGCAGACCGGCAGCGGAAAGACGTACTGCATGATGGGCACCACCGAGAGCGCCGGTCTCATCCCGCGCATTGCGCAGAACCTTTTCGAGGCGTCAGCGGCGCTGCGCAGCGAGAACGTGGAGGTCTGCGTCGAGGTCTCCTACTACGAAATCTACAATGAGAAGGTGCGCTGCCTGCTCCGGCCGACGCAGGGCGGCTACGACGACACGCAGCTGCGCGTCCGCGAGCACCCCAAATACGGCCCGTTCATCGAAGGACTCGCCAAGTTTGTGGTGCGCACGCAGGGGGAGTTTCTGAAGCTCATGAGCGACGGCAATAAGGTGCGCACGACGGCCTCCACCGCGATGAACGCGACCAGCAGCCGCTCACACGCCGTCTTCGCCATCACACTGACGCAGAAGCAGAAAAAAGGCATCCTCGTCACGCAGAAAACGTCGCGGCTCAACCTGGTCGATCTCGCCGGCAGCGAGCGGGCCTCCAAGTCGCTGGCGACGGGGAAGCGGCTGACGGAGGGATCGAGTATCAACTTGTCGCTGACGTGCTTAGGCAACGTCATCAGCGCTCTGGCGGAGGTGGAGGAGACGGGAAAGAGCCGGCACATCCCGTACCGCGACTCGACGCTGACGTGGATTTTGAAGGACAACCTTGGCGGCAATTCCAAGACCGTCATGCTCGCCACCATCAGCCCCTCCTCCATGCAGTACGAGGAGACGATGAGTACGCTGCGCTACGCGGAGCGGGCGAAGAAGATTGTGAACAAGGCCGTCGTGAACGAAACAAACAACAACGAGCTCGTCGCGGCGCTGCAGAAGGAGATTTCCTTCTTGAGGAGTCAGCTGGTCAGCGCGTCAACGAACGAGCGGGAACGCCTGCTGGAGGAGCTGGAAGCCAGCGAGGCCGTCAAAAAGGAGCTCACCTCCTCGCTAGAGGAGAAGCTGGCCGACACGAAGCGTCTCATGGAGGAGCGAGAGGAGTACATGCGAGGGCTCGAGGCGAAGCTGAACGCGCAGATGGAGGAGATCGAACATTTGCGCGTTGCGAACGACGAAAAGGAGCGGCGTATCGATGCGCTGCTTCGTCGCATTCAGAGCCTCGACGTCGCAGGCAGCGAACCCAACAGGGAAAAGGTGGAGGAGATCCGGGAGCAGGTGGCAGCTTTGGAGCAAGAGCAGAAGGCGACCGAGACGCACATGCGCGAGCGTCAGAAGCAGATTCGCGGCTCCATCGGCGTGTCAGAAAACGACGACGACGGCCCATCGTTTTCCTTGGCTGCCTCATTGGCGCCCCCCTCGGCACGGTTTCCACCTGCGACGACGGCGCAGCTGCCGGCGTTTGAAGAACAAGGGGCCGATGAAGCAGAGCTGCCGACAGCGGTAAGAGCTGCAATCCAGCGGAGTCGCACCTCCTCCATCGCGCAGTTCAACATCGAAGAGGAGCCGTTGGCAGAAGCGATGGAAGAGGCGGACGATGACCTCACTTTAGAGTCCCACCACGAGAGCGTGGATGAGGGCCTGGCGGCCGACGAGGACTTAATCTTCGACGACGAACTCGAAATCTCCGCGCCGGCTGACTCCGACTTGGATGAGTTGCTCGTGGACGACTCAGATTTGCGGGTGCCGCCAGACAGCGCCGAATCAGAAAGGAAGGAGGCGCCGAAGGAGGAGGTAGGAGTGCTGCGTTCCGACTCTGCTGACGCTCTGACGGAAGAAGAGAAGCCGGGAAAACGATCGGTGGAGGTTCAGGTAAGTGCGACGGCCGCAGAAGCAGCGGCGACGCCGTTCCCTCGTGGGGATACCTCTTCGCAGATAGACGCACCTGCTCTACTATTGCCGACGAGCAACGCTTCACGAACGGTATTGCAGGACGCGCCATCTCCTTCACCACCGCATCAGCCTCTGTCCCCTTCCCTATCCCCCCTTCCCTCTCCCGCGGTCTGTGACACGAAGATGGAAGAGGTGGCGGCAAACAATGAAACGGCAGCTGCAGCCACCGCGGCCCCCGTCCCCCGCGCCGAATCACTCTCTTCACAGCAGCCAACGCAGCAAGGTGCGACCATCATCGAGATGCAGGTCGCCCTGGAGGAGTTCTTCACCAAGTCACGCGACCGACCCGAGATCTACGCACCCAACGAGCACACGGCGCAGCTTGTCATTCCTTCTCATGCCTTGCCCAACAACCGCTTTCTGCGCGAGGCCTTCCGTGTCTCCAAGATGCGCGAGACGGATGTGCTAAAGCACAAGAAGGACCGTATCTGGGAAATTGACATGTTCAGCAGCCGCTTCAGCAACCTGGACACGGCCGGCGTGAAGTCGTTCGATCTTCCAACGATGAATTTGTTTCGTGTCGAGAAGAACGCGACGCACTCGCGGCGTCTCGCGCTGTACTTCTTTGACGCCCCGCACCCGTACGAGCTGGAGTTCACCTCGACAGCACGTCGCCAGCAGTTCTTTGAACTTTCCATGCTGCTGCGTCGCAACTCCATTCTGTGGTGCCCGTCGCTTTGCCTGGACGGCGAGAACGACGTGACAATTACCGTTCGGGGCACCACCATTGACCGCCCGAGCCACAACGGCATTCCCGTCAGCGGAGAGGTGAAGATGACGGTGGCACGCATGCCGTACGAGGTGATCGACCTGTGGTACGGCTGCTTCTCCCTTGACAACAAACCGCTGCCGCACAGCACGGCAGTCTTCAGCGGCTACCTTCCTAAAGAGCAGCGTGAGATCTACGTGATCGGAGTCACCGACGTGCCCGCCTCCCTTCTCGGGACAGACGAGCTGGGGCGCTACTTTCTGGCGTACTTGGGGACGGTCACGTACTTTGTTCTCGCCAACACTGCGATCACCTCGAAGAAGCACCAAGCAAACAATGCCGTGCTGGTGCTGTGCAAGCGCTCTTTTATTGTGCGGGTAGCCAACATCGAGCTCTTCGACAACGTCGCCGTCCACAAAGACGGCGTCCACAGAGGCGACTTCAGCGCAACCGGGTGTGCCCTTCGCATCAACGAATCCTCGATCGGCATCATTTTGGTCAACACGAAGCCGGGCAGCTACACCCCATCTACCCGGGCCGCGTGTATTCGCACACTTCTCTCCAGCTTTCCATTTGCTGACGCTGCGGTAGACATTTCGATGCGGTTCGACTACTTTGTGGTGTCCGGCGCCTTCCACTTCGGCGGCGACTTTAGCGCCGAGGACGCGTTGATCCGCGAGATTCTGTCGGATAATCTCATGTCGAACATGCGCGAGATGGAGCCAAGCGCGACGCTGCGCTGCTCGACCGCGCCGCTGCGCATTTTCTACTCCGTGCGGCCGAGCGTCTCGCGCATGGACGTCTCCGCGTACTCGACGTCGCGTGCGCTGGGCCTCGCCAACGCGTTTATCGCGGCGGATGTGTTTTGCCAGCGCTCGTTTCTCAGCCTCTTTGGGGAAACGGTGCCGCACGTGCAGATCCTCCTCGAACGGGTGACTGTCAGCGGAGCGCGACTGCCCTCCATCGGCGGAGCTGAGCTCCAGATTTCAATGGACGCCGCGGAGGGCTCCCCCATGTACTACCAGCTGACGAAGCGGGACGGCAACTACATCATCCCCGTTTTCACTGAGCCGTGTCTTCAGCCTTGCGTCAGTAACCTCGAGTATCTGCGCCTGCAGACGCTCACGTTCACCGTTCTCGGCAGCGTGGGGTCGATGGAGGCGCACAAGCGCATTGTCGTCGCCTCCGGGGTGTTTCCGCTGAAGTCTGTCGTCCTCGCAGAGCCCGCCCTGCTGCACATCCCTCTCTACTACCGAGGGTGCACTGTGGGTAAGCTGACGGCCGTCCTCCACCAACTGTACTACGAGCGCAACAGCGCCGAGGTCAGCGCGCTCGGCTTCCACGACGCGCGGTGTGTGACGCTTGTCACGTGTTTCGAGAACGAGATCCGTCGACCCAGCGGCAGGTGGGTGCCGGCCTCCCCTGTGGAAGGCGGCGTGTGCCATTTCTCCTCGCACGACCCAACGCAGGCGCGCGAGCGAGACGAGTTTCTGCTGCCCGATCCGCACACGTGGCGCTGGCTTACGGAGTGGCAGCACGACCAGCGCGAGGACGACTCGCAAGGTTGGGTGTACGCAGATGGGGTCGAGGCGGAGCTGCAACTCACCGCCACCGCGACCACCAGCATCCGACGCCGCCGGTGGACGCGGATGATGCAAGCCAGCAACCCCATTGTCTACCACGGCTACCTCGCGCAGAAGCTATCGGATGGTGCGTAAAGTCCACTCGCCGACAATGGAGAAGCAGCTTTCTCATCCATCACGCTTTTTTTCTCCACTGACACATCTTTGCCGCCAGTGAGTTGTGCGTTGCAGGCATGACGGCCTCTTTTTGCTGTTCTCTCAACACCGCTGTTCTCTTTCGATATATTTCCTTCCAACGTTTGCGTTTCTCGCCAGGAGTCAAAATACGATAAAAGAGGATATTTTCGTGCGCACGTCGTTGCGCTTTCCGCGGCAAACGCACTTTATAAATGTAGAGAGATATTTACCTGTTTGAGTGCCATTGTCTGCTGTTCACTGGTCGAGTCGGTCGCTTCGACGGCACCTCCCACCTCTCGACTTCGCACACGCATGGATTGGCGACTGTTCGCTGCTGTTTTATGCATCTTCTTTTTAAGTCCTTGGTGGTCTTTTTCTCCTTCCTTATTTTTCTTCTCGGCCTCGCGTTGGAGAACGCTGTTGTACCACCAACCTCGTTGACGTTTGCACCCAAGGAGCCCAGAAGGTGGGCTCGTATACATATTTGCACCGCGGATGCTTGGGCGCAAAATGGTGACGAAGGCGACTCCTCCTCCCAAGTCGGCGACAAGTCCGCGGCGCGACCGCGGCAAGCCCGTTACCCCCTCTCCGCAAACCCGGGCCAGCCCCGTGAGCCCGAAGCTGGGCGCAACACAGTTTCACTCAAAGGGAGCACGCAGCGAGATGGAGCTTCATTTTGATCGGTACTGCTCTCTAGAGAAGTCTTCGCAGACAGACAGCTTAACAGGACGCGGACTCACCCAGTTTTTATCGGAGATCGCCGTTTCGCCGTTCTCGTTCGAGTACTACGTCGTTTTGTGGAAGCTCAGTGCTACGCAAAACGGCTGCATTTTGCGCTTAGAGTGGGTCATGGCGATGTACACGCACGGCGTCGAGTTTCTTAGCCAACTCAAAATAAAGACGGCAGAGTGGGTGAAGGAGGTGCGCGGCAGTGGGGGCCGCTTTCTCCTCATGTACAACTTCTTGTACGACTACATCCGCGGCGAGGACGACCGCTGCATGTCGCTCCAAAATGCGACGACCGCGTGGGACTTATTTTTCGAGAAGAAAGATCTGTATGTCCAGTGGAAACCCTGGGCCGCTGATCACGTGCATTCGGAAGTCTCACGCGACCTATGGCGGCAGGTTGGCGTGCTGATTACATTGAACACAGGCGCGACGAAAAGCGGCAGCGAGGCGATTATGACGGCGACTCTGCCAACGGTTATCACCGACTTCCTTGAGCGGAATAACAAAACTCCTTGATTGCACGTTTATTTGCTTTCCCATGTGTACTAGAATTGAACGAAAAACGAAAGCACTGTCAACTGCAACTACGTCAAAGCCGCACTGGCTATGAGCTTTGTTGCTGTCGTTTCCTTACGTGGTGGCATGAGAAAAAAATGATGACGAGGATCGTGCCTCGCATCCTAGCAACTTCGAGGTGTGCTGTGTCGTCCCATCGTCGACGCTCACTCATCCCTTCCCTTCTTCTGCTGCCTTCATTCTTCCCCCGTACGGTCTTTCACGACATTTTATGAAGGTTGTTCGCCACTCTCTGCCGCCACAACTGATACCCGGCGTCTCGCAGCTCACCGTCAAGAAGTGTGCAAAGTGCTTTGCTCTCCGCCGGTGGGACGTATTCGCAGGGAATTCCCTATTTTCTGTTTCTTTTTTCTTGCCCTGTCCTCTTTCGATAAACTAACCCTCTAGGAATCGTATGCATAAAAATAGGAACGATTCTATTATTATTATTATTGCTATTATTATTATTCACTCCCTTTCAACAAGTGTCTTGCCCACAATGGACGCGATCGAGCTAGTAAGTATCCTGCTCGAAGGCAACGATGCTGCGGTCGCAAAAACGGTAGCGAGCGACTCGTTTCTGAAGCTGTGCAACCAGCCGCTCGCCAACGGACAGTACGCCATCCACGCACTGGCGAACAAGAAAAATGCCAAAGGCGTCGAGACGCTGCTAAAGAACGGTGTTAGTGTCAATCAGGAATCCGAGGAGCAGGGAAACAGCCTGGGCTTCACCGCGGCGCATTACGCGGCCGCTAGCAACTGCGTCCCGGTGCTGGAGGTGCTGCAGGCGCACCGTGCCGACCTTAACCACACCGCCGCGGACAAGTGGACCCCGCTGCACGTGGCGACCTTCCGCGGGCAAAGCGACGCAATCCAGAAACTTGTCGAGTTCGGCGCTGACATCAACTGCACCACCGGTGAAGGCCACACCCCTCTGCTGTTTGCCGTGAACCTCGGCCGCGTGAAGGACGCACGCTTCTTGTTGCAGAGCAAAGCGTGTATCCAGCTCAACGACACGAACCGCGACAATCTCCTGCACTACGCGCTGCACTACCGCATGGCACAGCAGCTGAAGGGGAAGTACAAGCTGCCCGACACGCAGCTCGACATTGCCGTCCTGCTCGTTCTCCACGGCGTGCGTCCCGACGAGCCAAACGCGGCTGGGAATCTGCCCACGCACTACGCCGAAGCAGCGCTTCCCTCTCTCCCCAGGGCGCTCTCTGCTCTCTTCGACAACGCAATCAAGCTGCTGTGTGCCCCGCTGGAGTTCAATTACTTGACGCTGGTCACCGCGACGAAGGAATTTCTCGTGGAGGCGGTCGGCATCGAAGACGCCAAGGCCGAGGAGCTGCAGAGGGTCATGCGTGCACTCGAGACAGAGCGCCAGAGCACGCGTCGCAGCACCACCACGGCCCCTCCGCAGCCTGCTGCCATGCCGCCCGGTCACCCCGCCGTGCCGGCTGATGTCATGAATTTCGCATCCGGCGACCCCAGCGGCGGCAAATGTCCGTTTTTCGCACGCACGGCGAAGCAGCAGGCGAACAAGCGTGCGCTCGACAGCGAAGAGGAGCGCGCCCACTGCCCTTTTAGCGCGTACACCATTCGCAAAAATCAGACGGCGCTGATTCTGGCAGGAATCGCTTTTCTTGTCGGATACGGCTGTGGCAAATCTGGCCGGTTGTAGGAGAATCGCGGCTGTTTCGCCAGTGTTCAGCGATGCCTTGTACACTTTCTCACCAGCTTTCCCCACTTGTTTTCATCGACATAATCAGCGTTGTTTCTACTACTATCTATGGGTTTCCTGTGCTCTTTGATGTTGTTCGTTTCTCCCTAAGGCGTTGCGACTGTTGTTCGCTCGCTTACTTGCTCTTTTAGCGCCCGCAAACTTCCAATTGACTCACCCTTGTGTAAAGCTTCATTAATGCGTCACAATATACCTTCCCTCCGTCTCATCGTAGCTTAACAACTCCACGTTTTGTGATGTCCAACTCTGTGAAGTCCCAAATATCTCCTCAACACGTAAATGCGTGGTCGCTCCTCGTCATTTGCAGCATGCTTCCGTTAGAGAGCTTCGTCTCTTTTCTCTTATGAGGCTGTTCTCGCTAGCTCTTTAGGAGGGGGGGGGAGTTCATTGAAGTGCTGCGGCTTTTGCTTGACACGACCGTTGTAGGCGAAGCGCACGAATACCCCTTGCGTTTTCTCTAGCGGCCGTCACACCCACGGCGCTGCCGTGCCCATCCTACGAACTTGATGTATCACTGTGCTAGTGTCCACTTCACGACTTTCTCTTTCCGTCCTCGCTTCTTCACAAATGTTGGTTTCTTTCTGCTGTTTCCCCGCCCTCTACGTTGACGCATCGCACCGACTTGTGCGGTACACGTAGTTTTCGACGTGACAGTCAGGCTTGACGAATTATGCCCCGAGGATTCGGCGGACGTGGTGGTGGTGACCGCGGTGGTCGCGGCTTCGGCGGCCCACGCGGCGGCGGTGGCGGCTTCGGAGGCGGTGGCGGCTTCGGCGGCGGCCGCGGTGGCGGTGGTCGTGGTGGTGGTCGCGGCGGTCGTGGCGGCTTCAACTCCGAGCCCGACCCGCCGGACCACGTCGAGGAGGTCGGCACGTTCATGAACGCCGCGGAGGGTGAGCTAGTGTACAAGGTCACGGTGCCGGGGCAGGTGCCGCGTTTCAACGCCTTCGTCTACACCGAGAACAAGGCAAAAATCGGCAAGATCGAGGAGATTCTTGGCAACACCACGGATGTCATGTTCTCAGTGAAGCCGTCGCCTGGCATTCAAGCAGCTTCGCTGAACGAGGGCGACAAGGTGTTCATCTCTAGCACGCAATTCTCACCCCTGCGCGTCTTTACCGACCCGCCCAGGCCGCGTGGACGCGGTGGTCGCGGCGGCGGTCGTGGTGGCGATCGCGGAGGACGTGGTGGCGGCCGCGGTGGCGGCTTTGGCGATCGCGGTGGTCGCGGCGGCTTTGGCGACCGCGGAGGTCGCGGCAGCTTTGGCGGAGGTCGCGGCAGCTTCGGCGGAGGTCGCGGCAGCTTCGGTGGTCGCGGACGTGGTTATTAATCGCGGTGAACTATTTTCTTTCTTTTTCCTAGTTAAAACGCACATGAAACAATAGCGGACGAGGGGAGCAGCAGCTGCGAAACGGGCTAATTTGAAGACGCTCACCAGCAAGAAAAGAAACCAAAAGGAATGCTGAACCTCCTCCCTTAAGCAGATGAAATAATAAAAATGCAGGTGTTTATCTTATTTAAACGATAAACGTTTCTTGTGCTCCTTTAGATAAACGAAGTTGAAACACAAACGAAAGTGTCAAGTTAAGATGCGCAAGCTCAGAGACACTTCTCCGTCGATGAACGGGCGCAGGTCGAAAGAGAAGTACCTTTTTCAGTAGAGAAAGGAAACAGGTCGATCTTTTGGGGTTGAACTCACTTCCTTTTCGGGCTCTTTTGAAAACGAAAAGAATATCTTTGTTCGAGAGAAACAAAATGAACTTGAGAAACGACTTTTTTTTCTCGGCGGCAGCTGTCTTTTGTCTCTCTTTTACTTGAAACGGGCAACGAGAACTGTCTATTTACCTACGAACAGCAATGTGGGGCTGTGTTGATCTGCGTATTTCACTTTGCATACTTCTACTTGAATGGCGATGTAATACTAATCATCTCTTCTTAATTCGTCCGGTTCCTCTCCTGCTTTTCTTTTTTCATTTGCTCCGTTCTGCTCCCACTCTTTCCATTCCATAAATGCGTCCAAAAAGAAAAGTTGACGATGTACGATTCGAGAAGATCGTGCTGCGGATTCAACGTAGCGAGGAATTGTTTTGGTGGCGTAGCTCTCCTCGTCGGGGTGCCGCTGTTGGTGATTGTGCATATGAAGACGGTTGTCTTGACGGCCTTCTTTGTTGAACGTCGCGCCGACTCTCGTCTTGTGGCAGAGATTTTGCTGGAATGGCTCTTTTGCATTCTGGTGGAAGCCTGCCTCTTTCTTCTTCTCGTCGCCGACCCCGGTTTCATTGGCGAACCCACAGAGCTGAGCTGCCGGTGTGCAAACTGCAAAATGGAAGTGGAGGACTTCGATCATCATTGTGGTGTATTGGGGGCTTGCATTGGAAGAGGAAACATGTGCTATTTTATTCTGTTTCTGTTGTTTGCCTCTCTTCTGTGCCTTCTCGGCGGCCTGGAAAACGTTGTGTACATAGTGCTCTTCGCTGCCGCCCACAAGAAGAGAAACGCAAACTCTTCCTGGACCTCATTTAGTGCATGGAGGACAGCCCTCACGGATGGTGCAGATGTGATCCATGTTGCGTGCCTCGTCCTCCTCAGCTTTGTGGCCGTGTACGGTGGAGCTGTGTGCATCTTTCTGTGTCTGCGCTACACCTACCTTGGTTATCGAGGACAGAGTTCTGTGCGTCGTCGACGTCGAGAGAGCCTGCGCGGGTCACTCGCTCTCGTGTTTGCCAACGTACTCAACCCACAGTTTTCCCACAAGTATACACACCCTCCAATTTATGCTGCGGAAGAGATGGCAAAAAATACAGTATGACGGATCAAGATCATTTACTAACGCCCTTCAGCGCTTCTGCGCATCTTTTTGTTTACTGTTGCTGCTGTAGTGGTTCTCGCAGCTGGCGCCCACTTGAGGTTTCGCTCTCACCCCGTCTCCTGTTCTCTTCGTCAGAGTCGAATCACCTCGCCTATTTTTTTACTACTGTTTTTGAAACGGGCTTCGAAATAACCTTTTGTGGCACCCCTTCTGTTAAAGCCTGCTAACGCCTTTCATTTCTGCTCTTCCTCAAGACAACTTCATGTGCTGAAAGTTTCTTTTCCTCCTCATTACTGTCTCAGGCAGCGGCGATAACTGTTTTAAACCCCAACAAGAGAGTGAATCGTTCGCATCATCGGTACTGTTATTATGACAGACCTTTTTTCGTTTGATGAGATGGACTCCCTTCGACTTTTCTCTGTCTCCCTGCAACCAATCCATACTGTCATCTTGTCATCTCTTGCGCTAAATATCTCGCGGAACTACTGTACCCACCATCAGTACCAAATATTACTACTACTAAACTACAATAGAAGCAACCAGGCCAAGTGGAAAAAATGCTGACGAAGTTTGAGGCGCGCTCGTCGCGCGTGAAGGCGGTGGCGCTGCACAGCAGTGCGACGTGGGTGCTGTGCGGACTGCACAACGGCGCGGTGCAGATCTGGGACTACCGGATGAGCACGTGCGTGGACACGTTCACCGAGCACGTCGGTGCGGTGCGCGGCGCCGACTTCCACGTCAACCAGCCGCTCTTCGTCACCGGCGGCGACGACTACACGGTGAAGGTGTGGAACTACAAGCTGCGCCGCTGCCTCTTCACGCTGAATGGGCACATGGACTACGTGCGCACCACCTTCTTCCACCACGAGCAGCCGTGGATCGTGTCGTGCTCCGACGACTTCACGATCCGGATCTGGAACTGGCAGAGCCGCAAGAGCATCGCGTGCCTGCCGGGGCACAACCACTACGTCATGTGCGCGCAGTTCCACCCCTTCAACGACCTGGTGGTGTCCGGCAGCCTGGACAAGACGGTGCGTGTGTGGGACATCTCGGCGCTGCGGCACCGCAAGGAGGAGGTGGGCATCACGCAGGACCTGCTGGGCACCACGGACGTGGTGGTGCGCTACGAGCTGGAGGGCCACGACAAGGGCGTCAACTGGGTCGCCTTCCACCCGTGCGGCGAGCTGCTGCTGTCCGCGGCGGACGACCGCACGGTGCGGCTGTGGACCATGTCGGGGTCGTCCTGCTACGTGTCGCGCACCTTCACCGGGCACTCCAGCAACGTCTGCTGCGCCGTCTTCTACAAGAACGACTACGTCGTGTCCTGCGGCGAGGATCGCACGGTGCGCGTGGTGCACATGTCGTCCGGTGCGGCCGTGCAGACCTTCCGCCGCGAGGTGGAGCGCTACTGGATCATGACGTGCGACCCGGTGCACAACCTGCTCGCCACTGGCCACGACGCCGGCCTGCAGGTGTTCAAGCTGACGCGCGAGCGGCCGGCGTGCGCGATCCACAACGCGACGCAGCTCTACTACACGCACGACAACAAGCTGCACATGTACAACTTCGACACCGAGGCGCTGACGTCGTGCACGGTGAACTACCAGTTCTACCCGCCGACGCGGCTGTCGTGCTGCCCGGCGACGGGCGGCGTGGTGCTGTCGTACGTCGGCGGCGGTCCGCGGCTGGAGTGGATCGCGTCGCCGGCGCCGGGTGGGACGTGCACCGTGGCGGCGACGGTGAGGGGCGTGGACGGCGTCTTCTTCGGCGGCCACAAGTTCGCCTACGTGGATCCAAACGGCAAGCTGTGCCTGCACAACCTCGGCAAGGCCGCCGCGAAGCCGCTGCAGACGGACGTGTCGTGCAGCCGCGTCTTCCCGGGGCCGGTGGGCTGCGTGCTGTGCCTGTGCGAGGACAAGATCCACATGTACCAGGTGGCGCAGCACGGCGCCGTGGCCGAGGCGACGGTGCCCGGCGTGCGCTACGCGGTGTGGGACAAGGACTTCAACAAGGTCGCGCTCATCGCCAAGAACGCCGTGACGGTGCTGACGAAGCGGCTCAAGCTCATCGCCTCCGTCGCCGAGTCGTCCGCGCGCATCAAGTCCGTCGCCTTTGATGAGACGCGCGACGTGATGTACTTCACCACGTCGGACCACCTCAAGTACTGCTACCTGCGCAACGGCGAGACGAGCACGATCAGCACGCTGAAGAACGTCGTGTACCTGGTGCGCGCCGTGGGCGACACCATCTACGTGCTCACGCGCGACGGCCGCGTGCTGCGCAAGGAGCTGGACAACGCGGAGCTGAACTTCAAGCTGAAGCTGCAGCAGCAGTCCTACCGCGACCTCATCCGCATCATGCGCCAGGGCAAGCTGCGCGGCCAGGCGCTGGTGGGCTACCTGCACAAGCACGGCCACTCGGAGATCGCGCTGCACTTCGTCAGCGACGCGCTCACGCGCTTCAACCTCGCCGTCGAGTGCGGTGCGCTGGACATCGCCAAGGCCACCGCGGTGGAGCTGAACCAGCCGGCCATCTGGCGCCGCCTGGCCGACACCGCCACCCGCTTCGGCGACATCCAGCTCGCGCAGTTTGCCAGCGCCAAGGCCGGCAACTACTACGCCTCCGGCCTCCTCGCGCTGCTCACCGGCAACACCGCCTCCATCGCCAGCCTGGTGGACACCACGCGCGACGACAACTTCCGCCTGCAATACGGCATGTACGTCGACGACGTGCGGCAGCGGGTGGACATCCTGTGCCGTGCGAACCAGCTCCCGCTCGCCTACGTGACGGCCAAGTCGCACGGGCTGGCGGACGTGGCGGAGCAGGTGCTGGCGAAGATGGAGCCGGCGGTGGCGGCGCGCGTGCAGGCGCAGCCGTGCCACTCTGTGGCGCCGCGCCGCGCAGTGGAGCCGGCGACGGAGAACTGGCCGATGCTGCAGGTCGAGGAGTCGGTGTTTGCGCGGCTGCTGAAGGAGCCGGGGCAGCTGGACGCGATGGCGGAGCCGGAGGTAGACGAGGAGGTCGCCGCCGGCGCGGGCTGGGACGACGACGAGGACGCGGACGCGGCGGCTCTGCCGCACGGCACGCACGGCGGGGGTGCGGCGCTCGCCGACGGTGAGGGCGCGGAGAGCGGCGGGTGGGACGACGACCTGGACATCGACCTCCCCACGGCGCTGCCGCCCACCAGCGGCGCCGCCGGCGCGGGCAGCAGCGGCTACGTGGTGCCGCGCGAGTTCCCGCCCATCACGCAGGCGTGGACGGACGCCTACACGCAGCCCGCCTTCCATGTCGCCGCCGGCTCCTTCGCGACGGCGCTGCGCCTGCTGCAGCGGCAGATCGGCCTGGTCGACCCGGCGCCGCTGCGGCCGTACATGCTGCAGCTGTGGGCCGCCGTGAACGCGTGTCGCCCGGCGGCGTGTGGGCCGTCGGCCGTCTTCCCGCTCTCCGCGCAGCCGCCGGAGCGCGAGATGGAGGCGCGCCACGCACCCGCGCTGCCGGACCTGATGCCGGTGCTCGCCGAGAAGCTGCGCGTCGGCTACCAGCTCTTCGTCGAGGGCAAGTTCGCCGAGGCGCTCGACGCCTTCCAGAGCATCCTGCACCAGGCCGTCGTGACGGTGGTGAGGGACGACCAGCAGAAGGCCACGCTGCGCGAGATCATGGCGGTGGCGCCGGAGTACGTGCGCGCGCTGGCGCTGCAGCTGCACCTGCGCACCCTCAGCGCGTCCTCCGTCGAGGCCCTGCAGCTGGCGCTGTACTTCACGCACTTCCGCCTCCACCGCGCCCACCTCACGCTGGCGCTCTCCCAGGCCATGAGCAAGGCCTACAAGCAGCGGAACTTCAAGACGGCCGCCGGGGTGGCGCGCCGCCTGCTGGAGCAGGACCCGCCCAAGAACAAGGCGCAGCAGGCTGCCGCCATCGTCGCGGAGGCGGACCGCAATCCCACCAACGCCGTCGAGATCGACTACGACGAGCGCAACCCCTTCATCATGTGCTCCGTCACCTACAAGCCCATGTACAAGGGCGTCACCGAGCCGGTGCGGTGCAGCTACTGCCTGTCGCCGGCAGACCCCGCGTACAAGGGTGCGCTGTGCCCGGTGTGCAAGGTGGCGAAGATCGGCGTCGACTGCGCGGGACTGGTCAACCGTGCCTAGCGTCGCTGCGAGAGCGCGTCAGCTCTCCCGCCGCCTGCGAGCCCACTGGGCTGTGGCCGTCGCCGCGGTGGTGGCGTCGACGCAAACTCGCTCTACGCCCCCGTCTCCAAGGTCGGTGATGTTTTCCCCCTTTGCATTGCGATTTGGCTCTTTTTACTTTCTGTCCTTTCTCTCCTCTCTTGTTGCGATATCGCGTGTGTCGTGTTGTCTCTCGTTGCGGATGGTGAGTCCGAGCATCGCGTGTGTCGTGGTTGGCTGGCTCGTGACGTCACCCTTTGGTGTAGCAGTTCTCTGGTCGTTCTGTTGTTTCCTTTTCTACGTCGTGCGGCGGGTGTTCGCAAGTCCTTCCAGTCACCTGGCCACCTCCTCTGTTGCGCTTTGCGGTGCGTGCGTCCTCCCGGCACGCTACGTGACCGCTCTTTCGTTGCCGTTGCGTGCAGGGCCGCTCTCTTCCTTTCCCCTTTTCCTTCTGCGTGCTCGGTGCGCGGACTTCCCGTTGCTCCTGAGACTTCGTGGTGGCTTCCTCCTCCCCAAGCGCGGTGTAGTCGTCGGTAGCACACACACACCCGCCCCCCCCCCCCCTCCTCACGCTCCCCCTTCTATCCACCTCTCTCCCCTGATCCGCCCGCCGCCACCCGTTGCCAACCTCACACACCGCACACGGCCCTGGCACCGGCAGAAGTAGAAACAACACAGCACAAGTAGCATCGGCGTTGCGGCCGCCGCCTGTGTAGCCGACTGAGCACCTCGTAGCGTAGTAGGCACGGAGATTAGCTGTTTGTGAGGGACTAGGAGCAGGCGCGCCCGCCTACGTAGCGATAGAGCGCCGCCCGCGGGACGCACACGCACACGCAGTAGCGTAGCCGACCCCCCCCCCCCCCGGCATCATGACGGGATGGAACCAGAAGATGGCCAAGATGGCCTTTCGGCGGTCGAAGTTCCGCCGCCTGGCGTGGGGCGACGGCGACCCGTACCCCTACACGCCCCGCGCCACCTTCCGCTACCAGTGGGACGACTGGCCGATGTGGGAGAAGATGTGGCACCTGGCCGTGGGCGTGCTGGGTGTGGAGTTCGCCGTGTGGGCGTACTACTCGAAGCTGAACAGCCGCATGGACTGGGCGCGCGAGGAGGCGCTGCGCCGCATGCGTCTGCGCCGCGAAGCGCAGGAGCTGATGGTGCTGGAGGGTGAGACCTTCACGAGCGACATTCAGCCGGATCGCCACTGAGCCTCCTGAGGAGTTGGCGCGCCATTGTGCTCTCTTTTCTTTACGCACGGTTTGCATTCCAATTTACGTTGTGTTAGTGTCGCCACAGTAGCGTGTGATCATTCTAGTACGCGAGCGTTGAAAACCCTCTGTTCTGCGGACTGAACACGACGATCGGCATCGCTATTATGGTGGAGCTGGTAGGCAACGTTGTCTGTTGACTGCTGGTAAAGGTGGCGCGCGTTGTCTTTTCTGTGGCCTCGGTGCTTTGACGAATCGCAGCGTGTTAGAGTATTGTGGCCCTTTGGCACTCGATTGTCGCGGTCCTCAGACGCTCGCAGTATCGTCCTTTGCCGCCCCACCCTTCTCTATTTTTCCGCTTTCCTTTTTTCTCGCTTGCGCTTTCGTGTTTCTTTTTGTTGTTCTGAACGCGCCCATGAGCTGATTGGGAGCTCCTTCTCTTATCTAGTAGCGCTACCGTTTCGGGAGAGCAACTTTTGTTCTCGTTGGCCTCATATATATATATTTATTTATTTATCGACCAATCCCCTGTGTTGCGAGGTGTTCTTTTCCTCTACCATTACCGTTGTTATCATGAAGAGCGTACTTCTTATTGGTGCTCGCGGAGGGCTTGGCCGCGCCGTTGCGAGCGCGTTTAGGGAAGACAAGTGGTCCGTCATCGCTATTGATCAAAGTGTCACCGCTGCTTCCAACGACGGGTGCCATCTTGTCAGTGCGAAGAGTTCCATCGAGGAGCTACAACAGGCGTACCTTGCTGCCGTGGCCGGCGCTAAACTGAACGCAGTGATCAACGTCGCGGGTGGGTGGGCGGGGGGCTCCATCGCAGATACCAGCACAGCAGCAGCAGCGGAGCTCATGCTGCGCCAGTCACTTTTTTCCTCCTTCGCCGCTGCGCATGTGTTCAGCAAGTATGGGCAAGAGGGCGGACTGCTGCTTCTCACTGGAGCCGCTGCGGCTGTCGGCCCCACGCCAGGGATGATTGGATATGGTACTGCGAAGAGCGCCGTGCACTTCGTGTGTCAGTCGATTGCATCTGATCCCGCCACTATCCCGCCCAAGGCCAGTGTAGTGTCGATTCTTCCCTCCGTGCTGGACACGCCTGCAAACCGCAATGCCATGCCGGACGCGGACCGCAGCACCTGGACGCCTCTCGACGACGTTGCGCGCCAGATCCTTGCGTGGAGTAATGGCGGCGGGAGACCGGAGAGTGGATCGTTGGTGAGAGTTGTCACAGATTCCAAGGGTACTCGCTATATCGTCTAGAGTGCAGCTTTTCTGGGGAGGATGGTGGACGCAACTTCCAAGGTACCATGAAAACACGGAGGCACATGACGTGTAGCTGTAAAGCGATAAAGCGTCCCGTGGCTCTACCAACGGCGTCTGGGCTCTGGGTCACGCCCCGAAAACTTGGAAGATGCTTACACGTGATCTTGCGTGGACAAGCGTAACACACTTGATGAGAAGTGCAACGTGCGCTAAAGTCGAGATCACTACGCTCACAGCTCGGTCAGGCAAGCTCATTGTTGCCAATGCTTTCTGGGATTATCAAAAGGAGAACGGTGATAGATGAAGACGGTTGGAAACGCAAAGAAACGCTTGTTTCCAACACTCTTTCAAGTTAATCTCACGCGCTATGCCCCCTTCGCGCCAGAAATATATATCGTATTTAGTCCCTTCTCCATTCGTTCAGCAGATGTACTCCACTGCAGCGTTTTCGTGCTTCTTCCCGTCATACGGTGACTCGAATGATGTGCCCTCTCTGGGCGAACCGACACCGCCACAATCCAGGACGGAATGCTTCCTTTTTCTCCGCGCGTGGCGTTGACATCTCTTCTCTCCCATTGCACCATTTGTTCTTTTTACAGCTTCCATTCATCACACTGTCGGTATTCTCGTCGAAGTCTTGGACCATCGCTGTCTTCCTCATTGCATAGTTAAAAAAAAAGGCTGATCCCTTATCGACAATTTGCGAACGACACGAAAAAGTCTCCTCGCCAACGCCGCGGTTCTCCACTTGCTGCCCACGCACAAACACGCACACCGCTGTGCTGCCTACCGACGCAATCTGCGCTCACACACTCTTCTCTCCTTTCCCTTTCTACCGCTTTTGTGGCAGCTGAAAAATGGCGTCGGGTGGATCGGTGATTGCGGTCAAGTACAACGGCGGCGTCCTGATGGCGTGCGACACGCTGCTGTCCTACGGCTCCCTCGCCAAGTGGCCGAACATCCCGCGCGTCAAGCTGCTGGGCAGCCACTCCGCCGTGTGCGCCACGGGCGACTACGCGGACTTCCAGATGATGGCGAAGCAGGTGGAGGACAACATCGAGCGCCAGAAGCTGTACCACAACGTAGACGAGCTGTGCCCGAACGAGGTGTTCAGCTACCTGCACCGCTCCATCTACTCCAAGCGCTGCGACTTCGAGCCGTGCCTGTGCCAGATGGTCTTCATCGGCAGCCGCTTCGGTCAGTCCTTCCTGGCCGGCGTGGACGACGTGGGCACGCGCTGGGAGGACGACTGCATCGCCACCGGCTACGGCGGCCACATCGCACTTCCGTTGCTACGCCAGGCGCTGGAGAAGAAGCCGGATGGCCTGACGCGGTTCGAGGCGGAACAGCTGCTGAAGGACTGCCTCCGAGTGCTGTTTTACCGCGAGTGCCGCGCCATCAACAAGTTCCAGATCGCCGATGCCTGCGGCGACTCGGTGCGCATCAGCGACCCCTTCGACGTGGACACAAACTGGGAGCTGGAGGGCTACCGCTTCGAGAAGACGGCCATCATTCGTTAGTGACGTGTTTTGCTAGGGTCGTGTAAAACGCACGAATTCTAGGAAGAGGTCTAATTTGTTTGGTGTATTTCCCTTTGCAAACGCAGCTTCCATTTGCCTTGGTTTCGTGTTCGATGTCGCACAAGTCCACCACGCTCAATTGAAAGCTGTAAACGCTGATTATTTTTTAGCGTACCCTTTTTTTCTCCCTCTGTGGTGCATTGCGTTGATACTGTGCTCAGAAGGACGTCTGCGCTGCGGACCTCAGTTGCTGCACTTTTGTCCTCCATTATGACATTTCCACCGTTCTTTGCATGCCCCGCCGCTTTCTTCTTTCCCAACATATCAGCTTTGGTTATTTCGTAACCGCGAAGCTCTTTTGCTAAGGAATTGGTTTGCTTTACGGAACTCCTTTCGGTAACGCATCCCGCCAAAAAAGTTTCCGTTGTTTGTGTTCGTGTGTGCTCTTTTCCGGCTTGCAGTGGAGAGGTAAGAAGAACCGCATCACCTCATGTGACCCGGCGTTTGACACTGTTCATGTCAATCGTACAAACGCGTACACAAGAAAACCGTTGCTTGCAACAACTCATTAGCAGGCCCTATTTTGCTGACTTGCTGACGTTGTTCATTGATCGTTATCTAGTTTGGAAAAACTGTTTGTTGGAAGACCAGAAACTGGTAGCTCGAACCGCCTTCGACAGTAGTTTGTTATCTGTCATCCCAAATAATAACTTGTGTACTTCGTCAATTCTGCTTACTAAACCAGACATCATTTACAGTTCAGCATTTTGAGAAGAGACAGAAAATGCTGACGAAGTTTGAGGCGCGCTCGTCGCGCGTGAAGGCGGTGGCGCTGCACAGCAGTGCGACGTGGGTGCTGTGCGGACTGCACAACGGCGCGGTGCAGATCTGGGACTACCGGATGAGCACGTGCGTGGACACGTTCACCGAGCACGTCGGTGCGGTGCGCGGCGCCGACTTCCACGTCAACCAGCCGCTCTTCGTCACCGGCGGCGACGACTACACGGTGAAGGTGTGGAACTACAAGCTGCGCCGCTGCCTCTTCACGCTGAATGGGCACATGGACTACGTGCGCACCACCTTCTTCCACCACGAGCAGCCGTGGATCGTGTCGTGCTCCGACGACTTCACGATCCGGATCTGGAACTGGCAGAGCCGCAAGAGCATCGCGTGCCTGCCGGGGCACAACCACTACGTCATGTGCGCGCAGTTCCACCCCTTCAACGACCTGGTGGTGTCCGGCAGCCTGGACAAGACGGTGCGTGTGTGGGACATCTCGGCGCTGCGGCACCGCAAGGAGGAGGTGGGCATCACGCAGGACCTGCTGGGCACCACGGACGTGGTGGTGCGCTACGAGCTGGAGGGCCACGACAAGGGCGTCAACTGGGTCGCCTTCCACCCGTGCGGCGAGCTGCTGCTGTCCGCGGCGGACGACCGCACGGTGCGGCTGTGGACCATGTCGGGGTCGTCCTGCTACGTGTCGCGCACCTTCACCGGGCACTCCAGCAACGTCTGCTGCGCCGTCTTCTACAAGAACGACTACGTCGTGTCCTGCGGCGAGGATCGCACGGTGCGCGTGGTGCACATGTCGTCCGGTGCGGCCGTGCAGACCTTCCGCCGCGAGGTGGAGCGCTACTGGATCATGACGTGCGACCCGGTGCACAACCTGCTCGCCACTGGCCACGACGCCGGCCTGCAGGTGTTCAAGCTGACGCGCGAGCGGCCGGCGTGCGCGATCCACAACGCGACGCAGCTCTACTACACGCACGACAACAAGCTGCACATGTACAACTTCGACACCGAGGCGCTGACGTCGTGCACGGTGAACTACCAGTTCTACCCGCCGACGCGGCTGTCGTGCTGCCCGGCGACGGGCGGCGTGGTGCTGTCGTACGTCGGCGGCGGTCCGCGGCTGGAGTGGATCGCGTCGCCGGCGCCGGGTGGGACGTGCACCGTGGCGGCGACGGTGAGGGGCGTGGACGGCGTCTTCTTCGGCGGCCACAAGTTCGCCTACGTGGATCCAAACGGCAAGCTGTGCCTGCACAACCTCGGCAAGGCCGCCGCGAAGCCGCTGCAGACGGACGTGTCGTGCAGCCGCGTCTTCCCGGGGCCGGTGGGCTGCGTGCTGTGCCTGTGCGAGGACAAGATCCACATGTACCAGGTGGCGCAGCACGGCGCCGTGGCCGAGGCGACGGTGCCCGGCGTGCGCTACGCGGTGTGGGACAAGGACTTCAACAAGGTCGCGCTCATCGCCAAGAACGCCGTGACGGTGCTGACGAAGCGGCTCAAGCTCATCGCCTCCGTCGCCGAGTCGTCCGCGCGCATCAAGTCCGTCGCCTTTGATGAGACGCGCGACGTGATGTACTTCACCACGTCGGACCACCTCAAGTACTGCTACCTGCGCAACGGCGAGACGAGCACGATCAGCACGCTGAAGAACGTCGTGTACCTGGTGCGCGCCGTGGGCGACACCATCTACGTGCTCACGCGCGACGGCCGCGTGCTGCGCAAGGAGCTGGACAACGCGGAGCTGAACTTCAAGCTGAAGCTGCAGCAGCAGTCCTACCGCGACCTCATCCGCATCATGCGCCAGGGCAAGCTGCGCGGCCAGGCGCTGGTGGGCTACCTGCACAAGCACGGCCACTCGGAGATCGCGCTGCACTTCGTCAGCGACGCGCTCACGCGCTTCAACCTCGCCGTCGAGTGCGGTGCGCTGGACATCGCCAAGGCCACCGCGGTGGAGCTGAACCAGCCGGCCATCTGGCGCCGCCTGGCCGACACCGCCACCCGCTTCGGCGACATCCAGCTCGCGCAGTTTGCCAGCGCCAAGGCCGGCAACTACTACGCCTCCGGCCTCCTCGCGCTGCTCACCGGCAACACCGCCTCCATCGCCAGCCTGGTGGACACCACGCGCGACGACAACTTCCGCCTGCAATACGGCATGTACGTCGACGACGTGCGGCAGCGGGTGGACATCCTGTGCCGTGCGAACCAGCTCCCGCTCGCCTACGTGACGGCCAAGTCGCACGGGCTGGCGGACGTGGCGGAGCAGGTGCTGGCGAAGATGGAGCCGGCGGTGGCGGCGCGCGTGCAGGCGCAGCCGTGCCACTCTGTGGCGCCGCGCCGCGCAGTGGAGCCGGCGACGGAGAACTGGCCGATGCTGCAGGTCGAGGAGTCGGTGTTTGCGCGGCTGCTGAAGGAGCCGGGGCAGCTGGACGCGATGGCGGAGCCGGAGGTAGACGAGGAGGTCGCCGCCGGCGCGGGCTGGGACGACGACGAGGACGCGGACGCGGCGGCTCTGCCGCACGGCACGCACGGCGGGGGTGCGGCGCTCGCCGACGGTGAGGGCGCGGAGAGCGGCGGGTGGGACGACGACCTGGACATCGACCTCCCCACGGCGCTGCCGCCCACCAGCGGCGCCGCCGGCGCGGGCAGCAGCGGCTACGTGGTGCCGCGCGAGTTCCCGCCCATCACGCAGGCGTGGACGGACGCCTACACGCAGCCCGCCTTCCATGTCGCCGCCGGCTCCTTCGCGACGGCGCTGCGCCTGCTGCAGCGGCAGATCGGCCTGGTCGACCCGGCGCCGCTGCGGCCGTACATGCTGCAGCTGTGGGCCGCCGTGAACGCGTGTCGCCCGGCGGCGTGTGGGCCGTCGGCCGTCTTCCCGCTCTCCGCGCAGCCGCCGGAGCGCGAGATGGAGGCGCGCCACGCACCCGCGCTGCCGGACCTGATGCCGGTGCTCGCCGAGAAGCTGCGCGTCGGCTACCAGCTCTTCGTCGAGGGCAAGTTCGCCGAGGCGCTCGACGCCTTCCAGAGCATCCTGCACCAGGCCGTCGTGACGGTGGTGAGGGACGACCAGCAGAAGGCCACGCTGCGCGAGATCATGGCGGTGGCGCCGGAGTACGTGCGCGCGCTGGCGCTGCAGCTGCACCTGCGCACCCTCAGCGCGTCCTCCGTCGAGGCCCTGCAGCTGGCGCTGTACTTCACGCACTTCCGCCTCCACCGCGCCCACCTCACGCTGGCGCTCTCCCAGGCCATGAGCAAGGCCTACAAGCAGCGGAACTTCAAGACGGCCGCCGGGGTGGCGCGCCGCCTGCTGGAGCAGGACCCGCCCAAGAACAAGGCGCAGCAGGCTGCCGCCATCGTCGCGGAGGCGGACCGCAATCCCACCAACGCCGTCGAGATCGACTACGACGAGCGCAACCCCTTCATCATGTGCTCCGTCACCTACAAGCCCATGTACAAGGGCGTCACCGAGCCGGTGCGGTGCAGCTACTGCCTGTCGCCGGCAGACCCCGCGTACAAGGGTGCGCTGTGCCCGGTGTGCAAGGTGGCGAAGATCGGCGTCGACTGCGCGGGACTGGTCAACCGTGCCTAGCGTCGCTGCGAGAGCGCGTCAGCTCTCCCGCCGCCTGCGAGCCCACTGGGCTGTGGCCGTCGCCGCGGTGGTGGCGTCGACGCAAACTCGCTCTACGCCCCCGTCTCCAAGGTCGGTGATGTTTTCCCCCTTTGCATTGCGATTTGGCTCTTTTTACTTTCTGTCCTTTCTCTCCTCTCTTGTTGCGATATCGCGTGTGTCGTGTTGTCTCTCGTTGCGGATGGTGAGTCCGAGCATCGCGTGTGTCGTGGTTGGCTGGCTCGTGACGTCACCCTTTGGTGTAGCAGTTCTCTGGTCGTTCTGTTGTTTCCTTTTCTACGTCGTGCGGCGGGTGTTCGCAAGTCCTTCCAGTCACCTGGCCACCTCCTCTGTTGCGCTTTGCGGTGCGTGCGTCCTCCCGGCACGCTACGTGACCGCTCTTTCGTTGCCGTTGCGTGCAGGGCCGCTCTCTTCCTTTCCCCTTTTCCTTCTGCGTGCTCGGTGCGCGGACTTCCCGTTGCTCCTGAGACTTCGTGGTGGCTTCCTCCTCCCCAAGCGCGGTGTAGTCGTCGGTAGCACACACACACCCGCCCCCCCCCCCCCTCCTCACGCTCCCCCTTCTATCCACCTCTCTCCCCTGATCCGCCCGCCGCCACCCGTTGCCAACCTCACACACCGCACACGGCCCTGGCACCGGCAGAAGTAGAAACAACACAGCACAAGTAGCATCGGCGTTGCGGCCGCCGCCTGTGTAGCCGACTGAGCACCTCGTAGCGTAGTAGGCACGGAGATTAGCTGTTTGTGAGGGACTAGGAGCAGGCGCGCCCGCCTACGTAGCGATAGAGCGCCGCCCGCGGGACGCACACGCACACGCAGTAGCGTAGCCGACCCCCCCCCCCCCCGGCATCATGACGGGATGGAACCAGAAGATGGCCAAGATGGCCTTTCGGCGGTCGAAGTTCCGCCGCCTGGCGTGGGGCGACGGCGACCCGTACCCCTACACGCCCCGCGCCACCTTCCGCTACCAGTGGGACGACTGGCCGATGTGGGAGAAGATGTGGCACCTGGCCGTGGGCGTGCTGGGTGTGGAGTTCGCCGTGTGGGCGTACTACTCGAAGCTGAACAGCCGCATGGACTGGGCGCGCGAGGAGGCGCTGCGCCGCATGCGTCTGCGCCGCGAAGCGCAGGAGCTGATGGTGCTGGAGGGTGAGACCTTCACGAGCGACATTCAGCCGGATCGCCACTGAGCCTCCTGAGGAGTTGGCGCGCCATTGTGCTCTCTTTTCTTTACGCACGGTTTGCATTCCAATTTACGTTGTGTTAGTGTCGCCACAGTAGCGTGTGATCATTCTAGTACGCGAGCGTTGAAAACCCTCTGTTCTGCGGACTGAACACGACGATCGGCATCGCTATTATGGTGGAGCTGGTAGGCAACGTTGTCTGTTGACTGCTGGTAAAGGTGGCGCGCGTTGTCTTTTCTGTGGCCTCGGTGCTTTGACGAATCGCAGCGTGTTAGAGTATTGTGGCCCTTTGGCACTCGATTGTCGCGGTCCTCAGACGCTCGCAGTATCGTCCTTTGCCGCCCCACCCTTCTCTATTTTTCCGCTTTCCTTTTTTCTCGCTTGCGCTTTCGTGTTTCTTTTTGTTGTTCTGAACGCGCCCATGAGCTGATTGGGAGCTCCTTCTCTTATCTAGTAGCGCTACCGTTTCGGGAGAGCAACTTTTGTTCTCGTTGGCCTCATATATATATATTTATTTATTTATCGACCAATCCCCTGTGTTGCGAGGTGTTCTTTTCCTCTACCATTACCGTTGTTATCATGAAGAGCGTACTTCTTATTGGTGCTCGCGGAGGGCTTGGCCGCGCCGTTGCGAGCGCGTTTAGGGAAGACAAGTGGTCCGTCATCGCTATTGATCAAAGTGTCACCGCTGCTTCCAACGACGGGTGCCATCTTGTCAGTGCGAAGAGTTCCATCGAGGAGCTACAACAGGCGTACCTTGCTGCCGTGGCCGGCGCTAAACTGAACGCAGTGATCAACGTCGCGGGTGGGTGGGCGGGGGGCTCCATCGCAGATACCAGCACAGCAGCAGCAGCGGAGCTCATGCTGCGCCAGTCACTTTTTTCCTCCTTCGCCGCTGCGCATGTGTTCAGCAAGTATGGGCAAGAGGGCGGACTGCTGCTTCTCACTGGAGCCGCTGCGGCTGTCGGCCCCACGCCAGGGATGATTGGATATGGTACTGCGAAGAGCGCCGTGCACTTCGTGTGTCAGTCGATTGCATCTGATCCCGCCACTATCCCGCCCAAGGCCAGTGTAGTGTCGATTCTTCCCTCCGTGCTGGACACGCCTGCAAACCGCAATGCCATGCCGGACGCGGACCGCAGCACCTGGACGCCTCTCGACGACGTTGCGCGCCAGATCCTTGCGTGGAGTAATGGCGGCGGGAGACCGGAGAGTGGATCGTTGGTGAGAGTTGTCACAGATTCCAAGGGTACTCGCTATATCGTCTAGAGTGCAGCTTTTCTGGGGAGGATGGTGGACGCAACTTCCAAGGTACCATGAAAACACGGAGGCACATGACGTGTAGCTGTAAAGCGATAAAGCGTCCCGTGGCTCTACCAACGGCGTCTGGGCTCTGGGTCACGCCCCGAAAACTTGGAAGATGCTTACACGTGATCTTGCGTGGACAAGCGTAACACACTTGATGAGAAGTGCAACGTGCGCTAAAGTCGAGATCACTACGCTCACAGCTCGGTCAGGCAAGCTCATTGTTGCCAATGCTTTCTGGGATTATCAAAAGGAGAACGGTGATAGATGAAGACGGTTGGAAACGCAAAGAAACGCTTGTTTCCAACACTCTTTCAAGTTAATCTCACGCGCTATGCCCCCTTCGCGCCAGAAATATATATCGTATTTAGTCCCTTCTCCATTCGTTCAGCAGATGTACTCCACTGCAGCGTTTTCGTGCTTCTTCCCGTCATACGGTGACTCGAATGATGTGCCCTCTCTGGGCGAACCGACACCGCCACAATCCAGGACGGAATGCTTCCTTTTTCTCCGCGCGTGGCGTTGACATCTCTTCTCTCCCATTGCACCATTTGTTCTTTTTACAGCTTCCATTCATCACACTGTCGGTATTCTCGTCGAAGTCTTGGACCATCGCTGTCTTCCTCATTGCATAGTTAAAAAAAAAGGCTGATCCCTTATCGACAATTTGCGAACGACACGAAAAAGTCTCCTCGCCAACGCCGCGGTTCTCCACTTGCTGCCCACGCACAAACACGCACACCGCTGTGCTGCCTACCGACGCAATCTGCGCTCACACACTCTTCTCTCCTTTCCCTTTCTACCGCTTTTGTGGCAGCTGAAAAATGGCGTCGGGTGGATCGGTGATTGCGGTCAAGTACAACGGCGGCGTCCTGATGGCGTGCGACACGCTGCTGTCCTACGGCTCCCTCGCCAAGTGGCCGAACATCCCGCGCGTCAAGCTGCTGGGCAGCCACTCCGCCGTGTGCGCCACGGGCGACTACGCGGACTTCCAGATGATGGCGAAGCAGGTGGAGGACAACATCGAGCGCCAGAAGCTGTACCACAACGTAGACGAGCTGTGCCCGAACGAGGTGTTCAGCTACCTGCACCGCTCCATCTACTCCAAGCGCTGCGACTTCGAGCCGTGCCTGTGCCAGATGGTCTTCATCGGCAGCCGCTTCGGTCAGTCCTTCCTGGCCGGCGTGGACGACGTGGGCACGCGCTGGGAGGACGACTGCATCGCCACCGGCTACGGCGGCCACATCGCACTTCCGTTGCTACGCCAGGCGCTGGAGAAGAAGCCGGATGGCCTGACGCGGTTCGAGGCGGAACAGCTGCTGAAGGACTGCCTCCGAGTGCTGTTTTACCGCGAGTGCCGCGCCATCAACAAGTTCCAGATCGCCGATGCCTGCGGCGACTCGGTGCGCATCAGCGACCCCTTCGACGTGGACACAAACTGGGAGCTGGAGGGCTACCGCTTCGAGAAGACGGCCATCATTCGTTAGTGACGCACGGAGACGGTGCGTTCCCTTATTCTACTCCTGTGTTTGCTATTGGTGTGGTTTCGGGGTTGTAGGTACGTTGTCAACGCCATCTATTTGATCCTTTGAATGGAGAACATGAGAACTTCTATATTGATTGATTGTCACACCGGACCTCCCAAAGATGTTATCGTTGGTGGCGTTTTTCTTGCTCTCCGGCACCAGATGCCTGAAAAGGACACTGAGTCGCGAAGACACGTCATTGAATGCACAAAAGGAGGTTGTATTCGTCCTTCTTCTGCTGGGCATCCAGCTATAATATCGTTTAACGGATGGCGCTCACGGATCAAACGCGTCGTATTTACTCAAACGCACTTGTCCTCTCCCTTCCTCTTGTTTTTTGCTGTTCACGTTTTCTTCCCCCTCGTCACTGTGCAACCAAGTCTTTCTCCGTCTGGGACATCGTGTGCTTGTCTCCAGCAATTGAGCAAACAAGGAAGGTGAGCTGCGACGCCGGGCATTATAATTCAAGTTACTGATACATCACACATTTCATCTCTACATCTGTTTCTTCTACTTGCGTTTGCTTGCTTTTTCACTTCTTTTTCGGCTTGTCGGGCCGTATGGGCGGAGAGGCTGAAGACGATTTGCTGCGACTCTTCACCTGGGGCGTCTTTGCGAGTAACGTGTTGCGTCGCAAAACCAAAAACGCTCTTCTTTTTCCCACTTTATTTGGCAGAGAGGAATAGTCGTGTTTGGGAGTACCTTCTGCGTCACGCAAATCTGTTTCTTTTCTCGTTGTCTGTTCGTGGTTCGGGCAGGGAATTTGGACAGCGCTGTTTTGTTTGCCACTGTTGACACCTGTGTGTGTTACGCAAACTGTTTCTCCTCCCGTTTCCCAGCGGCTCTCTCACGAAAACGTGGGGTCTCTTGAACGCGCGCTTCGTAGTGTGCACAGCGTTTTTCGTGGAAACTCAATAGGACAACTCCGCACAGCTCTCCGTTTTTCTTCCGCTTGTTGCCTCTTTCAGTAGACTGGGCTGATTGATTGTCATCGGTCACAACTGGCTTATTTTTTGCTTGTTTGTTTGTCTCCCTCCCTCCTCGGTTCTGAGCATCTCGAGTATTATTATTATTTTATTAATGACTTCTGTTGATCCGGAGCGGCTCGCAGCGTCCATCCGGGCCCTTGCGAGCAGTCATGATGAACGCATCGCCTTTGTGACGGAGGGAGTGAAACAGACAAAAGAGCTGCAGGGCAACAACGTGCAGGAGTACGAGACTGTGGTGTCTTCGCTGCTCGTGTGCTTGGAAAGCTTCGACGTGGTCCATGGAACTTCACTCGATGTTCTGTGTGAGCTGACGGTGCTCGATATCCTCCTCAGCCTAGACCTGTCGGCCATTCAGCTTTCGCAGTGCAACAGCTACCTGCGCCTCTGTCTCATCGCGGTGAGCGACATCCGTGTCGCCGTCGCCGCCACAAAGACCTTTGCGGAAACGCTGAGCTACAGCATGACAACCGACTTTGTTCGCGCACAAATCGGAGAGGCGCTGGAATGGGTTGGCCTCTTCGACAGCAAAGATCAGCCGCGGCGCATCTGCGGCATTTTAGTGCTGACGGAGGTGACGCTGCGAATTCCTATGATCGTTCTCCCTCGCCTGTCAGAGGTGTTCGACAAGATGTGGAGCTGCCTGACGGTGCGCGACGAGGAGGTGCGCTCGCGCGCGCTTGGGCTCTTCACGCTCTGCTCGAAACTGCTGGTGAATCGACCGGCCTCGGTGCGCGCAGAGACGTGCGACGCGATTATGCTCCGCCTGAAAAGCTATCTCTCGTCCAAGTCGAAGGAGAAGCGAATTGCTGGGCTGCTGGCTTTCGAGCCGTTTGTGATCCACTCCATTGGCGTGAGCACCCTCCGCTACGAAGACCTATCCATTCTTCTCGTGCCGTACATCGTGGGTGGAGGTGCGAATGTCAACGCAGACACGCGGGAGCTGCTCTTTCGTTGCCTCGTCGTTTTGTGCCGCTTCAACACGCCGCTGTTTGTCACAAATCAGCTCAAGGACTCCGTTCGCTTTGCCATTGACTCCATCAATCGAAATATTCAGCGCAACGCTGCCTTTGAGATGCTGTCGGAGATCACTCCCATTGTGGGCAAGTCGGAGTTTGACCCATTCGTGGTGGACACGTGCAACGCCATCATACACGTCTTCGAACAATCCACCGCGCCGTGTTGGAAGGCGCTGCAGTGCTTCTCCATCGTCTGTAGGGAGTGCAAACCGGCTAACATGGAGAGGTACGTGGACACCTGCATCGAGAACGTGTTTATATGGGGCCTCTCCGCGGAGCTGATTGAGTGCATGCGGGCCATCATCGCCGCCTCCAGCTTGCAGTACCGCGCCAAGTTGGAGGAGTCGTTGCTCGACATGATTTCCGTCACGCTCTGCGGCCTGCCCTTTCGACAGCAGATGGACGCGCCGCGTGCCAGAGAGGACGTGACGGATGCTGGTCCGTCCGAGTACCAGACCTCCGTCGCCCTCAACGCCCTCGTGCAATTCGGCTTCTCTAATTCGGAACTGATGGGTGATTTTTTGCGCGTTTCGGTGCTTCCTTTTGTCGACAACGCGAGCGCCGCCGTGCGCAACGCCGCCATCTACACCATTGTAAAGCTGCTCATCCCTTCTGGCGACAAGGGCGACCTCAGCATCGCACGCCGCATGTGCGTCAACACCGTCATCACGCGCATGTTGGTCGTCGGCCTCTCAGACCCGAACCCCGTCGTGCGTCAGACGATTCTTAGCGCTTTCACTGAGGACTTCTATCCCTACCTCAGCGAACAGCAGTACCTTTTTCGATTTTACTCTGCCCTCGGAGACGAGGCCATTAACTGCCGCGTGGCAGCCACCGAGCAGCTCTGTCAGATGATCCGCTACGACCCCTCTCATATACTGCCCGCCCTACGTGAAGAAATGGTGGTCATTTTGCACTTTATCGCGTCAACGTTCAACATGGACACCGTGCAGAACGGCTTTCGTCTGCTGGCCGCCATCGCAACGCGTGCGCCGCAGCTCGTGGTGAACTTCACGGAGGGCATCTGCGAGGCGTTACTCCCGTACTTCACCACCCTCTCCGTTCGCTCCAACACGTTGCTGTCCTTCCTGCATTGCTGCACCGCCGTCGCGGCTGCGCTGCGCAAGTTTAGCGACCACCCGCTGTCCTTCAAGCGCGAAATCGGCCTGGTGTGCGAGATGGTGGACAACCTTCCAGCGGATCGGCCCTATCACGGTATTCGGTTGTCGTGCCTGCGCTTCCTGTCGGCCACCCTCACGCCGCTCATCGAGGGTTCCTCGCCGTACGCGCTCTACCCGCAACTCTTCGAGCAGCTCTGCACCATCCTGCGCAACACCGATGAGAGCACTGAAATCCGCATGGAGGCGCTGCGTTGCATCGGCGTTATCGGCGCGCTCGACTCGCACGTCTTCCACTCCTTTCACCTCGACGACGACGAGAAGATGACGGGGACGTGCACGGAGATCGTGGACAGAGTCTCCCACGTGAAGTGCTGCCACATTGTGCTGAAGGCCATCGTTGCGCTGCTCGACCCGGAGAACAAGCGCTCCACCGGCTCGCGGGAAGGTCTGCTGCGCACCGGCATGCAGACACTGCTCAACATCTGCGAGCGTGTGCCATGTTCGAAAAGGGAGATTGGCTTGGTCGTCAGTCCGCTGGCCCGAGTGATGCGTCAGCTGCCTGGTGGACGCCTTTTTGCGACGGTCCTCTACGAATTCTGCAACATCATTCACTTCGCCGGCGCGTGTGTACTGAATGACATCAACGAGATCTACCGTCTCTTTGATAGCGTGTGGGAGTTCCAGGTGAGCTACCGCTTTTTGGCTGTCCGCATGCTATCGTTCGTCGCCAACTTCGAGGCTTCGGGCAACCTGCACTACGGACAGCAGCACTCGCGCATCCTGCCGCAGCTCTTCGACACCCTCAACCGCGCCGACCTCCGAGTGGATTTGAAGTACGCCGTACTCGAGTACATCGTGCGGCACGTCGAGTCGCTGCAACCGTGCTCCGAGGCAGCGGTGGACAACCTGCTCGGCGCCATTCAAAACCCGTCGAACCCGCTCGACTACGTGACCCATTGTGTGGTGGCTCTGAAGGAGATCTGTCTGAAGCTATACGTGGACGAACTCGTGGGTGCCATCGTGCGGTGCTTGCTGGCCTGCCTATCGAACGATTTATCGCGCAAGACGCGGGGGCGGGACAACGCGGCGCTGTTCAACAACATTATGGGCGTCTTCTGTGTCCTCATTGAGGAGATGCAGGGCAACTTTATGAAGCACTCCACCTACATTATCCAGGCGCTGAAGAACTACCGCATCACCAACACGGAGTTTGGCATTATGAACAACCGTGTGGCGTCCGGCCTGCGTTGTGCGCGCAGCGCGGCGTTGATTCAGCAGCAGAGCGCCGAGGTGGCGGCGCTGCTGAAGAGCTGCGAGTCGGTGGTCATGAAGAGCATGTCGCGCGTGGGCGAGGTATGGAGCTACGCGAGCCTCAGCGAGGAAAACGCCGACGAGGTGGTCGTCGAGGAACGGGCGATGCCGATCAACGAGCAGCGTCTCATCGGCCCCATGAAGGTGATGCCGCTCACCAAGGAGGAGTGGATCAAATGGTCGGACCAGTTCGCCATCACCGTTCTGCAGGAGTCGCCGTTTCAAGTCTTCCGCTGCACCTCCGTCCCCATCGGCATCAACGCGGTGCCCCTTGTAGAGAAATCGAGCCAGTTTGTCCAGGACACCCTTCTCATCGCATTCCGCTCCATGTGGAACTACGCAAGCTCTGCATTGCAGACGGCCATCATTGACTTCTTTCGACAGACGCTCCGGCAGGCGATGGTGTCGGCCACGGTGCCAGCGGAATTCTTGACGACGCTGCTCGGCATCGTGGAGTACATGGACCACGTCGGCGAGGCACTCTTCATGTCGTACAACGACCTCTCCGAGTGTGCATGGAATCGCGGGATGCTGGCCAAGGCGCTCTTCTGGCGAGAGACGGCATACCGCGACGACCCGGTCGGCACGGTGGAGTCGCTCATCTCCCTCTACAGCGAGCTGCACATGGTCGACTCCTCCGTCGGCATTTTGAACATGGCCAGCGAGGAGCAGCGTCGGGGGCTGCTGCAAACCAGCCTTGTAAAGCTGGCGCGCTACACGGAAGCTCTGCAGCTGACGCAGCAGGAGCTGGAGCGGGACAACGCGACGTCGGAAGTGAGTAGCTCGGAGAGCTTCTCAAAGAATTACGACTTCAAAAACAACCACCGCGCGTGGTCGCGCATGCTGCACTACGCCACCGGCAGCGATCTCAGCGCGTCGTTGTCCAAGACGGAGGAGAACGTCTGGGACCGCCGCGCCGAAGCGAATGCGCGGCTGATGCTCTGCTTGAGCGAATTGGGCGAGTACGACAAGGTGCTCGAGCAGTGGGGCACCATCCTGAAGAACCACGAGCATCGTGAGGCAGACGCGGACGAATCGCATGTGCTGTACTTCGTCTCGCAGTACGCCGCCGACGCCTCTATTCGGCTGCAGTCGTGGGACACTCTTGTGCACGTCATGGAGTGGCTGCCGCCCAACATGGTGCTGTACCACGTCTCCAAGGCGTCACTGGAGATCGTCCGCGGTGAGTACGACGCCGCCGTGGTGAGTGTGACGGAGGGGCGCAAGATGCTGCTGGAGGATTTGACGAGCCTGCTGCACGAGTCGTACACACGCGCCTACGAGGGTTTGGTGGTGGCGCAGCAGCTGACGGAGGTGGAGGAGGTCATCGTCGCCAAGCAGACGGAGAAGGCGCTCTCGTCGACCGCGCACATCCCCCACCTGTGCCATCTGTGGGAGCAACGTATTCGCATGATGAACGCCACCGTGCCGACGTGGAAGCAGATGCTGGGTATCCGCGGTCTTCTGATTGCCCCACAGGACGACGTCAAGACGCGCATCCAATTCACGAAGCTCTGTCGGCAGGAGAACGCGCGCCAGCTGGAGCGGTTCACGCTGGATGAGCTGCTGGGCTACTCGAACCCGACGTTGGAGCAGCTTCTGAGCCGCAACGCAAACCCACGCGTGGTGGCGCAGTACATCTCGTACCTGTCCGACACGACCGCTTTTGGCCCCGACAGCCCTTACGGCACCGAGAGCGACGTCATCCGAAAGATGATCGACGTGCACACCAAGGCAGAGAACTCGGGGGTGCTCGCCCGCGCCTACACCCGACTCGGCTCCAAGGTGGAACTGGCGGAGAGCGTTCTGTGCTTCAAGGCCGCGACGCTCTACGATCCGCAGTGGTTTCTGGCGTGGCGGAAGTGGGGTGAGGTCAACGCGGAGCTGCTGCAAGGTGGGGCGGTGGAAGATGTGTGTCGCAACGCTGTCGAGGGCTTCATCCGAAGCATCCAGCTCGGCACCTCCGACTCGACGCTGATCCAGGATGTGCTGAAGCTGCTGACGCTCTGGTCCAACCACTGCGACAACGAGCGCGACCTCAAGATACTGCGTGAGCACGTCCTTCACGTACCGTCGCGGGTGTGGCACCTGGTCGTACCGCAACTCATCGCCCGTCTCGACACCGGCTCCAACGACAGCTGCCACCTCGTCTCCGAAGTTCTGACCAACGTGGGCTACGACTACCCGCACACGCTGGTGTACCCGCTCAACCTGTGCACCATGTCCGACTCGGAGCGGCGGAAAAGGTACTCGACAGAGGTGCTGAGCAAGCTGCAGGAACGCTACCCCGTGACGGTGCTGCAAGGGCGGTTGATGATCGACGAGCTGGTGCGCATCTCCGCCCTTATCTACGAGCAATGGTACGACAAGCTCGAAGCCGCCGCAACCGCCTTCTTTGGTCGGCGGAGCCGTGAGGATATGGTGCGGACACTACTGCCCATCCACGAGACGCTGACGCGAGTTCCTGAGACGGTGGTAGAGTCGGAGTTTCTGTCTAAGTTCAGCAAGCGACTGACCGAGGCTCGCGAGTGGTTGCGCTCCTACTCGGCCTCGCGCAACATCGGCGACATCCAGTCCGCGTGGAAGCTGTACCATAGCGTCTACTGCGACATCGATGACCAAATTAAATCCAGTGACACGTTGCAGATGCAGTTCTGCAGTCCGAAGCTGTTTGAGGCACGCAACCTTTCCATTGGCATCCCCGACGCTCGGCCGACGAACCAGGAGTCCGTCGCGAAGGTCGGGCGCTTTCAGAAAGACCTGATTGTCATTGCTAGCAAGCAGCGGCCTAAGCGCATCGGCATTGTGACGGCGGAAGGCAGGTCGCAGAAGTTCTTGCTGAAGGGGCGCGAGGACTTGCGCCTCGACGAGCGTGTGATGCAGCTCTTTTCGCTGGTGAACATTCTCATGCAATCGGACTCGCGTACGAGCAAGGCCTTGGGGTTTCAGATCCAGCGCTACTCCGTGACGCCGCTGAAGGAAAACGTTGGCATCATTGGCTGGGTCGACCGCTGCGACACCCTGCACGAGGTGGTGAAGCGCTACCGCGAGCGCAAGACTATCCCTGTAGAGCTTGAAATGCGGATGCTGGAGCAGATCATTTCCTTCGACAACTCCAAGGCTTACGACTACCTGACGATCATGTCGAAGGTCGAGGTGATGGAGTTCCTCGCCGACCACACGTCTGGGCAGGACATCCGCAAAGCTATGTGGAACAACTCCCTCAATTGTGAGGTGTGGCTGGAGCGGCGCCACATGTACACCACCTCCCTGGCCAATATGAGTATCGTCGGCTACATTCTCGGCCTCGGTGATCGTCACCCGAACAACATCATGCTGCAGCGGACCTCCGGTCTGGTCGTCCACATCGACTTTGGTGACTGCTTCGAGGTGGCCATGACGCGCGATAAGTTCCCGGAGAAAGTGCCATTTCGCCTTACGCGGATGCTGCGCAGTGCGCTGGATGTGTCGGGCGTCGATGGTGCGTACCGCGCGTGTGCCGAGACGGCGATGTGCGTGTTGCGCGAGGGCAGCCACAGCGTACTCGCGTTGCTCGAGGCTTTCATTCAAGACCCGCTGATCTCGTGGCGCCTCATTAATCGTCCCGGACAGGAGCCGGAGTCGTCGAACGATCACAAGACCATCGAGGAACAGGTGAACATCGCGAACATGCGTAACGCTACATCGACGGTGAACGTCGATTCCATCAGCGTCTCCATCGATCGGCGCAACACCGGCTCCTTCAGCGTTGCGAAGCATATCTTTGGTGAAGAGGTGGATGTAGTTCACCAAGGTGTGTTCATCTTCAACCGGCTGCGCTCCAAGCTGAAGGGTCAGGATTTTATCAGCGCTGAAACGGAACTGTTAGACCCACGAACACAGGTGGGCCAGCTCATTGAAGAGGCCACAGATGTAACGAACGTGGCGCAGTCGTGGTCTGGTTGGTACCCCTTCTGGTGATTACGGCAGGGCGTAAGTCTTTTAAACGTGTGTATTTGTGTGTGTGAGAGCGAATGACTGTGTGTTTTGTCTGCGCCCCAATCAACAAGAGCCCTCTCAAAACATAGTGTGCCTCCGCTTTTCTGTTGGCGTCGATGTTGCTGGTGTTCCCTCTACCGCGCTATAAATAAATCGGCGATAACTTTGTTCCTCTGTGAGGTTTCGTGTATCCGTGCGCTCGCATTTCGTTTTTCTCCTTTTTTCTCTTTTCCTTCATACATCGTTGATCATTTGTGGGTCACAACATCTTTTCCATTATTTTGATGTGTTGTGGTCGTTTGCTGTGGTGCGTGTTCTGTGCGAATTCGCTTGATTAATATTTCTCGCCCAACGCTGGTGGACAACTGGCGTGGCGCGTAGTTTGCAATATCGACGGAGACGTTTCGTGTGTGGGTTTGTGTGGTTTTGGCGTCGGTGTCATCATTATTGTTTTCTCTCCCAGTGTATTCCTCCTTTGTTCCTTGCCTCCCCTCTCATTGTTTTTGGTCGCTTCCTTTAGATCTTTGCAGTGTGAACAAGACGGCATGACATTAGTGTGGACAAGGTCGGAGCGCTGCAATTTGTGAATGGTGCACCGCTCGCGTGTTCGAAAGGGAGTGCACACTTGCAACTAACCGTTGTCATATCGGCACCTCCTCCAGCCCAGCTGCGTCTTCTATGAGCTCAGTACCTCTTTTCATTGATCAACCTCGTCTTATTTTGGCAAAGGATAGCTCAGGTTTGCTTGTGTAAACGGCAACGAGGCCCTTCTGCCACGCGTGCCGAAGTGGCAAGACGTGTTGTGCGGCAGCAGCTGTTCTGTTTCTTTCTTCTCCCCAACCTCCTCTCTCGTGCTTCATCTCTTTCTTCTTCACCTCTCCACTTCTCTGACAAGCGAGAACACGACGTAAACACGACCCCGGATAACCAAGAGTACTCTCTGGGTTTGTTTCTTTCGCCGCCCTCGAGAGCACTTGTGCAGCTACCCTTCGTACTCCAACTTTTGTGGTCGTTGCCTTCTGCTTCGATAGCGATATAGCGACCACTCTGATAACATACACATATATTCTTAGACTGTAATATGGCGGCCTTAGGGTCTGATGTACAGACCACCAGCGTGGAGCTCGTCTCCGTGATTGAAAAGATGCGCGAGCGGAAGGCGTTGCTTGACGAGCACATTTCCGCCGAGGAGGCAGAGCGCGAGCATCTTGTCAGTGAACTGCGTGTCATGCAGGCGAAGCTGACGGCACTGGATGACAGCCTCGCACGGAAGCGCGCTGTGCGAACGGACCTAGACCGCACAATTGCGGAAACGTTCTCCGCATTCAAGAGCATATTAGATGCCTCCAAGAAGTTGCTGTCGACGGCAAGGGAGGAGTCCTCCGCGCTGCGAGCGCAGATTGACTGACGGTCACACCTGTATCAACAACAATAAAAAAACGTACAAACTCAACGGTAGAGACCCGTAAAAGTGATTTAAAAAAAGGCGGTATTTTGAATTCGCCTGATTGCTACCCAGTGGTGCGCATTCATGCTGCTCATAGAGTCTTTCGCTTTCCTTCAACTACTCTTTGGCCTATCCCCCTGCGTGGCGCCTTGGACGTCTTTTGCATGATTGGGTGCGCTTGTGTGTGTTTGTGTGCTCACCTCTCAAGGTAGCGCATCGTCACCCTACAGCAAAAAAGACCCTTCATTTGTTGGCGTTATTACGCACTGCTGCTCAAGCAGCTCTCCTTGTAAGCCGCGTATGAGCGGCTGTGCGTGGTGCTCGCTTCAATGATTCAACTATCCGCTGCCCTTCTCCCTCGGCCCTCTCTTCGATGTTCTTCGTGTGACCCATCTGTCCGCTCAGCATTTTTTTTGCGTTTTTTGTTTCTGGTATTGCAGCACGCGGAATATAAAGGTAAGAGTTACCAAGTACACTCGAGGTCAACCACAAGAACGTCAGATTCCGTCGCACGAGCATTCCATTGTACCTCTGCCTCTTCCTCGCGCTCTGCCCTCTTTATTGGGTCACAACACACAGCCGTTTTGCCCTCGCAAATGAATCAAGACTACGGCGCTGCGATGGCGCAGAAGCAGTGGTACGGCAGGCCAACAGACTACCCACAGCAACCGCCTCCGCCGCCGCAGCAGTCCCAACCGCCTCAGCAACCGCAACAACCGCAGCTTCCACCGCAGGTCTCCCGGCAGGATCCCAGCCAGTATCCCGACGTGGTTCGGGAGATGCTGATGCAGATTCAGAACTTGTACCGCCCAGAAACGCGTGAAAAGGCCATTCTCACCTTGTCGAAGAAGCGTGAGAAGTTTAACCTGCTCGGCCCGACGCTGTGGTACAGCGTGGGTGTGATGGCGATCTTTCTGCAGGAGATCGTGTCCATGTACCCGCTACTCAACGCCCCCTCATCCGCCCCGGTGAAGCCGATCATTAACCGGGTGAGTAGTGTGTTGACGCTACTGCAAGTCATCGCGCAGCACGACGCGTCACGCCGGCCCTTCATGGAGTCCAACATCTGCCTCTTTCTGTACCCGTTTCTGCGCGCCACCCCGGCGGAGCGCTCTGAGGTTCTGCTGCTCACCTCGTTAGGCGTCATCGGCGCGCTGGTCAAGGCCGATGACCCCGCCATCATTTCGTACCTCCTCAACACGGAGATCTTCCCCATTTGCCTGAAGATTATGGAGCAGGCGATCGAAATATCCAAGATCATCTCCACCTTTATCATCCAGAAGCTGCTTATGTCGGAGCAGGGGCTCAGCTACGCCTGCCAGAACCCCAACCGCTTTACTGCCGTCGCGGATGTGCTGCACAAGATGGTGGCCGAGAAAGGGCCTCAGGGCGAGCACGTGTGCGGCGCCCGTCTGTTGAAGCACATCATCCGCTGTTATCTCCGCCTCTCCGAGAATGAGCGCGCTCGCGAGGCGCTGCCGAAGATTCTGCCGGAGGAGCTGCGCAGCACCACCTTTCAGGAATACCTGGACGAAGACCCGAACATGCGGAAGTGGCTTCTCCAGCTGCTTGTCAACACCGGCGACGAAGGAGCCCGCCGTCTCGCTGACGCGGCGAAGAGCGCATAAAGGGACACACGCGCAGGCAAACTGTTCAAGCCTGCTGTACGTTGAAACTGCGTTGCTCACAGCGGAGTGCGTTTGACCAGAGGAAGAAGAGGGGAGACCGCATTTCTGGTCGGGCTCAGAAGGTGAAAGAAGAGCTTTTGTGTGTTTCAATGAGCGAAGCACAAGACTGGTTGGGGTCTAATAATTATTAAGGGTCGGAAGTGCGGTGTGTGTCATGTGGTGGTGTTTTTTTTTTTGCTGCAGTTGGCGTCTTTATTCTTCTTTTTATCTACTTTTGGCTTATCTTGTTTAGATTGGTGAACGAATGCGCAGATAATTAGCAGAGTCCCTTGATAGGGGAAACCTGCGGAGCTTGTTTGGGCAAGCATTGCGAACACCCTCAACTCCGAGGCGTTGCAGCTGTGCGAGTCTACGCACAGGGAAGAGAAATTCCTGGTCTCGCTGGAATGCGGCACCATTAGAAGAGAGATAACCCTTTCTGCTTTTCTTCATTCTAAACTGTACCCGCTCTGTTCTTTCTGTGTGTGTGTGCGTGTGCATTTGTGTTTATGTGCCGCTTTCGCAGTGGCAGCCTAAACGGCAACAGAAGCAGCCCTTCTTCCCGGATCGGCAGCTTTGCATTTCACCACAACACAAACAGAGCGCGGCGCCGCCTTAATTGAAAGGGTAGGCATCACAGGTGAAGCGGTTTGTGGACTTCGTTCCTTTATGTTTTTCTTTTCCAGTTGACATTCAACCATCTCGTCCCCCCCCCCCTTTGAGTGTGTGTTCCGCAAAATACTTGGTCTACTTTTCGCGCATTTGCGTTATACTTGCATTTTTTCTGGGGTTCACATACCCTATCGCATCGTCTCGTCATGCAGCCGAGATTCACTAGTCTGTATTAGCCGCCGTATTTAACTTCTTTCTTACGTAGATCTTCTGTTTCCAGGCACTTCACAACCTCCCAATAGTTAATCAACTCACAACTTAGAGGGGTCGGGATGCAGTCAAACGGCGCGGAAACGGTGGGTTATAAGCCGTCGCTGACGGTGGATGTCAGCGGAAACGACGCGGCGCGCGAAGACCCCCCGAACTACGCGATCGCGAGTGTACAGAAAGCGGTGACGCCGCACGTGTCCACAAACATTTTTGTGGCCGGCATTCCGTCCTCTTGGGACGACGAGGCGCTGCGCGATCGGTTCAAGGAGTTCGGCGAGATTGTCTCCACAAAAGTAGTCAAGAACCGGCACTTCGGCTTCGTAATGTTTAGGAAGGCCGACTCAGCCCATGCAGCGATTAATGCGACACACCTGTCACAGCCGGCGCCAAATTCCACGACGGTGTTGCACGTTTCCATCGCCATGCACGACGAAGGCCTCGACGATCAGCCGAACGATCGTCTTTTTATTCGAGGGCTTCCGCAGTGGGCCACCAAGGAGCATCTCCGCCAGATGTTCTCGTCCTTTGGCACCATCACGGAGTGTGCGGTGTTAATGAACCCGCTGGGGCAGTGCAAAGGCTCTGGCTTTGTGCAGTTCGCCTCACAGCCGGAGGCGACGGCCGCCATTAAAGCACGGGACTCAATTAGCATGGACGACTGGCCGCATCAACTGGAGGTGAAGTACTCCGAGTCGACGGAGGTGCGTCAGATGCGGCAGGAGCGCAACCGCAACCGCCAGCGACACTGGATCCCCTCCCCGCAGTACCGCAGCGGCAACACCCCTAGCTCTCTCGCCTCCCCGTACCTCGGCTTCTCGCCCCCGATGTCGGTCATCCCGTCCCCGCAAGGAGTGCCCATGATGAACACAACGCCTTTTCCGATCGTATATCCCCAAACGCCGCCGGCCACAGGTGCTCCAACCCAAATTGTGTACCCCCAGCCGATCTTTCAGACGTTGCCGCCGTTTTACTCTGCGCCTACCGTGCCTCTGCCGCCGCCGCTGCCGCTGCCGCAGAAGGGTGACCTCCACTTTAGCGGCCCACCGCTGACGGAGGACCTGTTACGACTGCTACTGCAATCGTACGGTGAGGTTGAGGCCATCAAAAAACTCGACAACGACGGTGGTATTGCGGTGCGCCTGCGAGACCTCACGAAGCATTCGCTGGTGGTGCAGCAGCTGAACGGGTCGCTCTTTTCCACAGGTCAGATGCTCGCGGTGGGTATCTACGCATGAGAGCTGCCAGCGGTGAAAGATGCGTAGGCACGGCCTTTGCGTGGCGTTCTTTGTGTGGTGTTTTTGGTTCTGAAATGGTGGGAGCGTGTGTTGTGGCCAGCCTTATCGCAACGTAGCGTACGATTGCGCATGTGTATGCTGGTGTGTGTTGTTACTATTCTTTTTCCTATTCTGTTGAGTGTGTGTGCCTGGTGGGGAGCGTGGGCTGGTGCGTGTGCGTATCGGTGCCTGTCAAGACTCGTGTCTTTCTGTGGCGGCGTGCGAAGGGGTAGAGAATTGTGTTCCAACCGTGTCGGGTGCAATCCGCTGAGAGAAGGAGCAGGAGAAAGGCAGGCAAAGCGTTTATCTCGGTTTTATTTACTTTTCTTTTCAACCTTCTTTTTTGCCGAAGATTTCTGGACTAAGATATAAGACCTTTTTTTTTTTAAAGTGCGGCAAAGGAGTAAGATCATCAGAAGAACTGCTGCAGCGGGTAACATCGACGTTGCACTTTGCTACGATCAGACGCGTACTGTGCTTGGGACCGAGGTGCGCATTTGCGCTTGTCGTTGTGGCCGTTGTTGCTTTCCAACTTCACTCTTCTGGCGGCTCCATCGCCGTCTGACGTTTTATTCAACTTTTTCCTTTCGTTTTCTTCTTCCCCTTTGGTATTGTCGTTGACGGTGTTTTCGTTCCGTCTTTTCTTTTCCTGGTCTTCTTGATGGAGTTGAGTGCAAGGCAGCGGTGAGCCGTTGTGCGCCTCCCACTACGCTGACGCCGCCGGCGTTGTCGGTGTTGTCGGTGCTGATTAGCTGAATGAGACAACGGGGTCAAGCGTCGTTCCTCTTTTCCCCGCAAGACGGTAGTTTTGTTGTTATAGTGGGAGATTTGGGTAACTCTAAAAACTATTTCAGGTTTTTTGCTTTGAAACATGCGACAAGTGCTATAAAAAAAGATCAAAATGAAGCGGGGCTCCGCGGCATCCGCCTCACGATGCACTCTTGTCTGTCCATCATTGCTGGCGCGTGTCACACGACTAGCACTTTTGCCGGTCAACGCTCGTGTCTTCTGTCGTGCTTTGGTGTAAAGGTCCCTGCACGCTGTGCGGATTGAGCAAGAGCGCGTCCTTTTTTTTTCTCTGCGTGCCGCAAATCTGGATAAACGGCTGGGTCCTCCTTCATTGTGCCCCAGACAATTGACTGAGAGAACAGCCTCCATCGCCCACAGCGTTCCATACGAGATGACTCAGAATTGCTTGCGTGTACATGCTCCCATGAAGGGAGGAAGAGAAACGCACGCCTGTCCACCTTTCTCTTTTTCTCTCCCTATTATTAATTCTCTGTGGGGGGCACTCATCACACATTAAATGCATCTTTGCTTCATGTATGCACGTCCTCTATGCAAAGTGGGTCGCTGCTCATGGCCAAAAGCGTGCTGAGTTACTCCGAGGACGAGGCCGGCCTGGGGCCTATCTGGGGCCGGCTCATTTTTCTCAGCTGCATGACGACTGGCGCCTTCTACGTCATGTTTGGTCTCTTCGCGTGTCGCCGCCTCATCGCAAAGGATACGCGGTGGGTGTTTATTGCGTTTCTCTACTTCGCCATGGGTGTTTTTCACGCCTTCTTCACCCTCGCACTTCTCTGCTTTGCTATTGCCTGTGTCTTCAAGACGTTTGGTAAGCCCATGCTCAACGGTGAGATGATTCTCTACAGCGGCATTATGACAGTCATCACGTTGTATTTCGCATGTGGCCGGAAAGCCATCTTGTACTCTCTCTAATGCTGTACTCCGCTTCGACCTCGAATCAGCAAATGTACCACTGGGAAAAATGCAGATTTTTGTAGCGCACTCTTTCGTTAGTTTCGTTGGGGCAACGGAAGATGCGCAGCTGCCCGTCAAACACGAAATCATCACCGGCGTCGCTATCTACCAAAAGGAACGGAAAGCGGGAACGCAATGGAGCTTTCTTCTCTTGCGGTGCTTTTGTCGCAGGTGCGGTGATAGCACAGCCTGCTCGGCGTTCATCCCTCCTTTCTTTTTCTTTCTTCTCTGGCCACCCCTTTCTCTCTCTAAAAATCAGTCCCATAAAAAACAGCGCGCGGATGATTGACACTTGCACACATTTCCTTTTCCTTATTCTTCCCTTTACGGCTCCAGCTTGTCAGCCATCTAAGCAACATTATATTTTTAGCATCGCTAAACCCCAAAAAGGGCAGTATATATATATCCTGCAAATATCACTCTTTAGCACTTTTCTCCTTTGTAAGTATTCGCAATGTCTTTTAATATCACCGCGCATCAACTTGTGGAGACGGAAAATAGCATTCACTTCTGCGCGTGTTCACCGGATGCCAAGCAGGTCGCCTGCGCTCTCGACAACGGCTCCATTTGCATCTTAAACACCATTACTTTCGATATTTTAGCACGTGGGGCGCCGGGCAAAGACTTCGCTGGCCTACCGGCGACCTGTGTTCGTTGGGCACCAGATCCGAGCCTTGTGGAGTATCAGCTTGTGAGCAGCAGCTGTACCGGCGGGGTCATGCTGTGGAACCTTGACCCCGCCGACGAGTCTCTGACGCGTGGTACCAGTGCGAACGAAGAGGGGAATGAAGTGATGACGGTCGACGTCTCACCGAGTGGCAAATTCGTTATTTCGGCCGGCAGCGACCGCGTGGTGCGGCTGTACGACGCAGCGCTACAGCTTCTGTCAAAGTTGGTCGACGGTGTCAACGCGGACGGCACGCGGAGACCGACGCACGTCAACCGCGTCTTCTCTGTGCGTTTTCTTACGGATGCCGTCGCCGTCAGCGCGGGTTGGGAGAGTCCGTTGCAGGTGTGGGACTTACGCAGCGGCTTCTCCAACAGACAAATTGTCGGCGTGCAGGGCAGCTCCGACTGTTTGGAGCCTGTCACCGGCACGCAACTCGTCATCGTGGCGTCGCCCAAGATGGCAAGCACACTGCAGCTGATCGACAGTGTCACAGGACGGGTGCTGAAAGACGGTTCCACGAAGGCGTGTGCCCAGCTGCAAGCCGAGGAGCGCGTTGTAGTGTGCCGCTATTGCGAAGAGAAAGGTATCCTATGGTGTCTCACTGTCTCACCACCTTCCCTGATCGTGTTGACGCTGGCATCCGGTCACGTATTCGCGCGAGCCCCTTTGCCAGCGCAGCCGCTGAATATGAGTCAGCACGGCAATGACGTCCTTGTAGCATGTAAGGACGGTCTTCTACTACAGGTGTCACTTTCGATGTAAAGCGTGCCAAGTGGCACGATGATTCGTTATAGCCGTTTACCTCCGAAGGTTTTTTCGTTTTCTAAATTCTTCTTTTCTGCCGATGTGCAACGACGTTCAATGTACTTTCTCTTCACCAGCGTGCATTCGCACCCCTCAATGAGCAAACGAATATGTACTAATTCCTACTACGCTGCTTAGCAGCGCGCATTTGATGCCACCGGTTTTCGATTGTTATTTTTTCTTGGGGAGGGTGGAGTCATCGATGCAGGTACCTTGCTGCCTTCTGCCGTCGGATAGATAAGGCGACCATTCGATGCATTCAAGTCCTTTTCTTATGTATGCCTCTTCTCTTCGTTTTTCTTGGTGAACAGCAACTCAGTGCTCCTCATTGCTCTCCATGCCTTTTGGCACGAAATGAGCACTGCGTACCTCGACGAGCTGCTGCGCAAAAATGCGCGACTCATCCGCAAAGTATACACTCGTGCGTCCTTCGTCGAATACGAGCTGGATCGTCTGCGCGGGCTACGTGTAGGGCTCGCGCTGGCCGATGCACCGAGTCGAAAGAGGAGAAGAAGTTCGGAGCAGGTTCTCCATTCAACCTCGCCTTGCGAGCCGCAGAATCAAACGGCAGAGCTCAGCCCCGCATTCGTCGTGGCACTGAAGGCGGAAGTGCAGAAGCACAGGGGTAGAGGAGCTTCCTTTCGTCTCCACAACAAAGCCGATTGGGAAGATGTTGCTGCGGCTCTCCACGACGCAGGCCACCACTCCTGGACGCCCTACGAACTTCTGACTGCTTTTAAAAAACTAGGGTCCGCGAGTCGCGTTCTTACGACTGCAGAAATTCAAACACTGTGCCAGCTGGTCCGAGAAAAAGGCTATGACTGGCCTGCCATATGCAACGGACTTTGGCAACGCTTCGGCCACGAGCTTCAGCCTTTTGATGTGGCCCAACAGTACCGCTCGTGTATGCGATGCGCCTTCGTTCAAGCCCGTCTTACCTCCTCGCAACTGGCGGCGCTACTCGACGGTGACTCGGTAAGTGCGCAACACCGCGATTACGACCAACTGTCGGTGGAAGCGAATCGTTTTGTCGCCAACAAATCGCTGCAGGTGGACCCACGATGTGTTCAGAAAGAGATGGATGCCCTCGCCTTTGCGCGCTACGTTCCTGATCGCTATCGTCTCTTTTGGAAAGTGGCGAACCTGCTCTATCGCCTGCCGCTGCCGTATCCGTGCCGGCTCGACACCTTCCACCACAAAATGCCGTTGTGCTATCAGCAGCTCTCTGTGGAAGACCTGTCGCGGTGCCTCGAATGCACCGTTGAGGAATTGAGAAAGAAAGTGGTCGATCACTTACTGAGCTTGAGTCGCTCACCCGACACCCTCAATTTTGAGGAGTGCTCCAAGAGGCTCTTTGGCAACTCGACCGCCGCCAGGGTCATCTATCAAATAGCGGAAGAGCTTCATGAGCGGGGGTCATGACGGCCTTGCTGCGGTTGTTGCTATCTCTCTACACAGTGTATTCGAGCTGTGCCCCTTCGGTGGTGAAACGGACGTTACACAGTGATCGGCGAAGCCGATGTGGATCTGCTCGGGTGTTGTACGTGCCCAACAATCAAGCAAATAGAACCTAGTCAAAAGGGAAAAATAGCGTTCATGCATTCCTGTCGAATCTCTTTTGTTTTTTGGAGTAGCTGATGAAGTGCAGCTTACCATTCCTTCTGTGATGAACCCATCGTTGCATTGGTATGTGTTCGTTGAGCTGCGCCTCTAATGTCGCATATTCGGATCTATTTCTTTTCAGGAAAGATTATCCATCTCTGATCTATTCATGTACCTTCTTTTTGGCTTCTCCTGGTAGATATATATCTGAGCTTCTTGTAATTATCCTTTGCCATCTTGTAGGTGCTCACTACACACGAACTTCTCAAACCCTCTGCTGTTGTTGTTGTTTTTCTTTGCGGTGGTGGTGTTTGTTCTTGCTCGTTGACGGCATTCCCAAAGCTCTTCTACACGCACGTCACCGATACGCCCACACGGTCACCCGCAACTGCAGTGAGACAAACCGGTTCTCTTTCTTTCTTCGTGACTGCTGCACCGAATATCACTCGACAAAAATGCTGGAGGAAGTCTCTGATGAGCAACGGCGGCGCGAGGAGGCCGAAATTCTCGCCCGCGATCGCAAGCGCCAGCAGGAAAAAGAGGAACACGAGCGCCGTCTCGCGGAGGAGAAGGCGGAGGAGGACCGCAAGCAGCAGGAGGCAGCGGCGGCGCGCCTCGAGGAGGAACGGCGGCGCAAGAGGCAGGAGGAAGAGTGGAAGCGACTCGGGTCCGATGCAATTCAGGACCTGCCGCCGGTGCCACCGCCGGTTAAGGAGGAGGGGACCCTGGACATGTGGTACCTCGACGATGAGACCTCGAAGCCAACGCTCACGATGGCGAGCCTTAAGCCCGGCAAAAAGGTAGGGGCGCCAGTGCCGACCATGAAGATGTTGCGGGAGCTGGGTGTTGTGCTGTTTCGCGTGAGCATGAACGACTTTTCAATTGTGAAGCAGATCCTCAAGGAGCGCGACTACAAACACACCGACGAAATCAAAGTCTCGCAAACCGCAAAAGACGACAGCTATCTCGAACGCTGGTTTCAGGAGCACTACATGGAGGATGAGCACATTCGTGTGGTGATGGACGGGTCGTACTTCGTGGACGTGCGCTCGAAGCAGGATCAGTGGATTCGCCTGCACCCGAAAGCTGGGGACCTGATAGTCCTGCCGGCGGGTATGTACCACCGCGCTACCTTGGACGAGGACGACTACGTGGCGCTGTTCCGCTGCTTTCAAGATGCGCCGCGCTTTGTTCCGATTAATCGCTCTGACAGTCGTGCGGACTCGAACCGCGTACGGCTGACGTACCTGATGAACTTGAAGAAGGGCGACGTGGCAACTCAGAATGGTTTCCTGTAAAATAAAACTGCGACTGTCGAGCCTCTCTTTGTCGGTTGACGTCCCCCTCTCCCCTCCCCCTTCGGCGTGCCTGCGTGTGTCTCTGCAATACTTCGGATCGCACGAAAGCCCTTGCGTCGCAGCGATCGAAAAGGTAAACCTATCACTTCTGTCACGACTGCTCAACAGCACCGCGTCGTAACCGTTATGCAATCCCTCTCTCTGTGCAGGTAGGGATCTTGTTTCTTTCCTTTTTTCCCAAGTAGTTTTCAGCTGCCATCGAACACCTACGATGTATAGAACTGCGTGAAGACGTGTTTCGTCGCAGTGCTGTGTTTGTTGAGATATACATGTTTTATAAAATGAGAGCGCTTGAATGAAAATTTGTTTAGCGTCGTCAAGATCTCAAAAAAAGAAGGAAACATACTCCGAAGGAATAACGATGGGTAAACCTTAAAGTGTGACAGTTGACTCTTTCTTTTCAACTGAGCCTTATCGGCAGGCATCAATACGATGTGCTCTCGAACGCGCAGACACACACTCTCTCTCTCTTTGGGATGTTTCCAAGCAGAAGTGTATGCTCCGTATCACGACGAGCATCCTATTCGTGCTGTTGTTACTATTGTTTGTTTGTGTTCGGTATCAGCGGCTCTTGGCTGCCGAAACGCTCTGCAGCGGCGCGTCGTTATGTTTTCTACCTTATCGCGAACATGTGTCTCTCAACCCGCTTCCATCTTCTGTTTCTTTCCCAAACAGCTTTTGTGATGTTGAGTCGATTCTCGCCTCTCTCTCTCTCCCTCCCTCTCATGGTGAAGGTCACCCTTCTTTATTGGAATGTTTACGCATGCTGACTGTGACGATGTAAGCAGCATTTCTGCTGCTGACCTCGCACAACGCCTTGTTGAGCATTCTTCGCGGCGAAGGTCAGCGCACCCGAGCGCCACGCACGGTGCGGTGGTACGTGAAGCACTGCCAGGGCGTGTGAAGGCGCTTATTTGGGACACGAAGACATCCGGTGGTGCTGCCCCTCGCAGCGCCCTGTTGCGCGGCGACGTTGTGAGGGTAGACGCGGAGGACACCGGTGCCGTCTTGTTGTCCTTGTCGCTCTCCACGGACGTCAAGTTTCGCTTTGCGCAAGCGCGGCAGAGACGGCTGCTGGCTGTCCTCTCCGCGAGGTCTGCCTCCTCGTCGCTTCACCTGAGTGCCGTGGACGCGGCACACTTTTACTGGATGGACGAGTGCGCGCCAAGCGTCTTTCACAGCGGATACGAAGGCGCCTTTGTTTTACAGAAACGCCTTCTGCGCTGGGCACTACGCGCGTTCGCACAAAATCCATTGCTAAAGAACATTCCCATGCAGAGCATTGAGATGGCGTTTCCCGCCCTGCTTGCCTACGCGCCGCGTGAACGCGAGGAAGTGGTCAAGCAAGCCGCTGAGATGCTTGGTCGGGGCACCATGATTTGGTACGGGGGAACCCTAATTAAACAATTCCACGACAGTTCCTCTCTCCTCCTTTTTCCGCTGCTGTCACCGCGGGAGGAGCGCTGCGCAGCTGCCTTGCTGTTTGCGCTCGCAAACACACACCAGATAATGCCAAATCAACTCGTTGAGGCTTCTCATGCCGCCCGATATCTGGTGGAGACGTACGGGACTGGACACGTTGCACTGTCATCCGGACTCACGCAATCACTCCTAACGGTGGCGTCGGCGCTGACGACGCTTTATCCCAACACGGTGACGACAGGGAAGACGATGCAGGACGTTTGCGCGGGGTGCCTCTCACTCCTGGTGCAGGCCAGCGCGGAGAACGTGGCGTCGTTCATCTCCAGCGGCGAAGCAAATCCGCCACCGAAAGTGAGGGGGCTACTGTCGCAGATGCGGGACTTGGTGCGGCAGACGATGTGCCGAAGCGAACGCCTGCTCCTCCGAAACGAAAGCGCCGGGAACGCTCAAAAAGAGGCGGAAGAGGACGTCAATGCTTTCTTCGCCGACACCGCCGTCCTCAAAGTTCACCGCAGCACGCTCCGCTCTCTTCTTGCTGCGGGGGTGGACACGCAGCTCCCCATGTCAGCGGCGACGTCCAGCGAGTGCGCGTCGCGCCTGCGTCTTCTGGAATGGGGGCCGAAGTGGTGGACGTCGGACACGGCAACGCGGCACGCAAAGGCAGAGGCAGGAGAGACAGAACTGAAGATTGACGCCAAGACGGCGGCGGCGGCCATGCGTGAGTCGGTGGCGGGAGACCACGCCTTGCTGGCTGTCATCCAGCGTACACGAAAGCGTCGCCGCAGCGACGGTGTGTGGCTGGCCTCCCAAGCGGTCCAGACAGCATTGGAAGAGGCGGGCATTCGCCTGAAGCGCCGTACGTTTCTGCAGCTGATGGACACGCTGGCGTTGCGCGACGGTCATAAAAACAGCGTCGATGCGGCAACGCAGTTCCTGCAGCAGCAGCACGTAGACGCGCTACTTATCCACCGCTTTACAGCATCGTTCACCGCGATGCAGGACAAGTAATAATATCTTGTTGCGTCACGACAGCTAGCCCAAATACATCCTGTTTGTTTTTGTTGATTTGTCTTCCTTGGTGAAAGAAGCCTTGCGAGTCGCCTTGATAAAACGGCTACTCAATTGGTCGTTGATGCCTACATCAGGTGCGACTTCTACCGTAATAAGGCTACGGACACATAAATTCTTTTCGCTGTGTGTGTATGTGTGCGACTGTCCTTCTCTCGTGCTTCACAGAACTTCTCTCCACCTGCTCTTAGTCCTCCGCGTCTCTTTCCTTTCTTGTCGCTTGTGTGAAGTTTGAATCAAAAGGTTAAACGTATACACTTATATATAAAGTTCCTCTCCTCCTTCTCATTTTTAAACGAACTCGTTGATCACCCACGCGATCATTATTATTATTATTTCTCTCTTTCAGTGCTGTCATTTGCCGGAGTTGGTGCCGTGATTTGTGTTCGCTCTAACGCTTCTATACATTCTCAAAATAGTTCTCTCCACCTCAATTAAAGTTCTTCTTTCTTTTAAACATGAACTCAACCGCAAACGACATCGCAGAGTCGCGGCGACCGAAGAAGCTGACGGTCAGCGAGCCCTACTACCCTCCCGAGGCGCGCAGCGTGGACTACGACGTGAACGACGCCGACACTAGTGCGATGGAAGACATGCCGACGCACGCCGAGCCACTGAAGCAGGCGCAAAACCTTCTGTCAACGGACAAGATAAATCAGTCGTCACCAAAGTCCGCCATGCAGAACTTCCTGCAAACGGTCCCACATCTCTTCACTCTGACCCCGGAGCAGATCTCCAGCCTTGATGTGATGATTCGCGAATACAGCGAAATGGACATCATCATCGAGGAAGGATCGTACCTGGAGCACATTTACGTCCTGGCCTCTGGCACGGTGGAGGTGATGAACTCGAAGAAGGGTCTGAAACGCGCATTTGGGCACCGCCGCATCGGCAGCATGGCGGCGCCGAGCGTGTTCGGCATCGACGACGCCATTTTGGAAAAACCGGCAGAGTTCACCTACCACGCCAGCTCCAACACGACGCTTTTTCTCATTCCCCGCAAGCAGTTCGCCGACCTTTTCGCGCGTTCCGCCATCTTCGCCAACAACGTCTCCAGCCAAATTCTACGGACGCTGCCCTCCTTCTCCGTCTTTCAGGAGTTCTGTCGCTCTATCTTTGGCATCTCCTCCTCGTCCGCCGCGGACGCGCAGTCGAACAAGAACGGCTATCGGATCTCTTTGCCGACGCTTATTGGTCTTTTCCGGTCCAGTGGCACCCTCTTTCACAAGCTCGTCAACACGAACGAGATCGACTACGAGGCGCTGCGCTACGCCGTTCGCCGACTCCCCACCAATATCACCATGACGTACATCATCATCTTGACGCTGGGCATCCCCGACTACCTGTCGGACGAATTCCTCGCCGACGCGGCGAACACGGAGAACGGAGCAGCGCCCTTGACTATCGCCGTCGACACGGGAAAGCGGCGGCGCTGCGCGTGGACCTTCGGTGGTGGGGGGCAGACCCTGGTGTTGATGCGGGACGGCTTCACGGACACGGTCGACTTCGTGTCCAACTTGTGCATCTTCTGCATCGAGGCGAAGAAGCTGCGCTCCCGCCTGCAGCAGCTCGTGTCTCCATCGGCGGCGGAGGTGGTCCGCAATGCCATTGCCCCAAGCGAAAACAATTTCCAGAACCAGGCGCGCGCCGACGAAGTCTTTGCCTCGCTCCAGTTCTCCGAGGAGGAGATGCAGGGGCTACGCAGTGTGTGGGGGGATGAAACGCTGCAACAGCTGTACAACATTGGCGTGCACCGGGAAGAGTACGTCGTGCATGTGGAGAGCGTGAGCAGCAAGATGTTCAGTGAAGACCCGTTTGCGAATTGGGCTCTCACCATTCTCCGCCACATGAAGCGCCGCATGAACACCGCTGAGTCGCAGTCTCTCCCGGAGGACGTTATGATTGACATCCTCTTTTCGCCGAACCGGACGCTGAAGAACCTATTTTGCTCCATGTCAGCCGACCTCAAGACACTGATCGAGAACATATCGGAAGAGACGGGATTCGGCAAAGGCGAGCGCACCGGCAACTGGAAGAACGCGGACGACCGGTACTACTACCTGCTGACTGGCCTGCTCGAGCGCGACAGCACCATCCGCAGCGCCTATCGGTCGCGACTCGAGTCGAACGGCTTCACGCTGATGGAGGACGGGCACCCGTCTGCCCTCATCGTCGACCTCATCGACATCAGTAGCATCTCGCCGGAGGAGACCGACCCGGGGCTCCGCGCGTGCGCCGCCAACGCGGCGAAGCAGAGTCGGGAAGGCAAGCGGCACTTCATCATCAACGTCGACAAGACGTTTGGTGCCCAAATCGAGTCTATTTTCCGCTCTCTCATCCTCACGTTTGGCAATCGCATCCGCAGTGTCAACCTCAGCGGGAAGGCGGCCGGCATTTGCGGCCATCGCGGTGACGTCATCTTTCCCGAAAAGCTCCTCTTCTCCAAGCAAACTTTCGGCGAAGACTCCACGGATGAGATTCGGCTCTGCAACCGGCAGGGCCTGGAAAAGGCCGACATTGTGCCGTTTCTGGACAAGTCATCCTCCGCTGCCATTCACACCGGTACGCTGATCACGTTGCCGGGTTTCATGCTGCAGAGCCAGCCAGTGTTGAAGTTTTACAAGACAGTGCACGGCTGCACGGCGGTCGACCTGCAGAGCAGTTACGTTGCCAGACAGCTGGAGGAATGCCGCCGAACGGGAGTCTTGAGCACAACGATTCCGAGCCGCTATCTCTTCTACTGCGATGACATGCCGATGGGCAACGAGAACGGCTCCGTTCTCAAGTCGCAGAAGCGCGAGATCATCTCCACCATCTACGCCACTGCCCGGGCACTCCTGTGCAAAATCCTCCAGTCTTAGTCTCTCTGTCGAGTGCCTGACGGCGTGTGAGGTTTTTTCCGTGATGTGTTTGTGTGTGTGCGCCGAAATGGAAGAAGCGTCCTGTTCCCTACTACTACTTTCTCGTGCCACTTTCCCAGGCGTTCTTCCAGAGCAAGTGTATGTTGTTGTTGTTTTTCTTCGTTGTGGGGAGCCATTTTGTCAAAGCGAAGCTGAACATTGCAGCGCGGCCACAACTCTTCTGTTCTGTTCGCATTTAAAAGCATTCATAAGCTTTTGGGCTTCTCCCCTTCCACCTGTCCGACCGTTTATCTTTTCTTGGATTTGTGCGTGCCACGTAAAAACTATATGATTCGGAAGCAATCAAACAACAACCAACCAAATGTCCGTTTTTTGTGCGTATGCTCGATGGACGCTTTGTGACCCCAGATCCGCCCAGCGAGGAGAAAAAGCAGCGGACAACGAGGCTGCCACACTTTTGTGTCGATTCGCATGCCCAGTTTTGCTCTTGGCTAGACGAGCCGAAGAATAGCAACCACGCCTTTGTTTTTCGCAACGCTCCTCTCGCTCCTCTTCCTCCCATGCCCCCGGCCCTCGTCTTTTCGTCCTGGCCGCGGGCTTTGGGATTCGCCCGCGCGCGGCCCCGGCCCCTGGGCGGCCAGGCCAGCCCCCCAGCCCCAACCCCAGGCGCCGCCCACACCCCGTCGGACCCGCGCCACCAAATGACAACCCCAAGCCGCCCCTCGCGGTACGCATCTCAGAACGCTCTCTGTTCGACTGAAGTGAAACCACACCTCTTACCCTGATGCTGAGTGAGTTCAGTGTAACTCAAAAGGAGTTGAAAGATCTCACTAAACTATGGTTTTGCAGTTTGCTTGAGCACCTCAACGTGGGCGGCTGCCACCGACTCACCGACCTCAGCCCGATCAAAAGATTACAGCGACTTTCTTGGATCGACATATCCGACACCTCTGTGGCCGACCCGTTTACAACGTTTTCTCAGATGTCACAGCTGACGGAAGTACAGATGATCGGGCGCAACGTCCGAGGTGACTGCCGTGAACTGAAAGGCGCAGCTAAGCTGAAGACTCTGGAGGGAGCTCGAACAGCACTCACAGGGCTTGAGAGAACCGCCACTTCTTCTTTGCGAGAGAAAGCCAACGTAGGCCGCTACACGCGTGTGAGAAATCTCTTTCCTTTCACAGCATTCCATCATAACTACGTCGGGACATCGTTCACGTCCATTGCAGACGTCGGACCTCTCCACTCCTTCGACGCACCGGAGTAGGCTTATATGTGCTGCTGCAACGAACTCAACGACGTTATTCCATGGGCTGACTTTCAAAAGGGCGCGCCAGCTAGGCGTTCTCGATCTGCACGAGAACACCGCGCGAACCATCACAATGAGGACGACGAGTCGTGCAATGTTGCAGAAGTTCAACCTCTGTGGGTGCAAGAAATGAGTAGCATCTCCGTTCTGCAATCCGCTTGGGAAACCGAGACCCTCAATCTGATGGATGCACATGTGGCCGTCCCTACCCTGCTCTTCGTTGGCAGCCAACCTTAGATTGTTGTTCCTTCAGAGTTAAAAACGAGACGGCTTATCCATTCGAAAGGAGACCTCACGTATTGTCTTTTGGTTTTGTTTGTGTCTGTGTTGCTACGTGTCAGTCATCAAAGTTGCTTTCGATTCAACACTTTCCATCACGGAAGGTATCGGAGCTTTAGTTGACTACGGTTTTAATAGCCGACTTACACCTGAGTTCAGTGATGCCGTTGACGTTTAAACACCGGGGCCGCCTTTACGTGACGGGTGGTTGTTCGCCTTCACGTCATGCAGAAAAGGTATGCCTTGATTTCTCCTTGCTCTGTTGCGTGCGTTTTTTGCCAGTAC